TAACCCTAACCCTAACCCTAACCCTAACCCTAAAGCAGGAATCGCACTTGGGACTATATCCGGTTTTGCCTTGATCATTGCCGTGTTACTTTTAAGATTCAGATATCGTCGAGAAGTCCCAATTCCCAATTAAACAACCCATTTCAGAACCTCATCTGCGTTGCTCATGCGGCCGTTATTTGCGTAGAATGCTGCTAGCTGGTATGCAGTTTTGACCGTGTAGTCATGTGTCAGACTTAGGAGATGGCGGAAACCGGACAGAGCGTCTTGGAACTTGTTTTTAGCCTCTGGATGTCTTCCCTCGGCATCCAAACGTGCAGCGTCTAGCTTCAACTTGTGGATCTCATTCAAGGACGTTTCGTGACAACCAGTCCAAAGCCGGCTGGACTCCGATTCCTCACTGTGATGTGCTGTGTAAGAGGGAGTCCAGACTTGCCCTGAAATTCTAGCCTCTGCTGGAGTACTTAAGTCGGCTACAGCTCGAACGTCAGCAGGAGTCTTTGCATCAGCAGAAGGCTGTACGAGAACATCTGGCGTGCTAATCGGCGTTCGCTCATCTAGTTTGACACTGTTAGTGGTTCACAATATGGCGTTGCATGTGAAGACTTGCCTTGGATACTGTTCTTGCCACGTGCAATGTGGCGATCATTTGATCTCGACACTTTGCTCATAGGGAAGCCATAAGGGCCGATAGCAGCTTCACATATTCGGCCAGCCCGCTCGCGGGCCTTGCGAACGGCGACTGCAGTCACGCCTTTCTTGAGGTTCTTGACAAAGCTCCACTCTTGGACTCGGTCTTTATCCATTCTCGAGCTACATGAGAGTCGGTTTATCTCAGGTATCTCTAGCTTGGGAAAGGCGAACGAACGAGGCGAAAAAACCATAGTCGGTCTCCATGCGCGTCATGGTTGCGGTCAGTGTCGGATTTTCAGTAATGTAGAGCCTGTAGAGCCTTTTCTTGTGGGTATTCCACTAGGCCTCAGGAGGGTTCCGTCGCTCGTTTCTGGGCGTCTCAGCACTCTGCTGGTGCTGTCCGTTGGCGTTGCCATGACCTGAAAGTTTCGGCATAGGTCTTGGAATGTGCGACGGCCTGGTGAGGGTGCACAGCGTCTGTCGACACTTTCTTACCCGAACTAATGCCTGACCTGTGACGGGGAAAGGAGAGGGTAAGGCGCTCCGGGATTTGTGGTAGGTTGATCTCGAGATTGTATATTGTTCCATTTCCAATCCTTGCGCATTTGAGAAAGCTCTGAATGGGCCATTCCTGGTATTCCCCAACAAGTGCCTTCTCTTTCGCAGGAGAGCGGCTTTGAGAGGTTCGTGGGTGTGGTGGTTACTTGGTCGTCTGCAGGACTTGGCACGTGCGTATGATCGGCTTCGGACTGCGCAATCCTTTATCTCAGCGTGGGTGGCAGATTGCGTAGGGCCGTGAGGACGTTGGAGGGGCGACTTATTAGACGCAGGTGTCCATGCCTTCTTCGTAGACTCTCGGCGTGGACTCCGCTTCCTCCCAGGTTGCGTTATGTTCGTCATCGCTGGTATCGAAATGCTGGCTGCTGCTGCTTGTCTTGTCCTGGCGCCGCCGTTTCTCCTGAGCATTGCTCCCGCTCGTTTCCCCCCTCCTTCGCCGCCTCGCTGGCCACTTCTACCACGGTCACCTCCTCCTGTTGCTTCCTCTCCCCAACTATTTCACCACCATATTCTCCCGCTGCCTTCCCTCCTCAAGCCGCTGATCTGGGGTGCCATGTTGAGAAGCATCTCGCAGTTCTGGTTTGCTACTGGTGGCTCCGCTACGTTGTTGGCTCTCGATCTCGTCCTGTGATACCTCAACTGAGCGAGGACGTGGGGAGCTTGGTGCGCTAGCTGGTGGTGACTTCACTTGCTCTACTTCGTAGCATAGCCAAACCTACTTCTTTCTCTAGTTCAGCCATACCGTCCTTAGTCCATCCATCATCGCCACCCTTGCCAGAAGGCTTGGGAAGGGAGCGGAGGGCTGACTCCACGCTAGTGCTCTGAGCGATGTTGCCGGTGTCTTGCTGGCTGATCAGATCAGATCTAGTGGCGGCTCAGATTGGCAGAGAGCACAAGGCTGGTCTTGTGCATGAGCAGAAGGCACGCGCCTTGTTGCTCACAAGCGCTAGGCCTTGGATCCGACTCGTAGACATAACGACCCTCCTCAACATCCCACCATTTTTCAAACTGGGGTGCATCAATTTGCCTTGGCGGACCCAGAGGCGAGTTCCGAGGTTGCGAGGGCATTGTGCGGACTCATAGCATTAGCATCCCTGCTACCAGAAGTGTCTTCAGCCTCGTCCTCAATATCTGTCTCATCTGGCTCGTCCTCTTCGATAATCAGCGGCCGGTCTGCGTATCATTAGCCGACTGCTTGCCATTGGAGATTGCCAATGTGCCTACCATGACTACCTCGACTATCGCCTTGAAGTTCACGCAACCCTGGGCTTGTCTGGTTGATATGCATTCCCGTCACGTCGAGAGCCGGCTTGTCCAGATTCTGAAGGATGCACTCCAGTTTTAAGACCTGTGATGATGTACTCGGAGGCCGAGTAGTTCGAGAGCTGGAAGGTCACCGTCTGCGTCGTCATTGCGACCTGGTTTGAACAAATCAGAACAATTCATTTGCAACGTTCTCAACGTACCTTCGGCTCTCGCTGTAGGGCCTCGATCTACCCCGTCTGGAAGCCCGGAATGGGCAAAACTGGCTGCAGTCGCAGACTTGAACTGCCTGTTGCGTTCGCACGGCTGATGTGGCACGTTGTGCGGTGGTGATTTCAGGATGCGGGTGTTGGTTACACGGGTACGGCTAGTTTTGACAGACAAAAAAGCGTGCTTATTGAAGGATGATGGGGTTAAATAGGGCAGCGAAAATTGGACAGGTTTCCTCTCGGCGATAGCCATTACGACGACACGAGAGAAGTAGATAGAGGGAATACAGTCTGGGAATTTGGACTTCGAGCGAGTGGGATGAGTGGTTTTATGTGGTAGCCAGTGAGCGCCTCCCTGTGGGAATTCGCCAAACCGCGCTGGGCACCCTTTGTCTCCTTCGCCGCTCAAAATTGCCCTCCTCTCGCCATGTCGCCCCGCAGACCGAACGAAACTGCATTACGCGTGAATCCTCAGCTCTCCGAGCCTCTGTAGAGACGTGTAACCTCTAGGGTGCCCGGTCTGTGGACGAATTGAGGCATCTCCAAGAGCAATCGACCCAATTGGCTAGCTTCAAAGTTGAGCGTGCGCGACGGGCCCCTGGTGAAGACGTGACAAGAGCTCCCCATCCTAATGGCTGGTGTGGTCCACGGCCCAGTGGTACTCAGAGTATGTGATTCTTCTCGAGGTCTATGCATTTTCTTGCGTTATCTTAGGCTAACTTTTGGCGCAGGACAAACCTTACGAGAACATGACGGTAGGTGACTATCACACATCCATCCACCCCAAAGTCCAGGGAGCCTGGAATCTCCATCGCCCTTCTTAGCAACAGCTCAGGCAGCCACTTGACTTTTTCACCATGCTTTCAAGCATCTCGGGTGTAGTGGGAAGAAAGGGACAGGCCAACTACGCAGCTGCCAACACGTTCCTCGATGCTTTTGCCAGCTACAGGCAGTCACAGAGCCTACGCGCAAACTCGGTCGATCTTGGGATGATCGTGGACATTGGTCATATTGCCGATGATGAGACCGGGCTGGAGGACAAGTTCGACAAGACTCGCTGGATTCCCGTCAACGAGACAATGCTGCGTAGGATCCTGACCTACTCGATCATGCTGCAAGATCCCAACGCACAGCTCAACAAGGATAGCAGTACTCAGCTCGTCACAGGCATTGCTTACCCTCTCTCACACGATGAGGAGCCCCTGGTATATGACGCTCGATTCAGCTATCTCTATGCCAGCTGCAGCAGTAAGCAAGGAGCTCCCGATAGCAGCGATGGCAACGACAAGGGCGATCAAGCTCTCCGAACATTCCAGGTGATTCCTAAATCAGACACAGACACGGCGACCTTGGTCAAAGCATGTGTGGAAGTACCGTCAGGACAATTTGCCAAGATCCTGCAGCTTTCAGATGAGGTTGAGGCCGGGTAAATCGCTGATGGCGTATGGCCTCGACATCCTCTCGGCCATCGAATTGCGGAATTGGACTCGTCAGAAGATGGGGGTTGAGCTGACCACGCTGGATATCATCAATGCGAGCTCGCTCATTGCTCTGTCTGAGAAGGTGGTCTCGAAACTTACACAGTCTGAAGAGCCTTCCAAATAGATTGATATGGGGTGGGTAATGGTTGGATTTTTTTACTGAGTTTCATTGATGTGGACTGGGCAATGTTTGAGTATTTTACTGGATTTGGTTTTGAAGTATCCTTGGACGTGTAGAGGAGTATCATCAGGTATGAAGGATGAAGTATTTTCTAAGAATCCAAGCTACACATTCTTTTCTCTCCTTATTTTGTCGTAATTCTCAAAGATACTATCACAAATGAAAGTTGCTGCACTGGAGGTTGCATGGAGCGTGCTGCGGTTGGGACGTGAGTGCATCCTGTTGGCTGAACCGCCTCGACCAAGTTGGCGGGATACGCTTGGGCCAAGTCGGGCAGGTACTGTAGCGTCCCAACGGTTGAATCCACGCAATGCCGAGCCCGGATAAGCATCTCTGCACATGGCAGTAAGAATCGCACTTATTATAACAACATACCTCGGTCCTCCAAGTAGCGATTGTTTTCGCTCTGTATCTAGGATACCGATTCGAGTCGCGCGAGAGCGATTGAACGAGCATGGCTTCATACCTAATTACTGGAGTTGGACGCGACCTCGGGCTAGAACTCGTTAGAGTATTGTGCAATAAGCCGGCTGGTGAGGTATCAACAACTTTTGCCACCATCCGCTCCTCGCCTTCGCTAGCTCTGCAAGAACTCATATCCCAATCGGAAGGCCGAGTTGTTGTTGTGCACCTAGAGGCGACGGACCCGGACAGTATTACTGCGGCGATAAGCCAGGTGAAGGAGAGTCTTGGTGGCAGCCATGAATAACCTACGGAAATCATTGGAGGTTAATGTCGAGGCTGTCCATAATATTACAGTGGCTTGTTTGCCGCTATTAAGAGAGGTCAATCGGAAGACGGTGTTGAACATGTAAGCCATGACGGAACATCCGGCAATGCATGTAGCACACTGACAGATAGATGCTGCTTATAGGAGCTCGATTGCAGGGTCTATGGCACACGCTGAGCGATTCATGATCGCGCCTGACCCTGCATATAAAATATCGAAGGCTGCACTGAACTGCTTAACCAGAGTATATGCATTGGAATTGGAGAGCGAAGGCTTCACAATCTTTGCAGTCTCACCCGGAGTAGGTGTTGGACGGAAATCTATCTGCGTCCAAATTCGTTGCTAACTTCTGAGAAGTGGCTTAGGACAGACCAGGGCGGTCCGTATGCCGATCTTGACGCTGAAACCGGCGCAAACGCAATGCTGGACCTCCTATCAAGGGATAGAGCAGACCTAAATGGAAAGTTTCTAAATATTCACGTCCCAAGTTGGGAGAAAACGACAGGGCTGCATCAGTATGACGGGGCTGAGCTTCCATGGTAAAGTGCAGGCGTTAAGTACAGCGGACAGTACCGGTAGCAGCGCTCGTATATCTATAGAGGTATAAAAGATGCAGGTATTGTTCCTTATTGCAGTTAATACTTGATGTGTTGCATCTATGTTCTTAGTATGTATAATTTTATACAGTGTGTATGAGCGTCCACCGATATTCATGCAGTTGCGTGGTTGCTATGGTAGTGGAGATCAACCTACCCTAAACTACCGAGAGCATTCAGTTACACATGAGTAAAACGGTTACAAATCGTCGATATTGCAAGACAATGGATTATAGTTCATTATGATTTTGAACCGCCTTGGGGGCTGTGCGCCATGGTTAGCAAGGGAAACGCCAAGGCAAGTGGAAGTGAGAAGATGGCTCTGCCCAAGAATCTGCTACGCCGGTGGCTGCGCCAAGGTAGTAGTGTGTCTGCCGCAATCGACTACAGGATTGGCGGGGGTGGTGCAGGGACCGTACATCCAAAGACTGCCCCCAAAAAATGCCAGCTGCATAACTGTTTGGGTCGAGGCTCGCGATAATTACCAATGATGAGAAATTATATCCCCTAAGTTCCAACTGCGTTTACATGAGCCCACTCTCTCAATAATTCCACATCCTTTCCACACTATAAGAACCTTTTTGTATCTTATTTGGCGTAATACGTAAATCTCGGTGGCTTGGAGATATTGCGCCGACTCTTGCTACTTTAGAGAAAGAACTTAGAAATGTCTTGTTAGAATTATAGGAATTCCCTTGCCTAAGCTGAAAGTGCCATATTGGCACCCTACTTAGCACCTACTTCCCTATTATAATAGAGAAATTATATTAATACATCTATAATAAGCTGAATACTTAGCTAATATCGCTCTATATACTAATTAGTATAGTACGTGATGAGGGGACTCTAGGCTAATACTCGGATATTATCAGTATTATTTCATTGAGTCACCTAATTAGTCACCTGACTTGTATATTCATTTACCTATATATATGAGGCTTTCACCCCATAGTATTAGGCTCCTTAATTAACTCTTTCTACCTGTTTCAGTACCTCCAAAAATACTGACATGTCTGATGCACCTGAAGGCATTGTCGAATACGCCTACGACCACATCTCAGAATGGTACCTGCAGTGGGTCGAGAGCCAGAAGTCGCCGCGAGAAAAATACACCAAGATGCTCCTTGAGAAGCTGCAACCTTCACCTTCCATTCTGGAGCTTGGTTGTGGTCCCGGCGTTCCCATCTTGAAATTGCTTCTCGACCAAGGCGCTCAAGTGGTCGCAAATGACATCTCAACCAAGCAAATCGAGATGGCTAAGGCCCGCTGCCCGGAGGCCAAGCTGGTTGCGGGCGACATGACAGCACTCACTTTCGAGCCTGAGAGCTTCGATGGCGCAATCAGCTTCTATACACTGTTCCACATTCTGCGGTCGAAGCTCAAGGCTATGCTCATAAAGATCCATGGTTGGTTGAAGCCCGGAGGAGTCTTTGTTTTCAATCTCGCAACTATCGACGAGGAAGAAATCCATGGCGAATTCCTAGGATATGGAATGCTCTGGAGCAGCTATGGCGTGGGTGAGAATCAAGCACTGCTGAGAGAAATCGGATTCGACTTATTGCAGGTGGAAGTATTGCAGGCAGGCGATGGAAAATTGAAGGATGATGATCCAGACTTTGACGCCGAGTTTATGTGGGTGGTGGCACGAAAGAAAGATTCTCCCACCGAGCGGAATGCTGTAAGGATCGTGAAGCCAGGCGAATAAGCGTCACACAATGTACTTTTAGAGAAATTATATAACGAGCCGAGTCCCTATACACACCCTACCTTTCGACGCTCTAGCGCCTAGTTCTAGTATTCACTAATACTATATATTGCGTACTTGGCTATTAGCTAGCGAATCCCCAGAGAACTAGTAATATATATTGCCTAGATGCATTCGCAGCTGATTACTCTGTGTGACCTTATATTAACTCTAAGAACTTTCGTAAAATCGTTAAATCGTATATATTACAATACTATATAATGATAATCGTATCTAGAGCAATCTCTATAGTCGTTAGCTTCGTAGTGACTTCATCTACGCCTAAGTATTCTAACTTTGTCGTAGATGAGCGTCGCTGGGCGTCTCGGTAGACTTGGGCAGCTTTGACCTTACTTATACTCTCCAAGAGTAGGTTTTCAATTCTAGTCGGCGTTTGGTGATTAAGGCCTCCACTACTATGATTGATCCGTGTACCAATTCGAACTTTGCCTACGACCTTCTCAACTATTGCAAACTCCCAAAGTTGACTTGAGGTAGGTGAGAATTCGTCGTCAAATATCACCAGCTAAGTGTCAAGGCGCCTGCCTTCTTGAATTTCGAGTGTACGGTCCCGTACCCGTTCGTAACCGGCGTTTCTTGAAAAAGTCCACTGTGAATGCAGTTTACTTTCCAATAGGCGCCGAAGTATAGGCAGATTGACTCGGAAATCTTCCTTGTATCCTAGGCCGTGCTGGTTCTTCTGGGGATTCTTGAAGATATGGTATACACTGTCGTGAGTTGCGAAAGACTGGTTGGAAACAGATATTAGCTAGGCAAACTTCGGACTCGCTTGCCTGTTCCAAGTCTTCGTCATATTTTTCAAGTAGAGCGGAAACTTGAAAGGCGGTTCGGCATGGTATGCACCGATTGCCGAGTGACATCAATTTTTGGTTTCCTGTGCTCCGTGAGCGCGATGTGCTGAGCATCAGTCGAGCGGTGTCAAAATCGTTAAACAACCTCCGCCGGACACCTTTCCAGTACGAAATGACCGCCCCTGTGGCTTGGGCTTAAGCAAGTCAAACCTAGATTTTTCACTGTCAAGCTGCCGTGACCTTTATGGGAATCTGTTGTACGTTACGAAGTATCGGCCTATCAGAATTCTGGTTCAGCAAATGTAAACGTAGCGCCTCGTTTAGGTTTAGTAGTGGGGCATCCCTCTAATAATACTGAGGACGAGTACTTCGTACTACGAGCAACAGAGGGCGACTCAGCAAGATTCGGGGTGAACACGTGACTGACCACGAACTACCAACGGTCAGTCAGCGCACAGATCGCTCGTGGATCCTTGCCAACCCTGGAAAGCGCCAAGAGATTATCACTCGATTGGGGATGAGGCTGCTTCCTTGCATGTTGAGACAGCGCAACCTCGAGATGTAGATATGGGACAACCAGCAAGTTAGAGTGTCTCGGTGAACAAGACGGCATGCCAAAGTTAATTATCAAGTGTCAGGTATTGAAATGGTGCGTTGACTTACGACTTACGACTTACAACTCACGACTCACGACTCACGACTCACGACTTACAACTTACAACTTACCAAACAGGCCAAGGCGTCGAGAAGGCAAACTTTTAAAGTTGCACGCTACCTTACCTTACCTTAGTGCCTCGCCCCCACCACACACGTGCACGCACCATGCCACACCAAAAAATTAGAGTCACCAAATATTAATCTGTCCACTTGTTTAAATTCTCTACCAACCCCACCCTTTCGCACAACGCTCCAGCGGCTCTTGTATTACCAATGTCAACATTTGGGCAATTCTTGCGCGTTACGACGTATGGCGAGAGCCATTGCGCCAGCGTCGGGTGCATCGTGGACAATTTTCCTCCCGGCGTCCCTGTGTCGGAAGAGATACTTCAGCCCCAGGTAACCGAGGAAATGACTACCTGCCTACAACGCACCACGCTCACGTGCAATTGCAGATCTCTCGTCGTCGCCCCGGCCAAAGTGCCATTTCAACCCCCCGGAATGAAGCTGATCTGGTAGCGATACAGTCGGGCGTTGAAGGAGGGGTGACGCTTGGAACTCCAATTGCCATGACGGTCAAGAACCTTGACTTTCGTCCTTCCGACTATAAAGGAGACACCATGAAGCAGTATCCACGTCCCAGCCATGCCGATTTTACGTACCTGGAGAAGTATGGTATCAAATCAGCATCAGGTGGCGGCCGCTCCAGTGCCCGAGAGACGGTAGGACGTGTGGCCGCAGGTGCTCTCTGCGAGCACTATCTCAAACTTGCCCACGGAATCGAAATCGTGGCGTGGGTTTCGTCTGTCGGGAGAATCCATCATATCCCACCTAATACAGACTATCCTTCGCCTTCGGGCAATCCCGAGTTTCTACGACTTCTGGAGACTATCACGCGAGAAAAAGTCGACGAGTTTTTACCTGTCCGATGCCCAGACGCTAAAGTCGCAACGGAAATGGAGCAGTACATTGCCGGCTTTCGAGATCGTCAGGATAGCATTGGAGGAACAGTCACCTGTGTTATTAGAAACGTCCCAACGGGTTTGGGAGAGCCTGCATTTGACAAAATGGAGGCAACACTTGCGCACGCAATGCTCAGCATCCCGGCTACAAAGGGGTTTGAATTCGGGTAAGAAAAGATCTCGTGGTCATTCTGGGAATTTATTCCAGCAGCACAATTTGACTTGCCTATAACTAAAACTATGGATAGATCCGGATTTCAAGGGGCAGAGATACCTGGATCTGTACACAATGACATGTTTATTCGCAATTCATCGATTGCTGATGATACCGACACGAGCCTAAAGAGTGGCTTCGCAAAACCTAAGCTCGCCACCTCGACAAATAATAGCGGCGGAATCCAGGGTGGAATAACAAACGGTTCACCCATCTTCTTCCGTGTGGCTTTCAAGTCTCCTGCTACGATCGGGCAAGCCCAAAAAACAGTCACGTATGATGGAGAAAGTGATGGATTTCTGGAAGCCAAAGGCCGTCATGATCCCTGTGTGGTCGGTCGGGCCGTTCCGATTGTGGAGGCTATGGCTTCACTCTGTATTATGGATGCGTTGTTGATGCAAGGAGCGAGAAAGATGGCTGCATTCACACCATCGGGCTAGTCATGTTGATAATCACAAGTAATCAAAAGCGGTTAGAAATCTGGATAGGTTTAAGAGAGAACTCAATTGTTCAACCAAAGTCACCTGTGCACGAAGATGATTTTGTTCCGGATGAGGTTAATGGAGTTTCCGAGTTCCAACATTGAAATCGAGCAGAATGCACGATGGAAGCCCGCGCATTTTTCGCAAGTCATGCCGGCCTAGAAAATTATGGAATTTATGCAAAGGATTCCCTAAGGAATTTACGTAGTCAAGGGCAAGACCCGAGGAATTGATAGGAACTAGGAAATAAACAGCATGTTTCTATAATATCAAATCTTGAGTAAATTTTGAATTATGATCGTTAACTGCCCGCATCATCACAGGCGTAAACCCTTCTCCCTATAATGATCTACTTCGCATCCCACCAAGATCAACTACTCGTACACGTAGCAGAATGGCCCATCAACGACGCTGACAAGATCCTTGATCTGGTACACCTTACCAGCAACGTTGCTGATATCAACGTTATCCGTGAGTTTCTGTGCTGCTCCGCCACCCATCATTGAAGTTCCGCCGGCAATGACCTGCATGCGGTTGGGGAGGTCTTGGCTTTGCCAGATAGTCCAGAGACGATCGATGCCACCATGGAGCAACCAAAAGGCCGGGTCGCCGGGTGAGGTGTAGAAGTCTCCGCCTGGATCGGAGCCAATCGTGAAGTGGGCAGCACCATGAACACCCATGCCGCCACCAAAGCCTCCCGCAGATTGAAGGTCATTTTGGAAGGTTCCAATATCTTTGCGACCAGTAATCAAGCTGGCGAGGATGGAGGTGGTAGCATATTTGGATGTCAGCCCTGGACCAAGATCACGACGCAGGCAGCGTGAGTTATCGCCGAACCCGTCGGATCGGGGATTTCTGGGTGGGGCAGGATCTGCCAAGGGAGATACGGGACTTTGCTGGTTAGTCGGAGGAATATACAACATAGAGTTTCCAAACTTACCCTAAGTGAACAGTCATACTATGAACTATTAGTTGATTGAACATGCGCACAGGTAAAGAGAACTCACTTGGCAAATGGGCCCGTTTCAACACAACCGCCACCATTTTGAGCTGGCCCGATGGAGGTTGCTTGGTGGGAAACCTTCTTACCATTGCCGCTCATGCTGGTATCCGAGCCATCGAAGATTGGGGATTTCTCTGGATCAGCAGCCCATCGACCATAGTCCCAATACTATCAAGGTTAGGCGAGTGAAATAACTTGATGGGGCACGTACAGGTTGAGTTCCATTGTAGCCACATTCATTTCGAAGGGCCTGCTCATACGCCCAGGTGAAATACCTATGCCAGGAGAGGAAGTTTCCCTAAATGTGTGAGATAGCTGCCGAGCTCATGGCAGGGGTTTCATACAGTTCCGTGAATTGAAAGCGTTTGTTGGATATGGGTGACAACAAAGTCATCGTACCGACTCTTAGCCCCAGGGAACTGGCTGGCAGAGAGCTTGGAAGGGCTCGTCAACAAACACTGGACAGCCTTGATATACGCCCTTCGACCGTCGGCAGGAACATCGCCCCTAGATCCGTGTTAAAACAAAACAAGAGAAGTTACTGAATATCACCATACCATTCCTTACGGACCATGAGATTGGCGGCGTTGCAGGTGGTTGACTTGGCCAGCTGAGCATTGATCGCGGTTCTTCCTTTAGTCTGCAAGTCCGTGACGGCATCTGCGGATGCCTCGCCAGTGAGACATAGTACAGACGTGAGGAGGCAGAGCCCCTTGTATAGAGAGGGCATTTTGGGTCGACTGGTAGGAATTCAGATGGTAATCACCTTTGGCTGAGGTTATAGTCTGGAGAGAACAATTCAAACAGCAAACATACTTGCAGTTTTATATGAGACCCGGGCTATGAGTATGAGGCTCTCGAGATGGCAACTCGTCGTAGCCGGCCATAGCCCCGCTTATTCCAATCAGCCTTTAATCATACATAAATAAATAGAGGATTAGAAGATCCTCGCGAAACAATGTAACAAATTACATGCGTTGATGTCAAATGACCGCGCCTGAGTGGAACGAACAGATTGGAGCACTATCGGAGATGGTGCCGTAGCCCTAAAAATAAGGGATAGGAAGACTGCCGACAGCGACACCCGAGTATATTTACACATCCGCGCTCCAAGGGGTTGTTGAGACAGAGCAGCCCGTCCGAAAAATCCAGATATTAATGCATGCGGCAGAGAGGAAAGACATGGGGGGTAAATTGTAGGGTGGGGGATAAAATGCGCGACTAATTATATTCAAGATAGCCAGAATAGGCGTTTAATAGCCGGCAATCCCAAGCCCAAAGTTCCTGACCGTGGCTGCATGAGCAGACTGATTTCCAGATTGCTCTCTCCGCGATCTGGGTATCGGCAGTTCGGTCGCACCTGAAGTTCATCTGGCTTGCGCGTTCAGAGATCTTCGAGACTTGGCGTTAGACAGGCTGGCACATGGCCATGGAAGCTTCGCACATGGCCCAGAAGACTTGTGCATCGTGACAAGCATCGACAGGCACCAACCCCGGGCTACGAACCGCTTGGTAAAACGATGAGCGATACGCGGGCTGCGGGCACCAGGACGATGGCGCTGTGCTTCACCGTCTAAATGTCGAAGCAGGAGTAGGATGGTCACCTGCCTCTGGCTCTTCCTTGCGTTTCTTCGGCCAGTTCCTCGCGATGTCAATAGCCTCCCGCGGCGCCCAGAACTCGAGGACTAGGAAGAGGAGGTAGTCGACGATCACGCAGAGGCAGAAGAGCTTCCCAGCCCAGATACCGCACCCATAGTACCGTTTCAGCCGATCGATCAAGGCGAAACTCTGGACTCCCGCCCTGCCTCGCGTCGCGCTCCAGCTCGCAGCATCGGCCGCCTCGTATCCATAAAAGTCGGCCTCGCTCAAAACCCCTGAGATCCCATCGTAAACCCTTTCCGTCCTTTCGGCAACATCTGTCCAGGAATACATCATCCTGACCTGGTCGTGGAACTTTTCTGTTCGCACCTTATTTGCCCGGAGTGCCGCAATGGCTTTCCCGGTTGCAGCCACCAGATCGTCTTCTTCCGGCTTGGCAAACGCCGTCATGTGTGCTGGTAGAACCTCTGGGATGCCTCCAACCTGAGTGCAAACCACGTATAAGCCACAGCTTGCCGCCTCGACGATGACGGTGCCAAAGGCCTCGGTCAAGCTGGGATGGAGATAGATGTGTCCCCGAACCATCACGTCCCGAACCTCCTCGTGCCGAACAGGACCTAACATCTCGACCCGATCCTGCAAGACATTTCTTTCCAGCATCTGCTCTAGGTCGATGGCTTTGGGGCCGGATCCAGCAATTATAAAGCGTACATTCGGATGACTCGCTAGGATTCGCGGGATGGCAGCAACCAGCAGATCGGTCCCCTTGTTGTAGAATAGCCGCGATACCACCACGATCGTGATGGTATCATGGGGGCCGAGATGTTGCGGCAAGGGGTGGCTACCGAATTCCGTGGGGTATGCGGCGTGTGAGAGTGGCCGGAAGTTCTCTGCCACGACGGCATTTGGGATGACAGACACCATTAGGGGGTCGAGGGAAGCGCGGAGGACGGTATTCTCCTTGCTGTGCCAATTAGCAGAGTTCCAGTCGGGACCGGTCAGGACCTACCAAGTGTGGCTGACGCAGATGACATGATCGACGTCGCTCAAGGTAAATTTGAGGAGTTTGTTCGTCAGGATGCTGGCTGCATCTGCAAAGCCAAACAACGAATGATCTGTAAAGACGGTTCTGAGACCCATTGTCCTTGCGTGCAAGATGGCCTCGTGGCAGAGGCTGCTAAGACTGGCATGGCCGTGGACAATCTCGATCTGTTCTCGTATAATAATATTTCGGAAGATCGGGAAGAAGGAGAAGACGGTAGGGAACGTGGTGGCACGATACATGACGAGGAAGGGGACGTGGTAAACCTTGAGGCCGTTGGTGAGGTACCGCACACCAGTCCGTCCTTCGTATGCGTGGGTGATGATGATAACCTTGTGCCCACGATCAATGAGCTTCGTGGAGAGCTGGTAAATGTGACTTTCGATGCCCCCAGGTTGAGGGAAGAAGTAGTCGCTGACCAGAGCAATGTTGTACGGCATGTTTTTAGTTATAAGAGCGGCCTCAATGGACCGCCTGCAGATATCTCATGAGCCTCGAGTTGGAAGAGGGTGGCAATACAGCATGGCATACATTGACATCGAGGGCGTGCAACGCGCTGCGACGTCGAGGTCGAGATTGAGGTCGAGGAGGGTGAGATGAAGGTGTCGGGAAGAGCAATAGTCGATTCTCTATTATTATTGCAGTAGCACGCCGTTTGTCGGACGTGGAGACGCGAATTGCGGTTATGGTAGTCGCCGGTTACCGTAAATTTTCTTGATCTCTAAAGGTTTCCTCATATCTCATACCCAGATTTTCAACTCAATTCCACACTCCGCAATGTCGTCGCAGATATACTCTCGTTACATACCTCCAGCAAAGCAACCAAAGGCCCCCGCGACAATACCAGACATAGTGCAAAAGCCGATACCAGAACCCCCGGTCAATGCGAAGCTCCAGCCTCTCCCAACTCGAAATGATGCTTCCGCAACCTATGCACGATATGTGCCGCCTTCAAAATTCAAATCCCCAGCTGTTTCTATGAGGCCCGTTGCGCCGATTATAGAACCCTCTCCATCTCCCTCGGGGTCAAAAAGGAGTGGGGAAGGGCTGGGAGATGCTACAGATCAACCAAGGTCGAAGAGACCAAAGAAGGCGAAGAATGGAGATGCAGCACCCAAATTTGACTCGGGGCCTACCGCAACTAGTGATGATGTAGATTTGATGGGAAGGCTGGCAAGACCAAATAAACAAAGCGAAGAAGCTAGGCAGTGTCGAAACGTTGCCCCCGGCGGTGATCAACATATACCAATTCCAGAGGAGGCGGAGGCGGAGGATGCGAGGCATAATAAATTGATGCGAAAACGCGAGAAGTCTCTGAAAAAAGCTGAAAGAATGGCAAAGAATGCGGCTGCAGAGCCTGCGCCCGAATCATTGGAGGACATACTACAAGATGAAGGGCCATTACAAGATCTGGTACCTCTACCTCAGCCCGACCCTATTCCCGAACCTCCAACATTGAATATCCCGTCGTCCTTGCCTACCTGGCTGGCGTCACCGATACGAGTCCTGCCCACTGCAACAGCACAATTCTCGGATCTGGGTGTTCCGCAAGATGCTACCGATATGCTCGTGTCGAAAGGATTCCACGAGGCCTTTGCTGTGCAGGCCGCAACCCTACCACTTCTTCTGCCTGGACAAGCCCAGAAGCCAGGCGACGTTCTTATTTCAGCCGCGACTGGTTCAGGGAAGACTCTAGCCTATGTCTTGCCTATGGTTGAGGAGCTCAGTAGAAACGCCATCGCGAAGCTCCGAGCCCTAATTATCGTGCCCACTCGGGAACTTGTGATTCAAGCTCGAGATGTGTCGGAATTATGTGCTTCTGCATTTGCTACTGGCTCGAGGAGGCGTGTGAAAATCGGAACCGCTCTAGGAAATGCAAATTTCAAGACGGAGCAGGCTTCGCTGATCGAGCAAAATCTCGCCTTTGATCCGCAAACATACCGAACGGAGCTGGCCCGCCTCAACTCGAAATGGGAGGGCTCGGATCAAGATAGCGATGAGGACGATGAAATGAGTTTTATTGATGCGGTGCCAGGTTCAAGATTACCGGACCATGTTTCGCGCCCAAGCCCAAAGGTTGACATACTTATTTGTACGCCGGGTAGGCTTGTTGAACATCTAAAATCTACACCAGGCTTCTCTCTGCAGCATGTGAACTGGCTTGTAGTAGACGAAGCAGATAAACTCCTCGATCAAAGTTTCCAGCGATGGCTGGATGTTGTGATGCTAGCGCTGCCAGCAGAAAGCCACATTGCTCAACACAGATCAAATCACGTTAGAAAGATCATTCTCAGCGCCACATTGACCAAGGATATTGGTCAATTGAGCGCATTGAAACTCTACAGACCAATCCTGATTGTCCTGGAGGGCTCGTCATCTGAGGAGATCTCTAAACGTGAACAGGATTCACACGCCCACGTTCTCCCGTCGCTGTTAGTTGAGGCTGCAATCAAAGTTGATGAAGAGCCTATAAAACCTTTGTATCTTTTAGAGTTACTAAGGCGGGAAAATCTATTGACCGACACCGCTAGTCCGAAATTATCCCATGGAGACTTTTCTTCGGATTCTTCGTCGGATTCTTCGTCGGGTTCTAATACATCCGATGATATGACGGACGACGAATCAGTGACATCCCGGGACTCCTTGGAAGCCGTCCCAAAACAGGCTGCTCCATCAACCTCCTCGCGAGGCGTCCTAGTCTTCACGAAGTCAAATGAAACAGCGGTCCGCCTTGGTCGCCTTATTGCTCTCCTCGAACCAAATTCCCCTCCTACCATCGCAACTCTCACATCTACAACACGAAGTTCGACAAGACGAGCTGCCTTGAAGGCATTCGGATCTAAAAAGCTCTCAATCCTCATCGCATCGGACCTTGTATCACGTGGTCTTGATCTTCCTGACCTAGCCCATGTTGTGAATTATGATGTTCCGACGAGCGTTGCCAGCTATGTGCACCGTGTGGGCAGGACTGCTCGAGCAGGGAAACCTGGCCATGCGTGGACTTTATTCACGGCTGCTGAGGCATGGTGGTTTTGGAATGAGATTGCTAGATCGTCAGCTGTTGAACGGGCGCCGTCGTCGAAAGTTTTGCGAGTAAACATTAATGCTTCGCAGTTTAATGAGGAACAGAGGGCCAACTATGAGGCGACTTTGGAGGCGCTAAAGCTCGAAGCTATACAGACGTCAAGTTCTAGATAATTTACAAAGCTGTTGCATTCCTATCCCACTTTGACAAAACACCCTCTCCCAGCTCGCCGCGGACGGTTCAACTTATCCTTCCATTCGAGAGTATATTGGACAATTTCTACCTTCTCGTTACCAACGGTATATGATCCGGCGCCCTTGATGGAGACTAATTGTGGGAATTTGTCTGCTTCTCCTGTGCTACCCTTCTGCTGGTATATCTTCTGGCGACCTTCGATGAGCCCGCACCACGTAGACTCTACGCCCAGGGATCATCTGATATGCGAGTTGATATTTACCCCTGGTACTGTACATGGTATTTTCTCGGGCCCCTAAACTCTAAGATGTAATGGTATTGATCCATAACCGACTCTTTGATCATCAAGAACCGAGGTCCGTTTCTCCCAGCGTCGAATGTGCCCTAGAGGCACTCGGATGCTATGAAATTGCTAGGCTCTATCTCTTCGTCAACGACTGTTTGTCTCCCACGCGCTAGATCACCTTTGTACCCTGTGGCTTGAGTTAATTACGTCATGAAATAATGCTACCAAGGAGATCCTTAAGTGTTTATAGGTGAAGCTCTCTGTGTTTACAGCTTCAGCAAAGTCTCGCTTCAAGAGCGCCAATCTACCCCAGTCCAGGTGCTTCGAGCAAATGTCGCGCCGACTCCATTTCGGATGCGGAAATAAGTAGCTGAGGCTGACGACCAGACAGCGCAACTGAGGCCTCCATGTGTATGCTTGGCATTTGTTTGTATGTGCTTCTTGACAAGTAGAAGGCGAGAGGAGAGAAACCCCTGTCTATATTCAATGAGCGAAGTGCAGGCAGTAGGAAATGGGAAATGGGAAATACCATATCACTTCCAGCACGTTTAGAAATACGATTCAAATGTGTTTTAGGGAGTATGTCAATTGATCTGCTGCTATTCTCTCGAAGTGGCCCAACCACATTTAACCGGAAAGGCTCCTGCGGGTTTCGGGGATCGTGGATTTCGGCATAACACGTCTGTAATTCAATCTCTAGTCGACTTCAGCACTCGGGCTCTTGCTTTTCGCAGGGTTGTCATTTGCATGATCAACTTGTGTTTCTTAAGGCTCGGCCTCCAACGAAGAACTCCCAGGTTGCTCCTGGTTCCGTACTCGCATGGCTTTGCGCCTGCAGCTCAACACCCACTGTTTCTTCGGCGCGAGAGTTTTAGAGTCTCGTGTGATTGTACTTCGTGGCATGTTGATATGTTATCGTTGCACCGCGTGTTATGTAAAGGTGCTTGTGATGGAGAAGCAAGGTGTGCTGATTTGAAAATTGAGACCGTTGTTACTCTACGCGGCCGGAGTCTATTTCAAAGTTCACTCATCCGCGTACTCGAGTAGAAAGGAAAGGAAATCGGCAGCTATTTTCTGATGCCACTAATTTACAAGCCGACCTCCCAGCTGCAAAAACCACATTCTACTTCTTCTGAACAGCAGGCTTTCTTGGGTGAGCTCACGGCTCGGTTCACCGTTGAAGACCGCATCGGCATATCATTGATGATCCGCTCGCTCGGCTCATAACCTTACTAGAGCTGTCGAGTAGCCGTCTTCAATAGCCATGTTAGCGCCGAACGGGTGACTTTGGGTTTCTCTGCATATCTCATATCCCGTGGAGCCCAAGGCTAAGCCTCATAAAAATGTAAGTCCATCGAAGACTTTATCATCGTTACTACTTCGGCTTGGTAGCACGATCCAGCCGCCACAGCAAAATGGCTTCTTCTTTCAAAGTACCATAGGTATATACTTGGTAGGCAGATAGGTAGTCCGTCTCAGATATTCCATCTAATCCCACCTTAGTCACCGTGTAAATATTTCTTGGCCCCGCCTAGAAATCCGGCGCCCAATATCCCATAAAGTTAATATATCAACCCCGGATTCTCCACGAACTTCTCCACAATTCTCAAGTCGACACCACCAAACCTCTACTCAGCCCCAGCTCCCTTTCATAAGATACCAACAAGCACTCAAGAAAACCGCCTTGAATCTATCGTAAACCAAGGGCGGAGTCATCCTCGGAGTCAGGATGGTGAAAAAAGACTGTCAGAAGCTCAGCTTATTCAACTTTGCAGTAAGTAAACTCTCCTGCCCACATTGGCGAGTTATATCACAACTTACAAGTCGCTAAATTGAATTGGGAATAGATTGTTTGAGCCCTCTGCCTAGGAAGTCTGACATATGGATATACTTTCAGCATCGTGTCCACCACGCTCGGTCAGCCAGGCTTTTTCAAGTACTTTGGCCTTACTCAGGACCCCGAAGATGCAGAACTGTTTGCTTATACCAATCGCGTCATTGGAGCTATGAACGCCTGCATTTCAGGAGGCGGTTTTTTGGGGGCCATCTTCATAGGTTGGGCCTGCGATTATCTGGGAAGGAAGAAAATTCTTCTAGTAGCAACGCCAATTGCAGTCGTTGGGGGTGCTTTTCAGGGCAGCGCAGCCCATATTGCCATGTTCTTGGTTGGAGAGACGGCTTCTTGGTGGCTTTGCTGTTGGTATGTACCTACGGAGACTCTCCTGTTGTTATAAGTTCTAACGAATTATCGGGTATTTTGGTTGTGCTTGTCCCACGATTTCAATCTGAGATAGCTCCACCCAGCTCTCGTAGATTCTTAGTATCGTAGCATAGTAAGAAACCCCGCTCTATTCCACTTGTTAATACTACTTGTTACACTTGAAAGCAAGATTGCTATACCTCACTAAATCTATACATTTATCCTCTCTAGTCTTAATCCCATTCGATACAGAATACTAAGGTATACCCGCTTATAAACTTATCGAGCTCATATATAACATATCAGCTTCCGATAATTCAAGTAATCGGACTTTAATACAACTTCCGCGCAGCTGCTTGCCTAGGATTGTAGATTCTTGCTCAATAATATCTACTTGTACATGATCCCCCCTATTAGCACCTATCTCTACTAGTATATTATAGCCGTGCTGACAAGGTACTTCTCGGATAATAATATCGCGAAAAGTAATAAGAAGGATCCCTAGACATCGCTGTCGATTCATATTATCTTTATGATTTGGAGTAGCTTCAACGTGGGTTATACAACCCCGTTGGTCGCAAGGATGAGAAATACTCCCACCGCGCCCGCAATCTAGTGGGAGAGGTATAAGCTCCCGTAAAGGAGAAGCATTATACGCTATATGGTGTACCTGAACTTTCCATTGCCTTTTTCCCCCGAGGAGATTTATTAAAGCTTCCCAGGCCCCGCTAGGTAAAGTAGCTTTAAGTTTTCCGCCGACAGAGTTAGGCCCAGCAGTTACATCTACTTGCCATCTAGGATGGCTTGTAGAGTTCGCGGCAGTAGCTATAACTTCACAAGTAGACCATAAAGTATACCAAGTACCATCGCGCCCACTAGTACAAGGGGAAGCTGCCAAAGTCGCAAGCTTTTCTCGCTCCGGATCCGGTACTTGGGATATAAAAGTCAGTTTTAAACTTGATTTCATCAGGTTATAAACAGCTTGGGCGGTCGGAAGTGATAGCGAGCGTAGCCATTCTATAATAAGTTAGGTTATTAGTCGAGATCCCAAGCCTACTACGCCCGACTAATCTAGATTTTATCGTACCTAAGGTCTCGCGATGCTCCATATCCCCTTTATCGCCCTCGATCAATACCCCGTCGTAATCTTCCGTACCGGCCTGGATATTTACTAACGACTCGGAACGTCCCACTAACCGCCGCCTCTTCGACATTGCGGAAATGCTTGGGACAGAACCTGTGACGAATTGGGCGAGAATTACTTCGTACTCGAGTAGGGCGCATACAGGTTCACAAGAATTGGCTGCTAGGTAGAGTACCTGTAGTTAATATCCCTTTAGAGACTCGGTAAAGCGCCTTGCATACAGCTCAGGGGCCGTGTCTCTCTCCCACGGCCCGTTTCCAACTTTCATATTACTAACGACTACAAGGCCAACCATCTCCAATTCGCCATCCAAATCCCCCGTTCTCATGGATCCAGAGTCCGGTATCCCACCAGCCAGGCAACACAAGCATACACATACAAAAACGAACCGCTCCTCGGCGGGCGAAAGTCGCGTGTCGCCATTGTATTCGCGTCGGGTCTCAAGTGCGACGTCTCCCAGTCCCAGCCATGTCGGAATTGCAAAGCTCGCGGCGCGACTTGTGCAGTAGTTGAGTCTCGGCGCGGAAAGTAGGAACCCCTTGTCAATGCTATAGTAGCCAACTCTAACCGCGCTTTAGATATCCGGGGACGCGGACAAACGGTCATGCTTCTGCTGACATTGGGACTGGGGCCGTAAACGAAAACCCCCAGTTCAATATATCGCCCCTGGCGCGCTCGACATCCATTGTCGACCTGCCCCAGCCGGGAACAACAGCCATCCCCAGAGCGACACTCGTTCTGCGGCAATTCATGGTAGCCCAGGCCACGGAGTAGACCCGGGGGAAGAGAGGTCGCAGGTTGAGGAAGGATGCGAGATGCTATTTGCGAGAATGGCAGACGCGAGCCCGGAGCAGCAAACATCCGAGGCATATCGAGAGAGCGGGCGTACATTTTATCTTGGGGAAGCGTTTAGTCTTGCCTTTGTAGTTAAGACCGTCTGCTCCCCGTCCGGTGACAACACCGAGGCTAGAGTGCACTATCCCATTCCTAAGTCGGTAGATGACACCGCCCGCAACGTCTCCCACCAGAAATCCCTAATACCTGAGGAGCTAACCCTTTTGCGGGCGAAAGGGGCTTATGATCTCCCTCCAAAGGATGTTAGTGAAAAGCTCATTCTGGCCTTCTTCGAAAGTTTTCATCCTGCATACCAGGTGTTTGATCGAGGAGAGATAGCGGCGTTGTACGAGCAAGGCCGTTTGTCATTCCTTGTCCTCCAAACAATATACTTCATTGCCTCCACAGTCTGCAACAACGATCTTCTCCGCGCGGCTCGTTTTAACAACCGCAGCCAGGCTCAAACAACATTCTATCTTCGAGCAAAATCGCTGTACGATTTTGACCAAGAGCGAGACAAGGTCAGGCTTACCGCGGTATTATTTTTGTTTGGATTCTGGTGGCAAGGTCCGGAGGATCAGAAAGATACATGGCATTGGCTAGGCGCTGCTATCAGCCTGGCACAGACTCTAGGGATGCATCGCTCGTGTGTCTCGTTCGACAGCCCTTGAAGCCTCGCTGACCGTACTATAGTACAGTCAGGTCTGGACTGAGCCCTACCCATCGGTCACTTTGGAAGCGGATATGGTGGTCGATATATGTATGCCCACCAATGAATATCCAATACATCATGCTAAGAGTTCTAGGTGCGCGACCGACACACTGCAGCCGCTCTCGGATGGCCCGCGCGAATACAGGACGAGGATTGTGATGTTGAACCACTTGAGCTACTGGATTTTGCACCGAGGAGACGAATTGCCCGCACATATTTGTGCCTCCAAGTTGCTACCACACGCTATATGGGATCGAGATGTCAAATCTTGCAATCTTATGTACATCCCCCACTTAGCAGACCACCTCGAGAAGGCTGACCATATTGCAGTAGGGAAGGTTCTTAAATAGAATTTTCGGCATCCCGACGCAGCACTTCCCAAGATTCAGAAAGCCTTATAGACGAACTCAACTGCTGGCGTCATCAAATACCTCCTAGTCTAGCTTGCGGCGAATTAGATAGCACACTCGGTGCACCGTTTTGGGCGCGCATGTTATATGCAAGTTTTAAGTATGCGACCAGTGATTCACCAATGAGACACTGCTAACATATATACAGTAATTGTCAAATACTTCTTCATCGCCCCAGGGCCATCAGTGTCGAATCACCAACTGCCATAAAACGGACTCCATCGCAAGAGTCGCCACTGACGCTACAACCCGGATCGCAGAGGATCTGTTATCAGCTGGGACGCTCAGACACAGCCAACTTCATCTGTAAGTGTTTCCCTGATACCGCGCTGATTTAAGGCTAATTTTAATCAGGGTACCTGCCCTTTTTGCTGCCCTTTCTGTCCACTCAATCGTTATCCGACCAAAGGATCCGACCAAAGGATCCTATCCGAAGCCAGCTTGCCGAAAACAAATCCCGACAGTGCATGCTGGCTCTCAGCGAGCTGTTCAAATCATGGCCCGTAGGCGGATGGATCCTGCAACTCTTCATCAACCTGCTAAAACGACTCACTGGCCGCGATTTCGGCTTCCAGACTAGCGCTAATTCTGGAGCTCCAAGACAAGGAAATTCAAAACAAAGTCTACCTACTGCACAGCATGGCCCAGACCAAAGCAATGGCACTATACCTGGGGGCGTTGATGGGAGCCAGTACGATGGGATAAGGAATTCCCAAACGGCCGAAGATAAACAAAATACGGCATCACCAATAACTCATTATTTTGATGCGCAAACTCAGTGGCCGTTTGGCGACGACCTTCTCCCGTTTGATTTCCTCATGCAGGATGCGTTTTGTGCGATCCCTTTATTCAATGATAATTATTCTATAGACACCAGCCAGACCAACAACTAGCCGCCGGGGGAACAGATCTACCCCTCAGCGTGATCATTGATAGAGTGTTTATGCCCACAAGGCTTGGGTGATGATCCATAAAGGGGGTTTTGGCAAGAAGCATTGCGCGTAAGTCACAATACCATAGTGGAGCTATAGCTCTTCCATTGTCGAACTCTACCATGATCGACTCACGTTTGTTATCTACAAAAGCCCATCTACAAAGGTCTATCCAGCCTCTAGCTTGGCCAAATACTATAATCTACATGGCAGCTCTCTCCCCGCGTCGTAGATTTCCACTCACGAAGCTTTCCAAGTCCCGTAGAGCAGTCGACACATTTTCATGGACTTCTTCTGAAAACATTATGTACCCATGAGGGCTGCCAGGGTATATCCGAATGATAGCCTCGCCGCCCGCCATCATCCATTTCACGCTCATATATACCGAGTCATCAAGCATGCAATCTTCCGTACCACAGGTGAAAAATACTAGAGGGAGGTTCACCCCATCGAAATTGGCGAAAAAAGGCGATATTGAAGGTGACGCCGCCTCATCAGCTGTCTTCCCAGGGAGATATGCACCCCGAAAACTTGTCATGATGTCCTCGTCCAGAATGAAAGGCGGGTGTTTGTTGAAATGCCTAGTGCTCGGTAGCCACATAAGGGAATATGTTCCATAATGGACCAATAGCCCTTTGAACTGGAAATTCGAGCACTGTGTGACGGGGGAATGCGATAGATGCAACACAGCCAGCACAGCAAGATTGGCACCCGCGCTCTCTCCACCAACGAACGACAATTTGCATCCATACTCCGCATGTGCATTATCAACGAGCCACTCTGCCACATCGTAGCAGTCGTTGGGTGCTGCTGGAAAGGGATTCTCTGGTGCCACACGATACCCAACTGATATGCACAGCAAACCGCAGCCATCGGCCACTTTTTGCAAGTACAGGTCCGAAGACTCCTCATCATTAAGCACCTATCCACCGCCGTGTATATGCATGAAGACACCTTCACCTTTCAACGTCCGTGGTCTCAGAAGTCGACACGGAATGGATCGACCGGGATCGCGTGATGGGATTGCGAAGCTCTTTGCTTGCGGGAGAAGTACGGGCCCTGGAAGGGGGGAGTGGCCGTCTCGCCGCAATAATCGATATTTATCAGCACCAATCTAAGAAGCGCGGATGTTATTCTTTGATTCATATTCTAGTAGCAGAGTTTCGTCTGGTCATGGCAATCAGACATGCCTGCAGATGTAGGGAAGGATAGAGCCAGGAGACCAACCTCGCACCATTTTGGCACATCTGCCATTATATTCTGAAGTCCGATATTGAATTTGACGTCGTCGGCGAAATAGAAGCTGAGGGAATTTTCTTGTGATTGATTGTTATATCGCTGTGGAGAGCCATTGTGAAGCCCTTTAGATTCGATTTTGGAAATAGAAGTTAGAACCTAGAGTGAGCAACGGACGTGACTGAACCCCCATCTAAATGTTGCGATTTGAATCATACATATTATACTTAGCCTGTAAATGACCAATAAAGTTCCCGTCAAATAGACATGAGTTTGTGACACGGTAGTGGCCCACAGCCGGTGGAGTTTAATGTAATCGGCACGTTTGTTCGGTGTAGTAGCCGACCCACGGGTGAGACGCCGACTCTTCCGATTTATTAGCCACTCCAGTTTGACTGTTGTTCTAAACCATTTGATCAATTCTAGACTTTATAAGAAAAGGGCATCTTTATTCGTCTGGTTAACTCTAAGAGATAGGTATCAAGATATTTTTAGTTCTTATGTAGCTATAGATATTCATGAACGGAGCTCTACATCCCGAAGCAAGTCAGGATGAAAATCTGATCTTCTTGTCTAGATGGATAATTCTAGCGGGATATCGGTACAGTTCAAGCTTTATATTTTATTAAACTCGAAAATACTATACTCAAGGGGAGTCCCAGCTATCGTCGGTGCATCGAAACAATTGTGAGTAGTAAATTTAGCGACTTCACGCTAGTTACGGAACGAAATTGGATACAAGTTTTCCAACAGCATAAATTAAACTATATTGATGTTACTATTTTAATACTTGATGGTCTGGTATCCTTCTTCTGGCGCATTGAAATAGTAGGAAAGATCTCTACCGCTCGCCTCCTTTGAGGAAAACCCGTTACCCAGGTATGCAAAACGGTTCTTGTTAAATCTAGTCCATTGCCAGTCTTCGCATCTCATGCTTTCCAACATGTGAAACCAGTGAATCCGGCTACCGGGATGGAGAGCGACGATCGGCCCATCCTTGGTGCCATTTTTAAACCTATTGCGGGTCAGTAACTGGCGAAAGCATCGCAGTTTATGTGACATATGAATGTTCTTACCATGATCGGCAGTGAGTGTTCCAGGCCGTCCGCTGCATGGAGAGATCGGGATTCTTTGGGTTTGGCATTTATGAATTATGCGAAGAATATACTTGGTTGCATGTTCGATGAAGGGAAGCAAGGATCCATGGCCCACCGGGGAGTTGGGCCCGAGAAACACTGTATGAGACGCTGATTAGGCACCGTGACCAGAATGGCACAGAGAAAACCGGCTACATACTGAAATGGTTTGGCATATTTTCAGCGGCCATGGTAAGATAGGATGATGGTCGTGTTTTCCATTGCTCTGCCAAATTCACACCATTTCGTCCAACAAGCGGGAAACGGGGAGCAAAGGAGATGTCAAAGCCCGTTGCGCAAATGAACACATCCACCTCGAGCACCTCCCCAGACGATAATTTGATGCCTTTGGGAACAATTTCCGAAATCTCTTCAGTCACAACTTTTACATTTGGTTTTATCAGCGCTTCCAAATATCCATTTCCAGGAGTTGGACGCCGACAACCGACTGCAAAATCGGGGATCAGGTGCTTGATGAGACCAGGGTTCGCACCGAGCTTAGCCTTCATCTCGTTGGTTAAGAAGCTTACTGCCTCCTCCTGCTCAACGCTATCTTTTATGATCTGAATGTGTCAATCTCTGGCCATAGCCTTGGGCATCAAGGTAACACTTACAAATTTAAACCGATTATTAAGCTCATTTTCCACCTCTTTCCGGTAGGTGAGATATGCTTCGGGGTTGGTCCTAAAAACATCCTTCTGCTCTTTGGTGACTTGATGGTGTTAGTTTGGCATCAAACCGGAGGATAATCTAACCCTACAGTTAAAATTCGACCCGTTGGGCCCGGCTTTATCTTGTGCGAATCCCGCTGTGATCCATGTTGGTGTCCTGATAAAAGTGACCAGCTCTTGGACTTCTGGGAGCAACTGTTAGCAATCTTGATATATAATAAACATGAAGTTCCTAACCTGGTTGTATCGTAGGAACAATTTGAACGCCTGAAGACCCGCAGCCGAGGACTGCAACTTTCTTGCCTTTCACTGATAGTTTGGGATCCCAGGCGGCACTGTGGACGAGCTCGCCATGGAAAGAATGGATTCCAGGGATGTCAGGCCATTTCCAATTACTACGCAGTGATTAGATGCGTGATGACTACGGGTTTTATTTGTGACATACTTGAGTACACCGGAACCATTGATCAGAAAGTGGCACCAGTCCTTGAAAATCTTTCCGGAGGATAGTTCCTCAACGTCAAGATTCCACACGCCTTCATCTTCATCCCAAGTAGCTCCTACAATCTTGTGACTCAACTTGATATACTTGTACAACTCGTACTTCTTGGCGACGTTGCGAAAGTATTCCAAAATTTCCGGCGCAGGAGAGTAGCTACGGACCGCTGTTAGTGCTATCTTTCAGGGGCTAGTTTGATGGAACTTACAAGCAATTCTACTCTGGATTGGGTTCCTACGTGAATTGGTAATTGTGTGAGGGGATGTCACACGCACAACCTGGATATCTGATCGATGTGAGCTCATGCCCGACAGTCCAGGTTCTCCGGATCCTAACCTGTTCTCAAACCACGTCCCTCCCACGTCAGAGTTCTTTTCGTAGATGACATGCTCAAAATTCTGCATGTGTAATTCCAATTGGCGGGCCATGTTCAATCCAGCAGCTCCAGCCCCGATCGTCACAATGCGTAAATGGCGAGGGTCACCAAGTACGTGCTCCTCGACCAGATAATCAGCATGCCCATTTGCGAGCCCATTGTTTCCTTGGTGCCCCATGTTATCCGCAGTATAGATGCTGCACTGTGTACCTTACTATGCCAGGCGAAGGAGGATGAACCCAAGAGTATATCGTCGATCGGGAGGTTAAGAATTAACGCAGCGACAGGAAGTCACAGGACGGGACGACTTACTTCTTAATCGAATCGCCATTGACTGGGCTGGAAGCGCCACATAGTTCTCGCAAACGCTACAGCTCTCGATATGAATGGTAAGCATGAGGCATATCGGTACTCGAGTACGCCTCGGGTCAATCCAGTATTTGGTGCTCCGGTGTCGGATACATCAGCTTGGTAAATAGTCGGCATCCCAAAGCTTAGCTCGCTCGTCGTTATCCACTCATGTTGCTAATGCTGCGGGAGTACTCGTAGTGTCGTTCCTGAATGTCGATACTTCGTACTTCGTAGGCGGAGTGGAGTTGTGTAGCTAAGACACCGAGTCGAGACGTCGATGTCAGGTTACGATTACTCGTAGCGTATGAATACTCCTCGCACCGGAACACAGGATGCGGCGAGGTGCACAGGCATTACATAGGATAGGCCTATGTTGTACGTTCGTACCGTAACTTCCTCTATTCAACAATAGCATTATAACAAAGGTAGGATATTTGGTCAACTGGCCGTGGTAATTAGGGTTGAACGGCATGGCTGGTGTCCCAGTTTGGTTACCCGCGGCGCCAAGTCAGACAGGTGTGTGGGACCCGACCCGACCCCAGGCTGCGGCTCCAGGGCATATGGCCCTGGAGGCATTCTCTGTAACGGTGCCTACAGTTGGTGCGCTACAGTGGCTGCCCCAGTGTATCAAGGCGCGGGGATGAGAAGGGTATATAAGAGCGTACTCGTGGAGGAGGAGATGTTCTAAACACCTCCACAGCAATCTAACGTTTGAGAGCCCACCTAGCACAGTGATTATTATTTCCAGTGCAAGTGCAATGTTCTGCAGTTATGCTTCACCTTGGCATGGTCCAGTTATCTGCTACTCGTCGAAATAGGGCCACAGTCACACGTTGACAAGTCATCAAGCATGCTAATCATATAATTATATAGTAACACTACTGCTAATCCCTGAACGGAAAAATTATTGGAAATCTGTTTTGACTTTGATTATTTCCAAGTAAACGTCCATGTCGTGCCCGAAAACCAGTGTGGCATGGAATTGAGCTTGCAGGTTCTTAATCATCCCATTACTCCGGCACCATTGCGTGTGATCCCTTGCCAGCCAACCCTGAGGGTGCGATTCTGTGAAGTTCTCCTTGATATGGTACTGATCAGTGGTGAAGATAAAGGTACCATCCTGTTGCAAATTTATTTGCATGGCGCATAGACCGGGTGTATGTCCTGGCGGGTGATGAAGAGTGATGCCTTGGTAAAGCTCATAGTGGGACTCCGTGAAGGTCTGCCAGTTCAGCTTCTCCAAATCCATGTAGTTACCAAGGTACACTCCGAGATCTGCTTTGGTGGCAACGGCCCAACATGCATGCTTGAACTCCTCTTCGTGGGTGATAATTGGCACGCCGGTGTCGACAAAGTGCTCCAGACCCCCAGCGTGGTCGAGATGTAAATGGCCCATGATCACGGCTTTCACATCCTTAATGTCATTGCCGGTGGACTTAATGGCGGCGGGAAGCTTGTGTTCTTCATTGTAAACGGTGCGAGGAAATAAATCTGTTGCAGGAAAGCCCCATTTCTAGTGAAAGGCATATGTTAGGTAATATTACGCAATGGAACCATTTCCTGCTACTCACAATGTCGACATTTTCGGCGCAACCCGTCTCAAATAAAATGAGACCCGCTTGTGGGTGTTGTATTAACACCGCCATAACAACAAGATCGCGCTGTTTGTTCTCCGGGTTTTTATTGCCGCCTGTGCTAGTGTTGCCGGCTCTTACTGAGTAACGTCCTACTCCAGGAGTTAGATGAATCATGAATATCAAATAAGTTCAACGGAACCAGTGATTGCATACCACCCTTCATCAATTGTCAGTGTTCCCAGATTCAATATCCACATCTTTGTGCCAGGGGGACACATATAGACGGGGACTTTGGCATTAGCTAGGAGGTCTGTCATTGTGCGTTGTGAGTTGGCCATTCTGAATGATGTGATACGTGCTTGGAGTACCCTTGTTTGTTTGCGATTATTTTGAATAGTAAATCTAGGGAATGATCTGTCTTATATTTCCAGGGCACTCTTAAGCACTCTCTTCTATTAAAGCCTACTTGTCTAGAGGCCTATTTGCCAGCCCAGAAAGACGGTATCACCTCTGAGACTAATCTGCAATGCGCACTAGCGTTGTTGATTCAGTCTTGGGATGTACGGGGTTGTAAAACGGCCCTCAGTTAGCTACTCGGCTATGATTTGGAAGGTACTAGGTTCCAGCTAATTCTTTCGGCGTCGATCTTCTCGTTGCCATTTCAGCGTTTGGAGTTAAACATGAAGTGGGAAGAAGCCGTCTCAGGCGAAACAGTATGTACATACAGCACCGAGTCCGAGTCCTAGGCCAGAGGGGTAGAGCACATTATGTCTTAGCCGAACCGATAATTGCTGGAGGAATCTAGAATGGATACCTCCTGGCCGACTTTAGGTACCTTACCTAGGTAGGTATAACCACTACAGCTCCAGTCGCTAGAATACAATTAGTACCAAGCCCATATCCTGACTGAATAAACATGAATCACACGATATTGCTAAATTTCCATCAAACTGTACCTACGGTGACTACTAATCAAAGAGGACATTAAACGTCTCTTCTTAACTGTAATTATGCTTGCCAAGTCTGGCGTATGAAGATAGTGTGAGCTGGTTGAGTAATGAATAATTTGAGCGGTTTAGAAAAAGATCTCAATATTGGAAAGCGTGAGTTCGAAGGCAATATCAGTATCAGCTAGGCATATCATATCATCGGGATCGTTTCCCAGTCAATAGATCAATAGATCGGCTGGATATTTTGGCTACTTATGATTGCTGTAATCGTAAAATCCAGATCCAGACTTGACCCCCAACTTATTTCTGACAATCATCTTCTCGAGTAATTCCGTCGCCTCTTTCGGCAAGCCCGGTCGAATCTCGCAATAATGCTTCTCGATATCATATACGACGTCAAGACCGACGATATCCATCTGCTCACACGGACCTTTGGGGGACTTCAAAACATCTTTGAAAATGGCGTCTAATTCCTGAGGGTTAGCAACCCCTTCTGCCAAAACAAGAAGTGATTCACGCTTGATCGCGGCCCAAATCCTAAGCGTTTTAGTTAGCCACGTTAGATACCGGTAAGGGAACTGGGGGCGATACCGGTTGTAAATATATCCAGTGGATGAACTTCGGACGTGAAAGGGTTGGAAACCATGACTTCGGCATTCCTCCATCAATAACGGGATAATATCAGACCTAGTACTGCCTGATCCCATTACCTCGATCGCTATTGTGACAAAAATTAGATTGTGCTGGTCAGTGTACGGCGGATACTCACCAGACGTTTCGGGTGGCCAGTCTGTAAAATCTCATTTAGAACAGCGTCCGCAACACCTCATATGGGGTTGACTTACACGAGTGAAGACTCACGCATCGTTCGGGATGCCGAAGATTCAGATCTTGCAAGATCTCGGAAATTGTGTAGCTACTGGAGTTTGAAGCAATAATCGTGCCTGATTGCGCGATGGCGTCAAGTTCACCGATCAACCTCTTTTTTAACGCCAGAGATTCGGGAACACACTATGAGCATATTAATGTCGAGCCTTGTACAAAAACCAAACAAACAGAGCGAGATCCTACCTCAACAATCAGCCATGAATTGGCGATGCTCTTGATAAGACCGAGCGAGGGGAATGTAACGATATTCCCGAAAGGCGTTAACGTACTCGCAACAGGCCAGTCACGTCGTAACTTCTGGATTTCGTTGACAGCATCTTGGAGTCGCTTCTCATTTTGATCAACCAAGTGAACTGGGCGGCCCAATTTTGACCACTGGTTTTGTTACTTAAAGCCAGTGATAGCACCAAGTCTCAGGTGGGACGGCTTACCATGAATGCGAGTCGAGTCCCCTGTGTTCCAGCACCGACAAGGGTAACAACTTTGACGAAGGGGGCCATTTTCGCAGCAAAACTTGATTCATACTAGGTATGGGTGAACATAAGAAGCAGATAAGAGTCGATAAGAGTCGCCAAAAAGGGTCATTTATGTCGAATGTAGGCATTGGCTTAAGGGTTTGCTAGCTTGTAAAGCGGGAAAACAATAGCACTCGAGTAACCGATGCAAATGCGCGGACGTAATCTAGGTATGTACTTGTACGAGTATTTCGTCCACGAGTAGCCGGTCGCAGAGCTACTCGTCATTTGCCGGGCGTCAAGTACACCTTCCATTGCAAGAGTCTTGTCCACCTCCCTTTCTAGCATGAAGCGATACGTGTAACTTCATAGATCGAGTTGGACCCGAAATATGATTTATCCGGAGGAGCATACCCTCTCAGCGCCACAGATGTCACATGTTGGGGGCAAAAAAGCGCTGGGGAGCACTCCTAAATAGATGAGTTCGCTTCCCCTTCCCCCTTCCCCTTCAACGACAAACAATCCGCCCGGATATCCCCCGCTGGTATTGACCATCAAGGAGCAAGTGTCGCCTCCCTACCGACAAGCCATCTGCCGTTCATCGAAAGGATTGCGGGCTATCACCTCTTGTTAATGAATGGCTTCCGACGGAAACGTCAGCATCCGCCACCAAGTCTTATTGTGCTTATTTACGGTAAGACTTGAGAAAAACGGCCACCGTTTACTGAAGCCCTTATCTTTCTACAGGAGGGCAGCTACAGTTATTCTGCTCGGCCCGGATACAGATGGCACCTGTACTCAAGAAGCCTCAATTGATTGCGAGACAAAGCTACAAAGCCCTAAACGCGTTGATAGACTCGCAAAGTGGCAGTCACAATAAGAGCATGCGTGTTTCATAGTGCATATATATTTGTCCATATATTTTATTACGTCGGCATATTACATGCTACTCAAGTGACACTGCTATCAATTTCAAACGACAAGTTCCCCAAACATATCGTTGATGGCTTGGACCCCACGCAATGCGCTCTTGACTTCGCTGCTAGGCAGTGTATTAATCTGATAGATATTACGATAATTCAAGCTGCGATTTTCCATATAGTATTCGTATCCGCTCTATTTCTAACTTTGTAGGCCTTGTCATTCATGCGCATCTGCACCGTCCAATGCATCTTCGGCTCTTCCTCCTGGATGGCTCGGAATCTGCCCATATTCATTCTCAACACCTTCTCCCACTCTTCTGACTTTTTTTTCAACACGCGCACTTTGACGGGCCAAAATTCAAGGGCCCACCACCCCTTGGCTAGTTCTAGCTGGTCATTGATGGGCGCCATGGCATCGAAGTGGTCTTCTACCTGTTCTGGTAGCAAGTCGATCTGGAACTGACGCCTTCCGTCCTGGTTGAATATATCAGTGCCGACATGGTCCTCTATGCCGCCATCGTCGCTCCCCCTCCTCAATTCTCGGTCCACGCCTAGCGCAGTCGATCGTCGCCGGAGAGGGGGTAGAGCTTCAGCTTCGTACTGCTCCACCATATCTGGAGAGGGCCCGACAAGTGGCTTCTTTCGCGGTATGTAGACAGGCCAGACGGTCGGGACGTCGATTCCTGTCTCTGCCAAAGCGGCCGTGCCAAATAGTATACCAGTATTACACTCAAAACACTGCCGGATCATCCATCGGAGAGGGATTCGCGAGAGCATATGACGCTCATCGTTGCGTACTGCTCCTCCTCCTACATCGGCGTGGGCACCAGCGAACCAGACTTCCAAGACATCGGTCACGAGATGTTCGTGTATCGACTGGTCATCTTTGTCGAATTCCGACTCAAGTTTCTTCTGCTCTCTATCCTTCTCGGTCTTCTTGAGTAGCGAGGTGGCGGTCGAGGATCCGCTTTCAACTACACCATCCCCTCCGCTGCTTGGTTTCCGGCCAAAGCAAGAGCTGAACATCCGGCCGACTCGACTAAGCTGTATGTCATTTTCGGCTTTGACCTTGGCTTTGGGGGCGTTATCAATCGTGTTTCGAGCCTTGGTGTTTGGTTCCTGATGCTGCCATTGACAGACTTTGAATTTGGCCCTGTGCTCGTCTAGAGCCATGGCATGTCTGAAATAGTGGATAGTGTTTGTTGGGGTCTTGCTAAATGGTAGCATTCTCGGGATGAAGCCCACACTAGCCACGCAGTCCCAGACACCAACAAAATACACAAGAACATTGGTGCAGAAGGTTCTTTTGAACTCGGCGCTCAGCTTCCAACCTTCCGGCGTGTCATTCTTGTAAAAGCTATACGCGAAGGAAACCTGTGCACTGTTGTGGGCTGGCAGGAGGCCGACCTTGTGAAGCATACCGGCCAGGCAACGCACAGTATATGATCCTCTCGAGAAGCCCAGGAGACAGATCTTATCCCCTTCGCGATAATTTTGCATAAGGAAGCGGTATGCGTCTTTTACATGTATCCCGAGGCCACTACCTACTGCCATGTCAACGACGGCGGATATCCCATTCTTCAGTCCGTGCCCATCGTATGTACCGATGCCGGATTGATAGTATGTGAGTTGAGACGGGTCATCCTTTTTCAAACATGCCACGAAGTTGACCACATTGCTGTTGTCGTTATCGAATTGGTCGCCTGTGCCATCGAGACAGATAACGAGAGAGCGACCACCGGCAGATGAAGAGCGGGAGTCTTGGATGGCTCGAATCGTCATCGGAAACTGAGGTAGCTGTTCTTCTGGCTCTGGCAATAATGTTGAATCGCCGCACGAACCTTCCTCGACGCAAGATTGAGTCGGGTACCACTTCCGCTTCCACGGTTCTTCTAATACGTGGTTGCTCATTATAACCCGACCGATGAGACTTTGTTCAAATGGATAAAATGGATTGTACGACCGAGGACCTATAGCTTAGCTAGGGATGGGAATGTTGAAGAGGAGGGTTGCTGCTAGGACGAACAAACAATGCTATCCTGGTTGGATGGCTGTTCAGCTAGAAGAAGTGAGGATATCAGCTCAGGAATCCACAGCACTCCATCGACTATCAGCGGGAAGTGCTTAATATTGCCGTACGGTGACGGCCTCTATTGGCATGCTGCATGCTGCATGCGCTACTCGCACCTTGAGACGGCATAATAGTGATCTGTGCGACGTGATAGACTGTCACCTTATTTTATGACACTTTATTTGGTCTCTCCTTGCCGATCTACTTGTGGTCGCATTTATAATTGCTTTTATTGGAGGTAGGATAAGACCTGGCGTGTGGGAGGCTGGGAGCCAAGCCGCCCATGAACCTGATGGCTGAGCTGACTGTCTCAAAACAGTGACTCTAGATAGAGTATCTTGAAGCCATAACCTGCAGCAAAATTGCCACTTTGGGAGCGGTGCCTTTTCGACGGACACTCGAGTAGTTTAAGGTTATGATCCGCGACAAGGGATGATGTAACCCGACGGCATTATGTACCACGCGGCACTACTCAAGGGCAGCATATGGTGATGTCTCGGGCTTCTCAGCTCATTTTCACCCAGTCAGTTACCGCCCTCTTACACCACGCAAGCCACTACGTCGTAGTAGTGCAATCTCCGATCCGCAAACTGCCCAGCCAATGCTACAAAGCCGATCATATCAATTCCGGAGTAATGCTCCGTCATGTCCCACGACACCATCAAAGCATTTCCAATCCAATCAGCAGGCTACCAAATGCAATCAACTGCAATGAAGTAAAATTCTTGCATATGTCTCACCTAGGGCCTCATCAACTCTGGGTTCTTCATCCCCCTCACTTCCATCACTCCCCCTTCAATTTTCATTAGAAAAGTCAGAGTTAGCCCTCACTGCCCAATTTCAACTCGTTCCATCTACACACATATTATCAGCATGGCGCCCAGTCAACTGAAGACTTTGCTGGGATCAATTAGGCGCAAACCTGCGCAAGCACCAGATGGCAAGAGAGACGACGAAGCAGCTGCAGTTCAGATATCAGAAAAGACTTCTATCGGCCATGACCTCGCCCACCTCGGTTTCAAAAATGCCAGAACCGTCGCAGAGGCTATAACCACTCTTGCGTCTGGTGAACCTTTGAATGACAGAGATCTTTTGCTCGAAAATGGCGTCTCGATGCTTCAGTCCTTGCCGACAAATAGTGGCTTGAGTGAAACGGTCTCTAATAATTTCATTGGCATGCTGTGGCATGATCTGCCTCATCCACCCCCTACAACCTCTGGCCCGACAGCTCGATATAGACAGCCTGACGGAAGCGGCAACAATCCATGGACACCTGAGATGGGCAAAGCAGGATCGCCCTATTCCCGCAGCGTTCCTCCTACCAAACCCAAAGGACCGAATCTCCCAGATCCCGAGCTTGTCTTCGATCAGCTTCTAAAACGCAATGGCCGTTTCCGCCCCCACCCTTCAGGCCTAAACCGACTTTTTTTCTCATTTGCTAATATCGTCATCCATGAATGCTTCCAGACTTCTCGAACAGACCCATGGATCAATGAGACTTCAAGCTATGTAGATCTGAGTACAGTCTATGGGAACACCGAGAAGGAGCAAAAGCGAGTCCGAACTTACGAGGATGGGAAAATCTTCCCCGACTCGATCGCATCTGAGAGAATTATGATGATGCCGCCAGGTGTCGTTGCGGTTTTGCTAATGTTCTCGAGAAATCACAATCATATTGCTCAGAATCTGTTGTCTGTTAATGAACAGGGCAAGTATAAAGACTGGGATAGCCTGAGTGATAAGCATAAAGTGTGGTGAGTCAATACAGGATAGTCTCTGTTTGTTGGATAGTATATCTGACATTTACATAATAGGCAAGATGAAGACATCTTCCAACTCTCACGCAACATTAACGTGGGTTTCTTTGCTTCCGTAGTACTGAAGGATTACGTTGCAGCTATTCTCAACACCCCACGAGCTAATTCAACCTGGTCGCTTGACCTTGGGGCCGAGATCAAACAATCCGGAAAACGCATCGAGCGAGGAACTGGCAACCTAGTGTCCGTCGAATTCGCTGTCCTTTACCATTGGCATGCCGCTCTCAGCGCCGCCGATGAAAAATGGATGGAAGATGTATTAAAGGCGGATCTACCTGAACTCAAATCGATTGACGACGTAACGGTCGAGATGTTCAAAACGGTCATGATGAACCATGGCCACAAGCTCATGGCCACCCCACCAAAAGAGTGGACATTTGCAGGCCTTCACAGGGGGCCAGATGGAAGATTTAATGATGCCGCCCTTGCAGAGATACTCAAGGATTGTATCGAAGAGCCAGCACATGCATTTGGGGCGCATGGTACTCCAGCCAGTCTTAAGGTTGTTGAAATCATGGGTCAGCTGCAAGCTAGGGATATTTTCAATGTTTGCACTATGAATGAGTGAGCGATAGTCCTTGTTTTAGTATTGGTGCACCCCTATAACTAATTTTTCTCTAAATAGGTTCCGCCGATATCTCAACCTGAAGCCCTACAAAGATTTTGAAGATTGGAATCCGGATAAGGAAACTGCCAGAGCTGCGGAGCTCCTGTATGGCCATATAGAGAATCTTGAATTGTACCCTGGTCTAATGGCCGAGGTGACCAAGCCAGCCATGCCTGGTAGTGGTGTCTGTCCCGGTCATACAACTGGACGTGGAATTCTCGACGACGCAGTCGCTCTCGTCCGTGGCGATCGATTTCTTAGCTACGACTTCAACAGCACCACTCTGACCAATTGGGGAATCGCTAAACTTGGGTCGCTTCCACCCGGCGCCTACGGTGGTATGTTCCCTCATCTTCTATTCAATGGTCTTCCAGGCGCTTGGACTGGCACCTCTACATATGCACTACTCCCCTTCTATACCCCCGCAGCAGCCAAGGGGATCCTGAAGCAGAACAAGGTCATTCAGGAGTACGACTTGGACAGACCGGCTAGTGACATGGAGGTTATTGGTATACATACACATGATGGCTGCAAAAGGGTGTTCGAAGATCGAGAAAACTTCCGTGTAATGTATCAAAAGGCGATTCGCAATTGCACCGCTGGTCATGATTTTATGATTGGGTGGGATGATGCTAAACGACACGATACTCGCTCAAACCTCCTTCATGAGGTCTTCTTCGAGGAAGGGTTCGAGGCCAAAGTTTCCCATTTCTTCAAGACGAATGTCGCAAAGCTCATCAAGGAACACTCACTGAAATACTCGAGCAAGAGAAGATCAATTGACATCGTACGTGATGTTACCAACGTCACCCCGATCCTCTGGCTAGCGGAAAGGTTTGCTATACCTCTCAAGACCCGCGACCAACCTCATGGCTTGTTGTCAATTCCTGAAGCCTTCCAAATCTATCTAGTACTGTTCATGTATCAAAGCTTCAATATCATTCCTGCCAATGAGTGGAAATTGCGAGAGGGCGCATCGAAAGCCGCACCCATTCTCAGGGGTATTTTTGAAGCTCACCTCAAGACCCAGCAGGGCTTCAAGGAGACGATTGTGGATTGGCTCGCCAAAGGTAGCGCCTTCGAAGTTGGTCCTGAAGCCGATAGGTTATATCATGCCCTCCACGAATCCAAATTGCCCATTGGTGATTTGGTTGGTGATTGTATCGGCATGGGGGCCCCAGTTGCTGGCAACTTGACCCAGCAGGCTTCTCTACTCATTGACTTATTCCTTAGCGATGGATACGAAGAGTACAAAGCACGTATCGTTGAACTAGCTCACATGGACGATCCTGCTTCGGAAAGAGAACTGCAGGGTTTCATTTATGAAGGTATGCGGCACGCTGGAGTCGTTCCTGGTCTGCCCCGTGTTGCATCCCAGGACGTCACGGTCATGGATGGCGCTCGTGGGCCTATTCACATCAAGGCCGGGCACACAATTCTTGCAGCCACCTCAAAAGCTGCGATGGATCCTGTGGCTTTCCCCGACCCGGAGAAGTTTAATCCTCACCGCCCCTTCTCGGACTACACCCTCCTGGGTCACGGATTGCACTTCTGCTTCGGAGCTAGATTGGTTGGATGTTCGCTCGCCGCCACACTTAGAGAGGTATTCAAGCTTAAGAATGTCAGAAGAGCACCGGGTCCGCAAGGGTACTTCACAATTGTTGAGCATGAGTTTGCGGGAGTGACGATGAGGCAGTACCTGGATGGAAATGCGAAGGAGTCGCCCATCCCAACCACGTTGACCTTGGAGTATGACGAGTAGGTAGCTGGCTGGCATAATTAGTGTAATATATCTATAGTATTTTCGCGAGCTACTTTCCGTCAGGCCGATTGTTAGGGAAGAGTAATCAATTACATTCAGTCAAAACAGAACAGGTAGAACATACTATGATGTCAAGACCGTCTTCCTCCATACTAAAGACCCCTGGCATACTCCTTTCGCCATTAGCTAATAGCTAGGTTGTCCAAACACATCAGATTTGGATGTTCCAATTGTCAACGAAGCTGTTAGTTGTAGGGGGAAGAGCACGATAACAATTCATCACGCCTGGCCGCTCTAGTTTGGACGTACCATTAAAATGTAATTTCGCGGATCACCGAGGGGAGTTGGGAAGGCAGCCTGTGAAGTAGTTGTAAACAAATACCTGGAGCATGCAACAGAAGTCGAGCCAGCAGGGGAGGCCCGATATCTCCGACACGTAGTGTCCCATTGACATGCTTCCTGCTGGCTTTAAGAGCGGTTAACTTCAGGAAGTTGGGATTTCGGATCAAGCTGATGGCTTTCAGTGGAATAGACACTGACACTGTACAAAGCGTTCTGAAGAAATGACCGGCTCTACTTGAGACCATCTCTAGAGGCCACTATTACTATAATCTACCGTGTTGTACATACAGCCTGAGAGTGGGATACAATACCCTACACGACAAAATTGATCGTTTTACCCCCCCTTACAACAATGACCTTCTTTGCGGTCCTAATATCAACCGCACCCTTCTTTCCTTCGGAACCCATCAACCTGGCCTTCCCTTCGGCAGTCCCCAAAATTTGCCCCACAATCCAACCCTCCAATCCATCCCCTTTCAGTTTCGGGTCCGGTACAGGTAGCTCAACCACACATTTCAGCTTTCCATTGACTTGTACCGAACAAGGCTGCGTTCGCGGCGCAAGCGTGTCATACGTACCATCTGGCTCTGGGAATGGTTGTTCGAAGATTGATGAAGTACTCCCAGGTATCATTGTCCAACATTCTTCTGCGAACGCCGGGGCAATAGGCGCGATCATCTTAAGGAGGGAAGCTATTGAAGCATAGATGAGACCCCGAGGAACTTCTTGTCCTTTTGAAGTGTCGATAATGGTATTTGTTAGGGACATCAGATCAGAGACCACTGTGTTGAGGGAGTACCCATTGTTATATGACTCCGTGACGTCGATGATAGTTCGTTGTACCCCCCGCCACAATTTCTTAGTGCTGTCGGAGCGCTCATGTAGAAAGCGCAATTCGGCATCTTCTGTGCGTAGGGGATCTTGAAAGTCCATTAATTTGAATGCATTCTCGAACATAACCAAGTTGCTTTTAGATGAGGCGTCATGCATTTCCGGTGCCCAACGTTTCTGTGAGTGGGATATATGGTCGTAGATCCGTCGCAACCATCGCACGACCCCAGATATTCGCTCCTCCTCCCATTCGAGAACTTCATTTACAGGAGCTTGGAATAAGATATGTGCTCTCGTTGCATCTGCGCCGTGTTTATCCATGCATATCCCGGGGTCAACGCCGTTATATTTTGATTTAGACATCTTTTCGTAGCTGATGTTGGGGGTTTCGCCTGTTGCAATGATAATTGGGTTGGAAGTTTGGCTGAGATCGACCTCCTCTTGTTTCAGGAAACGGCCTGTAGATGGGTCTGAGTATGTTTTGCCATGCACCATCCCTTGAGCTAGAACCCTTTTAAACGGCTCGCCCCGAGTCTTTGATCCAGAGGGCCAGTACGGTGTTGTGGCGAAGAACTTGGATATGAATCTAGCATAGAGAAGGTGGAGAATTGCGTGTTCCACACCTCCGACATAGATATCAATTGGGAGGGATGAATCAACTGCTTCTGGAGAGAATGGTATGGAGTCATTATGTGGATCTGGGAATCTCATGAAGTACCAGCTCGAGTCCACAAACGTATCCATTGTATCCGTATCCCGCCTCGCTGGGTCCCCACATTTTGGACATGCTGTATTCACCCAGTCATGCGCATTATCCAACGGGTTACCGGTCTTCCCCTTTCCCCAGTGCCCGTCTAAAGCAGGAAGTTCGACCGGTAGCTGTTCGTGCGGGACAGGTACCGGGCCACAACCTTTACAGTGGATGATAGGAATAGGGGTTCCCCAATACCGTTGGCGGCTGACTAACCAATCTCGAAGGCGCCATGCCTCAGTAGCAATGCCGAGGCCTTTCAATTCGAGTGAGGAGACAATCTCCTTGGAAGCCGCCGCAGTGGTGTACCCGGCATATGGTCCGCCATGAGATGTTAGGTGGCCGTGATGCACAAAAGGTTGGTTCTCCCCCGCGATACTTGCATCATCAGGCGAAGGGGCAATCACCATGCGAATTGGGTCATCGTAGCGGTTGTGTTTCCAAAACGCATGATCGCGCGTGTCATGGCCCGGAACCCCCATGACTGCACCGTCGCCATAATCACCTAGAACGTATGGTGCGACGTAGATTGGCAAAGAGGCTTTGGTCGCATCAGGTGTGCTCTTCTCATATGCGAGTGGGTTGATGGCACGGATATCGGGTAAAAGGTAGCCAACTCTTGAGTCAAGTGGGAGGGCTGGTATCGCATCCAGAAAGGCTTGGAGGCCAACGTTGTACTTTGCCAGTTTCTGGACAATGGGGTGGGTCGACGCGAGAGCGAGGTATTGCACTCCAAATAACGTATCGGGGCGAGTGGTAAATACCTCAATGTCGGAGTGAGTCTGTTGGTGAGAAGCGGTCACAGGGAATTTTATCCGTGCCCCTTGAGATTTTCCAATCCAGTTTTTCTGCATTGCTAGAACTCCCTCGGGCCAGGCTCCGTCGGTTGCTAACTGTTCAATATCATCGAGTAACTCCTGCCGAAACGCGGATATCTTAAAGAACCACTGGTTCAATAGCCGCTTCTCGACCTTGGCTCCAGATCTCCACGAATGGCCTTTGGCATCGACTTGCTCATTTGCTAAAACGGTCTTGTCCACTGGATCGTAATTCACAAGGGACTCTGCTTGATATGCCAGGCCCCGCTCATGAAGAAGCAAAAATAGCCGCTGTGTATGCTTGTAGAAGCTGGGATCACAAGTTGCGAATTCCTGGTACCAAATTAGCTCGTCTCGAAGCCGTAGACTAGTGGGATCATACTCGATGCCAGTCCCAGTGGCCGTTCATGGCCTCAAGTCGTCCCCTCATCCGCTCGATATTGAGTTTCGTCCACGACGCTGGATCAATACCTCGTTCGATAGCTGCATTCTCAGCTGGTAGACCAAAGGCATCCCAGCCAATTGGGTGCATAACATCGTACCCTTGCATGTGTTTAAAGCGTGCCAGGACGTCTGAGATGGTGTAGACACGCAAATGGCCAAGATGAAGATCTCCAGAAGGATAAGGAAACATGGGCAAAATGTACATGCTCTTTTGAGGATCGGTTTTATCTACCGTCCGTTTCCTGGGGCCCATTTCTTTCCATTTCTTTCGCCATTTTTTATCAAGAGACGGGAGGTCCAACGGCGTCTCCCTGGGACTGCCTGTCAATGGCCTATTGACTTTCACTGAAGTCCCTGAATCTAGCTCTTCCTTTCCAGCCGAAGCAAGCACCTGGGCTCCCTGGGCTCCATTATCTAGGTTGTTGACGGTATTTCTAGATATAGCCGGCCCTGACGCGTGACTTCTCCATACCAAGGAGGTTGGACGACTCCGACGGTCGAGGAGCCTCTGGTAGCTAGGCCGAGCGAGCCGTCGCCCTGCATGACTGCCAATAAAGTGCATCTTGTTGGTTCATGTTGTGTGTTATCGGAGCATGTTTATCTTGACATTTGCCCTGTTTGAGCACTTGGGTGAAAGCATAAGGCAAGGCAAAAGGAGGTAGGCAAAGTTCATGGACGAGCAGAGCTATGAGAAGCTTGACGGAGGTCACCGTGGCCCGTGCCCGCCGCCCTTGCCACCAAAACATCCTGGCAAGTCTCGTCGTCCACCAACGTCGATATATCGCGATGTCTCTTCTCTTTGTTGGCCATTGGACTCTACCTACGTTGTAAATACCACCCACTGCCATGCCATGCTCACGACCGCCATGATTGACCTGCTACGACTACGGTAGAAGCATTGCCGATATCCATCCTACCGGTACCAGGTATTGCGCCCGTTGAACCGTCTGAACATGCGCATATGAGCGTGAAAGGCCTATTCCATAAAGAAACATGTCGCGCTCCTATTCTGCCCTCCAGCCGAACGCACGCGATTCATTGGAACTTGCCAGTCTCGCCTCGAGTACTGCTGGCCCTCGAACATCCTCATCCTCCTCTCGTTCGGGCATATCCTCATCTCGAAAACTCTCCCTCGAAGAAGACCCCCTCGACGCACAAAATCCCGCCGCAAATGGCCGTCCAGGAACCCACGCTCGTACCTTCTCAGTCTCATCTGTCTTTGACTTCTCGTCGAACCATCTGTTCCCCTTATCCGCGTCTGTCGGCAATGGCTACGCCCCAATCGGCACACCAACCTCTGCTACACACCCGCAATCAGCGATCGGAGGAGGATCACTCGAGAAACACAAAACGTTAACGTATCTCAATGGCCTGTCGTTAATTGTTGGCTTGATCATTGGGTCTGGCATCTTCTCATCTCCGAGCCAGGTAAATTCCAACGCTGGATCTGCAGGGGCGTCTTTAATCGTCTGGGCAATAGCTGGTATATTGGCCTGGACTGGGGCGTCGAGTTATGCGGAGTTAGGTGGGGCAATCCCGTTGAATGGGGGCGCCCAGGTCTACTTATCAAAGATATTTGGGGAGCTGTTTGGATTCCTGTTTACGTGGTGTGCTGTTGTCGTCTTGAAACCCGGATCGACCGCCATCATCGCCATCATCATGGGGGAGTACTTTGTGCGGGCGTTTATTGGCGCCGAGGCGGAAAATGTGAATCCGTGGATCAATAAGAGCGTCGCGCTGGTTGGTTTGATTCTGGTCACATTTCTGAATTGTATATCCACAAGGCTAGGCACCAAGATGGGTGACATGTTTATGTTCCTCAAATTTATTGCATTGCTTGGAGTCACGGTCATCGGCATCGTTGTAGCGATCACTGGGGTTTCTTTCTCTGGAGAGGCGAATCAAGATTGGAAAACTATCGGGTGGTTTGAGGGCACGAGTACCAGCGCTTCGTCTTGGGCAGTTGCGTTGTACGCTGGGTTATGGGCATTTGATGGATGGGATAATGTAAGCATATATTCTTCCGTTCCTGAACAACCTTCAGAAGACTAACAAGACAGACAAATTACGTTGTAGGAGAGTTCCGGAACCATGCTCGAGATCTACCACGAGTCATACATACCGCGATGCCGCTCGTCATCCTTTCCTATATTCTCGCAAACGTGGCATATTTCTTCGTCCTACCTCTCAAGACTATCAATTCGTCCAACACAGTTGCAGTTATGTTTGGAAGCAAGGTCTTTGGTCCTGCCGGGTCGTTAGTATTAGCACTAGTCGTGAGCGCGAGCTGCTTTGGAGCACTCAATGCGACAACGTTCACCAGTGGCCGGTTGGTCTATGCTGCCGGCAAAGAAGGGTACCTCCCTGCGGTCTTTGGGATGATTGGTGTAGGGAATAACGATGCAGCTTCCACCCGCCTACGGACGCGGAACTGGGCCTCCAAACGAATGGCTCGGATGTTTGGGGATGAAGATACGGGCCTCTTTTTCACGCCCATCTACGCCATGGTCCTCAATGCGAGCCTAACAACGGCTTATATATGCGTCGGCGAATTTGGCACTCTTGTTACGTTCTACGGAGTTGCTGGATACACATTTTATTTCATGACTGTCCTTGGGCTCATCGTGCTTCGAGTTCGAGAGCCGAATCTTGAGAGGCCATATAAAACGTGGATTACCACACCTATTATATTCTGCTGCGTCAGTTTATTCTTACTCAGCAGAGCAGTGTTTGCGGAACCTTTGCAGACAGTTATCGTCGTTGCATTTGTGGTGGCCGGTATACCCATATATTACTGGAGGATCCGAGGGAGAGATCATGTCACGAAGAGGGAGATGAGTAGTAGACACGGCTGGAAATTTTGGAGACGGTTTTAGGAATAGTGAGCAGCGGAAAAGAATCAACCTAGTAACAACCATGACATTTTTACGGAGTGCTCATGATGCATTTCATTCCATTGATATCATCGGCGATACCAGCATGTAACCCCCACCTGGCAGTGCACAAATCCCAAACGCCATTCGCTATGCTTCCTACAGTCCAAACTCCTAATCTCATCTACACATTAAATTCTACCTAACGGGTATCTCCCAAGCACCATCCTCCTCACCGTCACTATCAAGTTGATCCTCTTCATCATTCAAGGCCATCTGAACAAACATCTGTATCCAGGCCTGTTGAGCTGCTCCTATCTCATCTAGCTCTGGTGGTGCCCGTTGTCGTCCAGCCGGATTTAGCCGCCGCCTACGCGGACCTCCTCGCTGCCCTCCTACTTGCCGTGGTCCATTCCGACCCCGGGCTTGATTTTGTGCGGCCGGTCCACGATTGCCCGGGCCATCTCTCGCCAGGCCAGGAGCTGGTGCTAGTGCTAGTACAGGCCGAGGTGGAAGTTCGTTGATCCGTAGAACAAGTGGTCCTTCGCGCTGAAGGGCTTCTCGTACAACCGGAGGTTCTGCATTGGCATCTTCAGTCGGGTCTATTTCAGGTTCGTCCGGGAATTCTATGGCCAGGGGCGGAGCTTCCAGTCCAACCTCCACCGCCCCCTCCTCAAGAACTTCCTCGACACCACCAGCATATCCAACCCCAACGTCGTCGCCATCACCGTGCTCTAGTTCCCACAGTCGCATATAGCATCTGGTATTGATGGTATTGAAGTGCGCGTAAGGGTTCGAGGGCGATAGCCAGGCAGAACAAAGGTAGCAAAAGTGAGAGCGGCAAGTAAAGCATATCATGTGATTGCAGCCATGAGTCTTCTGTGCTGGAGCAGAGCATGTCGGGCACGGTGTTGTGTGAAGTTTCAGATATTCTATAGAGGCTTTGTCCTCCTCGGTGAGCTCGCCAGTGTTCGTTTTGGGCATGCATATGGTGAATTCGCCATGCCACCCTTGATAGCACCTGTTGCAGAATGCAAAGGAGCAGTCTTCGCACACTGACAGGAGGTCCCTCCTAGAGGGTGTTGTCCCCGCCTCCTCTTCGTCCAAACCCGACTCGTCATCCGAACCGTCATGAAGAGCAAGACCAATGGGTTTTCGATGCTTTTTTGACCTGGCAGCACCTTGACACCATTTCCGAGGGCAATATATTGTATTCTTGTCCGATTCCAAACCTGCTTTGTGTTTCAGTCTGACATATCGGGTAATCGTATCGAGTTCCAGAGGGATCTGTAATAATTCGCTAGGGCTGAGGTGCGTCTTTGGCTTCTTCCTCGAGCCATCAGCCTGTGCTTCTGCGCGTTCCTTTGCGCAGCCGGGAGCTAGACAGCGTACGGCAGCCAAGTCGCCCTCCTTGATGGCATTGTTGTAGAAGTCCTGAAGACATTCAACGCAAAAGACATGACCGCAGTCGAGCATCCGATGGCAGACGGAGCCTTTCTTCGGTTCGAGACAGATACCGCAACCAAAGGTCTCCCTCTTGAAAGCAGCTTGCTTAGCTTGGATATCAAAATCAAGCATGGAGATCTTGAAGTCCCGAGGGGCCTCCAATATCTTGCTAGCACCCGCATACCCAAACGCATTTTCAGCAGCTTGCTGCAGCGAGTCAATGTAGCCAAAGACAACCGCGCCGTGACCCGCCTCTTCCCACAAGGCCTGCGCATTGCTTTCGAGCTCGTCCAGATATGCTCGGGAGAGCCACGATGGCGTTGTAGATAGCTTGAACGTTGGCGGCTGTTCCTCTGGATATCCATCTGGTAAGGTTATGTGTAATTGTAGTGACGGCAGATACGATACGTTCTGTAGATCAACGTTATCGGCGGTTAACTCGACGCTGACGTTGACTTCGCTCGAGTCCGACTGTGGCGGGGTCGGTGGCGCGTCGGAAGCGTTGGTGAAGGCAACATCGACAGGAGTTTGCGGGTTGACGGGGAGTTCGATCGAGGCGGAGAATGGGCTTTCGGGATCCAGGACCATCTCTGGGAAGATCGCCGTGATGCAATCCAGCTCGACTTTGCGCTCATCCTCCATGGCTGACAGCCGCTGGATGTCACCTTCCAAGACTTGACAGGAACGAGGTCTCCGTCTCTTGTAACAAGAACGCACCGATGAGTGTCATAGAGAGGGAATGGGGCGCTTAAAGGAGATTTGCAATGTCGGTCTTTGTAGGGGTAGAGCGGCGTGAGTCACTGAATTTATAGGTAGGGTAGTATGAAGTGAGAGCGAGAGTGAGAGCGCGCGAGAGAGTGGCGCGGATGGACGCCAGGGGCGATATCAGAATTTTGGAGAGCCGCCTTTGACGTAATGCAGCGCCGCTTGATCCTGTCGCTTCGGGGAAACTTAAAGTTACTGTAGAGAGAGTACTTTGTACCGTACAGCGCAAACTATCATCAGCGTCAGCGTCAGCGTCAGCATCAGCATCAAACAATAACTGTGTATCCTCTTTGCTTGCCACACCGCAATTGGCAATTGCTTCGGCGGAGATCAGACGCCATAGCATGGCAGACACTCCTCTCGCATCGCTTTCTTTGACCCATGTGCATTATGTATGTACTCCATTTCTCCAGCCAAAGCCCCCAACTCAGCTAATGTTATAGGATCCCAACGACCCCGTATCCTACTTCTGCGCCTGGCTCGCACTTGTCCCTCAGGGGCTCTGCGTCGTATATGCTACCCTCATCTGGTCGACACGCGAAATCGAAATCCTTCTCATGTTCGGCGGGCAATTGGCATGTGAGGCTCTAAATTTCGCTCTGAAGCGCGCGTTGAAGGAGGAAAGGCCAACGAAAATGCACGGAAAAGGGTATGGGATGCCATCCTCTCACGCCCAATTTGTCGTCTTCTTCTCAATCAGCATCACGCTGTTCCTACTATTCAGACATGTACCGAAACCGCCGACGCCTTCGCATACACCGTTGAGTTTAGGAGCTCGTGTCATGGTCTCTGGATTGGCTCTGGCAAATGCGGGACTGGTTGCTTGGAGCAGGATATATTTAAGCTATCATACGCCCAAGCAGGTCATCGTTGGATGTGCCGCAGGTATAGCAAGTGCGATGCTGTGGTTTCTAGTCACAAGTATTGTCAGGAAGACCGGGCTGCTGTCGTGGGCCTTGGAGCAACCTATTATGCGACTGTTCAGGATGAGGGATCTTGTTGTTGAGGAAGATTTATGCCAGGCTGGCTGGGAGAAATGGGAAGCAAGGAGCACATCGTCCAGCACCAACGGCAAGAAAACCAGATAGTCAGTCGGGCTTCAATGGAACAAAGGTGTTGCCATCTCAGCTTGGAGCTCCATTGACCCATGCCAGATGCCGTCGGGAGGGCCAGCGACATACAGCGCTGGTAACGGGAGTCGACACGGGAGATGTGCATCCATGAAGCAGGACGAAAATCGCAATACCAAGGTAGATATCCCTACACTAACAGACACTTCGTGGATACCTACACCATCTCGAGTACTCTGTAATATGTGCACTGGGAAGATGATCTATTATGCCCTACTTCGCTTTCGTCTATTGCTCACCCTACCACATTGATATCACCCATTCGCCTTCTAGATCCAACTTACGAGTACAACACAGCGAGATATATGCGGCCTTCCTCGTGTCGCTGCTGGAGTCCGCACGATGTTACTCCGCAAGAGTCTGGGAGAATTCTCAATAACGATTCTTAAATTGCTACTTGTTGGTGACCGATTATGTCTCAATAATACCTTCTCCATAAAGCCTTGCGACCGTATTGGAATGTTTCCCCGCTATCCAGCCTGACAAATATATTGGATGCGACGTTAACCCTGGACGGATATCATGTCTCTGCTGACTTGACTCTACCAGACGTCACCCAAACACCCAAACAATTAATATACGGTAGTTTGATGCCACCAGCTGCGCGGACGATGTAAATGGCGGCAGAGGTGACACGCGCCATGGACATCATATATCTATATGCATAGCAATCTCAACCACAGTTGTATTCCGACACCTGTATATCTCACTCCACACACCTGGTGCAAGGCGCCGAGCAAGCAGCCCAACATTCAGTTGTCTGCTTTTACCGACAGGGAATTTCGGAGAAGTTCCTTGCTCCCAGCCTTGATCATTGATCTTTCTTACAGACTCGGCTTGATTTATACCTGCGTGTTGTCATAAATGCCTGGGTCGTAGATTAGTTTTTGGGATGTCCAACTTTTGATATAAAGTCTCTTGCTTGTTGCTCCCAGATTTCTATAATCACTAATCCGTCTCTCCGTCACCTATTACAAATAGCCTTTGGTCACATCTTTTATCGGAACCCGATTTCCTTGAACAAATCTTGTGCCTCCAATAGTCTAGATCCGTCGTCCGTCGGGTACCGGGTTGATGGATTTTGTGGATCGCCTTTCAAGCCGTCGGTGATGCCTGTGCAACTCTGTGTGACTTTGTCTGACCTACCGCCAGGTACAACTATCCTATCTTAACTATCACTAAGTGGTCAGGAGATCAGACTTTGTTTTCTGATGTCCGCCAGTTGAGATATAACCCGGCTATTTAAGTCTGCCTAGATGCCCGGAGACAAATAAGATCCTTTCATATACTACAGAATCTTCACTTGGCTATCAATGTCCGCCATCTATTACACCCAGTGTATTCTTTGTACCATCGCAGAAATGCACCTTCTATCATTTCTAGTCTTACTCTTCGTAAGCCTCGCTATGGCTCTGACACCGCAGGATCCTTCGATATTAGACAGAGCTTATATTGTCCGTCTTGCTCCTGAAGCTGAATATCCGGATAAGCTTGCTCGGCGAGACGATCTACACATTGCAGCATTCCACAAACGGGCATCGGCTTTGGATTACACGGTTAGATATGAGTTCAAGAATCCCTGTGTCTTTCTCGGAATTTCAATTCAAGTCACTGGCACCAGAACGGACGAAGAAATCTTCTCGGAACTGCAAGCTCTCGCTGGAGCTGACTCGGTATCGAGAGTTGGCAAAGTTGGACTTCCAATTATCCCAGGCACGCCACAGCCCCCCCTACCATTCCTCTCTTACGCTGATCCTCCGCCGCTCAATGTTTCAACTGGCGGTAGGCTTGATTCCACTCTTGAGATGGGAGGTGTAGATAAATTACACCGCCTTGGAATTAAAGGCAACGGAATGAAAATTGGGATCATCGATAGCGGTGTTGACTACAGGCATCCTGCCCTTGGAGGAGGATTTGGACCTGGTCACAAGATTGCTGGAGGATATGCTTTTACCACAGACAATGGGACTCTCGCAAACACCACTGATCCCCTAACCACCTGCGTTGGTGGTGGCCATGGAACTCATGTCACAGGTATGTTTTCAGGGAGCCACGTTGATATTGCTAATATAGAACAGGAATCATCGGAATGGAACCAACCCCAGGCGGCTTTGATATCACTGGCGTTGCCCCCGAGGCGACCCTTTACATGTACAAAGTTCTGGCCTGTTTTACCTCTGCAGAATGGGATTCTATTATTGCAGCCATGTCCAAAGCTCATGAGGATGGTGTCGATATTGTCAGCATGTCCATAGGCGGACCCCTGCAGGGCTTCAGCGGAGAGCCCGACCCGACTGCTGCTGCCATACAAAGTCTCGCCGACGCTGGCATTCCTGTTATCATTTCTATTGGGAATGAGGCGGTAGCCAGTCCACGTGCTCGAAATCTCTACTCAGTAACTATACCCGGTTCACAGCCGTCTGCCATTGGAGTTGGCGCAATTTCCAACACCGTCTTCCCTCTGGTCTACTCGGCAGTCGATTCGATGGGCACTACCATTCAATACGCCTCAGTATACCCAGTTAACCTTCCAAGCGGGGCAGACATTTATATCATGAGTGACGGATGTAGCTCCGACGAATGGAATAATGTCCTCTCAATTGTTGACGCTAACAATACCATCATCGCTTTCGAAGCAACCTATCCAATGTGTCCAGCTGACGCATTGGGAGCATGGTCTGGCGCTTCTACTCAACCCCACTACATTATGGCTTTCACCGCCCATAGCACTAATATACTAAACCCCAACCAAGAAGATCCATTTCTATCTGCCTACAATACACTTCCCGAGGGGTATCATGGTTCCGTTCAATTGATCAATGTAAACTCCACTGAGGGTGATAAACTAATCAGCAACTTCGAAGCTGCCGGTGGATACCGGAAGTACAAGTGGAAGCTAAGTTCCGGTGTTACGAGCGCTCCGGAGCCAGCAGGTGGACTAATGGACTATTACTCTTCCTTTGGACCAACATGGCACGATTACCAATTAAAGCCTCAGATTTCGGCACCGGGAGGCCATATCCTTTCAACCTGGCCATTGGGACCACAATTGGGCTATTCCATTCTTTCCGGAACGTCCATGGCCGCGCCGTACATCGCCGGGGCATTTGCCCTTGTGAAGTCTCAATTCCCCAAAGCCACAAACCAGGAGATTCTGGAACGGTTGCAGACTACTGCAACCCCTCTTCCTTGGGTCTTCAACGCCTCCATGTTAGCGGCAACTCCCCAGCAAGGTGCGGGTATGGTTAATGTTTACAATGCAATTTTTTCCGAGAGCCAAATATCCCCTGGACAGATCACCGTCAGAGACGTATCTCGTACCGAATACGGAACAGCGAATATCACAATCCAGAATACATCCGCAAAACCCAAGACTTATTCATTTTCCCACGAAGGAGCTGGATATATGGATTATACCTTGCAATATCAAGAACTCAATCAGCGGCCGCAGTATGGGTCTGCAAATTTCGCGTTATCAGGCATTACGATTCCCCCAGGACAGTCAGACACTATCCACCTCTCCATCAACCCTCCCAATGATGTTGATCCTACTTCTCTGCCGGTTTTTAGCGGGTTCCTATGCGTATCAGATTCCGACGGGGAAAGCTTTCACATTCCTTATGTGGGGGCCCCGTACTCCATTTACAACGCAGCCTATCTTGTGGTGAAAAACGACTCCCAGGCAGGCATCATCTCACCCCGAGTCTGGTCCTACGACGCCAATGGTACTATAGTGACCGACTACGGTCTTGAAGAATTCGTGCCCGATCGCGGCTATGGTTCTGACCTCTCTACCTCGCAATGGACGCGGGAATTCCGTGTCGATGTCCTGCCAGCCGATACAAACATCACAGCAGACCACTACGGCTTCGATCGCACCATCACATACCCCGACATCCCCTCAAAATTCACACCGAACATGACGGTTTTCGGGTACCCATCGTTTGGTATGCTTGCAAATAACACGGGATATATCTGGCCTGGTGCGAATGGGCAGTTTGGGGCGGATACGAAGGTCATGTCGAGTAATGGAGTGCGGTACCTGGTTGGGGATGGGGATTATAGGTGGTTTGTCAGTGTGCTGAGGTGGGGAGGGACGTCGGGGAAGAGGGACGATTATGATACTTGGCTAAGTCCGATCTTAAGGGTTGTCAGTAATTCCATCTCGACAAGCCATGTGTAGGAATCTTCTTTACTACCTTTGGTGGATAATAGGATTGTAGCACTAGGAGATGGAGCGCAAGGATTCGAATATCGTAGTAGGATATGTTATCAAGTGGGAATAGCTAATCAGTTTGAATAATGTCTATTAAATTGAATGCACGCACTCCTATTCTAGACAGTGAAATGTTCAACCTCGAGCAACATCCTGGGGCCACGGCTTGCTCCTTCGCCAAGGTACCTGCCTTACGTAGCTAGGCTCGATGCACAGTACTGGCGGTTTCCACGTCAAGAACCGTTGCTAGTGAACCGGCAATTTTAAGTTCCTGCGTGCGCTGCCCGTAATAACGGTTGGTAGGAAGGTTATACTAACTATTCTATAGATAGCTACTAAAATTGCTCGCCAAACACAACCCCAGCGAAGACGACTGCTAGTTCTTAGAAATGAACGGGGGTGATACGTTAGGCTACCCGCAAAAGAAGCTATGGAGGCGGGGCGAGAAGAACAAGTGGCGGGTACACTGTATTCTCTATTTTATTAACCCTACAATCGACGAAACTAATACTAAGATGGAGATCGCCCACCTCTGTCGCCGTGGCCGGTTTAACCTTAGAGCTGGGGTAACACAGTCTTGTGTTAATCCTTTCCATACTACTGCTACTACTCATGAGATTAATCTCTCCTACGACTACTGCCAAAACGGCTGCCATGGTCTCTGCCCTCATACACCAAAGTGCGTTTGGACTAATAAGGATGGGAGGCGGATGAGGTGCCGGGATATCTGGCCAATGCCAGCGACGTGCGCCTGTGGAGCAGGATGTATTGATATCACAATGTACTCGTAGTAAGAAGGGGTAGTACTGTCACTACTCGTATGAGTAATATGCAGTTGCAATTTTGCGAAAGGGTGGAATATACATTTCGCGAACGATACTCGTACGTCCCATCGGCATATTACATCTATCGTACCTTTTGGGAAATATCCCTTTTTGTTGCCATCTAAAGCCCGTTTGTTAATATGTACATACATTATATCTCCGTGGCCGATGTGCGTTGCTGTCAGTGGTAGTGGGGCTCCAGAAGCTTACATCCTATACGGAGTAAACTGACTTCCGCTCCATAGACGTGGCAACGTCACCCTTTGACCTGGGCGCTGCCCTGCCCATGACCGAGGCCGTCCCAGACACCGGGAAATGAGGAAGATTCGCGACACAGAAAAGACAGTTATCGAGTCGGATTTCCGTCGAGGTGAACTGGCCCCATTTAGTAACCAGCGCTCGTCGCCCATCGCCGTTCAATAAGCCTTCGAGAGCATCGGTCGGGGGCTCGTGACAGGAGGAATTCGAGTTGTCTTGTAAGACCGGCATTTAGGTCTCTAGTTTAATAGACTTGATAATTGGGGAACATGTCGCTCCCCAATTACCAAGAGGTCATTGCACACCCTGATGTGCTGTCTATCTTTGCTACGTATCTGGATGTGAATTCTTTAGTTGCTGTCTCTCGAGTTACCAGGGCGTGGCACAATTTTGCCAACCCTCTTCTATGGGCAGATCCAATTACTATCATTTCGCAACTCACAACACCGTTTTGTAGGCCTTCCTTTCCTTCTTAAATTGACGTCTCTGATATTCCCTCTAGTAAAACTCGTTTCGTTCATGAGAAAATTAAAAGATATAGAAATAGGTAGAGCTAGCAAGACCCGCGACTTGGTCATAACGCTAAATTTCAAGCCTCTGGTTGCCCTCCAGTACCAGCTTGCATATCAACAACAATATGCCCAAGCCGAAGGCTTTATCACAACTCAATGGATCTTCAAAAATGCCGCTTACATGCAGAATCTTCGCTTTATAATGGTGGACGGCCTGAGCGTCCTTCAAGATATTCCACCCTTTCAAAGAGATGATGGCTCACCTCACCCAGCGCAAGTCCTGTTGCTGAGCACTTCCTGGATGCCCGATATCAATAGCAATTGGATTGCTGTAGATGAGGCGTTCCGCAATCTAATGTTCCTCGATATCTCATACACTACGAGGACAGAAGACTTCACCAGGGTGTATTCCACCTGCAGCTTCCCAAATCTTCGGGTCTTAAAGCTTCGTGGCCTTCGACTTACAGATACGCATTTGCCAAGGGCTATCGCCAACGGACACAAACTCTGGAGCCTAGATGTCCGGGACAATCTTTTGACGGATCAGGCTGTGGAGATGCTCTTACAGCGATTCATTCTACCTCCAATTGCCCAGCCAACCCATGCCGTAACTTCAACTGACATGGATCTCTTTGATAATCCTCCGGTCTACCAGCGAGAACCTCGGGTCGAAACTGCCCTTCACATGGTACCACTTCGACCAGATGATGAAGATGGATTTATGGAATATGTTAGCCGAAATGGGAATCTTGCTCAGGAAGATCATCCTCCCCTGGACGATGCAGATGATATGCTACGACCAACTGGCCTCACCCAGTTATATATATCGGGAAATAAGCTTACTTCCCTCGGAGTCCACCGGTTACTACACCAAACGACCCGGCTCCAGGTCCTTGACGTAGGATCCGTTCGTGCTCCTACAATGCAGCTCAACATTGCGTATGCTACACACTTAGCGCAGCTCAATTCCGTACATGCCCTTAAAAGCCAAAGCGGAACCCGCCTCGAAGTTCTGCGGATCCACCACTCCGTAGTTACTTGTGCGCCAACTATTCTTCCATCTAACTCTTCCAACTACGATCTCCGACACCTGCACAAGGCAGAGATAGAATTTTCCAATCGACAGGTTGGAGCATTGGAGGCTCTCCACCCGCTCGATAACCCACGCATCCGATACCTTTGTCTCACGGACATCCCGACAAAGTCTTACGGTCCGATTCTGAATCGGCTGAAGGAATTTATAACCCTCTGTGCGTCTCAGCAGAGGCTTATAGAGATTGCGGCTACAGGCATCGGTGCAGCCCACCATCGTGGTCCAAAACTACTCACTGGACTTCGAACACTCAGGCTAGAATTTATCCAAGATAACGGCTCTGCGGTCGGTATATCCGCTTCGGGAGATCGAGATGCAGATGAGTTTTTAGCGCAGTCAATGGGTGATTTCTCATTCTTTGAGGGCGGCTTAGACGCGCCACCTCAGCCTCCGCCGCCACTCACTGAAGCTCTCAAAGTTGTAGAGGACTTACGAGAGTTCAGGAGGACCATGGTACAGAAGTGGAATGGGAAGTTGGAGCTTGTAGTTCCTCGCTCGCCTGCTGTATAAAAATATAGTATTCATGCTCGCCGGCATTACTCTTCCGTGACTTTGGCATATACTAAGAGTATTCATATAGAGCAACAGATTGGGCAGCATTAAATATCCTATTCGATACCACCGTATGCTAAGATATACAGGCCTGAAGGCTACCCATCCACGCCCATCCACAAATACCACAACATAAATTGTACATCTAATACATCTTCAGCCTTAGCCAAAATAGAATGTGCAAGATACATCCCCTGATGACTATAAATAGCGAATCCCCTTTTTCAAGCCCCAAACCAAGCAAATATAGTTTTTAACCCAGCAGGAATTGCTTCCAATCCCGTACTAAACATTCCCTCCGATACTCAGACAAATGAAACATGGCACAAGGAATGAGATATAGTGCCCAGCTAGCCAAAATAATAACTGGTGTAAGCAATACAAGTCAAGAAGTGAATGCCCCTGAAAAGGGGCGCCAAGGATCTCGCCTCCTCTATACCACCGCATTCCTGCATAAACATAACCAACATAAAGATTCTTGAGCGCGTTTTTTTCATTTACATGAGTTTTCGTACATCATTAACAATATTCATTAAACCCCGCTAGCCATTCCACATGTCGATCATCGCCAGTCACGGTGATAAGACGGCAGAGTAGAAGACCTAAGAGTCATTGCGGTCAGGAGAGAACCAATCAGCATTGTTCTCCCGTCTTGCGAGATTTCCTTTCCATCTCGTCAACAAGTCGTTGGGCATCGGCATAATAACCCGTTCGTGTGCCCTTTCTTTTCACTTGGGCGTGAAGCTTGTAGTGTTGCTTAAGATTGTCGGTCCGATTGAATAAATGGTGGCACAGCACGCACTCAATTGTAAATCCAAGGTGAACGCTTCTCTCGTGCCGCCTCAGGTGTTCCTTTCTTTGGAACTTTTTCCCCTTACAGCCCTCCCAGCGGCATTCTTGCGTCGCCTCTTTCTGGACTCTTATCGTGCCAGGTAGTATGCAATCTTGAACTTCCCGCTTGACCCTTCGGCGCGTTGAGCGGGCTGCAGTCGAGCCTGAGCTCGGGAGGGTTTGGATCCCTTGCACCAAATGTAGTGCAGCTGAGCTTGAAAGTGGCTCGAACTTTGGTTGCCTCACCGAGGACCGCGATGGCGTTGATGAGGCTGACCTGCACCCATTGTAGGACAATGGCATGTGATATGGCATGCTTCCCAGTGGCGAGCTGTTGATGCTGTACTCCGAGTTCGGACTGTCATATTCGAACTCAACTTTCAAGTTTGCAGGTCTATGAGGAGTGCCTACATCGAACGTATCTGTAAAGGTGGTTTGCGACGGAACAACGAAGTCGGCAGATACAGAAGAGTGGGGCGTGCAAAGCAGTGCCAAAGATGGTGTCTGTGGAAGGCCATCGTTTGTGGCAGTGGAGAACTCGGTATAACCCATCGCAGCTTGAGTTGGTATGACCGGATATTGAAATCCAGAGAGCAATTCCTCGGTCATGATGCTATCCGGACCGAAGTATGCTCCGTTCTCAAAAGTGCCAGGAGTACAAAAAGACGCACATGAGGATCGGTATCCATCCTCAAGGCTGTCCGAATCCGGAGATGCCCGCGGCGTGGAAGTTGGTGTTAATGTGGCCGGGTCCCAGGAGGCTGCCGAGGAATCGGATGCAGAGGGCGAAAATGAGGAGCTGAAAGAGTAGCATTCAAAAGGAGAGTCGTCGCTCGGCGGCGTGCTGCAATGGTACGAGGAATTTGGATCCGTAAACATATTTGACGCTGGGATGGTCCAAGTGGGGTATCGAAAACAAATCTAATTCTGGTTAACTGAACTGTTCTGCTATAAACGTGCTATGGATTCCAGGGTGACCAACTGTATGTTTTGAATGGATGAGTGATATGGTTTCGATTAGGGAAAGACTGACGATGCTGTAGAGCTTGAAATGAGTGACAGGTCCGTTGACATATTATGGATACATAGGTAGTAAGAGAGGAAACTCCAGCAATTTATCACTGAAAACGAAGAAGTCAAAGGCCACTGCGGCTAGAACTATTGACTTGATGGATGATAGTTACTAAGTGGGGATCAGACACAACTCACTTGGGGATATTGCAACTATTGAGTAAAGAGGGAGATATGAGTCGTGACGTGAGTCGCGTTCTTGTTTGATAAGCAAGCGCTGGCGAAGAATGTTGAACCGATAGTTTCGCGATCTGGAAGGGAGGGATGCTTCCATAAATCAATACTTGTCTGATATAACGACAGTTTGAGGGGCACATACCTCGTGTTCCGACAAGTCTGAGAAGCAGGAGCTCTCTCACAGCGCAAGGGATCCTTAGTGGCCGTTGTCAACCGTTCCACCGAGGGGAGGATATCGATAGAGCAGAGCGTTATCCCGGTGCTCTTTGAACCTTGCAGAACCCCCAACCCTTAGCCAGGGCGAGATGACGCCCCTTATATCGATGGCTAACAAATGGCTGGCTTGCCCGATATGGATTGACTCGCATTACGATAGATGGCTATCGAACTGCCCAAGTATGTTGGATCAGCCCTCACTACCACATTGTGGGGATACCAGTCACAATGGACAGCAGACCATTGCTTATTGGGGACGAGAGGGTAAACAGACTAGGCCTTGGGGGGGTTGAGTTTCGCCATAACGCGTGGGACACTGCGGGCAATCGTGCACCAGCAGCGATGCGTCCGAGACAGCATCAGAGCAGCCAAGACCTAAGAGAGAGCCATGAGCGTTCGAAGGTGCCAGAGATCAACGGGTCCCTCGAACGCGCAGCAACTTGCGGGTAGATTTGCGTGTAGATTCCTGCGCCTGGCGGGATATCCGCTGCTGCTTGAAATCTATGCTCGTCCCACATTCCAAACCTCACTATGGGTCCGGAAGGAATCACTTCTAGGCTTCCGGAGTGCAGAAGGCAGCGAAGAATGGAGAACCCAGCTGGACTACCTAGGTACCCAAGCCAACTGTTCTATCCAAACCACCCAAGGCAATGCAAGACGTCGATATTTGCAGCACTGGCCGAGACAATCCAGCGCCTTCGCCGAACAATGTGTGGGCACTTGCACCGCGCCATGATCTGAGGGACAAGAACATGAACCCTGATGGCTTGACAAATGAATGAGCACTGTTCTCAGTATTGCCATAGCACCTCCGGCCAACAGCGCCCTCGGCCACGATGGCTTTTTCTTCAGCCGCATCGCGAATTCCCCCGCATATATCAACACAAATAGAGCTCTCGGTGCTGTGTTCGACGCAGGCCACAACGTACCTGAACGGCCAGAAACGACTCCGACTAGTCCCCCCAGCTCGAGATCTCAAAACGCAGGACCAGGTTCGACGTCAGATGCAGCCACCAACAAGACTCTGCTCAACGAGGAAGCCATTGGTTTTGTGTCACGCCAGTAGTCATTAGCTTGTTGAAAAGGTCTTCCTGCCTTGGGGCCGTGGATGAGGCAGCTGGATTAGTCCGCTCAGTGGACCAGCTAGTCAAGACTGTCAAGTCGATCGACAAACTGCCTGGTTTATGTGAACCCCTTTCCACCTGCCCCTCTGTGGGCCGGAACTGGGACGACGACTACCGAGCAATGTACCACTTGAGTCTTGATTGAGTCTTGACAGATGCGACGACGCGTCTATTCCACCAGTGGGCAGCAGGCGATATTGCGCCGAGACACATGGCCGAGACTCCGTCTTGTCTTGAACGATCTCTTGTCGCCACTGAAAACTCTCATAGATCGAACAATCGCCCTCGCGGCTCTCCACTTGTTTGCCTATTTGAGCAGAACGACTCACGGCGGCTCGCCATCTTGCCCTTTTTTTTTAAAAAAAGAGGTGGATGATCCGTATGTGGTTTGCGTTAGCGATGGTCATCCGCTAGCTTTCTTGTCACAATCAGACATCGTTGACCAATACCCAATACTGTACGAGTAGCTTTAAATGCAGCCACAAGCCTGCTGTCCAGTGTCCACAAATCTCCCTCCAGGCCCTAGGGTGATCACTGATCACTGATCCCTCGCAGGCGCCCTCCGATCCTGCATATCAGACGGCGGACATTCATATCTCTTGCTGAGGTCGCTCCACACCACCGCCATGGCGGACGCCACGCCTTTTGATGTGCCGCCATCATCCACGAGTTCCTGTCCTGCCGTTATCCTTCGTACGGAGTAGCGAGCATAGGCGGATATTAGCTGGCCTCGCGAATCTCGATGCACCTCAGAATAAGACCTGATGCTGACTTGTGCGGTTTGTCGCTCTCATCGTCTCCGTCGTTGGAATGCGGGGTGACCAGAAACGCGGCATCTTTTAGAAATCTGGACCGGCCCCCCCTCTATCTCTACCGATCGATGGTGTCTTTGTTTTTGAACTGCCTCCTCGATGACATCCTGATGCCTCGGGTCTCGGATAGCTAGGTAGTGATTTGTACGGTCGAATAGATGCGTATCTGGTAGATAGGAAGCTCAAAATCTGCGGCTAATGTGAGATAGGCTCACTATTCCCGTGCTAGTTCCATCAGCCGAGCAAGTTGGGTTGACATTCTCAAGAATGGTCGCCGTCCTGTTGCGAGACGGACCAGGTCCGCCCATGTGCAGCGAGAAGCAGTTCGCAGCGCCCCGAAGATCTGGATCAGGTTATGCTTCTTCCAGCGCCCAGATCAGGTACGTCGTACTACTCGAGTACGTACATGTACTATGTACAGAGGACATCATAAGAGCAACAGACATCAGCATGGGTCGAGAAAGCGTACTTGGCGGGCGTCCGACTGTGAATGTCCGTGCCAACGTCCGCATTCTCGAAAACGAGGCTGGATGCTGCTAGATACGAGTATGATCTGTTGCCGCAGCCATACCTTCCGACGGCAAGCTCACATTATTGTCCTCGGGGAAGCGTTGGCAGCCCTTCCGCCGCTGTCAGTGTACGAAGTACGGAGGTACTCGAGTACGTATTAGATTCCCACCGCTTCAAGCCCCCGCAAAGCTAGGCGCGAACGGCTTGTTGCGATTCTGATCTGGTCATATTTCATATTGTGGTACTCTGTACTTAGTACTTAGTACGAAGTAGGTATAGCAGTGCGCAGTACGTAGTAATACTTGGCAGGAAGCCCACTTTGGAGTCCACCCATAGAGCGAAGGCCTACTTCCCATATATGTTTCTTTCTCTCAGGCTCGATTACGTGCCATGTGCAGCATCATACGATGCCAGGATGATAACATGTTCGCTCTAGTACGCTCTGGCATTTCCCCATTCCCTTTGGCATCCCGATATCTGAACATGAAGTGTCCCCTAATTACGGCGTGGAGAGTGTTTGCCAATAGCCTTTAGAAGGCAACTCTGCAGTTACATGGCGATTTCTCATAAGGGGGGAAATGCTGCTTCAATGTACGCCTAGCGCAGGAATAGCCCACGGTATACTCTGTACTCATGGTGGAGGAGAAAACCCGTTCATGATTCGACCGTGCAACCACCTGTCCAAGCCACCAGATCATGCAAAGAGGATTCCAGCGATCTGGATCGCCTGGGTCTGTGATTGGGGTGGATTGGGGGGCCTGGCGTCGATCCCACCTTGCGTTACACAGTTCGTTCTTGAGGTGGGCCCCCAGCGCCATCACGAAGATCCTCGTCGGCGAGTACTCGTACTGCGTAGCCTCGTAGGTGTTCTTCTGCTCCGCCGGCATCGACGGGGTTGGGAACTTGGGATGAACCTCTCCCTCCGTCGATGTAGTAGTGTTATTCCCGCCCGTCCCTGACCTGTCTTTGCCCACTTCCACTTCAGACGCGAACTCTTTCACGTCATTCCACGACAAGCGGACTTTCCCGTATTCCAAGGCACTCGATCGAGTCTCAAGCGCCTATCCGCAACCACAAAATGCTAGGAGCCTTTGGTAGGCTGAAGATCGGCACGGCTTGTGAAGGTGATGAATGAGAAAGGGCAAGACTGCAAATCACATCATTGCGATTGTTAATGCTCCTGCTATCACACTGAGGCCGATGCACTCGATCCTTGACCGAACTCGCCGACCACTCCGGGTGCAAAGCGGCGGCGAGCCACAGATATTCGGCATGTTGTATAGGTACCGATATGTAGCACCTCGTATCCCCTTGCTCGTGTGTCGGAATCCCAATGCCAATGCCACTGCCAACGCCGGCCCGAGCACGAGCAAACCAGCTCTGGAGGCCAACAGGAGCACCAACACCACGCAAAACAAACCTCAACCCAGCGAACAATAGCATTGTACTTGTACTTCGTAGCACACAACCATTCAGCGCGAGGCCACCAAGCCTCAACGGGAAAGCAACCGCTTCGGCTACGTCCGACCCAATGACAGGTCATTTAGGGGCACGACAACAACAACAACAACAACAGCACTGTTGAACACACTGCTGTGCTAATAAGTCGCTTCCACCACCAACGCGCCGGCGTCAAAACCCCGCAGCTAAAGTTAGAACCTCGTGGCCGAAGAGAATCTGACACTGGCGAACTGCATCCCACGCGTCCTTCAGCCCTAGGCTAGGCACCTACATTAATGTTCTATAAATATCATATACTCCGTGGGAAGCCTCCTCCTTAGGTAGGTTAGGTGTAGGTTTGGACACAGCAGAGTGGACGAAAGGGTGACCTTCATGGCCGTATCGCTAAGGACTGAAATCGACCGCTCCTCTCCGTTAATCGTTAGCTTACGAAGTAGATGGTTCGGGTATGGAATACAGCTCATCCATCAGAAGGGTAACCGTAAACGCCCAATTGATGTGCCACTGATTGTCACTGCCACCACCAAACCTATTCGAAACGAGGTAAGTTGCCCGTTGCAAGGACAGGAATGGTAATGGAAACGGGAAAGCTGGCAATACCGGACGCCTTCCTCACACATTCACACGTGGGAACCACGCCTACCACAAATGCTACGTGGGCGAAGGCCGTTGAAACGCCGGTGGCTGGAGGGTATGGGATTGCGATAGAGATGGGGGTTTGTGACAAATCTGCAAGGAACAAGGAGAGGGCTGAGGGTAGAAAACCCAGGGGATATACGCTAGGCTACTGGGAATCACGCACGTTGTCTTCTTGCATTCGAGGCCATATCGCGGCGGATAGCTGCTGCCTGAATGTTCGCCCGAGGAAGGATTGATGTCGATATTCACATATTGGGGGTAAATTGGTGGCATAACGATGTGGAAAAGGCGCTGATGATTGGAAAGAGGTTGGGGTATCTTGCATTGTATGTTGGTAACACGCGAATGAGGGTCCTGTAACAACATTAAGGTTGCACGGCGTTGCAGTCTTGTGATAGTGCAGAGTTCCCTGTCAATATTGGCTTTACCCTCAGCGATTAAAGTTTGGAACCAAAGCCGCAGGCAGGAGGAGCTATTCAGATGTTATGTTAGCGAGCAATCTATCCACGAATGGTTCGCTGTTGGATGTGAACACGAACACTGGCGCTTGCATCCATATCGCGACACCAGCCAGGCCAGAGGCGTACATTTATTTAGGTGCGCCTAGGGTCCAAAAGCCCTCGCGCTTCCCGTCTTGAGGCGATCCAGAGCTCCGAGGCATTTCTGCCGCTCTGAGCAAGGCTGACCAGAACCCTAGTAGCTAATCTTGACGTCGAGGTGGATTTGCAGATTGTTTGCCAGTATAGATGTACGTATTCGGAATGAATTGGTCTTGGTGATGCACACGCTATCATGCTCTAGGCATGACTGGAAGTTGGCGGCAAGACTATGAACCAAGTGAAAGACCCCCGGCAGTCTCCGCATGCAATACGGCGGCCTCCTCTTCAAACGATTCCTGGATTTCCTCTTCCGTAGCCTCCATTCCTTCCGAGCTCATGAGCTTGGTGTTCTTGTCTTCGGCTGGAGTTGCGATCGATGTCAGCCGTATTTCGCAAGAACTACTCAGAAAGACTTACTCTTCGGTTCAACTAGCAGATTCTCCTGAACTTCGCAATCCTGTAATATAGAGTCCTCTCCAATCTCACTCCGTCTCCCCAAAATACATCCTGTCAGCTTGCATCCCTTGCCGACAACCACGCCGTCCATCAACAAGCATCGGGTTAATTTTGCGCCCTGCTTGATGTGACAATTCGCACCAACTACACATTCCTTGATTGAGCACTTCTCTTCCACCGTCACGTTTTCGGCAAGGAGGCAGTCCGGCCGTGTGACCGTGGTCTTAGATGCAATACCCTCGTGGTAAGCAACTTTGCTTTGATGTGCAAATGGCGATGACGACTCCCGGCCAGCCGTGTCGATCGCCTCAAGTTTAGCAATCTGGAGAGAGACGGATAGCAGTAGAGGGGCGGTGTCAACCCGACGAAGTAAGGGTGCCTGGCTACCTTCCTTTGGCTTTGGATGTATGTATGCTAGGACTGACGGTGCTACCAGTTTAGACTCAGAGCCGGCAACTTCCTCGCGAAAGGTCTCTCGAAGGTTGGAAGTCCAAGTGGTGCTCAGGCGTCCAGATCCTCTGCCATCCTGTTGCGGGACGTTTTCAAGCAGCACGCTGTCATCGGCGTTGGCAGGGGATGGCTTATCAAAAACATCACGAAGTCCCAATTTCTCGCCAAGGCCATTTTGCCAGCCGGCTTTTGCCCACCAGCCGATGACATCCTCGCCGATGCTATCCATGTGCTCATTTCTGTTAATCATATCTAGAACCCACTCTGGGAATATGTAGATATGGGCGTCACGATGAGAGCTCAACAGCCTCAAACGAGGATGAGCACGAATCATAGCATGGCGAACAGGAAGACTCTTTTTCTGCTCTGTGATATCTTTTAGGGTGTCGGTAGGCACAGAGTAAACTAACTTCGACAGATGTGACAGGATTGCCGATTTTGGAGGTGGTACTGGGCCTGGTTCAAGTGGCGACGTGGCGATGAAATCTGTCTCTTCTCCCTTGATGATGGTTTCGCCTTTCGTTTCATACCATACTCCCAAACCTCCCTTCTCACTGGGTTCGTCGTTTCCACTCGTAGCGTCGCCAAGGCAAGCTTCCTTGACCATCCACGCTTCGAGTAGAGCTTCACCACCCAACTCGCAGACCAAGTCACACGGTAAGACGATGAAGTCGCCTGTAATCACTTCACGGACCTCTGGTAGACGAAAAATCTGGGCTGTGCCAGTATTTTGATCAAGATCCTTAGGTGCTAGCAAATCTGGTTTCGGAAGCGGTAGGCTAGTTAAATGCGGATTTGTATTCAACGCTGTATTGATTGCGGGCGCCGAGGAAGGCGGAGCGACGAGCGTGATACCTGGTGTAAAGTAAGTCACCGATTTTGGATTCTATCGCCCTAACAGTAGGGTATACGCCCAAATAGGCTAGGCATATCTGATCCATAGTCGACACAACGGCATGATTCCATTGCCGTTCTTGTCGGCGCAACATAGGCAAACGATGTCGTCATGTGACTCATCGAGATAGATGCTTGATTCTGAACAAGAAGGATGAATTGCAGCATTCAGATAACTCCCCCAGGAATACAGGCTTGGTACATAGCAGGGTACTCACGTGAAATGCCCATTCGATAGCAGAAATCGATGGGATACCACACCATAGGCCGATTTGCTATTGGGATGAGGGCCTTTGGATTCTCATCTGGGTTCGTGGTAAAAGTTGGGAACGACGAGCCAGGGCCACATAGAATGATCGCTTGGAGGCCCGGGGCCGGCATCGAGAGCGCGTGGGGCATGGCTGTGCCTGGGGAGCAACTCTTCCCTGTGTCGACCGCGATGATATCGAGATGTCTAGGCCAGCTGAGGTCAGACGGACAAGAACCGCAGTCTCAGAGTTCGACCCCGGTAGCTAGACTAAAAACCTATCTTCTTGCTAGTTCGAATTATGGCGGGAATGGTGGAAACGGGGCGGGGCAGGATATGATAAATGTTGAAGCGGAAAACGATATCAATTCCGATCGTCGACGACGCGAGCAAAAGCAATGAGCTTAGTCAGAGGCGCGGCTGAGTCACGTGTTACCTCGGCTGCCGAGTCGAGTCGCGGTGGAAACCAGCTGAAGCGATGTCAACAAGCCGAAGTGGGAGGGTCAAGCAGCTCCCAGCCTCACTATTTCTTCAATCGCCGTCCTGCCTACCTACGAAGTTGATATCTCTGTCCCGCAACAATACCAATACCTATACCCATACTCATATTGTGCGGTCGCTTCAACTATATACGGACGGCTGGAGGGAGAGTGAAATGCGCAGCTGCAATTGAGGATTCTAATTCCAAATGTCCTACCCATACGAGCGCAGAGGGCAAGGTGCCTCGGGACATCGAGGGACTTTCTCCTACTGGGTTCCTTTGGCTTTGACGGTGACGGTTGCGACTGCGGGAATCGTGGCCTGGATATGGAGTGAACGAGAAGACGACGAGGACGAGGGACCCAGACCTGGTCCTCCCCCGGCTCCATACGGGCGGCCGGATTATGGTAGAAACCCAGATGGAACCATCCGCACTGGGCCACCCTCCTATGCGGATGTGCGCCCCGGGGAAGTTGCTTATGGAAATGTAGAGCCACGGCCGGAGGAGTCGCAGAGCTATATGGCCCGCATGTCCGGTGCGCTGAGGAGAACTCCAAGTCCTCAGCAGGTCTTCGATGGGGTGAGCAGAAGTGTTGTTGGGGGAGTTGCGGCTGCGGGCGCGGTTGTGGGGAACGCACTTTCTTCGATCAGGGAGGAGGATAAGAATGCCTATAAGGATCATAAGACGTGGTCTGAAGAGGCTGAAGCACGACAAAAGAGTGGCAGTCCGGGCCCCAGTCCTGGGCCCATCGAATTGCGGTCGGAAAGCCTTGCTGGGGTCGCACCAACTCAACGCACACCCGTAAATAATAGCAAGAAGAAGACCGTGGCTATTGTTGTATCTGCGGAGGGCGGCGTTGACGAGTATGAGGATGAGGACGGGTTTCATGAACATGCAGTAGGTGGCATCTAGCTCTGGGCTCTAACTTAGCTAACATGTACAGTCTATTCTCTCCTCTCTGCCTCGAGACATTGACTTCTCCAACACGCGGCTATTTGTCCTTATATATGCGCCTGATCTGAAAGAACATCCACTAGATGCCACTGCACGTCCTCCACCATCACTCAGCTCCTCTTTCTCTAATATCGGCCACGATCAGGCACAATCTCCACCACCCGTGGAAGGCGAGAAAACGCCGTAAGTAATCCAAACAATCCCCGAGCTCCGGCCCCAGCTAATAAAATGCAGGGCAACCAATTCGGGCTCGCCAGCATTCAATGCTGTATATTCACAAGCACTTGGATTAGTAGAAAAGGAAACGATGGTTCTCCCCTTCACAACCCTAACTGGACACGTTCATATGCTGCGACACCTCGCTCCGGAAATAGTCTACCTCCAAGAATCACTCGCTGGGGATAATGGCGAAGTCATAACGCACCTCCAGAGCTGGTTGCGTCAAGATGTTGTCCTGGTGGTGGGTGCCGATGGTGGGCATGGTGGTCTGGCCGACAGTGAATCCGAGGCAGAACAAGCGGCTAAGAAAGAAGAACATTGGTGGGAGAAGGAGGAACGGGTTGGCCTGGGAAGAGGCGTTGTAGTAGTAGATGGAGTCCGTGTTGGCGATGACTGGGCTCGTCGGGTCGAGAATAGGGATTGATATGATTTTGCGGTGCTTTGATGTATGATTTATGCCATGGGGGATTTCAATTCAATTTTCTGCACATTACACTCCTTTGCCCCTGACTGGGGCGTTAGAGCTACAGTTGCAAGTCATGACTCAGCCATTGGATGAGCGAATCCGAGACATACACCTCGGTCAATACAACCGATTGAGACACGGGCTCACTCAAAGACATTCGATGCAATTATGTACAAGGATGGTACAGTGATGTGATTAATATTAATATTTGAACGTACGAATGACTCTCATTTGTGCATCATTGCGAGCCTACTACGACCGGTTATGGTACATCAAGGCTAGTTAGCCCAGACAACATAGCTAATACGTGCAGTACCTAGCTCCTCATAACCGTAGCCCATGAAAATCTACCTTTTTACGTGGATGTAGTGCCTACTCTGGGCATCAGAACAAAACACCGTCACAATTGTAGCCCCTGAGAGTGTGTTAGATTGTTAAGGATAGGTTAAAGCTAGTTAGCACTGCCTATTCTTGCACTTGATATACGAGTAAATGCTGAGGAACCGGGGCGATGCATATGACATAGAGCTAAAAGACCACCTAGGTACTAAACTTGTGTCTACATTTTAGATGTCCAGCAAGTCTACTAAGTACTTCCAACTACGGGATACGGCAACAGTTAAATTACGATGAAATATGGTGATAACCATTGCGGGCCCAGCCTACTGTAGGCTGGTAGCAATTGGGGCTATATTGGAAACAGTATCTCTACATTCTTCTAATATCTCTACTTACCTTGCGGCTAAATTTGCGTGCCATGTAGTTCAGCAAACTACCTATAGGTAGGTAGATAGGTACCTAGGTAGGTAGGTATATGTGTGTCTTTTAAAGGATCGCATTGCAGGCATTCGCTTCGCCTGTTCGCCGATTCACACCCCACCAACCCAACCCCACAATTACACCAAAGTACGAAGTACGTGCTCGACGACAACAACAACGACAACCACAACTACGATCTCTCCTCTATATCCCCGGATCCACATCTAAACAATCATAATGTCACACGCACGAATAGAAGAAGTTAGCGATAGTGACCTAGATAGCGACCCCGCCGAGGAGGATATTTCCGACCTTGATTCTGACTTCGACGAGCGCGAAATCCTTAGACGCCGCGAGCCTGCCTCGGGTCCACGGTCATCCCAAGCGCCTCCTCCACGATCCGCCGCCTCCCTGATCAATCCCACTAATATCCCTTCATCCACCAATACGCCTCAGATAACGACCGCCAGCGATGGCACCCAGTTCCATACCACGGAAGATGACAGCAAGTACAAGGACTTCCAGTGCATATACCCCGTGTATTTCGATAGAACGCGGAGCAGGCATGAAGGCAGGATGGTAGGAAAAGAATTAGCGGTGCCAAATCCTCTCGCTAGATCGATTGTTGCTGCCTGTGGGAGGCTGGGGCTCGAGACGCTGTTTGAGCCCGCAAAATTACATCCCAAAGACTGGGCTAATCCTGGACGCGTGAGGGTTAGGATAAAGGGGGGAAACAACTCAACCGTGAAGAATAGTATGTTACTTCTTGTGGCATTCCAGCCTTGACATAGGAGCTTATTCTGACTTGTTCATAGAACACCATCTCTACATCCTAATCTCCCAATATCTCAAAGCGAACCCAACGACAGAAGAAGCAGCAATACGAGTTCGTATCCCAGGGGTCCAGCCTCCCGACCCAACGAAACCATATCCAAAACCAGCAGCCCCAAAAGGATGGAAAATGGGCACCATATTACCGTATTATAGCCCTGCCATCACGGGTGGTGGTGTCAGTGAGAATTTCTTGAAAGATATGATGTCTGAGATGCAAGGTGCGGGTGGAATGCCGAATCTTGGCGCATTACAAGGTATGATGGGCGCAGATGGTCCGGGTGGAGGTGCTGCCTCCTCATCTAGTGGCGGAGAAGCAAAGAAAAAGGACAAGAAGAAGAAAGTTAAGGTGTGAAGCTTTACAGGCCATATATGAGAGTTAAGAGCATTCCAGTATCCTTGCAATGGCGGCAATAGTTGTCTAGCTATTATTGTCAGCCGTAATATACTAAATGGCCACAGAGCGCTCCCTTGAACAATTTTCGGCAACATCTACTCCTTCCTTTTGATTGCTAGTAGATCTCTAGCAGCACTTCTGTTGCCTTTGATCACAAAATACATTGTAAAAATCTCCAGAAAAGTAGCCTCTGGATAGGGAGGGCGAATACAAGTAGTTCTCATATCTGCCCATACTCTCCACTATTAATTGCGCTGACGGGATGTGGATAGTTGTTATTTCCTTTAACTTGCTTGATACTTTGCCATGAGCTTCCGTAAATGGCTTCAGTGGTGCCATATTGTCCTACGCGAAAGGTGGCAGAACCCATCTCCCGCTCCTTGAGCATGTCTTTTTTCACTTCTTGATATTCACCATTCGCTCCTGTTCTTACCGCTTTCCCAATTGCCACGGTTTGTCGCATACCGCCCCGTCTATTTAAGCTGGCCCACGGTTTCTCTTCCCTTTCTTTCCTTCTTCCTCCTTACACATCCACCAACTCATCACTCCACCACTCCATCACTCTATCACCCAGTCACATCCCATCACAATCAATCCCTTACACAACCTCAATCAACATCACACCCAAGATGACTAGAATCATCAATCTCGCCCTTTTGATCCTGCAGGTTCTTCTGGGCCTTTTTGCCATTGCTCTTGCAGCCCCCGTTGTAGAGGCAACCTTGGTTGAAGTCATTCCCGGACCAGGGATGCCTAGTTTGGCATCTCTCAACCTCACATCAGCACAGCTGTACGCCATGGATCCCCTGTCCCATGGTTTGGATGCCCGAGGTAATTTCTCTCTAAATTTCTTAACCGGCAAAGCTGACATTAAGAAGGTGCCAATATCGAGGAGAAATGTTTCAACTTTGACCTTGCCCCTCGCACCCAAGTTAGTGCCTGCAAGAGCTACCTGACTGCGCTTGGAAAAACCATGTGCGGTGTCCATGCACCAGCCGGCGTTCATGGCTTCTATCAGGCATTTTGCCAGGCCGGGAAGGCTATGATCTACGGTGCCAATTGGGGACCTACCGACTTTGCTGGATCCTACTGGTAAGTGGACTGCCATATCTGAACTACACCATGCTTACACAGTGGCACTATTACAGCTCTGACGTTGCCTTGGCCATCGGCTACCTTCTTCGTGACTGCGGTGCTAACGGCGGAGATATTGCTGGTGAGTACTTGTGGCTGATTTCTGTCGATTAGATCTAATGTGAACAGGCCAAATTGCTGCAAATGGAAACGGGGCTCTCCTCGTTAGTGTTGTCGGCGTCTAAGATGGCAAGCTGGCAAGCCTTCACGTGAAATAATGGTTACCAATCCTCAATGCTGATGATGGACGGAAGTTTATTAGCTCACATGGCACGGATTGCACGGTTGTGACGTTGATATTATGGGCATGCACTAGGTATCATGAAATATGATACAGTACCAGCTCCTTAAGCATGTCTATTAGTGAAAATATTCTCATGTCTACGATAAGTTTCAATAACCAACTTAAGCAAGCCATTATCCCTCGAGTTATTCCATCCTCGTTCTGCATCCAAGTGCTTAACTCCTTCGTAAGCATTATTCCCCAGCGATCACCCTACTTTCCGCTCCCTCAAATAACCTTCTCGCGTCACGTTTTCTCTCCAATTCTGCCAACTCCTTATCTTTCTTCTCCTTCAAGTATATACAAAATTTGCTTCCCTCCTTTAGCTTATCCCCCTTCCATAAGAAAGCAAATGGAATAACACACATTACCAAACTAAAAAACGCAAGCAGACTCGTCGCCCATGCCACCCCCAACTTCCGATACATAGGCGTCGCGGCAAACGGCAACACAGCGGCAGCAATACTCCGGCAACAAGACGCAGCAGCCATGGCTGAGGCTGCAAAAATCTCATACGCATCGGTGAGGTAATTTAACAGGGCCATAAAGATAAGGACGAAACCCATACCGAACGGGAGACCAGCCAACATGGGGACGAAGAAGGGGATCTCAGGTCGAGATGTCCAACCCAACCAGAATAGTGAAATGACATACAGAGGACCACCAAGGCAAGCCAGTGGAAGCCGACGCGACTCTTCCTTTTGAGTCCAAGGTTTATTCTGCTTTTGAGCTTTTCGCAAGAAGGCATCGTACCACAAGAATACGCCGATTGCGCCTATGCTGCCGCCCATGATCGGAAGGAACATGAGGCCAGAGACGCCAGGCGATTGATGATAGATGCCCTGGAAGATTATTGGATACGCTGTGAAATACATGTAGAATATTGCGTAGGCGAGACTTAGGTATAAACATGTGGCACTCACGATGAGCTCAAACATCACCATGCGGAGAGGACGGGTGAGGGTCACGACGACCAATTGCTTCCAACCCTTCTTCTCCAGGTCGATTGGGGCAAAGATATTAGGATTATTGCTCGATTTGCGAAGTCTAGCTGCACGTTTGGCGAGGAGCACTGGGCCGTAGGTTTCTGGAAGGGAAAGGACGGCAGGTAATGTGGCGCCGGCGATGATCATGGCTATCCAGAATACCCACCTCCAACTCCTCACGGGTGCAACGTAGCCAGATATCACTGGGGCAATGAGCGGGCCCACGCAAGTTCCCTAAGCCGTTAGATATAGAACAAGTAATATGAGGGCGAGCTTACACCCATGAAAATTGCCATGGCCCGGCCTCTCGTAACTGGATCGGCGTACATGTCGGCATAAATGCCTCCAGTGACTGTATTTGGAGTACTCGCAGATATCCCCGTGATCAATCTGAAGATCAACAGGGAGGACCAATTCGGCGCCAATGCACATGCCATGGTGAAGATCATGAAGATAACGAAGGAAGATATCATAATCAATTGTCTTCCAAATGTTTCCGAGAGCGGGCCAAACGCCAATGGACCAAGGACATATCCGACAATATACATGGATATTGGTAGAGGTTTAGCGTATGAAGATGTAACATGGAAGGTCTCACAGATATATGGGACTGCATTGGAAGGGAGAGCTGAGCCCATGGTGCTGTTGACGACGATTAACATCCCTATGATGACTATCCATACTTTCTTCGTCTGGGACAAGCTCATTAGGAACACGAGCTTCAAAATAGAGGGGGGAAAAGTAACGTACGGTGGACCAATTGTACGGGTTTTCAGGATCTCCATCTTCCCAAGATATTACTTTTCTATGCGAGGAGGTCACGCTCGAAGTGCTCGACGCTGGTAGCGACGGAATCCTGTTGTCCTCCACCTCGATCGCATATCTGTGCTCCGCATCCGACTCATCTATGCTAGATATCATACTTGATAGTCTACTTATTGGCCCTGAAGTTCGTGGGCAACTCTGGATCACGGTTACTGAGGCCTCGGGAATAACAGACGAGCTGCTTGGAAAGTGCTCACCTGCCCCACATCACGACATTTCTCCTCCTGAGAAAGGGCTTTACTTTCTGCAGACCCAGCCATTTCAAAGAATTCCCTGGCATGTTAAGAACACTGGACGATATTGAGAGACATTATTGATGCTGAAGTAGAGAGCGGAAGGGCGTAGGAGGTCAGAATCACTCGCAGTCTACTACTAGGGCCGGTATCTGATCTGATCTGCGCCCCAGCCTGGTGCTCGAGTCATGATATGCTACATTTATTCCCCTATTAGCTTTGTGTTATCCCCATTCCTCCTGTACAATGTACCCTGAGCGCTCAAGGCAAATCCCCCGTTTGGCTGATGCGCAAGCTCGAAATGCATGATGCCGATAGCCGTTCGGCGATAGAGAGATGGCCAGAGCCCTATTAGCGGCTAAGGCGTATTCCAGTAGGTGACTTGGCCTTTTAAATTGACGATTGCGGAGTTGTGGGAAACTTCCAGGCCTTTAAAGGTGGGATATGGGATGTGGGAGGTGGGATGTGGGCGCAATAGCGGATGGGCACATATAGAGCATCACAACCCCAGACTCCAGAGTTGCGGATCTTGGCCGTGGCGCTCTGGAAGCGACATCGGCACTTGCAATATGAACATGCAATATGCAACATCGAAATTCCATCCTGGAGAAGGAGAGCATCCACAACTCACCATTTCGTGGCTGTTGCGTGCTGCTGTTGCGAATAGAGTGTGTTGTTTAGGCGGCGGGAGGGCAGGAGCATTAGGAACGTCGTTTGCGATTGCTAGAAGTTGCAAAAGGGCAATGAAGGAAGGCGAACCAGCAATCTGTACCAAGCCAGCCTTTCTACAGAGTCCCGGCACAAGACCAGCTAGGTCATGTATTATTACTCGCATTTCGCAATTGCATAAAACTGCACCCATGGGGATACGCTGCCGCAACGCTAAACGCACTGTAACCTTTGAACTCGCATTATATTCTTTGGGATCCGGTCTCGTAGGATCTATGCCATGCTGTTGACAAATCTAGCCTCTAGGCGAATTGACTGGAACAAATACTGCCCAGCTTGCCAATTCCAATAGTGGTTCTATCGCAGACAGTGTTTCGACGCTGGGTCTATAGTACGCTGAGAAACTCGATGTGTGGCCGTCGATAGAGTGTCCCACGATGTCAGAAACAAACCCAACGGCCAGGCAAATCGGTCCATCTCCCTGCCTCTTTTACCGGTAGTAACGTTAGGGCCAGGCATAGCTAAATGCTGGGTCTGGGAGCAATTTCTCCTGCTTAGGATGTCTCATGGAGGCGTAGTAGCATGGCCAGACTGTTTTGGTTGTATTATGGGAGCTACGTCTCCAAATTGATACTCCGCCCGAACCGGGCATATAAAACGACCTTCAATTGCTCCTGCTCTTCCCTAATTGCGCCCAACTTCTCCTCCAACGCGGCCACTTCTTCCTCAATGCGATCAGTAGATGTAGACAGCATCTCTTGAACTTCGGGCAAGGGTAGGGATACAAAGCCGTCGCCGATTTTGTAGCTAGGGCAGATTTAGCAGAGATCCTGCAGGAAAATAATGCGGAAGGGCAACATACGGAACCTTGTCGTCCTCGTCTACCAGCTCTAGCTCGTTGGATACGTCGTCGAGGTCCTCCTTTTCCTTCTAAGACACGGGGGGGCGTTAGGGTTATGTCGAATCGAATCTGCTGGGTTGCGTTTGAAGCGGTCTTCGACTAACATGTTTTGACTTAAGCTCCTCCTCTATGACAATCTCGCGCTGATGGAGCCGACTGAATTTGTTGATCTTGTCCTGGTCCTCTCTTCTAACCTCCACCTCGTCACCGGCTGCCGCGGCCGTGGCCTCGTCTTCTTTGGAGAGCTGTCAATTCGCAATGGCAGTCAGCATCCGACGTGGATAGGGGGGCGCCCGAGAAAGCAAAGGACATACCATCCGGCGCTGCATTGTGGCCGTATAAGAACGAAACGCAGGTTTTCGATATTCTGCCAAATCCACGCTGGTCAGCCTCTCCTTGGCCGCTGGTGGCATGAGAGGGTGGCTTTAGCACCTTGCTACGGAGTAAGTCCGGCATTCGGTTCTGTCTAGTGTGTTACTAACAACCAGGCTATAGACACCCACATTACGCTTACCAATCATTCCATAGTCTTTACGAGTACTTCCACGACGACTTCATCATTTCATTTCATTTCATTTCCAACTTCCCTCACCCTCACTACAACCACACATCGGACACCGACCCCAGGACTCAATAACTCAATATCCTAAGTACAACGTGGTTGTGGTTGCGATCGCGCTCAAACTATTGCGTCTCCTCCAAGTGTGGATTGCTGTGTTGGCCGGAGTCTCCGCTGCCCATGCCATTACATCTGCAGCCCATAGCCATTAATATATTTCCTACGAGCCAACCCAAAATGGGCTGCAGAATCCCCTCTGGACGGTCCCGCCCATGCGGGCGTCCGACGGGACCAGCCAGTCCATGCTCCCGGGCCAGTTTTCGCATCTGATTCCAAGTGTTCATTGATCCAATCCTCGTGGAATCCTCGTCATGCCTCCGGGACGGCTCCGCGGTCTGCTGCGCCTGGGACTCACCGGCTCGGAGTTTGGCTGAGGATACAGTATGTACCAATCGAATCTACTTTGCCTGTTGCGTTCATGCCCTATGCCCACGAATCCAGACTCGTACGTCGCCATTGACTGATACTAACCCTTCCTCAAGTACCCATCCTCTTTCCACATGCATATTCACCACGTGCTCTTTTTTTGGTCGTGCTTGGCCTAAGATGTCAAGAACCCCTCACCTCCCCCCAATACCTTTTTCCTAACTCTACTCACATTCACGGTCCTTTCAGGTATTCACCGTCACTCCATTTCTGCCCTAATATTTATTCCTTTTCCATATGTTACCCTCGCACATTCCACTGTAGTTGAATGTTCTCCCCAACACGATCTCCCTATCTGCCAAACTACCTGGATCAAAATTCTTGAAGCATGCTTGCCTTACCTCTACTCGTGCTAGCGGGTATTTCAATCATTGCCTTGAAGTTATATTATGATAAACGTCGGACTAGTTGCCTGCCGCTCCCACCTGGTCCGCCACCTCTCCCCATAATTGGGAATTTGCATCAAGCGCCTGCCAGCTATCCCTGGAGAGTCTTCCAACAATGGAGCAAGCAGTTTGGCCCCATTTTTAAGCTCCAGTTTGGATCGAATACGATTATCATGTTGGGAAATCATCAAGCGGCCCATGATCTACTCGACAAGCGGAGCAGCATCTACAGTTCTCGTCCAAGGGTTGTCATGGCCGCTGAATGCTTAGGTCAAGGCATGCTTACCCTCCTGATGCCCTACGGTCCTCGATGGCGCGCGCATCAACGGCTGCAGATGTCCTGCCTCAACAAACGAGTCTCGCAGACATATTGCGCCCTCCAAGAGATGGAAAGCAACCAACTCCTGTACGATATGCTATCCACGAACAATTTTACGGACGGGTTCCGCCGCTATGCTGCTGGGTTAGTCTTTGCATTGGCATACGGCAAGCGTCTTAGCAGTATTGATTCAGAGGATTTGAAGGAGCTGGATGAGATCGTGGAGAACACTTTGACCACTCTCAAAGCGGGCGAATGGATTGTCGACTTGATTCCCGCCCTGAATCATCTACCTCGCTGGCTCGCACCGTGGAAGCGACACGCCGACAAGCTTCGCAATTTTGAGTCTCGGGTCTACCTCAAAAACTTTGGCAATGCAATAGCATCGCGCTCATGGAACTGGTCAAAGCGGGTTCAAGGTCTAGCAAATGGGCAGATGCCGACTTTGGAGTTAGCGTACGACGTTGGGATTATTTACGAGGTCTCGACCGACACGACCACGATAGCCCTTGAGGTATTTGTTTTAGCCGCAGTCCTACATCCCCACGTCGTTAGAAAAGCCCAAGCCGAGCTCGAACAGGTGGTTGGCCCAGACCGTCTACCCATCTTTGGTGATAAGGACAGGCTCCCTTATATCCATGCCATCATCCAAGAAGTCTTGCGCTGGCGGCCTGTCGCAGCTGGTGGAGTTCCTCACGCTGTTACTGAAGACGACGAATACATGGGCTACCGAATTCCGAAAGGGGCGACCGTAATTGCCAATCATTGGGCAATCTCGCATGATGACGAACTCTTTCCAAATCCCGAAATCTTTGATCCTGAACGTTGGATCCTGAATCCTGATCTCCCAATTGCTGCGTTTGGGCATGGACGACGAACCTGTTTCGGTCAACATATTGCGCGAAATTCCATGTTTATCATTATTGCCCGTTTTCTATGGGCTTTCGACATTACATGTGCCCATGAGGAGAGGGGCGGCACCAAGTTTTGGCTCGTCCCTGATCCGATGGATATGACCCAGGGCTTCAACTCTAAGCCGATGCCATTCAAGGCTGAATTCCTTGCTAGGAGCCCCCATAGGGAGGGTATCATAAGGAGAGATTGGGACACAGCTGAGAAGGATATTAGCATCATCTTGGATGATATAGAACAAGATCAAGCCTCTCAAATGGGGAAAGCCTAGCTTCTAACGTGGAGTCATCTTCAGTAGTGATTTTTCACTTCTATACCTAACAGATAATGGTTAATGCATTCAAGACGTTATGTTATTTGAGTAGTCCTGTGCAAGGAACTGAGCACCTGGGTTTTCCATTCTGGTCCGTTGGGGGGGTTTTATTCGTTCTGTTGCGGCTAATCAAAGCACCCACTTTTTCGCTTCCAGTGAAAGCACCCTCCAAACTTGTAAAAAGGAATTGTTCACGTCACAGGCTTCGTTATAGTTTTTGCTTCATTTGATACTCATCCCTTCTACGGCCTACTGCACCTATGGGCTCGGTTAGTTATTTAACCAAGCGAAAGCTGTACTTGCCATGGTTACGTCGAATTTTACGAGTAGCAATATAAACTGAGCTTGATAGCCGACATTTATGAATTGCGATTGGTGTAAGGTGACTTTAAAGAAATACACGCGCTGTCACAAGACACCAGATTAGCTACCGTATTTTATTCTTCCCTTAGGTCGTTTTGAAAAACCTCAACATTAAGCGGTTTTTGACTAGGCTGTGTTCATCGTGGCTGCCTTTGGCTACTCTGCCAAGCCTCTTCATCTTCAGACTCGAGCCTCCTAACCTAGGCCAAGAGTATTCCAGAGAAGGAAGTTAAGGTTTATTTTCCAGATGTAGGGGATGGTGGTGGTTAATGGACCTCAAAACTCTAAGCTGTTTTTGGGGTGCAGCTTGGTTTGCTACTGCTGCTTGTTTTGTTTTCTTTGATGGGTGCATTTGACGTTTGCTACCATATTAATATCGACATTTTATTGTCCCAAGATGTCAGGGTCACTATGGACCCAGACCCAAGTATGGCTAAGTTCACTAGGAGTACTTAGCATACTTCTGACGAGGAGAGACCTGAGCGATCTTATAGTTCTGATGACTACTTCTATGGTTCGCGTTGAGGGGTATAGTATATGCGGATGAGGATGAGCTATTTGGTGCAAGCTCTCGAGTGATATTTTAACTTTGCTAAGCTCTAAATATAACTTAATAGTAAGAGAGTACAAAATGAGCGAATAGACCTATCTAGCAGTCATAGTATACTTAGCTGATCACTATCCGTTTCTATAAAGCACTCTCCTGTTCTAGAAAGTGCATGCCCCAGGCCTTGCCTTCTATGTCTGGGATGTATAAATACCCTGGGGGCTCTTTTAATAGGACGGATTATATAGTTAGAAACTAAGAATACTCGTTAATAAACATACAAGTTCAAAGCGCTCCCGATCTATAGGCGTCTATACACCGCCTATACTGACAAACTTAAGGCAGAATCCTATAAACAAAGAGCCGGCGTCTTGACGTCTTCTGTTTCCCCTCGGATACCAACACCTGTACCTTTTACCTTAACTATCACATCGTCGGCCGACGGCAGAGTTTGCACGACGATTGAGCGCACCTGGCCAGTTGCGCTACTACCGTCATCATGAGTCAACAAGCTGGGCCATCGCACCCCCTTCTTAGCTCTAACGACGAGGAACCTCACGGACTCTCTGGGCTTGAATCTGACAGTGATCTTTGGTATGACCATCAGTTGCTTCTCTCGTGGATGCAAAACAGGAACGCGTCTCCTCAGTCTGAAATGGAGCCTCCCCCTGAAATCCCGGACTCCCTCAAAGGTACTGCTGATCCCAATTCTCCAGTGGCAGTTGACTTTGCATCACTCTTTAAAGAGGATGTCGAATACAACCCGGCCTACATGCCCTTTATCGATAGCCTGCCTCCCGACGGTACCGACAAGGATAAAGTTCGCCTTTGGCTAAGGACCTGGTTTGAATTCAGTGATATTTTCGCATCTGATATCGGTGTTGACAAGTTCCTGGATACCATCCCTCTCACCGGTAGAGAGCTCATCATCGCGAAGAGTTACCCGCTCTGGTCGTACCTCCAGTCAGGTAATGAGTACGTCATCCCTTTCCCTGAGAATACAGCGTTTGTTACACGGGCAGGTGGCCACATCAACTTGTTGGTCTGCTCACGTTACTAATTATGGAACCAGGATTTGTCACGATGGAAAGATATATGATCTTGAAATCATCTACGGATTCTTCGGTGATATCCAGAGAGCACGGGTTGTCAGCGCCATCAAGAGAGGCGTCCCACGAGCTCAAGAGGCCTACAGGGAATCAATGATCGTGAAGAGAATCATTAAGGCGACCAATACAAAGAGGGATGCTGAGAAGTTGTCGGAAAGCCTGGCGACGATGAGCTTGGAAGAAAAGGACGAGAAGCGCAGCGAAATTCCGCAGGAGGCTCCATATGGACAACTGCCCTGGCTTTCTAACCGTAGCAACACAATGGTATGTGCCAGCATGGGTTGCCTGAACACTGCTGATGACCGGTAGTTCAAGGACAAATCCAGCGGCCTTGGCAACCTGGCAACGAACGCTGGTTTCGAAAGTGAAGTTCAGAAACCTAAGGTGGCAACAATTCAAAGTCCGGAGACACTCAAACATTACTAATATTTCATATTTCAGGATAAACCCAACGGTTTTGGTACCATGATAATGAACGCCAGCACCCACGCAGCGGAAGTTGTAGGCTTGAAAGGCAAAGACAAGCCGCCCAAGGCAGACCAAGCTCCAAAGACAAAGATGTCCAAAGCAGAGCGCAAGCATGTAAGCATAGCATGCAGATCCTTCAAGTACGGCTGAGCTAACACCTCCAAGGCAAGAACAAGACAACACCTCCAGGGCAGGAACAAGAAAATGCCGGGCAAGGTCAAACTCGAACATCTTGAAGAGGATGGCTGATGAATGCATGGCGATTTTCAAACGGAGGGGTTGCAACTGTTGAAATGGGATATCCTAGAATTCTCGTGTACCTGAGGGGGCTTGTTCTGCTTTCACGGCCTGTTGTTTTTGGAGGCTAGTCTAGACTCGATACCCGTGGGGCGTCAACAACAATGGAAGTGATACCTTGTTACAATCTGCAGAAATCAACTTCGCTTCATGGGAACTGTAGGCCGTACATAGACGCGGGGACGCCGCCTTCCTCGAAATTAGGGAGGCCTCGCCCTAAATAGTGGAAAAATAGGGGTCGGTTAGGGCAGGGGTCCGGCGCGGGATTTGGCTCGGCGTAGTTAGACGGGTATTAGGGACCGAAAATTAGGAAAGTAATGTAAATATCTAATACGGCAACTAGAGAGTAAGGAAGTAATGTAATATAATTAAACCTACTTCGTATTCCCTCTAGTCTCTATCCCAGTCCGCAATGCATTTAACACTTACATATACCGGTAAGCTAGTAAACAATCTTACGTTGCGCTAAAAGCGGGTTACCTATTGGCTTAAAGCCACCACCTCATCTCCTACCTACTCCGACACCTCCTAATCCAGCTCCTTTTCAGAGGTTGAGTTCAGAAGATTATAAGATCGAGATTATAACCTGTTAAAAAGTACAGTACGTCCTAAACTAATCTACAAGGCATAGTTTGTTATATCAGGCCTAATGGATCGCTTTGCCCGACGCCAAATCGACTCATATCTTCGTAAGCGCAAAGCGGATATAGTATCACCTATTATTAGTACTTTAACCTTAGTATTGTGGTGGGGCGACTCCAACCACTTCTTATTACTTTGTTTTTGCCTTCCAATTTGTATTACGTGTATAAGTGGGACCAGTTCGGCATATAAGCTCCTGACTCTCACTCCTCCTCACAACAAGCACTTCACTCCAGACAGACAGACTTCAGTAGCTTGACAGCTGGACCAGGGAGAAGCTGGCCAGTTAGACAGAATACTAATACAACTGAATTTGCTATACTTATATTGATTGCTAGATTTTGTGACTATTAGTCGTCCTGGATGCCACTACCTGAGTGCGCCCTGAATATTCACCCCCTCTGAGAACACTAAACCAGAGGTTCAGTCTTCTCCAGCCATATACCCATCTGACGAAAACCCCGCAACGCGACCTTCGCTGAATTGATCCCCATACCTTGGCTGTGGTCATTTAGTTGTTTTATCCATACTTCCTCCTAGTATTCCGGAGGGCCCTTCCTGCTCTTCGATAGTATCAAGTTCTACTACAACTAGTAAGTTATTATTATTAATTCTATTAGAATTATATACTAACCTACTGCTATTTTAGTAGCTTTAGTATCGGTATTAGCTAGCGATATACCCTCTTTACCGAAGCTTCTCTTCAAGTCGAATATCGAGTCTACTTCTACGTATAAAAAGAATATAGGATGAGCATCTAAAATGCGGTGGTATAACAAATTAGTACAAGATCCTAAGCTTCGGAAGGTGTTAGAAAATTTAGTTGGGAAGATTCAGCATACTCAGCAGTAAGATGGGGGGTGTATTGTGGTTAATGGTTTTACTCAGGAGACTCGGCCTCAGGTGGACAAAAAATACAGGGAGATTTTCGCAGAACAATGCCCAGATAGACCTGAACGGTTCTCCCCCTATGTTATCGCCCTTGCAAAAGCCAGGGTCATGATTCCCGACCAAGACCCGCCAAGGTACCCGGCCGAGCTTCGGCAAGCCAAGCACAGGCGTCTATCTGGAGCTGTAAACAATGAGAAGGATGCGACCTGGGTTGCGTCACACCTCTGCCACAACCGCCGCTGTATCAACCCTTTGCATTTAAGATGGGAGCCTTCGTGGTTTAATCGACTACGCGACAACTGCCCTGGTGGAGATAGCTGCCCTCACCGGCCCGACCCTTGCCTTAAGCCACACCGAGAGATAGGGGTGTGGGTTGATTGGACTATATATATATAACTTATAATTTTTATTTAGTTTTAGATACTACATTTGCGTTTTCGCAGGTATTAAAAAGGGGGTTTTAACTCTGAACTACCTATGATTAAGGGGTTTACGCGAACTGTGGCGCTGTGGCGCTATGACCCCGCGGGAGCTGTCAACCTTCACACTTTATATTCGAATCGCGACGCACTTGATATCAAAACCACCATGGCTCCAACACCGCCATCGCCATCTTTCTCTCCCCCCTCACAACCCCACCCTCATCCCCATCTTCGACTTGCTCGACTCCGCAGACCAAGAAATGCAAACCCGTACGATGCTGCGCATCGTGTGTCGCAGTCTCCCTCGGCATCAACCTCAGTGACCCCTCTGATGGACCAGGTTGCTGAAGACCAGAGCGAGGCAGGCTTGGGCGGTGGGCATTCGGGCCCGGATGGCGTGGAGGAGGACGATGACTTAGATCTCGATCAACAGGACGACGTGGATGAGGACGGCCATGGTGATGACGAGTTTGGTGAGGATGGTAATGATGGCGACGAGGACGTAGAAGGCGGCATCGGAGAAGGTTCGTACGCTCGTTCTCCTTGTCTTTTAACCTTAATTTTGTTGAAGGCCTGGTCTGCATATCTCGTCCGCATATCTCGTTGCAATTCCAATCAATCCATTGCTCGTCGATAGCCAGTAGCTCATTCCACGGCATTGAGCCAAACTCGTCCGAGTATAAATACAACGTGCCTGCAATTGACAACCTGCACCACTCACACAGCCTACTAATGCACTTCCTTTCTACAGTTCCCATGGATATCGATCCACCCTTCGATCCGGCTGCTCTAGGATTGAAAGAGATAGGAAACCTAGCGAGTTGGACCGTCAGCAGTAGCAAACCCGGCTGCGGTGTTGAGGCATTGCGAGACGAAGACACAAATCTATTCTGGCAGTATGTTTCTCCTCCTTCACTCCCTTCTCCGCACAGCACTGATCAATACCATTTAGATCCGATGGGCCTCAACCCCACCATCTCAATATCCACTTCTCCCGGCTAGTCTCTGTCCGATGCATTCGCGTATACCTCGACTTCCAGGCCGACGAATCGTACACCCCCACACGCATTACCATCCTCGCCGGGACAGGCTACCACGATCTAATCCCGTTTTCCTCCCTCGAATTCGAACGCCCTGTGGGCTGGACCGATGTTCCGCTGGAGCATGTGGGGGGCGGTGCAGATGGAAAAACTCTACGTGCCTTTCTTGTCCAGGTCAGAGTTGTGGAGAATCATCAGAATGGGAAGGATACCCATGTTAGGGGGTTGAAAGTTTATGCTAGGGATGAGAGAGCGAGGGGTGGGTTAGTGCCTCTTGCTGATTCTGGGCCGCCGAAGGGGGATTTGGCGGCGGCGATAGAGAAAAAGGGGAATGAGGAGAGGACATGGCTTGTGGAGCCGGAGTGGATGGGGGATCCTGAGTTGCGATGAGGATTTTCTCGAGCGTCTGATAAGGGATATGGTGCTAGGCGTTATTAGATACCCAGGAAGCCAATGAAATATATTTAATAATCTTTTCTGGCATGGGCGTCAACAGGTTTTGCACCTGGAACAGCAATGTTTGAATTCGGCCCAATATATTTCACCACACGACTGGTATGTGAGTATATAATATATTAAACTTTTAAATACCCATACGCCCTTGCATTAAAACAGGCATCCTCAGCCGATGCGCCTCAGGGTATTTGCATATCCCAGCCTTATCCTACACCCCAGGTCACCCTAAGGCGACACCAACGCCATTAAACCCAGTACCTATCTAAAACACCCGCATCAAACAGTTGAAACATCACCATCAGTCATTCCCATTGCAGCTCTAAAAGTATCATTACCCTGCGGCTGCGGACTATTCAACCTACTCCAACCCGGCGCATTATCAATCCAATTCATATCGCCCATGAAGCCCCCACTCTCACCGTGGGCTCCCTCCTCAAGGGGTACATTCCACATCTCGTTTCCACCTCCTGTAGTATCGAAATTCACAAAGTCGTTCAGGTCTAGTTCGGTATTTTGCGGGTAGATGGGGTTGAACTCGTTGCTAGATAACTGAGGGTTGCTGAAGAGGGTGGGTTGAGGATTGGGCGTCGAAGAGGTGAATACAGTGGCATCCCCATCCGGAGGAGTACGTGCTGATATCGCGTTGTAAGTATGGTCTGGGCTTTGTCGGCCGGCCGGAATCCCAATATCCATCATACCCGTGCCCTGGAAACTCTTCAGAAATTCTTCATCCGACGGCGGCGGTGTCCTCATGCTAGCCCTCAAGCGTTGCGGCCCCTTCGTCTTATCCATAGCCATGAGAGTGTTGATGTTTTCATGTCTGAGCTTCTCTCGCGAACTCGCCATCACGATATCAATATCTGCTTTCCGGATAGCTGCTTCGAGGAACTGCATGGCGAAATCAGCGGAGGAGTAGTTGTCCCGTAGCCTCTCGAGAACGAGCATGCATTGGCAGAAGCCATCCATGGCTGCTTGGCGGGCATCATCGTTGCAGGATTTGATGTCGAGGAGGTGGATGATGATGGCCGGGAGCAGAACGGTAACGCCAGTTGTGGGGAGGTACTTTTCTAGGTCGCGGGAATGCAGATTATGTGCTATGCGGGTGATTTCTCGAGATGCCTCGCGGACGTTCTTGCGCGAGAGATCCTGGAGTTCTCGTGATGAATCTGCCTGAGCCGTGGACGCCGAGGGTAAGACTTGTGGCCGATGGAGAGCAGATAGGGTCGTGAAATAAACCATGTGGAGCAGTGATCTCTGCACAAATAGGGGGGGTCCGCTGTTGCCCGGAGGCATATCACTGGTGTAGCGGCAAGATTCAGGAAGCTCTCTGATCCACTCGGCCAATTCCTCGTCGCAGCGCTGGACTTCATCCGTTTGATCAAGTTTCTTTGGGAAGAGCATCACGCTAGATCGAGTGCTACCTTCTTGCCCTTGCATGCCTTGATGCTTGACGAGCACCGAGTACTGCGCGCCCAAAACATGGCTGACGCAGAGGCATAGCTTAGCTTTCGCGATGCACATTAGGGCCAGCTGCTTTTGGGCTTCAACGTCTCTGACCAGGGTACATTCTTCGGAAATCAGTGTATTGCCCTCCGGCAAAACCTCGATTTCGAAATCAGCCTCTGTGAGCATGGGCACGTCGAAATCCTCGTCCTTGATTCGAGTTGGTCGCCTCATCCCTAGTGCAACGAGGCGATCCCTCATGAAGCAGGACCACCATATCCGTTTCCACAGCTTCTTCTTCTTCGGATCCATATTCGAGTTGGCCGGGTTCCGGTGTAGGCCTATAGTGTGTGCTAGCGAGATGGCGACTCCCATCCAATGCCAGGTATCTTTCTGATCGTCCGGCGTTTCGTACCAATATGTCATTAATAGGAGAGATTGGACAAGGGCGACGCGGTCGATTTCGTAGTCGAAATCGTAAAGCACCTACAAATATTAATAATCGGACATTTCAATCACACCGCATACATACCCTAGCCTTTTGAAAGAGTGCCTTTCTCGCAGCTTTCCGAGTAGAAAATCCTGCGCTCCTTAACATGTCCATATCCACGAATGCCGCACCGGCAAACATGATTGCTTGGAATAGCAGTAGGCTTATCGTTCCCGTCGCTCCAGTTCCATCGGCAATAATGTGTAGAACCTCATACGCATCGATTAGGGGCATATATGGGTGCACATATTCCAGGTAGCTTTGGAGCAGAGCATTTCGCATGGGAATATCTGGCATTGACAGGGCGCCTTTTGCAAACAGATAGTCGATATCTACGGACGTCATCCGCTGGGGAAGAGACTTGAGGTATCCTGGCAGCTTGTGCTTCAACATTGGAGGAACGGGCAATTCCGATCTTGCTGTCGTTCCGTCCCCCGTGGCCGAAGCGGACGGGAGGGAGAAGCCCAGGCTAGGATCGGACTCATATCGACCTTGGGCAAAACTCTGCTGTCGAAGTATCTCGGCGTTGTTGATCTGGGAGCTTACGTTTTGGTCTTGTTTCGTACGTTAGATAAGTGATCCACGCTCGAACACGATCCAACACGCCCTTGGCAAACTTCTACTCACAGATTGAATGGGGAACGTGTCCCATTTCCGTCACGTCGTTGGAATTTGAACCCGCCGACTGGCTCCATCTTCGCATTTCGGGGTTTGCGATATCTGAAGGATCAACAAGCCCACTCCGCCATGTTTGTGCGGCTCCTGTGGCCGATATTCGTGGCGCGGCGGCGGGCGTGGCCGCTGGGAGTTGGAGCTGTCCGTTTGAGAGCTGCTTTCTACACCAGATGGTACATTAGCTCAAAGTACCCAACAACAACAACAACAACCACCAAAAACCGAAGTTGACTGCACACTCACTTCCGCCGCTTGCTCTCCTCGATCACACATCTGATGCCGTCCATGGTGCAGTTAGAGCACGTGACCTCGCCCTCCGGCGTAACATGGTAGCGCTGCATCACGTCGCAGCGCACCTTTCGGGCGCGACAAGCGGCGCATGCTTTCGCCGCTCTCCTCTTGACCGGTTTGGAGTTTCCGGCAGTCGACGTCGAGGGGCGCTTTTTCGAGCTCGAGCTGGAGTCTAAGTCTACCGATGCGGGCGAATGCGGCTGCGAGTCGCTCGACATATGGTGGTCGAGCAGCGTTTGCGTCGTTGTTGTTGTTGTTGTCTCGGTCGCCATGGTTGTTGATGACGGCGGGGGCTATTTAAATTCCCGGGAAGAGGTCTCTCGGGCATGTGACGGCGACGGCGACGACGACGGTGACAATACGAAGCAACTGAGAATCCGGCATCACACCACGGAAGAACGAAAGGAGTGGAGAGGGGTGGGGTAATAAGAAGGAAACCGCAAACGCAAAGAAGAGCTTATAATAACAATCCAACGGCCGGAAAATCCCAGATGGCGGGGAGGGGTGTTCTTATTATGTTTTCAAGGAGGAAAAGTCTAGTCTAGTCTAGCCTGGGGACTGATGCCAGTGTGGATGTGGAGAAAGGGAGCTAGCATAATAAAGCGTTCCATTCTCAACCAAGGCCGCAGGGGCAGGGAATCAGGGATATCGAGGCAAGGCTCAAAACAATGAGTAGTGCTCCGTATCGAGAAGTACAAAGTCCTCTGGAGGGGGACAAATCACGAATCACGAATCACGAATCACAAATCACAAATCACAAATCACACCTGGACAGGGCACGACCAAGGAATAGTACCGTGCCCAAGTACCTAGCTAGGTAACAGGTGTCTGTACATGTACCTCTATGTATGTATCGATACCTTTATCTCAGGATATCTCAGCTTTTCAATCCCTTCTGACGTTGGCGTCGAAACGCCACACATGTAATTCCCAACATGCAGCCGCCGACTGGCCGAGGATTGCCCCTGCCGATTCGCCTTCCATCAGACCGATCCGGCATTCGTGGGTAGCCATGGAATGGATTCCTGACTTCTGACTTTGAATCTGCAGAAAATGTCTTGCCTCCCTCTTGCTCGTCCTCATGGCCGGCCATGAATATCACGCATGTTTGGACGGGGACTCGTACTGTACGGAGTCTTGCCGTTGCCGTTCCCGCTCCATGCGCATTACATCCAACTGCAGTACATTACTCGCCTTCTTCGTCTCAAATAACAATTCTCCGTGCGGGATGGCTCCAAATCCGATTCTGTCCAAGCCGCCTCCGTATCCCACCAGCATTGGCACCGACTTGTGTCATGGCCGCGGCCGGGGGCCCCAATCAGACGGCGCATATTTGTGGCTGACTCCATCGGCGCCTTGCCCATTGACTCGTTAGGGCAGCTGAGGGCGCTTGTTGGCTCTTGTTGTTGCTGGGCGCGTGGGCTCTTTGGAGGGGCCCTAGTCTCGGCCCCGAGCGACTCCTGTACTTACGGAGTAGTAGTGCTGCACGAATAACGACTACTGAAGTACCGTACTGTTGTACGGAGTATGGAGTATACAGCAGTAGCGCAGGACCCTATGTCGATGCCGGTTATCCACCACGGAATCCCCAGCCTGCCCCCGCCTGCCCCGGAAATCCCAGGATTGGGGGGTGGACTCGGGGTGGATTCGGGTGGATTCGTAATCAGGGGGAGAAGTCCGGAGGGGGATGTGTTTCCAAGACCGCAGCGTGGCAGGGAAGAGAGGGTGGGAGCCGGTAGGAAACGGAATACGTACATATACAGTACATGTCGCAGCAGCAGAGCCCCGGAGAGGTGGGATGGCGATGACTTGATAGCTAATAGCTAAAGAAATGCGGTTTCTTGTTAGTGGTGGCGTCCATGCCAATGTCAATAGTGACGTTTCTCGTAGGAGTCTGGCCCCATCAGGGGTCTGCTGGACTCCTAAAGGATCAACAGTGGCATTTGGACAATGGCAATTGGAGATGGCAGTTGCAGTTGACAGTTACCAGTTGACAACTAACGGTTGGCAGCTAGCAGTTGACAGCTAACAGTTGGCAGTTGGCAGTTGGCATTTGGCAATTACTTCGTAGCAATTGCTATTTGCTTTGCCACCGTATTTGACAACTTATACTCCGTATGAAGCAATAGTATTTAATCGCCAGGCTCAGCTGCAAGTACTATTTCGTACGTTACCTTACCACAGTAGTCCTAGTACTTCGTACTTCGTACGACGTGCTCCCGCTTTGATTACCCCGTGTTGTTGACTGACTCGCGCACAACGTCGTCCATCATTATTATTGCTGCCGCACTTTCGTCCTTCGTCCATTCCGGAGGGTGAGCTTGCCATTATTCCCTCAGATCCCACCACGGCGACATGATGCGGTCTCGGACAACGGGAACACGCCCAAACACCCAATAGCCGAAATCGCCCGGGCAAAGGGACCCGTGCGCACCACGCTACTTGCAGTTAGACCCGCCACGTGATAGAGGCAAAACTCCGGACTCGGATTTCCCACGAACCCCGGGCTGCGTCTCACGTGCCACACCGCCACACTGCCCGCCGCCGGCATCCCGGTCGGGGGCGGTCGGCCTACCTGCCTATTGCGGGCCTCTCGTCTTCATGAGGTAAGCAAGGGTAAACAGTGACCGCTGAACAGTCCCATGTGAAGTTTCTACGGACTACTCCGTACAGAGCACCGACTAGTATGGACCTCAGGTATATGTATCTTTGTGCGTATAACTCATCCCCTCATCTTCTCGCAACAATACAATAGCTGAGATAGCTGAAATGGTGGATGGAGAGTCTCCTTGCAAGTGGAAGTGACGACGAGCCACGGATAAAATAATTACGGCAGATAAGTCTCTATTCCGTCGTCGGTTGTGTCATCGCTCTCTGATATGTTTCCCTGATCTACTACATACAGTACACACATGTACTGTACTGCACATGCACTGGGCGCTGGGCGCCACTAGGCTAGCCCCCACAGACCTCCCTGAAATTAAAGACGCATTATTTCCTACCTCGTACTTCCAATTGTCGCTACCCTAGCTAAATAATGCCGGTTTCCTGCTTCGTACAAGTAGCTCGTTTCGCTCACGTGTGGGTATGTGTTCCTCCATCGCAGCATTATTATGATCAATGAGGAGGAAATTAGGAATAGGCTGTCTTGATATGCCCATCTAGAACGAACATGGCGACCCGAAATCAATTATTTGGGCAGCATGTTGCGGGGAATGCTCCCCCTAGGCGAAAACCTAAAGCCCTTTCGGTGGTTCCGTTGCGCTCCATCCATTGGCTTTTGGGCTGCCAAGGGTCTGGTCTATATCCATGACCTCATTCGAAACATTTCAATATGCCATCAGAAGGTTCCTTTATCCTCTGGCATGTCGAATAAAAAGACACAGAGGCTGTCGCCCATACCAAAGGTTTAATATATTGCAGTACCAATTTCCACGTACTATAAGGTAGCAGATCTACAAGTTACCATCGAAACTCATCCAATTGCATTATTTTATTAATTTAATCTAGTCAAAATGTCAGTCCCAGAGCAGTTCGAAGGCTTTGTACCAAACTCAATTCCTACGCTTGAAATTTCCACATTTGACAACGTATCAACGGTTCATACCCAAACACTTCGAAGATCACGATGTCGATATTGAGGTCGAATGCTGCGGTGTCTGCGGCTGAGATATCCATGCCATCACTAGTGGATGGGGGGTAGCAACTTGGTCTCTACGTGGGTTATGGGATTATTAGAAAGGTAATCTAAGTAGGACCTAAGTTTACGACTGTTAAATCAGGTGAACGTGTTGGGGTTGGTACTCAGATTCAATCGTATATGCGATCCAATAACCATAAGTCGGATAAGGAGAATCAGTGCCCTCATATAGCTAGTAAGTAATCAAGCCATGATACGGGGCCCTCCCTTGACGGCACTGATATATATAGATGCATACAACGGCCCATATAATCCACAGCAACCAACCGATGAAAGACAAGACCGGCAACTAGATCTTCTCCCACGGAGGCTTCACTTTCCTATACCGAATAATATAGCCTCCTACAAAGAGGTCCCAATGATGTGGACAGGTCTGACAAGTTACAACCTACTGACCCTTGGTAGTACGCGCTGGTATCAACCTAAGAAAGAACGTCGCAGCTCTTGGCATAGGGCGCCCAGGATACTTCGGCATCATGTGGGCGAGGACTCTCGCTTTTATTTTCCTTTTTATTCTCCACACGGCGGATATGACGCATGAATTTGACTTGGCTACCTATATGGGTACCCTCACTATGAATAGGGAATTTCACAAGGCAGGCCTCGCAGATAAACCACTACCTCAGATTACGGTACTTGTAATATATGGTTTCATTTAATAAATGGGTATATCTTGGCCTTGAGTTAATTCCGGGCCGGTTCTAGGCCCATCTACTCGTGCCTCAAGCTGCAACAAAACCTTAATGTGCCCATGCCTGAATCTCTAAACGAAGGACATTCCACATTTATACCCCGCCATTTGTAGATGGCGAGGAATGTGTGTATTATGAATGGAGCTGCATCCGGTAGTGAAAGAGGGTGTCCAACCCGTCTATGAAGGAATATCGACAGATTAATCTCACGGCGGAGTAGATATAGCCAACATCATTGCTGGCTGTTCTTGTATTCAAGTAATGGCCATAACTTCCTTCATCATTGGACGACTATGAGAGATTTTAGAGGAATATTACTAGTACATGGGGAATTGGATAGGCTGGGTGCAATATAAATATACCAGTTAAAGAAGTATGATAGCGGTGGGAAACCGAGGGGACATCAGGCCATGTAACCACTCCACGGTCTAGACCAGAATCTCGATTCCAAAATCATGATTGAAGGTTGAATTTGGCCTAGCTGGTAGGCATTCAGTCGTGGGGAATGTACCTATTTCCATATGTTGCTTAACGCCACTTTAGAAACTCTATATTCAATATCAAGCATCGTCTGTATGCAGGAAGAAGCAGTTATAGTCTAGATGAGAACCACTCCCAAAGGTTCCCTCCGGATGCGCTTTCGAAGCATTCCTCAACAGCTATATAAACCCTGGCCATCCCCAATCAGCACAATGGTAAAATAACGAACTCTACCTTTGCCAAATCCTGATCATCAGATCTAACCACTCACACAAATCGTAGTGACACCAAAAGCTCACAACCATGCCCGAAGGCAACTTCCCCCTCAAGAGTCTCTCTTGGTTCCTGCGCCTCTTAGAATTCTGCTGTGCCGTTATCATATTGGGCATATTCTCCTACTTCATCTCGGTTCTCAGCAGCAACGGCATCCATGTCGCAACCTACATCCGGGCCGTTGAAGGAATTGCTGCTTGGGCAACAGGATACACCCTCATCGCCCTCCTGCTTGTCTGCTGCCTTGGCGGAATAGCGATATTTTCGAGTATAGCTCTGGTATTCGATGTCGCCTTGTTTGGGGCGTTCATCTATATGAGCTATGCAACTAGGGGCGGGAATAGGAGTTGTCGCGGGTATGCGTGGACGCCGCTCGGGGCTGGGAATGTCTTTGACGCCAACCGGTATGAATTTGAAACTGGGGAATTTGTTTTCTTACCTAGCTTGAGGAAGGCCTGTAGATTGGATAGAGCATGTTTTGTGCTATCCATCCTTGCTGTGTAAGTCTCAATTCCCCCTTTTTATGGGGAATGAGTCTCTGATACTCCAGCAGCTGCTTCTTCTTCTTCTCTGCCATCGTCGAGGGGGCCCTCATTCACACCAAAAGAAAGAAGAGAGCGTTGGCTCCTTCGCCAAATAACGGATATACGGCTGAAACTCCACACCACAGGTTTTGGAAGAAACAGCCTACGAATGTAGAGAAGGGCCAAGGTAAGCATCCAGATACGCTGCAACGCACACAGCCCCTAGTGAAGCAGAAACTAACTATAGAACAGAAATTGCTGCCGTGAATCATAAGGCTAGCCCTTCGAATGGGACTGAAGTTGAACCCGAGGAGAGAGTTTGAGAGGCAAATCGAAGTGCTGTGTAGACGAAAGTAAAAAGAAAATACCAACATCACTTGACCGGGGAAAGGGGTAATCAGAGGGCACCCCTTTATGCATCGTGTGACATAGGGGCAGAAGGGCACACTTTATTAAGTACTAGCTCGTGTAATAATTGAGTTTGCAATAAACATGTATATTTTTCTTAGATGCCGTTCCCTCGCAGCAAATATGTTTCGCCATGAAATGAAAAGCTGTAGAATTTTATCACATCTTAACAGAGGACCCGCTGACAAGAAGCACATAAACGAAAATTTGTAAGATGCTCAATTCTGTCTCTATATGGACCTTCAAATATGGCGTAAAGATGGTCATGGCTATCGGAAACAGAAACGGAATAAAAGGCAATGATTGTACAATGTCAGTCATCTATATATTCCTTAGTCCCTATGAGGGTCGCCTTCACCACCTTAGCGTCAGCCATTCCACCTCAATGAAAATATTAGCACCACTTTCTATGTAGTAGTCAACTGAATCAAGTAACGTAAGCGGGTGCCTTTGATTTGAAAATTTCAAAGTAGTATATGAAGGGCATGGTGGTTGGAGACAGCGGTGGAGCGGAACCACTTGGGCAACATTCTGGGAAATTCTTGGAGGTAAGAAAGGGGATATGTTAGCTTTGAAAGGGGAAGAGCTTGGCAACTACCGGGCGAAGATATAACGGCACTTCGTATGTGTCTAAGCCGGATTGGCAAGCTCCCTTAATACAATATGGAACACTATATTTTAACTAGCAGCTTCGAGGTTAATCAAATTCAGTATATTTCGAAATGGAAGTTGCCCAGAATTTGGATATCGCGGTGTCCGTTCCCCCCTGGCGGATTAGAGCCCTATAGCATGGCAACACTTGTTGAGGTGTTAGTGTAAAACACTGTGCATGCATACAGCCAAATAGTCTTGTAGGATGTCTATTTGAGAGGTATACCTTTCAGCATAAGCAGGTGTAGAGAGGCTATATGCAGTCGAGCCCAGGGTTGTGTAGGTTACGCCGTAGAGTAGAATGGAATGTTGCTCTCCTCGTAGGAAGGGAAATATTTCAGTCTTCCGCTCCTAGGTGGTGTCAAAACTATTGCTTTATATCAATTTCTAAGGGCATTATAGCAGAAGGGACGATAAAAATTTTATAGTATTATAGAGATCTTCCGTTTCCTATTAGTATAGTACTAAGGACAAATCGCCAGCAAATCATCATCAGTAATACTATTGTCTTCAAAATTATCCGCAAGCAAGCAAGAAGTAACAAGAAGTACAACCACGACATTTTCAATATACCTAGGTATACACCTAGGTTCATGCCTACACATATCTAGAGTAGCAATCCGATAGCGAGAGTAATTAATCGTGATTTCGACGAAAAATAGGTTCTGTTGGCAGGTTTTCCGTGACTCATTCGTAGATCTGGATTCGAGGCAGATATAGTTAGGGCTAATACAGTTCGGATTTCCGCATAGATCGCTCGCATGATAGCTATTATCTAGTAAGAGATCGATTTCACTTTGACTTTTGTACGCGAGTACGACTAATCGATGCACACTTTGTTGGGCCCAATCTTCTACCGTTGTACCGTTAGCGCTACGAGCACGCTTTGGGCGATCGACTGCAATTGGATATATCCCTAAGTATATCGAGTTAGCCACTGACTCAATAGTATCTAATTAGTATAGATACGACCTACATGAGGATGATTTGGACTTTTCTGTGCAAGTTGGCACCCGTAAGAGTTCCCTAGAGCCGGACGCCACCCCCTAGCCGTGGGCTGATAGCCTAATGTACCCCGTGGAGGCGGTATATATCCACTAACAAGCTTCTGCAAGGAGGTCATTGCTATATCTCTAGTTATATCTTTTGCTTCGGACGCTGTTTTTGAAATCTTTTTTTGAGCTGTTGCCTCGACCGAAGAACGTTTCCGCTTTCGGCCACCCACACAAACGCTTGCTAAGGACCGCTATTACCGCCGGGCATTGTAAACACAACTGATATATATATAAGGAGCGGTAAATGCAACGGATGTCAATGGATATTTAATTTAGAAAACGACAAAGGGAGAGGATATCATAATGTAAACTCCTGAAATAAAGACGATTCACCCGGTTGCGAGTTGTAAGGTATGCTGTCGAGTTGTAGCCATCAACGTCCGTGCCTCATGCACAATATAATAGGCCTATATACGGAGTAACTAGCTGTAGCTTTACTACCTAGGTACTAGGGCTCATCTAACAACAATGTGATATGCATCGGTTGCTCTCTCATAGATTGATATAATAACTCCTTTATCGGGGGGAGTCCATTACTACGTGGCTAATAGGTATATAATGGTGTTTAATATTTGATAGTCTCACGGATAGGATTATAATCAACCTAGAAGACCGCCGGGAAATAGTTTGCTTCTCATATCCCATCTAGAAGTGTCGTCGAACGGAGCCCATTCCGTTGCCCGTATCCCACATTATCCATAAACTCCTCCATTCCCATAATATCAGAGCTTAGAACGCCTGGTCAAGGAGTATTCGCGTGTGCTCTGCGTCCGGCGTCCTACTTCCCTTCTATCCCATAATATAGTGTACTAGGACGAAGGTGAACGATTATTCTCCGGGCTCAATCGCCATCGAGCCCTAATCCGAAATTCATATCTTTCCCTTCCCTTTAGTCGTCCTGCCTTTCCCACCTTTCCCATGCTTCTGCTTCGCAGCTGCCGCCTCTTCTTCCTCGATGAAATCCCTCATAATTCCATACAGAGCTTCGTTTCGCCGCGTAATAAGAAGTACATCATCCGTATTAATTGTTGTACGGCCTGCATGATGGGAGAATGATTCTAGATCCCGGGCCACATTTTCTGTAGCACGGCGACTGTTAATTCACGCTCTTCTATCAGAGGGTGAGGTTTGCCGTTTTCAGCCCACCAAGATCAAGTCAAGAGGTTTGCAAAAGCCGAGAACTTACCAATTTGAGACCATACCATCTCAGTCAACGCGCCAATAAATTGCGGTGTGGCAGTCGTGTTCATGCGGAGAGTCTCCTCGTCGACCATTTTTCCAATTGAGAACCAGAGAGATGCTTTAAGGCGCTTGAAAATGTCAGATTTGGATACATGCATTACACAAGGAAGAGAATATCATATACTTGCCTCCTGGTATTCATCATCCCTTGGCTCCGCCATGCTGAATCATGAGGGTTATTTGGATGTAGGTGGATGGAGATCGAACCCGTCGCGTCATAAGTAGGGAGACCCGTCTGCCGGGGTTTAACCGTTGATAACAAATTTGGGCCTTTATCGAGGGAGAAGGAATTGCAAATAAATCACTCACGCCCGAAACATTTCTTCTCTTTCAATTCCTCCATTGATGTGGACCAGGGCCGTCATATGAAATAACCCAGTACTACTTACTATCTGCTATATATTGCCTCCCTGCATACCTCGCCATGGCAGAACTCATTGCTAAATATGGTGGCAACTTCGTCCGGAACCTCCGCAAAACTTTCGACGGCATGACGCTGGAAAAGTATGTTCGTCTCATCGCTGTCGTCGGGGCCTACCTACTACTCCGCCCATATATCATGAAGCTAGGCGCGAAAATTCAAGCAAAAGAGCACGAGAAGGAGATCGACCTGGAAGAACCGGAAGGCCCGAAGGCCAAGATATCCCCGAACATGTTACGAGGCCATGGAGGCAAGGAGGTGGAAATAGGGGATAGTGAGAGCGAAGAAGAAGGAGAAGGGGACACAACTGGTGCAAATTGGGGGAAGAAGGCGAGGAAAAGACAACGGCAACAGGACAAGAAACTTCTGGCGGCAATCGAGGAGCGGCACAGGCAATTGCAGGAGGATGACGAGGATAAGGATATTATGGAATACCTGGTCGATTACGAGGAAGGAAAGGACGGTTGGTAGAGCTTTCGCGGTCCTATTGTACAAGATATATTGCTGGGAAGGCTTTTTGGACCATTGTATCACTGGGTTACTCGGCGTTCGGGGGAGGATGCGTCAAGAGATGGGATGCAGTTGGACGGGCCGCAGGAACTAAGACATAGCAGAGAGTATTAATTCTCCAGCACAATACATACGAACGGTTTCCCTCGATTGTTCCGTTGGGAGTTGAGGAAGTTTCCGTGGGGCTCGATGATATAGTAGTGGTGACCACAGTACTATACCGGACGGGGGGCGCAGAACAGCCATGTACTGTACTGAAGTGCTGTCGAGGCTGGGACACTTGCCACCAACTCATTCGCTCGTTGGAATACCGAATGGGATAATTAATAGACTCTCGTTGGGTGTCGGACGGGGGACTACAGTACGGATACTGCACGCCATCCCATGCAAGCTGCCCCTCCACCGACATACCACATCTCAAGACTTATGATCTGCTCCGCTGACTTTGAAGACAAAGTATTGCCCAGGCCATCCCATCGACAAGAAGCTCAGCACTCGTAAGGGGGTTTCTGCAGGCCAAGAGGCTCAAGAGCCAAAATTAATTATTGGCGACGAATTCCTGCGGCCGCCATTGACTGGTACACGGTGTGTGCTCCGTAGCCCTGCAACACCCCACCTCCGCCACTCAAAGGGCGAAAGCCAGTCGCCTCAACATTGATGCTCATGATGCGAGACGATACGATGCCTTGATGGCTTATGAATGCTTTACTGTTCTGCGATTCCATTTTCGAATTCCGAGGCGTCTTATGGCCTCGACAGCGGTGTGAGGGCAGCCCTAAGCTAAACATCAGCGATCACCATGGAAGGGTCTCGACATGATATCAACGAGCTGCTGACTCGTGGCTTTTTCACGACGACGAGAGGGAAGAGCCCAGCTCCTCCTCCGAGGTATGTTCGATGCGAGGATGCGGCTGATCCTGTCCCGTGGCTAACCTGGTTTCAAGAGCTCCGCGATCCTATCTCGAATCCGATTATGAACCGCAGCACGAGCGCAGCACGAGTCGAGTTAGTAGACAACGAGGGCCTCGACCCACAGTAGAAGATGAAGCAGTATCACTAGCTCGAGAATCTTCTGCTACCTGCGTGCCCACCTCCTACGAGCCTCCCTTTCGAGGACCCATCGACCAGGTCCCCATTATACTCGACGTTCATGAGGCTCCCGGTGAGGTTGCAAGCCTCCACGCAGAGCCGGATAGAGGGGAAGCGGGTAGCAAATATGAGAGGCGATTTGTGCTACTCCCTCGATCTGGATCGGACTCGTCAGAATCGGAGGATGAAGTTAGGAAGCGCAAAGATAGAGGTAAGGGCGAAGCCATGAAGGATAAGTTCCTGGGGAAAGGAGACAACGATACCCCGCAGCCATCTGTTCAACGACGAAGGAGCAGGCAAGACTTGCCGGCTCTTCAGACAAAGCTACCCAGAGAATTGCCACCACAATATCGACGAAGCGTTTCTGAGACGCCGAAGGCTCAAACTCCTACTCCACGACCTGCTGGAGAGGCCTTCCTCTCACCTGATGTCTCCAGAGGCAAGGGGGATCATTTCAGCTCATCTGCACCACGATACCAATCGGAGAGCTTTGGAGGACGAGCTACGCCTGCCGGAAATGACAGGCGGCCAAGCTCGCGCTCAGGGACGCCGTCTTTCGAAAAGAGGCACAGCGGAGGGCTCGAAGCCCATTCTCGATCGCGACGCAACACCAATGACAAGTTGACTAGGCCACAACAGCTGGCAGAAGGATATGAACCTCGACGGTCAGGAAGACGCAGTCCGGGATATTTTGACCGGCCGACAACAAGCCATTCTTCCAAATCTTCCCGCCATTCCAATACGAGGTATTCTAGCAGTAGTGATGATCTTGCGGATAGTGAATCGGATCAAGAACGCGAATACGGCAGCCGTGGCTCGCGAGGTTCTCGAGGCTCCCGAGGCCACAGGTCACCTTACCCGGATGATGACTACGATCATTCTCGGTCTCCATCAAGATCCAATGTATATCCTTCTAATAAGAAGGCTCACTCTAAACTTGCTTCACCATTAGCTTCGCCGAAAGTGTCGCCCAGCCAAATCCCTAGGGCTGATATGTTTGAAAGGAGTGAGACTTTTCCCAGGGATAGGAGAAACAGCCCAAAGCCACCGTTTTCACCGGCCCAGGAAACTACTCGACCAGACAAGCTAAGTCCTTTGGATGGTTCATCCAGAACTCGGTCAAGATCACGGTCAAACGCAACCCCTACCCTCGTGAAGCAAGAAACCCGTCCCACCGCATCGCTTCCAATTCCAATTCCTTCCAGAATTGATATCCATGCGCCAGGAGAAAATCGAAACGCCCCACCGTATCCTCTCGACGGGAACAGTCCAATCGCACCGCCTAGAAGTCCAAAACCTTTCTGGCAGCCCCCACCATTTCAACCTCCCTCCTCTAATTTGGAAAAGCCTGTTGGTTCCTATCGTCGATATTCTGAAGACATCGAGAAAGGTAGTATTCCAGCGCTGCCTCCATGTCCCCGGATGGCATATACTCGGGGCAGGAACGATTGGTTGACATTGCCAAATTGCCCATCTTTCGATATTTGTCCCTCGTGCTTCAACTCTACAATCGCTCCGACCGAGTTCCGCGATCTCTTTGTTCCTGCCCCTCCTAGATCATCGAGTGTTGAGGTCATTTGCGATTTTGGAAGTTCGCCTTGGTACCGCATTGCATGGTTATTGACTCTTAAGGAAAGAAGGAGAGATCTGAAACCTTTTTATGGGCTAGCAAATATTTGTGCAAACGAGCAACCTTGTGTTGGCAAGCAGGAAGCCACCAGGAGATGGCAATCGGTCATCGATCCAAAGACAGGCTCTCCGATTCGAAATTTCAACGTATGTGACAACTGCGTTAAGAGCGTGGAAACATTGCTACCATCCACCAGGGGTGTATTCGTCAGAAAGGAGAGCCATGGCTCATCTAGATCTACACGGATATGTGATTTACGCTTCGAAAGCAAGCGCTTCGTCCAATACTTTGATACGTTAGAGGTGACTGCCGACCGCGCTAATCAACATGATACCGATCCGGATACGAGAAATTTTGCTAGCCTTGCAAGGCGGTTCGCGTCAATAGATGAATGTGAAAGCGACAAGGATCTCATTGATCGGAAGTGGCATGTCATCACACAGCTTCCTGAGTTCACTGTCTGTGAAGAGTGTTTCGACGAAGTGGTATGGCCGGAGCTGGAGGAGAGAAAGTCTATCCCTTTGCTCTTTAATAAATCCGTAGCTCGCCTACCGAAAGCATCCTGTCAGCTGTACTCCCCCAAGATGAGGGGTATTTTTAGGACGGCGGTGGATGCGGATGATTACAAGTTACTTGCGAGCAAAGCAAGGGAGAGGAAAACAATCGAAGTAGCGTATAAGGCGAATGTAGCGGAGTTGAAGAGGCAGGAGAGGTTGAATCCGGCCGCTATACAGAAGGAGCTTAAGAGGGTGGAGGAGGAGTGGAGGAGATGGGAATAGATAGAAGGAAAAAGGATAGGTAGATCATGATTCATGAATGATGATAATGAACCTCATAATGTTCGATATAGCCTCCAGGCAGGCAGCTGCTGTTCTCTCGATTTGTGTAGCCTCCCCCCCAGGATGGTTTACAACTCCGGAAAGGGGAACTTGACTTGTTGGTTAATAGTTTCACTGCTGGTCAAGTTTGTACTTGCTGCTCCCCCCGTACTTCGATAGGCATTTCTCTCAACTTTTCGTACTTCTAGTGGCTCTAGTTGATCAGTCATGTGATAAGTCACATGTGTCGCCCATGGAATGAATACCTCTGTTGCATGTCGCACACCAAGGGGTAAAATCTCTCAAGAGATCGGGGACATTTTATTTACTAACTAAGGAAGGTAAGGTACTGACTTATTTACATTCCAGGTTGGACACTTGATACTTACTCGCACAGCAGCAAACCCAACCTTTAACTCTTTCTCCCGGTTTCTCTGCAACAGGTTACGCATGTACTGTACACACCAAACCTCTCTGGTTGCGTTCGTTCAACTGCGAAATGCCAGCAGCACGAACTGTTTGCTAATAATAAGTTGATTCTTGAGGCAGACAACACAGCCCACAGTCCTGGCTTAGCAAGCCTTGTCCCCGATCGTCCGGCGGCCCTGTGAGAATGGCGTTTCTTCGTAGGTACGTGGCGTCGTGGCAACGAGAACATGTCAACTCCGGATACTTCCTTCGTACAGAGTATTACATACAACGCTGATTGAGATGAGGCTGAGGCGTACTGTACATGTAGTCTTGAAGCCTCCGTGCAGTTCTTAGATTGCGGGCGGCTTGAGGCTCGCTCCCGGCGAGCCAATTCAGCCCTGAAACTGCGCCATACGCCACAACATCAAAGGGATCTGCTTCCGAAATACCCAATACTAACGAAGTACTTCTCGACTGCTCGCTCTCTGTCCAACGTCAGATTAACATCTGCGACATCAGCGACAGGGTAGGCTTAGTATGAGAGCACAAGGCGCCCAGGGCTCCAAGCTACTTGTCCCGACATGAATGGAAATTCGCTCGTGCCATACCTAGGGAAAGACTCCATCACCGCCTTTGCTTGCTGGTGCAAGCGTACTTCGTGCTGTAGACAAACTCACTTCTTCGTACTCCATGTTATATTTCCCAGCCCACTCCAACACGACTAAATGTTGGTTGCAGTACCATCGGTAGCGGTTGGTGGCACAGCCTCGAGATAGCAACCCCAGATTGCCCCCAGTCTTAACCACTGCCAACCGCGAACTGGGTCTTGCTGAGCCATTCCACTTCCAACTCGTTTAAGATGTCTAATAACTCGGATGAGAGACGTCTTTTGAGGCCAGAAGGAAGTGGTCTGTCGGAAACCTCTACCGCGGTGTCTTCCCCAAGCCCATCCTCGCCAACTTTCCACCGGCACGCCTATCATCGAATGGCTTCTGACGACCGAACGGACACCTACGACTTGTCGACCTTCTCTATCCACGGATTCGACTCTGAACCAGAAATCCATGGGCTGGGAATTACTCAAAGGCCACGGCCAACATCAATTGCGCGCGTACCCGTTGGTAGTCGATCGTCACTCTCCCCACAAGCATCCTCAAACCCTTTCGTGGGAGCGTCGCATGCCAGAAACCTATCAGCCGCGGAATCTTCAAATCCACCATCACCCTGGCAGCGATCCGATGCATATAATGAACAAAGCCCAGAGGAGGTGGGCGGACAAAATGGACAAGGCGGAAGGGGAAAACATTCATCTTTTACGGAAGACCTAGCTGATATTCGGGAGGAAGTGGCAGCCCAGACTTTTCCGCCAACGCCAACCGATAATGATAATGATGATGATAATTATAATGAAAATAATAGTAGGTGGAAAATACTCGCACATCACAATTCCGTCTATGCAGCTTATTGACCTTCGGTAGTACCAGGAGGATGTCCTCCAAAACGCGATATACATTCTCGCCGTACCAGTTGGCTGTCGATTTCAATATTTAGTCTATCCATATACTCGACTATATTCTCTGGCATCTGGTTAATTTTGGCAATCGTCCAGCCACGATATGGCCGAAGAATCCGCTCAGGCGGTTCTCTTACGCCTACCACAGCCTCAACCGTCTTTGCGCTTTTTGCAAAGACTATTGAATTATCCTTCGTCACCGTTTTTGTGACGTTTCTCGGACAAGTATTAAGTCGCCGGTCATTGATTAGAGGTGCCCGTGGAGTAACAATCGCAGAGATGACCATGCGAACCTGGGTCATACAACCAGGGTTCATGATCACGCATTGGAGAAACCTGCAGCATGCTGGCCTTTCGATACTCGGTGGTATTACGCTCACAGCCGCCGTTGCTGCAATGTTCTATACGACAGCATCGGATTCGATTGTCTCACCCCATTTGAAATATGGAAAGTATACAAAGATGACCATGCACGGGTTAGTAAGGATGAATTATGCCAATCCTTTCTACATATCAGATAGTTGTCAGACTCCGATTACCCCGCAAATCGATCCTGACTATTCTGGCTCCACCTGTCTCTCGATTGAACACGCTGGAGAAGGTAAGCTTTGTATTTTATAGGTGATCCTTCCGCTAACCGCCGTAGCGTATCACAATGCTATTGTCTTTCTCAACACCTGGGCGGATCTTAGCAATAGTAGCAATGGGCCCACTGATCTGTCTGGACGACCCCGCCCTCCAGCCATGCTATTTGACAATACCACAGTCCTAGGAAGTTGGGTCTCCTTGGGCACAAGCAATATGGCCGACGCCTATAAAAAGCATGGCCGGTTACTAAACAACGTCACTCTGTCAATGCCGCACGCTGGGGTGTTTGCCGCCGCAAGAGATGCTCGAAACAACATCCTACAACCGGAAGATCTCGATGGGGTAGGGGAATATTACGTGAGAGCGTCCGTGGTCAGCCCTTCTGTTAATGTCATGTGTGTCAATATGGATGCCAAAGAGGTTGCACCGTTGATCTATGTCACCTGGCCACATGCAAGAACAAATATCAGCACGATTCCCGGGCAAAAGATTGCTCAGCCAGACTATGACAAAGATGTTCATCCCGCGCCAGGCCGGGAATATTTGAATAGCACGGCGGTAGACGATATCTTTGAATGGGGTCCTAAATATGGTCGTCAACCGCCTGTTTTTCCAATGGTATGTAATATCTGCTTAGGATGCTCGAGTCGACTAACATAAACAGTACCCAATCGATTACAACTCAATTACCAACATTTCTGCCCCCCTCCCCAGCGATTCACTCTATCTACTCATCAAAGCCCCAAGTGCTACTACTACCGATTACACCATCTGCCAACTGCGGTCCTTTCTCTCGCCCGCCTGCAGCACCCAATATAATGTTACTGGAGCGAGTGGAGGCCACCTCGAGGCTCATTGTGAAGATGATGACGATGACATGGCATATGGGAAATCAGTTCCTGATGCTCCTACGACCCGCTCATCAGACTGGAGGAATGTTGCTCAGAACTGGATGCTGTCATTGTCATTGAACACGGGGATTTCAAATGCGAATGCGTCAAATTCAAGGCTTCTTGCCCAAATGATCCCAACGGTGTCAAATAACGCCAAACCAGAACTAAACCCTGCCATGCCAAGTATCGCTGAGACGCTCGCAGTCATGGTTGGTAATACGTTATTATTAAGCTCCACTGATGCGACATTTTATCACTATTGGGACGAGACATCTGCACGACTTGATACTGGCAAATATCAACCATTCAACTCTACTTTATCATCACAGCAATACACGTCGGGATACACGCAGCAGTGGCAAGCTATTTTCTACCTGGTTTTAATACTCGTGTTTGTCACGAACATTTTCTGCCTGATTTATTTCATCCTCCGCGCAGGGCTTGTTACGGATTACACCGAACCACAGAATATGTTCACTCTTGCTGTCAACAGCCCTGCTTCGCGCCGGCTGAGCGGGAGTTGTGCTGCTGGGCCAGAGCCGGATCAGCTGAACATAGGCTGGCAGGTGATTCAGGAAACTGGCTCTGGACATATTTACATCAAGGATGCCGGAGGTGGTGTTATAGAGGAATATGAACTGAGAAGGAGAAATCCTCATACGAAGTCTATATCTAGTTACAGTAAGCTGAGTAGCCCGAGAGATAGTCGGCTGTAACATATTGTTGAATTTTTAATCGTTACAATCATCTAATATTGTTGACTGCCGCTTGCCCATGATAAGACATTAATTCTTTACAATGCCTCAGTTTTGCTAAGACATTTGCTAATGATTGCCGATTCGTTGCAATGCCTCAGCTTTTGCTAAGACATTTACTGCAATTCCTTAAGCGATACAACCTTATCCCCGGCACTACGAAGACGCCTAGTAAACTTATAGACACTCTAACAATCCCCTGTATCTTGTACTTATCTATACCTTGTGGAACTATACTAGTAACTATAGTATTACAAGTCATGACTCAGACGTTTTCGTTTATATAATAGTACTTTTTTTCCCAGTAGAAAACTCAATCCTTTTAATAACACCTAACGAATTAGAAACCGCTACTTAGTATAGCCAAAGCCAAGTTGCCCGCCGGCCGGGACGAAAGGACTGGGAGAGAAAAGAGACCTCGACAAGACCACTTGATAACTAATCTGCACTGCTCGGTTTAGATATGTTTAAGTCTTAGCTGCACAGGCTACCTAGGAAGAAACGAGATGGAACACCCCACTTATAGAGAGCGGTAAAGTATTAGAACATACGTTTTCCTCTAGATATAATAGATACCTAGGTAATTAATAGTACTCTATGTTTCGTCGTTAGGAACAGTTACATTTGTCATGAGTACGGCATCTAAGCGATTAGTATTAGTACCTACAAGATTACTAGTAGTAGGAGTCTTTGTAGTAATGGCAATGTAGTATAGCACCGACTATGTAGGGCGAGGTATTAGAGCAACAGACTTGGCAAAGTCGAGTTATTGTAGAGAATCGGCCTTATTATTTAACGTACATATCGCGACTTATAGTTGCATTATAGGATTTTATCTTAACTCTATAGATCTTCCTTGTGCAAACTTCACTCGTTCTCTTCTGTATTATACTATAATTAAAAGCGAGAAGCGTGCCGAAGCGGCAGAGGCTGACTGTACTGTACACAAGCAGATCGTCAATTGGATTCGGTACGAGGAGGTCGCCAACTCAGTAGGACCCACCATAGTCGAAAAAAACAAATAAACTTAGAGGCCCTGGGCAGAGGGGGTTGCATCTAGTTCTGTCGCCTTTGCCACTATAAGGTTCAAGCCTTGCATGGAAATGCCACAATGTTAACCTACGTGGTACTAAGAGTCTTGCTACGTCCGCATTATATCACTAATTATCCCAAGTAGCATAAGGTCATAATGCATTAGGAAGCGACTTCAATTTATATCCCAAAGAATACAGTATCATGACCCAGGCAACCACCCTTCCTAACATATCCACGTCCAATCCACGGCTAGAGACGTAACGCAGCAGAAAATCAAGTCAGATTAACAGCAACACAACGCCAGGATAAACGCAGGTAGCATCAATGCAGGTAGCGACAGCGTAGGTAAACATCAGGGCGACCGACGAACAAGCTAGGCAGAGGAATCCAGATGCAAAACAACAAAAACTTCACCCTTAAGTGCGAACCACCGGAGTAAGCTTCACCATCAATGGGCGTTTCTCAATGAAGGTGATAACCTTCAAGCCCTTTAGCCAAGATTTGCTCTCCTCGGCGAGCTCGAAATCAAACTCCCACAGGAGGTTGGTCATAATCAGGCGCATCTCAGCATGGGCAAGATTTTGACCAAGGCAGTTGCGAGGACCGGCCGAGAATGACTGGCAAACCTTTCGATTATCTCCCTTGAACTCGAGGGGAGGATCGGCCAGCCAGCGCTCTGGAATAAACTCCTTGGGGCGAGTGAAGTTCAATGCGGAATGGCCGGCAGCATAAAGGTCCACGGCAACTTTGGTATCGCCTGGGATGAAGTGACCACTGATGGTGCAGCCTTCCGGGGGGGTGATGCGTCGGAGAGCTCCGGGAACAGGAGGAAACAACCGTAAAGCCTCGTTGAGCACGGCGACTAAGTAGGTAACGTTGGAGACGTTTGTCAAGTTGATCTCATCGGGTGATTTGTATGATGTCCGGATAGCGTCAGTAAGTTTCGCCATAACGGGCGGGTTGCGGAGAAGATGGTAGGTCAAGCCAGAAAGTACACTGGCTGTTGATTCTGAACCTCCAACCATCAAAGCTACAACAGTCTCGAGCAACTCCTGGTAGCTAACTCCATTTGGCGTGTCCAACAACTTCAATGCAGGTTCTACGCTAAGTTTGATCAGTAGTCATCGACAGAGGCAGATAGAAGGGTTCTCACAAGTCCGGCCGAGATTCAGTATAGCCTAGGCGCCGGTCCAGTTTCTCCTTGGTCATAGTCGTATGTCGGCTAGCAGCCTCCCGGAAATTCCTTGGGACCATAGCCATCAGGATAGGGGTGAGGGGCCAGAAGTATTGGGTCAATCCAAGCATAAAGGCAGCAGCAACAAACTCGAAGACATCTAGGACCCAGGCCTAGGTTGTTAGCAAGTCTATAGTTGTGGAAGGAGATGTACTTACATGCAGCGTTGAAGTCTCCAAGCAGGCAAAAGATTCGCCGAACGTCAGGTCGCCGATTACGTCGAAGGTAGTGAAGTTATACCATTGGAGGATATTAACCGGCTGGGCGCAGTTCTCATGCAGTTTGGAGACAAGTTGGCTGATATACTTCTGCAAGATTGGTTCCTGCTCTCGCACAGATTTTTCAGAGAATGCGGAGGAGAAATTTCGCCTGTGCAAAGTATTAGTATTAGCTTGCCAATCCATACAGTATACAAACCTAATGCGATTGTGTACATCATCGGGGATAGGCCATGGACCAAGACCAACGACGCCGCTCGCAGGCGGAAGAAAATCGTAGGGGTTCTTTCCAAGCTGGGGTTTTCCTGGTTGCTTCATATAGATATCGCCCCATGCAGATGCGGTAATGAATGATACTTCGTCGGGTGCAAGACGGACGATCGGGCCATATTTGTCGTGGAGCTCAGCAATCCGGTATGGCAGGTAACCCGTGTATCCGTTATAAGCCATGGGGATCCTAGTGAGAGCCCAGAGGCGTGGACCAGGGTGTTTCGATAGGGGGTGAATGTACAATCTATAAAAAGCAACGCTAGAGCAGAAGACCAAAGCCTGAAGACAGTCAGCATCATTCTCAACTCATAACGACAAGGGCTCCGCTAGTAGGAATGTTCAAGAACCAGGAGACTTGTCCCAGGGTTGGTGATAACACAGCAAGAGGGGAGCAAGGGTGAAAAGTAAACGTGAAAGGCCACTTACAGCCGTTGCCAAAAGTTGGAGGTAGGACATTGCTAGGGCGGCCTGTTTGAGAGGATCAATGACGGTCATAGTGAGGCGGGTGGGACGCCACAGACCCTCGACAGTCAGCTTCTATACGATAAGTAGAGACTGGTTATTGCTAGTGCCGTACTCTTCAAAGGCAGACACTGTATTTGCAAAGTTAGAGTTGAAAGCAGAAGAGGAGGGCGGGGGGAGAGCGGGGGATATAAGTTGGGCGGTGTGGTCAGCGTGGGTCGTAGTTTGTCTTTCCAAGTTTATCAGAAGACATACATTCATCTCTCGCTTGGCCTTCTATCACCGTCAATGTCAGCTTACCAGTTAACAGTAACTGCTACGAAGTATCAATGACAGTATCCCATGCTTGGATTTTATTGGGCATAACCACATAGCAGTGATAGGTTCAGAATGCTCTGGACTGGCTCTTCTTCAAATAAGCAAAAGGGTTGGGTAGATTCAGCGAAGCAGATGGATAAATCTGAATCAAAGGACTCGACAGCCCGGATGTTGACACAAAATGGGTACAACACCAACATGTGGCGCCGTCAGCCAGCATTCCTCACCAAATCATCGAATCGTAGCTGTATACCGGGAGGCGTAGCCCTTCCAGCGTAGTTAGGGTGGTATGCAAACCAATAGCAAGTAGGCTGATTCAAATAAAGTAAAGATGGCTATCGCATAAGAAGATATCAATATAATCTCAAGGCTTCTTGGGCTAAAGCTTGAAGGCGTATACCATGTCCCATGCCCTGTGTGCCGTTTCCCCACTTGTAAAGGGAACTAGTAGCAAGGCATTAAGAACATCTCTCATCCTCATACAAGATTGCTGCATGTCTATATCCAAGCTCCAACCGAGAGGCAAGTTTTGGACGAATACATGCATCGATATCAATAAAGCATCGCTTGGACAGCGCTCTTGCAACAGAGAATGAACGAAAGCAGAGGCAAAGGGACATGGAGCGCTTGCACTCCCACAAACTCAGCGCACAAAGTCATGGAGGGATTGGATCGTCTTGCGGCAAGACTTTGCCATGCAGCAAATGTCCATATACTGGCGGCCGCCTTCTTATGATGGCGCTCACGTCTGCTGTTGGAGGCGCTCTCTGCGCATTAAGTACATGAGCAACAGCCATCTGAACGGGATTCGCAAGCACGCCCAGTCTGCAAGTAGATCCCGATATGGCATGGACACTGTGGTTCTGTTCGATACCGCTCTCTATTGGAGTTGGTGGATGCGAGGGATGGGCGAGACGGCTTCACAGTGCTGGTGGCTCAGGAGAACAGGAGAACTACCGACAGATACAGATCCGGTACTCGTAGCCGAGATCATGTGATCAGGTGGCTCAGATCACGTGATAGTCCTCCTAACCGTGAATGGGAATTCTGCCGCAGCTGACTAACCCCAGGCTTCAAGCCATGCGACTGCGAATGGTCATCCATCCAGATGATGCGTGTGCGCCTCGTGAGACAGCTCCCTCTGTATAACGCTCATATCCTACCATTGCTGCATTGTATGATTCTTGATACCTTTTCTACCAGTTAAACCTACTTCGCCTTGTGCTTTTATCCCTCCTGGACGACTCTCCGGGTTCCGCGTTGTCATTTCCAAGCATCGCCCAGCCATGCGGCACCCCCAAAGCTTGGCCGACGCGGCCATACTCACTATATTTCTCCTGCCGTCCCTCACAGCAGCAGTGGGAAACATAGACTGCAACCATGTACGCGTGGATGGCATAGGGTTTACTTTCAAAGAACTAGGAGGACCCCGATCAGCCCAACATAGCTTCGACAGGGGCCAAAGCTTCCTAAACACCACATACACTATCGACATCTGCCGACCGCTGAAGAAAAGTTCTGGCTCTGATCCAAAGGCCAAATGTCCTAGTTTTACACGATGTAAGCGACAAGTCCAGGAATCTCAAGCTAAGTGCTTGCTAATGTTATTTAGTGTGTGCCGTGGAGCGATTTGTATCGAAGGATGGGACCACGGATGTTATCCAAGATGCTTATCCAGTTGCCGGCGAGCTGAAGACAAACGGAGGCGGTGATATGAACGCCAAGTGGTCACGATTAAAGGGATCCATATCTCATGAGGATTCGAAGAAGGAAGGCTTGCTTCTTGAAATACACGGGGGTTACAAGAAGACGGATACGGAGAAGAAGAGGCGGCAGAGGGCCGTTATTGAATTTCTCTGCGATAGAGAGAAGACGGGGTTAGAGAATCTGCCGGAGCCCAAGGATACATATGATAAGGGCAAGGAGAAGCGGGCGGAAGATGCCCCTGAGGAGGAGACCGATTTAACTCCCAGCTTGACCTTCGACTCGTATGATACGGAAGGAGATGAAGATACCCTGCGGTTGGAATGGAGGACTAAGTGGGCATGCGAGGATTCCAAGAAGCAGCAAGATGAGGCGAACCGGTCACATTGGGGATTCTTTACGTGGTTTGTGATAGTGTATGCTCCCTGACCCTTCCCCCTGTTCCCCAAAGGCCATTCTCTACTCCAATGCATAGACCTTGATCTAACAACTTCTTCCTCCAGCGCCTTCCTCTCCACAGCGGCATACCTAATCTTCGGCTCCTGGCTCAATTACAACCGTTATGGCGCTCGTGGCTGGGACCTGCTACCCCACGGCGATGCCATCCGAGATGTCCCGTACCTCCTCCGAGATTGGATCCGAAGAGTTGTCAACACCATACAAGGGGGCGGAAGTAGGGGAGGTTACGCAGCTGTATGAAAATGGAGAAACTGGGTTTCAAGACTTCACGCTGCACGAGAGCAGATGGAGAGGCAGACAGGACCTATTTGGGGAAATTATAGCCAAGGAAGCAGGGTGGCTGCTAGCTAGCGGAGGGAAGTGCATGTCGAGATAAGCGTGGACGGGGCATTCATGTACTGTACTATTAGGCCACCCTAGGCGGCTCATTCCTGGAATCCTACGTATATCCATTTGGGGAGTAATGAACGATCTAGGGAACTGCATAAGTAGGACTTTTGAGGTAGCAGATGTCCCGCGGACATGTACGGCCATATGGAGCTATGCCATTCTTTAACAACCAAGGCCCTAGTATAACGCCCTTGGAACTATTTTGTCGCTTTTAGATCGCCCGGCTATATCCCTTATTTTGTGCGGTTCATATTTACAACATACCTAGCCTACCCAATCTCTTAAGGGCTATAAGTATTCATAAGCCCCCAAAAGCTATCACTCCCAAAATCTCCCTCAAACTGCCACCTTGCAGCACTCATGTCCTCTTCTCCCGCTACATCAATACCCGTCACGTCCCAAGTCCCAGTCTCATAGCCCGAATCCATTGCTGTTCCCAAGTCGTTGAATACTAGATCGTGCATAGGGTGTAGCGGTGCTAAGGGAATTGGGGCGAAGTCGCCTGGAGCGGTGGTGATATTGCCGGTGCCCCACGACGCCGAGTTTGACGAGAGTGGAGTTGGAACAGCGGACGGTGATGTAAGGTTCGAAATTGTGGGAAGAGTGTAGACGGTTGCTGGAGTTGGTGCATTATTGTGATCTGTAGTGGAGGTTGAAGAAGCGCTGGAAATAGATTGATGATGCGTTGAAGGTGTTAGGTATTGCCCATTGGTTGTTAAGCATGGATATGTTTCTGGGGTGCGAGCCAATGGGGATGATTGCGTTTTAAGCCCTGATTCGGTCTGGATCTGGGTGGATTTGGGTGGGCTGAGGGCGCGTTTTAACCGTAGGTGGATGGCTTTCAATACGCCCAGCGCAGCTTTGGCCATAGTATTCCGCGTCGACATTATTTGGAAGCGTTCCATACCCCATTCGAAATGTCTAAGACTGTCGTCGAGATCATCCGAGTTTTCGTGCGGATGTAGGATGTATATTGCTGCCACGAGAACAATTGCATCAAATGTGTTTAAAACCAGGGCGAACATCTTGTAGTGCAGGGAGCTGAGCATTCCGAAAAATGCTCGCTGAGCAAGCAGAATATCTAGGCCAGCCTTTAACGCCGCTGTACGGCTAGATGGGCTCGTGAAGATGTAGGGTCTGTGAAGAGCCATAATTGTAAATGCAGCGCCGTTTTTGAAGACCTCCCGAGCACGTGGAAGCCAGTAGCATCCTGGATCCGCGTCGAATGATGTATCCGGGTTATGAGCGCGGAAGAAGGGAGGGCAGTGGAAGGCTATTTGGCGGATGAGATTGTGCATTTTCTCCACTTTGGCAAGGTTGTTTTGATTCGGGTCTTCCTTCTCAAGGTTGAAAATATCCCACAATGGTGCACTAAGCTCCACGTTCCAAAGAAGCATGGTCAGAGGTGTTGGGGGGTCCGATTGAGCTCGTGGCGAAGGGGCCGCCTCACGACGGCTCTTGGGGGTGGGCGCATCGATGGGAAAAGGAGGTGTTCCATCCCGGGGGTCGATTGTTGCAGGCCGGCCCAGATTAATCGCCATGTGGATATCCCAAAGCGCAAGAATCAACCACATCCTTCGTCTTAGCTGCTCGACCCAAAGTCCCTCGAGAATATCTTCTGCTTTCTCATCCGGCCTGCGAGGTTTAGAGACACCCTCCCTATGTAACCCGATCTCCTGAGCATCTCTGATGGTGGAGGATAATGAATGCCAGCCCTCTGTAACCATCCCCACATTCTTGAGATATGCCGTTCGAAGAAATCCTGCTTGGACGGTGAGCAGGGTGGTGTTGCGCTTGCCCAGGAGGTTGAGGATGGCTACGCCAGACTCGCTATAGTCGCTAGCCAGATCATCGAATGACATCCCCGCGGCGTATTTCAAGGAATCGAGGCCCTTGTCGTAGTCTAATGGCTGAAACTGTAAGGCCAGAGCGAGGCATTGGAAGAGTAGCGCGGGGAAGAATTGCAGCTCGCCAGATAATTCTAGAGGGCCCTTGTTCAAAGTCGAGAAGGACAGGTTGTACCAGTTCTGCAGGTGGTCTCTGAATATGCCCTCATCCAAGGGATAATACTGGTAATTGACTTCGCGGAAGTATGTTGGCAAGAGCTGCTCGATATATGGCTTGGAGGGCAATTGGCGTATCAGACTCTTGTATTTCTCGCGGAGGCCGCTCTGGTCGGACGCCCCTGCTGCGGGATGGGCGAGCAGAGACGATTCGCCGGCGTCATGTTTCTCGATCTTCTTGAAGATCCCCAGCGTGGTGTTGATATTTCCATTCGACTTCGCATATCCAAAAGCCGTGACCTGCGCCGCGGTATCTGTATCGGCGTCCCTGTCTGGATCGTTTGGCCTGATGACACTGAACGCCCCGCCATGGAGGGATGTTGCTGCGGCGGTGTTTTTCTCCTCGAGCAATTGTTGCTTCCTGGCAGATTCGTTCTCATAGTGGCAGAGGGATTGCTTGTTGCGCGCGATGCAGTTGGAGCAGGGAGACGAGCGGTCGCACTGGGAGCTATGCGTAAGTAGAGAGGAGGGGGGGAACTCGATATAAGCTTTGGGGGGGGGGGTTGCACCTTTTGCTTGCGCCGATGGCACTCGGTGCACGATATCACGATCCTCTTGCGTTTGCGTGGCGGCTTCAAGGGACTCGGCGGGCGAGGAGGGCCATTGTCGCCGGCGGGATTCATGGCTTTGGGGCGCGACGCAATGGGAGGCGGATGAGGTTATATATATCTCTTTATCAAGACCAAGGCAAGCTTGGAGATATGAAAGATGGAGAAAGCGGGGCGACAGCAGCAGGTGGAACCAGTACTGTACTTCTACTCGTACAGTACGAGGAGAAGAAGAAAGCCGGCGGGGCGCAAAGAGGACAGCAGACAGCACGGCCACAGCAGCAGCAGCAGCAGCAGCAGCAGCAGCAAACGCAGCAAAGCAGCTGGGGGAGACTAGTATGCTCGACTCAACTCGACTCGACACTCGTTCAGGGACCGCGGATAATAATAAATGGCGAAGAACAAGGGGTTATACTTATATACGAAGACTTCGCGAAGGAATGAGACAATGGCACACTGGCGACATTGCTACAGCGCAGGGTTGTTATTTGGCGGTGGTGTCCTGTACGTAGTGTAAGGTGCGTAGTGTACGTATTGGAGTACTCGAGTATGTGTATGTGTATGTACATGTACATGCGTATGTATGTGTATGTATAGTACTGTGCTGTCCTGCGTACCTCCTTCGTACCAGCGTGCAAAGTAAAGTACAGTACGAGCGAGAGGCGGACTTAGGACTTAAGCGCAAGCTTAAGCGGCTTATTACAGTATGAGCTGGAGCTTTGCTGCTGCTGTACAGTAACTCGCAAAGTAACTCCTGGCCCACGAGATCCCCAGGTAGGTACTCCAGGACCAGATGGCGATACTGTACTCGAGTGTTGGATGCTTGGAACAGGTGCATTGCAAGTGCCAACTCTAATACCTATATGCTAAGATAAGAGTCGTAAGATAATACAAGGTAGTGCTCTTCGGCACTGCTCTACGTATTCCGGACTCCCTACGACGTGTACCGGCACTGTACTATGTAATAAGACCTGCAAGCTCATGAATTTGCGGTTCAAGTTGCAACCGTCAGTCTTGGGCTGGTACTATCATACCGTACTCGGTCCCTCGAAGGAGGGCCTTGCACCTACGCGCGACGGAGGGACCCGAACAATAACTTACCTTACCTTATTAACTTACGAAGTCTAACAAGGGACGAAATCCTGGCTCCCCGTTCCTTGTTCCTGGGGTGGATAATGGTCCCCTCCCTCCCTCCTGTCCTCTCTCTCTCGCTCCCCTCGACGGTCAACCCTCAACCCTCAACCCTCCTGATCCCCTTCCCTCCCCTTCCCTTCCCTTCACTTCCCTTCCCCGCTACTACTACCACACCCCCTCTCTTTAGCTCTCTCTATACCTTCTATATTGTATATGCTATATATGCTATATGCTATGCTATATGTTTATATGTTTATATTCTCCATTGCTGGTCGCTTAATATCGCCGCTGCAGCATGACGGAGGTGGCGCTGGGCCACAGATCCCCAAGGACCCCAAAGCTGCTCATCGCCGTCCTCCAGTTTCCAGTTTCCAGTTCTGTGCTGTTGTCTTTGTCTTTGCCGTGCACACTCCTGGCGCACGACACCCAAGCCATAGCCATAGCCATAGACATAGCCACACCTGGTATGATATCCAAGTTGCCGTCTGCTGCTTTGCCCGTCTCGTGCTGGTGTCCGCTCTTTCTTGCCATCCTTGCTTTTGCTCTACTTGTGTAGTTCAGCCGCCTCCCTTCCCACCACCATCCGCCACCATAGATCCAAGCTCGCGATGATATGCCGACCTAGACTCCCTTCTAGAACGTGCCCACGTCTTTGCTTCACTTGACAGACCTCGATAGTACTCGAGTATATCCATCCGCCAGAGGCAGACGGCGGCAGTGACACGCGATGGCGCCCACCATTGAACCCCCCGCCATCATTGCCTTGTCGCATGTTGCTGGGGTTTCCGATGGGGCCAGAGCGAGAGAGCTTTATAAGTACGTCGTGTTCTCTTAACGGGTCACAGATCCCACGCCCCCGTTCAGAGAAGAGGGCTGACGGCGCCGTATTAGATACTTCCAACCCTCTGAGCCCGTCAACTCCGATACCTGTTTTCCAGCCTCAATAGCACCTGTACCTGCACCTGCAAGTGGAACTGGAACTCGAACTGGACCTGTCCAGCAGGCGGAGGATGAGCCTCCCCGGCACGTCCCAGTCAAATCAAACATTACCGCTGCCAAGGTCGCCTCTCCTGATACTGCTCTTACGGCCTTTTGCCAACTAGTAACATGGCGAACTGGATCACAGCGAGCCATGATCGGGTGCGCAAGAATCCTAAGGATGCCAATCCTATGGCCCGATATGCTAACCTGTTTCAGGCTCATCGATGCTAAGACTCAGTACTTTGTTGCCGAGAGCACGAAGACCGTGGACCTTTTCGATACGGCCAGCCACGCCACTGGCGACGACATCTGGATGGGTTGCAGCAGTGTATCAAAGACTGGAAAGCTATGTGAGAAGTAGGTTTATGCCCGACTTTTGCAGGCAGAGCTTTCGCCCACTTACTTGCCTGTGCAGAACAATAGCGGTAAAACCTTCGCCAAATAATAGCAGCTACCCATCGTTTGTGGTCAACGACCTCAGCAAGGATGAATGTTTCAACCAATTGCCCTTCGTCACTGGCCCTCCAAATCTGAGATTCTACGCGGGTGTCCCGTTGATAACAGAAAAAGGGATACCTATTGGAAGCTTGTTTGTCGTTGATGACCAGGTGAGAGATGGGATGAGCAAGGAAAATATCCATTTTATGGGCACCATGGCGCAAACCATTATGAAACACTTGGAGATGGTAAGAGGGGTTGAAGAGCATCGTCGAAGCGTCAAGATGAGTCGCGGTCTCGCCTCGTTTGTTGAAGGACGTGCAGAACTCCTCGAGGCTGAGGTCGACGTTTATAGTGGTGAGGGAACCAAAATCGCTGGCCAATTTGCCTCTGAGCCACCAGGCTTTCCCGGGTCGAAGCCGAATAGCCCACCTAGTAGTTCCATAACCGCCCCCATAGGTTCTCCCAGCAGCGTTGATCGGAGAGACCGAGAACACTCGCATTCCACTCCACTGACCATGCTCAAGAGTGAACAGGCCACGAGAACAAGAGCCTCTCCTGACGACAAGCCGGATAGCTCACTGCGACCTCCCGAATACTCCACGCCCGAATCCCAGGGTACATCACTGGGAACAGCAACATCAGGGAGTATCATCTGGTCTCGCTCTAACTATCAAACCGGTTCAAGTGCTGATGTCGACTTGTCGGAAACATCTTCCCAGAAGCGTCTCTTCTCGCGTGCTGCACATTTGATCCACGATACCTTTGAAGTTGACGGCGGTTGCATCTTTTATGATGCACAAGCGGGGATCGCCAGCGACCACCATGATCAGCCCAGCTCCCCAGGACATGCTGACCCCTTGACCGAGGATAGCCAGACGGAAAGTCAAGCTACGAGTGGCGATGAATTTCCAACTATTGGCGAGAACGCTTCCTTGAGCCATGATCCGAATAACGCACCGGCTGTTGCCACCTCACAGGCAGCGATGTCTCCCGATCTACCTGCCGCCTTCTCGCGGACGTCAAGAATGTCGAAAAAGCCTGCCGAGATATTGGGCTTCTCGACTCCTGCTGCAACTTCGGTCCATGGGGATGCCCTACCCGGGCCCCAGCTGTTCAAACCCTTTCAAGAGAAGGCCCTCGACTCTCTGCTACGCCGGTATCCTAGGGGAAAGCTATGGACGTTTGATTCTGATGGTGGTGTCACCTCATCGGAGGAGGAGGAGGAATGGCTTCAGCGTCCGGCGAAGCACCCAGTCCAGCCCAACAAGGACGTAATGCGACGGAAAGCTCGAACTGTGCGTGCTAAGTCGGATGCCAAATTCCTTTCTAAGCACTTCCCAGGTGTCCGGCAACTGCTATTCGTCCCTCTTTGGGATGCCGGTCGCTCGCGGTGGCTCAGCGGGTGCTTCGTATGGTCGACTGAGCTTAGCCGGGTCTTCTCTAAGCAGAGCGAGCTATCGTTTCTAACTGCATTTGCCAACTCTGTGATGGCAGAGTGGTCGAGAATAGATACGGAGATCGCGAATCGAAAGAAAGGAGATTTTATTGGCAGTATCTCCCACGAGCTGAGATCTCCCTTGCATGGGATACTTGCAAGCGCAGAGTTTCTGAGTGATGAAGTTCAGTCCACCTTTGAGACGAGCATGGTTGAGACGATATCCAGTTGTGGCAGGACCCTTCTTGATACGATAGTAAGTGTTCTTTGCCCTCGTAATGATTCGTATTAATCCTTTAACCAACTTGGGCATGCCTCTCCCTAACGTGATCGCCGCACTAACATCCCCCAGAACCATGTATTGGACTTCTCCAAAATCAATCATTTCGAAAGCACATGGCGAAAAAGCAGACGTGGGATTCCTCGGTCTGCAAGTGGAGTGGCTATCAAACAATCCGAATTACCTATGATCAATCTCTACGCGGACATTGATGTCTCAGTCGTCTGTGAGGAGGTTGTTGAAGGGATCTTTGCTGGCCATATTTTCCATAGTGGCAATACCACGAATTTCGACATGACTGAGGCTCCACGGAAGACTATGCCTGTGCAATTAAAAGGCCCGTTGCCCTCCCAGCCCGAGGCAGGGTCGGGTGCCTTCCAACAGCCGGAAGTTGCGGTCATCTTTGATGTCGATCAAGAAAATTACCAATTTACCACACAGCCTGGGGCTTTCCGGAGGGTTGTCATGAACCTCCTTGGCAATGCCCTTAAGTATACATCCCACGGGTATGTACGTGTCAAGCTGACCACTGCTCCAATAGAGGATTTCCAAGACCTGGAGACTGGGGAAGTAATCCCAAGAGCCATGGTTACCTTGACTGTCTCAGATACCGGCAAAGGAATTTCGCCTGAATTTCTGCGATCCAAGTTGTTTACGCCCTTTGCTCAGGAAAACGCTCTGTCCAGTGGAACAGGTCTTGGTCTTTCTATTGTGAAGAGCATTGTTCATATTCTTGAGGGGGATATTACCATCGAGAGCGAGGTTGGTCGTGGAACGCGTAAGTTTATTGTGCCTCCTTGCTTGATCAGAATTAATTTTGCTGCAGAGGTTCGGGTGAGCCTGCCACTGCTGCGATGGATCCCAAATACTCTTGATCATGGCTCCGTGACCAACGCGAGGTCCGTCGCCTCCGCTGCACGCGAACCCGAGGAATCGATTTCGAAGCTACGATGCAGTCTATTAGGCCAGAGAGTCACGCTTCATGGGTTCGACATTAGATATCAAGACCCCGTATCCCACAAAATGAGTCAGCTCCTTAAGATATCTGTCATGAATTTCCTCACGAACTGGTATGGGTTGCAAGTGGTGCCTTTCGGTCAGAAAGCCGAGCTCATTATTTCTAACGAAGGAAATCCTGCCGACATCTCCAATTCACTTCCCAGAGCCGCGTCCACCCGCCGCAAACTCTCGGTCATTATACTCTGTTCGCATTCTTCACGCGTTGGGCGAGTTGCGGCCGGAAATGGCACAAAGTTAAATGTCGGATATGTTACCACGCCCGTTGGGCCGTTGAAATTAGCCAAGGCTATTGTTCAATGCATGCAGGGATCGAATACACCCACACCTGGACCAATGGATGGTGCATCGACGGGGTCTAAAGACCATGACTTGAGCAATACTTTCGAAGAAATGTCGTTAAGCCCTGCAGGAGGAGAGGTGTTGGATAATAGTCGCATGGCAGCCGTTAGTGATAATGCACGCAATGCAATTGAAAGTCCCACGCCAAACGCATTGTTCGAGAAGGCTTCTGAGTTTCCGTTCCCTGATATTCCTGGCCGATCAACTACCTCGAAGGCCAAAGATATGTCCGAAGTTAGCAAGTCAGCTCAGCGCCCATCTTCCAGGGAAAGTACAGGTACACTGCCTCAAAGTCCGAACACTTCCAGGGCCGGGCCAAAAGAGGATGTCCCAATGACGAGACCATCATTTCTACTAGTAGATGATAACGCAATTAACCTCACACTTCTCAGTACATCGATCGGCAAGAGAAAACACAACGTCATCGACAGAGCAATGGATGGACTTGCAGCTGTGAAGAAGTTCCTGGATCGACAGGAGGGGTACGATGTCATATTCATGGACATTTCTATGCCTCTACTTGATGGATTTGGAGCCACGAAACAAATCCGAGCCATTGAGGCAAGTCGGAAGGATAGATCCCGAGAAACCGGCGAATATTCCTCACCCGTCACTCCTGCGTTGGTCATCGCCATTACTGGTCTTGCTTCTAGCGATGATCAAGCTCAGGCGGCAAATGTCGGCGTGGATTTGTTCCTCACGAAACCAGTGTCGTTCAGGGATGTTAATAAGATGCTCGACAATTGGGAGGCGAATAGAGAGAAAGACACGACCTCGTCATCTATATAGACGAAGGGCGATACTTCATGATATGCCAAGTTTGCATGGTATATTGGCGTTTATAGACAACTAGCATGGTTGGCGTTGATGGTGCTTCTTGGACTAATGGATATGAAATGATATGAATATAGAAACGAAATGAAAATGAAGATGGGTCTGCGCTATGAGGGATAGATACTATGGCTTCTTGAAGGCCGCATGTACTTGTATATGGCATCGAGCGCAGCATTCACGACAGAACAGAACCCACTTGATATGGGGTGCATATGTCGTATAAAATAGCGTGATAGACTTCCTTTACTACGGAGGATATTTGAACCAGCCATTTATTTATCAGCTCACTTTCTTGAAGCTCCTGTTTACAGCGGCGATGGGTCGTCTACATCCCGTCTTTTTGGTAGGTGGAGCTTTAGTACCTACAAGAACGAAGGAGCTAGCACGTAAAGTAGCTCGGCCAACAGATTATGTCTCGCTCGCCACTACGCTACGCCTTTGTTTGAACATTGGTAATTTGTGCTTAAAGAATACAGCTCTTTGACCTCCCTTGTAGCATTTGATATATAACCCGGAGCTCAGAACTTGGAAGTGCCAATACTGAGTTTATTTCCAGTGATGAAACCATTCCATCTATATGCCCCTCTCAGCTTTTTGATCCTTCTAATTTACACATACAGGAGGATGCAAAAGATATTTTCTCTAAGAGCAACAAAGTGCTTTACGATATAGATCTTTATATACACCCTAAAACAAAAATTATGATGGAGAAGCTATGGAAGACGAATCTAGATTGTGCGCGAGATATGCGTGATCTGCAATGTACCAAACAGCATTAGCCAACATGTGGATATGAAGTTGATGATCAGATAACTCAAGCAAAGGGGAGTCTCTGCGCCGTGGGCCCAGTTATTGCATGTTAGGAGAAATTTCCAATATACGACAGCCGACGCTACCCTTTTCCCGCGAAGAGTGGCTAGACAGGACGGTTATTTGGCGTGCGTGCTTCAGCGAAGATGCATAAAATGAATGCAACTAACCCTCACAGTATTTAGCACTAGGAGAAATTAACATCAAATCCAACATAATTTGATAGCTTTTTGGCCTGGTTAAAATCGTCTTTTCGTACTTTATGCCAAGGTTAATTGAACAAATTCCCATTTATTATCCAACTACTATCATTCGATAGATTCTAATCGCCTAAACCCTCGATCCATCTAGCTAGTTAACACCAGAATATATAGGTTACATCAGCCGTTTAGGGGCTAACTCCAGGTCGCGGACGTGGTTTGGGCATACAGTGCTATTAAGTCTATGTCTTTTTGAAAATGAATAGCTTTCCAGAACATTTAACACTCTAAATACCTGTAAAGTAATTAATAGTTAAAATACTTTAGGACTAACCTGAACAATAGACTTAAAAGTTCTATAATGTTCTAACAGGACAAGGCCACTGTATTATCGAACTAAATAATTAACATCAAAATTGCTATCTGCTGCCAATTTTCAAAAGGCAACCGTTCCGTCTGAGAGAAGCGACTTTCGAATGCAGCAACGCTGTCAAGATAAATCACTATTTCGCGGACTAACAGGCTCAAGTTAGTCCGCGAACGAGTTCTTTTGAGAGGAAATGGTGGTTTAATTCTCAGAACCACCCTGCCAGCAACGCTTAAACCGGGGCACACTCCCCCAAAATCTGGGCTCAAGACACTCTAGCTATAGGGCATAAGTGATTAAATCGAAAAGTGAAATAGTGAAGGGATCAAAAATCTTAATTTTTTTCCATACATTACACAATAGACTCGTTGTTCCCTAGCCACGGAGACATAAAGAGTTATAGTAAAACACCTCGCTAGAAACATCGCCATGTGTCAAAGCAACGCTATAGTAAAACAAATGGTATGTGAACATCGCTATTAATACCAGAAATCCATACTAATATGTGGAGGAATATAGGTTCGATATATTATGTGATTCATCCAAGATGACCGTGGCCTGCAAAGATATAATCAGCAGAGTTTATTTATAAAGGCCGAGTCAAAGAGGAAAACTTACGGCCAAGAGGCTTCGCCCGCTTCGAAATGCTGTGAGCCTGGGCCTGCTTGAGTTTTGCAAGTCTCGCCCTGGAAAACATAGTGTCAGCTCTCTTCTTCTGTCGTAGCCTCATAAGTCACTGGATAGATTTACCCCTCAGCAGCCTCCCTCTCAATCCTCTTAACGTGGTCCCTCGCGTCTTTCACGGCATGCCTCGCCTGGACAAGGGCCCGGTCGGCATCTTTCTCGGCGGCCTCGGCGCTCATGACACGCTGGCGTGCTGCAACAATAGAGGCATCTTCATTGCGGTGGAGGAAGCCACTTCGGCGTGTTGGGTTGGTGGTTTCAACTGTGTCGCCGTTGTGTGTGACGGAGCTACGTCGACCGCCAAAGAGGGTGCCGCTACGGTGAGGGGGCGAGGTGCTAGTGGTTCTGGTCGTCTCGGCGGGGACTTCGTTGGGATGGCGATTGAAGATACCCATTGTGGTATGTAGAGTTAGATAGATCTTGGGAAGAGGCTTGTTTGTGATACTGGATCTTGGCTCGGTTTAGTTTGGGTTGCCTTGGGCTGCCTTGGCTTTGATTTGATTCCGAGTACCAAGGTTATGAATACGATACTGCGGGGGCACCCCATCATTGAAAGAGGTATTACTTTTAACATTATATAAAGCACAAGTACCTTGGTACCATTGTTGATGTGAACAGGTTTTGGCCGTGACGTCAGGTATGAGTTAGTCGCCGGGGATCAACTCCCCCCTGAGCTCAAGCGAGCCAATCGACAGTCCCCAGCATATACACGGGACTCCAAGCCCTGCACCGCATGAACACATAGGGGTCCGTCATACTTTGTACATACGGCCACTCATGCCTGGTTTGCAACACCAGCAACAACTGCCACATCAAGGGGATATACTATATTCCGGTCAATGCAATACGACCAGTTGTCAAAAACAATGGTAGACCCGTAGTGTTGCAAACCGTAGAGTATTGTATGGCGTAGTTATATTTGTAAACCCCACGTTATGTACTGTACCTACCTTTAGGTATTCAACAGCCCCATGACTTGGCCCTCCAATGTAAATAGGGACTTACTTAATATTGCGAACTACGCCAATGAACAGTTTCGAAATTATTGTGCTGCCATACAGTTCTCTTGAGCTCGGCGATATGATCAAAGACAGCACAGCTTTGCAAGAATTACCATGCTCGCATAGTCAAGATCTGATCTTATTTCGTTTTGCACGATACTGGCTTTAGGTGGCTTCCCTGAAAGAGATGAGGTCGGTCCGTATATCTATGAAGGCAGCAAAAAAGAATGTGACAGCCATAAGTAAGATTTCTTGCCATTTGGTGCCATTCTGTGAGGGCAGTTTGGAACTAAAAATGTGTGCCGTGTTCCTTGGTGTCCCCTGTGCAAGGCATCGAAGTATATTGGGCCAACTTTTCAAATAGTAGTCGGCTGTAGTGAATACCATTCCGGCTAGTTGTTTATCCCTTGAATATCTTCACAGTGTCATTGCCGTGTGGACATGCTACCAAACCATCCCATTTTCATAGTGGGCTGGCCGGTGCAGTATGTGGTGGTGGGAGAGCAGTCTTATTCCCCGGAGCTGTTGCTGGCGTCGATACAAAGCACTAATATTATATTTCCTGGGATGGGCCTATTGTTGAGCTAGACCGTGGTGTGGTTTCAGTGCGCTGTTCTGTGGCGTAGTCGATGGGTACTTGGAGTCTGGATTGATCGTGGTAGTGGCAGCAATCCGGGCCAGTGTCGGTCCTGGCGCGGTCGACACAGGAGCTGGCGGCTACATCCAGTATGTCAATTTCCGACAAGCCTGCTGCAGTACGGCCTAACGCGTTCTTCATTCACAGCTGGAGTAAACTTATTAGACTGCCCACAAGTCAGACCAGCTGGTGTTTACACTGTACGCATTACCAGGTAAGCAGACCTTATCATGAAACACGTGACTACTATCGATATCGATTGACGCCACAACACGACACGACAAAACGCGACTAAAAACCAAAAGTATCTCCACATGGAACGGCAGAACAGCGTATCCTGTCCAAACATCGTCCGGGTTTTTGTCAAGGCTGTCAAGCGCGTCACCAAGAACCACTTGCTTTGCGCCAGCACGCCTAGCTTGAGAACCTGGCGGGCTACATCTGAACCATAGGGTAGACAAAGCTTATCAACTGCGGCCAACCGAGACACCAAGCTGAACCTGGAAATTTGCTGGTCTTTGCGTGTCTTTGCTTTTCACACACCCAGCCCAGTATTTGATATCTGCACCGCATGGACTGGGCTGACCTGAATGAGAATCTGTCTATACATTAGAGCTCCCCCCAGGACACCGCCGAAAAATAGGCGACAAGACGACTTTTCGAAGCTTTTATCTGAAAGAAAGGAAACATCATCGCCTTGATGCCGATGGCTGCAAACCTCCCCCCAATGGCCATTATGGATTTTGTCCAACGCTTTCAAAATCTGCAGCTGCAGCGCAATTCCAGTGACGAGCTAATCAAGGTAGGCGATGTTGCGACCACTCGGATGGATTCTTCGTGACTTTTCTAGGACCTTTTGATATACTGTGAACACGTGGAGAGCAGTCTACGGCATGAAAACGCCAGACTAGGGAAGGAACTGGAAGATGCGCAACTGGATCTGGATGATGCCAGGAAGTCGCGGAGAGATTTACAAATGCAGCTGAATCTGGCCAACGCCAGGGTCGGCCAGTCAACCGCGGACTGTGAATCAATGAGGGTAGGATGAGCTGATCTTTGTGAAAGTTCCTTGCTTATTGTTGGCAGAACCGGAATCCATATATTACGGTGCTAATTGATGGAGATGGCATGATTGTAAGTGCTTGCTGATTGGGTCGGTGGCTCTGCTAACTTTTCCAGTTCAGTGAAAACTTAGTTCGCCAGGGTCGCGAAGGTGGCAAGGAAGCTGCCAACGCCCTCCGAAATACCGTACTCGAAAACTGCGAGTTTGCAGAGGAAATCGAAGTTATGGCAAAAGTTTGTGCAAATGTTACTGGGTTATCGAAAGCTATGTTACGGGATGGCTTCCTCGACAGCGGGGACGACCTCAGGGAGTTTACATTAGGATTTACACAAGGGAAGGCCTCATTTGACTTTGTCGATGTTGGGCATGGGAAAGAACGGGCGGATTCAAAAATAAAGGGTATGTCAACTCGCAAAGTATCGAGACCTAGGCTGACTCGTACAGAATGCCTACGTTGGCACCTTCGAAACCACAATTGTAAACAAATTCTTCTGGGTATCTCTCACGATGCAGGCTACGCCCCTTTCCTCGACGAAGTAGTTACCCCAAATGACCGATGCCGAATTACAATAATCGAGGGTTACCCCACAGTCCGCGAGCTCGCCGCGACTGGACTGCAAATCTTAAACTTCGGTAACATTTTCCGTTCAGAAAAACTCGTTTCTCGTTTAGTCAGTCCGCCCTCTACTTGGGCAGGTGTCACATCTACAGCAGCACCACCTCCATCCGCATCTCCTATTACACTTAAAAATGGTACTGCTACAGTCAAAAACTCCGCAACACATTCAGTGTCAAAACCTAATTGGGTTCCTACCCCCCGTGGTCTTGATCCACCTATCACTGTCAATCCCACTGCGCTGGACAAAATAAAACGCCGCACGGCAAACAACAAGCTTTGTAATAACCATTACCTCCGCGGGCCCTGCGCCAAAGGCGATGAATGCTGCTTTGAGCACGATTATAATGCCACCGATGACGATCTCAAGGCTATTGCTTATTTGACGAGATTAAATCCGTGTTTAAATGGCCAACATTGCGAGTTGGACTATTGCATTTATGGGCACCATTGTCCAAGCGTGGCATGGATTACCGCACCAAACGGAAAGGATAAAGAGCCTGTGTGCCAAGGCTTTGGGTGTCGCTTCTCGAAGGAAGACCATCCGCCAGGTACCGTTATCAAACATCCTCGAAAGGAGAGATGGGAGAAGGAATACGAGCGTTATTAGGTACCTAGAAACACCTCTTCGAACAGCTCTTGCCTCATGGAGAGCCGAGGCAAAAGTTACACAGGAGATATTTATATTTTCAACGCCAGCTTCTCACAAGTGGAGAATAGCGGGCACCTTGCTTCACCTCATTATCTTGGGGCATAATTTAGGTTTCTTTGCACATGGATGAGCTTTACTCAGTCTATCGTGTTGTAAAATGTTAGGATACTTTTAAATTGGACAAAAAGGGGTGTTTTTTCGAGCTCTTAAGTTTGTGCTACTATAATCGAGATGTGTTAGACTATTCTAGCAGTTGGAAAATTTCATGAAAGACTAAATTCAATACTTAGCTAGTGCTCAATGGGTTGATGCTACTCTTGCATAAAGCTGCCGATTCTCGAGCTCAGTATAAACTTGCCATGGTAGGTAGTATTACCTCGCTGCTCTGCCCTGATATTATCGCGCTTAGCAAGGAATCAAGCCCTCGTCTTCACTAGCTGTTAAGAAACCTTCGCTCAGGGATAGCAATGATTATGTTGCATTTGTTATGCCTTTTGACATATTTGGGTATTTTTGTGATCTGGAGCTACGCTCGACACTGTACACGCGCCTGGTCCCGTGACTGCAAACGTGCTAATCACTTTTTATATAGAAGTGTGCTTACTGGTAGAATAGTAAGCACACCGTATAGTAATAGAATGCCACTAAGCATAGTGCACGACTCATAGTACTGATCCTCCTATTAATCGATAAATCCTACTACTTGTTGTTGCTGGTATATATATGCTACTCTCTCTACTACTAATTCTACTAATTACACTACTACTCTATCTTCTAATATATTCTTTAGCAAAGCCTCTGCTTCTAGTAATGTCGAAAAGCAAGAAGAACCCTTAGCAATACTAGGAGGAATCATGTATAAAACAACCGACAAGATCGCAAGTCTGGTGAGTAGGCAATTCAGGTGCGATCGCGCAGTCGCTGTATTGTCAGGTCGTCATGTGGCAGAAAGAGGTCTGAACCATGGTTCAGTGTGCTTGGGAGTGAATATTTAGGGCGCACTCAGGTAGTGGCATTCAGGACGACTGATAGTCACAAGATCCAGTAATTAATATATGTATGGCAAATTCAGTGTATTCGTATATGCGTCCAAAAGGCAAGAGAACTGACTATTGCAGCATAGTCCTCGAGTCTCCAGGCGAGTCACTGCAATTGTCTCTCATGCTGAAGATCGCTAGTGGGCAATCGACTTGTATACTTTTGAGTTAGGCCGTAAGTACAGATTAAAGACCCTCCAGCTAATTCTGTCATCAATTTGGAGAGAGGCCCTCTTCGACTAAAGTTCTTGAAGAAGCAATCAGAGTAGCTTAGATCTGTCACACCGCCATCTGATGGTGAGGTCTACTAAAAGATCCGATATTATCATCTTCCCTCCGAGGAAAATAGTAAGATACTGTAAAGGCCTGGAAACGGCAACTGCATTAGAGCAAGTAGGAAAAACTAGCTTAGCTGCTAAGGTATAAGAAGGTAGTAGAGGCGTTTGACCTGCTCCTTCCTTTCGTTAGGCTATGGGGCAGCTTCCAGCTGGGTAACATGCTCTACCATTTCGCTCTACATTACGGTGAACATGATCTTTAGTAAGTATCAGCATCCTATGAGTGTTAGTACTGAGTGAGTAGCTTTAAGGCCATGGTTAAGCTAAAACTCTAAGTCACCGCTTGCACAAAGGCTGCATAGCATTCAAGCAGCTTCACGACGAAAGATGTTTCAATGAGAAACACTACGGCAATTTATCCTAAAGCTTTATGCTGTGGAGCACTTATATGCCGCGAAGCATTTTCGCCGCGGGGTAATTTCCCCTTCATGCATTTTCGCCTAAAGCATTTTCATCCAGACTAATTCTATGACTTTTTCGCTCAAGGGTCTACTTGCTCGCCGTCTCCCCTATCCTATTAATAACTAAACGACTCTGACATTTTAATCCTAGGGATCTAAAATAGGCGTAGAAGGCAAACACCAGATTACTTCGACCGTTCCAAGTCTAGTTTTACTACAATATGAAAGGTCGTAACGTCAGGTGCCACAGAAGAGGGCCTGGGTACCAAAGCCAATGAGGAGTTGCCGATCGTGTCGAATCAGTGCAGAAAGAAAGTAATTTGTGCCCGATGAGATTTGCCGCCCTTCCGTCTCAAGCCATCAAAAGCACTAGGGTGAAAAGTAATAGGAGTGTCAATAGTTGTTTTTAGATCCTACCGCCTTTTAATCCTGCTGCTTTTAATTCAGCAATGCAATATTCGCGAGAAAGCACTGTCAGGGTTTCACAGGTTTTGTGGCCGACAAGTTTATGGCCTACAGCCAGGGCTGAACATTCTTTTGCGAAATTTAGAGTAGCCAAGGATCGATTTGAGCTTGCTCCCAGGACCTATATGCTTCCCAGCACCCGGTACAGTCACGGGACATTAGGTATGAGGAAAGAGTGGCAGCGCCAGTATTAATATATTCACTATCCCTTACTACTCCAAAGACGATGCTATATGATCTAGTACAAATTTCCATAAAGATTGAGGAAGTCACACCCTACCCTTCTCCTTGCCAGCCTCGCTCGAACTATTCACAATGGCCACCTGCTCTCCTCACTCCTTCTTTAGCATCCCACTTAGCCTCCTACCCTTTCAAAATGATCCTGCTATATGCTGGACAGGAGCTGCTCCAACCTTACTTTCGAAAACGAATCATTCGCTCCGGAGAGTCAGATCAATTTAATAAATCTCTTCCCCTAGCTCGTGTCCATTCATAAGTTCAAGCCCAGCCAGGGGTGTTTCAAAAGTTCCTTCGCAGTCTTCCTGTTCTCCGGCAGCCACTGGAGCATCTGCCCAACAAAGTCGAGAAACAGATGTTTGTCGTTGTCGTTGAGGGAATGGACCGAGTCAGAGAGATTAAACTCGTAGGGAATAAGGTCCTTATATAGAAATTCACCTGTATATAGATTCTACTAAGTATCACAGTCATCTAGAGAACAAGGGGGATAGAAGAGGGGTTGACATACCATTTGAGTTGAAGAATGGCCCTCCGTAGAACTCGCGAGCGGCCAGCAATGCTTGCCCTCCGCAGTCTGAAAAGAACATCTCCATGGAACCATGCTCCACCTTTGTTCTCTCTCAAAAACCTCCTTAGGCGGGGGACCAAGTAGAGCGATCATCTCCGCAAGATGCTTTCGACTGTCATATGCCCCTTCGGAGCGAATATCTCGAAACAGTTCCCGGTCTTCGAGAAGGTTCCAAGCCTCAGTGCTCCATTAAGATTAGTACAAGATAGAACGAAGTAAAAGGCATTAAGGCTTACCAGTACGCCTAGATTCCAAATATCTGCGCTATACGACCAACCTATGCCTAATATAACCTCCGGAGCTTGGAAAAGGGGAGGCTGAATAGGATATCGGAGAAGTTCGGGACCATCTGGGCGCTGGGCCAATCCAAAGTCACTTAATTTCGGGAGCATTCTAAATGACCTTAATGGGCCAAAATCAGACTGCGAAAGATAGATAGATCGATCATTTTGAGCCTTCCGAGGTATAGCATCTTTGGATTGGGTTTGGCTATATACGAAATCTTCTAACACACATGGGTCCTCAAATCCCATTAAAATATTATTCTGCTTGATATCTTGGAAGAAAACAGGGGTTAGCATAAACTGGTCTTCGAGATCTGGCCATGGCCTATGCCCCACCTGTGTGAAGGACGCCACATTCGCTGTGAATATAATCCAGACCCAACAGGAGATGTTGCATATAAAGCTTGAGAAGAGGCCCTGGAATCTTGCCGTCTGGAAGTCTCTGCTGGAATAGCTTTATCGTCTCTCGCATTGGCTCATAGACCAAACATGAGTGTGTTCCATAGGGCCCTACAATCTCAAAATGGTCGACTATAGTCCTTACAAATCTGAAGCCCTTGTGAGATGGGTTTCCCTCGAGACTTCTAGAGATGTTTATTTCGTGAGTCGCTGCATCCGTGTCGTTTGCCACGGTGATTTTGAGAGTGACGTATCGATTCGGCTGCCAGAACCATCTGGGAAGACATTAGAGGTACTAGGTACGGAGCCAAACAGATGAGTGCATACCGTGAAGTTTCTTTGCATAACCAAGCGGTGGAAGAAGCGCCCCATCAAAGTTTTGCCAATACCTTATATCGCGCATGCAGTAGATCTCCAGGATTCGTTGGGTGGAAATGTTTAGTCTTATAATCAGGCATTATCTCTTCCTCAATGAGAATATCGGGTGAGAGGATTTCGGGTGCGCGGCTAGTAGCCATTGCAAAGCTTCTTACTAAGGGAGCCGGCCGTTGAAAGTGCGAAAGGGATCTGAATCTGAGGGCCGACATCGACAGACGGTTATTCGACTTGGGGCTGCGCGTCGTTCAACAGAAATACAAGTCGCCTTATAGGAGCCTTGCTTGGTTCTTTGGAAAATCCCATACGCGGCACGTTACCTCAGGCATCATTAAGCATTCAAGCCGTATGCAGGAGGGGAGAAAGGGGGGAGGGTCACGTGGTATTGCCCTAGATCTGCCGCCGCTGTCAACTGTTCTGGATACTTCGGCAGATAGCACTCATATCTATGCAAATAAATATGGATAATCCATAGCTTTCCAGTAGTATAAGGAAGTATTTCGGCTCAGCAACTGGCTGTACGTGCAGGTCTGCGAGTGGCCCTTGACCACGTGACTACTAAAATTTGGGGGCCATATACGACATCGAGAAGTACTTTTTTGTCCCATCGAACACAAATCCACCATCGCCATCGCCATCACCACCACACCCTCGCGCCTTCACAACGCAGCTGCAGTTGGATAGTGTTGCGGGACCTGAGATGCCTTAATCCTACGAGCACATTCCGACAAATAGCATGGCGAAGGGCAGCCATCTGACCCCACCCTGCAGGCCATCGCAGAATCGCCAGCATGGCTAGAGTTCTGCCAGTATGCGACAGACTGCGGGCCACACCCTTTTCTCCAACTACACCATGTACATGTAAAGTACATGTATATCTCTTGAAGATAGCGGCAATATATTATCAATCTCAGCGCGCACTGTCCAGTAACACCCCAGCCACGCGCCGTGTGGAGACGAACGCAGCACAGTGGTCTCGCTGGTGGTTGGGCAGACCATCGTCACATCGCCCCCAACCGGCGCCCTCCGCCGTCGAACACGATGAAGAGACATGTTAGCGCAGCCAAGGCTCGGGCATGGCATCGCGAATCTGCCAATTGACGTCGTCAGAGAAGCAGGGAGCATGCCCCAAAATTGGAAAACAAGAGAGGCTGAGCCGCTGAAGTCTCCCGATTATTGTCAGACCCTGGATATTACTTCGTACAGGTGTGACTGACAGTTGCGGACGGCAGCTACAGTACTTGTCCTGAGCCATCATCACGAGCAGCACGAAGGTACGAGGGTAGCTGCGTGGTCAATATGGTGGCCATCCTTCGCAGCTCGACTCCTTCACAATCAAAACTCTCGTTTCGTGCGGACTCCTGCGCATACCGTTGCTTGATTCCAATCCAGCGACGACTACTCGAGTACTCCGTATCATTTGCGTCGGAACACAGTCAGCTACATCCCGCGCCAGGCTTCGTGGACAGTTCACAGGCTCACAGGCTCGCAGCATCGCCGTATCTCAGCCCCGCCCCGCTTAGTTAGGTACGGGGACGTCAGGCTTCAGCGGAGCCTCCAGCACACTACCTTCTTCTCCGATTGCGATACTGCGATTCAAAAATCTGCGCTCATTCATGGAATTTCCGGTTGAATTTTGTAGGCCAGCGCTACGGTAGCTGTTGGGGGTGCAACGTCCTGCGAAGGCTTTGACATCGAACTATCACAAAACGCACCAGTCGCAATGCGCGCGATACGAGGATACTGGGTTTGCACGGCGGCTTTGGCAGCTGGGTGTGTGAGAGGGGCGTCTGAATCGACATCAAACAACCTACCCAAATTTAGGGACTCCGAGTCGTCAAATCCCGATAATCTACGCAAGCGGATAGATGCAGAACAGGTCATTATAACTGTGGTAACGAGCGAGTCGATAGTCGGCGGACAGGGCGTGCTCGAAATAGACGATGGCATTCAGTTGAGAGAAGGTGCTGAACGGAGCATAGTCGTCGTCACCACGACCCAATCTGCTGTCACTATAGCATATCCAAAGAAAGCCGAGGCACCTTTATTCAAGCGCAAGCTAGGGTCGAATCGCTGGGATATAATTCATGAAGGAATCCAAGGACAAAAGCGAGATGCGACTCAATGTCCCGCCGATTACCAACTATGTCCCAAGTCGTTGAACGGAGGCTGCTGTCCAAATGACCGGGTTTGCGGGTCCAGTAGCTGCCTTCCCACAAGTACTGCTCCAGCTTCTGCTTGCGGGAAGCTAGGATACGTTGCTTGTGGGATGTCTGACGGAGGTACGATCATTCCTCCCATTAAATTGGCAATAAACTAACTCGAGCAGGTGGCTGCTGTCCATCGGGTTACGCATGTGGACAACTAGGCTGTAGCCCTTCCGCTGGTGTATCTTATAGTCAAACCTGCGGCGTCGAGTCGTATCTTTGCCCGGCATCGTTCAACTATGGATGCTGTAAGAAGGGTATGGGCTGTGCGCTTAATGGCTGTTATGCTACAAGTATTACGACATTTACTGTGACCGAAACATTTACGACAACGGATGCGAGCTCGAATCCTCATACCATCACATCCACAATCCTAACAGCCGCAACTCCTTCGGTGCCAACAGCTACGGCATCCAACGAGGCCAATTTGGTACCTAAATTACCCTCTACAGTCTCTGCAATCGCCAAAGTGGACGCCACAGGGAGTCCAAGTACCGGAATGTCCACCCCAGTCATTGGAGGAATCATCGGAGCATCAGTAGCCTTCCTCATCATTATTCTAATTGCCGCCACCTTGATAATTCGACGATTAAATACAGCTATCAAAATATCAGCTACCTCAAATTCCCGCACATCATCCAGCGGTCCACGTACAGGTCAACCACACGCTCAACAAATAGAAGGACTAGACGTCGACGCGATGTCAATCGATCCATTAATGATGACCGGATCGGAAGCTGCCAGCAGTGTCCGCCACCCATCCCATCAATCGAACCCCCACAGTTCCGCCCATGAAGTAGAAGCCAACTCCCCACCTCTCTTCCACAGCCCTTTCACCCCCTATCCACCACCACACACCCACTATCCACGAGGCTACAACCCAGTTGCAGCATCGGAATCCAACTACTCTCAATCCAGCTCAGCTGGTTACTTTGATCTCCCAATCCAATCTAACCATCGCGACTCTCAAGGCTCAGGACCGACTCGACGCCCCAGCCAACACGGTAGAAATTGGAGCAACGCCAGTGATCAGAGCCAAGTAAGCCAGGTATCCAGCGAGGCAGCGGAACTGGAAGCCACTTCGGAAGGAGGTTCGCGTTGGGGCATACATCGCGCATTGTCCGGCCTCGGGATGGGGAGGATGGTCAGCAGGAGACGAAGCGATAATGTTGCTTTAATCGGCGGCCCGAATAGGCCTACCCCAGCATCGCCGGTTTTGGGGCATATACCAGAGGCGTCAGAAAGTCAGCACCGTGTTGATCTGCTTGGGCATGTTGGCGCGCGAGGCTTAAACGGTGTGCAAGGTTTAAGTGGTGTGCAATTAAGGGAAGCCGGATTGAGTAATTCGCAGCTGAGGGAAATGACTATGTCCGAGGTGTCAAATCCATATGCTAGCCCTACGGAACGGCATGCGCCAGACATGAATGAAAAGCAATATGGGTAATGGATTCTGGTAATGGCGTTTTGCATAGCGACTGCTTAGGGCTGGGCAATCTGTACTAACGTAGGTATATCTTCATATCATGGTTCGCAATTTCTACCTTTCGTGAATATAAACATATGAATATAGAGATTATATTTCTTGTAACGCGTTCAAGTTCCAACGAGACATGTTTCTGGTGCTTTTACAATTTGTAGCTCTTGTGGAGATAGGTACCTAGTTTGAAATATGGGCAAGAGAAGACGGTGGTTGAATCTAGCCCCGTAACGTCTTTTACGCTGAGCAAAAGAGGCGATTTTCCGCCTCAAGTTTGCCTCCGCTGTGCGACGTGCAACAAAAACATCCCCACCTCACTAGCGCTAACGGCATTATCTTCAGCACGTTGATTTCGAAATCACCAGTAGATGAAGATAATAAGTTGTGAGACAAACTAGACAGAACTTCCTGGGAGGGTATGCTGTTACGGCCCGACAAGTCACTTTTTATCACGATCGCATTTATCATGATTGCAATCAATCTAGTCGGCACGAAATCATAATTTTAAACTTCTTTTGCAACACGTACAAGTACATAAAATAAAAACAATGGATTCCATGTTCTTTTCTTCCCCATTATTACCACGCCGCAGTTCCTCTTCCTCAATACGTGCATTATTATCATATGCCAACGTGTGCTGGGTTCGCTATAGTGGTATCATCAAAGCAATATAGAGGTGCCAACAAGCTAAAGAAGCGGCTGACAACCAATTCTGAGTCCGCGAAGGAAATCATTTATGCAGTTGTGTCAAGGCAGAATTGCTCGTCCAGGCCATTGCTGCATATGATGAGTCCCTCACAAGTGGACGGAACCGTTCACAGTCGTGATAGGGATAGATCCAGCAGCAACAGATCCCTGCTCCTTGCCAAACGCCTCATCGACCTGGCTGCTGAATCCAGCAGCAACAGGAGTTTGATATTTGCCTCCAGTTGGCAAACCATTCGTACCAATTGCCGTGCCCCCGATTGGCACAGCCCCGGTTGGTGCATCTCCGATAGGGGCACCATCAACGCCAGTAACTGCAGAATCACGAGACCCTCCAACATTTTGTGGGCCTCTTACACCACCCCTATTGACAGGATGGTGCTTCCGCTTGGGCTTCACAGCCTTGGGGATGTTGGTGGACGGAGAAGCGGAGCCTATCTTGAAGACGGGAGACTCCCAGCTGTCGCCCTTGAGAGCAAGCTCCTTGTACTCAGTCGCCTTGGTGGAGATACCCTTAGGGAGCTTGAGATCTGGGAAGATAGAATCTTTCTGGGTCATGGCCATGTTGACCTTCTTGTCGGCAGTGGCGGCTTCCGCTTTCTGCTTGCCTTGCAGCACCTGCTTTTGGATTGCGTTGAAGTAGCGTTGATAAACATTAGGAGCACTTTTGGGGTCCTCCTTGACCTCGTTCAGTGCACGATCCGCTTCCTGTTTTACCTGCCAGGCAAGCGAATCCAGTTCATGCGCCTTCTCCTTGATGACCTTCTCGAGCGCCTTCTGCAATGCCGGTCTCATAACTCTCAGAAGCAGGGGCTTGAACAACGCAAACAGAAGCTTGTGCTTGCTCTGCTTGAGTTTGATCTTTAGATCCTTCAATTCAACATCCACTTTGTTGATCTTGAAGAAATTCTCGCGATCTTTCTTCTCGGCCGTGGACATCCCGATCTTGACGCTGAAGCCGGTACCGCCCAGGAAGATGTCTGCTACGCCCAAGTCGCTCAGCTTAGGTGTTCCCTGCTTGCGTTTAATGTAATAGGAGACATCACGCAAGTCCATTTGGACTCCGGAGGCAAACAGCGTGACAGAGTTGTAGTTCTTGTTTGCAAGGTTCTTACGGCCCCAGCGGAAGTAGTTGTCTGTTGAAGTTAGTTCCTATACGGATGAAGCACCCCAGACCACTCACCATTCGTGACCTCGAAGATGTTTGGCATGAGGTTATCACTCTCGATAATGAGATTCTCAATAACGGCATCAATCATTGGGTCGCTATATTCGATTCTGGGAATAGGAACATAACGGATGCTCTCGAAGATGCCCGGAAGGATAACATCGCAAAGGTCCTTGACCAAATGCGGTTTGAACGTCGCCCTTCCATTCTTATCATTTCCAAGGTTATGGAACAGCCTTTGCATTGACTGGCCGAAACGTTTGTTCTGCTGATCTTGATCGAATTGATCCACGAAGAATCTCATCTCCTCTACGATGCGGTCGGTGTGATTGCGGTAGCGATCACGCAGCAAGAAGTTGCCACGGTCGTAAAGCGCATTCCACTCATCGTTAGCGCGGTCATCCATGATAAAACCTTGTTGCTGGAGGCATTTGCGGATATAGCTGTCCATCTGCTTGAACCAGTTCTTGAGTTCGGGGTCTCGATCCGCATCACGGTAAATGGTATTTAGAGCATCAACGATATCATCACTTGATGTGTTATTAGCAAAGCGTTCAATAAGTGTCTTGATTTCATGTTAGCATAGAATCTTCTCCCTGGCCTATGACGCCTACCTTGAGATCATATTCGGCAGTTTTCAGGGCACTATCTGAGTGTGCACCTTTCACGGCGCCAGTTGATTGCTCACCGATGGTGTTCGCATGACCAGCATAGGTCTCGGCAAGATTGAGAAGAGTATTAATAGCTTGTTGATAATCAGGATGTCCTTGAACCTCGATTACCATCTTCTTGAGCCGCCAAATGGTTTGTTGCCGGCGCTCCTCGGGCATCTTTGATTCGAGGTAGCCCTTAGTCCGATCTTTATACTCACGTCCGCGATCTTTGGTCTCGTCGGGAACATTTTCGGAGGCGTTCTGTCTGAGCGTAGCAGTACCACTCCGCACGCCAGCACGAGCGTCAACACCAGAGCTTTCACCTTGTTGGTGGTGCCAAGCAGCTTGTGCCGCGGCATCGGCAGGATCGCGGGAGCCCTGTGGGTGGGCAGATTGAGCTGCGTTGCCAGCGGCATCGCGAATATCGTCCTTGTTCAAAGGTGTTTGCTTGTTGAATTGCGATTTAACTTGGTTCTTTAGGTCGCCCTTCGACATATTGGGGGCATCGTGCCAAGTGTTATCATCAGCTGGCCGGTCGATTTGAGCCAATTGCTCCTCACTAGGATTGACCTTGGTGGCCGCCTTAGTGGCTGCATCGCCAGCAATATCACGGATGAGGACGGTGGCATCGTTCACTAAATATAAATGTTAGTGCGATCTCGACACATACTGTAAACATTCAACATACAGAGCTTTCGGAATTGTCCGTTCGATATCATGAGTGTGCCAAGTGTTCGAAGGCCCTCCAAAGCCTCGTTACCGTGCTGCTCCCGGGTATCCTTGCCGACAGGTGCCTTGACACCAGTGGCATTTCCACCCTCGATCATATGTGTCTGCCAAATAAAGTCTTGGAGTAGATTGCCCTGGTTCTTACTAAGGAGGAGGTATTTGGCTTGCTCCACGACGTCGCGGGCGTCCTTTACTAGTGCTTGGCCTTCAGCGGAAAGCTTCTTTGACGGGGCGCTGAGAGGCTTGGAGGCTAGGAAGCTGTTCAGAGCGATGTCGATTTGCTCATTCTGTATTGTTTGTTAGTAGGTGATTCTTTGCGGGCATTGCTAGACGTTGTCTTGAACTTACGGATGGAACCTTTCCATTTTGGAATGCTGTAGCGACGGGTTGTTAGAATTCGATTACCCGATCAGAGCGGTTTCGGTTCGACATGCTTACCTGTTAAAATGCCGTAGAATTGAAGCTTGCGAGCCACGTCGGCGTCCCTCTCCTTGGGGTTGGTTGGTTTGTTGATGCGTAAAGACATACTAGCGATCTGTTGCGGGAGGGGGTATCACTGAAAGAAAGAGAGAGAAACAGAGTCGACCGATGGGAGCCGTCAACAAGAGCGAGGGGGAAATCGTAACTTGGGGAACTGATTCTTCAATTGGAATGTGGAACGTGGAACGTGGAATGTAGAATGCCGATAGTGCACTAGTTGTGTTGCGGGCGATTGTGATGAATGAATTGATATATGACGACGGGGTATCAATTGTGTAGATGTAGATGGGCTTGTTATGAAGAAACGAGGAGAAGGTCGGAAGATGGAAGGACGGGGCTTTTGTGGGCAGGAGAAGGGAGGAGGGAGGAGGGAGTGATGAATGCCTTGATTCATTCGTAGCTTCTGGCATCTGGCATCTAGCTTCTACTTTCCAGCTGCAAGCAGTGCCATTTCTCAGTCGATACTTGTCGACGACGTCACTGCTACTGCCCAAGCAGCCGATCTCATCTCCACTTGACGTGCTTACCACTCTGGCTAGTATGAGCCCGAGGATTACTTGCAAGTTGCAAGTTGGCATGTACAATTATACATGAATGCACCTCCCTCCCTCCCTCCCTAGGGATATATTCCGCTGCACAGTAGCGCAACCCTTTCGCCCCCTTGGCAGGAGACGGGAGGCTACCTAGGTATCTGAGCATTGGCAACAGTCCGATAGACTCAACCACTCGTACTACGTGCTAGCACATGTACTTGCTTCGCGACGCACAGCAAGCCCTTGAGCCTTGCGGTAGGCCTGGAGCTAGAGGTAGGACCTGGTAGGTAGCTTGAGTTTGTAGCTTTCTTAACACCCGACGTCATTGTGAAACACTCTCTCAGGGCCAACAAACTTGAACAAAGTAATGTTTTGTCGATGACGGTGACGCTGCTCGCAACCAGAAAAGCCAAAAGCCAAAATAACCATGTCCCTTGCTAGCGTGTGGCTGATACATTGCAAATGTGAGGACTCTAATTAATAATAATTCCTGGAGCTCGTAGTACTTCGTGCAGCAGTACCAGCTTTATGGAATCGTCTCGGGCATTCGGCGCCACAAGGACCAGGCAATGGCCAAGGTGAAATGCTGAATACACTTGTACTATACGCAAACAAGGTGCCGTTGTTGTTGTCGCCCTCGTCGATCATGATGAATGCAATTGAATGCATCCTGGCTCGATGACTTCATCCAGACCGCGATCGAGACCCGCCGCCCCGAAATACTTGTGCGACTTGTGTGAGACTTGTGTCCCTCGATCGACGCCAACGCCTCCACACGGTTGCAAAGTTGCAACTTATAGCATTCGTTCAGTTGGTCGCGTTTGGCTCTTCCATGGTGGAAAGATTGCCTAGGTAGCTTTTTCCGATTTTCTCCCCGCACGTGTAGTGCAGTCACGGGCGAGTTCCCTCCCTCGGGAATACGATTTACGGAGTAGTGGGTAGCAACGCTACCTACCTTACCTAGGCATGTATGTATGCTTGACGATCACCCTCATATATACTCCTGAGCTAAGGAATTGTCGTATGTGCTTTGGCTAGCGGGTTGAAACCGAATCAAAGTATGCCACTCCAGTCATAAGAAACTACTTCGGCGATAACTAAGCATTCAAGGGTCGGCCAATCTTCCTTCGTGAATCCCAAACCAACAGTATCAAAGCCTTTAGAGGTTACCTGTAGACGATGCCCCGAACTTAAGCAATAATATGCCTACCATATTGACTGACGCCCTCGTGACCAATAGCACCCGGTAGAGATATGGCTACATGGGTTCCTGGGCCCAGAGGTCACTCCGTCGCCATGAACAGGGCGATCATCGCATGCTAGACGTGAGAGTAGCAGGTAGAAGGGGAGCATCGCAATGGGCCGTGGCGGCGAGGTGCTGGGCTGGGCACGGCGACGATGGTGTTCCTGTTGTTGGTTGCGTATTGGTATTTTTCTCAACAGCCAGGTTTGTTCGGTTGGGCGAACGATAGGACTTGGTTCATGTTGGTCGCCCCTATCACATAAAATTAAATGTGACAAGAATTTGACAGTGCCTAATACTTATAGTTAGACTCTTCACCAAGAAGCAGGATTCTAACATAATGACATTAATTTTGATGTATATGCCTAATGTAGATGTTATGTCAGTCACTTATCACAGCCCACAAGACTTGGCCTCACAGCCTATCGTCCAGCAATGATGGCCCGGAAATACTCCATATGTATGCCCCGACATGCATTCTTACCGCCAAAGACTTCCTCTCATATCCCCGAACCCCCATAATGCCCCATGCCTTACTCCCTTCTCTCACCTCATAGGGGCTTCTTAGCAAATCCTATCCTCGTATTCCCAACATCAAATACCACGAACTGAGCTTTTAACACAATATCCCCCCAGATACTAAATGGCAGACCGCCCTTCCCCTGAATTCCCCCGTAACATACCATAGCATTCAAATTTGCATAGTTGAGGTAGCTCCCCGGGATCGACCCCCGGTAATTCCCAATACCAAACGTAAAATCGGGCATCGTGGAATTGCAGGGGAAGACATACGCGCCCTGGCTACCACTGTAATACGAATCCGGGATCTTGGCGTAGTATTGCTTGACAATGCTGTCCTCCAAGAGTAGCAGAGTCGTGCCCGTATCTGCCATGGAACTAAGTGGTGTTTCCGTAAAGCCGTCGTTTCCGATTTCAAACCCACTCGCGGTAAATTCCCAAAAGCCTCTACTGTTGTTTACTGGCGCATATGCGATGTCGCCGGTATATGCACTAGCATCAATCGTGCCAAATGTATATGAGCCTACAGCGCCCTTCTTCAAGTCCACGGAGTAGAGCGGAGCGGCTAGGCTACTTTGCACGTTATCGAACCAGGTCTTTTGCCTAGTCGGCGTGACTTGATTGATGGTGTTAAACCCGAGGCCGACGAGACCAGAAGACGCAGCATCCGATGTGAAGGAGTAAGAGACGCTCGTAGCAACCTCTACAGCCTGTGCGTCTGCCGGTACACCGCCGATACTAACTCTCTCATGGAAAACGTTTCCGCGGCAGTAGGACCCATCACCATAGGAGATAGACCACGTGTGTCCCAGGAGAAGAGACGATGTCGTGGAGTTTTCCGGGCTGTAGAGCTTCTGGCCGGAAACTTGGCTCTGGTCTGTTGCGGTTGAGAATACCCATCTGTGACACGTGTTAAAATAGAATTCTTAGGCATCGAAAAACAGGGAGAAGGGGATGTATACAAGTCCGAGGAGCCAGTATCAAAATCAAGATCCAAGATCTGAGGCGGAGTGCCAATCGATACCGGCGAGAGGTACTCCCGGTCATAATTTGCTGGGAACGGGCTTGCCGACACGGTTCCAGTTTCGTTTCCACCCACTACATTGAACTTTGGCTTCACATTGTATTTGAGAAACGCATGTCGAAGGGCGGCAGGCCCATCGGTAGGACGGCGGTGGAAATGGGGATTTGGCTTCTGGGTAACAGTAAAGGACCCAGCTGGCTTTCTCGACTCGAGATCAGGATGAGGGGCAGCGGCGACGAAGGGAAGCAGCAGAAGGATCAAGGCCGCATGGGATGCATTACCGAAAGAAGGAATCATGCTGAAACCGGGTGAAACGGGTGGGGCTGGGGGATAGTGGGGCTGGCAAGCTGTATTGAGCTCGCTATCGAGGGAGTTCTTTCATAGAGGAGCATCGTGAACTTATGTATTTTGGAGAATCTCCGTCGAATTGCAAAGGGATTTTACACCGGCCGGCAGTTAAGTTACATTGCAGTGGGGATCAGGAGAATTTACCTGCCGAGCCGAGTCATTTGATCGAGAACATAATATATATCGACGCCTTTAGGCAATTGAGGTGCGGTAGGACGTGATAAATAGACTATGTGATATGAAAGTCAAGCATTGGCGCCCAATTAGGCGGGGATGGCTGGTAGGAACGGAGGTCTTGAAGAGGAAGGCCACAGATATGATATTTAACGCAGGTGTCAAGCAGTATTGTCATAAGACCCAACCTCATGATCCATTAGATGATGACAATGGTCTCATGCGGAATGTAGACTACATTCCTAAAGGGGGTGGAATTCGAAAGGACTCTGCAACTCGAAAATGGTGCAGTCTCGGTTATCAAGTTAAAACATGCGCTTGTAGTTGGAAAGTCGAAAAGCTTGAACCAGCCCCTCGAAATGATCGGAGGCGGATCTCAAGGCGATCACACGAACGAAGAAGCGCGCTCTCAAGACGTAATTCATACGACAATTCAAAAACAAATGCTTCAAGTTGCTTTCAAGGGCATTTGCATTCATAAAAGCCATCTATGTGACAGAACGCAACCGGCGTCGCCCATCCATAAAGCAAATCGAAACCCCATACCATGCAAACACCACCATCCTTTACCGATTGCTCTTGGCGACACGCTCCAGCTCGTCCTTCTTCTTGATGGCGTATGAGTTGCTGCTTCCCTTGGCAGCGTTGATCAACTCTTCGGCCAAGCACTCAGCAACAGACTTGACATTTCGGAAAGCGGCTTCACGGGCACCGATGGTAAGAAGGGCAATGGCTTGGTTAACACGGCGGAGAGGAGACACATCGACGGCTTGACGACGGACGGTACCTGCGGATCCGATACGGGTGGAGTCTTCGCGAGGTCCACAGTTGACAATGGCATCAACCGCGACTTGAATGGGGTTTTGATCGGTCATGATGTGGATCTGAGAGCATTTATCAGTGATTATCCCTAGCCGTTCCTTCTGTAGACTCAACATACAATCTCGAACGAGTGTGCAACAATGCGAACAGCCATGAGCTTCTTTCCGTTGTTACGGCCGTTCATCATCAGAGAGTTGGTGAGACGCTCGATGATTGGGCACTGTGCCTTTCTGAATCGCTTTTGCGCATATCGGCCGGCAGAGTGTGGGATATAGACAGGAGCCCGGATCTGAATGTAATCGCTGTGGTGTGTTAGCCAAATGTCCCCCGCATCCATCTTCCATTCCCTGCGCAATTTCCGTCCTCTCGAGTTCGGCATGGAGTTTGGAGATCCTTACGTCAAGGAGATATCCCGGATTTCGACATCTTCGTATGACCTGGAGAGGAAATTAGATTAGCAATTGCCCTATTTCATGCTGTCCTCGTCGTCGTCCCCGTCCACCTCAACGCCACTTCACTTACCACTTGTTGAAAAGCTTGATGCTTCCAATCTCATCGGTGGCCTCCTTTGGCAGGACCGTGTAGGTGACGGTATCGATCTCAACTTCTCCGCTGTCAGACATGATGGCGGTGGCTGACAAGATATGGGAATGGAGGGAAGTCGTCGTGATGTCGGTTGCTCGAACTCGAATTTGATTTCGTCAAAATTCATCGCGAATTCGTGGTGCGCTAACCAGCGCCACGCTAGACCCGCTTCAGGACTAGTCAGGGTTTAAGCGATCAAACCCTTGGTCGCCGTTGCTGCCTTAAATATGTGGATTTACTTCCGACCACATTGCGTTCATCGATATCAGCCTGTACACCCAACATGGAATTCCAGCATCGATGTTCTAATATGGATACCCGTATAATATGGTGGGAGCAGAGTTGTCAGAAACATCATCACGATTTGCCCACAACACTTAAGGTCTATCTCAAAGGCCGGTGAAATATTTTATGCACTATTACAAGGAACGGCCTTAGGGCTAAAATATTTAATATCATGTCTGTTGACGTCTTATAAAGGCGTCTGTCTCACATAGATATCCTTAGATTCTTTAAATTTCTTAGGCTTAACGCAATGTATATAATTATCCTTTATGAGTTAAGGTATCTAGAATATGACAAACAAACTACAGAATATCTTAGCTCTATGCCGCACAAAGGAAAGGGCCCTCTGCCCAAAGTAATCCTCTCTCAAAACTCTCAAAGGTCCATTATAGTCCTCCATACTCTATCACTCCGAAGCAATGCAATGCGGCCCTACTCAACAAATCCATAGCTCATAAATTCCATAAGCCTTATCGTTGCCAGATATGGGAAATCACACATACAACTTCCCCTTTAATACGTTTTTTCCCTCTGTAATCTTCCCTAGTCAGAAATATCCATCTACCCTACATTAACAACTATCAAAATATAGTGGTAATGACTATCGTGAATGCACCCCCAATCAACATTTTCTAGCCCCCCTTTCTCGATCTCTGTAACGATTGAGGCATGCCGGCCCATAGCGGGACTTTCCTTCTCGCTCGTTTCTCTCATATTGGTTGCTCATATGGAAAAGGCGATACAATAGAGTATCATGGCCATTCTATGACTCTGTGATTGGCAATGCGATTCCGACACGGGTGAGGGCCCGAGTATGGCCGCAACCGTGGCCTCGAATAAATCCTGGATTGTTGTTTTGAATACGGTGGTCTCCATGGTCTATGCATATCAGGTATTGGGAATTATATTCCGATGGCAGTGTCATAGGTGGTAACAGCTTCTCCTATACAATCACCAGAGATAGGTGGTGCTGACATGGTTCTCAGCAGCATAAACGCATAACTTAGCTATCACAAAATACCGACTCAAAAAGAAGACTGTTAAGACAAGCTGCATGTAATCGGAAAACAATATATACCTACCTAAATAGGCATGTATCTAGTCCGTACTTTAGGCCTTATAAGGCTGCGCATGCGAGGAACTAGGCTGGGCGAGAATAAATAGCAACAATTGGTCTGTTTAGGTACTTTCATTGAGTGGCGCATGAACCCCAGCGACACGGCGTGTGGTCCATGCCGCATAACCATCGACTTTGGTACGCACAACATGCAAAGTATACACTGGTTGGTGCTTCGCCTGGCTCCCTACATAAGACGAGAGGCAGGTCAATAGGGAAGATACCAAGGTACTTCGGGGAGGACGAAGGGCAAGCTAGTGTCGAAGATAAAGAGCCCGATGCCTATTGTTTATGAAACTAAACGGTGTTGTAGATAGCCGTGGAGGTATGTGTGCCAACCAGGCTGACAAGATCTCGGGGTCCCGGTGTCCTGGTCAGCACTGCTGTTATCAGGAGAGAAATTTTTTAATTGAATTGAAAGTGGTTTACCCCAAGGCGAAATGGTTTAAATCGGAGACCTGTAACGCGGAGAGTACGTTGTATGTTTGCAAGATGGAATGGGTTGAACCGAGGACTCGCCGGTGTGGAGCGATGTTTGCATGATAAAGACACTCTAAGACATGGCCCAATCACTTATTTGCTAAAGCTACTGCGTAATATGTGAAATGTTTCTCGGGGTATATGCAGGCGCTGTCCATCTGGCATGCAGGGCGTGGCCAGGCGAAGCAGATCCATCTGTGGTAGGACAAGAGTTTGTGGAAGCTTTGAAGCACAGAATTTGGTGAGCACTACTCATGGTCGTTACACATGTTCACCATAGGACTATTCAGGCGTATGCACAGCTAACATCGGTCACTTGGCAGCGCAAGGCAAGATATAGACTTAATGTTTCCATTTTCAAGACCCACCCATCTTCAGTATTCTATTGGACCATGCAAGACGAGAAGACCAAACGAAAAAACCATTTTGCGAAGACCAAAGCAGCAAGCTAAAGGAAACATATCAGGAGATTGCCTGGTAATAAAGTACAGCAGCGACCCGAACGGCACCAGGTCAGCTGCAAGTTGCTCAACACCATAGCAATGGATGCCTGTAACAACTTCCACCTGCTCAACCACCACCCCAGCATCAACCCCACGTATTACCATCCCTCAACCACGACACCTCTCCATCTATAACTACATGGGAATCATTTACTTGAAGGCCTTGCCGAACATGAGGACCTGCATTTGATCGTAGATGGACAAGACACCGGCACCGGCAACACCACGGAGAATGTTGGCACCGGCTCCCTTGAAGAGAGACCGGACACCCTCCTTGGCGACAATTTGACGGGCAGCATCCATGGAGCCCTTGTACTTGACGGCCTCACCAGAAGTCATCATCATACGACGACGGATAGTATCCAATGGGTAAGAAGCGATACCAGCACCAGTAGTGACACCCCATCCGAGAAGGAAGGAGGCAAGGAAGTTACCCTCAAGAGGACCGACGAGGAGGACAGGCTTGATGGAGTCGTACAGACCGAAGTACAGACCACGGTAAACGACGATACCGAGGACGGAAGGACCGAAACCACGGTACAGACCGGCAATACCGTCAGAGGCGAGAGTCTTCTTGTAGACGTCGACGAGACCGTTGAATTGACGCTCACCACCAGTCTTAGCTCCCTTTGCGTCGTTGGCAAGACGAGTACGGGCGTAATCGAGGGAGTAGACGAAGAGGAGGGAGGTGGCACCAGCAGCCTACTTGAATTAGCCGTCTTCTATATATATCCAAACTCGGGAGATACTTACACCACCGGATGCCAAGTTACCGGCCATCCACTTGGCGTATCCATCACGCTCCTTCTTGAAAGCGAACATGGACTTGTAGGTGTCACGGAACGCGAAGTTCAAGGCTTGAGTAGGGAAGTAACGGATGACGTTGGCAGTATTTCCACGCCACAGCGAAACGACACCCTCGTTCTTGATGGTTCTTGAGAAGCACTCGCTGATGCCATTGTACTTCTTGTCCAGACGGCCGGACTTCAACATCTCATCCTATACAAATGGTCAATTAATGTTACAACGCGGTTATATTTTGCACCTAGATCGAGTACATGACAATGTAGATTGCTGTGGATGATGGTGCATGTTGCGGGCTAGGATCATAGGGTCTCTTGGGAACGATCGGAAGGGCGAGATGGGCCTCGACAGCGATACTAAATAGCGACGTACCTGATTTTGGATCAACAGCTTTACTCGCTCAATGGGAGCAGCTGCGGTCTTTGAGACGGCGGCAGAGACACCACCCACTGTTATCGCAAGTCAGTCTCAGATATCTTGTGCATTTCACTAATAGCAACCGGTGTCGAATTCGATCGCAGTCGACGACAACAATCATCGAATCGCAACAAAAAAAAAGGTTGGAGGCAGAGATAGACATACTCATGAAGTCGATAATGAAGGGAGGACTGTAACGGGCTTTGTTAGCTTGGAGCTATTGATGTTGATGGATCAATCCCGAGATGGAAAATTCTGATAGGGGGCGCCATCGAGCATCAACAAAGTTGGGATCCTATGGCCGGAGTATACAGTGCGCTGCATCTCTATACCATTGGCGGATGCCAATTGGCCTCCATTGATGCCCGATGGTCGCTGGACAAGATTTTGTGATGGAAGCCAACCACGACGGGCGGAACGGGTCAAAGGAAGGGAAAGGGAGAAGAGGTACTTACACGCCCATGACGGACTCCTTCTTTGGTGCTTCGGTGCTCATGGTTGCGACGGGGGATCAGCGATCAAAGGACTGAGGGGAGATGTGTGGATGGAAAGGCGAAAGGAGAAAGGATGAAGAGATGTGGAGTTGAATGAACTGGAACGGAAAGTTTTTGTATTCGGAAGAAGGATCTTGGAGGACAGCTCGTTAAAAATCTGTACGCGGCCGGGGCGAGCTAAGACCAGCGCAGCCGAGATTTCCCGCTGGTGCTGGTGGCGCGCCTGGGATACAAGGCTGTCGGGGTAAGGAATTAACTGTTGCAGCAACGGTGGCAAGGGAGGAGAAGAAGAGAAGAGAAGGGAAAGAGACAAAGACGAGAAGAGAGAACATTCAACGCACGCAAAAGTTAGGCTGTACCTTGTGTTATGATAATGTTGTCTAGCATTTAGGACCTCTTAACCACACCTTTGTTTGAGTGTCTCTTATTCCTACACCCGGTATTGACAAACACAAGCTAAATTCACGAAGTACACATGTCGGCAGAGAGTCTGTCCGCTACATCCGCCCAGCGAATAAATAAGGTGCTTGAGAGAACTAGGACCTGTGGCTTTGAAGACGTGCCACCCAGTTCTTGATGCTACATTTTTATTATTATTGTGGTCCGGTTGCTGGCCTTCACAGTGCACTACTCCATACAAGTGTTCTGGTGCTTTCAAATACCTACGTACTTACAGTAAGTGTTAACTAACCTCTAATTAAATACCTCAAATGTCAATCGGCACTCCCGTAACCTTACAAGGCCTACTGCACTGCACCAAACTTTTCAAGCGGGCCCTAATGGGATAAATGGACCCTTCCCCCACAAGGGGGATCGGCACGATCATTTAGTGTCTGGAAAATTTAAACATATTTCTAGACCAAGCCCTTTTTTAATCTCTATGATACAGTAAGTTATTCGGCGTCAAAAGATATCGCACCTCGGCTGTGTATACGACTTCGTAATAGGCAAGTAATCCACAAGCACGGAGGAAAGGAGGCATGGCAACCCGATCTTACACCATCCACTCCGTACCGATTGTACAAAAGGGCCCTTGGCAATGCGAATAGTCTTAGATCTTCTGGACCCTTTCGTAGAGTCGAGTTTGACTGGCATTCTGGATGTTGAAGCTTGTGGACTCCGTACGTACCTATGCCCTGCACTTCGTAGGTAAAGTACCTAGGTACCTAATGTTTCCCGAACGACCAAAGGCCGGCCGGTAATAAATTTTCAATTCAAACTATAATCCTACACAACCAAACGATCGAAAGGAAAAGCCTTATTCCTCTAGATTAAAACAGTAATAAATGAACCCTCTTCTCAAAAAGTCTCTGAGGATCAATTCGATCAGTGATCAAGCTAAGCCTGCGGAGGCAACGATCGCCATCGCCATCTCCATCACCATAGAAACCCACGCGAGACTAGCCGCATCCAGCGCGACACAAAGTAAACATCCCAACTCGGGCCACTCCGATATCTCCACAGCCCTGCGATTCACTATACGAAGTGTTGTGCTCGGGTTCAGAGAGATACTACAGTATCCCTTTTCATGACAGAGGAGAAGATAAACCCGCAAAATACATGGATCCAACCTTCAAGTTCCCTGGATCTCCAGGAGCGCCACTATTCCAAATTTCCGCAGACCGCGTTAACCAGCAACGACCGCTGTCCCAATATGACTTTGATACATCATCGGCAAGCATGCTGGGAGAGAACAACAAATCCCATTCTCGGGATAGCTCTGTGCATGAGAAGGTTGCGGCATTCAATTCGTTGGCATTCCAAGGGAAACAATTGGAGCGCAAGGCAAATGATGCGGCTCTCAAGCGGGCAATGCTAGGGCGAGAGGAAGCAGAGAGCGAGATGCGACGCTACAGAGATGAGACTAGATCGTTGAGACGACATGTTGAAGAGGGCCGGGAGAGGGAGAGAAAGGTGGGCGAGAGACTGGAGACTGTCATGGTAGGTTCTGCTGTTGACCGGCTATTCTTGATCATTTCTGATAAGCTATCTACACAGGAAAATTACGGTCGAGCAAAAGAGACCTATGCACATACGCAGGCTTTATGGGAGAAAGAGATCCGACGGGCGAGGAAGGAGTCGTTCAAGTCCCAATCAGTCATTGTCAAGCTGCAAGAAGAGCTGAAAGCATCCCGAAACTCGATGCGCATCGCACAATCAGATCTAGAACAAGAAAAAGAGCGGAGTCTAAAGCGGGAACAAGAGGCATTTGCGGCGAGATACCAACTTGTGGGCGTGCAAGAAGAGCTCGCTCAGATGCAAGAGAATATCAAGCTTGTCGAGCAGGAACGAGATGCTTTAAGAACGATTGCGAAGAATGAAGAGATCGCTAGAATTGCAGCCGAAGGGAGGATGCCATTACCGGCATTGCCAGAACATGATGAGTTTGCTTCGCCAAAGAAGCCCAGAAAATCTTTAGACCCTGTTACGGTTACTTCGTCGGCGGCGGCTGAGGAAGAGTTGGACGACATGCGCTTAAGACTGGAATGGGAACACCAACGGGCGGACAGAGCCTACGATCGAATTGAATTCCTAGAGATGGAATGCCGTTGGAAGTGCTGTGCATCAAGAAATACGCAAGAAGGAGACTGTGCACCCCCTACGCAGGCGACTATCCACGTCCTTGAACATAGCCAGGTGGCCAAGTCGAGCACAGTGTTCATACCGGCGGAAGGTGTTTTCCGAACCGTATCCCCAACACCAGAAGAATCCCCATGGATGTCCCTAGCGAAGAATAATATTCCAGTCTTCGCACAACCTGCACCAGAGCCTGCACCAGAACCTCTACATGCCGTCAACTATGCACGAACACCATCCTGCGAGCCCCCAACATCTGCAATTCTACCCGACGCCAACACATCATTACTCTCCCTTCTCGATGCTCCACATAGCCCAAGCCACAGCGCCGGCAATAACTATGAAGAGGATGGGTCCAACACAACAGTTATTCAGACATTCCATACCATATCAACCACGACACGCATTCCGTTGGCTGACCCACCGGAACTCACGCCTCCAACAACTTTACCAACTGATTTATCCAACCCGGCCTTGAGCCCGACTATGTCCCGCGAAAAAGCATTGGCGCAAATTCGAGAGCGAAGAGGGAGAGCAAAGAGTTTGGCACAGGGGACAATGACACCACGCAAGCAGATGGCGGAGGGGATGAGCAGAAGAGACATCAGCGCGCCTGCTGTTCGCAATGTCAAGGAGAGAGGGCGGAGCCAGGCGAGAGCATAATATGACGAAGAACTGCGCGTGTTTTTTAATTACAGGGTAATGACACTTGGGTAAGGAGGTTTTCATTGCTAGGAGCAGCATAGCACTTGGCGTTTTATTCGAGTGGTACTGTTTTTCCCTACTCAAATGGTTAACACGAATTTTTTGTAGTGTAATCAAATAGTAACTAAAATATTTCAAGTTTTGACTTCCTAAATCTGTGTTCACCTATAATGTACCCCACGTCGTCAGTAAGCCTATTAACTCGCCATCCGTTACTCCTATACTAACTTGCCGAGGTACGAACAGTTTCCCGTATGACCTCTATATGTACCACATATCCCTCACTTGAACTGAACTTTACTACTAATCTCTTATTTAAATGGATAGTCGATGGGGTCCGGACAACTAGTAGTATTTTTATTTAACTCATTCTGCTCAAATATCATATAAGTTTTCGCAAGGCGTTCATGATTCGCCTCGTCAGGACCTGAATCTAAATCTTGTGGTTGCTGTTCTGCTGCTAAAATATCTGCATGATAGCCTCTTCACGTAACCTACTTTCTTCCCGCTCCTTGACTATGTTAAGGGTAGTAGAACCCTTCTATTCTAAGATTCAGGTTATAAAAGCAACACGTTTAATCGAAAGCAACTGCTATAGGGGGTTATTCAGTTCAAGTAAGATATTAGTAGTAATATTATCCACTTCAAGTTCGAGAGATAAGTGGCTGGATCATTTAGTGTAAGTAAGAGATTATTAGTACGATGGTAGTAATATTGGAAGTATGAAGCTATCCGTAGGTTGGTACGGAGGTAAAGGAATCAATGGATTTTAAATTACATTTACTAATTTGCTACAATATCGCCTAGTCAACTACATCGTGGACTACTATGAGTCGCTCAATGTTCACCTAAACTCAATCAAACCCAAGGGAGCAGGGGAAGAGGGCAGGCAATACTATAGACGGCGTTAAACCATATGTGCCTCACCGTATAGTAGAGATTGCTAGGAAGAAGTTTGAAAGAGAGAGATTTTCTCTCTACGTATAGCAGACATAAAGCCCCACGCCGTGAGAAGTACTTCGTATTAAGTTCTTAATCTCGGCCTCACCAACTGCAGGCGGCAGGCGGCAGGTAGATACCCAGGTACAATAGAGAATTTGCTTTCTGGAGAGTAGGAGTTATAGACGTGTTAAAGAGTATACTCACGGTCGCCATTCTTACAAATTAAAGATTTTTTTAAAGACACCTTTAATCCTGTTTAGCGCATAAAAAGCCCGATGCTTAAGATCTTTCCTCTCCCTAATAATAACTAGACGGGGCTGAGCAGAGCAGGAGGGTTATCATCTTGAAGTGAGGCTATGGTTGCTGTACTACCTACCTAGTACAGCCGGGTGATATAGCAGCAACAACCCTATTTTGTGTTATATCTGAACTGAATAATCGCACTTAACCAGTTCCAATTGGCTGTATCACCTCGATAACTAAATCGTTAATGGAGTTTTGTCACTACGTACAAAGTACCTAGGTAGGTTGTAAATATGTAACCATTTGTCAGCCCCTTACATACTGTACTTCCCGGCACGTGCGGACGCGATCTCCAAGTCGCGTCGACGGAAACACTTTGTGGATCGCGCTTGATAGACTGAGGGTCAACTCTATCACCAGTCTCCCAAAGAATACCGGCCCATGCAACCTATAGTTCCCATCCAACTGTTCCTCAATTTGCACAACCAAAACGACCCCGAATCTCGCATTAGCACCTAATTCAATTCAAAAGAAAATGCCACCCAAACCATTCAAACCTCCCCGCCCTTCGGGCAGACCACGAAAGTCCACCTCCACCACACCGGCCTCGGGAACCAAGCGTGCAGCTTCTTCAGTCCCGAAACGTAAGACTAAAACTGGAGCTGGAATCGAGAAAATACAGGGCCGTAGAGTCTCGGCGCGGGAAATGGGATTACCTTCCCTATCACCCGATTCTCAGCCCGCTTCTCACCCTTCCTCAGCACCAGCCTCTAATCCAGAAGATAGAGATGAAGGGGAGGACGATACATTTGCAGAACGGACCGAGCTTCGACATGGGGACGGAGAAGGGGAAGGCGACGCAGATGACGGGAGGCAGGAGACAATACGGCCAGAATTACTAGCTGTGATAGTGCAACAGTTCTTCCAAGAAAAAGGGACGAGGCTTGGTACGGGGGCTAAGAAGGCTATAGGGAAGTATATGGAGACTTTTGTGAGGGAGGGTATTACGAGGTGTGTGTGGGCGAGGAGTGAGGAGATGTGTGGGGTGGAAGGGGCCAGTGGGATTTTAGAGGTGAGTGTTTGATTTATGTTTCGTAGTGAGGAGAGGTGGATGGGCTAATGTGTCATTGTGATAGGTTGAGGATCTTGAGAAGTTGGCACCACAGTTGTTGATGGATTTCTGAATTATTGCAATATAAAAAGGTCGCGAGGCGAAAGCGAGGCAAACATCTGGCAAGCAAAGTAATGTTGATATGATATGGGGCAGGGTCGGCATGGCGTCTGGGATCCGGTGGGAATCTGTTCATGGGCTATTAGAGCGTGACCACCTGTGGAAAAGTTTCCGTGGGAGTATTACGGGGACATCATCTTTGGCCATAACCGTCTAGCTAGGTAGGTACCTAGGTAGCTACTGCGTTATGGCGCACAACCTCGGGATGAGGCAGAGCAATTAATGAGAAAATTTTCAAGTTTACCCCCCGACCATCAAGTGACGCGAGACGCAAGTAGATATAACATACTCCAACGTCTATATTCAATATCAATAAGGTAAAAGTCTTCGCGTCATCAAGCGCGGCATATAAAAACACAACAAAATTCTTTCGTCCCGCATTTGCATTTCTCCCTCAACTCCAGATGCATCCTTCCAAATTACAGCGGGTTGAGCCCATGTTATGTGCACATGCACTCCTAGCATTTTGACCCCTACGAGCCACGGGTATAGCCTCACATCCCATCTACCACCAAGGTCATTCATAGCTAACTTCCACCTACAAGAAGAGTGCCCAGGCGATGGCGAACATGGAACCCATGCCCAAGATCGAGACATCCGCGCGGACTGCGCTCGCGGGGCTGCTGTTTGATGGCTTGGACGCGCTGTCTGTGCTGCTTGGGTTGTCTGATCCTGTTCCTGTTCCTGAACCAGAGTTGGAGCCGGATGTATTGTTGGTGCCCGCAACACCGCCGGCCGCTACGTTAGGTGCGAGATTGGCGGTTGCTTGTTTGGCACCCTTGGTGTATTCTTGCAGGGTGCGGGAAGCATTGGCTGCCGGGCTGTAAGAGATATTAGCGCTTATGTTTTACTAGAATGGCAAAGCAAAGCTTACTTGGCATTGATAACCATCACCATGCCATTCTGGCAATGCTTTCCCTGAGAGCAGTAGAGCCACATTGGGGTTTTGTTGGCGACCATGATGGTGTATGTTGGAGCTGTGGATGCAGAGGCTTGCACAGGCATGTAGCCCGAGAAGATACCCGTGACGTTCGAGTTCTTGGAGATGGGCTGGCAAGGTGCATCGAAGGTGGATTGCACGACGGAGTGGTTGGCGGGCATGAACTGGAATTGAACCATCTCGCCAACCTTGGCTTGAATATCGTTGGGAGAGAAAGTAAGAGATCCATTCATGGATCCAACTGTAACAACATGCACTGTTTGGCCTCCAGCAGTGTTGGTTGATGAAGCGCCCCCGGCGGACGACGTCTTGGATGACGATTGTGCTGCGGGGAGATTAGAACTTATTGGTGTGTGTGAGAGGTTGTGGGAGAGGGATAGGGATACGTACCAAAGGCACCGGCAACGCTCAAGGCGCACATGGTAAGAGTTGTGAACTGCATTTTGGTGGTAATGATTCAGATCTCAAGGTAGCGAGCGTGAGGTTGAGTTGATTGAAATAGGGCGTCTAGCGCTTTTGGATGTGTGTATAAACTGTGTCGTGCTGGCCGACAATTAAGCAGTATGAAGAGAAATCGAGAAAATGAACAGATGAAAAGATTGAATCAGGAACGACGTTGGAAGTTGAAGAGAAGTAGAGGAAGCAAGATAGAGAGCCAAGGAATACCATGAGATCAGACGGGGGGAGCAGAAGGCATAAATAAGAGCGAAGCGGCGCTTCACTGATCCGCGAGGTCTGAGAACTGCCCCAGCATGGCTCGTTCCGTCTCTATGCCGGTTGGAGCAAGGGAGTGATTTGATGGTCAAGATCGTGGTCATCGAAACGTGTTTGAGGGCGAGTCCAAACACCGCCGAGGGGGCCATGACCGGCTTGGACGAGCGCTTAGACCGCGGAGCAGCGAAGCAGGAAATGGAGCAAGGAACCTTTCACAAAGGAGAAAGGCATTCTTCGCTGGGGGTTTTTGTGCACTTGCATTGTGTGGACTTGAAAGTTGTAGGGAGGAGAGTAAGAGAGAACCGCTGCTGTTCTGGATGGAATCGTTGGGCACGCAGTAGTTGCCCATCCACCACCTCGACATCCCCATCACCATCGCAGAACAAAACAGCTCTCCTTACCAAGACCATATCGGGAACGGCCTTCGCCGCATGAAAGCAATTCCGGGAACAGGCGAGGACGCGCACACTACAGGCGAGGACGCGCACGAGTGATGGTAGCAATGGTGGTAATGAGGGTGACGATGGTGAAGCAGCAAACTGTGTGAGGTTGGCCGTTGCGACGACGCCAAAACACCACCGGTTTCATCTCCCCCGTCGCCCCGTGACCCGACCATATTCGAGGCCCTGTTGAGGCAAGGCGCTCTTTCGTCCGATGTAATGTTTCGTTGACGAAGATACTAAGGGATCATTGGTACTGTATTTCCTTTGCCACGATATAGAGCCTGCTTGGATGTTTCGACTCTCGGCCGTCCTGCGAAACAAAGTAAGGCACGGAGTACAACGTACGCATACACTGACATCAGGTCGGCGCCCAGCCCAGCCATCGGATATTGTTTATTAGCATGACCCCGTAGATCGACATCCAGGGAGGCCAACTAGATGCGCCCTCGGTCCCTCCGCTTTGTGTTCTGTTCTGTTCTGTTCTGTTCTGTTCCGCTCTGGCCGTTCGATGGCCACTGGAATCCACGATCTTGGAGGCTAATGATCATTCAGCACCGTCCTGTACTGTTATTTTGGCATCTCGGGGTCCTAGCCTTCGAGATCTAGAGATATTGCGCAAAGGCCACTAGGACACGGGTACTAGGATTCTAGGAATCAGTTCGGCGGAATCATTTCCTATGTATGCCAAGCAAGTTGCACCTTTGCCCTAAGAACTGCTTTTCAGAATCACCCAAACCAGTCAATCCCGGCGGGAAGACGAGAAGCACTCTTCATTTTCCTACGCTGCTAACATAAAACCGACAATCAACTTCATGATGCTCAGCAACCTGGGGGATGAACTTCACGAATCCCAAGGCAACAGGTTCAGGGGACGAGAAAGGCATCGTACCAGATACGCATCTTCACTTCGTTACTCAACTTCCATTATATCCCTTGCCATTCACAGCTGCACATAGTGTGTCGTAGTTCCAGGTTCCAACCTCCAGCTCGGTAGTGATTCCGAGAAAAGGCTTGTCTCTTACCATGGAGCAAGAGACGGCCCTTTTGTGGTCCGCCGAAAAAATATTAGACGTTTTATTGACCCATGTCGGGAAGTCCTCAGATACTTTAGACTCCGGGTCGCACACTTTCTGTTCCTTCCATCCAATCTGCTCTCTGCGCTCCCATCTTCTACGCTTCCAATCTTCAGGGTGGTCCAACCATTGCGCTTCTAGGTGCCGAGGAGCCCAAATATACCACGTACTAGGTGCACCGTACATGAATAAAGCTATTCATAGTAACCATGCTGTGTCGTGCTCTAACCTCTGCATGTCCCTCACGTTGGGGCTGGAAACGAGCGTCGGCTGATACATAATAGCCGTTACAACCCATACCTGCCCAATAATCTCTCACGCTCTTCTCGGCTGGTAAATGACATTCTTTCATATAGCGAGCGGCGATTGCCACCTGATTAGAAGGCTAAACAGCATACCAATTATATTGCTCCTCTTGGCGTCTAATTCTTTCCAATTTACTCGCTGTCGCCTCCGGAGCAGGTATCCCCGCAAACCGGCAAGGCCCCTTTTCTTCTCCTCGCGATACCTAGTTTACTGGAACAAAAATAGCGTACGCTAGGAGCGAAAAAGCTTTAGTGTAGATTTTGGGCTTAAGGTTAAATCAGAGTTCCATTGTAGTCCATGTATGCACAGGTCAGAGACCGACCCGGAGGCAGCAAGATGTGTACCGCAAGGCCTAGAGCAGGCTTCAACAATTGGAATACGAGAAGCAGTTACCTATCTTGCGTTGATTGAACAGTGATGCGTATGGGTGGCGGCTATAGTCAAGAAAATTGTTGATCTGGCTTTTAATTAATATTTTTGTTGTTGCCTCCAGGAGTAGGATAAGAAGGGACTTGAATCCACTCTTCAAAACGTCTTATTCAAGCTACTATTCATATCAGACATTCCAGACTAGACAACTCTACAACATCAAGCAAGCACTCTCAAGCCTCAAAACACCTCGCATCAAAACGCATTCTCAACCTCTTCCTTCAAAACAACAAAAAAGACCTCTTCAAGATGCAACTCACAAGTGTCCTCGTTCCCCTCCTCTCCCTCCTCCCGGCCCTCGTCGCCTCCACTGCCTGCGTTGCCGGCGGCCCAGCAGCACAAGTCACCTCGGTGAAGAACTGCTGTCTCTCCTACTCCGGCACCTGGTACCAATTCTACCCCAACCAAGCCATATGCGTTGTTGCCGATAATGTTTCATGGAAGTACAATAACTGTGTCTCCAAGTATTCCGAGCTTGATACCAGATGTATTCCTGGTGACGGCGCGGGCTTGAGCACGGCATTTGGGTCCCCAACCTATACGGGACCAAGAGAGACGATTACCGCCGCATAGGGAGGAAACCGGAAAAGGGAGTGGGAAAGGATACCTTGGAGGAATTGGAACTGAGGAAAGAGAAATAGAGTGGAGGGCAAAGGGTGGAGGGTCGGGTTGGCAAGGAAAATGTGTCGTCTGAGTATGGGATAGAGAAGGGGGTGTGCCAGTGTTTTGATAGTACTTCTTAGCTATCTCTGTCTTTGCGGAGCTAGCTGCTTTTGCTTTATATACTATATACAGCTAGGCCTTGCATACTACAAGGAAAGATTTAAAAAAAAGAGATTCTATATCATTGCACTGGCCCTACATCATAATATTCTTTAATAATTCTGACTATTTTCTCCCCTACATAAGCCCCTGAAAAAATCCCTTAGGACCTAGAAGGTGATCGTCGCATAGGAAGCCAAGAAAAGAGTAGATGGTGCCGCCATAGCATTGGGTGATAAGTGCAACAACCTGGGTCGTTGCAAGGGCTTTTGAGAACAACTCCCTGCTTAGCAAAACATCACATCTTGTGGTCAAGGTGAATCCAGCAAATAGCAAATTCCACTAGAAGCGCAATCTTATTATAAAAGGGACCCAGAACCAGCTACTTTACTTATAGGATGGCCACTGTTCTCTCTGGCAAGAGTTTTAAGTCCGGCACGAGCATGGCAACAACCGCTTGAGGGTGGCCACGATAAATACTATTCAATGTTACCAATGTGGCATCGACTTACCATTACCAAGAGTAAAGATAGCTAATATCACGCCCTCTTGGGTGGGCTTTTGGCTCCAATATCAACATCAATAACGACTTGATTAATAGCTGTGTCTTGATTACGTTAATATATACCTGTAACGAGACATATTATAAATAAGTGAGGCAGCCATTATCATCACATTACTATTGTGTCTATAGAACTACGACTAGCAATTGCAGCTCAACAGTTTAAGCATATTAGGAAATATATTCGAGACATGACCAAATCAAGAGAGAGCGCCCTCACTATGTCTTTCAAGGGGCATTGGGCGCCCCGCCGCTTTCCTGAACGTTAATTGTCCACACGGGAAATACGCTTTCTCAATTCAATCTCCAGATAGCTTAATATTTCGACGCAGGCCCACGGAACTAGGGAACTGTGCAACTACCGGGCCATCAGGACGAGGGGGGATGGCTGGTGGTGTCCGGGAGAATCGCCGAATAGGTCGAAGTTAAACCCTCACAACCGCGCTGACACTGGTATTGCCAATACGGCAAGATATGCTACTACACTTCAAGCCAGTGCTGAACTTATTTCCTCTATGGCGATGTTGTCAACATGAGGACTCTCCACGGTAATATATGTGCGTTATCATCCAAACTGAGAGCAATACTTGGTTATCTGTTTTAACTTAAAATACACAGCTGGTCCCCAGCTCCATTCCTCTTCTTCCTATATGCATCATGTCCCGCTCGGCTTAGCCCGGCTACTGGGCCTGCTCTCTTCCGCATGCTTACATAGCGTTGGCACCGGACCTTTGGTATCCCAACCAGGCTCGCGCTTTAGCGTTCCGACTTTTGGGTACTTTGGGCTTTGTTCGAAGAAATCGACCCTAATTGAGGAGAGGCTGGTGAGTGGGGTGGATCAAATATGTGATTTGGAGTTTCTTGGAGGAAGTATCAAGAGAGGAGAAAGGGTTCAAGGGTATGAATACAACGTACCAGTGTTTTAAGGCATCATAAGCCTGTTTCTTTGCTAACTTCACTTCCTCCTCTTTAAGTTTCTCCTGTGGAGAAGTTAGTATTCTCTCTGTACGATATTTAAAACTTTGCTTCGGTCCTCCTCCTGGCACTCTACTATCTTGTTCAACTCCCTTCTCTTGCACGTCCTAGCCCGAAATGGGGAAATAGCCAACTCACAAGTTCCGCCTGGGTATACAGAGCATCTACCTCAGGATTGTCCCTGGGGAGAAACGCCAGCTCCACGCCCCTTAAATCCCCCGTCCTATCCTCCTTGAAACATCCCGTTATAAACGATCGACTGGCATCTGCCCCGGAAAAGTATTGATACCCGCCCCCTGGGCCGTAGTGCCTCCGTCCTTTAGAAACGTCGTAGACAGTGCCGTTCAAAGCGAGGAGGATAGGGAGATCAGGGTCGGTGCCATCGTAGGCTGCGAGGGCGTCTTCGGTGTATTGTTTGGGTCCTTGCTGTTTGTGGATTTAGGTAAGCTGTTGTTGCTATGATTGCTTGCGGAGCATGGCGAGGGATGAGTATACAATCCAAGCCTTGATAGCCTCTGGTCTCGACCACACTGGTCTCTCCACGTTCCAGACAAAGCTCTCGCGGGTTACGAAATAGCTCACGGCGCTGGAGACGAGAAGAACAAATACCAAGGACCGTAGGATGTCGAGCTTACTTATGCGCTCGTTGTCTTCTTTCCGTATGACGGATGCTGGGACGGGTTTCCCTGCTGTATCAGAATCTGAGTCGCTGGATGCTTCTTTTGATTTGACGTTAGAGCGCTTCCGCACTTCCGAGTCTGCCATTGCGAATTGAGCTGTGTGAATACTTGTGGGGAGAATTGTGTTACTGGAAATGTAAAGGCGACGTAGATGTCATTACTTTAGCCTGACGCTCATTGGGTAGATGGTTTGGTTGCCATATTAGCCTCGAGGGAACACAAGATGGCTAACTTGATCTAACCATTAGAGACTATTTACATGTATGCTGTGGAAGGGGTTTGGACTACGGTTGGATGTTTCGATTTCGCTAGGTCGCGACTGGAGTAGACATTGTGTGAGGGCTATCGTTTCGCGCCACTTCATGACCCCTCCCTGAGTGTTTCACGATACGAATTCCCAACGCTCTGTATTGCCACGAGATGGATGTCTATGGGAAACCAGCCAAATAAATATATGCTTCGGATACAAATGGATTGTTGGATCAGGCGCGCATCGATTTTGCGATTACAGTCACAAACGGGTATTGTCATCGTGGAAAAGAACCATTGGTCGCAAAACAAGTCGATTGGTATGCTACACCGAAAAAAGTCCCATGCCCATTGCAAATGCCCAATTCCATAACCATCATCCACCATATCGGCCACCGGGTCGACTTTGAAAGAAGGTTGGTCGTGACATCGTTCCTAAAAACTGAGATCGTTTATTCCGCAGCAGCAACCGCACGAGCTATCCAAATATCAGCATACTTGAATCAACTATCACTTCACAAATGGCAAAACATACTGTAGATGTTCAACTTGCTGTGTCCCACAACCTTCTTGATTTGTCCCTTCTCCTCCAAATCCGCCAGGCATCTCCGTGCGAGCGAGCCGTTGATCTTTAGTCTGTCGACGAGGGTGGCGACTGTGATGAGACGGTAGGATTGGACATCTTTGTAGAGTTTGTCGGAGGTGGCTTTATCGAGGATAACTGCGTGTTGGGCCTTGTCCTTGACTGGTTTTGGATGTCAGAGACTGCAGAAAGCGGGGAGATGGTGAAGCTCGAGCTGGAGCCAGAGCCAGAACCAGAGCCAGAGCTGGATATCCTCACCTTTACCCTTGGACCACTTCTTCTTGGCCTTGGCCTTTCCTGCTACTGCGGGTGCCATGATGATTGATGGCAGGTGTTGATGTCGATGTCGTGAAGAGGTTTGGAATGACAAAGGCAGATATGAAGCGATATTGTTGTGTGCCGAACTTTTAGCGCCAAGACTCGGGGGCGCTAGCGCCGATACGGACAATTCTCGCTTTCGCCACTCCGCATTCACCTGACCTGACCTGACCTGAGCGATATACGAGTGTAAGGTATTTCGTGCAGAGTACGCGTATCTATCAAGTACGAACGAATGTATTACCGGCCCTCGAGACTCGCAAATGGAGGATCAAGGAGCTACTCGAGGATTTAACATGATGGTTGGGCATAGTTAGACATCCTGGATCCCGCCACTGGACGAATAGTTGTTTCTCGCAACGCTGTTCGGCTAAGAGGAGGAGCATCAATCTGGTGATTTGAATATAGCTTTAAGCTTTGGCTGTGAATAGCATCCCAGACCAGACTTAAATACGGTCAATTAGGCTTGGAATAGTCGAGTACCAAGAACATCTTGCCAGCTAGATACGCTTTCCACAGTTTGTCCTAGCACTCCCATTCCAGCTCTTGTTAAATACCTTATGCACCAACTATAATCTGTAACGCGTCGGTCCTTCAAAATTTCTGCCTCTACTCTATCTTTCCAACAGGTACTGGCTTTCTCTTGGCAAGGATCTCTTCTCTCCAAGCCCACATAGCCACCATGGCAGACCCAGGACCCCCAACAAGAGCTATCGCACCAAAAGCCCCTATAATCTTCGCCCACCCAGCCTGGAGTCTGCCAGCGCTCTTCAAATCGCCCAAACTCAGCATGACCCAGATAGTGCCAGCGCCGAGCGCAATAATGTGATCGTATCTCAAAAATCTAGCCGCTCCTTGCATCAAGGTCGCTGGAGCTGAAGGATTTGCAATATCTTTGAAAAAGATGTCCATGAGTGGGAACGGAGAAGCGAAGCGTACGTATAGATTTGCACACGCAGCAAATCCTGCAGATAAGCCGTAGGCCAAGCGAAGGTATGGCATGTCTGCTTCGGGACTTGAGATGCGATCGACCTCCGTAGTATCATTGACTAAAAGCCCTAGAGCACGCTGGCAGATGGCTCCATATAGCGGGAATAATTGCCAGAAGAGGCCATTGACCCATTGGCGACCTTCGAGTTGAGGTGCAGCCATCATGACAATGGTAGGCAGCAGAAACGTGAGGACGATGGTTGGAATAATGGTCTTCACAGCTCTCATATTGGTCAACCGGTTTTCGGCTGGCTGGTAATTCTCTAGTGGAGATTGGATATAGTGAAGGAAGAAATATATAGGTGCGATGAAGCCCAGGCCTTTGGCTTGATATAAAATCCCCAGGACGGTTGGACTACAATATGTCAGTCTGATCAGTTGTGCTGAGGCTTTCTGGAGTTGCAGTTTACAGTAGGTGGGCAACAGTATAGGCATTTCCCCGTCGAATGCCTTCAATGTACCAGACAACTTGGAACGGTACCAGATCTGCCCCGAATGCAACTGCTTGGAGCTTCGCCATAGGGTCAAAATCTCCGAGAATCGGTGTAAAAAAGGTAACCAGAATGGACAAGAAGGTATCAAGCCCCTTGATGTTAAAGAAGGTCCTGACAAGAGGGGCTACCTCTCCGTTTCCTAGGACGATGGTCCCGGATTTCACTGAGGCCATAAGAGTTGGGGATAGCTGGCCAACCACTACGCCCATTGTCTTCTGGGCGCCGAAGACGCCGAGGAGAAGAGGCAAGCCATATATGACGCGTACCCATTTCCTCTCCTTCTGCACCACCACGGATTGTTGATCGGGGGGCATGGCTAGGTAATTGTGGCACCCTTCCTTGGATCGGGAGTAGCTTGACGATTGTCTGCTGGCGATTAAACTGTAGGTGATACCAGTGGCATCAGCGATGTGTGGGGATGCTGGTTGCTGTGGCTGGGGATAGAATATACCCAAGATATAAGCTTCCTGGCGGGCCGAGGAGTAATCATATGATAAATGAGCCGCCTACTACTCATACTGTACAGTACATGTACCTAGTTCTCTCGGAGGAGGAATGACATAACTACCCCCAGCCCAGACGATTAGTCTCACAAGTTAACAAAGTCTGGGTTCCCTACGAAGGTATATACATTCAAATCGGCCAAGAAGGCCAATCGGCCAGCCCGCACAGCAACGCACTTTTTATGTAGGGACGCAACCAAGCGCGTCCGCCACACACACACACAAAGTTCAAAGTTCAACGTTCAAACTTCCTCCGGAAATACGAAGCGCAATTTGCATTTGAGATCCCAATACAGTATTAGCACGTAGGACTTCGTAAGGCGATTATTAATCGCGCGGTTTTCCGAGAGATAATAAATCTGTGCTTGAGCCTTGGGCCTTGGACCTCGAGGATCTCCAGGCTCTCGCTGAGTACAACGTTTCAATCCGATACCAGTAGCACTAGGTAAGTAACTATCCCCAGCGTTAAGCGGTTGCAACTTGAGTCTTGTGGAGGGCTCCCGAACGCTTCCTTTCCGGTGCAAGTAATAATAATAATACCCGTAATAATAATATGACATCGTATTCCCTTGACAGTCCGGGCACGTGCGTCCGGAGCTCCACGATCCCACGATACGAGCTTTGTCTTTATTCGAGCACAAATACGACCATCCGCGGATACTCGGGGGTTCTACGCGGTGACGATCGTCGTCATTGGGTGTCTGGCGGTTGCTTCGCCACAAACCGTTGGATACTCCGTAAGCAGGTTTGTTCCTTCTCCTCCTTCTGCCGACAGAATACGAGCACATCCATATCCACAGACGTAAAGGTACATGTACCGTACGGCTAGACCTGTCCACGATGTGTGAAATCTCAACGTCTCTCCCTCTCCCTCCCTCCCTCTCCCTCCCCGGCTTGTGGTCAAGATTTATGGCGCCTTTCAGATCACGGCATGCTTTTTGAGTTGATTGCAGTTTCGGACATGAGTCCGATTGCTGGTTGACCTGTTGTGCCAGCAAGTGCCTGGTCGGTGCTGCCGCTCGTTTTTAACCTCATTGTTGCCATCCCACTCTACTATATCGCTGGATCGCCATGGCTTCAGCTTCGGCCGTGTTGGCCATGCTCCTACTTTTCCTGCCATGGATGGTAAACGCGATCGATGTAGATGTAAATTCTACAGGTACCTTCCCCTGCTTCGTCAAGCTTGGCTGGTGCTGACAATGTATCCCTAGAGTCCGTCAAGAAAGCCGCCAGCATTGTAGCTCACGACATGGTGAGGTACTATAAAGGCAATGAGAGCGGACAGATACCGGGACTCCTTCCCAAGCCATATTACTGGTGGGAAGCAGGAGCCATGTTCGGCGCCTTGATCAGTTACCGTTTTTACACGGGCGACTCGACGTACGACGCCATCACGATGCAAGCTATGCAGTTCCAAATTGGCCCCTTTGGTGACTACATGCCGCCCGAGCAAACCTCGTCTATGGGAAATGATGACCAGGCGTTCTGGGGCATGGCAGCTTTGGCTGCCGCGGAAACGAACTTTCCCAACCCACCCAATCCAAAGGATCCATCGTGGTTGGCGCTGGCCCAGGCCGTTTTCAATGAGCAGGTTGGTCGTTGGGATACAAGGTCCTGCAATGGCGGCATTCATTGGCAGGTCCCCGAAATAAATGCTGGATATAATTTGAAGAATACCATTTCAAATGGATGTCTCTTTAATATCGCAGCCCGACTAGCAAGATATACCGGTGACGACCATTATGCCGAATGGGCTGTGAAGATATGGGATTGGCTGGCTCGGATTGGCTTGATAGATGAAAGTTTCCATGTTTTTGACAACGCAGAGGCCATGAAACTCAATTGTACCGAGCTGGATCGTAATCGGTGGACATATAATGCAGGAACTTTGCTCATGGGTGCCTCGACCATGTTCAACTACGTGAGTTCCCTTCTGTTCAACAGCAGGAAGATACCATCCTCACTCTGAATCTTACCCCTAGACAAACGGCGATGCCCTCTGGCGCAACAGAACCGCCGGCCTCCTCAGCACCATCACAACCGACTTCTTCCCAACCGATATCATGCGCGAAGGTTGCGAAGACATAGGAACATGCAACGTAGATCAACGCTCCTTCAAAGCCTACCTTTCACGCTGGATGGCAGTGACCACGCAGATGGCCCCCTTCACCTTTACAAAAATCCACAGCCTCCTTCAGTCATCCGCAAAGGCCGCCGCAGCACAATGCACTGGGGGTGCTTCAGGCACGACTTGTGGCATAAAATGGCGTACTGATGGGAAGTGGGATGGGACGGATGGCGTCGGCCAGTCGATGTCTGCCCTGGAAGTCTTACTCGGGACATTGGTCAAGGAAACTCGGCCACCGGTGACGAGCAATACTGGCGGGAACAGTGCGTCGAACCCGACCGCGGGGCACAATTCGTCTGATGCCCAGACTCAAACTTACATTCCTCCTGCTACGCGGGGTAGTAAGATCGGGGCATGGTTTTTGACAGCGGTTATTGTGGTGATGGCAGTGTGGACGACGTGGTTTTTGATATCGAATTCTTGGGAAGAGAAGACCACGGCGGTACCGAGCAAAGAGAAAATGAAGGAGAAAGAGCCCATGGTGTTAGATTTGAAGGGGAAGCGGAGCTCACAGCTGGTGGGGGGTGATTCCAGTTCGAGGAAATCCGTGGCGGTCTTACCTCCTATTAGTAACGAGGAGACGACTATGCCGAAGGATGTCGAAAAAGGTGAGGCCATTCAAGGAAAGGTGCAATGAGAGAAAAATATATCCCAATCGAGTAAGGCCGTGGTATTCTCTACTAGAGCCAATGTTTAGTCGATATTATAGCTTCCTTTTCGATTGTTTTATGCGACCTTTATTAAACCTTTTATATTAACGGCGAATAGGCCGAAGGTGGTTGATGGAAAGCATGAAGGAGGAAGATCAAACGGTAGTTTAAATTGTCTGCGACTAATAACTCGGAGGCAAGAAAGTATTTATGGACCGTCCTGGAAGGGCCACCTGGAGTATGTCATGTCAATTAGACGGTCAACTTTTTACCTATTACTTACTACCATTCCTTATCGAGTTCGACATGAAACATATATGATTTACAGAGGCTAGAGCATAAAAAAGTACCCACATTTAAAGCCATAGTAAAAACTCATAGCCTCAGCTATGATAAAGACTACTACCGAGACCAAGGTCTATGGTTTATTATAGTATAGTCTTAATACCGTCCTATAAATTAAATGTTGCGGATATCTAAGCGCCCAGCGTAGCTAAACAGATACAGGAAAGGAAAAGAAAAGGGCAACAAAGGCAACTAGTGGTAAATCATTCACTTAAAGTGAAGGAAGGGGTTGTAATGAGTGCTAATTTATTTTGAGAAAGCTTTATCTTTCCATTCCACCTACGCCTTCTATAATACATATTTTGCTTGTAAAGAAGACATAGCTCGAAGCAGAGGGGAGTGTTCCGTCGATAATTTACAGAGACAAACGTAAATTACAAACGAATGAATTAGCGCTTTAGTAGTGATTTGAAGGACTCCTTTGCCATTCCCCGCCCGCTCCTTGTGGTTCCATCACCGACAAAGAATGCCTAGCTTACAAGTTCGCATCCGAAGAATCTTGCTGTCCCAACCAAAATACACAGCTGATCTCGAACATATCTCTTTATTTCAAAATCCTTGTAATGAGGCCTGTAGCAACTGTCCGGCCGCCTTCGCGAATGTTAAATCTTTGGCCAGTTTCTAAGGCGAGAGGGTGGTGGATTTGGCAACGCATTTCGACGTTGTCGCCCGGCATGACCATCTTGGAGTCCGCATCCTCAGTCCCTTCGGGCCACGTTAGCGCGCATGACTCATCTGCTGTGCGAAGGAACAACTGTGGGCGATAGTTGTTCATGAAACCGGTATGACGGCCGCCTTCCTCTTTGCTCAGGACGTACAAGGAGACCAAAAAGTCCTTGTGTGGTTTGGCGGTGCCGGGCTTCGCAATGACCATTCCCCGCTGGACATCCTCGCGTTTGATGCCTCGAAGAAGCAGGCCAGAGTTGTCACCGGCACGGGACTCTTCGCAGGACTTCTTGAAGGTCTCGATATCCGTAACCTTTGTCTTCATTGGTACTTCTCCCTTGCCGACAAGTTCAATTTCCTCATCTCTCTTCAATGTACCACGCTCGACGCGGCCAGATACCACTGTACCACGGCCAGGAATGGAGAAAATGTCTTCGACTGACATCAGGAAAGGCTTATCGAGATCACGTTGGGGGGTTGGGATCCATGTATCGACCGCTTCGAGAAGCTCGTCGATCTTCTGGTTACCGATCTCGTCTCGTCGACCTTCTAGGGCGCAGAGTGCAGATCCAAGGATGATGGGAGTCTCGTCACCATCAAAGCCGTAAGTGCTCAACAGCTCACGCATCTCCATCTCGACCAATTCCAACATCTCAGGATCCTCGAGGGCATCGACCTTGTTAACGAAGACAACAATCTTCTGGACACCGACCTGACGGGCCAAAAGGAGATGCTCTCTTGTTTGAGGCATCTGTCCATCTGAGGCAGCGACAACGATAATGGCTCCGTCCATATTGGCGGCACCCGTAATCATGTTCTTGATGTAATCGGCGTGACCGGGACAGTCAACGTGAGAGTAATGCCTGGCTTCGGTAGCGTACTCAATATGCGAAGTCGAAATCGTAATACCGCGCTTTCGCTCTTCGGGGGCTTTATCGATGGAGCCATAGTCTAAGAAGCTGGCCATCCCTTTCTCTGCCTGTCTCTTGGTGATTGCTGCCGTCAATGTGGTCTAAGAGCCGTGTTAGTGGTTGATTGTTGCCTGTTCATCAAGGTCTAGTCTCCGTACCTTTCCATGATCGACGTGGCCAATTGTACCTACAGTCATCAGCAGAAGCTCCGAAAGGTCAGCTTCAAGTTACATACCAATATTAACATGAGGTTTCGTCCGCTCAAAGGTAGTAGCATATGTACGAGCGGCATTTAACACCGCAGCTCCTTTTTGGCCTCGCAGCGCATGTTGGAATGGGCTGACGGCATTGCCTTGCAGCCATGCAGACCGAGTAGTCCGTATAAAGGGAGTGACTGATCGGGTAAACGCCGACATTGTGAAAGAGAGGAAAGAGAGGATTTCTGGCGGGGAATGAGAGGAGATGGTAAGTTGGGGTTTCGAGGTTCGAAATGTCGAGATATTTTTTAGCGCGAAATTCGTTTCGCGTGGATCAGGAATTGCACGTGACATTTTCGTACAACCCCTATTTGCCTAACCCCTGAAGTTAAAATACGTGTTTGGGTTTCACTATAAAGATCACATCTGCTCCCCATGTAGGACTGAATGTTATGGGGGTTTGGGAGGTAGAGCAGGATAGTTTGATGGAGCCTGTTTTAAAACAGATGAGTGTTAAGGACGATCTAAGTTGAGATCCAAGGAGATTGCAGTTAAGTACATAGAATGATATATATATGCATGTTTTGTAATACCTCTACCTGGATCCAGCCTGCTATCATCCAGGACAAGAATCCTTTCTTAATCTTAGTCTAATGGCTGCGCCGTTTCCCCCTCGAACCCTATTTGAACGCCGTCATGCTTTTCAGCCCAACCCATCTATAGATATAAGAAATAGTGGTCCATCCTCAGAACCGGCAGTGCTGTTTATGCCTACCTGTACTGTCCGATTACACTTTCAACATGTAAACTACGCTCAGAGTTCCCACAACAGCTCCAGTACCCTGTCATTCCTCCTCGTCGGCTGCTCTGTCTCTTCCTGTTCCAAATACGTCTGTCTGACTCCATAGCCTTCCAAGATCTCCGTATCAACCATCTTCAACGTTCTCTTGTCATCGCTATTCATCTTTTTTCGAAGTGGCCCAATCCTGTGTTCGAACTTCGATAACTCTTCCGGCCATGTATGCTCTATCTTTTCCAATTCCGTGATCTCTATCCCATTCGGATACTCAGCAATCGAGTATCCATTACTGAGCACGATATCGCCCTTAAATAGCCATCGCATAAGCACACCTTCATCTCCACAAGCCTTCGAGACGTATGACACGGTTGGCGTATCAATGTCATACCAGCGCTGCGGCGACCTCCAATGGTGGACGGTAAGCATCTGTCTCCCACTCTCGTAATACCCTGCAGCCACATCTCCTCCGCCAGAAATATCCATCTGATTCAGGCCCGGGTCGAAGGTGGGTCGTACTGCTGAGTGCTGTCTTAGGCATTCAGCGACAATCTGGTCGCCTTGGTTGTCTGGTATCTCCATACACGCATCCCAAACCTTCGGCTCGACAAGTTTAGCAGCGAGCGGGACAGAGATGAAAACCCCACCTCCTCCGTAAGGAAGCAGCCCAAAAATTTGTATCTGTTTCATGTTGTCGGACATGGCGGCTATAAGTAGTTCATCCGACGGATCATATGCTTTATTGAGGCGTGTCAGTAGGGCTGCGAGTGACGGGACAAACGTATCGTCGTCGATGAGGACGAGCCATTTGGTATCCGGGGTGCGCTTTTCATAGAGCTCTTTGACGAGAGCGAAGTATGATTTGGCAAATTCAAGGGGGCTCTCTTTGATGGACGTGTTAATTCCCAGGTCGTTCATCTGCTTTTGTAGAGTGGGGATCTTATCTGAGGGCGGCACCAGGATATGGAGGGAGCTCTCCGTGTGGGGAAGCCAGTGTTTAAGTTGAGGAATCGCATCCGGGAGACGTTGGACGTTGGTAGCAATCCCGAAGGATATGATGGATGTGTCAACTTCCGGGGAGGACGGGACATGGAGGGTCAAGGGAGGCAACTCGGGTTCAAGAGCAACATAACTGAGGTCGTCGACCTCTAGGCTTAAGGTCTGCCAATCACCAAACAAATTGGTCTTGTCGAGGACTGTAAGTGTGGAACGTGGACCCTCGAAATATTTCGTCTGAATGGTACGTCGGCTGTACTCGAATGTGGGAGTTAGGTTGTACTTGGCCAAATGCCCGAGGCCTTCGTGTGGAGTCTGCGGTTCCGTATTGGGCCTTGAGCCGCCCAGGAAGGATTTCAGGGGATGAAGAAGCGTCCCACGGTCATGCCTAGGGACAATGGAGTATATGGCCGTTGTTCCTAGGTAGCATACCAGGATGGATAGGAAGAGGAGGCGCTGGCACTTGCCCATATTCATGAGAGTTGGTAATTTCATGATGATGCCGTATTGCACATGGGATCATTTGGGATTAAGTACACCTTGAAGGTTCTTCCCCCGAGAGAAGACACTGGGTCCCTCGAGTCAGACCAGAGCGCGGCTGTCAGGTCCCGCTCATCTGGAACTTGAAATGATGTCACGGGGACCAAGATATTCGCGGATCCGCTGATTAAGAAAGCAGTTCAAATATGTGTGATTTGACGAATTGGCGTTTAATGTAGCAGAGCGAGAAGTTTGAAAATAGGAGAACGAGTCTGTTTCTTCACTTGAAGAAATGATATTCGGGGTCATGGCAGCAATCAGCCTGTAGGAGGGCTGCCACAAGTGCATACTATACACGCAAATTACTCGTACGGACCAGCATTTGGTACAGCGCTCAAGCAGCATCTTAGAAGAGGTCAGCCGCCTGTAACGGCATCCATGTCAGATTCAGTGGATCAACAATGTAGCACGTATATAATACCGTGATCTAAACTATTGGCAACGGCGGCAATGCCATAGGAAACGCCGACGTGTTCAGTATGCCAAGGGGACTGTTCAGAGCAGATGATGATGAATTTGTCGCTCTGCGATATGTTTTGCGCTCGAAGTTGAAAGCACCAAACAGCCTGTTACGGGAGGAACCGCCTATTTCCGTGCGGCTGCCTTGGCAGGGCTTGAATTCATCTATGTCGCACGAGGGTAAAGGCGTTTGAGGCGCCGATCACTTGGATAAGCCTGGTATTCTGTTCTGTATGGTAGTAGAGTCTGTCCCCGTACGTAATGCCTAGGCGCAGCTACCAGGTATGTATCAGAATTGTATATACCAGCTCTTGTCCCGCAGGACAAGTACGAAAGTAATACAATAAGACTAGCCTTTAGGCTTGTACTCTGTTTGGCTACTCTACGCTTCGACTTGGTATTTCTTGGTGTTGGTTGTTGTTCTCGATACCTACCTAAGGTAGTGCAGGTACTCGGGTACTCGAGTAGCTTACGCGTCGACGCCAGGTGTGCCATTAAAGCACACTAGATAATATTCCTTACACTTGGTACGTACGATGGTACGCGTATTACGAAGGAGTCTATATTCGCCGCCTCCGTAGTCAATAACAAGGCCCCCTCTGTTTACTCGCCGGTTGAAAAAGGGGGCCACTTCCCGTGACATCAACCAACCATAAAAAGTTCAAATATCTTCCAGTCCCCTCTAAACCAACTTCGATAACTAGAATCATGAGAAACCACCTACGACATACTGCATCGAAGGCCAATATGTGTATAAGCAGGCATGTTTACTTACCGACCAAGGTAACGTGCAGTGTAGATCCTAGTCACGTGCTTTGACGTCTTCCAGGCTGCATCTTACGCGTGCGACAATTGCTTGAAGAAAGGGAGGTTTAACCAGCTTCAACAAACAGAATCGCAGTGCCGGCCACAGAATACTGTGGTAACATTTTTGGCTTTTTTTTTGGGTGCCCGTTCGCCCTGAACACCCGTCGTACCTGTAGATGGCCGCGTGGTAAGCCACAAAGCAGCAATTTACGGTTTCCGACCAGTCAAGATTACAGTTCCGCTTGGCCATGGCGAGAATCAACAACGAAGACGTCGAGTCCTCTGAGAAGGCTGCGCTCCTACCCACACAGCCAGAGACTGGACGTACATATCCAGAGAAACATGCCATTAATCGTCGGCGCTGGTTCCCTGGCGCGCTCATCGCATTCGTTATTTTCGTATGGTGGTCTTCCAGCGCTATTCCGAGCCTGGTAGGGCTCGGGCGACACGAGATCTATGAGGATATGAGACAGCTAGACTTTGAAGATGTTTGAAACTCAATAAAATCAACACCATCTAGTCTCATGACTAACTCATCTTCAGATCATTCCAAGCGAGAAGCTGGAATGGCATCCATGCTATGAACAATTCAAGTGTGCTCGTCTTACAGTTGCCATGGACTACCATCGGCCTTTGAACGCTTCTAAAGACAACCCCAAGGTGCACATTGCCCTTATTCTGGTCCCCGGGTTCTCATTCTGGGCCCAAAAATTTCTCTACCTCACCCATGTTAGTCAACCCAGGCGGCCCTGGTGGATCCGGAGTTACCATTGCTATGGCACTCGGGAAAAGTATTCAAACTGTCGTAGGTCCCCATCAAGACGTGATTGGCTTTGATCCTCGTGGGATTGGGGCAACAACGCCTCGTGCGGATTGCTTTTCATACCCAGCTGATGGCGGGGATGGGGAGGACGACCATGTTCGCGGACAATTCCACCGAACCCTTTGGGGGAACGCGGGAAGACAGATTGGCCTTGTCAATTCTAGCTCCGTCGCTTTACAGAAACTTGACACTAGGGCGAGAGTTCAGGCAAAATTATGTGCTGAGAAAGACTCATTGAAGGGTTCGGATAGTATCTTCAGACATCTCAGCACCCCTACCGTTGCTAGAGATATGTTGAGCATCGTCGATGCGTGGGATGAATGGACGGCTGCCTTGCCTTCAGAGAGCGCCCCAGGGAAATTGTCTGCAACAGGTAATGTTTGTTTCTAACTGATAGAGTCGTGGAATATGCTCCCGTGTACGACTATTCAGATGCCCGCCAAATTGGTCTTCATGCCAGTCCCTTGGCGTATTATCCTTGAGTCGGCGCCCCAAATTTTTCCACTATAGAATGCGGTAGTCAGCAGCATTCAAGCTATCCTAACTTTTCTCGCATGTATTAAAACTCTTGTTGCTGGCATTACTAACCACCGCAATATTAGACGACAAGTTGAGGCCAGACCCTTCTAAAGGTCCTATTAGCCTTGACACCAAATCCAAGCTTGTTTATTGGGGATTTAGCTATGGCGTAAGTTTCTTCTCCTTGAGCGTTGTATTTTATATAATCTTACTATTTTTAGACGTTATTAGGGGCTACCTTCGCCGCTATGTTTCCAGACCGCGTTGGAAGATTGATCCTGGATGGTGTGGTGGATGCAGATCACTATGTGTCACCACTCTGGTCAGAGAGTATCCGCGATGCAGATGCCGTATCGAGATCGTTCTCAAGGTACTGTCATGGGGCTGCTGAAAGTTGTGCATTATACCGGGACAATGATACCGTGGCAGATATTGAAGAGCGGTTCGAACTTATCAGGACCAGCATCATGGACCATCCAATTACCTTGATTGATCCAATATCGAAGATGCCGATAGTTATCAGTTACAGCGATATCAGACTTGTTCTGTTCGTGTGTTTATATGCACCTACGCAGACGTTTCCTATTGTCGCTATGATCTTAGATAGTTTATATCGAGGATCAGATGCAGTAGTGGGTCAAATCTTTGGCTGGCCGCCGGACCTTGAACTTCAGCCGTTTTGTGGGCCTCCTCCACCGCCGAGCCTTTACCCAAACGAGGCACAAGCCGCCATTATGTGCAGTGATAAGAGATATGAGGTAAGTTCCAATAAGGTGTATGAAATATGACACGTCCTTATCCCTGGAATTTCACCAAGGATTCAAGGGACTTTGGAGAGCAGGTGTTTCCAAGAATTTTCCAAATGGACTATGCTAGTAAGATTCCGCTGACAATGTAACACAGCTGAACGAGACTATTCCAAATCTTCATCGGCTCTTCGAGAAGCTGGAGACTGAATCTTCATGGGCCGATGTTTGGATGACTTTGATGATCGGCTGTGACGGATGGCAAATCAGCGCCGTTGATCCGCCCATGCGATGGGATAGTAATCCAGCAAACACCTCCAAACCCATAAAAACCTCCTTTCCCGTTCTCTTCATCAGCAATACTGCAGATCCAGTTACACCTCTTTATGCTGGCGTCAAGATGGCTCAGAAATTTGTTGATGCAGGGTTAATCGAACAGAAGTCAGAGGGTCATTGCAGCCTTGCTGCCGTATCACAATGCACCATGAAGAAGATCAGAGCGTACATTGAGAAAGGAGAGGTACCACCTGCTCCTGTAAGGGGAGGAAAGGGCAGAGAACTGATTGATGGGAAATGGGATAGATGTGAGGCTGATGAATGGCCATTTCACCCTTATGAATCGGATACGTGGCTCGCTGCGAAGGGCGAAGTGGGCGTTGATGATGTTGAAAGTATGGATGCTCTGCGGGATATGCAAAAGAAATTTTACAGGCAAGCAACGTTTTTGGGTCAGATTGGAGGTTTGAATATGGGCAAGATTAACGACTTCGTTCTTCAAACGTAAGGTCGTCGAGGAAGAGGTGTCTCAATCTGGAAAAACCAGGGGCAGTTTCTTAAAGTAAAAGTGAAGGGGTCATTCTGAAGCTGTTCGTTGATGTCTTCAACATCTAATGAGCAATTGTTCCCTACAATTCATCAGCTTGTGGCAGGTGAGAAGGGAGAAACCCATGCACCCCTGTGTCAACTTCATGACCTATAGATCAACGTTGGTTATTGTACCTGAGTGATTGTGTTGGGTGGGGAAAAGCTGGCAAACGAAACCGGTCATTATATATTGTGGTTTTCACCTAAACATTACCCGTCGAATATGACCGACCCAGTAAACTAGCTCTCATCAAATACCATTAACTCTTTATGCGACCAACTTCTTTCCATGTCTAGCATCCCACAAACGGTCTTTCTTGATACCTTTAGGGGATCGTCTAATCTTCTTCCTCTCTCCCTCAACCGGAACCGGCGACCTCTCTACAATGGGCTCTATGTCCCTCTTCGGCAGCCCACCAGCTGCACATTTCCCACCTTTAAATGCGGCGCTAGCAGTCGCCTCCCACACTTTCGACACATCGCTGATCATAGGCGAGGTATAATACAGCCTGCAGTCCGCGAGCTCGGCTACGAATTGTGCTGGAGTGCCATCGTTGACGTTATCAGGGAGGAGTTGGTCTCTGATGTTGACACTACAACCAACTGAGCGATTGATTGGTACCATAGAAAGTTTGCTTAAAGCTTTAGTCGAATCTGGAGGTGTTTGTTTAATGGCGTAGGTTTTTGATAGCTGCGCCATCGAATATATGGTTTGGAAATTTAGGGTTTGAGCTCCTTTGACCCCTCCCACTGCTTGGATTGGCCCATCTTGGGGACGGCCACCTAGGGTAACAACCTTGACACCACCTTGGAGGCGCATGAATTCGCTGAAAAGTGAACATGTTGATGCGCAAAAGCCATCCGTTAACATGATGATATTTTCTGGTTTGAAAGGTTGAGTGAAGTTCTTTCTTGTTCCGTATCCTGTGATCTCTATGCCCACACCGAAGGTCAAATTCGTGGTCGTAAGTGGATTATCCAAATTCCACCTAAGAAGATTGGTGTCAGCCTGCCCTTTAGTCACATGCGGGCCGAACTTTTCTTCAAAACTTTGGAAGGGCTGGTTGGTGATATTGTAGTCGTAACGGTAATTTAAAAAGATTTCAGCCATGGAGATCAAATTCTCGTCACCTGAGGTTGTTGCATCGAAGTCGCCCCCCGTAGCACCCGAAAATATCTTTGCAGCTTCAAGTAACGTATCGCTATCTCTCAGTCGGGAGTAGCCATCTTGTACCACTCCGGGAAAGAATTGCCGGAAAAGGTCATAGCCCTGCAGGATGTGCCCTCCACCATTTGCACTCAAGTCGATTATGAGCTTGGTCTTCCCTGCCTTTGTAGCCTCGATACAGAATTCTTCAGCTATATGTTGAAACTCCTTTGAATCTTGTGGGGCGAAGTTTAATACGCTGAGGACCGCGACATCCTCAAAGCCCGCAGCCGCTAAGTAATAACCCCCGATAGAACTATCAGTGGCGATCAACGATGGATTAGGATATCCAGGGAGAGAAGATTGAGATGACTTGCCCGAGGGGAGCTCAGGGTTGGATGTAGGATCTTCGGCGGTGATAGGTTTCTGTAGTACGCTGACATTTTGAGGATTATCGAAAGCCCCAGTACAAAACCTCTTGGAGAAAAGTTCGCCGTCAGTCACCCCAGCGAAGTTACCCACCACATATGCAATATTCTCAACAGTTAATAGCGTACCATTTGCAAACGTGAAGGTGGTGTTATCCCCGGGGTATTTAAACCTGGAAAAATTGTCAGGTCATGGGATATGGAAGGGGAGAAAGGAGGCCTACCGACTACGCCCACCGCCAGCAAAATATCCTGATTTTGAGGCAAGACCAGCAACAGATTGTGGAGTGAAAAACATGGTATTGTACGCAGCATCGACATCCTGATTAAAAGTTGATTCATAGGCAAAATCCCCTACATATGTGGCAGCATCAATCCCGTCAATTTCGGTTACCGCCGACGCGGTGGACGGTGATGAAATAACATCCTCTAGACCCGAGTTATTAAAAGGAACGATCGAGAAGAGGATAAAGCCTACCATATAAAAATATCTCAGGAAGGGAAGATCCATCCTTACTTATCGATACCAAAGATCGTTGCCGGGCCCACCGGAAGGCATTGGCGAGACCATCGGGGTTGAATACTAGATGACCATCGTGTGCCTTTGCGAAGACACTGTAAAGATCCAGCTCAAAAGCAATTTCACCTGAGTAGACATTATCCTCGACGTTCTTCCTCACCGCGGCGAGGGATCCTAGGACATCATGGGGTGGGTAGAAATAGCCGGTAGGAGGGTCCTTTAGCCATGCCAGATCTAAAACCAGTCAGGATCGGATTCATAACGGACTCAAATCATGAAGATGGGATATGAGCTTACCACTCTGCCACTCAAGATATGGCACCAGAGAATCTATAAGCTCGATTGCAGAATCTTTGAGCAACGGAACAGTGTCGAAACATTCTTGGGCCAATTTGGCAGGGATCGACGGTGACACTACAGATCTTCAGTTCCGTTTCAACAAGATTCTTGCCGCACTCAACATACGAGTTCGCGCAGTAGAAATTTGCGAAGCTGCTAAAGCGCTCACAACAGCACAGGGATTTGTTGGGGTGGGGGTAGTTGCTGTAGTGGACGCTGCGATACAACTACAGGCACTTGCCAACCTATATGTGAGATTGCCTTTCTGATTTTGCTCACACGCATCGAGAGCATAAGTAGGAATAGCGGTAGGAGCAACGGAAGTTCCAGTGAAAGTTGCACAAAAAGACTGCGCAGCTTCGATCCGGCTTGGGATTTGAGTGGCCCTTAGGGCACGAAGACAATTATCATCGTCACAGGAAGCCGAAGCTAAAGCAGCTAGAATAACGATAGAAAAAGGGTAGAGCATGATTGTAGTGGCGGCTCTACAACACGCATCTATCCCAAGATGGTAAATGCTCCCACTCGGGGCTTTCGAGGAGGAGCAGCAGCATCTTTATATCTGTGATATCTGGTAGTAGCCCCAGTCCCAGCCTCATCCAACCTAGTTGCTGTACTACATACATTCCACCAAACCCCTGGATTGGGATACGACGCCGACATGGGATTCTCGCACGCTCCTGTTTGTACAAATTGGCGCGGCATCACGAACCCATATCGACAGGCAGCTGATCGTGCCAAGACGATAAGACGAGAGTGTACCTACAGTAGCTAGGTAAGGGAGCCGATGCCTCGGGGCATGTGGCCCGGTACGCAGGTACATTACTGTAGCTGCACTGCTACTCCACCGCTCGAGGCATATCTCGCAGCAAAACACTCAGGGACTGGAAGCTCTAGGAGGTAACGCGAGGGGTTGACACTGGACCTGGGAGGGAGGTGAGTGGCTGCTAGCTAATAAAAGGCTGTATGCGACAAGCGGGTACATACCTCAACAGCCATTATTGATCGATGTTTATTAGCCTTCGACGTGGAAGGTTGTGAAAGATCGCCATCTAGGATGCGGTGGCTGGGGCCGGCAGTGGATGGTCTTTACTCCCCATTGGGGATATGCTCTGCAACTGGGCCTACTGTTCGGGCGTTGCAAATATATTGTGATAGACACCCCTGCTGGACGCAAAGCAGCAGTAGGATATGATATGATATGATATGATATGATATGACATGATGAGGATAGAGTACTTGGTACTCGGGTGCTACTGCACAGCACAGCACTGTACGTACGACCGAACTCAGTATGTAGCCGGCGGACTGCCCCAAGTTGCCCGACGGGCACACGTATCCCACGTCAACTGCCGTGCAACGGCCCTTGAGGCGGTGATGTGCTTCGTGAAGCTCTTATAAGTAGTGCACTCGTAGGAACTTTGGCTATCTAGCTGTGCTCCGTCGCTGATATTAAGATTGCCGGAGTCTGTGGCACTGCCCCTCAAGGGATACATTACTTTGCAAACCATATGCATCCGAGGCGATGGTTGATGTGCTGATACCTCGGAGGAGACTTGACTTGGGAATCAGGGTAGTGCGTGCAGAGTTGTAGGATGATGATCGAGGGAAAGCATGGAATAAGAATGTTGCCGTTGCAGTGGCGATTGCAGCTGCAATGATGGATGGCAGCGAGCCCAGCCCGCTAGGTATTGTATCTATGCTGTCGTAGGGTCACCATTCCCAACTTCGTTTTACCAGCCTGCCCCCTTTCATAGCGCTCTTCTGCCATGCTGCAGTATGTACCTAGTTAAGCATTTATTGATAAAGATCCACGAAGCATTAAAATCGGATCACATTATTAGCCAAAGCGCAAGACGCCCTCTGAAAACGACCACTGGTGCACGTAGGTACATGTACCATCACATGCATAGTATAGTACTTCGCCCTGGACGCCCCGAGCCAGAACACGGAAAAGCGTACTCGAGCCATCCACCAACCTAGCCAATGCCGGGGAAGGAGCAAGACTAGAGGACTCTATACTCTATACTCTATACTCTATACTCTCTACTGTACCTGCGAAGGGCGGAGACTAGGAGGCTAAAGGCAATGGCTATACGCAGTGCAGTACGAGGTACAAATACAGCACCCGCAAGCTATGCAACGGGGCAATAGTACTAATACTACGAGGCATAGCTATAATACGTAGTAGTGCCCACCTGGTACCTTAGTTAAGTATAGGTCCCTACAGAGTGGCGTGTCCATAAGAGCTAAGCCCTCAAGTTGTTCTAGTGTCGTACTTGTATCTTGCCATGAAAAGAACGAGAGGCGAAAGTGCAAATACGAGTAACGTTCTTGTACTTGTATTTCGGTATTTCGCCCCGGACCGGAATATAATTATAAATCTGGGCGCAGCGGGAATTGGCCAATGGAGGGGCGTTGAACTCTGCTTATGAGTCGTGGTGTGTTTAAATTTTGCCGGGCGTCGCAGAAGCCGAGGAGGATTCGTACTACAGTACTTCGTACTAGATACATACTGGACTACTGAACTGGACTACTGTGCTACTACGGTACAGTAATGCCCATAATACCCGAAACCACCACCAACAATCAACCATCCCCCTCCGCAAATTTTCGATCTTCGCCTCGACATCTTCCCAACCTCGACAATTGCTCGACAATTGCCTTTGCTCCATTTGCTCTGTTCATAGATCTCTCTCATCCTCTCAGCGACTCACTCCCCCAAAATCTTTCAGAACCGCCCCCCCTCCCCGCTATCGCTGTAGGCGCAACCCCTCGCCATCATGGACGCCCTCCTCCGACAATCCAAGTCCATGTGTCCTTTCTTGAAGAAGACTTCGCCGGCGACCCTGCGATCTCTCTCGACCTCTGTCTCCGCCTCGACTCCCGCTCGCCATGCCTCTCCCTGCGGTGGCAGCATGTCCAATCTACAGACCATTGCCCGTCGTTGCCCCGTCATGGGCAAGGCCATGGCTGTCCAGACCGCAAAGTCCGGCAAAGTTGGTCTTGGTGGCGTAGCTGCGCTGGGCGCCATCAGGGCTTTTACTGGGAAATCCGCCGCTGCAAAGGCAAGAATCCATACCAGCGGTGCTCGTGAAGCCCGAACTGTCGAGGATACTCTGTTTGGTCGCGAGAAGGGTATGTCCCTCCGTGAGAATCCTGCGTATCACGCGCTAATCGTTCCACCATCAACAGTCCCGTATCCCCAGCATGTCAAGCCCGTCCAGCAACCAGCGGCAGCAACAGCAACAGCAACAGCAGCCGCAAACGCAGCCCACCAGCACAGAAATGCTGCCAAATTCGACTACGAGGCATTTTACCATGCCGAGCTCGAGAAGAAGCATAAGGACAAGTCCTACCGCTACTTCAACAACATCAATCGCTTGGCCAAGGATTTTCCTCGCGCTCACATGTCGAACAAGAGCGACAAGGTCACGGTCTGGTGCTCCAACGACTACTTGGGCATGGGCAAGAACCCGCAGGTGTTGAAGGCTATGCATGACACTCTTGAGGAATATGGAGCTGGAGCAGGTGGAACCCGAAATATCTCCGGACACAACCAGCACGCCGTCAGCCTCGAAGCCTCCATTGCAAAACTACATGCGAAGGAAGCAGCATTGGTGTTTTCGTCCTGCTATGTAGCCAATGATGCTACCCTCGCAACTCTGGGAAGCAAGTTGCCGGATTGTGTCATTCTATCAGACAGCTTGAATCATGCTTCCATGATCCAAGGCATCCGCCATTCTGGGGCGAAGAAATTGGTCTTCAAGCACAACGATCTCGCTGATTTGGAAGCCAAACTGGCGTCTCTCCCTGCACACGTCCCCAAAATCATTGCGTTCGAATCCGTTTACAGCATGTGTGGCTCCATTGGTCCGATCGAAGGAATCTGTGACCTGGCAGAAAAGTATGGAGCCATTACATTTCTCGATGAAGTCCATGCCGTCGGCATGTATGGAGCGCATGGCGCCGGAGTAGCAGAACATCTTGACTACGAAGCACATCTCCAAGGCCGCCCTCGCGGAACAGTCATGGACCGCATTGACATCATTACTGCGACACTAGGTAAGGCGTACGGCTGTGTTGGAGGCTACATTGCTGGTTCTTCCAAATTCGTCGACGCCATCCGTTCCCTCGCACCCGGATTCATCTTCACTACCTCACTACCACCCGCTACTATGAGTGGCGCAAGAGCCGCGATCGAGTATCAAATGGAATATCAGGGCGATCGGCGCCTGCAGCAACTCCACACCCGCGCGGTCAAAGACTCTCTCAATGAGCGAGACATACCTGTCATTCCAAACCCGAGTCACATCATTCCCTTGCTAGTAGGAAACGCCGAACTCGCCAAAAAGGCTTCAGACATGCTTCTCGACGTCCATGGTATCTACGTTCAAAGCATCAACTACCCCACCGTCCCCGTCGGCCAAGAACGCCTCCGTGTCACACCTACACCAGGCCACAGCCGTGAACTCCGGGAGAATCTTATCTCAGCACTCGAGTCAGTATGGACCGAGTTAGGCATCAAACGCACCAGTGACTGGGCCAGAGAAGGAGGATTCATCGGTGTTGGCGAGCCTAATGTCAAAGAGCCGGAACCACTGTGGACGGACGAGCAACTTGGCGTGGATCAAGTGGTTAAGGAGATTAAAGCCTCCTGTCCTGTCGGCATCACGGAGGCACTGCTTGAGCGTGAGTCGCAGGAGATGGCTCGCGCTGTGCCAACCGCTGCCTAACCCCCGGCTTCGTTCGCTGCGGGCAAAGTCAGCTTGCCCATTGCAGCAGCCGCCGGGACGGCGCTTTGAATAGAGACGCTCATCAGACCCGAAACCACGATCTTTGGAGCGGATAGCTACCTAGGTATATGCTTGTTATGAATTTCACGTTGGACGCCGTTCACTTACGAGATTTATGGATTGAGATGGGCTATTAAGGGTCATGTAGATATATATGCTTGTTTGCGTGTATCTCTGGTTCTTTTGGTCCTCTGGGCTTTGATCTTACGATGAATGGTAATGCAATGAATGATTTGATTGGATCTTTGATCTGATCCATCACCACAATATTGGCTCCCTTTCCGCACTTCAATGGCTCTATGTGACAAGACTGTGATGTGATGCGCCTGGTTTGAACAATGAAATTCCATATCTAGTAAAGATTATAGAAAAGCCTCACCTCATTCAATGATGAGGGGCTATGTAATTCTTTATGCAATCAAAAAAACTCCAATACTGGTTGCTGGTCTCGCCCGGAATCCAAACCGTAATTTCCCACCTTGCCATGTAAACACCAAAAGCCGGAACGCCACAACCCCTTTTCTATGATCTCTTGGGAATTGCACCGCTTCCCTGGTATCAACAAACTGATATGCCCAATAATGCACGAATCTTAGGCCATTCTATAAAAAGCCCCAATCTTTTCGAATCCAAAAATATCATCTCCCCCCATACCCATAACACAGCGCCAGCGCGCCGTCAACACTCGCATCCAGAACCCCCACCCTCTCCTTCAATCCTTTATTCTCCGCCCTCAGCAATCCCACCGTATCCCACGCCACACTCGCATCTTTGCCCCTACAATTCCCACACCCTTCACTTCCCAAGCCGATTCCTCCGAACTGATCTTTCACTTCAGGGGACGTAGGACTAATCCCCTGCATAATCTTCTGAAATGTACTTTTCTGCTGAGGTGCCACTCTCGGTCTCTGGGATGGTGTATTGGCATTTGGAACTAATCTGGCGAAGGTAGCTTGGTGGATTTCGAGTGTGGTATCCCTCGTAGTGGAAATCGAATTCAACGTCAAGGTTGGGGATCGGGAGCGGGAAAACACAGACTCTGCCCCCCCCGATTCGGCATCTGAATCTGCCTCTGCGCTGAGATCTGCGGACCCACGCCATTTTTTGCGCTCTCTCCCCGCGCCTGGCGACGCGGCGGTTGCTATACCTAGGTCTTCTTCGGGGATTTCCGCGCCTTCGGTCTCGCGCCGTGCTCTGGCTTCCAGAGCATTCCCTTTAACCAACGCTGTGGATTTGTCCCTCGCTTCCTTTTCTTCCGCCCTCGCGTGCCGCTCTATATCAAGTTGAGTCGCCAGCTCTGCAATGGTCGCGTCTTGCGCTGAAACCTTGGCGGCCATATCTTCTAATTGTGTTCGCAGGCATTGTGCTCGAGTGGAGGATTCTTCTAGTTCTTCTTCGATGGCGGATTTCTCGGCCGTGAGTTCGTGGAGGGACAGCGTGCGGAGTTTGTATGCTTGTTGGAGATTTAGGAGGAGTCCTTCGGCGTTCATGAGGAGGTTTTTGAAGGCGGATGGCGAGAAAGGGTCTGGAGGTTGCCCTTGGGGGAACAAGGCGCTGTTTATATCGAGGGTAAGGTACTCGTCTGAGTTCATGTCGGCGGGTATTCGTACAGTGTTGGTGGGTTTTACTGGTGTTTTTGGTGCGAAGAAATTGAACATCGACGTTTGCGGTTTACTGCCTGGCGACTCGAGTGTTGGTAAAGCAGGTCGTTTTGTCAGCTTGGCAGGCGGCCGTTCGGGCGAGGTAGATCGAGAGGAAGACATTGATGGAGGAGCTGGGAGTTCCTTTTCTCCGACTGGCACGCCGAGGGGCAGCGCTGCTGAAGAGCCAGAAAACCAGGATGCCAGACCTCCTACTGATCTATCTGCGACCTTGGCCTTGACCAGCAATTCTCGATCGCCGGTGAGCGTAGGCATTAGAGTGTCTCCGAGGCCCTCCTCCACTAGGCTATGTTCAGCGGACCTTGATATTGGAGAGGAAGTTCGGAAAGGCAAGTATTCTGAGAGTGCCCGCTGATGCCCCCGAGATTGCCGCGGCGAATTCGAAGGTTCTTCTGCGACGATATGGGTAGCGGATAGAGACGCATGTGGTTCGAATGAGAGGGTGGTGGTGTTTCGTTCAGCATGAGCATCGGTGTAATAGTCTTCCACCCATTCTTGCTGCAGCGGTGAGTTCCTCGATGCCGCTCTCGAGATATTTGCAGCGGAATGTGTCCTTCGATGTACAGCGTTGGGGAGAGGGAGAGGCTTCGTGTCGTAGTAGCGGGAAGAAAGCTGTTGACTCTGCATTATGGACATGGACAGCTTGGTCAATGCTCGAGGAGGAGTACCGAGGGCAGTGTCGATACCGCATGAATTGTTTCAGCGGTCCGTTTTTTTTATCGGGTGATTCGCGGGGGGAGGAGTTGGTGCTATGAGGAAAACGATGGCGAGGGGATGCCCTTGTTGATGGTATTCATGCGTGAAACTCGGAATCCTACTCGTAGCAGGGTGTGCTCTGTTGACAGCCACGCGGTGTAGGGCACGATCAGAGAGGGATAAGATTGGAGGAACAGGACCAGACCAGAGAGATATTATAAGATGTGCTGATGTTTATCGACCGTTCGTTCTTGTGAATTTCATGAGGGTGGGAGTGCGGGGGATCGGGTGGCTGGAAGCTAGAAGCTAGAAGCTGGCCTGCTTAACAGAGGGTTGATATTACAGTTGTACTATTGTATTATGGTACTCGAGTGCTGTACTGTAGAGTGCGAGCCCGACGGTTGTGGTCTCTCTCTTATCAGCGATTGGCGATTGGCGTTTGGCGTGGCTGGGACGAAAAATCCGATGTGCTCCACTGCACATTCCAAGCCACCTCATTTACTCGTACTGTACTTCGTAATACTCTCTTCTTCCGAACTTTCATCCCCTCCAGTTATGGTTATGGTTATGGCCAGATATTTGCACTGGTATTCCCGGGTACTTAGCTACGAGCACCTTAGGTACGGTACATCTACATACGCGCGGTTTGCAAATCACCAGCTTGCGACAACGACCAAGGACAGAGTCCTAGGGAACAAAATGGAGATGTTAGCTGTGCAGCGTTTGAGCACATTCCAGACATCCAGGGGCAATTGCTTAGGACGTGTAGTTCACATTCCTAGGTACTCAGCATGCCTTGCCAGTTTTGCGTGGCTCTTCTCTGACGATGGCTCCGGACTTCGAAGCTGCAGACAAGTGTCTACGAGTATTGTACAGGATGTACAGTACTCGAGTACATGTAACCGCCCTGGTCCTGCCCATGGTTTGTAAATTGTCAATGGATGCCCTGCCAGTGCCCCCAGCAGCCAGCTACAAGGCCAATAAATCCCCATTTCCTTACATCTTCGGCATCTGCTAGGCTGTCATAGATATTGCTGTGTGTTCTTTCTTTCGACCCCTCGTTTGCCTGCATGCTTCTCTTCGTAATTGGGTTCACGTCCTGCGACCGTCTGAATAACAATCTTGTGTAACCCCCGCCCGCACGAGTATTGGAGGTTGGATTTCCAAGCAGCGATGAGGTGATAGTTCCTGCGATCGGATATAAATTGCGAGCCCTTCCTCGAATTTCAAGTGGAGTCCAGACATCAAAAACACATTTCCTCTCTAGTTCGCCCTCCTATATAAACATAAATCCTCAAGAAACATCTACTTATATATATATATATATATATATATATAAACCCCACCATGTCGAAGCCGCTTATAGTAGTCGTCGGCGCAACAGGAGCCCAAGGTGGAAGTGTAGTTTCTGCCTTCCTTTCAGATGGCACCTACCAAATCCGAGCTATAACACGCCGCCCGCATAGCCCCAAAGCCAAAGTCCTCCAAGACAGAGGTGTTGAAGTCGTCTCCGCAGATCTCAATAACGAAGCATCTCTCGTTGAAGCTTTCAAGGTGCGGATCTCGTCGCCGCTTTCAGCCTTCACTCAACCAACACATTCTAGGGAGCAACCGCCATCTTCGCCGTAACCGATTTCTTTGAGCCCTTCATCTCCAGCGGGCCCGAAGTAGCAGTACAAGTAGAAACGGCACAGGGCATCAACCTCGCCCGTGCCGCGGCCCAAACTTCGACGTTGAAGCACTACATCTGGAGCACGCTGCCCAACGCAAGTCAGATATCCGGAGGAAAATACGTGATCCCGCATTTCGATTCTAAGAATAAGATTGATGCGTTTATTAAGGATATTCCGGCGCTGTACGAAAAGACGACGTTCTTGTGGTTAACATGGTTTGCGAGTAATGTTCAATTTCCGGTCTTTAGACCGGCGCTTCATGTATGCCATCTCCACTGCCCCTTTCACCTAGGGAGAGAGGGTACGACTGGATGACTAACCCTGCTCCGTAGAAACCCTCCGGAAAACACGTCCTTCTTCAACCGGTCCCCCAAAACACACCCATCCTGTCAATCGGCGACCAAGTCTCTAACGTTGGCCACTTCGCACTATCCATCGTCAAACAGCCCGACCTAACCCTCCCGGCAAAATTCGTCCTTGCCTCCACAGACTCGACTACTACAGGGGACTTGCTGAAGACGTGGGGAAAGGTAACAGGCAAGGAGACGGAATATCTAGAGATCAGTTTGGAGCAGTATGAACGTTTCTTCCCGAGATGGGGGACTGAGTTGGGTATGATGATGCAGTACTGGGCGGAGGTTGGGGATAAGAGCTGGAGTGGAGAGGCGGTGCTTACGAGGCAGACTCTAGGGATTGATGCAGCATTTGTGGGGACGGAGAAAGCTTTGGGGGCGGTTAATTGGAATGAGGATTGAGAGACGTATCAATGCCGAATAGGGTGAGAAGACTGAAAATAATGCACGACGGCAAAGAATCTAAGTAGGTAGTTATCGGTATCTCAAGTACAAGCCGCTGCGGGTAGCTGAAAAGTGACGATTTATTTTACATATTAATGAGGAGTGATATGTCCTATTATAACCTCCGTGGCAACTTGTTAGTTCTGGTAAAATTCTTGGGTTGCACCCCCATCAAAGCCCTGCCCAACAATCGGAATTTGCATATAATCCCCCCAAAATGCCCACGAGGAAGAATCGATGGCTCCAGGCATTGCAGCATCGTCAAAGCCCGCACCTACATCCATCGATGGTTGATCTATCCACATGCAGGCTCCTTCAGATGAATCGATGCCTGCACTAGGGCCTTCTGGCAGAGTGCCGGTGGATTGCGTTGGTGGAATTGAAGCCGGTGACTTATGAGAGGCTATATCCTGTTTCAACCGAAGAATAAACTGCGGAGTCTGAAGCATCGGCTGAAAAGGTTGACCTGCAGCTTCTCGAGCTTCCCAAGCCTTGACCACCAGGTTTGCTAGAGCCACGTGCAGCGTCTGTTTCGAGCGCCACTTTGCACCAAGGCCGACGGGACGATTGTCAAAGTACTCTTCGAGAATCTTCCAGGCTTCATCTGCCAGAGCGTCGCTTGTTCGCTCTCGTAGGGAGCGGAGCAGGATGAGGTATGCTGGGAAGGGGAAGTGTTTGTTTACATACCACTGAAACCGACCCAGAGATTTCGAATGCGTCAAGGTCTGATGGTTTTTGATTTGGCACAGACTCAAAATAAACCCACTGTCCTTTTGAGCCTGGGACAACTCAACACCGCGGGCTGACATTAGATGAGGATGTGTTACACCGATTCGGAGCTTGGCGATGGAGGTACTGGCCACTAGGCGTGAGATAAGATGAACGGGCACTTGTGGGTCGCAATACTTGAGATATCGCTGTTCTAGTCGTTGTTCAAAGTCATCGATGGCCTTCTGGTCAATGGCCGATAGCCCGGTGGCCGACTTAAACTGCTGCATGAACTGGGCGGCCTCGCACTTTTGAAGCACGAAGACCATTTCAGTGATCCCAAGGTGTTCTACAGTAGGGTCTCTCATGTCCGGAAATAGATCGCTATCATTCATGTTCGAGGGAAGCTTTGTGGTCCAGGTATGTTGAAGAATTGAAGGCCCGAATCCTGATATCTCTCCTACACGGCTATCGAGGAAAAGTAATTGCCACCACAGCCTTCGTCGCATCTCTATCTCAAATGGCATAAGTCCATAAAGCGTGCCATCAAAGTTCAAGCCCATCCTCTGAGCCATGCGGATAGCAATTCCTGTCAAGCAGAATAGGGCGCGAGGATCTAGTGCGAAGGAATGAAAAGAGTACTAACAGGCCAGTCAGCATCAGGGTGTGATGAATGGTGATGATGGAAAGGTAGAGCAGCTGAGCTCACCAGATAGAGCATATATCCTTGTAAAATGGTCATATCGGAAGTACGAAGAAAACTCGCCCGAAGCAGGGCTTGACGGGCGCCAGACTGGTACTGATTCAGGAGCGTTTCCTTGTCTCCGTCAAACATCACTTTGCACTCCTCCTCACTTAAAGATGCGATTGCCATCGAGTAAATTCCAAACATCAACACCTGTATTTTTGTGGAGGCAGCGTTTAGATTCGCGCTGGCTTCGAGGACTTGTTGTTGGACTGTTGGAGCATGGAAAAGCTTGATCAACGGATTGATGTTGTCCAGAAATGTCTGCCAGAGCCTAAATATTTGCACAGGTGGAGGATGTAGCGAAGCCAAATCGTCGACGGCTGGCCCCGGAAGTAAGAGATCTCCGGCATCTAAAAAGGCTTCATCATAGGTTGTGGTTATGGGGGTCTCTAATTCATCATCTGAAGACCCCTGGAGTATTTCTTCTATATCGCGAAACTTCAAAGTGTTAATATTGACTACGAGGGCAGAGTTAAAGCGTATGTGATTACCTCGTGGCTCAAGTCATTCCATAAATTACTACTCGGATCAGCACCGTCCTGCCAAGATGGAGGAGTGTATCTACCTGTTTACGTTCTTCAGTGACCAGCGCACCGACAATGACCTGTAGCCATCCAGATACGCAGGATCTTCGGTCTTAACCGGGACTGAAGATGTTGCAGGAATAGGGGTCTCCTCACGATTAATGGCGTCGATGTCAGCACCATAGCCCCTGAGATGCTCTTCATATTTCCTCAGGCGCGCAAGCAGTTCTGCTTCGGGAAATCTCCGCTTCCGTCTCTTATGGGGAAGTTTTGCTGGGGAAACACATTCCACTCGTGCCTTTGTGCAGTTGGCACAAGGGCTATTCCGATCACACCTGACCTTGCGCTGTTGACAAAGCACACAGGGGTGTTTCCTTTGGTTCTGGCCTATCTCAGGTGCTGCGGAAGAATGAGGCTCTTCATCCGCACCCGACGACATCATTTCTGACAGCCCGTAAAACACTTTCTTGCTCCACCGCCACTTGAGGGCTATGTAGCCCACGTGATACTGAGTTATATCCAACCTGCCAGTGCGACAAAGAAAGATTAGCAATCGCCTAAAGAAGCAAATCCGAAGAAGTATTGGGGCACGTACTGATCAATACGGACCAGACTTGATTCGGTGGGACCAGGTAGCTAGGAAAAGCGAGCTGAAGAGCAAAAGCTTGGAACCTGGAAGTCAAAGCTTTTGCTGGCTGCAACGGCAGAGAGTGACCATGTCGGCGCAAAGTACGAGTCTATACGATAGAAGAGCGGTTTAATTTGTGAGCTAGCTTTGGTTCATATACATACCATTTACGTGCGGTGTTGTCGTCAGCAACATCAAACGCGTGGCGGTAATCTTACATTAGGAGCAGGTAGGCGCCAGAGTGGGAGTCAGAGTCAGCGGAACATATATTCTTCCGAGCCTGCTGTAAAGGCTACTCTACGAAGTACTCGAACTTGAGAACGGAGTACACCCAAGAGAGCTAGGTGTGCTTCGTGCTTCGCAGAGCAATCTAAATTCTTCCACGTTCCAGTTCGCGCAGTCATACATCGTACCTCGAAGATCTCTTACGAGTGCATCTTTCTTCTGAAACCACAAGTTTGCCAGCGCAGAACGAGCGTTTATTAGTACCTCGTGCACCTTACCTTGCCCATTTCGCTTCCACGATTCGAACCTGGGGTTACAATGTCAGGACCCGAATGATACCGCCGCCGAGTGCCTTCTCCGCTCTCTATCTTGCTTGCAAGCGACACGAGTATCGTCCAAAGTCAGCAATCGGGATGGCAACCCGCGTTATCCCCAGGAAAAGCTTGTGTAAAGTTTGCCTGGAGATATCCCTAGAGTCCCTCCTTACTGCCGGGGGGTTTGAACATATATCTGAACCTGATCTGCTTATCTCCTCTGTGAAACAATGTCAAATGTGTTCTCTGATATACACCAGTGTTTCGAGTGTATTTTCCCGCCGCTCGACGTATCATTGGGGTACTCCTTCCGACTCTCCTCCTTCCGACTCTCCCCGCTTCACGATCCTGCGTGGCTTGGAACGAGAAAACTTTGGCCTAGATCACATCTTAGTATGCTGTGGCTTTGTCACGAAAACTTCCGAGCATCAGGAGGACCCATCTATAATTCCCTCGGGGACATATCTGATAGGCCGATTAGAGATATCTGCTAAGAAGGGTGAGTTCAACTCGACCTGCCCGATATGAGGCACAAGTATTAGAAGCAACCTCTGAAATCTTAACAGACGATCCTGCCGCGAAGTTCGTAAAATATCAGACGATTCCTCGCGATCCGGGATCAGAGGGTGGCATGTTTATGGCCACTCAACTTTCGGACGAATGTATCAACACACATTCGCGATGCATCCCGCCGCAAATAACCTCCCTGCCGAGACGTGTTTTAGACGTTGGCTCCATTGTCGACGACACGATTTTTCTTCTTATTTCGGAAGATCGCAAAGCAAGCTATGCCACACTTAGCTACTGTTGGGGAGGTCCGCAAGATATCATTCTGAGCGAAGGCACTTGGGAGGCGATGACTCAAGGAATCGCACTTTCTGAGCTTCCGAAAACTATTCAGGATGCCGTGACGGTCACTCGAAGATTGGGTCTTCAATATCTTTGGGTTGATGCGCTGTGCATTAAGCAAGATTCAGCCCGGGATTGGGCCTCGGAATGTGCGAAAATGGCAAATATCTATGGAAACTCAACTGTAACAATCGCAGCCGCTGCTGGCTCTGACTGTAATGCCGGTTGCTTTATTAAGAGCAGTCGTTATACTGATCGAAGATTGATTGGGATCAAGCTTCCTCTCCCTGACTTGAGCATGGGGACCATCTTCTTTGGTGTGCAAAATGAGTACGAACCGTGGAAAGATCCACTCCATAAAAGAGCTTGGGCACTTCAAGAACGCCTTCTGTCTCCAAGGCTCTTAATATATAGCTTGGGAAATGTATCGTGGCAATGCCAGACCAAAGTACAAAGCATCGGTATCGGATCAGCCCGCCTACCAGATTTCTTTTTCAAAAAGGCACCCGCCAACGGACAAGAGATTTGGCAATGGAACAGGCAAGTCTCACACCACAATTCTATAACACTGGAAACATTTTGGCTTCAAATTTCCTTAGATTATTGCCGTCGGGCTATCACTCGCGAGCACGATAGACTCCCGGCACTTTCTGGTATCGCCAAAAGATTTCGGGATGTGACAGGAGATGTGTATCTGGCTGGTCTTTGGAAGGGAACTCTTTGCCAGGGGCTTATGTGGCACGTTGGATTTGCGTTGGAACCTCGATCATCGATATATCAAGCCCCGACATGGTCGTGGTTGAGTGTCCAGGGGCCAATATTTTATGCCAATGAGAAGGGGGCTAGAGATTCTCCCCTAATCGAAATTATCAATACCGAAACAGTTTTAGCTGGCCCAGACGCAACCGGAGCAGTCACAAGTGGGAAGATCAAGCTCCGTGGCCAAATGAAACGAGCTCGACAGAAACTAGATGACGAGCTTTGGGGAGTTGGCGCTGAGAGCCTTGTTAGAGCTGGTCACGCTCTCCTAGATCATGAACCGAAGTTCATAGATGCTATGGAAGGCCCACTGTGGTGCTTGCGAGTTTCCAAAGATGAAGGATTGCTCCTAAAGCCTTCGGGGGAAGACTACCAACGTGTTGGAATCTTCCTTTCGGGCTTGAACAGAGATAATGGGGTGACGGGCCAAACATGGTTCGAAGATTGCGAAATGCAGATCTTGACGCTTGTGTAGACTTTGTTCAATTCTGCGTTTTGCTATTCGCTATGAAAACATGCTATTTGGCATTCACAGAAATTATTTTAGGACGTAACGGTGGTAGGCAGTAGGTGAGTGGAGCATCAATTTCAATTTTAGAGATGCAGAAGACCCAGCTACTCGGCTCTATCATCCCCGAGGTAGGGATATTGTGGCGGGAGTATGTACAGTACGCTTTCTGATCTGCCCATAGGCCATGGGCCTAGCCAGAATTCCTTCGTGCAAAGATCTGCTTCTCACCCGAAACCGCAACCTCGTCCTCGATATCCGTCAACTTGTTCACATCTCGCTCTCCACGGTACGGACTCCCAGCCTTAAGATGCCCAGTTCCAAGCGCCACCGTCAAATCCTCAATAAAATCATCAGTTGTCTCACCAGATCGGCGAGACACGAGCATTGCCTCGCTAAGGCCGAATACGACTCTTACGCTATAATTATTTGCAACTACAGTAAGCTTTCATTTCCGGTAAACATACGCCTCAATCCCTTCGGTGATAGTGCTAGTCTAATTGATTTTTAACAGCAATGAATTACATGCGTTCTTCTCCTGAGCAATCTTGACCCTCGCTGGTCCGGATGTATGGTGTTGACATCGGGACAGAGATAAAAGGTGGAAGGTGGGCGTTAGAAATAATTAGTGTATCATATAACAAAGCACAACCAGTCGAAACCTAGCACATCTGTTACGTGTATGTCTTGTATACTATACCGAGCAAGTCTCCTCCATTTCTCACTTAGGCCACTCAGTTATAGCTAATTTTATATGTTTTTTGGTATTATAGTGTCTTAATAACCTGAACTGGAGCAGCTGGCGTGAGGAGTCTTCGTACCAACGCGGAGAAAGTATCGGCTGGTAGGGGAACGGTCTTGTCATTAGTCTGAACTTGATCAAATTGTTCTGCATTAATGAAAGCGGCTGTTAGCGTACTATCAGCTTATTGTAAGGTAGTTATTCTGAAGTGGGCTTACTCTAGGGTGGCGTATTTTCTTGATGCAAGCTCCGCCGTGTGCCAGTTATCTAATCGATGACTTTGATAGTCTTTGAGACATAGGCATCTTCCCTATATGACCAGTCCTGATCCCTATCCATGTTTTGGTTTAAGCCGCTGAAGCGTGTTGGCCAGCACTGGGAGAAAACCTGCGACGAAACTCTTATAACTGTCGACAGTGTGCCGCTGCTGTTCATTAAGGGTTGATCAGAAGTCCGACTTCTGGGATTGGTCCTGAAAGACATTGGCGCCGGGTATGATATCGTTGGCTTGTTTCTCGAACTTCGTACGAGACCGGGCGTTTCTCTGCTCCAGAATACTCCTCACTTTGGACTCGAACTCAATATCTTGGCTTCATGTGTGTGTGGGGGAGGTTCTGTAAATTGTATTTGCGATTCTGCTAAGCAGGATATCTTTGATCGAGGCAATCGTTTGAGTTGAGCACGACGTTGATGCCATTGATAATAAAGCGCTCATTAGTTTGCCGTGCTTGGTATTTATGCAAATCGTCTTTCCTGGCCTAGTGATAAACATGGCTGAAGGAATGTTTTTTTTAAATCAAGGTTGCTTCGCCAGCTGCCTGCTAATCCTGTCACCGCAGAAACAATTGCTGGTTGTTGGTGTTACCTAGGTACGTACTTCGTATGTATATAAAACATATAAAAGTAAAGCAACAGTCTCAACTTCAGCTCATCTACGCTGTCTTTTGCAAGTATGATGTGTCCCGAAATTGGGGCACCTGTGATGTTGCCTAACGCTGGAATACTTACATCTTTGCGCAATAAAGGCCCTTCTGAACAATGCTCATTTTCCCCGTACTCAACCCCCTCGTATTCTTGCTCGATTCTACCGCGATCGGGACAACCGCAAGAATACCTCACACACCATCTCTAATCAACAATTTGCTAGTTGTAAAGTTGAATATAACCTGTAGACCTTGGATTGCTTTGTGAGTAGTATGCTTTATGTATAGAGCAAAATACGACGAGCCATCTAAAAATAGTAGGCTCCAATGATGAGCGGATTGTAGACACTATGATGGCCATTACCGGTAGCGAGCAGACAGCCTCTCGATAAAGAATCTTGGAAAAATTCCTAGACAGACGGCACACTCGCATGAAGGGGCCCGAAACTGCTGTGCGTCTATTCCTTGGCCACTTCAAAAAAGCCAAATCGACAACTTCTTTCTGCCGATACTATGCTGTAGATATTTATACATCCATCTTCCAATCGTCATTTCCGATACAGCCCTGCTGCATCACATCTTCAGCCTATTGATATGGTATTGCCATGTATGGGCATCACTGCGCATGCATGATTGCCTCGCAGGAGAATGCTGTCTCGAGCAGTAAAGCGTATAAACGGGGCGTCAAACAGGGCATCAAGGGTACAAACGGAGCGTCCACGGTTCGTCAACGGGCCGTGAATGGGGTGGTATAACAATCAGTGCTCCTGAGTTTCGTCTTGTTCTGTTAATGCAATTCCCTCGAAGGATTAAGACTCAACAGTTCTTTCTATAAGATATTTTCCTCTCCAAGCCTTTCCGTCTTTACGCTCTAACCTGACAACAACGTCAGTGCAAAGACTCCCTTGACCAGCCTTAAGGTATAAGCTGCCATTTCCGGTGCGCCTATCTCAGCAGAAACCAAACAATTATAGTTGCTGTCCGCTCCACAAACAGCAACTCGTCCTTACACAAGATTAAATATACATACCGGAGTCTGAAATTTTAGCACCGTAACACAACAACCAAACCGAGTCTCAATCGAAAGTAAATGTGTCCCTTCTCATTTTGTTTACAGTATCAATAAATTCACAGATATCTAGAATGGGACTGCTTCAGGAGGAAGAACTCGTCAATTACTGCAATTTCCGCAATTGCAAGAAAGAAGACAACAGTACATACAGGGTTAAAATGGGAGATTGCAGAAAGACCGGCTGCAAATATTCTAGCAGCTATGTTGAACGACCACCTCCACCTCCACCTCCACCTCCCTCCAACGACAGCATAAATCGATAGATAGAGTGAAACGGCATCGACTACTGTGGATCCCTGGAATGATGCGAGCGTCCATGATATTGATTGCTGGTTGGATTGTTCCAGTTGGTTGGGAAGGGGGAGCTGTCTGTATCCTAGTCATAGGCATTCCTTAATATCGTTTGGAGACAAAAGAAACTCTTTAATCTTTGCGAATCCAAACCAGTCATTCTCGCGCTGTGCAAGAACAAAATCATCGCTTGTCCAACCGTGAGTGCCGGCCTTTGCCCCAAGCTTATCTCCTTCCAATGCGCATGAATCAAAATCCCCAATCACAAAGTCTTCCACGTCCGCGAACACATTATGCGGATTAATATCACAATGAATCATTCCCAAGCTGTGAAGATGCTTGATTCCCGCCGTGATGTTATCCAAGCACGCTGTCCGGTCGAAAATTTCACCGTCTTCAACCATTTGGTTAAGTGTTTTTCTGTGTCTTGAAAAGCACAGCTCAGATATTCTGCCGTCCTCATCAATAAGACAGCCAAAGTACTTAGCCACATTAGGGTGTGGAGATCGCTTGATCATCTGGCACATCTGGGCCTCATGCATAGACAGCGCGCTGATTTCCGTCAAGCATTCGGAATGGGCATAGGAGATCAAGTTGGGCCGTTTAAGAAACACATGCGGAGGCAGTGGGTTGGGAGCTAGAGTCGGAAGGACTGGGTAGATGTGGGGCCGTGGAATTGGATGAATCTCGAGCTTTGTGAGATCAATTTGCGTTCCTTTCTTATATCGAGTTCTAGTAGTCGAATACAAGAAAAGGGGACCGCGCCGCATTATGACTTTTGTATGGGAGAACTCGAGTTCATCGCCCTTCACTGAAAATACCTCGTTCGACTCTAGAACTTCGAGGCCCTGATTTATTTTAGCTTCCTTGTGAATATCTAGATGCCGCAAACGTGTCACCTTTTCGTTGGTTTCTAGTGTACTTTCATGGTCACTTTCAGCTCTCGCTGTCCTATCGGTGTTTTCATCTTCAACGCTATGTAATTCTTGGAGTATGGTGTGGTTATGGACAGATTCTGGTCGTCCGTCTGACGATAGTCTTCTCTTCGACAGATGTACGTTTTCAACTGCTGTTTTCTCATCCTTCTTCTTCTTCTTCTGCTTTTTTGGTGCCTTCTTAGCCGCATCCCCATCCGCCTTGCGTTTCTTCGCCTTCTTCTTCGTTGCGCTCACCACGTTGTCGTTGTCGTCAAGACCTTGGTCCTTTCCTGCTATCACATCTTTAGGCCCCCTCATGTCCTTCTTCGTCTGTGTCTTCTTTTGCTGCTTACGCAGGCGGTATTTGATGTGTTCCGGTGCAGATGTCTTAAGGATCGGCTTCTTTGTAATACTTGATTTGTTGGTCATCCTCGAGCGGTCGGCTTTGTTCGAACTTGGACGCCATTTCCGGGTCGACGGGGCTTGCAAGGGGAGAACATGAAAGGCCCCTGGCTTCACCAAGATATAGATTTTTATCAACGAGATAGATTTCAGTTAGAAGCACATCCTAGTAGGAAATACGAAGGGTGACTACGACTATACTTCAGTAAGCGAGAGTGCTGAGAAAAGAGTCCCAGGAGTAACAAAGAAATCTCTATCATTATAAAGTATAGATATAAAGTAGAGCTTTAACTAAAAATATGTCAAGTCCTTATTATTTCAAGTTCTAAATTTGCAAATCCCTTTTGAAGATTATAATTATCTTTTATATAATGTGTTTACTCAGTGATTTACTAACTCGATTTTATTCACACTTCTTACTTCAACGATGTTCTTGTTTTAAAACTAAATATAGTTAATAATAAACAGTTGATATACTTTGTAAGATTTTCAAATATTATAAGGAGGATAGCAGAAAAGCTGTACAGCTCTCATTACCTCCTAGTGTGCAGCTGCGCCACGTCAGTGTAGCTACAGCTACTTCGCCTTTCTTCACCTTCACCTTCACCTTCACCTTCACAAAAGTGGCTCACCACAACCACAGCACCATACAGTATCAGCACTATAACACAGGCGCTTTGCCGATTCGACGCTTTCCAGTAAAGGCAACATTTGTTCATACTACCGGTTAGGTGTTTCCTACCTAATTGCGCATGTGCACCAACAGCCCTCCTTTATCTTGGGTATCATCTCATTATTCTCTTCTGGTTTCCATGGGATTTTGTAGACCTAGCTTCACCCTTTATGCAGTGAGAGCGGCTGATCAGGAGAAGTGGAATGCAATGCATTTGCCAGGATCAAGAAGTGCATGCTGCCTAATATCAATGCTAGGGACAAAGAATAGTGTACAAAGTTCAAAGTCGATACCAGGTCGACTAGGAAGCTTTGTTCTGTCACAGACAAAGGAATATTGCCTTGCCCACCAAATTTGGCCTTTAGGTCTGCCCAAACCTCCATCACCATCAACACTGCGCCTTCTTTGCAATTATCCACGTCCCCATGAATCCACTATCTACGCGGATTCGTCCACGTCGGGCTCCTCAGCAACCGCTGCTAGATCTACTCCAAACCCCCTCAGGTAGGCATGTTTTCTTCTCTGTACGATGATTGCGAAGATGTTGACGTTGGATAGTGCCACAGAGACGAAGTTCCCGAATTCAAGCACGGCAGCGCTCTGGATTAGTACAGCACGTATTAGGATCTTCCTACGAATCTCGGAGTTCTCTCGAGCAACGACAAGAAGATCGTCAGACGTCACAGTGTGGAGCTATCTCACTTACGCGTGTGCCAACTCCAAGCCCCATCGAAGGCTCGGTGCCTGTACCTTCGAGAACACAGTGTCAAAGTTGGTTATAGTGATTGTTTTCGATAACCAGCGTGCTAACATATACATGACATACTAGATTATCCTTGTCTACCACACACCCATAACCACCAGGCTCGGAAACGGAGACCTGACAGATCTATCGAGACCGATGTCGAAAGACCTCTAAAACGTGCCCGTCTGACGGAGAAAAACCTGAAAGCGTTTGAGAAAATGGGAGGACGAGAAAGGAAGTCTGCTGGGAAAAAGTCCACTGGACAATCATCTTCTACAACTACATCAGCCGACAAGGATTTCGGCCCCCAACTCGAACGAAACCATGTCGTTTTTGGAAATCTTGACGCACGAACGGCAGACGACTACGAGGATATCAGGAAATTATTAAATCGAAGACGGGAATCCGAACCACCAGATCGATTAGACTACAACCAGTATCTAGCAGCTACAAAAGGATGCCAGAACGAAGCTACTATCCAGTATTCCGCTTACCCATTCCTTTCTAAACGGACGTCGCGCGAGGCAATGATTTCAGGCTACAGACAGAGCGCCAATTACGCCTGGTCGGACGTCGACAACCACCTGACTACTGGCTTAAGTAATGCCAAACCAGATATTTTCGAGTCTTACCGTAAGACTAACTACCCTCCGGAAGTGGTCGATGAATTGTCTAGCGCACTTTCTCCTACCTCATATGATATTGCAATGCCGGCTTTTGCTGTTGAAGTAAAGGGTTATAACGGCAGCATGCAAGTAGCACAACTACAATGTGCCTATAATGGAGCACTTATGACAGAGGGAGCATATGCTGTGCATACACATATTAACAAATCCAATGTCGAATTTTGCGGGACAACACAAGCTCTTACAGTTGGATACAATGGTGAGAATCTCAACTTCTATGGTCACCATACGCGGCAGATTCCTACACCGTCAGATCCCGTAATCTGCGAATCTGCTGGCAGTGGAGTCGTTAGTACAGAGGCTACCGGTAAGACCGCAGCTTGTCTAGAATATCATCAGTATCTTCTAAGCTGTGATAATCCCTGCGCTTCGTACGAAGACTTTAAGAAGGCATACAAGCATACTAGGAATGCTCAAGACATTGGCTACAAGTGGGCAACTGAAAGGAAAGATGCATTGTGGGCATTGACGAATGCGAGCAGTACACAAATTTCTCCCGATGTTCCAGTATCTTCACAGCAATTACAGGACGATTTCGTCGCTCCCAACTCTTCAGCTACACCATCTGGCCACACTCCAATAACTCTACTACAATCGTCAAAGGGTATCTCACTTCCACTTGAGCCCCAGCAGCTATCGGTGTCTGCCGTTACAGAACCCAGAGAAGATGTTGACTCTAATGTACATGGTAATAGGACTCACCGGGCAAGGACACATCGCACGCGCCGCTGATGCTATCGAAGGGCCGAGGGAAGTTGTTCCTATCTCCAAGGCGAAGACTGCCTCCAAAGCTCCGCGCTATAGGGATGGCAGATCTGATCGGAGGCTTCATTCCGAGAGATGAATTCGAGGCAAATGAAGTCTAGTGCGTGGCGGGGGGGTTCTAAGCTAAACTTGGCTATCTCTTCCCTTTCGTTGTTGAATACCGCTACGGAATCTGCTAGCATGTACCGTTCATAGTATTTCCTACACAATGAGATATATGTGTACAGTGTTCCTTGCGAAAATGGCATGGCAAGCGACTTTACTTTCTCGCAAATAACTACCTCTATTTAGCGGGAACCACCTAGTACAGAGTTTTCAGAAGTATTCCTACTGTGGCAAATATAACCCACTTTTACCTGTATATAATGAGGACTTCTCCTCCACCTCTATTACTAGAATCAATCAACTCGTTCCATCGTTTTAAGGCCTCCAAATCCTTGACAGAAGTGGGAAGCTTCTCATCTCGACTATATCACTTGTAAGTGTATAATAGCTACTCTTATCCGTTGTTGTTTATGATTTGCTGCCCTCGGCATATGCCACTTTAGCAACATATATTTAACTGTTTTATGATCCAATCATATGCACGAGTTAAAGAAGACCTCTTCTAACGTTTATCATTAATAGCTCTACAGAGAGGCGGTCAAAGCTTGGAAAGAATTAATTGATGGCGGGGGCCAAGTCTGGGGAAATATCACCGGGAGTTGCACCACATAATATTTAGCTTACCTGGCAACCTTTTAAACTCATGTTACTATCTTCCTTTCGTAGTGCGAATATGTTAGCTGAAGAGTCTCCATATCATGTTATCTTGGAGCGACACAGCCGCATCTCAGAGGCGGAAGATTTTGAACTAGCTCTACTAGTCCTAGCACTGACAAGTAGTTCTTCCTGTCCAATGTCACTAAGTATAGCCCAACAATTTAGAGTTAGCTTCGTTAACTAAGTTTTGATGCAAATAGCTTGAGTCTTTAGACCCGGTAGAGTTGCTTCGTCCGCCGAGAATTAGTATCACAGTCTATCCAATATGTATAAGTTTTTCACATTATTATAGCTATATGAGATACACCTTATCCACTAGTCAACATCCTACCAAAAGAGTTCACATCACATTTTACCACTCTCCCATAACTGATCGTCCTCGGCCCGTGAGAACAGCATGTTGAATTTGAGTGCTTAAGCATTGTTGACATTGCTGGGTGTACCGGAGGATATGGCACCAAGTGGAAACCGTACAAATGTCGTCTCTTGAACCATCAGTCCCGAGGCTCCAGCATAGAAGGCGAGAAATGCGCAAATTACTGCGAATGCACCGCCTGCCTTGTTCACATTGACGCTAGCTTTGGGATGCTGAGTTGAAATAAACTGGGCGATTGAGAGGAAAAGGTAGGCCAGGACGAGGAAGAAGAAAACGCCGACAATGCTCCAGTTTGTCCTCAGAGCCGCGAGGAGGAAGAGGAACGTCAGAAAACACCATATGATGAGGTAGATCCCAATAGCAAAGGAGAAGGCTCTATCGTCCCCAGCATAAGAACCCTTAATATCCAGGGAGGGGACCAAGAACATGGCGTAGCTAAACCAGAAGGCGCCGTAACAGCAGTGTACAGTTGTACCAAAAGTATTCCCAACGCGGAATTCCATGATACCGGCTACAAACTGTGCAAAGCCACCCATAAAGATAGCTAGCCCAAACACAGCTTGATCAGGCCCGACCTTGCCGTGTGGATTGGAATGTGGTAGCCTGATGGGTCACACTTAGCATGTCGATAGAAAAAGGATCAGATAAAAACAACCCACCCTGCTCCACATTGGTATAGGCCTAGGACAAAGGTAGTGACGGCAAAACCGATGAGACCCAAAGGACCGGGATTTGCAAGCTTTTCAAATGGAGGGACAGGAACTTGAGAAACCGTGATTGGGTGGTGTCTAGCAAGTTTCTCAAGTTCCGCTCCGTTGATATTGTGATGGGCCCCCATATCTTGCGTTGCAAAATTGGAGGATTGCGCGTGATCTTGCTCAGAAGCCATGGTGTTGGTTTTGCCGTTTCTTTTCCTCAAATGAATTTAGGATTAGGTGAAGATTCCCTAAAGGAACAGGAGCTCTCTAAATACCACACTTTCAGTCTCCCTACACCCAGAGGGGTAACATTCCGGCAGCCCGGGGCGGAGATATATCACTGCTGTATAGCGGGGTAGTATATGTGATCTCGTTGTGTAATAGAGCACACAAGGCTTTAGCCACTCATGTAAACAGGTACATGAAATTTAGGGGCTTCGAAGACGAATCACGGTATGAAGTTTCCGGATCTGGTAATACAATGATGTCACATTGTCCTTGTGACCCTTCAAAGTCTTAAACCGAAATTCGCCCTGGATTAATCACTAGTATGCGGCCTTTTCCGTGATGTGCGTGGTTTTAATTCAATATTCCAGATTCTAGAAGGCAAGGTTGGCTGCGATACTCAAGTCTGGCATCCTGGGGTTGGCGGATAGCCCGGGATCGCATGAAGGGATCCGGGAGCGACGGAAGCCCGTTCATATGTTGTCGGCGACCAAATTGGCTTTACGAAGTGCCACGAGCTTTGTCGCTGGACATACTATTTTGGATACTAACAATTTCTCATAAATTTGGAGTGTCCTGCCACTGTGAAATGCAGGAATAATGCGGCTAGGTTAGAAAGGGGTTCTACCAAAGCCAAATAAGCGATTTAGAGCCAATTGCCCTCACAAGACGACGGCTTTTACGATTTCCTCAATTCGATCGCTAATACTACCAAGGATGAAGATGCCGTTGCTCGAAACGAAGGGAGCAAGGACGCTGAATTCGCGGAGGATAGCCGCGGACCTACGGCAGAGGAGGAAGCCATATTCAAGGCCGAAATTCTGACAACAAAGGATCAGAGATCTACAAGGTAGCGGTAGTAAGCTGAAGGTTGGCGATGGGCTCTCGGGGGGAAGGCTAAGATGTCAGGATAACGCATAAATCCCATGTCCGAATGCCCGTCCAGACTCTAGATGGGGTAGGGGAGAAGAGGAATAGCCCAAGCCGACATGATTGACTCGGTGGGCAATCCCGACGTGAGTAATATCCAAGCGGTCAGCCTCGGAATGCGACGGGAATTCGGAGATTGTAGATTGCTTGGACGATAGTTTTGTTAATTCTTCCTGTAGTACTTGTACGGTACCAAGCGACATGCTTTTTAACAGGAGCAAGCACTGCAGTTGCCGTAGAATAATCAAATGTTGCCATGATATCATAACCTAGGTATATTTTAACATAAAGTCGTTTCGTGCAGTTTTAACTAGGCGAGCGTGGTGGTTGCAATATGTTCGTCGGGGCTGAAGGGATGCCGCGGAGTTCTTGCGGTTCGAATTCATATCCTGAATATCCGCAAATCCCTTTCCGTCAAATACGCCACCTGCCATTTCAACGAATACCAGTAAGCCGTGGTGCCCGGAATGCTACCAAACACAGTGTCAAGATGCTGCCAGCGTGCCACCGATCAGGTATCAGTATAAAATGAATGCACGGTTGAACATATTACTTGCATATAAAGCATACCAACCTTTACATATGGATAGTATTCACGCCTTCATGTAGAGCGCCGAGGACGGCTCCCTGTTCTCAGTGAGAGATTAACGAGATTGGTCCCTCTCCTGAACCGGGCGAGCTCTGCCACACAAATACGCTTCAGATGAATATCAAAGCGGTGTTGCCGCATCTACAGAAGGAGAAAATCCAAATAATGGATCGACGGGCTCCGACATCGATGGATGTTCGTATAATTCTCCCGGAGGATACATCTTCAGCCAAATCAAGTCCTGAGCCCCCGGTACGGCATTGCGGCGATGAGATTCAGGGTCACTTAGAAGTAGTGTGCAACAGCAGCTTCGAGTTTTCAATCGACATTTCCTTTGAAGGTACGAGCATACTCTGCTTTTTATATCAAAGTTGCTCCCGCTGTCACTAAACATGCCTTCAGGTCTCATCCGGACTTGGATTGCGCCTGGAAATGAGAACGATTCGTTCAAACCTCCCCCGACAGCAGAGTTTCAGGTAGGGAGAATCCGTATCACACTGTTAGCTCACCATAAGCTCATATTTGGATTTATACAAAAGTTTTTGCATGAGACGCAGAAAGTATTTTCAGATCCCTCAACTAGATGCTACAATAGCCATCTTTGGATTCATCGCGTGCCATTTCGTTTCATTGTCCCCGACGAGCTCATCTCCCCTCACTCGGATATTCACCCGGATTTCCTCAAATTAAGCCCATCTGCCAAACAAGGGCTGGTGCTTTTGGGGTTTGCACAACCGAGCATAATTTATTTGCTCAGGATCAAACGCATCAGAACCGGTGCACCTGTGGAAATCCTTTTGGGACCCAATCAACAGCGTGAGCTTATAGTCATGCCCTATACGCCTGCAGCACCACCTCTTGTCATAGAGGATTTCCCACGAGAATACAGACCTTGCACAGCAAAACCTCTGAAGCAATACAGATGGGGACGGCCGCTTGGAATCCTAGAAATCTCATCGGCAGAACCTTCACCGTTAAATATCCTGACTTTAACTCCAAGGACATCCACATTCGCAGTCTTAAGCGTTGTTTTCACTTCAAATTCTTCCTGTAATTTAAATGCGCGGCCTAGTGAATGGAATTTTGTTGTGAAGCAGCACTTGCGAAGCAGGACCTTTTATTCGACTCGGAGACTAGACCGAATGCCAACGCTGGCCGTTGCAAAGGCAGACCCATATATGAGAATCCGTGACGAGAAAAAGGTCTCCGAAGTTCGGGAGTATAGGGAAATCTCTTGGAGAAAAGAACGCCAACCTCAATTATTAGAGCCAACTGTATCTTCGGATATAGAACCTTGCATCTGGACAACCACACTCGAAGTTCCTATCCATGCTGGGAAGACTTTGCTGCCTACTTTCTCCAACCCACTATCAGCCCACCAATACACCTTAGCGCTTCAGTTGAGCATTAAAGGATTGTACCACGGTGTCATGGAGCTGGTACTACCAGTGCAAGTCTTTCACTACCCACCCGACGACACAAGGCTCAGAGCATATGCCGAGGAAAGGAACGAAAACTTAGATGAGATTAATCCGGCAGTCTCTCGTTTTCAACATGGCGCTACAGCAATATATAGCTCACTGCGAGGGTATGATACCTCGCCGCCACCATATGATGATTTATGATGAATGAACTAATGAATCAAAAATAAACTAAAATGAAGAGGCAAATCTCGTACCATCACACTAGACAGACTACCGGCAAAACGTCTCGTGACCATACCAAACTCCCCAATATAGCCACCACAAATGCAACTCCAACACTCAAAGTAATCCCACAATATACATATCATGTCTCCTCCTTCGACTCGTTAGATCAAGCACTCAAGTACTAATTGCCGTCAAGTATCCACAAAAGCCATATTGGGAACCCTGCTAACCCTGACATTCCACCTGGCCTCCACCAATACTCCCTTCAGCAGCACCAAGTGGTGCGTGCTATAATAAATCTTAATACTTGCCTAGAATCGCCGTCTTGAACATGTTGACAATAAATGTCCCGACAGGAAAGCTCGCTACCATGCCATCAATTCGTATTGAGCCGTAGAAACGTAATATATAGCCTAGTAGGGCATAGCGAGGGCGAACAGGACCCAGCCAAGCCAGGTTTCCTGGCCCCAACCCATGCCCGAACGTGCTGCAAATCCTTGAGGCCGATCAGATGGCTAGATAACGAGAATGCCTGAGCCAAGCCAGAGATCCCACGAGAATATTGCGACACAACTATCAAATGTATTGCGTGTGAGAAAGAGCGGGATGGGAGGAGTAAAGTGCTCGAGGCCGATGGCTAGGTTGGCCCAGACCTTTTGCGCCGAGAGATAAAGACGGACGGTAAGAATAATGACAGCTTTATAGCCTTGTGGGCGTTTTGAAGTTCTATCCTCCTCTTTTCGCGATCTTCATGGTCGGGTGTGCCGATCTCGACCATGGTTTGAACTGTTTCTTGGCTTCCGCTAGAATCGTCCGTCTTGTTCCCTTCTACTTTGGCGTCTTCATTCCTTCCACCGGCTCTAAATTCCATCCCCCCTGAAATCATAATCATGCTTCCGCCAACCGTTGCCTAAAGCTCACTGGATGCAACTGGGCCTCTAGGATATGCTGCTAGTGCTTGAAGTCCCAGTCTTGCGAGGGTACAGGAGATCGAGAATGAGATCAGGTATGGCGCAGTATATATCTCGGTGTCTAGCTTTAAAGCTCGAGGGCCTCGTGCCGTTCGAATATTCGTCTCTGGCGTATCCCCAGAAGCTTAGTGATAGGTGCCGCCTTCGACGGACCGTTGCTCATCGGCCTCATGCTCGACATTTCTCTGCTACGCTAGTCCCTACGAGCGACGTTCTTCAAGATATGCCTGTTAGTTCTCATGACTCTCGTGAATATTCTGTACCGGCAAAGGTGAAGCAAGCTCGTCCCGGTTGGCGAATCCATTAGGAAATGTGCAGTTATCTAACGAGAGTTGCCTAGTATCATGAGAAGACTATCTGTTATACTTGTAATTTGGTTTCTCACCACGAGGTTCCTTAATTGGCTTATAATTCGGTCGATTTGCCTTCGGAGGGTTGGAATTGGTGTCGGCGCTGCTAGATCGTTGAGAGCGGCGTACTCGCCAGGTACAGGCTATGCTTTGCTCCTACTCTCGTGGGCTATTGTGTCTTTGTTTTAAGAGCTAGGAGAGCTGAAGTTATACCGGATAGACGCAGAAGTGGAAGTACATCATCTTGGAGGCGTACGGTCGGCATTTAATTATCGGTGTACGGTTAGAAAACGTGTCCCCAGTGGAAAGGTGTTTAGACCAACGATGCCACTATCCTCGGCTCTAGCGGTTCAAAATCGTCCAATAGATAACCACTGGAAAGCCGGCTTCCTGGGGCAAATAATTAAATGTAGTAGGACTTTGGAGCCTGATCCTCCGGTCTCAGTCGGCGCAACTCAATTCGGGGCAGAGAGCAATAAACGTAATTACCGTGGCCGAGCACTGCAACAAGTGTGTGCGATATTAGAGGATGGGAAGGCCTGAATATGGAAGAGGCAAATGCTAACGATCTGTGATCATTTGGTACTCTTTATGGCCGGTAACGTTCGAGGTGATGTGAGAAATTCAGATTTACCTACCTACTCGAGTAGGTAAATAAATATTAGCGATGCCGGCAGCCGGAATAGGGGTTCGGCAACCACTTAACTCCGGACAAGGGTAACCCCCCTATTTTGACCCTCTGTCCGAAGCACTTCGTATGTTAGAATTTCCGCCTTCTGCCTGCAACTATTTGGCACATTCGCGTACCTTTGCAATATCCCCTTGACGGTAGGGCATTGGTGCGCTGGAGTCCTTTACCAGGTCGTGAGCTTATACATCTTATATATCACAGCCGGTTTGGGTGACATCAGTCTGTGCCTGCATCTTAAGCAAATTCGGTATTAGTCTTATAGGAATAGCAGATAAAAAGACCTACACTGGTATTATGTCTATCATTATGACCTATTAAAGTACCCCTGTAGCTACTACTAGTGTCGAAAATCCTGGGGGTTTTTGCTTTTTGTCAAAGTCAATTCTTGGCGTAGTGCCCAATTAATACTATCATTGGCAAATTGTCCATTGGCCAAGAATATATTCCAACGAGCAATAGCCGTTCTAGCTGTCGACTACTATTACAGGTACATCTTGTGATTATCAATAAGAGTAACGACTTGCCAGCGCGTTTCTTATTAAAAATGTCTCTTTCCTCCAATTTGCTACTAAGTTTTACATTCATTCCAAGCACAAACTTTGCGGCTAAATTGAGTTCCCGGGCTCTAGCCGCTCTTCATGTCTATTACGACGGCACCCATAAGCCAAGTGTGCACATAAGACCCAATCCTTTCTCAATCTTCACCCAAGCACAGCCCCCCCGGCTAGATACTGACAAAGTAGCTAGTAATGATCGTGAGGCAATAGCTAGGTAACGGGTGGTATTCAAAAGCACATGGGCATGGTTCCATTTTATCCCTAGTGGGTATTTGTTTGCTTAGCACTTCAACATGCTAGCTTCATAACTAGGGCTAATAGGATGACTACTACTCGTCCTTCCCACCCTACCTTTGGACGTCATTAGAACGAGGTTGCAGTCTAGCTTTATATCGTCCCCAGCTTCCTGGCTCTCAGGACTTTTCAAATATACCTACTTCTGGGTTGCTAACTCTTCTCTGCTCCCCCTTCCCCAACCTACGCGAAACATTTCATATCCTTGTCTCAATATACCATACTGAAGGCTGGTGTGCACCTTTTACTGGTCTAGGCCAAAACCTCGTTGTGCTGTTTCCGCTGGCGCGATAAAGTTCTAAACATACAGCAATGGCAAGTGGATAATCTCACTGGGAGTATACGAGGGCCATACAAGGGAATTCGTGTATCTACTTTCAGCGGCCACTCCTAGTGTGGTTTCGAGTGTGGCAATGAATCCGATATGGCTTGTTAAGGCTAGACTTCAACTTGATAAACTTCTCTCTGTGAAAGCGGGCTGTATGGTCGGCCAGAGGTATAAAATAGGCTCAGTTGTATGATACAGCTTGTTCGGCAGGAAGGAGCCAGAGGACTTTATCGAGATTTGAGAGCAAGGTATTTAAGTGTTGCAGAAAGCAAGTTATAGTTCTGCACGGACAGACGAAAACCACCTAAAGAAATTTCAAGAGAGGTTACTTCTGAGCGACGAACAATAATTAATGTGGGTTCAGGCTCCAGACTTGGGAGGGAGGATAGGTGCTGCCGGAAGCTCTAAATTCTTTGCGGTTCTGATTACATATCCGTACGAGGTTAGACACTCCACCGTTTGCTGTCTAGTGAGAACAAGGCTATGACAGGCACTAATGAGCAACGGACAACCGAAATATACTAGAATTTTAGTATTTTCACCCTATAATCGAGGGAGAGGGTTCGCTATCGTTGTCTGGCGGCTTTACTCTGGATATATTGCGTTCAGTGCCGCCTAGTCTATCACATTTGGCGTGTACAGAGCCGTACTGAGATTCCCTAATACGTATTCCCGGTAGACTGACTTAGAAGACGCTGTATAATCCTAAAAGTATGGGCAAGCCTCATCTTAAACTGTAGATTGTAGGCTCTGCGATGACCTTAGTTTTTTCGATGATGCATGGTATAATTTATGATTAAGTAGCCTACGGTAGCCATAGTTTTTATGTTGAGGGGCTGGTACATGTATCCAAGTTCGGAAGAGAAGAACAGGGTCTCCAAGCATCGTCACCTGGGGTAGTATTGGTTCGGTCTATAAGACGTTCTAATTGTGAGACCATAGCCAATATTAAGTCCTACTTCGATCGTTACAGTACGCGTCGCATTTGACATTAGGTATCATAGTTGGATTCCACAGCACGCTCGTTGCATTTTCATATGGAGGCCAGTAGTTCTAACATTGCCCTGTCAATCGACGGGAATAATGGAATAGTACCATCAGTATTATCATAAACAAAAAAAAGGGGTATTTGATATAGTCGCTATGTAACAAAACTCCAGCAATGAAAAATCCTCCGTACCCAGGTATATGCTTCCCAATTACGAATAAATGCATATTACCTTGTCAAAACCCAATCACTTGAATTGTTTCTTCCCCGCTCAATGTTGCTGAGCGCCGAGAGACTCCACGATCTAGCGCTATGCGGGTAACCCCGGAAGCACATCCAAAGCGCACCGGCCGCATAATGTCGCTTCAACTCTTCTTAAACAATCGCTTGGTTCCACCAACCTTCTCCATTTCACCAAAACTGGTTCCTCGTTCCCGGGCCCTGCGTTCCCTCTCTCTCTCGCGATCTTTCTCTGCGCTCGCCTGACGAACCTTATCCTTCATACTTTCCACCCATTCTTGATCTTGCTCGCTAATAATGACTTTCTTGCCCTTTGGTCCGGCGAGTCCTAGCGAAATGTCGTCCTCAGTCCAAGTGAGATGGGAACTACTACGAGCACTTGTGTTTGAAGGCGGGGTCTCGCCGACAGAGCGCCTATTGTGAGTGGGGAGAGGGGTGCTAGGACTGCGGACGCTCTCGGATACAGCACTTTGGCCTAGGGATTTCCGAGTCTTCCTGACATTCAAACTAGACATGGGGCGGTCAAATGCCGAGGCCGGGCGGAATTGATTAATAGGGCTTGCTCGTCCGCTCTCATTGCCACGGATGGTGGCAGTCGACGACGTCGTGGAAGCGCTGGAGACAACGCGCCGAGGTATATCTTGAATCTCAATCTTGTCCTTCTCCACTCCACTTCGTCGTCCGTGATGGCTTGCGTATTCCTTAAGATATTCACCGAGATCTGCCCACCCTCCGCCGACCCGGACCATCACCCGCTCGCCACTCTCCCCAACAAGGCGGACAAAAAGTTTGATAGGCGCCTCACCCGTAGAACGAGAAAGGTGGTACAGTTTTATTTCTGGGTGTGCGGTTTGAGGCCGTGGTCGGGAGGTGGTTTTGTTGTACGCGGGTGATAGTAAGAACGAAGGTGTTGGTGCCCGGTTGCTAAGACTTGAGTGCGACCGAGGAGATGGGGTCACGGATCGACGCGTTTTCTTCAGTTTAAGAGTATTACCAGGGTTGAGGTCTGGTTCTGAAGTAAGGTGAATCCGAGCTGGGATCGATTCAAGGAGCGAGGAGATCTGCTGTTGAAGTTGATCGCTGGAGCTCTTTTTAGGACTTGAAAGGGAGGGAGCCTCTGAGACATCAATATTATCAAGAACAGGAGCGTCCACATAGAGTGTGGAGGTATCAGATAGGTCCGAAACAGAGAAGGTGGGACTCGCAGGTGATTCCATAGATTGTCGTCTAGAGGTGCTCAGGATCAATTGCAGCGGCTCTGGGCGGTTCGAGTCACCGGAAGCCCGTCTCCGCGATCCGATCCGACCAGCGGTTGGGGACTGATCAGCGATATTAGGAACATATTCGATGTCAGTACTGACTGGCGTTGGGGTAATAGCTGGAGAAGTGGAGGTGCCGCCAGCCCAGCTCGTCACGATTGTCGCCGTATCAGATGAGACACTATCCCGACGAGTCGCGATACTTATATCACAGTCGGTAGCCGGGATGAATGCTCCAAAAGAGCCCATGGAGCTGGTATCAATGGCCGTGGAGGTGCCGTTGGTATTCCCATTAGCGTTAAACGTTGACGCCGGCTCCGAACTGCCTGGCTCCTCCACAGTAGCTTCAAAGGACGGCCTAGATGGTCTATTTGCGGAGCGCTTGTTATCAGGCGTGGCAGCATGGCGGACTTGCTGAGAGTCTTGGTCGGGTTCAGCGGGGTGTGTCGGATGGTCGTCAGTCGCATCGGTATTTATGGACTCCATGAGGTTGCTTGAGGCAGGCTCTTCTGCTACACCACGTAAGGCCTCCGAAAAGACTCCTGGCAGTCCTTCCAGGGCTTCTGGTTCTTCAGAACATCCGGTCTGACTTACCCCTTCCCCTGCTGTGGTTTCGTTCTGCTGCGGCACAGGAGTTTCGTCCGCCTTGTTTTCAATTGGCGTAGCTTCAGTATATATTTGGTCCAGTTGGTGTGTAGCCGCAATAGCCTCGCCCGCATGTTCCTCCGCTGTCCTCCCCTCTTCAGTCTCCTTTTCGGCACCCAATACTTCAACACAGGCCGCTTTTGCACCCCCCGAATGCTTATTATTTGCACCCACCAGGATTCTCGCAGCCTGCTCATCGTGCTCCGTCTTTTGTTGGGCCAGTTGAGCAGCCCTCTGCTCCCCCAATCTCCGCATTTCCTCAGCATCTTGATCTGACTTATGCCGGGCCTCCTGAGCTGCGCGTCCTTCCTCTAGCATTCTCACAGCCTGCTCGGCGTTTTGTTGGGCCAGTTCAGTAGCTCTTTGCTCGTCCAACCTCCTCATCTCTGCATCTTGCTCTACTCTATGTCGAGCATCCTCCTGAGCCACCCGTTCTTTCTCTAGTAGTCGAGCATCTTCGGCGGCCTGTTCGGCTATCCGTCTTTCACGTTCACCTATTTCTGCCTCCCTCAACCTGCGCGCGTCTTCGACACTCTGTTCTTTCGCCCATTCCGCTTCTCGGATCTTTCGGTCCCCAGCGACAACCCACTCTCCGTAATCCTGCTCAATAACTTCCATGCGGTCTAACCAGTCTTCGGGCAGTGTATCCTGTCGACCTTCAAGCGTATCTAACATGTAATCTAGATCTTGTCCTAGTGTTTTGACTTTGTCTTGCAGAGAATTTCTCATAGCTTCGAACGCTTGTCGTGAGAGCGCCTTTACGGCTCCACCATTAGCGTCATGGGTATCCTGATGGCTGGGTGGTTTAAGTGTTTTCCATCCGGATATCAGCGCAGCCTCCGCATCTTCAAGCGCCAGCAAGAGTCGAGGGACCTTCATTAAGACTGCAAGCCGTATGCTCCAAATATCCATCATCCGATTCAATCTTGACAAGTTTGGTAAAGCCTGGAGGACGGTAGCCGTGATAATTGCAGTAAGATCATCCATTTTTGTGTATGATGCCAATAGACTGGGCACCGGCGCATTCGATGACGATGATGAGGGTCGAGACCTGGCCGAGAAATGTGTATCCAAAACCTGCCGCTTAATTTCTTCAACGTTAAGATCATCCATATCCTCCATTATTTCCTCTATCCGAACCTCATATCGGTCAACATCTTCTGCAAGCAGGCTGCCAATATATTCTTCCTTGTCGGATTGTCTGTTGTCGTTCTGCTCATAACCGCTCAACATGCCTCTCACATCATCCCCTCTATCGAACCATGTCGTCCTTCTCGGTACGGGCACTCGAAACCCTCTCGAGCCGCCTTCTGCTGGCCACGACCAACTCGACAATTCATCAACCCATTCTTGGATTTTCTTCGATGCCAGCGTAGCTCTAATGGCAAACGCGCGCTCTGAAGGTGTGGCAGCTTCAATACCAGCTTTTAGTCTGCCCGATGGGTTCGCGAAGGCTTCGAGGGTGGTTGCAGGAGAGAGATCGGCAAGAATATCATCGGTGATCCGTTCTCGAGTCGGTGATCGGGAGGCATTGCGGATGTGTGTTCGGTAGGGGTGAAGTCGAGGCGCCGTCGGAGACAGCAATAGTGGGACATCCATGGCGTAAGCTGTTGGTTAGTTCTTGATAACAGGTAATAGACGGTAATGGATTCAGCGCATGGCTTTCCAGGGCCCTGAAAGAGGGATGGCCCAAACGAAGGATATTTGTATTGTATTCAAACATGACATTGGGAGAAAAGGAATGCCGTTGGCGGGTGTTTGGGGAGCTCTTTCATGGTCGCCAGAACATCAGATTGTGGTGGGTCATGGCCAACTGGTGGACGCCGGCGTCTTGGACAATGCAGAGTGAAGTCAAACGTGGGCGAAGGAAGCTGTTCAATGAGTCTGGACAAACGGGCCCTTTGACCGATGCAGGATCGGCATCAGCGTATTGAAACAACAGCAGCAATACAGGTACAGGTACGTAACGTAGTAAGAAGTAAGAAGTAAGACGCAGACAACCGCGGACTGATGATGTGCAGCATATAGATTCGCCTGCTTGGCGATCATTATGCAGCCAGCCACTGCCACGCGATTGCAATATTAACGGGTCTCTTAATATCTCGCAGGGGCTTAGTGGACATGGGATTGTTTGGTATACGGAGCAAACCATCACTTGAGGCGGCAAAATACCTGGACAGGTACGTACGCAGAGGGAGAGTTTAAAGGAAGATTCTCTTTTCATTTGATAGACGTAGATCCTCAGAGGTATTATTAGTATTGATATTGATATTGTTGTCTTGACTTTGGGGGCAACCTGCAAGTCGGATCAATCCACGTGACTTTAGTACGATGTCTGTCATTCCAGCCAATAAGAAGCGAGGCAAATCGGCTCCGTAACCGGCCGCTGACCCAGCAGCCGAGGACAAAAGTCTGGGGAAACGAAGGCGAAGTTTCATGATATAGGAACGAAGTACGAAGTACAGTACGAAGTATACCTTTTGATCTGCCTCTATGCTGTGACCGCGAGTCCAATGGAAGCGCGATGATATCAGTAATTATCTGCCCATCCCCATCCATATTCTTGAAACTAACTTGTGCCGTAGCAACATCCAGGTCTGCTGCGCTTGAGGGCCAGACCATGTCCGGACCTGTTACCTCTCTGACACCCTCGATCAAATCTGCGAGCGTACACTGCGACGGGGCAACGCTTCCAAGATGTGTTCCATGCGCAAGCCACCAACCCTACCTCCTCTGCCATTCTTTCCTCCTTGAAGCCCTCTCCCCAAGCTGCCCAGACGTTGACCGAAAAGATTGTGCAGCGATATGCCGTCGGGTTGCAAGCGAACAAAATCGTCAAGTCTGGGGATTATATCACTTTGATTTTATCCCGCCGGGAGAGGCATCGGGCATCAAACTATGGTGGAAGAGGGTTATGCATGGCCGGGCACCATGACCGTTGCGAGTGATAGTCACAGTAATATGTATGGAGGGGTCGGCTGCCTAGGCACGGCAATAGTCAGGACAGACGCGGCGAGCAGCTGGGCAACAGGGAAGACATGGTGGCAAGTGCCTTCTATCGCGAAGATTACTTTCACGAGAATACACCCTAGGGGCGTTACAGGAAAGGATGTCATTGTTTCATTGTGTGGATTGTTAACACCGATGAGGTATTAAACATGGCAACTGAATTTATAGGCTCCGAATAGACAATGAAAAGTCTACCCGTGGATGATAGGTTGACAATTGCGAATATGACAACGGAATGGGGCGCATTGATGGCAAATTTCCCGATCGACTCGACGTTGCAGGGTTGGATGAGGGCAACGGCTACCACATCAGCATTGTTTGACGAGAAGGACGCCGTTAGACGGTTTACCCATCATCAAATCGACGACTTACTCGAGACTCAGCTGGTTGCCAATAAAGGGGCTACTTATGCCAAGCCTCCCTACCAACCTTTCGACTTTATCCCCCTACGTATCAGGGCCCAATTCCGTCAAGGTCGCCACTCCTCAGCGATATCTCGAGCGAAAAAAATATAAAGCTAATCAATGTCTACTTGGTATCCTGCGCAAACTCAAGTGCATCGGACCCAGCTGGGCTGCGATAGTCTTCAAAGAAGTGTCAGAAGATGGTGTCCCGGCCAAGATTTCGCCGGGTGTGGAACTCTACACCGCGGCGGCGTCAATACCTGAGCAAAAAGCCGCCGAAGAAGCTGGCGACTGACAAGCACTTCTTGGTACTGGCGCTAAGCCCCTCATTTCTGGTTGTGGTCCCTGCATTGGTCTCGGAACTGGCTTGCTTGAGCCAGGAGAAGTGGGAATTAGCGCTAGTAATCGAAATTTCAAGGGACGCATGGGATCTCTAGATACAAAGGCATATCTCGCTAGCCCAGAAGTTGTAGCAGCCAGCACCTCGAGCGGGAAGATCAGCGGTCAGGGCTGGTACAAGAAGCCTGTCAGGGTAGAGAAGGTTGTTCTTGGGGAAGGAAACGGAATTCCCGAGGAAAACCGCGCGATTAGCGTAGGAGATGCATTGGATAGGTTAATAGCGGATGCAGACAAGATTATTGATAGTTCAGAGACATCGACCTTCGGCTCCCTACATCCGAGTCTGCAACAACCTAGGATGAAGTCGACGAGCAATTGACAGACTTCCTCACTGGATTCCCTGAGAAAATTGAGGGTGCGATCGTCTTTTGCGATGCGGCCGACGGCATCTATCCTGGGAAATATATCCGTGGAAAAGATAGCTGAGGTTTGCATGGAAAATTACGACAAGTCCTTTGGATCAATTGCAAAAGCAGGCGATATCCTCGTCGCAGGATTCAATTTCGGCTGTGGATCGAGTAGAGAACAAGCTTCAACGGCCATCAAGGCGAAGAAAATACCTCTTGTTGTTGTAGGGTCTTTTGGAAATATATTTAGTAGGAATAGTATCAACAACGCTTTGATGGGCGTGGAAGTCCCTCGTCTCGTTCAAAGATTGAGGGAAACATTTTCCTCGGCCGCAGTAGGGGCAAGACGGATGTGAAGAAAGCCCAGGAGAATAGACAAAGCTTGGATAGCCCACCCCCAGCAACGCAAGCCAGCCCTCCAGAGGAGGAGGTCATGGCACGGCGAACTGGCTGGAAACCCGTGTGGGATTTGAGGAGGAGTAAAATATCCGTGACCGAAGGCGAGGGCGGACCAACCTGGAGTCAGAAGGTCGGTGAGCTTCCACCGAATACCTAGGAGATTATCGCTTGTGGCGGGCTGGAGAAGTGGGTTAAGGCTGAAATTAGGGAGATGTGAAATATTTAGAATCTGGCTACGAGTGTAACAAAAGTGTTGGAAATCTAGATGGTTCAATTTTACACTGGACGCACAGATTTTTCCTCGACCGCAAAATCTCAAAATGCTCCGCCTTCTTTAGCTGCTTTTGTGCTACCTACCATGGAAAAGTCTTGCCAGCCCGGTTTATTTGTTGTTTTCTCCCATTCTCGTGGGGCGTCTCTAATAATCGGCTGTCAACATCACATAAGCTCTAGCCTGTACCCCTTTTCTGGAAGCAAATGAACTGCTACTTAACCGCCTTCTTCCTCTTTATATTCCCTCGAAATCATTTCAAGGATGTTGTAATGGCCGCAGTTACTGGAGCTGTTGCCCAGCGTCTTATGAACACCTCCATTTGCAACTAATACCACTGCTTTATTGATGAACAACACTGCATCAAATCAGCAGATGTTACTAGCGCTCTCATCAATACAGCTATCATTGGCAGCTGTACGCTGGTTTTTCCTATTAAACTTGCAACACTAGCTAACGTGACGCAGACACAAAACTCAATACCATTAAGGTTGTAGGAGGTATCCTTGCACCAGGCACCTTCAACGGAACAAAAGTCGATATTGCACCATACCTCAACGGTAGTCATGTTTCCACGAATACGAGTGACAATGTTAGGCGCTTTGTCAATTTCCTCGATGACGATGGGGATGTGACCACATTACTCCTAAAAAATAATGCTACCGCCGACATGAACTCCAAGCAATAGTAAGAGAGTTTGAGCCATGGCCATACACTATTAACTAACAATCTACAGCTTTCTCCTAACTCACTTGTATAAGTTCTTTGGCGCTCTCCTAGAGTACCCATGACGAGTACTGCCGATATCGAAATTACTGCGGCGAACAATCTGTGGCCTCTGTTCACAACTAGGTCTTCTTACAGCTTCCAAGATTAATCCTTACTGGGATAGGTTCATGGCCCTCTCTTCCGCTGAGGTCGGACACTTCATCCAACAGGTCACAATGTCAGCCTCCTCATTCGGAGTGCAGGGTCTGACCTCGAGACTGTCGGCAAAGCTCTCAACGCCATTTTTGGATACAAATGCGCTCCTCCAGTAGTCGTAATTCCATTCCAATTTACCCATCTGGAGAGTATCGGCATTGGCGACACCTGTCCAATAGATCTTAACGCTACTTGCTCCGCTTAGCTGCCAGTCATGAAGCCAGCGGTTGCAAACAGCTCCTTGGTTCCCAGCAATACTGTCACCTCGTTTAAGGGCATGACTACTGGTATGCCCTCTGCGACAGGCACCAAGCCTGCCGTTGCTATTGACGGAGCTGAAACTCTAGGTATGGGCTTTCTGTTATCGCCGGTGGCTTAGCCGCGGTATTTTTGTGAGCTGCTGCATTCTCAGGTAGTTGTTAGATATGGTCATATTGCGAAGTGGCTCGCAGAAGGGTTCTGCTCTAGATAATTTTATATGGAGACTGTAACTGGAAGAAATGTTTAGCAAAACAATTAGATAAGTAATTTATAATTTTCGCCATAGAGTGGATTTGGTTCTCAATTGTGCCTTTTGGAGGCTCTAATCTAGGGGCCGCTCGTAATATGAGACATTCGCAGCTGGCGCTAAATCCTTCGATCCTTTGGGAGGCCTTCGATACGCTAATAGTGTCAGCAATCGCCCCGAATATCCTAGTAGTGGTTTTTACCATAGTATGTAGTGATGCTATGGATGCACATCGCTCGTTTTTCTATGCTGACGCCAATCGAATCAAAGGTTTCCGGGTATTTTAATAGCAGAAGAAGACATATAAGAAGGATAATTATGTTGAAATATTTACCATCATTGAATATTGGGTTCGGTAAGGCTTACAGCAGTAAAAGGGGTTTGACCTAGCAGGTTTCCTATGTTATGCCATAGGACTAGGAGAATGAAACTTACGGTACGAGTATGACATGTTATTTATCCTTTGAGGTGAGGTTTCATGTGGATGTATCTTAGTTTGAAATGCAGATACGTGGGTAGACTTTTTGCATCCTTGTGTTGGTGACAGGGACTGGCAGGTCGCTGAGTATGTACCGCCCAACAGCATCCACATAACTGCGACTGCTGGAAACACATTCTCGAAACAAACACCCGTGGAAACAATTGTTTTAGCTTTTGCGGGTGCACTATTTTCAGATCTTTGGGAGGCACAGGTATTCGTCCAATTGTCGTACCAGGGGTAGCATCGTAAAGTAAAGGGGGGCCACTGCGCCACCCACCCGAAGAGACTCAGCCTCCTCCTTCTGGCAAGAAACAAAAGAACAAAGAGATTGGGAATAAACTAGTGATTATCTCAGCGGCTATATTTCTCTGGCGTCTATAATATATTGCATTCTTGGCCTTTTTATCTTCCAACACTATGTTTCGAGACGGTCATAACGTTGGCTGCCGAAGTTGAAATCAGGGTCGCTTCCACAGCATAATTTCTGGAAACTCATTACTCAGTTCGAAACATCGTCCAGCGGGGAGAAAAATCAATATATAAAAAGCCACAAGGAGCAAAAGGTGTACAAAGACCACCCAACTCCTTTTAAGCCCCTCCCAAGCCCTCCAACAACACCACATCATCCACCCCAACCGCCGCCCACATGTCACAACCTCAAGTAGAACATAGGAGTCTCTGGGAGCGCCGTCCCCAACTTCTTGGGGATGAGCCCGGCCCTATGTACCCCGCCGAAGAGCGAGAGATGCAGAGCGGAAATGCGACCCGACAACAGCAGCAAAATCAAAGAAGGTTTGCCTCGCATGTGGGATCAAACCTACGCGCAGGACAGCCCCGGCGACAAAGTCAGCGGCATATTGTGGATATGCAGGATGGGGGTTATAGAGAGGAAGAGCATAGGGGGGTGAGCTGTTGTATAGTGATGTGATGGAGGTCGAGATGGTGTTGGAAATGAGGAACTTAAGTTTCAGCTGTTAGGGAGATAATCAGAGTTGGGATCGGAGTTGGGCTAGGGCGTTGGCTGTCTTTGGTGTTTGGTTTTAGGGAGGCTGGTTTTCGAATAGGACTTTTCGACTGGCTTTGAGATTGGAAAGGGATGTCGTAGTACAGGAATCCCGCTTGTACACACTTGTTCAGATATCACACTGGCGCTCATAGTGGAATTTTGAAAGCCTACCTTATGCATTGAAACTTTTGGCTCTTGCTTGAAACTGATGCAGTAAGTATCCGAATTGTGCTACTAAGTTGAAACAATAGAAGACTAGAACAATATAACCATATAACTAGCTCAAGGAGACACAGTGTCTATCGAGAAATGAACCACGTAATCGCGTACCTTGACAATATGTGAGAGCGTTTCAAAATAGAAATTGCGACTCTGCATGAAATTCCTTGGTGCGCACCGGTTGTGTTAATTGGTGGTAAGCTTTTATCCATTGATCTTGAGAAGCACCTTGGCTTCAAGAATTCTTAATCTGTCCATTAATTTGAGACATTACCTTACAGGGTGGTGTATTTAACACTTATCACCCTGAGCTAATCATTGAAGACGACCTACTGTCTTCCTTGATAAGTAACCTTGGCATATTCGCCTTCAGTGGCAATGTCGCGGAAAAGAGTCTTCCAACCCTCTAGAGGAATCCCTAGCTCGTCCAAGTCGAGAGAGAGTAGACCATAGTATGCTAAACTTTCTTAGAGTTTGACAAGCAGGACTGTAGAAACCTCATCTCGCCCTTCGAGCCACAGATTGGCATCTTCGATTAATTGTTCATAGGATTCAGCGAATCCAACTTTGACTATAGATTTCACAGTTGATTCTCCGAACTCTTTTTCTGCTTCTACACCTAAATCAGGTCTCTTCCAGGGTCCGCTCAAGGGCCATTGAACCCAGTATACTCTTGTCCGTGTTTCGTACTTGTCGTTAATTGGAGATTCTGAGGGAGAGTTCCTTGCATTGTATGGATCTGCTCATTTAAACAGAATTAATTCATACGTGGAGAGGCGATCGCATACATCGGATAACAAGAGTTGATATCAATGCATTATAAGAGAGGTGAGAATATCTATAGTAGAACAGCAATTAGCCTGGCTTAGGGTAGAATAAGTGAGAGCGAGACATATCGTACTCTTCGTCGGTCTTAAAAAGGTTGGGATCATACGTCAACTGGGCTCCGTAAGAGAAAAGAGGGTTGTTTGGAGATGAGCTGGCGGGGCAGGCGGCCTCTGGGAAAAGGTGTCAATCATCTGTTGTAGACATGGGAGATTTTAGCTTACAGCTCAATGTAATCTGACATCGACATGTTTCTCGGCTCATCCTTTGTGAGTCTCAATTGCTCCTTCAGTAAAACTGTGTGGGGGTGATCTCTACCACAGCTCGTTTTCTGCCTACCTACCTACCTAGGTAGGATGATTCCTCAGATCGTCATCTGTGCAGGGTAGACGAAAAAGCGCCACAAATTGTCCATGTCAGCAAATTCCCATCCCCCACTCCTGGATCTTAAAGACACACTCAATAGTCGGATTCGTTTCATCGTCGCTCCGACTATTATATTTCAAAAATATCATTCCAAATATGAGTTCTTTATCCGGAATTGCCTTGGGCGATTTGTCCATTGAGGGAGACGAGCCAAGAGACTCGCAACTTCATGATTTCGATAGTCTGAATGATAGACCCGAGTTTTCTTTGCCTCAAGCCGATGGTGGAAAAGATGCGTGGTTGTTCCTGGCCGCATGTTTCATTGTCGAGGCTTTGGTATGGGGTGAGTTTAGCCAGTCGATATATAGTTGTTGGCTTGACACATCTAGGGTTTCCCTTCTCCTTTGGAGTATTTCAAGAGTACTACAGCACTCACGAACCATTCTCATCGAACCCTTCAGGCATTGCAGTAATTGGTACAACGGCAACGGTACGTTTCGTGACGTCAATGTTGACTTGCCTAATGAATATAGGGGATCATGTACATGATTGGCGTGCCCTTGTCCGCAGCGTACAACAGATGGCCTAGGTTTGCCAACCGGTCCAAATGGGCTGGCGTTCCAATTATGGCAATATCATTAATTGCTGCGTCGTTTGCAAACGAAATCAGGTACCTTATCCTGACCCAAGGCGTAATGTATGCCGTGGGTGGCGCTGCGGTGTATTGTCCAGCCCTGATATTCCTTGATGAGTGGTTCATCAGGAGAAAAGGCTTCGCTTATGGTGTGATGTGGGTTAGTATTCTCCAGCCTTTGCCTCCTGCGTTGCTGAATGTGAAAATATCAGGCAGGCACTGGGGTCGCCGGGTTGGTAATTCCGTTTCTCATGAACTTCCTCCTGGAGCAATACGGGTTCCGAACAACCCTTCGAATCTGGGCTGTAACTCTGGTTCTACTGTCCTCGCCACTTGTCTACTTCCTTCGACCCCGTCTACCCACTCCATCAGTATCGCGATCACCTCGCCACGGCTTAGGCTTCCTTCGGACTTCAACTTTCTGGCTTCTCCTAATGGGCCTAGCCATTGAGAGTCTCGGATATTTTATCCCCAGCATATATCTTCCCACGTTTGCTCGTTCTCTTGGTCTGAGTCCGTCAATCGGGTCTATGCTTGTAGCTCTCGTCAACGCTGCCGGAGTCATCAGCACGGTCGTGATGGGCTTGCTTATTGACCACTTCCATGTCACGACTGTAATCCTTCTTAGTAGCGTTGGAGCTGCCACTTCAGTGTTTTTATTTTGGGGGCTTTCTGATGCTCTACCTGTTCTTTGCATGTTCAGTATTCTATATGGCTTCTTCGCTGGAGGCTTTGTAAGCACAAACGCCGGCGTCATTAAAGTCGTAAAGCAGCGGGATGAACGGACAGACGTGGGAACGCTGATAGGCTGCATATCCGCAGGACGGGGTGTCGGTGCTGTTCTTTCAGGCCCGCTGAGCGAATCTCTGCTGAGAGGAAATCCATGGAGTGGGGAAGCCGGACTTGGGTATGGTTCTGGTTTCGGGAGCCTGATCGTTTTCACTGGAGTCACAGCGGCAATGGGTGCTGTGGGCTTTCTGGGAAGAAGGTTGGGTTGGGTGTAGAGTTCCTTGTCCTTTTATAAGGAGAGTAATGTACACAGCTCCCGCTATGTCTACAGATACCACGGGGTATAGGTAAAAGAAAGAACGCCAAGTCCCATATTTCCATCCCCCGGTACGCCTTGTGCCCGAGAATTTGCCAATTTCTATGCCAGGTCATGATATGTCATCAAGTTCCATCTTCTCGTTGGCGGCATTTTCAGTCTTCGCTTTCGTGGTTGGTGGGTCTAGAACTTATTTAGCCAAGAATCCCAATGTCTGATATCGAGCTAGACTCACCTATCATCTCAACTTCGCCCTCGTTCTCCATCGCCAGCTCAATTGCTCTTCTTCTTGCATGATTCTGTGCTCTTTCTAATTTCTTTGCTTTCTTCCCCGAGAGGGGCGCGGCTGGCCCGCTGGTGGGACACAGGACATTGCTTTTCGCCGTGCCTCGAGGATTCTTGGTGACTTTGTTGACTGACTTGCGCCGTTGGACCTTGGCACGGCTTGCAGTGCGCCGCTGCTTGCTTGGAACATTGGGATTACTTCGGGAAGCCATGGTAGGCGTGCTGGTTCTGGCTTGGTGTTTTGGCCTCTGATTGTCGAAGAAGGGTTGTGAATGTGAATATAATATAAACCGACGATCCGTCGTTACGAAATATTTTTGTGATAGAGATGGTGGGGCCTAAAATGCCGATGTTTTGCCGGATCCGCTCAGCCACACACGACGTAGGCTTCGGGTGGGAAACCAGGCGGCCCCCAGGCTTACTGAGTTGGTTGTCGAACATCGAACATCGAATATCGTTGCGTATATCCATATACCTACGGTCTCACCCGTACTCTCTCCCCTCTACATCCATCAATCCATCTACTAGCACACATCCACTCGCCCTTGTAGCCCGCCATCATGTCGTGGGCAGGTAGCTGCAAATCCAACCCCATCTCGACGGACCGGCGCTGACCAGGAACTTATAGGCTTCAAGAAAAATGTCAACCGCGCGACGACGCAGGTGATGATGAAGACTGGTATGTCCTGATAGCATCTCTGTGGGTTAGCGTTGTTAATTCCAGATGCCTGCAGGCCATGTCGAGAAAACCAATGACCGTGATTATGAGGTTGAGGAAAGGTAAGCTAAACATGGAGTTCATGGTATCCCACTTCTCACAAACCAACAGACGATATCGCACAATGGAGGCAGCCTCAATGAGGCTACAAAAGGAGGCAAAGGGTTACTTAGACTCTTTGCGAGGTGAGTTGCATTGTGCCTGCTTTTGAGGATGATATGCTGACCCATGTAGCCATGACTGCCTCCCAAATGAGAATCGCTGAGACAATCGACGCTTTTTACGGTGATGCTGGTGCAAAGGACGGCGTTAGCAGAAGTTATAAGCAAGCCGTGGAGGATCTTGACGCGGAAACAATCAAAGCTCTCGATGGTCCATATCGGTACGCATTAACGACAGCAAGTCTGGGCACCGCTAACATTCCTCAGGACTACCGTTCTAGAACCCATCTCTCGATTTTGCGCCTACTTCCCTGATATCAACGAATGTATCAAAAAACGCAACCACAAACTCCTCGACTACGATGCGATGCGGGCAAAGGTCAAGAAGCTTGTTGAAAAGCCCGACAAGGACGTTACAAAACTTCCGCGTGCGGAAAAGGAGACAGAGATGGCTAAGGCGGCATATGAACAGCTTAATGAACAGCTCTTTACCGAACTTCCTCAGCTGATCGACCTTCGAGTACCCTATCTCGATCCTAGCTTTGAAGCACTTGTCAAGATCCAGCTTCGCTTCTGCGCAGAAGCCTATTCCCGCATGGCCCAAGTACAACAATACCTGGATGCGGACACAAGAGAGCAGTATGCGCAAGGGCAGCTGGATAGTAGGGTGGAGGAAGTTTTGCAGGAGATTCGGGAACTGAGCATTAGCGGAACAGTTTAGAAGGGACGTGAGCATTGTAGATACCAGGATGGGCTAGGGAGTAAGGCGCTTAAGGATAATTGAGCCAAGGGAACAGAGTCTGATTTCCATATGCCGCTGCTTTGATCATGGGCATACGGGCAGGACTGAAAATGGAAGATGTGATGCCCTTGTCTTGGATGGTGCAAGTTGTAATTCTTCGTGAGCACAGCCTCTCTCTCTCTGCGTACTCGCCACAGTCGCAGTTGGATGACTCTTCACACCGAAACGGCGTGACAAAGCCCTCTACAACCCTGATGAGATGGGTCATGCACTTCGACTCGGTATACATATGTATATGAGCAATACGACTGCAAAGTAAGATTTCTACTCTGTAACATTCCGCATCCCATTTTCGCATGTTTAGAGCTTGGGCCAAATTTTATACTCGCACGGTTCCCATTCACGTGCTATTCTACATTTCTTCAGCCTTGTGCAAAGTTGCCAGGGGTCATGGCGCAGCCGAGCGAGCTTGAATCTGTCAGCCAGCGCGCAGCTTCAACGCCTAAGGAAAACACCAGAAGATCAAAACACCAAGAAAAACGCAACGCCCCGATCGACGACAGTGGGGATGGCTATGTCTGCGCAGAAGGCAGCTCGATAGCAACTACTCCAACTCTAAACTTCCTATCAATCCACCAAATTGCCCAAATGGCAACACCCCTCCGTCTGTTGGTATGCTCCATCGGCAACCCAGCACCATACACCAACACTTTCCATTCCGCAGGTCACAACGTCATCTCAGCCCTCGCATCCTCCCTAGCATATCCCGGCTTCCAGAAGGTGCGCGAATACGGCAACGGGGCCGTCTCCGCAGGCGCCGATTTTACGTTGTGGCAGTCGCGCTCCCTGATGAACGTTTCCGGCACAGGCGTCGCCGCAGCATGGAAACAATTCATCAAAGAGACGAGAGGCGAAGATGCGGCGCTAGTGGTCGTGCATGATGAGCTAGAGCTTGCTATAGGGGACGTCAAGGTTAGGGATGGGGGAGCTAGTGCCAAGGGCCATAATGGACTAAAGGACATAGCGAAGTGTTTAAGGGGGCAAAAGTATAAGAGGATTGCTGTGGGGATTGGGAGGCCGGAGAGTAGGGAACCGAATGTTGTTGCGGGCTATGTTTTGCGGAAGATGAGCGGAGCGGAGAAGGCGAAAATTGAGACTGCTGCTACGAAAGTAGAGGCTGAGCTGAGAAGGATGAAGGGCATATGATGAGCGGCTCGAAAGCCTTCGATATCGAGGATGTTAAGTTGGTAACGCCAGTAGGCCGCTGGATGGCGTGCGCTCAGCTATATTTGAGTGGCCATCTAGAAGATCCCTTTGTATAGGGAAAAAAGGAGAGCAGCCTTGAGGGAGAAGGAATTGAGTCTCTGGTCACGGCCAGGAGCCATGGCTGAATGTGGATATAATACTCCATTCGATACACAAGCCGCCACTAGCAACAGCGCACGAGTGGACAATAGTGAAGTTATCTTGGATATTTAAGGGATTAGGATTAGCGGCAAAGTGCTGCTGAAGAAGCGTATGTTCAAATACAATGCTTGTGCCTCGTTCATACTCTATCATATCCAACCTAACCAAGAACGCCAGCCCATGCAATGACCCCCCGCAATAAAATCCTACATATAAAATCCCAATTAATCGGGCCGTGCAGTAGCCACCAGAATATGAATCATTTAGTTAGCACGTGTCTCGTGGTTTTTCCCTAACGTGCTTGGAGTCTGGGGATTCTCGTCCTCGCTCATTAGACCCTCCAGTTCAAACTCCTCTGCGTCCCTAACCTGCCTCGAATCCGATGCCCTTGTATGACCGTTCATCCTCGGCGCCCTGGCTTGCTCTTCGCCATCCTTTGGTGGGACTGCCGGGGCGGAGTTGACTGCGTAGAGGTGCAAGAGCATGTTCGTAAATAAGAATATCAAGAAGGCAAAGCTATATAGGACAAGCACGTAGGAGACGTGGGTTATGCCAGCATCGGATAGTAGCTTCATTTGTTCCTCCGTGGCCCCCATGAACAGGAACCCGGATGCATAAAGTAACTGCCATCGTTAGTGCTACGTCGTCCACAGTATACAACAACTTACAAATGGTGGAATGTACTGAAAGCTGTTCGCATCCCCATCCTCAGAAATCGTGGCCTGATCCCTCAAAACAAAGGCAACCTCTATGATTCTCGAAAGGCCTGCCGCCATAAGGGTGTAGCCGAACACTGTGTGGACCATTGTGCTGACAGGTAGATGTTGAGGATGGCCAGACATGCCCCAGCCAGTAATAAGGATAACGAATCCTGGGATGAAGTTCCTCTTGGGCGATCCATCCCGCTTCCTGCTGAGCCAGACACCCGCAAGGCCTGCGCACCACCAGATCACACCCATCGTGGTATGCTGGATATCATTGGCGACCCATGCGGAGCCCCATCTGTGTTCCGTAAAAGTGTTGACACAACCCCACGCCGCAATGACTGCCGAGTCGAAGAATTCTTGCGATCGCCCAGTCCTTTTGAGCCAGGCTTGGCCGACCAACATCATGATTGTAAGCAGGATTCCATATCCGATAAATGCGCCACCCATTATAAAATGGGCCAGACATTGACCCAAATGGTCATCACGGCAGAATCCCAGAGCAGTAATGCCCCCAAAGATCATCTGAACCCATGCGACCACCGGCATGGCCTTGCCTACAATGCCATGGCCATGCACAGCAACCTTCCTGATCTTCCCGTGAAACCCCTTCGTGATGTGGAATTTGAGGTATATCCCGAATACAACTTGAACTACCAGCATGAGCATCAACCAATTCGCGAAAGAGGCGTGTACGTTTTTCGAAAATTGTCGACCTTTGTGCATATGTCCCAAGAAGTATGCGACAACGGCGATCACCGTTCCAAGCACTTGTGTCGGGACATGCCATCGATTCCGGACAATCTATGATTTAACAGTGAGCCAAAGTCAACATATATCCACAGTGGCACCTACCCCAAGAACCATCCCCGTGGGGAAAATGATGCCAAAACTTAGCATCATCAACAAGATGTGAATCCATAAGATTGCATCCTACAGTCCCGTCAGCATACATCTCCTCATACGTTCCTCTGCGCAAGCAACCTACAAGTGGATCCACACTCATAGCCTCGCCATCTTCAATCTTATCCATATCGTGGTCTCCGTGAGCTATAGCTTGCCGAGCAGAAAGAAGGATTGTTGCCAATGTCCAGGCCAAACCCCTGATGGGGGGATTACTGAAGCCCTGCATGTTTGGGTTGGTGGCAGAGCGGACAACGAGATCAGGATGTCAAAGCGCGGCAATGACCGCTTCCCGCACAATTTGGTTGTTTTGCTTCGGGTCTGCTCTGAGGAAATCGATTTGGGAGAGTACCGGCCCAAGAACAGCCAAGTTCTCAAGGAGGTCGACGAGGACAAATGAGCGAATAGGAGGCGGCAATTTGCAATCTACAACCCGTAAACACAGCGCTCCGCCGCTCGGACTCGATGTAGGCTGGAGATAGAAACGTCGAGGGATATAGGTTTGGCGGGCGTGGAGACCAACAAGGACACAGTGTAAGAATCAATCCATGAAGAGAAGAGATGTACGTTATCGGGATCTCCGGTTGATTTGCTGCTTGATTGTACTCGTACCACCCATCCAGAAATTAGTCAGCTCGAAATTGCTGGCGACTAGGCGGGTGCGGCGTCGGGAGCCAGGAGCCGGACTCAGGCACCGCACAGCAATAATATCTATCGTCTACACTTCACGTCGTTCTACGAGATATACGCTTAGCACTCTGAGCTCATCGACAACAACATAATTTTTGTTGCTCTTAGGGGCAATACCTCGACCTTCTAGGAAACCGATCATCATGGCCGGGGATCATTGAGTTTGTCGCAATTAGGGGTTTATCAAGTCACTCTGCACCTCTATCTCTCGAGGTCCAAGTACAGGAGAGTCGAGACTGGCCATGGGCCAACCAAACGATACTGCAGGTTTAAGTCGATGAGCGTAGGTTAGAGGGAGAGAACTTCCATATGCTAAGAACCTAAGGTCCTGGGTACCCACCTAGGTAAGTTTTGTCGTCGATTGCGAAGCGCGAAGACGATATATGCCACTACGCTGGCTCGCTTATGAATCTGTCCCAGCGAGTGTCGAGGAAGCCATATGCGATCTAGGCTGGCTCGCTGCCTAGGCACAATGCGTGTCATATTGGCAATCCAACCTCCCAAGGGGAGATGGTGTATATAAGTCACAGCAGCCATCCTCAGGAAAAGCCATAATTGGATTGCGGCATGGAGGTGTTGTATGTTGATGTCGATCCCTAGACAAGGCCAAAGCAGCGGCCCAAAGTCTCTCTATTGGGACGAACCTTACAGTGTATTTCGTGTCTGATAGAACGCGCGTCAGCAAAAGTGGCCGAACCTCTGCACAAAGTGGCCGACTCTCAATACCTAGGTAATTATCCCGACTTGCTTTGCCTCCTAACTGCCTCGTTTATGGCCACTCACAACGCAGGCTACTGCGTTTGTACAATTGAGTGCGAAGGTGCGTGGTATTCCAGAGGTGTATTTGCCATTGTTGCCAAAATGCGCAAGGGTCGCGTCGGGAAAACGAAGAGGGATTTCTCACCAGCTACAGGCATTTGTACATCCACTTTTCATTGTTCAGCGAGGATGTCCCCGCGATTACCGTGGGGGCCGGGTTGCAAATGCTTGAGATTGATGAGCAAGCTCATTTGAAAAATCTAACAATCGTCTCTGGCGGTGCAGGAACCGTTGGCGTTGGTGGCTATCTCACCGGTGGTGGCCACGGAGCCTTGAGCTCGACATATGGGATGGCAGCGGATCAGGTCTTGGAAATGGAGATTGTGACTCCGCGCGGCGACATCTTAACCATCAACGAATGCCAGAACACTGATTTGTTCTGGGCCATGCGAGGGGTAAGCGGCCAGCTATATTATAATCCTTCCACGAGTATTATCTCACTAAAATTCTTCAGGGCGGCGGTTCGACATTTAGTGTTCTCACTTCGGTAACTATGCAGGCTCACCCGTCTACTCAATTCCTCACTGCGAGCGTCTTTTTCGCGACAGGTCCCGGTTCTAGTTCTTATTGGACCGCTGCTGCCGTCTTTGCATCCCAATATCCAGGTCTCTCTTCATTGGGCATCTCAGGCTACAGCTACATAAAGCCCGACGTTGGCAACGCAGATCTGAACACCACAGGCGCTGTCGATGGCTACTACGGCATATTTATGCTGCCCGTTTTGTCCTCGGCCAATACGTCCCTGTCCTTGGCCACAGCAGTCACCGGCGCCCTTAACAAGGCTCTCGCCTCGTTTCCTCCGGGTCAGTTCTCATCTGCCGTCTTACCTGTTGAGAGCCACGACGACTTTTGGGCTTGGTATAAAGTCAATAACGGCCCACTGAATGCAGGCGGAGACTCTGTTTTCGGCTCCAGACTCTTGGATGAGAAAGCCCTCACCTCAAATCTTACTGCGTTGGAGGATGCGCTTAAGCAGACGGGTAAGGGGAGTGTTGATTTGTATCTTGCGGGTGGCAAGGGCTCTCAACAGGCTGTCCCGAGGGGAGGTGGAAATGCTGTGAACGATGCTTGGAGGCGGACTGTGGTCCATTCTCGTAAGTTTCTATCCCCTAACTCCTATGAGAAATCCAACCGTTTCCTTTTGGATGCCTCTATAATGGAAACTTGATGTGAATCTACTGGCTAACTTGCATAAGTTTTATCCACTTCATGGCAACCTTTTGACGACGCGGAGAAAGCAAAGCAGGAGGACTTAATGACTAACACATATGTGGAAGGATGAGAAAACTGGCACCGGATATGGGTGCTTATATAAACGAGGTATGTTTGGGTAATGTTGTTTTATTGATGTAGTGCTTATGTGGGTTTGCAGGCCGATCCAAATGAGCCCAATTTCCAGACGGCGTTCTGGGGGAAAAACTATGAGCGTCTCCTGGCGATCAAGAAGAAGATTGATCCTGATGATGTGCTCTGGTGTCATCCATGTGTGGGAAATGAGGGATGGAAGGTTATTGGTGATGCGTTATGTAGAGTTTGATAGCGCACCTGGCTCGCAATGGGAAATGCTAATAGGCAAGTACTAATTCATTATCTTCGATATTAATTCATAATCACGAATAACACACGCTCCCTAAACTCCAGAATTCATGTATCATAGCATCCGGCAATCCTAGGAATGTATCTTCGGGCAATGCGTCACACCGCAATTCCTCCTCCTCTGCATTCCTCCGGTCTTTCCTTTGCACACTCTAAATCCTTCGTCACGAAAATGCCCCCTCAGATGGACGTACCACTCGTCCGGCGCCATCGGCTCAATCCACCTCTCCTCATATTCCCAGCAAAGCCAACAACTGAGTCTTTCCTCTTCCGCTCCTTCCACCTTCCTATCGCCCTCATCTTCCGATTTCTCCTCCGTCTTCTCCATCTTCTCGTCCACGACCTCGTCCACCGTCTCGTCCACTTTCTCTTTTTCCACCTCCACCATTTCCACCTCCTTCGTCGGCGGAACATGCGACTCCCACCTAAAATTCACACTCGGATCGACCCACGTCTTGGCCCAACCCTCTTTATATAGTGCTGGAATGCCATCCCCAATTACAGTGCTGCAGAATGCACACGGGGCGAAGTATTGCGCCGCAGTCATGCCACCGCCTGGAGTACGGTTTGCGTGCCGTTCGCTGAACGCTAGGGGACAGAAACCGGGATTCGGAGCAGAAGCTTGGGCGGAGGGAGAAGGTGTGTAGGGTGGTGGGGGTTCAGTGGCTGTGATGGGTGCGGTGTTTGCGGGAGGAGGAATTTCGGCATCGTTCGACATCTTTGCGAGTGGTATTGAGGGTTGGTAATTGGTAGGTACGAATGTATAGATAGATGGATGGAGTAATTGCGTTTGAAAGGGCGTTGTTTGCCCCTTGAGCCTCGAGGTAGAACTATTGCGAGATCCCGAGCCTGGCACGATATGTTCGAGCTTATGGAGTTTGTTGTTTCGCGTTGTGATATGTGCAATGGCGGCAATAATAATGTTCCCGTTCAACTAAGGCGCTTTGTGTCGAAAGTCGTAAAATATGAAAGAACAAGAAGGAAAGCTCCTCGGTGGAACACCTTCTGTCATATTTTCAACGTACAATATCCGGAGGCTGAAGATTATGGAAGTCGAGGGGTTGGGGAGTGCCAGCCTTCTCCCTTCTGCCTTATCGCTGGCCCGCTAACCGTTCCCCCAGCAATGGGCGGCGTTCAGCCTTGCCAAGGACCCCGTGCTCTACTTCGTACTCTGTAGACTTCGATTCAAGATTCAAGACTTCTGCTGCTCCGTCGGGTTCACTCTTCCGCATGGCAACGTCAACATCAACGTTGTTATATTGTATTGTAAACGACTTCATACACGCACCGGTAGCCAAGACTCGGGTCTTTGCATTCACCTTGGCAGCCAATTATGCGTGGAATGCTTCGTACTCCGTACCGATCATTATATTGCAAGCGCCTCTCCCCGTTCTTCTTGATGACGCCGATGGTGTGCAATAGTGGACCTCTGGAAGCTATGCAAAATCAAGTCTATTTTTTGAATCTCAATTATGCCGATCATACGGAGTACTTGCGGATAACCTCTCCAGTCGAGAGTTCTACTTCCCGATGAATTCAGGCCTGAGACAAGTAGCACGGGGTGAGGTACGTAGTACATTCCCGCACAGTGGATGCTTCAAACACAACACGCCTGAAGATATGCCAAGATGGCCGTGGCGGCTGATGCGATGCCTGTTTTTGCATAATGTTTCCGTTTGGGAGCCATTGCCGTCCACTTGCCCTAGCAAGATTCGTCATCGCTTCTCGTCGAGACTTTGATATCTCGACGTCGCTCGTCGTTCCTGTCCCGCATATCTAATTTTTTGTATCTCATCCATCTAATATTTCTTGCGATCGTCTCTTCCTGGTGAAGCCACTTACATTTAATTACTCTTATCGTTATATTCGCAATACCAATCAATTGAACCTGTATACTTGCCAGAATCCCTCACGCAATGCTGACTTCGTGTCTTATGGCGGTTGCAATTGCTAGCACCGCAACTGCTTTCACTCCTCCAGGAGCCCAACCGGTTTCTACAAAAAATCTTACGGTGGCATTTGGCAATACGCTGGCAATAAATGGCATGAATCTTCCCCGAGATGGTCAGTATATCTACTCCGCCTCAGTGACTTGGCTGACCAGCTGCAAGCTACCGGATCAGCACCGAGCCTCGGAACCGCTGAAAAGTTGACTGGTACATATGCGATCTTGATGGTCGATCTCGATATTCCACCTGCGATGGAAGGTGGCGCAACCAGCCAACTCCTGCACTGGATGCAAACCGGTCTGGAATCCGCCAATACTAGCACTACAATCGCTGGAACGAAAGTGTTTGAGCTCGTCAATCCCTCCAAGGCATCTCCAGTCGCCGCATATCGCCAACCCAATCCACCGAACAGAAACCCAGTTTCTCATCGATACACGCAGTTTCTCGTAAATACTACGGGAAACACCGCTGCGTTAGCAAGTTTAACTCAGGCGGGGGCTACGATCCGAAATTTCAGCGCCGCCAATGTGATTAAGAGCGCTGGAGTTGATGTCGCAGCTGGCAACTGGTTCAACGTTACGAATGCTAATGCTACTGGGGCTGGAACGAATGGTGCGAGCCAGACAAATTCGACGTCCCAGGCGGCGGCTGGTGGAGCTGTTAGGATGACGGGCAATAGCGGAGCTGCGCTGGCAGGGCTATGGCTTCTGGTAGCAGCTGTTGCTATCCTGTAATTACCAGTGACCTGAGATTGAATGAAATGGTCAAATTTTCCGTTGGATATTTTCAAAAGGCACCCCCCTTGTCAACACTTAATACATATACAGCAGTGACCCCGTCCACGTTATCAATGTACTAACGCCCAGGCCGATGACCTAATGAATTATTATGCTTTCGATATCTGCCCATCGCTGAATTCCTCTGGTATTCCTTCCATTCGATTATTTTACAATCCGGTTGAACGTTGTCACAAACCCGATCTTGCTCTTATACAACGCCACGCTACGCAAGACATGGCATCTTTCATTATTTGCAAGAAGTGATACCTTTTTGTACCGTTAGTTAGGCTCCTAAATCAATACACGATAGTCAGGGGAGTAGAAATAGAAAGTTAGAGAGTTGCGGACCCAAAAACACCGACGACAGCAGCAGCAGCAGGGGAAAGCGAAAGACGACATCAACAGTGTGGAGTTGTAGGAGCCTTCCACTCGTTCGACCTAGTTATTACTGCGTTCCTTATCATTCTACTGTTTGCTTTTGCATACTTTTCCCTCTTGTACAGGAACATAGACCCTTACATCGGTAATTCCCAGTGCGGTAATTATGAGGTTATTCCCAAATCCTGTTCCCCTGCCACTATCCATATATACAGATACCCCAGCAGATCGCAGACTTGCACGAGCAAGATCCTAAGTAGGTAGGTAGGTAAGGAGCCAACACCCTGGTGGCTTTATAAGCGATTGATTCTTATCCCATTTAGTCAGAGTGACTCGATATGTTTCGGCCTGGGCGGTCATGGCTACTATCGTGAGGGCTGTAGGCAGCGCGGGCTCCTCTACCTCTTCGACTAGATGCATCCTATATCTCCATCTCCATCTTCATTCATATCTCCCTCAACCACACGGCCCACGCCCATTATTCATTTCCGCCTGTGGCAATCGCGAGGGCCACCGTTGCAGCCGCCGCAGAAATAGCCGTGTTACATTCCCTCTCCGTGGCGCACTCCGGGACGCTGCGCTGGGGCGAGTACTATGCGGTGTTATATATAGGGGATAAGGGTACGCTTAACTGAGCATAGCCAGGGCCCAAAGACAATGGCAAAGAGAATGGATGACAGTGGGAATGTCCGAGAAAAAGGCATCGACCAGGCCAGCGGGTAAGTGTGTTACTACGTTACAAGTCGCACGGGGCATCGCAGTGCAGGTTGTTGGTTGATGGTTGTTAGTTGTTCTCCGGCCATCCGATCGATGGGGAGTGAGGTTCATAAGCGATTGGGAATCCTTCGACAATATCCTCAATTTTATCCTACAGGATCAGGTCAGGGTCAGGATCAGGATAGGATGCAGATGCAGATGCAGATGCAGATACAGATACAGCACGGTGTACTGGCGAAACAGGCGATGGCTGGAGCTGGGCTTCCCCGCAGAACGAGTACTTGCGGGGTACTTCCTGGGGGTGAGTGCTTCGGGGGGGCTTAGGGGGTTACTTAGGGGTTGCCTACAGGGCTCTTCCAGGGCACGAGGCGCTATACGACGCCTCTGAGACGCCCTGTTCCCTCCACTCACGCACTACCCTCCAGGCGCTAACACCGCCCCCCAGCGACCCCACACAACCCCACCATTGAAAGGCGCGTGGTCACGCACTTGTCACTCTGCTGCTCTACCTCCGAAGTACATGTCAAAGACCCCTATGCATCTCGACAGCCATCGACATCTGCCACCTGCAACGCACAACGCACAACACATAACACACAACATCCTGCACATGTACATGTACATGTACACAGTTCCTGCTGTAGCCGCTGCCGGCTGTATGAGCTCGAGAGCTTCATAGTTCGTTCATACAGACAGACAGACAGACAGACTTCGTTCAATATCATTCATTCCACATTCACATACATGCAATCATACTCTGCATCCGATCCGTAGAATCGGCAGGCTTCTCCAGTTCATACCCGTACTCATACTCATATCCATCTCCTCTCCTCCTCCGCCAATCCAGCTACAGTATTGCAATTTATGCGCCCCGAACAGTACATCCTCGTCCTTTCCTCGCCTTGTCCATAGGCCCCTTCTCCCGGTCATAGCCGCAACCGCAACTACAACCGCAACAACAATAATCACAACCACAACCACAACCACAACCACAACCTCCGCAACATCCGCAGGACGACACTTATTCGTCTCAGATGCCCACTCCAGCTCGCCACCCTTAGTCGTCTTCCCCGTCTGCCATTCTTCAATCTCGAGTCGGCCATGATACGCTCGACGACCATGCGGCCGGCGCTGGGCCAGTGTCGAGCTGGCATTCGTTCAGCCGCCATGAGCTCCCAGAGATCAAGTCTTGCACTCCTCGGTAGGTTGGGTCTTTCAAATGCACTCCCATCTTACCTCGCCCTCTTTGACCCAGCTAACAATTCCCCCCCCAGCCGCCCACCATATCCGTCTCTTTTATCGCCCAGCTCAGCAGTGGGCTGGAAAGCGGAACCACGTCCGCCCTCATAATACAACGCTCGTCCCCGTTCGAAACGCGTCGGACTCTCCATTGCCCCCCTCCGAATTGGTCCCGCCCGTTCACTCAACCCCCTACTCCGAGCTCACCATCGGCGTCGTCCGCGAGACCTATCCAAACGAGCGGCGAGTAGCCATCACCCCTCAAAATGCTGCCCTGCTCCTCAAGAAAGGATTCAGGCGCGTTCTCGTCGAGCGCGGTGCTGGAGCTGCGGCCCAATTCCCCGATCAAGCATACGAGAAGGCAGGCGTCAAGCTGGAAGAACGCAAGACAGTATGGTCCGAAAGCGATATTCTTCTCAAAGTGCGCGCCCCGAGTTTTGACGGCCCGGTGAGCGAAGTGGACATGCTAAGGGACGGCGCCACCCTAATTTCATTCGTATATCCCGCGCAGAATAGAAACGTGGTAGAGAAACTAGCAAGCAGAGGCACGACCGCCTTTGCAATGGATATGATACCTAGAATCTCTAGGGCTCAGGTCTTTGATGCTCTGAGGTACAACTTCCGTATACCAATAAATCTAACGCCCTACTAATCATGTGGGAAATAGCTCTATGGCCAATATCGCGGGTTACAAAGCGGTATTGGAAGCATCGAATCACTTTGGCAGGTTTCTGACTGGTCAGGTAACTGCAGCTGGGTAAGTAAAATAAACATACCTCTAGTTAAATGCTTTTGCTAACAATCCAAATTAGGAAGGTAAGCTAGTCCTAGTATTCCTCTTTGGTTCATTGCCAACCCGATTAGATTCCTCCATGCAAGGTTCTAGTCATTGGAGCTGGAGTTGCAGGTCTGAGTGCTATTGCCACAGTAAGTGCTTCCTCTTAAACCTTTGCCGCCCCTTATAAACCATTGTAGGCTCGCCGCCTCGGAGCCATCGTGCGAGGATTCGACACCCGTTCTGCGGCTCGTGAACAAGTACAATCGCTTGGAGCCGACTTTATTGAGGTCGAGATTGAAGAGGATGGTTCAGGCGGAGGGGGTTATGCAAAGGAGATGTCGAAAGAATTCATCGCAGCCGAAATGAAACTCTTTTTAGAGCAATGCCGCGAAGTAGACATCGTAATCACTACTGCCCTGATTCCTGGCAGACCTGCCCCCAAATTGATTACAGAAGAGGTAAGCCTGGAATATGCTAGCCGGCTATCCATCCTCTGATTGTAAACCTAGATGCTTGCTGCTATGAAACCTGGCTCGGTAATTGTCGATCTTGCTGCTGAGGCTGGTGGAAACTGCGTGGCAACTGTCCCAGGGAAGCTAGTTGAGCATAACGGGGTTACTGTCATCGGTTCGTCTGCTTGATAGCTAATACTTGCCGAAGTTGACGTTTTGTAGGGTATACGGATCTCCCTTCTCGGCTTCCAACACAGTCGTCAACGCTCTACTCAAACAACATCACCAAGTTCTTGCTTTCTATGAATCCAGAAGAGAACAAATTTGGCGTCGATTTAAAGGACGAGGTAGTTCGAGGATCTATTGTTACTTATAAGGGCGGCATCGTCCCCACTGCTCCTCGACCCGCTCCTCCGCCTCCACCGGCCCGTCCCGCCCAACCTGCTGCTGATGCGGCGGCCGCGTCGGCCCTGGCTCTGACACCCTGGCAGAAGACTTCCCGCGAGGTTGCTACCGTCACTGGTGGAATGGGACTTGCACTTGCGCTTGGTAAGGCAACCGGGCCAATATTCATGGGCAATGTCTTTACTTTTGCATTGGCCGGGCTTGTTGGTTACCGCACAGTTTGGGGTGTGGCTCCTGCTCTTCACTCGCCGCTTATGAGCGTGACAAATGCTATATCTGGTAAGATGATAATCTGCAAGGAATATTGATAATACGCTAACAGGAAATAGGTATGGTTGGTGTTGGTGGGTTTTTCATCATGGGTGGTGGAATTCTCCCTCATACTATCCCGCAACTACTGGGTTCCCTGTCCGTTCTCCTGGCTTTCGTTAATGTGTCTGGTGGTTTTGTGATTACAAAGCGAATGCTGGACATGTTTAAGCGTACGTATTCTCTCGATGATACAAAGTACTAGGCTCTAACACGGGTTCCAGGTCCCACTGATCCTCCGGAATACCCTTGGCTTTACGCAATTCCAGGTGCCGTTTTCACTGGAGGTTATCTTGTAGCTGCCAGCACTGGCATGGCTGGCCTTGTCCAAGCTGGGTATCTTGCCAGCAGTGTGTTATGTATTGGCTCGCTTTCTGGTCTTGCTTCCCAAGCCACTGCCCGGCAAGGAAATATGCTGGGGATATTGGGTGTTAGCTCTGGAGTCTTGGCATCTCTTGGTGCCGTTGGATTTCCTCCCGAAGTCCTAATGCAGTTCGCTGGAGTTGCTGGCATGGGTAGCATCCTTGGTAAGCAGCTTAGTCTCAGTTTCCAGAACTCTGCTGATGATTTCTAGGATTGATGATCGGCCGAAGAACTACGGCTACAGATCTTCCTCAGACAGTGGCTGCGCTGCATTCAGTCGTTGGCTTGGCTGCGGTGCTGACCAGTTTCGGGAGCGTAATGGCACACATTGGTGATATCTCGATGTTGCATTTAGTCTCCGGATACATGGGAGTTTTGATCGGTTGGTATTCCTGTTCCTCGTTGTGTCATTACTAAGTACCGTCACAGGTGGTGTCACCTTCACCGGCTCGATTGTCGCCTTCCTCAAGCTTGCCGGACGTATGTCTTCGAAGCCTATTCGCATTCCAGGCCCTCGTCACCTGCTCAATAGCTCCCTCCTTGGTCTCAATGTGGCTACCATGGGCACCTTCCTCGCCATGGCCCCTGGTGCACCATTAATTGCTGCTGGTTGTTTAGCTGGAAATGCTGTACTAAGTTTCCTGAAAGGGTACACGACTACCGCTGCTATTGGTGGCGCTGATATGCGTATGTCGTTTCTTCTCCTGGTATCATCGCTTTCTAACTTTGGTAGCTGTGGTAATTACCGTTCTAAACGCCTATTCCGGCTTCGCATTGGTCGCCGAAGGATTTATGCTTGATAACCCATTGCTTACCTCTGTTGGAGCTCTCATTGGAGTGAGCGGTTCAATCCTATCATATATTATGGCAAGTGATACTTTCCATCTTGGGGAATTCATACTGATATGCGACAGTGCGTGGCTATGAATCGTGGTATAACGAACGTCCTCTTCGGTGGTATAGCACCCGCTGCGGATAGCGATTACAAGATCGAAGGGGCAATCACCAAAACTACCGTGGATGAAACAGCGGATGCCTTGGCCACTGCAGAGAGTGTGATTATCGTCGTCGGATATGGAATGGCCGTTGCCAAAGCGCAATACGCCATCTCCGATATCACTCGCATGCTCAAGCACAAGGGTGTTAATGTCCGCTTCGCTATCCATCCGGTTGCAGGTCGGATGCCTGGGCAGTGCAATGTGCTCCTTGCAGAAGCTAGTGTGCCTTACGATAGTAAGCCCTTTCCTACTCATCCCCAGTTAATCAGTACTTACAAAAACAGTCGTCCTGGAAATGGATGAAATCAACGATGACTTCAACGAGACTGACGTGACGCTGGTCATTGGCGCAAATGATACTGTCAACCCAATTGCCCTCGAACCCGGCTCTAGTATTGCTGGTATGCCAGTCTTACATGCTTGGAAGAGTAAGCAGGTCATTGTGATGAAGAGAGGAATGTCGAGTGGTTATGGTATGCCCTTACTGTCACCGCATATTATATTTGGGCTGTAACTGATTAAATTCTAGCCGACGTTCCCAACCCGATGTTCTTCATGCCGGGAACGAAGATGCTCTTTGGTGATGCGAAGGACTCTTGCGATGGTAAGTTTCGTCCCGGCCTTGTGCTAGTTTCTCGTTGCCGAACCTCTTGGATGGAAGCTTGAATACTAATATTTTGTGACAGCCATCAAGGGCGCGCTCGAGAGCCGCAACAAGATGTATGATGTGTGAGATCCTGCATTGCATGTCATTCAGCATAAGCATATCGCATTACACTACATTCATCGCGTCATCTTGCATCTGCACGCCGAGTCAATCAATAGCATCTAGATAGTTTCGGGAGTAACGTAAATATTGACGCGGATGGTTTCCATTCTCACAACCATCCTGGCAGACCCTTCCAGTAGATGAATTGAGGCTCTATCCGCGCAGCTCTTCAGAAAGGAAGTACATAGGGAGTTTTCAAAATATCTAGCACAACGGCGCTCTCTCTTACTTGATAGGTCCTTTTAAGAGTCTTCTTGCTGTTGCAGTGGTTATTGTAGCTAGTCGCATGGCATTTTGAACATAGGTTAGAGAGCATGCATGAATATACTTCACGGGTTTTATTATCAGTCCTCCGCGTAGAATTTTCAACATGTAATGGTCCTGTGAGAATCAGAGTAACATACCCCGTAACGGGAATTCATATTTGCAGAGCAGAGAACCGTCATAACACGATTATTCCTCTATTGAATCTAGCTTGTCCTCAACACCACCCTCAGAAACCCCCACAACCACAGCTCCCTCCTCTTGATTTCCTTCAGCCTTCTTCGCCTTCTCCTTCGCCCTCCTCTTAACCTTCTTCCCCCTATTCCTCCTAGACTTCTTCTCCCTCTCCGTCTCCTCCTTGAATTCCATCTCCCTCCTCCTTTGCTCCTCCACCGCCTCCGCCGTCCGCTTTCGCTCCCTCAAGATAATCCTCCTCTTCTTCCCAGGCTTCGTTCGCTTCCCTGGATTATTTACATCCGCATCCACAACTTCCACCCGCACACCGCCCCCAGCAGCAGCTTTCCCTCCAACAACCCTCAAAACTCTAACCCTCCAGGGAACTTCTAGTCCCCATGCCCTGCCTGTACTTAACCGCAGCACTTCCTCCCCACTGCGTGCCACAGCCTCAAACCTGCTCTTAATCTCACCCTCCGCTGGCCCCGCAAAGTAATACCCTAGGTCACGATCCCGGACAATGAACCCGCCTTCCCCCAGATCTTCGTCTTCGAGTTCTAGGATAATTTTCTGCGGTATGGAGGAGGGGTGAGCGCTATTTTGGCTCGGGGCGGCGAAGAGGCGGAATTCGAATTCCTGCGCTCCTGGTCCGCCGTCGGGTTCTGGGTCCGATTCCTCACCGTCGCTGGTCGCATGGCGTGTTTTGGTGGGTGTGTTAGGTCTTGGGCCAGAGGGCGGGAGTACGACAGGACCGTAGAGGGAGGCTAGACGTGCTTGAAGCTGTGCCTCGAGTTCGGGATCGGGCGATGAGGGCCCGGGAGAGGAGGATTGCGAGCGCGTTGAGAGTTCGCTGCGTCGGATTCTAAGGGAGAGAGGTTCGATTAGCCAGCTGAATTTCCCCAAAGAGATGAAATGATAAGAGGGGCGGTGGGTTTAGTTACCGTTTTGCATCTGGAATGTCGAACATGGCTTACAGCATGCGGTGCGGCGCGTGTATAGGTGTGATGTGCGTAGAAATAAATCTGCGTTGCGGATGGAGGGCAAAGTCAAAGTGCAGCGGGAGAGAATTAAGCTTAAATCAAATATTGTGGGGGCCCGAAGCTATACCAAATGCGCACGGTTGTTCTATAAATGTATCTTACATACTTCCGTAGCTATAAATGCATATTGCCCCGCCACCACAGGGAAATGGGATAAACCCTTCTGTTTCACGCGGTTTTTTTTTCTCGAGTTTGATTTATGCATTCGGTCATGGGGAGGCGTATATTCATATTCCAAAACGATAGTATCTCAGGTACGCTAGGGTATCGTGCTTTTCCTCCTGTTCCACGCGCCTTCATTCAACATATAAGGGCATTAATAATGCCCAAGTTCGTAACCGTCTTTCCGCTCAGAAACCATCCTGCCGCTCACAATTTCCCTCTTTATCCCCGGTCTCGAGCCAACACCGACATATTACATACATTGTACATTAAAAAAAATAGATGATTGAAAGGAACTGCATGTGTCTTGTATCCGTTAAGTAGTAATTTCGTAGAGGCTTTTTCTCTAATATATTATTAATAGAGGGGCCTTGAATCGCATTTGGAACTGGTATTTCAACCAGAATTCCATGTGTAGTGCTGCGGGGGGTTGTTCTCGTCCTTCTGGTATTGTGTCTCGGGGGGGAATTCATAAGGCTGTATATTGGGCGCTTGCTGTGATGAAGTCCCGTACACAGCCCCCGCCTCTGGTGCCGTCGTCCATGTCTGCATTGGGAGAGTCGTAGGGTAAACGTCCGGCCCTCTCGATGGCAAGGGCTCGGTTGATGGGACATACGAGGGTGCGAATCTAGCCGGATACTCTGAATAAGGGGCGCTAGCTGGAAGCTCAGGGGGAGCAATGTGACGCGGGGACTTCGTGGGGCGTGGATTGCCATCGACAAAGCGAATCGGCGGGCCATCCGCGGAGGGGGCCGACGCTGGATGATATGTGTACTGTTGCCTCATAGGCGGCTGAGGTGCGGTCATGGCGCTCGCTGAGGCATGGGAGGCGGGGTGCGAAAGATCCGGGTTTGAGTGATTGACCTGGAGAAAGCTATCCAGGCTGACAGGAGCTGCTGGGTAACTCGCAGCGTGTTGTGGCGAGCTGTGATCGGGTGGTTGCGTTGCATTCCAGCCCGGGTACGTTCTATGATGTGTCAGCCGGGACGCGAAAAGAAATTCGGGACGTTGCAAAGAGCCGTATGGTACATGCAACTACCAGTTCTGTCGAATGTTTACGCCAGAGAAAAAAAAGGGGAAACTCACGATTGCCGCATTAGGGATGGTGATCCTGGGATATGAGACGAGTCGAAGGTAAACGTGGACCGGGGAAGCTCCAGAGCGTGAGATTTCAGAGCTTTAGATTTCCTATCCGCCGAGAGGGCAATAGGCATGCTTCCCGCAGTAACATGCAGCTCAGGGGGCTGACCGCGCGACGAGGACGATCCAGCAAGTGGTATCTCCTTTCGAGCCTGGAAGTTTCGAGGACTTCGTCCGCGTACCACGATTGGAGCTGTGGATGTTTCACAGACGTTGATCTTACTCCCGTTGGAAAGCGAGCCCACTACGTTCAGATGAAGCGTAAAATGCTGTTGAAGTTCCCGTCTCCGGCCATTATTCGCCGTAGCAATTCGGAACTGGAGCCTTCGATAGGCGATCGGATACACTGTGAAGTCGCTGTTTGAATCCCGGCCATCATCAACCGGTTCCAGTGGTATCGGCGTGGGTTCGTGCTCTTGCCCGGGCCCGAGCTCGGGAGAGTTTGGTGGTGGAGTCTTCCATGGAATCACAATCAGCCTTACAACATGTCCATCAACCGACTCAGTAGCCGAAATAGAAACCTCCATGGAGACTATTTGAATTCGCTCGCCCCGTTCGGTAATCACAAAGATGGGTCCCCGTGGCGTCGTCACATTCCCAGAGATCTGAAAGAGATTCCGTCGGTAACAAGTCAGTTCCGGCTGAACGAGGAGAGGCTCGCTGGATGGTGTTGCTAATTCTGAAAGGAAAAACATCCCATGGATCTGTGCAGCTAGCTCGATTTGCTGGACCCGTCCTTGTCCATCGAGAATGGTCCGTTTCTCGGGGCGACGAGCAAAACAGAGTAGTCGATGATCCTGGTTGATGGTCGGCTTAGGGTCTACTGGTAACTCCTCTCGGAAATCGTGTACATTCTCAACGTATGGCAGCCCCTCGTTGGAGTGAAATGCCCGTTTTAATGAAGGGTAGCTGTGGTGTGTATTGAGGGTAGGTGGGGATGCCGTCAACGTCCCATTTCCATCCCGGGATAGCGGTGGAGGTCGCGTATTTATCGCGGGAATATCCAAGGAACGATAGCTGCTCTTATGTGAGCGGGCGTGATACGGGATAGATAATGCAGGCGCCGCAAAGCTCGAGTCGAAGGGCGGCGGATGGGACGATGATGGGTTCGGAGCTTGAAGGCTGTAGCCTTGCCAGAGGGTATTTTCTGAGTCTTCTGGCTTTACGTTTGCCATCGTTAACAAGTGTGTCCCGGACATCGACGCATCTCCCCGCGGCGAGAAGGGCTAAAGGCCGAAGAGACAAGCTGGACCGTGAACCGTTTAAGGATCGAGCGCATAGGATAAGGATGGCGATTTTGATGGCCACGGATCTGGCGTGGAAGATCCTCAACTCTGAGACCTGGAATAGGTAAAAGAAGTTCGCGGAGCACAAGCTTATACTCTAGATGGAGCTAAGATTTGATTCGCAAGTGTGACATGGACCAGTAAAGGGGCCAACGGTCTTCAGTCCCAAGTCTTGAGGGGGCCGCTATGCCCGTGAATCCGTGACCATGGCTTTAACTTCCTTCCGTTTTCTGGAAGCGCGGACAGGGACTGTCTGCCGTTTGGAAGCGTGTTCCGATTTTGCTGAGGCCCCGCGCTCCGGGGAGACTGCTCAGGGCAATTCGCTTCACGTCTTTGCCGTCTTCAGCGAGAGTGGTGTCTCGATCGAGTCAACGTGGCTGGCGCGTGATCTGCATTGGTGGTGGTCATGCCAGACTACCATTGGCGGCGGGCGACGGTGAGCCTGGCTCACCCCAGTGCCTAAACTCGGATCGCATGGTGTTGATCAATTGGGATGGGGGATATATCAAAGACGTTGAGGCATAGGAAGGGGGCGTCAGGGTGGGCAAGCCAAAGCCTGGCAGACAGGGGCCACGCAGTGTGTGGGCTCCCGGACGGTGGGCCAGAAGTGGATGAACCCGTGTACTGGCATAGGCCACTAAGCTGGTTACGGGGAGCTCCAAGAATGGATGAACTTGGAGAATCGGGTGTGTTGCTACTGCTGTAGTGGTGCTGCTGGAGCGTTGTCGGCGCTGGAGCGGTGTTGAACTCAGGAGGTGGCCGGCCTGAAAGCCCCTGAGTTGTCAATAAAGGACCCCTACTTCCTCCGGAAAGCACCCACTCGTAATTCCCACTTGTAGCTTTAACTCGAACCATTTTTCCAGTTCTCAAATTATGCAATTGCGGCGCGCATGGCAGTATGTAGATCATCAGCCCGGTGCTATTTTCTTCGAAACGGATCGCGAGACGACGAAGCATGCCGATAGCAGATCAGTGGTGTTCTACGGCGATTTCCTCTGGCTGAAGCCCGCTGCTTGTACTTTACCGCCCCGTACAGGCACTTTCGCCACTCCTTCTCTGTCCCTGCTGTCTCCCCTTCGGGCAACGATCTCGGAGGAATCGGCAGTGAGCAAATTTGTTCTCCGTGGTTGAACTCGAGATAGCGCGCTGGCCCTCGTTCTCCAGGGGCCGGGTGCCGCAGCCCAATAGGAACTCCGCCTTCCAGCCATTTATCGAATAATGGCCCAAAGCGGATCGGCCCCAGTGGCCGGCCAGGGCCAACCTGTCTTGGCTGCGATTCGGAGCATCTTGAGGCGTGCCGCGGGAGGCAGGAGGAAAGCACAGTATTCGTTTTCCGGCTCCAACGGAAGTCCACCGCCTACAGCAGCTTTACAAGACAGCGTATCAGAGGTCTCGTCCAGCGCCAGGCGAAGTGCAGTCCAATGCAATCGACGACAGCACAGTACCATAGACACGCCTCCCAAACCTGGTGTCGATTTATAAACCAGCGGCAATCAATAATGTGATGTACGGCGATCACAACATTTTGTATCACGCTCTCCACATCCACAACGGCCGCACAAGGCAAGGTTCCCATGAATCTCGCGTAGAAAAGAGACAAACGTTGTGGAGGGCGGGGCGCACGAGGCTTCTGGCCCGTGAGTAGATATTTTGGCGCTGAAGGCGCCGCAAGCACAGGCATCGAGCAGGTTGGACACAGATGCTACACAGTGCTACACAGACTCAGTGTACCAGTAACACACGAGAGTTCCACACCGGAATCAAGATAGGAGAAGGTCAGTACTTCGTCGGCCAAAGAGGCCGCCCTCAAGCTCTGAGCATAGGAATTGCGGTCTTGGTCCTCCACGATATGGTCACTCGCCTCTGCACGGAGTACCGTTCAAAATAGCCAGGGACTACTGGAGTCAGCCGCACAGCTCTCTAACCATAGCCTAAGCCAGCGTGCGGAGAATGTTGTCGAAGCTAACGAGACCGCTTGGGACGAATTGGTAGGATTTAGCTAGAACTTGAGGACGCTGCCGTGAACATTACAGAGCGCGACTGCTCAAGTTGGCCAGTTCGGTCCAAGAGCACACCCTCTCGAGGGCATCGTGTAAACATAAGAGCATCCCCACCATGACCAGTCCACCGGCATAGGGCGATGCGACAACAAATCGCAGGTTCTCGTCGGCGGCAGCAAAGGCTGGTGAGTGACGACATCCGAAGCTTGAAATATTCTGGAAACTAGCTGACCTCCCGTTGATTGGAAAGGCGAGGTGATGGCGTCGGAGGTTTTGGCCTGGCCCTGCATTTGGGGGTGGCATGCATGGCGGATTGCGGCACGGTTGCGGGAGCGCCGTCCATTGAGGTCAATTCGCGCTGATTTTAGGGCTTTGGTTTTGCGCCCTGGCCCCCAACAATTGCCCCTGGGCCCATAGCCATCCTACATATCTATATCCGTGCTTTACGGAGCATAGAGGTATCCGTAATTGTTTTCACAATAACCGTATCAGCCCCAAGCTACTTGAGCTCGTGGCGTTGCCATTTTCGTAACGTTGCACATCTGCCCCTAAGGATCAGTTCTTCAACAGCCGTTCCTTTTCTGCAGCTCCAAACGGACCGACTCATGATGATATTTCTGCTGAAGGCCTCGTGGTGGTGCCAAGCAACCAAGCCAGGAGCCCAGCTGCTGCGGAGACGAGGCGGAGTGTGGCACACCACGAGGCAATAACAACAGCTACACGTTGAGAAGCTTGCATAGGCCAAGCTGACTGCATGGCACCTTAGATCTTGCATCGTTGTCGCCTAATAAAACTTCGTCCCATCTATCTTCCGAACCTGCGGGGTGGCCTTTTGCCACCCCTGTGTAACCAGCTTTCCGGTCTCACAAATGGTCGGCTTCGTAAATAATAAAAAAAGGCAATTGTGTCTGCCGTAGGACACCAAAAGGTCACCGCCAGGATTCACAGAGTCGAAAGCTTGCATTGACGGACGACCGATCGTAACTCAGGGTGGAACAGTGGTGGCTAAACATTACCGGCGGTCGAGCATCCAGGACTCCAGGGTAGAGTCAGTTCAGTTTAATCCCCGGTGCCCAAAATCTCCGGGAGACGCTTGTGACTGTTCAGTCAGGATCGAGATACCGCATGAGAATCCAATACTTTAGCCCCAAATTCCCAAATTCACTTGAAATAATTGGCGGAACCCGGATGTTTATCGTGTAGACTTCTCGATCAGGAAAACGCGGTGTAGGGGGAAGGCGTCTGTGGAGGTTCGCATAAACGTTCATTTGGGCATTTCCAAAGCTCGAAATGACACCGGCCCCCAACCCCGACTCCCTGGGACTCTGACAATTGACAGCCGCCCGGAGTGTGAGCGAGGTACGAGTATCGTTGCTCACCATACAACAGGGGCTCGATATACGAGGAGGTACCTCGGTACTGGAGCGTCTCATGGGCTGCTGGGGGGTACCGAGGTACTGTACAGTACATATCATCCAAAGTAGCCCCAATGCACCAATTGCCGTTGCCTGCATTGCATTGGGGCGTACTGGAGACTAGAGACTATGGAGTACTAGAGACTCAAGTGCTCGTACTTCGTGCAGTACGCAGCAAACTCACCGTTGTATTCCGCTCCACGCGAGTCGCGCCTCTACTGTCCGAGTCTCCAATCAACAGCGCTCGCATCTCGGCGAAGTCCAGCAGGTGCCTTGCAGAATCGGCGGCTAGTGCCTGTCAATCTCTCGGTACTTGGGGAGCGGGCCCATGGCTTGGGGGCCGTCGTTGACGGTTGGAGTTGGCGCTATCGATTGCATGAATATTGAAGGGAAGAAGATGATTTCGAAGGAAACACTTGTAACGGTTGCGAATGTCGAGGAGAATACCAGGTCGCGGTTGTCGCGCGGTACCGAAGCACGCTAGCACTGTCCAGGCATGGCCGTCGGGTCACATGACGGCCCCTTGCTGTTCGGAAGTACAAAGCACAGTACAGTGGTACCCTGAGGTACTGCGTATTTCTACTTCTAGGTATGTACAGACACTCCGATATTCTTCATCTTAGGTTCGCATATATCTGCTACTACGTACTCTGTACAGCACACACTGTATCCTCAATCTTAATCGCCCGTGCGTGTCTCATCTGCCGCGCAGCGGCGCTGGATCCAAATGTTATATATCCCCACGGCTCTGCCGATTTCTTCCTAATATAGTGAGACGAAAGAAAAAGAAAGAACAGCAAAAAGCAACCAACACTGCCCAGAACCACCTTTATTCACAATCGGCGGTGGAAGCCCCTGACCGACGGGCATGAGGCCGTGAGCCCATCACACGGAACTCGCATGATTGTTGTCAGCTCTCGTTCGGGCTCTCCAGAGTCCAGCCCGCACTTCAAGCTCGCACCGTTCCGCGCCGCTACTTGCGGCTTCAACCCCCCCCTTGGAAGGCTTTGGCGCAAATGCCACCCCGACCGAAAAGCTGGATCACTGGCCGGCATCAGGTGGAATAAACGGTATATTCACCAGGAGTATTCCGGAAGTTCGAGGTCAGACCGGGCGAGTGCCAGTACAAAGGCCGGCTGGCCCTCCGCAATGCCATTGATCTCAAAGTTCTCCTGCACAGTCCTACGAGGCATGGCCTCCCACGGGAAATCCCAGGTAAACAGGAAAAGTGCTTCCATTCACTTTCGTATGTGCTCAACAACCAATCACGAAGTAAGTGCTTCCACTGGCAACGTGCTATTCTAGAAAGACGTTAAATCCACAGTCTAATCTTGCCAATTTTCGTTTCCGCGCATTATCTGTAAAAGGCTACCCCTCGCTTTATGTTCGGTGTTATACCTCCCAAGCATGGCTCTCGAATGCACGGAAGTTTGCAAGTTAATGCGTCATTGAGGTTTGGGATTCAGCCAAAATAAAGGGGCGTCGGTCTTCAAATTATAGCGTTGGCCGCTGTGCCGTTCATGCGCTGGCACTATCAGTCATATCTTGGTAACCCAAAAATGCGTCCCCGGAAAATGGCGACACTAGTGCCAAAAACACGACTCGCGAACGCTGCGCGATACGATGAGGAGAAATTGCACGGCTTGGAGCCATACTTGCAACGGAGCCCAAAATCTTCAAGATGCCTACCTTTGTTTTCTGAATGTCGTCTAAACCAAGGCTAGGGCATCCCAGGCTTTGGGTTTCTTCTTGCATCGAAGCGGTTATTATTATCATCAACCCCACCTCCCTACATAATTGCCTAAAGTTACCCCGGATATGTCATCAATTAAGCTCATCTGCTCTTTCCGGTTCAAGGGTCGCGCATGCGGGATGGAACAACAGTGGACGATACTTCGCAGTTTTGAAGCGTGGGCATCGCTTGGGTCTTCAGCGCTTCGACTGCCTCGTAAGTTTACGAGAGGATTGGCCTTGACCTTGGGCTTAACATTTCGATGATTTGTTTGGGACAATAGAACCGGGAATACCAGTGGATAGTTCTCAATCTATCACCCTAAAGAGATAATTCAGTTTTTCATCTTGCTTCACTGGTAACTCTGGCAACTTGGGGCAAGTTCATGATGCCAGAACCCCAGGCTCAAGCAATACTGGGCGTCGACGGTCTGACGACCCAACATAGTGGCCTATAAATATGCGAATTTGCAATCTACGAGTGTAAGAAGGCGCGAGAGGTAGGAAAGCCAATTACTTTCTAGCCCTGTGTTTAGAGTTAACAAACGGGCGGGTCACCACGAGAATCTCCAAAAGTAATTACAACGTAAAATTACGTTGGGAGAATCTCAGTTGTGCCAGCGGGAGACAGCTTTACGATGATTAGGCCGGGCGCAGGGAATCCTCAACTGGCGGCAGGATCACAGTTTTTTAAATGTCATAGTCTGTCGTTAGCATTGTCGTTGCATATCGCAACGCTTAATATCATGTATAGAATACTCTGGTGTGTCTAAATCTTACTGAGATCTCTATCCTCGGATATCATCAGTCAACTCTTTCTATCTTATACCCCGCCCTTGGCTCAACATAGGCGTTAACCAGCACATTGAACTCGTCCACAAGGCGGAATTAACACTTAAGCCAAAAGGGTATACCAGATGCGCCCAAAGCGTCTCCCTGAATGGACAACGATTTTTTTATCCCGATCGACTCTACTATCAAATCGAGGGCGGCCTTCTCCATAACGCATGCAATATCAATCAAATGGTGACCTCTAGCGACGAAACCACCTAGTTAGTCCGCTTCCCTCGTGTTAAGAACATGTGTAGCGAGCTTGCCGACGAGAAGGTTGGTACGAAGGTCGAGGCGATGAGCCTCATCCGCGAGAAGACCACCATTCCAATCCCGCAAATCAAGGCTTGGGGTCTTGCTGCTAGCAACCCGCTTGGCCTGGGCCCGTTTATCATAATAGACTTCATCGACGGAGTGAGCCTCAATGGCCTTCTTAAAAGAAACTACCTATCTTCTGCTCCAGATTTTTAAACTCGACTTTGACCAGATCGGCAGTCTGTCATCGCCAAAGACTGAGTTTCCAGTGCTAATACGCCAAGTGACATTCATGGTACATGAGATTATGCAGACTAGAGGAGTCGACAACTTTGGTACAGCCCGATGCTTTCTTATATATTTTTTCGTTTCCTATTTACTGCAACATCATACAGGTACTGAGATGCGGGGCCAGCGTCCTACAAGAGCTTAGAGCGCCCTTTCAGTTTCTTCTTTTCTAGTTTTACTGCCTGAAGGGACCTTGGTGGGCTACTGTACAAAGTTTAGCAATCAAGCTACCGGATCGAAAATATATTTAATGTTCTAAGGGTTTACTGGGAACAAATGCTCGAGAGGCGATATATCAGCAAATATCACAGGAGCTTGGGTTTTAGATAAATATTTTCACCCCCAAGTCCAAAGGAGATTATATCATTAAAGCTACATGTCTGATTCCCGTTTCTTTCTTGTTTGGCTGGCCATCTGCACGCTTGTTACAAGCCTCGATTATAAAAACTACGGATAGAAACCTTCCAGGGCTTTTAGTTGACAGTACTCATAAGCAGGGGGGCCGAAGCCCGCAGGCTATCCCTTTTAATCTCTAATGGAACTTCAAGTTCATGTTCTTTGACTACTAGATATGGGCTGTTTTAATCCTCGAAGTAAGCCTAAGGAGTAAGCAATTCTGAGGAAATGTCTTTTTATAATATTAATAATACGAATTTTGATTCTTTAAATCTTTTGGCAACAGCACCCGTTTGAAGCACTAGATTATTTGTAGAAAACTTTCTGAGATAGGCTTAATCCTGTAATAATGTCAAAACTGTTCTTAAAAACTAACAGCCTATGTTTCTATTATAGAAGAGGAAGAAGCTAGCAAATGTGACCGTAATCTAACCACTTGTTACCCCGCCCCCCTTCAAGTTCTAGGATTACTGTAGCTTTTCTTTAGTAAGCCTACTTCTGGTGGCTTGTCCTGCTCCTCTTTTAAAGAAGGAATAGAATGCGTACGCAAAGCCAATATGAACTTTTACATCCCCCTTACACACTACACTTTTCCGACGAAGATCAGTAAGTACTCGATAAGAATGAGTATCGCGGATCGAGTTATGACGGAAACGTACGAAAAGACAATGTACAAAATTGTGAGGAGGAATATAGTAACAAAGAGGGTAATAAGGCCGTTCAAAACTGTGGAGGGATCTATAGTTACCATATCGGGCCGAGGTTGCATAGGTCCAACACGATATATATTGAAAGGTGGACATTGTAGGGAGGGCTGCGGAAGGAGTTTATTTTGGATTCTGAACATATGACCTCATGAATACAAGGTTGGTCAATACTGCACCGAGTGAAGGAGGAGCAGGCACATCGGCGGCGGGAAGTATATAGAAAGTGGCGTAACCAAAATTGGTACGTGCTAGGCTAGTTAGGTACCTGCGTCTGAGAATACAGGAAAACAGCTCTCATCTTGCCTGAACCTATCAAAGGAACAGTCTGCCCATCAATAACCAACTGTTGTTCCTCATCTCCATCCGGCGGTTGATCCGGCCAATCTCTCCAAATCTGAATTACGTCTCTCTGGCCGGGCGACGCCTTACCCATCGCCATCCTAGCGATTCGTATAGCCTGCCTATCATCGCCGACCTCCATTAACAAAACCCTCGATTTGGCGACCTTCATACGAAGATCCGTTATGCGCTCGTAAAAAATATCTTCTGGAGCAACAGAAGTGGTGGTGGGGGAAAGCTTGGGGACCAACGCTAGTTTGGGTTCCCAATTGCGGACTGAGCGTGATGTTTCACGGTTGAAGCCCTCCTTGGAGATATACGGGGGGTTGGATATCAGGACATCGCATTCAAGGTCTTGTTTTTGCTGCTCTGTCAGGTTCGAGAATATATCTACCTTGTCGAACTTGACTTGTACTAAAGGATGACTGGCCGGGCTGGTCATATGACCCTGCGTGATGTTGGTTCGGAGATTTTTCCGTGCTAGGGATATGGCCGCATTGGAGATGTCCCATCCGGTGATATGAAGCTGCGGGAATTTCCTCAAAAGGATGGAATACAATAGGAGTGAGATACATCCCGTTCCAGAGCATAAGTCCACGATTTTCAGAGGTGAGTGCTTGGCGTCATCCAGAGGGTTGGAGCCTGAATTATGTGAAAGTTCATGATTCAAATGGCCATCGCTCAGAAGTTTGGCAAGATGCGTAGTGTAAGCCTCTGTCTCTGGTCTGACCTGGAAATGTCAGTTAAGACCATGTGCCCCAGGATGGGATCGACCGGCCTTGGTATTAAAACTCCTGGACGGCATTTGATATCCAATTCCCCAAATGGCTGGGAGCCGAGAATATACTGTAACGGCTCGCCATATGCCCTCCGCTGACACAATTGTAGAAGTTTTCTGTTCAATAGAGGTGTTGGAATTCCCTGAGCTGTGGATCCTCCTGTTGAAGATTCTTGCACGTGTTCTCTGAACCAACGAAGCTCATTGATGGCAGATTCCAGAGTCCGGGTCCCACGCAGGACTAGTGGTAGGAGTGGAGAAATGTTGTAGGCTTGTAGCAAGAGTGCGTGAGGGAGTCGAGGCATGACAGCTAGAGAATTCGGACTGAACTTTGCATGGTGGTTCATTGCCCCTTTTTTGGATAAGGTACGGAGTAAGTGATACCCAGCGCCGAAGCCGAAATCCTAACCCCGAAGGCCGAGGCCGCCTGTAGATAACAGGAACATCTGCCCTCAGATAACTCACAACCCCTTGGCATCGCAACTCCTCCATCGCAAACTCTCTGGGCTCCTTAGATACGCTTTCATGTTTCTTCGGCCAGCCACACAATCGCGGCGCCTCCCACGCTGCGGTACTCCCCAATCGTTCGCCCGCCGTCACTATGCTATCTCTCGCCAACCCCCCGCGTTCCCTACAACTCCAACATGCCCCTCCCCGAGCTGTCCTTGTGCTGAAACTCCCGAGTTGCCGTCAGAGCTCCCAATTGACCGCAAGACGGCGTTGAATGGCACCATGTCGCCCTATGCAGAGCAAGTGCTGATTTGTACGGGACAAGGCGATTGGACGTCAAAGATTGAAGAGGAGAGCTCCGGGGACAATTTGGCTGCCGATATCAAAGGACTGCTTGGACGAGGTGGGATTTACGCCGATGTATTTCCCCCTTCTATCTCTGCGCTCTTGCAAAGGGAATTATGCTGACCTTTGCTATGGGTAATAGCCGTACCATAATGTGACAGTCTTGAACTCCTCATTTCCTCCCACGGGCCCGCGAACGACTGAGATAGTCAACAGATCTGCATATATTCTTCCGTCCTTTAAATACGTACCATTCATACGACATGGTTCTTTCGATGCTGTCCAAGCTCTTGTGAAGGGGTATCTTCTACCTACGAAACTCAGCTTCGCACATGATCATCTCAGTCCTATACATAGGGATCGACTGTTAAGAAAGAAGGAATATACTAGTATGCTCGACGGGGTGCAGGATGTGAAGGATGTCCTCGTATTGATCTGTGGCCATGGAACAAGGGACCAGCGGTGCGGAATTATGGGGCCAGTGCTTCAGGGTGAATTTGAGAAGGGTTTAGAAATGCACAATCTGAGGGTAAAGAAGGATGCTGTGGGTATTGAACGGCCGACATACGAGGAAAAACGATCGCTAGAAGAGCCGAAAATCGAGGAACAAGTTGGAGGGGCTGCGCGAGTAGGGTTGATAAGCCATATGGGAGGGCACAAGTTTGCTGGGAATGTGATTCTGTATCTCCCACCCGGGATGAAGACAGTCGAAGGGGACGAACACCCACTCGGAGGATGTGGAATTTGGTACGGCAGGGTCGAGCCCAAACATGTAGATGGAATTGTGAAAGAGACTATACAGGGAGGCAAGGTTATCGAGGATCTATTTAGAGGGGGAATTAGACAGAACGGCGAGATTTTACGACTTTGATGACGGTTCGGATTATAGACGGGATAGAGACGGTTGGATTCGGCCGTCGGGATTGGAAGAAGATCTCTGATTGGAGGCTATTGTACTGTACGATACATGTGCTGAGTTATATATTGTATATATTCCACTTCGCGTATACTAATAATACCTCGATAGCAAACAATCTGTAGGGGAATATGAAGTACTCTTGCAAAATTTAAAAGGAAGTGTTTTCCTTGTATTGCATTTGACTGGCTTGTTCTATCAGTGGGAGATTATTCTCTGATACACTGCCTTCAGCTTGCTTGATTCGATCCACCGACGGTTCGTTCAAACTGAGTAAGTATTCGTTCTTCTCCGCATTGAGCTTCATGTTGATGTGGTGAGCACAGGTATAAGGGACTAGCCAACTTCGTGGGTCGTGTGGGTGCACCAAGTTTTCGACAAGGCTGTGGAAGACGCATAGCTGCATAGACTTCCTACCTACATCTGGCCTTCCTATGCAGTGCAACTCTAAGCCGGCAGGTACGCGGCAGCGTAAGTTAGCTAGGTAGCTAATGCCGGCATAGGTAGCTATATGCAGCATGTTCAGGTTGCCTCACGTAAAGAGCTCGCCACGCTATATGGTGTTCTAGCCTTCTAGGCCATACGACATCTAGCACCTGGAGTCTGACCGCCGCCACTCGTCGAGGGTTTCGACCAGAAACGGAGGTTTCTCCGGACAAGTGGTGATCGAGGTAGTGCATGCTTTCGCGATGGCATTTGGGCATCGTCCCTTTCCACATGGAGAAAGGCAGCGGCAGACCCATTGCTAGAATTGCATAGGGTATACTTTCAAGGCCGTGTAGATATGGCTACGAAGAATCTGCTGCTGGCCGAGATCGGAAGATTAGGCACCTGAGTATTAGGGACGTATAAAGGTTCTCGAGGGATTTCTCGCCGGATGTAAGCACGTCCGATGATGGCGATGGCCTGCGTGTTTTCGGCATGCCGCTCATCTCCATCACCATTGATCCTCGTGTGCGGGCCGACGCACTTGGGCGTGAGGACACGGAAGCGGTTTCCGAGGAGAGGATCCAATAACGGGGATAGCTGCAATTAATCATTGTGCTGCGGAACTTGGGGGGTCAAAACGAAAGGCCATGTGGACTGTGCAGCCAGTTCGTGGAGAACCCCAGCCATAATAATCACCATCCTCGTATGACAATGAGACAGAGGTAGTTTGGCAGGGGAAGCGAGAAGTCGATCATTCGATTCCTCACCGACCCGCGATTCGGTTGGTGCGTCGGCGACAGCTGAGCAGGATATAACGGTAATGATAATGCTAATGCTAATGCTACCGTCTCATTGTATGCGCGACACCGGCACAACCAGACCGGACCATCCCTTAGGCGTCCGGCGGGGAGGCCCGCAGTTCGAGCCGAGAGTGGACGGGCAAGCAGGAGCCCGTGGATGGACTTAGATGGAGAGATGGAGTCTTCAACGCGCTCTGTTCGCGCGACCGGGAGCCCAATAATAACCCAATAATAACCCAACCATACGGAGTCGGGCACGCGGGCTTCATCGTTCGCAGTCACTTCGTACTCGATACGGGTGGACGCGACCTCGCGATTTGCCGTAGGGCTCAGCCGCTCAGGGCCGATGGAACGAAAGCGTTGACGACACGGCCACAGTAGGTACTGTAGACTGTACAAAGTAGTAGGTCGCGGGCACGGCTGCGGCTGTTGCAAATTGCAACAATGCTTTCGGGAGCACTTGGTACGTACTTGGTGCTTGTGTCGGTGCTAGCCTGCTGCAGGACCTGAGCCCCAGTGCGCCGGGCGGGATATGCACGACGAACCATAAAACCCAATAATAATACTTTGTACGTACTTAGCAGTTCATAATAATAATCTCGTACAGTATGTTTCCATGCAGCCCCCCCCCCCGGAGCGGAGCCCTGTCACCATGTTCGACTTATGCACAGGGCAGCCGATCGTGTTCCTGGCCCAAACTCTATTCGTACATACGAAGCCAGCAAGCCAGCAAGCCTCGAGGTTGCTTGTTACTAATAAGCCGGGCCAAGGAGAAGGCCACATGCCACATGGTGGTGCCTCTCTACTTACAGGTACCATATACATGTACCTCGTAGCTCTGTCCGTTGTGTAGGGCGTACCTAACGAACAGCTGGGTTATGCATCTTCGCTGAGGCAATAATAATGCAATAATAACAACAGCAATAACAATAGCAGTAACAATAACAATAATAATGAAACTCGTTAGTTCGTAGTTCATTCGAAGTAACTAGCCTTGGCAGGCCGGAACGGATCGAGGCTCCCTGGAACCGCCCCGCCCCCCGAACGAGGTCCCTGCGCCGCGTCCGCGGGCTGCAATAAAATAATCTCTCGCAAATCTCCTCTTCTACTGTACTGTACAGTACAGTACGAAAGTAAGCTCTCGGTAATCAAGCTCTGTCGCCTCTGCCGCTATTTCGAGACGGCCACCAGCAGGTTAGCACCAAGCAACGGCGCCAGAACACCGCAGAACAACTGGAACCAGCCGCCTCCAGTTGGCCAGGTTTCACTTTGGCAAAGTACCTAGGTATAAGTAGTACGCACCACTACCTCGTAGAATGTCCAATATGGCAATATCCCCCACTCCTCGCCGCACAACAACCGCAGCGGCAAAGGCACTCGCAGGTTTCGCTGCGACTAGCGACCGTAATTAGTAAAGGTGGTGGCGCACTTCCGCCGGTTTAGAACTTCGAAAGTCCACTTCTCGTCTCCCGGTCTCGCTTCCATCTGGAAAAACGTGCAGGAACCCCCCGGGGAGTGGAATCTGGAGATCCCGCTTCCAGAGCGCGACCTGGATCAGGGGAGGTCGGCCATGGGGAAGAACGAGGAAGTACTTGTATCTGGGCAGATCTCCAGGTTGTAGGCTCGATCAAGGAGTATTCGAGTAGCATCGTCTCTCCCACAGTCCCACTCCAACCGTTCACGACTACGGGGCGCGGGATCTAGGCTCGACGACATCGTTGACATCGTTAACTTCACTTCTTCCCCCACAGAATCATGTCGGACTCAATGCCTCCCCCAGGACCGGATGTCAACCTAGTCGCCCAGTACATGGTGCCCTGTGGCATCCTCGCCGCCTTCTCCTTTGGCCTGTGCGCGACTCGCATCTATACTCGCTGTCAACCTAAATTTAATCTGAAATGGGATGATTACCTGATCCTTCTTGCAGAGGTAAGGCGCGAACCCTATCCTCGCGATCGTAGTGAAAGAAAAAGAAAAAGAGAACAAGAATTAACTATTCGAATTAGATTTTCTCCTTTTTTGGCTATATTTCGGCCATCGTTGCTGCGACTCACGGATGGGGCCACCCCAGTTTCTATATTGCCCCCAAAAATGCAACCATCGCCCTAAAATGCTCGTTTGCAATTCAAATTCTGTGGATGCAGGCGATTGCCCTCGTCCGACTTTCCATTGCGTCTTCCCTTCTTCCTCTCAGCCGGAGTAAATGGTGGAAGGCGACCCTTTGGACCTTAATCACCGTGCAGGTGATTTTGTATGTGGGGTGGATGGTGGTTGGCTTTTTCAACTGTCGTCCTTTGAGGTCTATGTGGACTCCGGTCGAAAATATGACATGCTGGCCCACGATATACACTCTGAACTTCGGCTGGGCATCCTCAGGTAAGCACCAACCGTCTATTTGCATTGTACCCCGCTGACACGGCCTAGCATTTTTTGTCACCATGGATTTAACCATGGCGCTCATGCCCATCCAGCTCATCCGAACATTAAATCGACCTCGTTCGGAGAAGATTCTGGTCTGTTGTCTGATGGCTCTGGGTCTCCTTACCACGGCCACTGCCGGAGCCAAGATGAGCACATTCCCCAACGTATACAAAGGGGACCCCCTCTCGGCAACTATCTACTCATCCTTGTTGGCAAAACTCGAGGAGCAGGTGGGCATTATCTGCGCCTGTCTGCCTACCCTCAAGGCACCCGCTGAGAGGCTGCTCATCCGTATGGGCGTCCTTTCGGACCAGGTGAGGTCGACGATGTCACGCCCAAGTTTCGTACTCTCGATGCAACAAGACAATACCGCTGTTCCGCCAACAAGTAATATGTCACCATATGACTCGTCGAAGTCGCCCCAGAAACATAACCACACTACATCGGAGATGGAATGGGCCGATGAGAGCAAGTTGACTATGGCCGAGTCTACTTCTAGACAGGCGTCATCTGGGAGTGAGCGGACGGTTGGTGGCATGGCGTCGAAGGAGGTACTCCACCCGAACGGAGTCTCACGAGCCGATGATGCTGTATGATTGGTTATTCTTCTTGCTTTTGTTGTAAAATGGTTTGTCTTGTTCTATAGCGAGGGAAGGGTACATCATTATGTGTCCCTGAGGATATGGGGGCGTTGGAATCTTGACACTCATGCGGAGAATGGGTTGCGATAATTGCTACGCGGATTATTATTTTGTAGCTGCATCCCGGGATTTGATAGAATTATTTACGGAGCAGGAACTAATTAATTTTCCTCGGCCGTGTTCGACGTTGCACGCTCCATCTAATGGTATGAAACCACCTATCAAAATTGGGATTTGAACCTATGTCGACGGCTGACTGTAATGGTATCTCCAGGAAGCATCGGCTAGGCAAGGGACAGGCCCCTGAAGTAAACCCTGACTATAAAATGACGAATACGATATCAAATCGATATCTGTTTAATATCGCGGCCCGTCTTTAAGATGACGGCTGACAAGGTTGCTCAAGCAGGCTGTGCCGATAATTCTCGGAACGAGCCGTGCCAGTTCCCTTTCTGGGCCGCTCCTTTCTGATGGTGCGGAAATTGTGGACTGCCTTGTTGTTTCCATGCGATAGCGCTGGGATGAATTGCATGCTGCTTTATCCTCAATAGACTCTCAGGTGCTGATAAATATAGGTCTAAACTTAGAATCTAAGTGTAAGAACAGACTGTGCATCACTTTGGCTTGGATACTATGTTTTCGTACTGGTTTAGCGTTCATTGGATTTGAGGAAGAACTGTGACCTTGATGGCTGCAAACGCAACCTTGGAATCTATAGAAAATTTAATCGTTTGAGTAATATATTTAGAAATAGAATGCAGTCACCCTGAAAATGTCTCAATCGGAGTGAGAAACCGAAGTTGAAACGCACGAGGTTATCCAAAGTTTGCGTGAAAAAATGGCGAAGGTTCAAATCAGATGATATCTAGGAAACGCCCCGAAGACAGTATCGCAATGTCACTTACCATCTTTAAAGTCTCAAGCCCTCTACCCCCTTAACACCCGTACAACTGCTAGCCGATCTCGCCTTTGAACAAATACTTTCCCTCCAAGAATACTCCCAAGACCCAATTCTGGACCCACCATGGGGATTCGACTATAGTGTAATCTAAACCAAGAGCTACGTATACATTCCCACTTGAATCGAGAAACATGACACGAAGTAAGTTCGTTTCCCATGCGTTGATGAAGGTGGCCAGAATTTGGTCCCGAAGTTTATGGAGAATTTCGAATACTCGCGTCTTACATTACCTTGGTATGCATGTATACTTGACGACAACCCCTATATTTACTTCGAGGCTAAGTGCGGCTCCAAAGTCGAAGCTGAAAGCATCGTCAAGAATACATCATTCTAGGCTGCCCGGCCCAAACGATAGGTCCTCATTCTTATCTTCCCTAATTCAGTCTTTGAACTTTCGGTCGATATCTTCCGTATTAGATGGCGCATAATGGGTGCGTAGCCAGACCACATTGTCGTCTCTTTGGTCCATATTGCGCATACAGCTACTTGCCACTTTTGGGGCCGCCGTGGCAAAAGAATAAGCTCGACTTCATTAGTTGTAGGGATGCGGAAGATAGGATTGCCGTTGCGAGCTGCATTCTATTTCTCGGGAATGGCATCAAGAGCCAAAAAAGCAGCAACTAGCGCTCGACGTTGATCCGAAGGAGGTTCTGGCGATGCAGAATTCCAATTATCCTGTGTAGATTGTTCAGGATCAGCGCCGAATTGAGTTTCTACTTGATAAGATCGATTGACTCACAATTAGGTAATGCTCCACCGGAGGCGCTGAAGGCGTGATGTCGCTCTCATCCCCGGTGTTAGCCATATCGCCTGCTACCACGGTTGTGAATCCAACCGGACGTGGTATCAACGTGGGAGGGCTTGTAGCTGTGAGGGATATAGCTCACTACGTACAGTACCTACTTTACAGAATTATAAAGTAATGATATAACTATGATGCTACGTCATTGAGTGCCTCAAGCTATACGACGCTCCCAAAAATACTCGGATTGGAAACCCCCTTCTTGGTACCGAGGACATCCCAGTACTTAATGTGATATGATACCCTAAACCGGGACTCTGTAAGATGGTAGTACGTACACCTTCGACGGAAACTTTATTCCGTTCAACCTCTCACAACCAAGGCATGCCCGTGGCAAGGCTGGCGTCGAAATCGCCACACGTGGGTGGCGCCCTTCAATTGGAACGTTGTTTGACATGGTTGTTCGAACAGTGGTAATGGAATTGATGTAACCTAGCACCTTACTCCCATTCGTTCCGACCTCGGTATCATTCACATTCCAGGATGCCTTGATATTCCCTGTCCAGTATTTGGCGGGGCCTTGCGGCCTTGACGAACCTCGAGCCTCGAAATTCGAGGTTATCTGATATTGCAGTTTGCACCCTAGGATTCTAGGAAGCATAGCTAATTCATCAATTAGGGGTACGTACTAGGACACTCTTTTAGTTTTGGTCCCTTTTCCATACTAAGATCTATCGTTCTTGATGCTTCTTGCAAATCACTCTTTTGAGCTGTTGTGCCTACAATCGTCCGACATTGCTGGGTACTATCATCCGTGTAGCACGGGGGAGGAGGGGCAGGGGGAAAAGCAGGAGATTTAGCATTGCGAGCTACAAAATAGCCACTACCACTGTACGATAACCAATACGAAACCGTCATTATTACTAGTGGGAAAGTGGACGAGTGTGGGAACTTCCAAGAATGCGAAGAATCTAATGTAGGAAATAAAGTGGAAGTTGGCACAGCCACACCTCGAATGCCCGTTGAAACTTTGAAAGTTGAAACGACAAGCTTGATCCTACCAAGGTCTTGCCACTGTCGCTGTAGCAGGTGATGAGGCTGATGACATCACGGACCTATGGAGTTCGCAATCGTCCACGATCGCTGGACCTGGACTGTGGCTGTCTCAGGGGTAGTGGCAGCGAAATCGTAAGCGAGCCAGCCACAAAGCATGTTTCAGCCCCAATGACGTCTATTTCCCCACATCGAGGGCGGCCCCTTCCCGTTTCCATCCCCATCCCGCTACCTCTCGCCACAAGCCCCACCTCCCTGTTTGGTCGAATTCCGCTTTCGTGTTCGCTTTCAGATGAAGCTTTCAGGTGAAAGATATGACGTTATCCCTCTTGCGAGCTTCAAACTAGAGTTCGCTGTCCGCTGTCTTTATTATATATAATTCCCTTTGCCTTCCTTCCAAAGAATTTTCTCCATCCTACAACACCATCAATCCTCCACACAAACAATCAACTATCAACCCAAGACAACCCAGTTATCACTCAACCCAATCATCAACATGGAGACCGTTAAGGTGTGTACTTGACACTTTCGCTTCAACTCTTTCACTCCATCAGGCCCCTCGCCCTCGAGCTTGCTGATGCTGAGGATGCTCACCCAAACCACATCTCCACCTTTGCGAAACACATACTGACTGGAACCAAACAGAACGCCGCCAACTACGTTGCCGAGACCGTCCAGGGCGCCGGCTCTGAGGCTTCCAAGGAGGCCAACAAGCAAGTTGCCAAGGACGGCGACGCAAGCTTGAGCTCCCGTGCCACTGCCGCCAAGGACGCAGTTGGAGACAAGGTCAACCAGACTTCCCACAACACCAAGGCTGATGTCCACAAGGGTGAGTTCTCAATCTAATCGCAATGAAAGTTGGTAATGAATACCGGAAGCTGACAATCCCGACAGAGGCTGCTAAGCACTAAATGCACCCTCCCTTTGATGACGGCATGATCACCTTCTGCCTGATGGATCGGCATTAGAGAGGAGATTTTTCAATGGCGTACAGGGCTGGCTGGTTCGCAATCGGGAGGGAAGGATTTGCCACATAAATGGCTGTACATTAAAGTACTCTTCGTAGCATAGCAATCCTACGCTTTGCATCTGAATATTGAATCTTATTTTGGTATGACTGGTGACTTTAAATTTATGTAGTGGCGCAACCTCTTTGTTGAACTTAGTCGTTTCTGTTCGACGGATAGAGAAATACCACTAAGTCGATTTTCGATTAAGTCGGCCGCTTAGCCTATGCATCGTATGATTCGTCCTCTCGAGTATTCTAAGTTTCTTGCAATATTTACCTTACTCAGGTATGCCTGAGATAATCGAGGTAAACAAATTGATGCCTCAGCCTGTGGAAACGCTTGCAGGTAAAGCACCGAGACAACTGCTTAGTGCCTCAAAATGGACTCTCAAAACGATCATTAATCCTTGGAATATGATTGGAGGGGATTTGAGGGAGACGAAGTGTCTAATCAACGAAAACGGAGGATGCCTCGTATCGAAAGAAGGAAATGGGAATACAGCAAGAAATAGTTAGTGCGGCCACTTGGAATAGGTGTACCCTGCATGCTCTCACTAAGAGTTGCCCATAGGTTACGTTGTACTCAATCGAATTCCGGTTGACATTGATTTAATTTCAAATTTATTACTGGATGGAGGGAGCTGGTGATGTGCTGTCTGAAGAAGTCTGGGATGACTAACCAGCCATCCCCTGCTAGCGCGGCCAAGACACGCCCCTGAATCCCGCGTTGTAGCCTTATGGAGTCCGAAATTGGAGAAAAACAAACAGAAAGTACCCCAAATCTTGTAACTCGCCTCCTGCTTCTACATCAGAGTTGCGATTCAGGATATACAAGATACAGCTTGATATGGGGCTGTCATTTATTTTATCTAGCCTCTCAGGCGTCGCCGGCGTGGCTGCCCAGGCCCAGGCTCAAGCCGGGAGGAAGATTGTCGCAGCTCCAGCTCCATTGTCGATAATGGATATCATCGACACCACAACCATCGTCTCTCTCTTTGCCGTCGTCGCAATCCTTACGAGCGCCTACGTGCTGTCTCTCCGCGCCCTCGCGCCTTCAACTCCCAACCGGTTCCGTGTCCTATTCATCTGGCACGCTTTCGATTTCCTCATCCACACCATCTTCGAAGGATCCTTCCTCTATAACTGTTTCTTCACTTCCTCGCCTTTTGACCCCGCTGTTCATCACCCCGCCCTTGTTACAAACTTTCTGGGAAGAAGCGATAGAGTGTATGGTGCTGCATATGGCAATAACTGGGCCACCAAGCTATGGATGGTATACGCTCAGGCAGACAGTCGGTGGGCAAGTGCGGACCTCACGGTTATTAGCCTCGAGCTTTTGACAGTGTTGGGGGCAGGGCCGCTTGCCGCATGGATATGCTATGGGATTGCGAAACGGGATTGGAAGGTTAGCTTCTGGATGGTTGTCCTTGCTACAGGCGAGTTATATGGAGGTTTGTTTGCCATTTCAATCTTCCTAGTCTTCTCATTTGCGAAAATCAATTCTAACTGACTGCCGTTCAATAGGTTTTATGACATTCGCTCCCGAGTGGTTAACGGGCAATCAAAATCTCGATTCGAGCAATTTCATGTTCCTCTGGGTGTACTTGGTCTTCTTCAATATGCTCTGGGTGTTCCTCCCGCTATATGCGTTGTGGGTGGCATTTGAAGACATGAGAAATGCATTTATGGTTCGGAATGCATCTGTTGCTAAGAGCTCGGAGAGACAGAAGAAGAAATAAGGCGACATTTTATTGGCGCACTACCGTTGCGAAATTGGGAAACAAGACCCGTGGCGAAAGCATAGAAATACCCGATTCCGACATTGAGGGGCGGAGAAAAGCTGGAGGGCGAAAGTTGGACACACATAGACATATTTACAGGATAATCTCCACGGGAAATTCTTAAATGGCACCAACTACTCCAACCACCCGTTTTGGTCACAATCTCTGTCTACCAGTCGAACCTAGAATTCCGATACGTCATATGCTGTTGGGCCATAGCAACCATGGCATTTTGCCACCAGGGATTTGGCCTGGTGTATCGTCATTTGTCAATCATCGTCTCTCAGTCATATCTGATTCACTGCGAGCGGTTCCTTCGATTCTATAATAGAATGGCAGACGCATACCATAATGGAAGTTATAATATCATGCAAGTGCAGATGGTCTTCATATGCTTTCCAGAGGTCTGGTGGACCCTAGAGTAGTGTGATGCCATGGTTTGAGAGGCGTTCTTCTTTTACCTCGCGACGATCCTCTGTCGCTGAACTTCTGCAGTAGCATCTGACGATTGAAACCATGTGCGCTTTGACTTTATGTGAATTAAAGCAATCATTGCTTAGATATTTGTCATGAGAAGTGGCGATTAGTCGATTTAGTAGCTCATAATCCTGTGCTTGGAATTTGACTTCCATTGGTGTCTCAAGGAGGTATTTGAGCTTAGTGGCTTCTATCTAGCCTAGCGAGTCTATTTATGCATTAAACCGTTAAATGTCAGAAGACAACTATTCGTGCTGCACAAAATTCTTCGAATAGAACACTGATGCATGTGCAAATGTGTGGGCTTTTTTGCCTGTTCGCTTGACTAGACGCAAGGTGGATAGCAACGTCGTGTAGAGATGCTGACAAAGAGGCCAGTCCAATACATTGAATGCCTCAAGTGTGGATCAGAGTTACCTAAGTACCTAGGTACTATGTGCTATCTGCCACGTGGAGTCTGCCTTGTTACCAAATTCCTGAGCCTCACTACAGTCTGATCACCGTCCCCCATTCGAAGTTTAAAATCCCAGAGAGAAGCATTCCAAATAGATGTTGCCCTCTGGTGTACATGCAAGAAACAGCATATTGGCTACACCGATCAAACTCGAGCTCACATACGGCAAAAGGCTACATTCACATGGGCCGCCATTGAACAACGCTATCAACTTCTGCTGAGAAACATGTCTGGTCATTCGGGTTAAAGGGGAGAATGAAGTTGAATCCAAAGAGTCTCAACACGTTTTCAGGACGACCCAAATGAAATAACCTCCGAATTCAATTTCAAGTCCCTTTAGACCACGAGTTATCTCGGAATCCGGATAGCCAGCGGCAAACGCCGTGGTGAAGGATGCGGAGACGAGAAAGCCAAGCTTTGGATTAAGTGGTGATGAGAGCAAGCATATTACGCAAGCTATATTACAGGACTACCGGGGCGGGACTAGGACTCGGATCACGGGCTAACCTTAATATTGGGACGACGGGTTCATGCGATTGGGGGTTTGGCTTGGCTAGAGATGGTTCACCGATTTATCTTGGAATAATCACCAGAGCTTCTCATGGTTCAGTGATAGACTTTAGAGTTCTTTTTAGTTGAAGTGTCGATTAAGATATGTCGGCTGCATTTGATTTCCTTGCTAGAAGGACTCACCTCACTAGGTAGGCTGCCTGGACACCGTCATCTACTTGAAATGAATGTCAATCCAGCCCGGCATAAATGAGTCTCGTAGATCGCTCAGACAACCATCCCGGAAACACCGCCGGGACGCGTCTATTGACAAGGATCCTTAATATGGGCCGGGAAGGCTGGAGCAGTCTATAGTGGCGAATACAGCAGTGAAAGCAAGTCTACGTAGTACTTTGTAGACAGGGACGCAATGTGAGTGGTGGATTTTTGGGTGGCTTTTTCGAAAGGAAATAGGACTAGATGAATTTAATAGGACTGTGGGCAATTCAAAACACGGTATCACATTTTCCAAGTAGGACTCCCACCCAACCTTTACGCTTGGTGATTGCCAGGAAAAAAAGGGGGGGGGGGGGGGATGTCACGTGAATGCCAAGCGAAACCCGAACTCTGTGAACCGCCAACAGTACCTTCAAGAATCCAGCATCTTTCATCTTCCTTCAACAACTCAGGTCGACACTCTGTTCGAGATTCTGCACTGGAGATGATGAGGTGCCGTCAATTTATTGATGTGGTCGATTCTGATGGCTTCTTCGCATGCGATGTGTGCTTCTTCTCAGCCATTTGAGGTGTGGCCGTGGAAAGGTTTCATCTCAAGTCTCTTGAGACTCTCCGAGCTTCAAAGAGCGCCACGGTCGAGCACCCTTGGCCGAAGATCAATGAACCATCCGCTTAGCAACTGAGGAAGGGCCTTCAATGACGGGATTGATCGAATTGACTGGATGAAATCTTGGTATTATCCACCTTGTTTCAATCAACCCTCGTTGCGATGAGATCGCGGCCGGACCTGCCGGAGGTGGCCAGAATGTGCGTGCCCCTTTTGTGCTGGAGAGCAGTCCTTGCGAGCTTCGAAATTCGCATACGGAGAGCCCAGCCTCTTCCAATGCCAAGGGCTGGGTGTCACCTAAATCTCCGCCCGCTGGTTGATGGGATGGGTACTTTCCATTAGTGCGAACTGTCCATCGGACCTTTCATTCCTTCTGAGATGCGATCCAGATCCGGACTCCGAAGGGCGATTTCTTGTCAATTCAGCTATAATGAAAAATTCGACGGCCCGTCAAGTCGTATATTCTTCTCGGTCTCCAGCGACGGCCCGTGGAAATTCTATTGATCCTACGAACCTCGTCGGGCTGTGAGTCTGTGGTCCATCCGCAGTCCCTTGATGGCCGGGCCCAGGGTTCTAAGCGACGATCTGCGACCGCAGCGAAACCTCGCGTGTGCTTCATCAATGCCGTTCACACTCGAATTGTCATGAGATGCTTCACCAAGGAAAGGCCCCAGAGCACAACCCAAGTGGCGGATTGCTCTATGGCGGCGGACACGGACCCAATTGGGCTCCATGTGCAGTGCGCAGGCAAACTGATTGGCTTACAGTCTGCAAAAGACCCCCTGAGGGAGCCTCTGGGCTGCGAGAGGCTTCAGAGCTTCACCCTAGAAAGCGGTGCACCAACTCCCCCACCATGTCCAGGCCACACCTAGTTCGCCGGACGCAATTCATCCCGCGCGTGGACCATTTTCTGTGCCTTGCGGCCCTGCATGGGTATCTTTCTTATACTTCATGCCATCCAAAAGCAAGAAACTCAGAATATCCTGACGCTCTTTTGGGGGTTTTGCCTGTCTTTCGCCAAATTCTTTCCATTCGTAGGCTTTTCTTGCCACCGCTGCTGGTTCAGATTTCTGTTTCATCTTGCTTCTTCTATTGTTACCGGGATACTGGTGTGGCTCACTAATTCTTCCCTCACCCTCGAGGCTTCCCTTTTTTCATACGACGTTCTTTCGACAAGAACAACAACACATTCACTCGATCTTCATGACTTAACAACACTACGACCGTAAACGATCCGGCTCGCTGCCCGCAATCATCTTGGTAAAGGTTGTTGAAGGACCGTCTGATGACGGAGGATATCATGGCGACAACCGCAAGATGGGTGATGGAGCGGGCTATGAACAATACTGCGGGTAACCATACGGGTGTTTTCAATGCAACCAAGGCTGCTCAATTCGCAGCGCAAAGGAAGAATTCGACGGGAGAGCTGATACAGAGGCTTGTATTCGCAGAAAGCAAGTCAATACGGACATCGACGATAATTCTTGGTGTCTTTAACGTGCTCGCGGCCCTTGCAACGGCTACCAGTATTATCTACGACTGTTGGGCAGCGTCGAAGAGGTGTAACCCGAAGTTTAAGGCAACGTATGGTTTAAAAGGCTCGACGGTGGGAGTAACGCGCTAAAGGATAATAGAAAACTCTGCACAAGAACCATCCACCCCGCGGAGACCTTTCCTCTAATACTGGCGATCGGAATTGCTATTCAAGGACTTGCGTTCATCGGAGTACAGGCAACGGGCCTCTCTTCGCTTTTTACAGATGGCTGCTCAGTGATTGCTCAGTACATGTGGCCGGGTATGTAAACTGCTGATGTTCTCCCGAGCAGCGCTAACGAGTATAGCCCTCTTCATTGTGCCATATATCCAGCTGGTTTTTGGACTAGAATGCGCTTTTCGAGCTCTACGCAAGATGCCATTTCAGGCTAGGGGGAAGCACGCCGTCAAAATGTATTTGGTTATCGTCGTGATAATGTTGGTCGGAACGTGGATCCCTTCGAACTTACACCAGCAAAGAGACACATGCTTCGCAACATTGGTGTGGTTTATAACCAGCTACGGGGATCTAGGGCTCATTTTATTCTCAATTTCTAGCGGCCTGATGCTCATCAGTGCCCTGATAATATTTTTCCGGCTGTCGTCTGTCAATCTGATTGATGAGCACCAGCGAATTGCGGCATCGAGAATGGTGTACTACCTTCTTCTAGGGTTCATCTCATCAGTAAGGAAAACCCGGATTTTACCCCGGAGCCTGCTAACCTGTCATAGGCCTTCGTCATTCCGTGGTTTGTTTCTCTCAACACTGCAAAGGGAGATATAAAAGCTGCCATGATGGCAACTGTTGTAATTAATCTCTCGGGGCTTATTAGCGGACTCCTCCAATTGTTCCTGAGAGCCAATACTGCGACGACGTCTTTTGGGCCCACAGGGTCCCGAGACCGCAAGAAGCACCAGATTAGAATTTGGGGACCCAACGAGTTGGTTTTCAATCATCAATTAATGTCGCCAGTGATTGTACATACACCTGTCCGACAATTGGCGACTCGATCAGAAAGCCGATCAAGCTTGATTGGAGCTGAGAAGGGGCGGGTCATCAGCATGGAATCACTCGGAAGCCCGATATATGGCTCGCCCACGCGACCAAATCAACAGCTAGTCGCAGCGGAACAAAAAGCAGCAAACCAACAACCACCGAGTTACCCAGCTGCATCAGTTGCACGAGGGCACTTTCGAAAGGCGTCATACTCGCTCTTTCCGGCGGAATCTTCAAGCCCGGATAAGAGCCTAGCTGTCGGTGCCAACCAGGAGCCAACCTCAATATACGACATAACTGGCCTTGATCCACCACCGCCAGTCCTAGGGGCCTCCTCTCGTGGCCATAGACGAGACTCCTCGATAGCCTCCTCCGCAACAGTGCAGATTGGCCTGCGAATATCCCACGCGCCAACATCATCTACAGATTCTTCAAACCTACCTCTTCCGCTCCCATCAACAACATACACCTCCAACCTAGTACCCCGATCCGCCGCTCGACTCCTCTCACCATCACCTTTAAAAATACAAACTCAAGGCCTCCCATCGCCCACCCGGTCACCAGAGCGATCCTCTCCCCCACTCAGCAATTCAAGTCCGAAAGCTATATGTGTCAACAAAACCCTTCCTCCAACACCGCAAGCAGATCGAAGCCGCCTAACCATCTCTTGTCCTCAATTAATTCCAGCGGTATATTCTCCGGAACAAAAGGCTAGGCCGGAGCTTAAGACTACCACGACGCGCCAAAACTCCGTAAGAACGAATGGGACTGGTAGTCCATTGGCTTTGCTGAAACCGCCCACGCAGCTGCAGGACGGGAAAACTGACTGGATATGAAACTTGCGGCACCTGATATTTACATTCTCCTTCACATTCGCTAGAACATATGCCGCGACGGTGTGCACCGGGAAAAGGCCAAGCCAAGGTTAGAGGGACTTATATAGATTTGGTGTCGGTGTTGGTGTTTTTTTTTAGCGCAGGCTTGAATTGGCGGTTTTGGAACACCGCGTATCATCGTGATCGGTCCGTACAGCCAGGAGGTCTCTCGATGGAGAAGACAAGACGACGAACCACGCGAGCGAGCCGGCGGAGTGCTTTACTTTAATGATACCTTTTGTTGTTGGTGGGATATTATCTCATGTCGGACCACATCACGAGTTTGTTTTTATATGTTTTCTATTTATACTTTCGATGCGCCTGAGCCTCTCGAGGAGGGATGGCCAAGATGCTCCTGTGGAGCCTTTATTTGCCAAGCTGGCTGCTTATGCAGTTGTGAGGTTATTGGACGATATTCCCTATATCGGTAGATGTGGAAGGCAGGTGGAAGGATACCAAAGGGAGGGGAAGACGTAGGAGGATCTGCAAAGAAATATATACCTGTAGTCAGTCTATTACATCATCGTGGGCTTTCTTATATATCTTCGGTATCTGCCAATCAATCATTGATACATTTGTTCTATTAAATTATTTGCCCTCTAGTCTGTTTTCTTCTTATCCATAACCTCATTCTCGCAGGCTTGTCCTCTCCGCCTTGCACCCGAGTGAATTTCTTCAATTCAAAGTTAGAGCCGTGGCCCTAGCCTAGACTTTCCTCCCATTTCCCCATTTCCTGTCACAAGAATTCCCCCGTATCACATTGAGGGCCGCGACCGCAAAAAAAAGAAGTCCTGGGTCCAAGTCCTTCTCGATGTTTCAAGGTTAGAGCACCACTCTATGTTCGCTTCTAGCACCACATTACCACTCTGCTCCTAGCTTCGTGCATCAAATGGCCTAGAGACCTTTTGATAGCACTCTGAAGAAAACAGTTGCTTCCCGCGTACCAACCTATCTGCCGCTCGGTACTCACTTTTGTTTTAGCTCAAACATCAAATCGGTGTCATCCACATCGAAGTAGCATTGGTAGACCTGGAACCTTTTCCGACGATGCTTTTTTTGTTTCGGGTATTAGCTCGACCGATATCTGGGGTGACGTGGAGGGCGATGGTACTTGAAACACTCCGCCAACACTGCGAGGGCTTTGACAAATACTCTTTGGATAATTGCAAGCATGTATGTGCTGGTATATGGATAAATATATATACATGGGACGTGCAAGTTACCTCGTACTCCAGACTTGCTAAGCGGGCGTGTGCTATGGGCGTGTGGCAGATCCGGAGTATTAGCGGTTCGTACAACTGTGTGAGTGTTGTGATACGAACCTTGGAGATCGTGAGACGAGGGCTCGGACGGAAAGGGGTAGGGGCCCATCACGTGCTTACTTGCTGGAGTAAATGAGTTAGCATGATGTGATTAGTCCCTGAGTATGCTTTGATGCTCTAATAAATACTTAGTATTGGATGCCCTAACTTGGGTCAATAGGGTCGATAGGTAGACACAAAGTGTTGCGCCAGCGGAGGAAACATCACGTGACTATCATACCGAAACGTTCAAGTTCAAGATCTCATTCTCAGATCTGTTCATTTTATCTTACACGGGATTGTGTACCCGACGCAAATTCCGAGACGGGGCCGAAGGAGGCCGTCAATTCATTCTCCTCGTTCTCCCGAGACTCAGACGGACTGGATCCCGCATCCTAATCGAGACAATAATATGCTTCCATCACAACGCGTCCTTGGCGCTAGGGAGGCCAACGACACGCAATCGGGGATATGCCGTCAGCACTACAATTGGACGTCCTAGATTTCGGCAGTATGCTGTTGTTGGCATACAATTGGACGACCGTGGGCGATCTGAATCGAGATTCACAGACTTCTGGTCCATGTGACTTATGTCGAGTTCACGGCTACCTTGCCTAAGGTACCGACCTAGGTACATCATCGAGATCGCGCCCTCCCAACGTGCAATGCAATTCGTGGAGACGAGAGACAAGAGCCAGGAGGAACAGATATTCCTCCCAGGCCAGCCCGACTGCCAATAACGAATGGGTGCCTTTTGTCCGTACGTGCGATAGGCGGCCGCTGGTGTATGCTCGAGTACCCCGCAATCGAGTACGAGTATTGGTTCCTTCCTTCATTATTCATTCAATTCATTTGACGCCGCTTCGAAGCATGCATACCAGATTGCCAAATTACTTGGGTACGAACTTGGAAGCGCTCGTACGTCAAGAGGAGCCAGATTGCCTAAGTAGATTGTCAAAGCCGTTGGATATGCGGGCCCAGACCAGATCGGCCGAAGGATGAGGTATTTTTTACCATTATTCATTGTTGCGGTACTACGTCCTCGTACCAAGCCCTGCGTCTGAATAATGGACCCTTATCATCATCATCATCGTCATCATCATGACCCGTATCCTTATGTTTATCACCAGCAATGAGAGCAAGGAGAACTGTCGGAAAGATACCGAGATACCTCAAGTGGATGATGTGGGGAGGCTTGTGGGCCGCCCGAACATTCCGAATTATCCCCGGTGCCTGGCCCTAGCAGACTAGTGCGACGCTTTTGGGATGGCGATCTTTACGGAGTCTAGCTGGGGAATAGCTGGGCCAAGTGGGCTAAGGTGGTGCCCGCATTCCAAAGCCCAGCCAGCGCCACTGTAACGCCGGAGCCAAGGGTGCTCGAGTAAGGGGGACAGGCAACGAGCCTCGATGACGAGAGAAGAGGAGACACTGACGCTGCTCCGCCGAAGCTTTTGCGGCTACTCTTACGATTCCTCTTACGACTACTACTCCGTAGAATACTACATACTCCGTAGTAGAAGGATGGTACGTGTACGAGTAACTCGCGGCGAGAGAGAGCCGTTGCTAATGCCGAGCACCCCGAGGAAACCACGAATATCAGAGAGGAACCAGTCAAACAACAACCCCGAAGGAGCATTTGAATGTGGATCTATCTGGATGTGGATGCCCTCATTAGATGCCGAATTCGGCATCGAGGGCCCGACGAATAATAATAGTAATTCGGGCGGGCATCAAAGCATATTATGATGGTACATGTAAATATGTACCATATATATATATATATATATATATGCAAGAATTGTCGTCTGACAGATTTCAACTCTCCATCACACCCCAGCATCCAATTGCAAATCCAATTCCTACTCGATACCCAGATCAGGAAGCAACCCCTCCCCATCAAGGTACGTACTCCTTATTCTATTACCACCACCGTATAAATATAGGCCTGTACCGATCTCCTGCTTACATGTTATATGCCGAACACAGCTCTGCTAAACCGAACCCCGCACAGAACCAACCACCACCACCAGGAGGAGCGAATTAGCAGCGATTTACAGCAATTTGGCAGTGATTAGCAGTTCCTTAGCTCTGTCGTGTTACTTCCGTACTACTCGTACTACTGCCTACTACGTACTGCGTCCACCAGCAATCAACAATCAAATCACCCCGCAATTGGCAACTGCGACCTGGAACTGCAACTGCCCCGCTCAACCGCCCCCCGCACCCCACCAGCCACCACCGCCAACGACTACAAAGGCAATATCCATCCTTCACCAGCCGTCATTGATAAACAAACATCAACATTATCCGCAACCTCTACTCCCATCTTCAGCTCTAACTCCAGCTCCTCCTTCTTCCACTCCCCAATTCACACATTCCTCTCGACCGTAATCGAGATTCTAATCCCGTTAAATTATACACTCAATTCAAAATGGTACTGCTCACTCGCTCCCTCCACCGTCTGGCATCCCACGCGGTGACCAGGTCCTCGCTGCATTCAGCCGCACGAGCGACTGCATCACCCTCTGTCTTATTCCGTGGAGCGCAAGCCCTCCGTCACAATAATCTTGGAAGTATAAGAATGCTAACGGGCCAACGTGAAAAGGTCAAGGTTCTTCTTGTATTGTACGATGGCAAGGACCACGCAAAGGATGTAAGAGAGCATTGCCATACTTCTCCGCAAATTGAATTCAACTCTAAGACAATGCATAGGTCCCAGAACTTCTAGGCACAACAGAGAACGAGCTGGGTATCCGCAAATGGCTCGAGGACCAAGGACACACTCTGGTCACCACCTCTGACAAGGACGGCGAGAACTCCAAGTTCGACCAGGAGCTGCCCGACGCTGAGATTATCATCACTACACCGTATGGCTCCACCCGGATTCTCATCAATTGAAACAAAAAGGATGGGCCTAATTAACCATTCTCTCACAGATTCCACCCAGCTTACCTTACCGCCGAACGCCTAGCAAAGGCAAAGAAGCTCAAGATTGCCATTACCGCTGGTATCGGCTCCGACCATGTCGATCTGAATGCTGCCAACAAGACCAACGGAGGTATCACCGTCGCGGAGGTCACGGGATCCAACGTTGTATCAGTCGCCGAACACGTCCTCATGACTATCCTCGTCCTCGTCCGAAACTTTGTCCCCGCACACGAGCAAATCCAAGCCGGTGAGTGGGATGTTGCCGGAGCTGCCAAGAATGAGTTTGATCTCGAGGGAAAGGTTGTCGGCACTGTTGCTGTTGGCCGAATTGGTGAGCGTGTCTTGAGAAGATTGAAGCCATTCGACTGCAAGGAGCTGCTGTACTTCGATTACCAACCATTAAAGCCTGAGGTCGAGAAGGAGATCGGCTGCCGGCGTGTCGAGAACTTGGAGGAGATGTTGGCACAATGTGATGTTGTCACTATTAACTGCCCTCTGCACGAGAAGACTCGTGGTCTATTCAACAAGGAGTTGATCTCTAAGATGAAGAAGGGTGAGTACCATTTATCCGCCCCGGAGACTGTCCCTACCTAACACAATGCAGGCTCATGGCTCGTCAACACCGCCCGTGGTGCTATTGTTGTCAAGGAAGATGTTGCCGATGCCTTGAAATCCGGCCATCTCCGCGGCTACGGTGGTGACGTCTGGTTCCCTCAACCAGCACCCAAGGATCACGTCCTCCGTTACGCAAAGAACCCATTCGGCGGCGGAAACGCCATGGTTCCCCACGTGTCCGGCACATCTCTCGATGCACAGAAGCGCTATGCAGATGGCACTAAGGCTATCCTCCAGAGCTACCTCAGCGACAAGCACGACTACCGCGCCGAGGATTTGATCGTGTACAAGGGTGATTACGCAACCAAGTCTTATGGTCAGCGGACAAAGCAGTAAGGAAATAGGGATTTGAATTGGGAATTGGGAATTGCGATGCTACTGAATGGAAGGTATAATCAAATGCACTTATTATCTGCCTAGCTTATATTCGTATAACTGGACTTAATGATTTATGAATCGTTAAAATGCATATTTATTTCCATCGTGTTTACGTAAAGTTTCATTATGCTGTAATATCAGTAACTTCACTGAACTACTCTGCATCATCGCTGACTCCGTATTACGTTACCAATTTCATCTTTGGATGCATCTATTGATAAACATGTCCCGCTTCCCCTCGTCCTTTGCAAGAAGATATAATACACTGCGAATTTCTTCCCGGAATCTACCAAATAGAAACTTATCCCGTGCGCAGTGTCTCCTAGGTAAACTGCGATAGCCAGCCATCGTCTCCCCCGATGCGCGCCGTGGGAGTTCACAGCCAAATTATGGAGGCACCTTGTAAAGTGGATACTTACTCACCTTACATTTATGGTAGGATCGAACTAAGAAAAGCATGAAAACGTGACGCTGCAATTCGAGTTGATGGCCCTTGAACTAGAGTTGAAAGGCACCTACTTAGATGATTCCTAAGCCTTAGCTTCCACTACTTACCTAAATAACAACAAGGGTGCCCGAGTATAAATTCTTATCTTCAGATCCAAATAAAGCACACCTGGTCTTAACAGAGACGCCTATTCATTCAGGTTTTGCAATCTGGCAGCCAAGCAAGTGGCCTTTCAACTTGTGGGGCCTGACAATCTACTACATGTCTCTGGCTCATTATCATGTTACCGTTGATGATATAGCTATCTTAATCAATTTGGCAAGGGCGAGAATCCAATTAAATTAGTGTTGTCAAGTAAGATGCTGTTATCAAGTAAGTTACTGTTGCCAAAGGAAACGATGCTGCCAATGAAGAGGAGCTCTGCGTTAGGGCTACACAGCGGGGTGACGACAGGTCTTGAAACCCGCCATTCCTAAAGCCAACCTTTCCTAAAGCCTACGGCCTCGTATGTCAAGGTTTCTCCTGTAGGATTCCTGCCTTGGGGTGAACAAAACCGCACAGCCAGACCACACGTGGATGGGAATGGAATTTGGCGTTGTCTTATGTTACGTTTATGTGTAGGGTGTCTTCACAGTTAAATATCCTAGCCATCTAGAACATACCCATCACAGTAATAGTATCAAACATCTCATATAATAGGATTGGTTATCAAGGACAAGCTAGCTTGAACCGACAAAGTTCAAACATCAAGCTCACCTCAGCTAATACTTCATTGCCTGCAAAGCAATAAAATACCATTTAGTTTGTCCAAGTTTCTAGAAAGCAGCAAATATGCTCGTTTTCGAGGGTATGCTATAAGAGCGGCTCGTCGTTTATGGTGTGCTGCGATAGTGTGGGAACCGGGCCACAAGAAGCATCAGCGGTAATGATGGATCGGAGCTTAATGCCCTTACTAGCAGACCTTTCATTAAATATAACTGTAAATTTTTGCAAAGCGCATCTTCTGACCTAGCTTTTGTGGGAGGTTGGTTCGAAATAGAAACCGAACAAGGTTCAATAATTAAAGGGCATATTAGTACCGATCTGGGAAGCTCGGAAGAATACGATCATTTTGTTAAAACAATGGCCCCATATCTTTCATTATAACAGATTGGGTTAAATGTGTATCTAAGATCAGGTATTTTGAAAGGATCAATAGTTGTTAAGTGACGTCGTTGGTTTTGTTTTTGACGTTGGATTGGCTTGGGAGTTACCTAGGTTAGTCTATGCACGGACCACCACGCACCGAAGCGAGGGAAAAGGGGGGAACTCTGGGGATGCCTTGATAGTTTATGATATTTGTTAGTTGTCCATAGATAACGGAAGTTTGAGGGCAACATTTTGTCTAGGTGATATTTGTAAAGTGTTTGGATTATAGCAAATACCTACTGACAACATAGTCACATCTCATTTCACTAAAAGTCCAAATCCTTCATACCCCGTGGTAGATTGTTGCTGTAAGGTTTGGCTGTCATTAATGAATTATAACAGTTATTTCTGGTTGTGATTGAAAAAATTGAAATACTATGCTGGCTGCCCTATGTAGCTCTCACGGAGTTGTTATTAACTTATTCTAGCCTACTGGAGCTGTGGGTTTCCGAGCTTCAAATGGGATTTTAATGGGGAACAGAGGATATCCCTAAAGATATATTTTTGATCCTCTTTTCACTGTCTTTGACTTGGGATACCGGCCACTGCACAATGGTTTGCGGCTTGACATATATAAAGATGTGTCTTTGATTTTACTTATAGGTAATGTGCAGATTTCCAAGTGTCTGATACCAACGTCGCCTAGAAAGTTGAACCTTCTGTGTTAAACTGAAACATATAGACGGCATACTGTTTGAACTTGAAGGTCCGCTTGGAGATGCCTTCAAGTTGACTCCCGCTCCTAGTTGCCAATACCAAACGTTTGCCGATATGCGACTATGTAAGAGATTATATCCAGGTATTTCACATGCACTATCTCTATAGCTCCTTTGCCAAGGAAGTCATGATCCGCATTTCAATTGCTAGTATCGATTTCGAAATCGGAGTGGACGTGAGTGCGCGATATGAATCCCTGCTCGTTGTGCTCCTCCCTTGAAGTTGAATTTGGTGCACTTAATATGGACCTTTCAAGACCATCTCACTTTGTGTTTCACGCTTGTGAAGTTTTTGTGCGTTGACCACCTCATAGCCTTAAGCTAACTTTATGGTGCAGTTACCTTGGAAGACATGTCCATCCATTGGTGATCAAGCCGTGTCTGCGTGAAAACAGGATCTGTTAATAAACCTCGTTAGCCATGCTAAAGAGATAAACCAGGACAAGAAGAATTGACCACGGTGTCTTACCTATAAACTAATAGATTGATCCTCTATGCCGTCATATTTTTCTTCTGGATCTTTTCAATAGAAGCTGGGTTGGCACCATCGTTTGAGACCTCTCCTACGATCGATTGAAGTGGAATAGATGCAGTAACGAAAGTGTATTCCCACTGTCTTCTAGCACTGTAGGTACCACTATTTCACTTAATGCAGAGAGACTGTATTGTTCTTAGAACACATCCGTGATATTCTGTACGGTTCTGCAAATATTCCTCCACGGTAACCCGGGCGACGACGGCCTCGACCATCAGGCCGTCGACATCCATATCCATTCCTCTCGAGGTTAGAGCTTAATGATACCCCCGCTAGCTTGGATTCTCTGCTCACAGATCTACTTCAACCCTGGAAACCATTCCTGATCGTCTTCCTCTTCTCTCCTCAAACACCTCCACAGTCAACAACCACAACAGCAACAACTAGACATTTGCGTAAGTCCACTGGCTCTCCTATATGTCCTCATACATCCTGGTTCATATTCTTCAAGCAACAGCCCTATCGCACAAGCTGCCACACTCATCAGCTTTGGACCTTCCATTCCCCCCACAATGTTAGCAGTTTCGGAGGTAGGAAGCACCATTACCTGGAGGCAACACTCTCGTGGAGCCACACCCTGCGCAGCATCTCCCCACCACCATTCAAGGGCGCCATCCTCTCAATAACCCCTCCATATCCTTATCTTCCTCTCAAGTCTCATCTTCCTTGTATGGGTAATCTTAGCAGAAGTTGGCTCGCGCATCATCCAATATTGAGGACGTCACGTGCCAAGATTGCCCCTGATTCTATCGAACACTTCAAGATTCTGAGGCTGCAGCCCCCCAGATAATGCAACCTTGCGTTGTATTATCCTTAAGTGTACATCTACTTGGATGTACACCTAGTTTGGCTCTTGTTATCACTTGACTTGGGCCACTGCTCGTGCTTCCTTTGGATGTTGAGCAGAGGCTATGAGCCGCGGCCTTGGCTTGCCTTAAGCTGTAGTTTCATAGCTTTTTATAGGCCTTTGACGTTTACTATTTAACTAGTCAGCAATTGTTTCCTTTTGCATCTATGGCCATGGGCCTAGAGATTATTCATGAAGAGCTCATTGACACAATCGTGAGATAGGCCGCTTGGCTGGTTGAAATATCTAACCACATCTCATTTGTCTTCACTTCCTATACTAACTATAGAGGTGATCATTTTAACACATGAGCCTGCTGAAGTTGTTTATGTCATTGCTGCCTATTGCTAACATTACCGCGCGGAACAGAAAACATGTCTATCTGGGGCCTTCATTTGCCGGATGAATTCAGGAAGGCGGTAAAGGAGGCGTCCGACACGTTGACAAAGGCTGAGCTTTTGGTGAATCACAGATAGGTTAGCTCCAAAAGCCTCGCTAACAATAATAAACAGGAGATTTACGAGATGAAGGCCGCCTTCAACCTTCCACATGGACTACTGGCATCATTTGATATTGACAACCCCTTTGGCCAGCTCACACTCCGTACCAGTCCCCTTTCCCCACCAGAAAACACCTCTGGATGCAGCATGGCGCGAAACAAATCAAAGAAAGGAAAGGGAAAATCCAAGGATGACGAGTCAGCCAAAGCTGGCGCTGCCGTTCAGACAGACAACTTGAACGCCCCCACCGAAGCAGCTACCGCCGAAGCAGCCACCACCGAAGCAGCTACCACCGATGTAGCTACCACCGAAGCAGCTACCACCGAAGCAGCTACCACCGAAGCGGCTACCACTGAAGCAGCCGCTGAGGCTTCCGATACGAAGGCTGTTAAAAAGTTCTATGTTATCCCCCACTCCGGTCAACGCCTGTCTCGAGCAGACTACAAAGGTTATCTCGATTATGATGGTAACACGGATAGGGGCGTCAACGAGTACTGGAAACTTGACGTCGTTGAAGAGACCTGGCCCACTTTCACCGAGGTTGTAACGTACAAGGGATTGCAGCTTGACGCTACCCGAATCCCTCACGCTTTTCCAAGATCTGTCCGCTGCTTTTATACTAAGCTGAAGGGTATCATTGTCGCATGGTGCAAGGAAGGAGGTTTTAGGGGAGGTGCGTTTGCCGAGAAGATAAATTTCGATAGCCCACTCTACGACATACTTCATGTCATCCACCACTCCCCTGTAGTAACCAAGGAGCAGAGACAGGTAAGTCATAACTCTAAGTTAAACAGTGATTCATTCTAATTCGACAGGTCTTTGAGCACGTCATAATGAAAATCTACGATGAAGTCAACTCAGACCTCCTGGATCCTCAAACCAACAAGTCCTGCAACAAACAATACTTTAAGAAGTTCGACGGAGAGCTTGAGTGGATCGGAGCCTTCTTCCAGATTAACTCGAAGTATACCCCGCCACCTATGCCCAATGACATTAGCGATGTGTGGCTCGAGGAGCTTGGTCCGAAATTCACTGCCAACTATCGCCTTGCCTTGGCCGGTGACCCAGCTGCTCCTTTCAAGGTTGCCACTCCTCGTCGGAATAAGTTTGGCATGTGTAAGTTTGGTAATCCTTTAATCCCATATCTACTGACCTTATTATCTACAGCAATGAGCGGCTACGAGCTCGGTCCGAAATTCCGGCACTCTCTGAAAAAGCCTGTCAAGGATCGAGTTCTCCGGGCTTACAGTGTCTCCGACAATATCAACAATGATCAGACCGGTAAGTTGCAATATCTAGTTATTATTGACTTGTCTAATACGATTTAGTTTCTGCAGCAGAGGGTCGGACATCGAAGGGAAACGCCAAGAACAAGGATAACGAAAAGTCTGGTCTGTTGGCTCCAGCAGTTCCCAAGGATTCTATTCAGTGATTACTATGAATAGACTTCGCTGGCTGTAGCATGGAAATATAGGTGGTCGTTGAGTTGCGTTGCCAACCCCGTCTTTGACTTTCATAGATAGCTACATACTAGAATGGATTCGAGAGCGGTCTGGAGGTTTGCCTGTCACTATGGTGCAGAAGCGCACCGGTTCTAGAAAACAGTAACCAAAATCATTCGCGCTATCACGCACCTTCTATATCGATTGGCTCTTGTGGGTGCTAGTAAACTGCCATGATCGCATATGACCGAAATAAGCGCATATATTACTAGCCCACGAACAATATAACCTCCGCTCTAGAAGACTAAAATACCTTGTTGGGTAGAATAGCGTTGTATTATCGTAGAATTGGTAAACAAGCTGCGCACTTCAAAGTTAGAATAAGATACTTGGTACGTTCGCACGGTAAATCGCTGGACATCAAGCTCAGGCTCTCAGCCATTCTACTGGTTTAGGCGACCACTTGGCGACCACAATAACCAATATGCGTCGGGGGCGTTGAAACGAGTGAAAAGGGTGTAAAGGAAGTGTATTATATATAGCGAAGAGTCGAAACTAACAGAGGAAACTAACAGAGGAAGCAGCTACTCGCGGCGTCGACGCCGATATAGAAGGCGCGGGTGGAGGGCCACAACGACCTAATTTCCTTCTTTCATTATGTTAATAACTCAATTCCATAATTCATTCCAGTAAACTAAAGACATCTTCACGCATTCATTATATTATTGCCTTCGCAGAAATTTCCACTCAACTTCCGTCATCCGCGAATATCACTACTGGACAACGCTGAGCTCAAAAGTACAATACTACCAAAGTCAATCAACTAGCATCGGTTAGGATGGGCGGAGTCGGGGTTAGCAAACCGGAGGTGGAGGCCAATTTTCCTGAACAGAATCCTCCTGACCAAAAACCCCCTGACCAGAGTCCTCCTGAACAGAATGAACAACTCCCGACAGATGGTGATGATGACCCGACAAGGATTCGCCGCGACCTCCCACGGGAGATCTTCACCGCGGCATGGAAGTTGGCTGAAGGAGCCGAAGGACCCAACCTGCCGCACCATAACACGGTTTTTCGGGAGGTGCTCGTATACTATATCCACAAAAAGAACTACAAAAAAGGCATCTTCAAAAATATGGTTAGCAGTGACGCGAAGAAGGTGGACCTCTTCAAAGTTCTCCCAATATTGATTGAGTCACCCGAAACTTCGATGAAAGAAAAGCTCTCATTCATACAATGCCTCAGATGGAGCTTCGTACACGCTGAGAAATTATTCGTGCCAGACATGGCTGATGTCTGGGCTCCTATAGACGACCTCATTGATTTGATGGAAGACGATATTTTGGCACAAACCTCTGAAGGCAGGACACAACGCACCATCCGTACTAATAGCATGCTGACAGAGAAAGCAGAAGAGACTCCAGCTGAACCGAAATGCAAAGGTACGCCATGGTCTGAAATATTGGCGGGGATATACCTCTCAGCACGAAATGATCCAGCCCGTGACTACAACCCGCCTCCAATGGTTCAAATAATTGGTCAAGACGACGCGGTCAGGGCAACCATCGTGTTCAGAACGGACGGGTCTGCAGAATTTACGAAAGGGGGGACCCATGGACTTCCGCCAGGTGCCCCTGAAAGTTATATTGAAAAGTGGCGGACTGAGAAGCTGAAATTTGGGAGGATGCAAATGGACGGAACGTGGGGTGAGTGGGGAAGTTTTCCTGAGATTGATTGTAGCCGGGAGCGTCGTCCAAAGACAAAGGACCTAGGCGATGAAGTTTCCTGAGGTTCATGATTGTATTAATTGATTCTGGAATCCACCTGTCATAGGTACCTAGCGAGGATTACTACTGTTTAATAGCGAGCGCATCGTTAGACGAAACAGTACTCGGAGTATAGGTTAGCTTGTGTCACAGATTTTATTTTATTTTATTACTACTATACCTGGTTTCTCATACCTAAGACTTGGGGCATATTCAAGAACCTACTTCGAGATCCCAATGTCCAAGGCCTCTGTTCGAATCGAAACAAACCGAACAAAACAAACAAAACAACTTGTTACAACACCATAGGCGCTCGAAGCAAACAATAAACAATGTTTTACTCTTCGGAGAATTAATCTCGACATGCAACAAAAGATATTAGAGCATGAAATTGACAGGTAGCGTTCATGCGACGTATGGTACAAACGCAATGCGCCAACTCTTTCGCCCAAAGGCTCTGGCAGGAACATTCTTAACCTTGGTAATAAGAAGATTGGAAACGTAGTTGACAAAGCGTTAAAGCACACTGTCTAGTGGGGCATAATGATATTTCAAGTGTAGTATGATTTCCTATCACTTTTGTGGAACTGCTAATCACACATCTGATAGACGAGTCGTCGAAAATACAAGCTGAGGACCGTGTCCGCTTTGAAGTAATGGGATGGAAGTGGCACTGGCCAATATAGTATGCATCGGTTTTTTAATGATCCAGTAAGCAGAAATTGAGACACAGGAATGGGGAGAGATAGAATGCATTGATAGGTATCATCACCAACCAGCATTACTCATACCATCCCATCCATCCGCGCTTTCTCCATCTATATTGCCATCCTCAATCCACACCATCTTGTCTAATTCCCTGACGAAGAAATCGTGCTCCTCCTCCAATAGTTTCGTATCGGCGCCCATCTGATCGGGATACCGCTTAATGTTATGCCAGTGTGTCAACGCACGCAAGGCTTGCTCAAGCGGAAGCGCTTCTTCGACCTCGGCATCCACATCGCTACCGGCCAACCAATCATCGCGCAGTTCAGGCCGACAGTGAAGGTATACAGCTGTGATAACACGCATATTTCCCTGTCGCCATTTTCGGCCACAGTATGGAACTTGGCTTTTGAAGAGCTTCAATGTGTAAAGACGTAATTCCGGCTGTGGTATCTTCAGGGATTTTTTGAGTATGTTTGATGATTTGTATTGGACAAGGAGTAGATTGCGGTGGGCTTTATTTTTGCAGATCTTCTGCATGATGCGTAGAAAATTGATGCTGGAGAAGAAGTTCCGCCATGAAAAATCTGTTATCGGTTCGGACGCAAGTTCACTAGTTGGATACCCAAGCTCGTCAACTTGGGGAGGATCCCGTTTTCCGGCCATTTGCCCTTCTTGGAATGCGAGGGCTGGAAGCTTGTCTTCAGGATCTGCAACTGGAAGTTCTCGATGGACTTTTATAGGTGGTGGTGCTGCGTCATCGCTGTCTTCCTCAAGTTCAGTCGAGGGGGTGTTTTTACTATTGGCGTTACAGAACGCGAAGAAGCTGAGGAGGTCAGTAAGGTTAACAAGATAGGCTATAGCATATCATACCTCATGTCATCACGGTCAGTCTTGCTATCCACCACTCTATCAATCTCTTGGTGCGCGAAGAGCTTCAGAACCAGGGGGAGATAGTTCGAATCGAGAAGAAGTTGAGTAAAATACTCAAATTTCAAGACGTCTAACAACGTTAGAAGAGAACGGTACTCAGGAACAATAGCCTTACGTGAAACCTTGAACCACTTCAACAGTATCAGGAGAATTCCAGACACGGCCTTAGCCGTGATCTCTCGAGACCGCATTGCTTCAATTTCATCAATCGGCAACTCTGAAGGCTCCACGATATTCGGAAGAGGGATATTCGCAGGATCTTGGGGTCTATTCTGCGCCATGTTGGCCCGGAGATTAACTTCAGACCTGAACCCAGGGGCAAGTCCTCCTTGGCCAACGGGTTGGGTTATGAGCGAGGTGACATTTGCCAGAATGGCCTTGAGCAGCACAATGACAAGTGATTGAAGATGGGGTATCGAATTGCGCTAGGAATATTAGCAAAATCTCTCAACTTGGGCCTGACTTACATAAAATCTTTCAACAAGGTCAAGTTTATTTTTCACTTTGTTGTCAATAGTGTTTGGCCCACAATCGACATCAGGCATAGGCGATTCGGTACGAGTTGTTAGTTTCTGGGCTAGAATTGTCTCCAGATCAAGCTCCTCCACGTCTTCATTTTCGCTATCCCAACCTCGCTCGAACTTGAGAAACCGTTCTCTTTCATCCCATAACTGGCGCATCGCTCTCGTCATGCGCATCCGTTTTGCAAATAATTCTCCGGCTTCCAGGATTGACTTGGGAATATCACTACCCTCCCATTTACAACCAACCAGAAGTTCCTGCAAACCAGCTGCACCCTTCCCGCCAGCACTATTGCTGGTACTATCTAACGGAGGATACATGAATGGAAAATTCTGGTTTGTTTGATAATTTTGTTTCTTTCCCGCTTTACCACCTACAGGTGGGGATGGAGGTGGCGAGGGCGCTGGTGTGGCGATGTGCACAGGCTGATGAAGGATTGAAGCGCCACTACTATTGACATTCGCAGCAGGTATTATGCCAGCGCCACTTGCTCGGCTAGGCCGATTTGGTAATGGTGGAAGAATTGAGTTATTGTCGGGCTCAAGGGGAAGTAATGGCAGGGGGGGTGTATATGCGGGATATTTGGAAGTAATCTCTTGACGGAAAATGTGATAATCGAGGGGTGAGGCTGTAATAAGTTCGCTGCTAGAACCTTTCAGCTCACTCGTGGCTTTCTTGACCTCATCGACTTCTGCGGCTCCCCCAAAGACGAGCAAGACAGCTTTCCAGAAAAGGAGAAATATCTATAAAAAAATCAGCTTTATATTCTTACGTTGGTGCATCGACTAACCCTTGTTTGTGGTAACTCATTCGCCTCGTCCCATCTGAGCCTCGCGGTCACAGTGACCAAATAGTCAACCAGGTTTGGGTTAAGTTCAACTATTACATTAGCACCAGCGAGCCCCAATGGTATTCGATGCACGTACGAAGCTTCATCCGCGGGGATTCTAGAGTGATAGGATCGTCACGAACACTTTCAATGAGCAGGTAGGTGATGGTCGTTACATTATCCAATTCATCTTGAATGAAGGGGATATCTTCTTCTAATAGTTTTGTTTCCCGAAAGTCATCATCCCTAAACTCGTTAGTCGATATTGAAGCATATTGATTTATATTACCATAGCCGTTTGAATGCATTCTGCATCACCTCATACAAGAGGGGTATACCACCTGCGCGAGCAACAAGTAGAATACCAGATTTCATGTGTTCCAATTGAATTTGTGTAGCCTTGGTTTTGCATTTTGGAGAATCCGGTTTCTCAAGCTCTATCCCAGCTGTCTCATCCCACACTCCAAGGATAGTATGTAGAAGGGTCTGTAGACTCTTACAACGCCGTCGAAGATCGGTCGCAAGAAGGCCATTCACCTCGCGTTCGACAAAGCTTTGCCGCTTGCCTTGATCAACTTCTAACCAGGCTTTCCCTGAAAATTTCCGCCATCTTCTCCCAAATGTGTCCTTTGCTCGGTGGAGCCGCTTGTATTCCGCTTCGTTGTATGAGAACCATTCATCCACCTCCTCCTCAAATGTCGCCGTGTCGGCATAGGTAAACGCATAGGTGCTCGGATCAGCTTTTGGAAATTCGGTGACGATACGCCGTAGCTGCATTAATGATAGGGAGTCATTTGGGTTGCCAACTTGTTGGGGAGATGGTGGGGGTGGGGGCTGGTGCGGTGGAGGCGGTTGAGGTTGGTTTCTCTGAAGCTGGGGCTTTGCTATGGGAGCGCTGGTGGAGGCAGCTGGCTGGGGAACTGGAAGGCCAATATCTGCAAGGCCAGTATCTGCGACATCAGCATCGTCCTTTGGAATTGGCTCTGGCGGATCCGGGGGAGCTTTTGCAGTCCAAAGAGAAGCCATCGTGAAAGCCCAAGGATCGGGGGTGCCGTGCGCTTCCTGGTGATTTAGTCTCACAACAACATTTGCGACAAGATAGCTTATAGCTTGGGGCAAGGTAGAGCGATTGGGGGATTCTCATGAGCTCGGAGTTGAAGAGTTGGTGTTTCGGTGTTTTGGAGGACGAGGTCCCTTGACGTTGAACCTCGCTTGTGATAAGATATGATAAGAGGACAAGTACAGTAACTGTATAAAAGCATCTACAGTACATACAGTAGGTAATCTGCGCCGAAACTGATTTGATCTTACTTCTAATGCGGTGAGTTCATCGCCGCTCTACTTAGGCGTCTACTCACCCTCGACTCGCCCTCGCCTCACTCTCTGCTTGGATTGCTTAGTCACGTTCCTGTCGGAGGAACCAAGTCGGTTTTCAAGGAGCCTAAGCGGGTTCTTAAAATATATCTTTTAATCTCTCAAAGCAGATTTGTATCAATTATAGATTACTGCCATTTTCGTTAGCCCAAATTTTCAACGCTGCCGCTTATCAGAAATTACTACTGCAGCACGCTGGTCAGATCGGATGAATCCTTGTATGGGGGGTGTTTCGGAATATAGCACACTTTGAAACGCAAGTACAACCTTATCCCCGCCAATTTTTCAAAGACTATATAGGAATCTTCTAGCTTCTAAACCACCTTCGTTTTTTCTACGGCCTTTGAAAAAAGAGTCTAATCTTAGCTATTTCCGGACTCTTGGAGACTGTGGTTGTTTAGACCCCGTGGCCGAGCGCCACGTTTTATGTTGATTCTTGTGCTGGACGCGGGGATTCAGCGATCCAGCGATCGTGCCTACATCTACGGCCTTTGTGTTCTACTTCCTGCATTACTCTATTTCTACTTCTACTACTTTTTATCAACATTATCCGCCCTTGTACTAGTCGTTATAATGAACCAAAAGCAACAAGAATGGAAAACTATAAGAGACAGCGGAATAGTTTTCCTGACAGCTATCCTGCTAGACTAGTTTCCAATGCACCTTACTAAGATATTCCGTAGAACTAGGTCCTTCAGACAATTCGATTTATCTACGTTTGGTTCGGGCGACTCACTAGGATTACCCGAATACGTTTTCTAGAAAGACGAAATAACGAATCGTGCAAAGAACATCACTGCAATCGCAGCGCGTCTCATAGAAGATGCGCCTTCCGAGGCCGAAGTGCAGCTTGGAATGGAGCAGATAGTTTTGGTACGTTTCAACATGGTTATCGAGTAGTAAGAATCGACGATGCAAATATTATCTTGCGCAGCTGATAGGAGAACCGAAGTCCAACTTGCAAGAGGCGGTTATAGAAGTCGGAAGTAGAGGTAGAGGTAGAATTCCCTTGTCGCATCGCCACAAGCCTAGCACGTCGATAGCTAGACCGTCGACTATATCAGTGCTCGCAAAAAGAGATATCGTCATATATATAGGTTTTTCAAATAGGACTACTGTTCTAGCGTTATATACTGACATATATGAAAGTAATAAAATATTCTCTATCTGAGCAGACGAAATAATTTCTGCGATTTCTTCGATACCGGCTCGGAGGAGCGTGCCAAGAGAAGGCGCCCTGATTATATCCTGGGATTCCGAGAAACGGGCAGCTTCAGTCGCCAGCTCGAGAAATATAGCCTTACAGCTAGACGATCAGAAAATGAAGCTACTGTTTTGAATTACAAAGGAAACTCTCTCCTCTTTCATCTTCTGATTATCGAGGCAAAATCAAGAAATAGCACTTCATCCGATGACTGTAATATATAATCTGTCTTGCTAATATTGGAAATGTTGAAAGTACAAGAAGATATACAAAAGAAGTCTCACATGACGTTAGAGTATAGAGGCCATTTGATCTAGTATATTGTATACCGAGGTGAAGATTGGCGTCTATCGGGCTACTATATCTCGGCGAAGCTAAGTCTCCTATTATATATAGGCTCTGTCCTTACAATACTATACAATATTGCTAACTTATACAAGGAAATTATAACTCTTTAGACTAGTTAATTGAATAACATAGAAAGTACGCTATAACTCTTTCTTATTATTGACTATATATTTGACTAAGTTCGCGATATATATAAACTTTCTTTAATCGCCTAGATTGAGATACTTGTAAAAGAGCTTTCCGAAGACGATAATACTTTCACCGGAATCGATACTGATAGCGATATCTTCTCATTAGCTAAACTAAGACAATATAGGACTGTCGAGGATTGGACAACTATTCTTGAACATAATACAGAGACGATAATAGATCAAGAGAACGATATCATGAAGTAGGGGACTTACGATTCGGAACTCGGTGTTTTCTGTCTAGTATATATCGTCTAGAACCCTTTTCGATACTTTTTCGTAACAAAAGTGAATATCGACGCACTTTTTTCAGCTGTGCCCAAAATATTTACTATAAAGCAGCTTGATGTACAAGCAACGCGGGCTATCGATAACTAGCGCACTGTTTTAGTATCAGAAGATGTATTCAACAAGATAGAAGAAGTCTAGACAAACAGAATCAGGCTAAATAAGACGCAGCTGCCCCAGAAACAACACTTTTCGCTTCTATCGTATATTATACAGTTATAATCTCTCAGTAGGAGCTATATCGGATACTCTTCTGTCTCATATTCGACGCAGAAGCGTTGACCAAGTCAAAGCTTACACGAAGAAAACTTTCCCCCTTGGGTTTCCAAGAATGTAAATCTTTTTGGAAGGAGTAATGCAGAAACTTTAATACTCTCCTTGAAAAACCAGTCCATTCAACAAAATCTCGCATCAGTATTAGTCTCAACACAGCAGGTCTTGTCCAAAAGTGCCGGTACTTCGAATTCCAATCCTTGCCCTAACTTCGAATTTACTGATATAGCTTACATTGAGAATGGGTGGGGCGAAAAGAAGACATATGAGTTGATAAATCGGGTATATGACTGGTGTGCGAAGAACTCTGAGGAACTAACAGCGTCATTTCTACGAGTTTCTCACTAATGGAATTCGCTAACCAGTAGCTCCACCAGCTCGACTGTAGCATCGTATTTCCCTAATTCAAGGCCTGCGACTGATGAGCAGTATGCTCTAGTAGTACAGAGAAACCGTTACTCGTATATCACTCTTTGCATATATGACATTCCAGGTTTCACAGAGGCTACTGACCGATTGCGAGAGACTTTTAGAGAATGCGTTTGAAAATGATGTAATCTCACCAAACGATGTTGTCTCGAATAACTGGAAGGACGTTCGCAAGGAGTGGCGAACGCCAGATTTTGAAAGCTGCAAGGAAATCATAGAGAAATTTCAAAAATGGAAGCAAGGAATGCCAGATGATATACCAGTTAGTCCCTCAATGGCATTCTCAACTACTGGGAAAGCTAAGGTACCACCTGTGGACAACCAACCTCATCAGCCACAGACTCCATCGTCATATGCATAATCTACACATACGCCGACTCCACTTTCGAATGTGCCTGTTCTCACAGAAGCCGAAAGTAATCTCAAGCGCCTCCAGGAAAATACAGACGGGAATGATAGTGTGCCGATGTAGAAGAAAGTCAAAACAACGAAGTCATAATGATCATTGATTAGAAATTAGAGTATATGTATATGTAGAAGTAGTATACGATAGATAGCAATACTTTGGGTATATTGGCTAGGCTCTAGATAGGATGCGGCATTCATCTCCTTCGTCTCCTTCTAGGACGAGGGCGAAAAAGGACCTAACTTGAGGCACGAGGAGTTCAATATAGATCTTCAATTTCTCTTAGATAAGGGTCTTGTGCTCTACTTTATAAGTTCATGATGCCGAAATAGATTGCTCGGCAAGAAAAGAGCCTTTAATCAATCAATATAAAAGCCAGTACAGATTCATCTACCTTAAGCTAAAGCATTCTGAATCGCAGTAGTGACATCCCGACTACTTTGGTTTAAAGTATAAATAATGCATGAACTCTACCTTGTAGTATGTTTAGGTATTATACCTTAAACTAGATTCCTTTAAAGTACAAGATAATAAACTGATATACGCACAATTTCAGTACCCCGAATGTAAAATTGGTTTCGGTATAAGCAAACTCTTCTGGGTTATTATTCACTCCTAAAATGATACGCTTATTTTTAGAAGTAAAAGGCCCATATTTAATCAAAATTCAGCCAACACACCTAAGTTCGGGACCCGTCACCCCGGACTTCACTGCAATATATATATATCGAGAATTTACATGTATCGCAAGACATGGCGCCCGCGTCGCCAACCTCGCCAAACCCGCCCCCGGCTCGCATCCAGCGCAGCAGCGCAAAACCCGTCGTACAAGCAGTTATGAACGCTACCGTAGGCCAAACCTATTGGGTCGGGAAAGAAGCTCGGTGGCAAAATCTTCTGGTGCTACTTTTTCTTTGCATGGCTGCGGTTTCCCGAGCTCTTCATGTCTGACAGCATGCTAGGAAGCGCGCAATCACTTTGTCCGAGCGCGTCTTGCGTATGAAGGCCTGTCCCCATCTCAGTACAAGGGGTTGGATGGCGCACAGAAACGCTACTATGCGAGTAAACATCTTCATGCTGGCTGTGCAGGACATGACTGGACCAATCTACAATGCTTGTAGCCCATCAATATTGACATCACGGTCCGAGTCCAAAGACTTAGTTCTCGAGGACGCAGGGACAATCCTCGACACTATCAAAATCGTCCAACCAGCTAACTTGGAGTCTGGACCTGAAGCTTTCCTCGAATGGATGACCACTGTAACGAGCAAATGCGAGAAGCTTTATACTGCCGCCTTAGCTACTGATTACTGGCGGTTGGCATGCCCGCTTGGATGAATGCAAGCCTTGCGCCGGCCTTCGGGCCTCCTTTGAAGTGCGCTCAATTTTTGGAACACCTCGCCTTGGTCTTACCGTCCCTTAAAACGGTCATCACCCTCCTCTTCTGGTGCTTTGCACCCCCATTTCTTTCATTGTAGCGCTCAGCTTTTGCTGGGCTTGTGAAGAACAACATGAAGCCGCTGACGATGATGCCAAAAGCTCGTGCCTCCTATCAGCTGGACTTAAACGTCCACGGTTTATGTTCATGACGCACAACACCACTCATGGATGATCCGGAACCAATCATATGACAGGAGAAGCCTATAAGTGAAGCGTCAAGATTAGATCAAAGCTCCCGATCTAAAGCCTGTGCCCTGCACATTGCCCAGTACGCCCCCTTCTTCTCCAGCAACTTTGCATGCGTTCCTCGTTCAACAATCCTTCCTCTCACAAGCACCAAGATCAAGTCCGCCTCTTTGATCGTAGCCAGCCTGTGAGCCACGGTGATCGTCGTGGTCTCTCTCTTGATCTTCTTCAGAGCTTCCAGTACTTCCCTCTCACTCAACGAATCCAGCGCGCTCGTGGCCTCATCCAGGAGCAGAATGGTAGGGCGCCGGACTAGTGCACGCGCGATTGCTATACGCTGTCTCTGGCCCCCGCTGAACAACATGCCTTTATTGCCGCATTGCGTGCTGTACCCTTCTGGAAGAGAAGCTATGAAGTCGTGGATGTTGGCGTCTTTGGCCGCGAGTTCTAGCCGCTCGTCATCTGTTTCCGCTTCTGAAGCCCCTAGCAGGATATTCTCACGGATCGTGCCTTGAAACAAAACCGTGTCTTGCGACACCAGAGATACGGTATTGCGGTAGCTCGCTGTGTCAAGTGTGTCCAATTCGTATGGACCAATCTTTATTGAACCGCTGTTTGCTTTGTAGAACTTTTCTAGCAGGGAGATGATGGTGGATTTTCCTGATCCGGAAGTCCCCACGATGGCTAGGCTCTGTCCTGAGCTCACAGAAATGTTGAGATTCTCAAGGACTTGGTGATGGGGTGCATTTGGATAGCTGAAATATACATCGCGGAATTCGATCGAGTTGAGGGGCCCTTCCTCCTTTTCTTCGCGTTTCTTTGACTGCGAAGATTCCTGGTCTCTTTCCTCAGCCGATCTCATGAGTTCAGTAATCGTATTAATTGCCAGTTTGGCTTGGAATATACCTGCTCTCACGTCAAAAAAATCCACTAGATACTGAAAAGTGCCTACTGTTTGAGTTTGCAAAGATTTCACCCGCGCCCTGCCCCCCAGCTAGAACTGCTAAGTAGATAGTCCAAAGCTGAGTCGAAGTGACTTTGCCATCGGTTAGAAGATTACCACCGTACCAGAAAATTAGCGCTAGTCCTATGGAAAGTCAGCGCAAGAGCTCCACAAAGTGCCTTCTTCAAGCTGGCTTTGTTTCCACGTACCTAAGAAGTACCCGCTCTCAGAGAATGCAAACAGAGGCATTGTTGTGAAGATATGTCTATAAAATTGCGGAATAGCTTTGATCATCTTCCTATCAAGTTCATGGCATACTACTTCCTCCATCGTCAATGCTGCGACCGTCCGCACAGCTCCAATAACTTCAGAAGCGTATTGCGCACTGTCGAGCAAGGGCTCAGACAGACTCTTACTTCTTCTAGCCCCTGAACGAAGTCGCAGATAACCTGCAAACATGATGATGGGCATGCCACCTGATAACCCTACAAGGGCGAGTCTCCACTGAGTGGCCAGGGCCAGAATGCTGCACGATGTAATACTCACAAACGCCACGAGCGAAAACCCCAGGACATTCAAGAGACTTTGTATCTGGCTCGTGCGCAAGGAGAGAGAAGCGACTAGAGCCCCCGACGTGAAGTTCCCTTGGTCAAAGAATTGGGGAGGTTGTCGTAGCATTGCATCGAAATAAGCCGTCTGGTAATGGCACTTAGCAATGGAGCTCATCGTCGAAGAGATAATGCCCATTGCCAAGAATGCGACAAATGTTCCCACGGCGACGAGAAGCCACATGAGAGACCAGAAATTCTCGTGAGCCTGGATATCATCCATGATGCCGAAGCCAGAGACTGTGTTTCCGAACAAGATAGCTTGGGTGGGGTATATAGCTCCCGCTATCACAGAGATGGGCACAAGTGCTATGAACAGCCATCCCAGCGTGTGGTTCTCCTTGAAGAGTGAATATAGACACTGGAATAATGACATCTGTACAGGAGGGACCATTTTGGTTTCAAGATTGCCGGTATCCAACCACATTTCGGACCTCGCCGCTCCCAAATTTCGGGCAGAAATCGTATTTTCAGAGAGAACCTCAGGTTGTAGAGGAGTTCTTTCTTCTCTCAGAGTCAGGCCATCGAGCTCCTGAGCTTCCAAGAGACGTGAATATGTGCCCTTTAGAGCAATCAAAGACTGATGTGTGCCTTCTTCGAGAATATTCCCATTCTTCAAAAGCACTATCTTATCAGCTTGCTGGACGAAAGAGAGCTTGTGAGCAATGATGATAGTGGTTCTGTTTGTGGAAGCTTTTTTTATGGCTACTTCCACAGTGCGCTCTGATTCAGCATCTAACGCGGACGTTGCCTCATCGAAAATCAAGATCCTCGGCGATGAGATTATGGCACGCGCTATGCCTATCCGCTGCTTCTGGCCACCACTTAGTCGGTTGCCTTTGTCGCCCACCCTGGTGTTGTATCCATCTGGTAAACCTTGAATGAATGCGTGCGCTTCAACTTCAATACAGCTTCGTATTACCAGTTCTAGTTTTTCATTCTCTGAAAGGCCCTCGAGGGATGTCCCGTACAGTCCACATGCGACGTTGTAGAATATAGTGTCATTGAAGAGAACAACATCCTATCTGTGTGAAAATAAGTCCATGAATCGAGACGACATAAGACTCACCTGCTGCACAACCCCAATATTACTTCTCAACGACTTTACGTTCAAATCCTTGATGTCGTATCCATCAATAAGAACAGTACCATTTGACGGATCATACCACCGTTCGAGTAAGCCAACAATAGTGCTTTTGCCTGAGCCGCTTGCTCCAATCAAAGCCGCTGTCTTGCCGGCCTCAAATGATAGACTCAGATTGTCTAGTACCTTGGATGAAGACCTGGAAGAATAGGCAAATTCAACGTTCTGCAGAGTAATACTGCCCTTTAGCTCTGCAAGACTCAGACCATTAGGATCAAGAGGATCGATGGCAGGCTTGCTGTTGATGATCTTGCTAAGTGTATTTGAAGCTGCTCTAGCTTTCGAGAGAAGGCCATAAAAAGGCAGAATTTTCCTCATGCCGTTCGTCCCCTGGTTGATTGACATAATGACTCTAGTATTGAAAGTCAGCGAGTGGACATAATATGGAAGCACAATCTCAAGTACATGACAATCGCTCCACCACTACCTATCCTGCCCTCATTCAGCAGTTTTGTTCCGTACCAGAAAGCAAGTCCATACGAACAGAGTAAGGCGAAATAACTGATGGAGAATTGAAGGCCGAGAATTGGACTTTTGCGCAGTCTCCTAGTTCTCATTTTCTCAAGCAGAGCGGCATACTTTGCACTCAACTTGGACTCGGCAACACAAGACATGACCAGACGAATGCCACCCAAGCACTCTTCGGCCAGGCTTGCTGCTTCTTCATCACCTTCCTGGATTTTCCGCTCTGCTCTTGTTTCTATTGCAGCTGTGCCAAAGTTGCTAATAAAAAGCAGTACAATAGTGGACAGCAAAGCCAAGGAAAGCTGCCAGCTATGCACAAATGCAATAATCACAGCCACAACGACAGTTGACCCAGCTTGCATGACAATGCCGAGCTTTTCAGACAATGCATCTTCGATGATACTGATATTTGTGGCCATATTATCGATCGCTTTCCCCTGACTTATCATTCCCATATCTTGACATATTGCGGATCTTAAATATGCCGCTCTCAACTTCCTGGAATGTCTCATGGCTGAGATAGATAGAAGGACTCCGTAGAGGCACGTAAGAGACCACTGGCCAACAAAGATGTACACGAAAAACAACACCTCGGAACCAATCTTCTTCTTGAGCCTAGCTTTGTCGCTAGGATGGTTGAATTCATTCGCGAGTCCGCCGAGTATGAGGGTCATGAGTGGCTGTGCTGTCCCGGCCCCAACGGCAGCCATAGCCCCCAAAAGCTGAAAGACGTCGATTTTCCATTTCTCTTTTGGCTGTGTAGAGTAGAACGATGTCTCTTGGTCTGGAGTAGAGTCTTCGACATCCAGGCCAGGTGGATCCATGGTGATGGTCCGACTTCCAAGAAGAAGCACGGAATGGTGATCTCTTCAAATAATGAGTTATCATATATCCACTTAGCATTTGTTAGTATATAAACTACGGAAAATACGAGAATTTTCTCACTAGACCAGTACGCAGATATTGCGTAGCGCTCTAATTTTAGAGTGACTTTTTCCTTGAGGGGATGGAAGAGCAGCTGCTCAGTATTTGCTACATGCTTCAAAACCAACCCCCAATCACGGCGGTAAAAGTCAAAGGTTGGTAATGTTGCCTGTTCATCGTCGATTTACACGTACATCCGAGAATACTCGCATGACGTTTCATTCCATCGGAGTATCAGCAGCTTCTAGCTTGTATCCACCATATCCTTGACTTGAGGAGCTCTAAGAATTACTAACAATGTTGGTTGTTGGTTGCTCGGCCCCGTGCAAACGCTGACTGGTTGGAAGCACCTCCCAAACTTCCCTGTACCGGTGATTTGGGGGCCCAACCGGCTAAGATGTGCTGCGCATTATCGCATATACGACCTCCCTAAAAGACTCGTGTGTACGATAAGGCGAGATTCCGTCAACGGTAATGATATGCAATGCGAAGGCGGAGGGCGCTTCGCACAGATCCTTCGGCTCTTCCAGATACAAGACAGCGAAATACGGAGTATAGCAGGGGTTCTTTAGAGGTACTCAGAGGAGTAGGCCAGGACTACCGGTACTTCTTCAGCCGGATGAGACCCAGAGGATATTTCCTTGGAGAAATTTCCAACTAATATAGTAAGATATTGAGAAGGAGTGGGAATGATCATCAACGTGAGAGGTTAATCACACTTCCTTGCATTTCCCTCGCTGCAGAACGTCCTATTTTTCAGATCAGTTGAAACAGACAAACCCCCGTTAGATTGCTAGATCAAGGCAGGTCTTACTATGCACCGTTATGACTATTCATGCCACCGTAAAAGTACATTTGAAGTAAATGCATCTAGGTGAGAGATGTCTACTGAGAAGGCCACCCATCATCAAGAGGGTCAAATGGTGCTTCTTCGTACTCCCTCACAGAGCCATCTTTCGGTTTTGCGAGGCGACCTCCAGGAATTTTCGAGCCGTTCATAGCGTTATTCAAGGCATAACTTTGAACACCCTCAAAACTTCGACATTGCCGTGGGGTGTTAAAATTTGGATGCGGAAAATCATGGCCTCTTATCCAGTTATATGTGAGCACCTGTACATCTGCATCGCACACAAGCTTTTGTCGAAGCATTTCGGTGCAATGATCTGGCGATAAAGTGGTTTAGTTGATTTTGCACTGAAGCCATGCAATGAGTAGAGGACATTGAAGAACGTACCCATATGATCATGCCATTCTTCATCGTTTCTCTTTATGTTTTCAGCGGCTTCGGTATAATAGTCTGGGTATGTATGCCACCACAGACTTCTCTGATCCGTGAAGAGATATCAACAAAGTGCATTCCCAATAATTCCATATGGAAAGAGTACCACATCAACAAGTGAAGCTGGACATACCAAGCAATGCAGCTGGTGAAAGACTTCGAGATAGGCTTGTCTACCCCCTCCATACTCTGGCGGTATCTTGACGGCATTCTTTGACGTATTCAACTTCTCGTATACTTCTTCTGATATACTCAGAGCTCCGTCTGATTCGGATGATTAGTTCTACTCATAATATGATGCAGGAACCTACATTCTGTCATCTCATCCCAAGCTAAATCGACAGCGGGAGATGGCGGCCCCTTGAAACGCGACGAAGAGCGATTGAAGCTTCCTCTTGTACGCTCAAAATGAACCTGTTCCGGAACAGGATCCATCACAATTACTAGATATATGAGATTCCGAGTTAGTGGAGTGGGCAGCTTTCGGAAAACGGATTGACGTACACCATTGGCGTCGGGCCTCCAAACAATTTGCAGGGAGCGAGTTTTTGATTATCACAGATCTTGAAAGAGCACCAAATGATACCATGAGCAAAATGCAATGGGCTACCCATGGCCATATTCTCTTCCATACGCTGTAGTATCTTTTCCCAATACATTGCGGCCGAGAAGGTCTTGTCTCCCTCGCAGACATATCGCCCTCTTCGTCGTTACTCTTGGCCCTCTTCTCACCTGGAAGTAGCTTCTCTTCTTCCATGTTCGCCAAAGAATTCATCGTTCAGAGCTGAGTAACAGATCTAACCATGATAATTAGTTTCAGCAGGAGGAATCACTTTTAGGCTGGAGCATCAGGTATACGGTGGCAAATCCGAGAAGATAAGACTGCAGCCTAGTTACCCCTAAGTGCCGGTTGTGACCAACCCCTCTGCATGTAAGTGTGCATGAATTTTGACCGATTGAGCTCTAACTGCTGCCCCACACCCTCCTCTGCTCTTGGTAATGGGCGTGACCCCAGATCAAGCAGGCGGGGATTACATGTGCATCAAAGATCGGATATATAACCTATGGACTACAACCGGTAAGAAGTGTATAAATATTCCCCCCGCGGCCCGGCCCCAGGAATACCAAGTTCCATCCTAAGATATCAACAGATCTTCTCTTACCCCGAAGCAGTCCTTCAGACCCAAACATCAAGCTCCTTCTCAAAGATGCAATTCATTCCCATGCTTAGCCTCCTGGCTGTGCTTTCTGCCGTTTTGGGAGCACCCACTCCCGCCGGAGGTAAGTCACAGTGGAACCCCAATGACGAGCAAGCTCTCACATGTCAGATGCTGTGCCGGCAATGATAATCAAATACAAGGACGATCTTTCTGTTGTGGAGGCTATGATAGGAAAATACAGCGATGATGTATCCGAATAAGCAGGAACTTGGGTGCCTCGGCAAGCATGATTGGAAAGCGTCACCAGCTAGGTGGACGTGGGGCCTGAGCTATTGCATTTTGTTCAATTCGGATACGGTGCTCTGGAATCAGTCTGATAGCAGTGAGAGAAAGTAGTAAGAGAGGCTTCAAAGCAACCATAATGATGTTGATGTGATAAAATGAAATTGGTCGCCACGTTCATTTTAAGTTTTTGGCGTTATGATTGAACTATGCTAAATAAAGTCTAGCCTGTCAGCTAGTGCCAGCTGTATCAAGGAGGTGAAGTCTCACAACTCAATCCTTCCTTCCCTCCTTAGCTTGCTGGAGATAATTCTGTCCCCTGTAAAGCACATTATGCCATTGTTCAATGGATTCTACGATAATGTAGAGTTGTGGCGTCTCTTATCACTACATATCCCGTCAATCACCCGTGAGTGGGTCGGTCGGTGATAGGTGATAGGCGTAGGCCTGGAAAAAGAGACGTGTACACGGGGTTATATATTGAGGTATGAAGTAGATAAAATACCGGAGGGGTATTAGGAAGGGCCTTATGGCCCCCAACATCGGTGACTCGGTGGAGAGATACCGGTAATTATCCAGAAATGCGAGCATGCGGCAAGGTCGCATTTACGAATTTTCCCAACGCTCTCCGAGGGTGGGTGACATAGCATGGCCTGGCGTTGGCGTTGGTATTTGCAAGTTCTGGTGTTTTGTCCTCCTGCATGCTGCATGGCAGGTGGAGAACAACCACTCCGCCATCTACCAACCACGTATCTTCTAATTCCATTTGCAACTAAATCAGTTCGTCGTCAGTTCTCTTTCTCTTTAGCTTAAACCGCTGAAAAAATCTTATTTATATATCCGACAAAAGGGGTACAGACTCCGAAGTAGAGCTGAAAAGGTTCCCCACACCGTACCACGCGCCTTCTCCAGGCACCCCGGGTGTGGAGTATCGACGTCGTTATAGATGTTTGCTCGATTTTACCCTCCCAGATTTGACTTCGGGACTCTCAATTTGATCCCGATTGTCTATCTCGGTCCTTGATCAAGTTATTGATTGAACCACCAAGTCATGGTTCTAGTCGTCCCTATCGAGGGGCTAAATGTCCGTTCTCGAAACTCGTGATGTAGGTGATACTGATAGTCGCTAGGCTGTGGGTTGGACGCTTGCTTCGACTGCAATCTGCCTCACCTTCGGTCGATTCTACATCCGATGGCGAAGGATAGGACGGCTGGAACTCGACGACATCCTTAATGGTTTAGCTCTCGTCGCTCTCTTATGCTTCATGGCAACATACCAAGCATACCTTCCGATTCAGTACGCCTATCAGCTATTTGTGCTGGGCCTTGGCGGTCACGATGCGGACGACGACCAATTGCTTTATATCCAAAACCTGAACACTGCCAACATCGTGTTTTTTTGGGTCACCATTTACCTTGTCAAGGCTACTTTTTTGGCTCTGTATTGGACTTTGTTCAACGTCTCGAAAAGATTCCGAATAGCTTGGAACTGTGTTGCGGCATACACATTGATTTCGTTCCTAGCTACATTCTTCGCCATCTTCTGGGGCTGTGGAACTCCAAGTAGAATAGCGAACGTTGGTAAGATCTAAGCACGTCGTTACCCAATAGAGCCCTCGTTCGCTGACTCTGGGACTAGAGGCCTGCAATAGTACGAGCGCTGAGACAATCTTAGCATTTGAAGTTATGTGGTGTGCACTTAACACGTTTGGAGATGTTCTTAGTAGGTTCATATTCTGATCGGAGTTCTGGAATTAACTTGTCTAATCGCTCGCAAATAGTAATGCTTCTACCTCTTTTGATGCTTCGAAATATCCAAATATCCAGAGGGAAGAAAATTGGACTTGCCAGCATTGCAGGCCTTGTCATAATTGACATTCTCTTTGATATTTTGCGGACTGTTTACACCATTGGTTCCTACGCGGCAAACTTTCCCAATGCGAATGCTGTGTGGGCTCTATGCGAACCCACGATTGCCGTCATCGTCTGCGCACTTCCCACGTATCGTACTCTACTGTCCAGAAATAAGCCAGAACAATCCACGTCCTATGAGAACCTTCGAGGAATGAGTTCTTCTCGTAAGACAGAATCACAGAAATCACACACGGCTTCAATTCCACATGAGCTAGACGATATGAGCGCGAGTGTGTATTCGAGTCGTGCTATTTTGAAGCCGTCAAGCTTGCAGGCTGTTTGAAATTGGGGGCTCTTATTGCGGGGTATCTGGTTTTGAATATGGGAAAAATGGACTTAGAGAAAGCGAAGGTTTCATTGGCCTTGTGAGAATGGCTGTAGTAAATGACTAATAGAATAAACGATCGACCGAGCTTCCAAAAAAAAATTCGATTCCAGTTGTACAGCGTGTTTTCTGTAGCCTCCAAATTTGCCCTTGAATTTGCCCGGTGCGTTGCCACCCAACCCCTGGCGTGATATCAGAATGGTGAGGCTGCATCTTGTGTTACATTGGGTCCAACGCACTACTCGTACGCCCCTTTTGGACACCGAATATTTTCCTCGCAGTTCCCGCTGAATGATTTGCATAACACCCCGATCTTCCGGTGGGTGGGTGTGGTGACAAATCGATCAGCCTGGTAGCCTGCATATAAATAAATTGAGCTGATCACGACGTATTCCCTAATCGTAAGTCTACCCTCCCAGTACACGACCCGCCTAGGCCTAACACCACCCTCTAGGGTAAGTGGCCATCCAGCGAATACGCCAATAATAACTGCACTGCAAGAAGACAAGCTCGAAGCGTCCCTTACCCCAACTTCACGGCATCCATCACCCACCACTTTTAGCACTCCCAACCGCCGAAGTATGAAATCCGTAGCAATAGTCGGAGCTGGTCCATCAGGTCTGGTAGCTGCCAAGACACTTCTCCATTCCCATCCTCTGGGAACTTTCCAAGTCTCAGTCTTCGAACAAACCAATAGCGTGGGCGGTCTCTGGGCCGTCGAAGCAAACCCAGACCATACACTCATCAATCCGGATATGAGCACCAATCTATCACAATTCACCGTTTGCTTCTCCGATCTAGCATGGGACACATTAGAGCTAAAACCTGCACCGAATGCTTTTCCGAAGGCTTGGCAAGTCAACCGTTACCTGGAATGTTATGCACAGAAGTTTCTACCCGATACTATTATCCATTTCCGAACGAAGGTCAAATTTGCGGAGCGGATACAACTTGGTTGGAGAACCACGCTTACGGATCTGGAGACTGGGGGGGAAAGGGTCGAGATATATGACTATCTGCTCGTTGCATCCGGTCTTTTTTCCGAACCTGCACCGATTCGGTTCAACTTCGATGATATAGCTCTAGGGAAGAACCCAGTACCGATACTGCATAGTTCAGAATTCCGAAAGCTTGGTGATCTGTCTCTCACCGGACAACAGCCTTCGAAAGGCAGGATTCTCGTGATCGGCGGCTCCCATTCAGGTGCGGAAGTGGCAGCAGGAATCGCCATGCAGATGTCTGATGCACGATACTCTACTAATGGCTCAGGTATTCAGCCACTGGATGTTATACATGTGGCACCACATCCTATATCTGCTATACCCCCTTTTGTTCAGCCGAGAAACGGATCGCCTCCTACATTCTTGCCTCTGGATACTCTTCTCAATGACTTGTCTTCCAGGAAAGATGACCCAATTTCTTTCACTTTTGGACATCTGACTCCGGAAAAGACGGAGCAGCGGCGAATCATGTTGGACAGACTCGTGAAGGGAGCAAATGATGAGGACAAGAATTCTGACGAGAGAAAGGAAGATGCAAGCTCGTCTGAAGGCCCATATGCGGTTGTCAGTGACCACTATGCCGGCTTTGTTGCATCTGGCGCCATTACTCCTCTGTTGGGAAGAGTAACCTCAGTAGCACACCAAAGGGATGACGCGCAAGTGAGTAGCCTCCGCCAATACCTTATGCCTAAGTTCGCGTTTACAAGCTGTAGAAAACCACTGGTTTCGTCAGGGCAAAAATAGCACAAAGCTCGTCGGACATCGAGGTCCAGGATATTGCCGCTATCGTCAACGCGACTGGATTTTCCGCTTCGCCAGCCCTCAGCTTCCTATCTGACGACGTCAAACACCGCCTCGGATTCGATGCTTCGTGTCCTCGACTACCCCTCCTCCTTAATAGTGACGCTTCTACTTCATCGGATGCAGCGCCAAATAATTTGGCGTTGATTGGGTTCTCGTATGGCTCATACTGGGGCATTGTAGAGACTCAAGCTCGCATGATAGCACACAGATGGTATCTTGATGACCACCATATACCCCGACAAGATAAATCTCGTGAAAACGAGAAATCTAAGAAGATCTACACGTTCATAACAGAGCTGAGAACCATGATGAAAGATGACCCATCGGCAGTAGCCCAAAACTTCCTCGGCGACTATCCCGGCCTCATGGAAGAGTGTTTTCGACATCTTAACCTCCAGCGTGTCGACTTGCAGTACGGACCGAAAGCCGGAATGGTTAGTCCTGCTCGGTATGTCGACAATGGATGTGGCCGCGCCGAAGCAGAAAAGACCATGAGCAAGATCCAGAAAATGCAGGATGCGTCTGCAAACCACAGCGCGTTTGCAGCACGAGCGGCTTTCACGGCCTTGCATGGGACTTGGAAGGCCAAGAGTAAAGGGTACCTGGACCCGGTCTTCGATTTGCTGCCACTGATGGCGACTTTCCACCCTCGGCGTACCACTGCCGTGGGCTTCGATGCCGAATACCTGTTCCTCCTACACAACAAGACTGAGCCTAAGCCGTCTGGCCAATCCTCTGCCTCAAAAGGTGAGGTAGAGAGGCGGATGTATCGACTCCGAGAAATAGACAATGAAATCGAGGTTTGGACCGCTGATCATCCAACGGCAGAGAAAATGCTGCTGAAGCTTGAATTTGGCAAGGCAACTGCTCATGAATATGAGAAGTCTCTTGCGGTCACTAACTCTACCACGGACGAACTTGCGACTTACAAGTTCACTTTTTCGGGAGTCCAAGTTCCGAGGTTTAAGATATCTGTTTCCTCAAAGACTGGATCCATTGAGGGTGGTTCTGAACTCGAGTTCTCGCGTTGAAGTAACTATTCCCGCGTCAGCCGAGACGATCTTTGAATTAAGTCAGAATCCAGTAGAAAGCATACCTAATATTCGGCATGCTCAGCGTTTCCATGGCCGTCCAACCATTCCTCAAGTTCCCTGGGCCGGCTGCCAACAAGCGGAAGGGATTAGAGAATTTTCATTAGTAAGGAATTGGTGTGGAAGACGAGGGCGGAGACGAGGAAATTAAAATTCTTGAGGGCGGGCATGGTTTGGTCGATCCAGAAAAGATAGGGGCGTATATTCGCGAGGCTGTTGAGACTGAAGAGGCGAGGTAGGCGGATCTGCGGATTGTAAAATCGAGTCACAGCCTCCAGCCCAGATTTTTCAAAGAGAGACAAACAAATATTGAAGAGGCTCCTCCGGATCAACTCATACACCCATCCCCAGTTCATGAGTCGTCCATACTAGTTTGCAGGAAATAAAATAGTCATGATCCCTACAAAGCCAGATCCCAGCCTATTACCATTAATAAAATATACCGCTATAGCTCGAAGAAGCATTCTCATTCTGATTTTGATTCTAATTCTGATCCTAGTCTCTCACTATTCACGAATCCCTGCAGCTGATCTTCTAACACCTCCATCTTTTCTTCGTAAAGGAAGTGTAGATGCATATTCTTTCAGCTTTTCTCGACACATTCGAAGCATTTCGGATCACAATTATTCTATCGGCTCTAGCTCGCAAGCATCAGATAATGATGCTCTCGATTCACTAGCACAAGATGAAACTTAATACTGATATTATTAGGGCTTTTGTTTTATCTGAAGATTTTTAATTCCATGTAAGAACTAAGCATATCGAGATTCGATAGCACTAGATTCGTGAGACTATAACCGCGAAACTGGTCAACGTCAACTGGATTTAGTCGGAGGATAATATAATTGACGGGCTTACGAAACCGTTGGCTGGAACTAAATTCGCCGAGTTTGTTCGCCAGTTGGGCCTTGTAACTATCACCGTTTGATGGTTTAATAGTCCCTGATTAATAATGGATGATGGGGTTGATAAAAGCGAGTTGAAGAAAAGCTTAGGTTTAAGGGGTGTGTCGGAAGATTGTGGGGTAAACCCGCGCTTAGGTCACTTGCACGCTAAAGTAGTACCTGGGTATGGCAGTGTACTCTGCTTGCCGTCTCCATATAAACAAGCTCCACACCTTATGCAATCATAAGCAATAAAGGAAGATTCCCCACGAGCCTCAATATCATAGGGATGCTCGGTTCACGGCATTGCAATGGACAGAGCTGGTTCCGGAAGCATTCTCGGGGAGAGAGAGGTTGGGGCCCTTGTTGCTGCTAAAATCAGGTGCGGCAGGGGAGCGGAAGGCAGTTTTCAGCTCCGAACATTCCAACATCGACCTCCAATGGCTGAGGTGTGCTCATCGGGGCCGCGGTGAATTGGCGCGCGCAAACCTTTCAGAAGAGAATCTACAACGGGAGATCCGTAATCATGGGTCCGATCGACAAACAAAGCGCTTTAACAAATGCATGCTACTAAGACTCAATCATAATGAAACAACTAACGCTTCAGCCGCCGCCACCAACCGTGAACCTCAAGAAAGAGGACCTGCAGAACGTTATTTCACACATCATCAAAGCCAAAGTCTAATATAGTATTCATATTCTCATTTCTAAACTCCCAATTCTTCTTTCAGTCCTTTCAGTCTTCCTCCCAAAATCATGGCACTCTTTGTTCTCCCCGCTCCTCGTTCCCAAGTCACCGCCTTTCAAAACAAGATCACAATTGGCGTCAACTATGGAAGACACTCGGGAAGACTTTGATAACCTGGTATGGGATAAGAATGATGAGGAATGGGAAAAGGTGCAGCCAGAGCTGCGACAAAGATCCGCCATCCGCCTTGTGGAGGCACTAGCAACTGAAAAGTTTAACTGTCCTTCAACCTGGATCACTCCAATGAATATTGGCGGGTACAACATTGTATACAGATTACGGGTCAAAGGCTTCTCCTCCGATGTCATAGTTCGAAGACCAATTCCCTGCTACGCCCAATTCCCCGAGGAGAAGATCTTGATCGAGGCTGCAACTGCCGGCTACATCGAGAAGCAAACCCAAATCCCAATTGCCCCAGTACTCTTTCACGGCAACACTTCCGAGCTAGGATACTATCTCATCATCAAGTATGTTGAACATTAGCACTCCATGTCGACTGCCCTCAACGCCACCGATGACGATACCGACAAAACCTTCGTTTTGGATCCTAATATCTCGGAGGATTTCCTCGAAGTCCTTTACAGAAAGGTGGCAAGCTGCTTGCTAGAGCTTTCGCAGCATACATTTTTTCGCATTGGGTCCTTGGTCGAGTCCAGCGAAGGTTCCTACTCCGTGGCAGCACGCCCAATCACCCGCGACATGAACAATATGCTTCAACTGGCAGGTATTCCACGCTCAATACTCCCCCCAAGGGAGAAGACGTATGGGACGGCGGACGAATACTACACTGAGCTCGCAGATATGCATCTAGCCCAGCTTGTCTTTCAGCATAACGACCTTGTCGCCTCAGCAGATGATTGCAGAAACAAATACGTCGCTCGCCAAATCTTACGCAGGCTTGCAACAGAGGGAAAGATCTCAACCTTTGGATTCAAAGAGGACAGTTGGTCAGCACAATCCAAGACAATGAGCGCAATTTCATCACCCGTACCTCCTAATGCGGGCTCTTTTTGGCTGTATTGCGACGATCTACGAGCAGGATATGTTCTTCTTGACGACTCTGACAATATCGTCGCTATCATTGACTGGGAGTTCACGTATGCTGTCCCTAGTCAATTCTCCCTTGATCCGCCGTGGTGGTTGGTCCTCGATCCGCCTGATATGTGGGACGATGGTATCGAGGATTGGGTTAAATTCTATGAACCACGCATGAAAATTTGGTTGTCAGCTATGCAGAAGGCTGAGGCCACCGCAGAGTCCAACGAGAGATGCATGGAAGTTCCGTTGTCGACGTACATGCAAGAGAGCTGGGAAACAGGCAGGTTCTGGCTAAGTTATGCAGCGAGGAAGAGTTGGGCATTTGATGCTCTCTTCTGGAAATTCTTGGACGAAAGGTTCTTTGGAATTAGACAGAATAGGGTCCCAAGGGATGAGTTGTGGAAGACAAGGCTGCATCTTCTAAGCGAGGCAGAGAAAATCGCGATGGAACCCTTTGTGGAACGGAAGATGGAGGAAACAAAAATGCGCAAGTTGGTTGAGTGGGATCCGGAGGATGCAAAAAGGCGTTTGGCTGAGGTCATATTTGACTAAGCCAAGTATAAAGAATGAGATTTATATTAGACGAAATGAAAGAACGTCCTCTGTTCTGGCTATATAGCAGTCCTTAATCATGTAAACAACGTTTCTCCGCGTGTACAAGTCTGAATGCAAGGTTTCTGTATTCCGGTGCGTCTCGTGAGAATAGCTAGCTAATAATCGAAGCTATCTACATACATCCGTACGGCAAAAGTGCACGTACGTTACCCACCTGCGTATAGCAAAATTATCGGTGCGTTGGATTTCAACGTATTTTACACAGAAAGTGTTGAATTTTGGGATCTAAGCTGCGGGAATCTGCAGTTCTGGTGGGATTGCTTTCCCGATAATATTTAGACTAACGCAGATCAGAAAGAGCAGACATAAATCCATAATGCAGCTACGACGTATTTGATCTAGCTCGATATGTAGATTACAGTATGGGAAACTTTGGAGAAAATGATAGATTGCTGCCACAGCCCTCAAATTTGAAATCGGGGGAAGGTCTGCTGCCGATCGAATATCAACACAATATACTTCCAGCTTCCAAACTATTTTCAACCCTTCCACCATCCGCAGGGCATATATTTCATCCTTGGGTCTAGAGTTGCGAAAGAAGACTGCCTTTTCTCGGTGCTTCTGCAGTCCAGAAATCTGTGTCCACAGGCGCTTGTAACCATCGGCAAAGCATTTGAGAATTCCCCTGCTGTGAGAGTGGCTTGTCTGCATTGTAATTTAGGCTGGATATTCTCTCTATGGATTTTGGTAATACTGACCGAGCTCCTCTAGGTTGGCCGCTACGCTCTGCCGTTCTTGGTATTGCTGAGCTTGGGGTTGGTTCTTCTGGTTGGCTTTGTGGGCTTGCTTGTCTGGCGATGAGGTCGGCATTGTTGTTACCACAGTTGTACTGGTAGAGGATGTTGTAGAGGACTGCAGAATAGCAACTTATTTGATGAATTGTGTTTTCAACAGGCAAAATGTGTTGAATTATCATGAAAAGAGAATAATATTGCTTGCCTCACTGTGTCCAAATTTATAGAATAGAATCAGGACATGATTTTGTTTTCCAGCTTAGAAATGTTGTCCTCAGAATAATATATTGAACCATGTTTAGTGCAGAGATATCAAAAAACCTTGTGTTATTGGTAATTTATCTCCTTCGCCACAGTTGCGGCGAGTTAGGAGCGAGACAGAAGATATTGGGGATAGGATAGGGAGACAGGACAAAAATACAGGACAATATTGAAACAAAATTCCACCACAAACCACTAGGGTGAGAGCTCCGTGAAAAGCCCAAGGATAATGGCCCTGACGATACGTTAACACTTGTCAGGACATTTAGTCAATGGAACATTGCAGGGGTTGATCATAAGATCCAGGACAATTTCAAAATAACCCGCCAGGACAAGCGAACAACCGAATTGTGACAAAAACTTGTGCCGACCCACTATGATGAGATAAGGGATAAATCTTACAGAATGGCGCAGAGAGCTCTGCAATTAGATTGGACAAAAATTATTGTCGATAGCCTTTCAAAGCATTAGATCAGGTAAAGAGCCAATTCGGTCCTTTCAGAGGCTTACTGCCTGCCCAGAATGTCTACCGCCTTTGGTTAGTTCTGCTTGACGAATAGAACAGATTTTTCCGTTTGCCCTCTTGGAGAATAGATCAATATAACTACACCTTCTCTATTGAGATCTCGACGTTCATACCCCCCTCAGAAGTCCCAGGACCGGAGGGCCAAGCAGGTTGAGGCATTCCGTAAAGCAACATTATAGATATGCCGTGAATGAAAGGCGCCACATCGGCCTGGCATAGCAGCGAGCCTTCGGGGTACAATAGCCTGAAGGAACAGGACCCCCAGCGATCCTTATAGAGTTTGTGCGCTATATTTCAAAGCCGAGAAGCCTATAACGCCCTGCAGTTACAGTACGCCTTCGTTGGAGATGTGGCGCTTACCAGCCGCATGACATAGGCCGCGACCTCCGTAAAATCAGCCGCATAAAGTCCTGAAGGTAATCCCCCAAAAAGTCCTGACTGAACAAAGTCCTTGCAACTTCGGCGACCCATGCGCACCACCTAAAAAGTGGTGTTCCCACACAAGTCTCGGAATCTTCATCATTTTTTCTTCCAAATATCGACCAACCCGAGAGGCAAATATTTGGCAGCCTTACTGTGATACTCATACTTCCCCATAATAATTCGTTTCCCCCGCCCTCCACACATATGTCGAGGCTCAAATTGGATCAATGGGGAAGTCGATGGTCCTTTGCTCGCGGAGCGACGAAAGCTACTCATAGGACCGGGGGGCAATCCATAACTGAGCTTACAGAAGCCTTGGCTGAGGTTGATGGCCTGCTTGCTGGTATCAACTACCTTGGAAATTGGAACCTGAGTCTGAGGAAACCCCTTCCGTTTCTGCAAGGAGCGACAATGGAAGCAATTCTTCACCTTCAATTTCACCGAAAGAATCTTGGTTCGGCCATCTGACTGTTGACCTACCCCAACTGGACACCTTAAGCTCCCAGGAGCGATCAAAGATTGACATAAAATATCTTCAAAATATTATGAATAGCAAGTCGGTCAATTCAAATGACAACTCACGCCAAATACCTCGTAAATCTCAATGGGCTACCCTTCGCAGCCTACGGAAGGCATCGATGTATCACTACAACCAGTTTGCCAAGGCGACCGCCGACTCAACGTTACCCGAAACCCGAAGGTTGAGGAAGTCCTATGTTACCGCGAAAAATATGCTGGAAATGGGGATATTGACTTTCCGAGACGTTCTCCATGGGCAGACCCCTACGACTCTTATGGATATCTTCGCCTTCGCGAGTCTCTCATATGTAATATCAAAGACCTTACATGCCAATGGCCACATAGAGGAGTCGGATATTCTTTCCGGTATCTTGGACTGGCGAGCTGCTATTATTGATGAAAGTGAAAGGTCTGCTTTTGACGAGATCGCCAAGCAGCTGTGGCCAGAGGCAAAGGAAATTATGCATTTCTTCCCCATTGGGGGGAAGGACATGAATCTAGAAACTACCGGCTTGAGACGTGACGAGAGCGAAACGAGACTTGTACAATCTTCCATACCTCGAGAAGTATTGGATGCAAAGTCATCAAGGCGAAGTGAAGAGCACATCGCGTCGCAAGAGTATCCTTTGCTCTCCCCATCGACTCATGAGTATACGCCGATTTCGCAAGCGAACACATTTCCTGCACCATGTGCTGGCGAACTGCTATATCATACTAGCGGACTTCAGGATCACGTTCGTCAACTTTTCCAAGAAACAAAGTCACATGAAGAATTTTTGTTTTCAGCCTTTCTCAATCTACCGGAAGATCCCACGGATCCATCCTTGCATCAAACAACTATTCTGGATTTCGAGCCGGAAGTTCCCAACCCATCGCAGACAGGGTGTTTAATTGATATAGAATCGACTCCCAGCGAGTTACGAAGTTCTCCCCTCCATAATTTTGAGGAACCTTCTCCATTTGAATACAAAGACGCAAAAGCGAACGGCTCTGCTCCCCATCGCCTCTTAAACACTACATTGTTTCAAGTAGTATCCCGCTTTGTGATTCGTCAGTTTCTTTTCCATCTTCCTGCATACGTTTTGCTAATTATTGTTCTAGATGTTTCTGAGATGGGCGATCTACTAAATGTCCTCTCGGGAGGAGGATTGACGTCTGGGGCGGGTGGAATTAAGCCCGCTCATCCACGCCAGCCTTGGGCAACTTTCGAGTTTCTTGATCAAGCCCCCGAACATATTTTTCGACCTCTACATCACGAAGCTGTTCAGATCGATGAGGCTTTCTGCGGGATCGTCACTATGGCGGAGATGTTCGTCAAGCTCGGCTCTCTCCAGACAGTCAGAGAAGTTGAAAACTACATTATTACAGTTGGTCGAGTATGATTGCCTTCTATTTTCCAAGTTCGATACTAATCGAGATGACCATGTAGTATCTCACCCGTTCCTATGACTTATTTGTGAAATTAGTATCGAAGACTCTCATCCAATGTTTGTTTGCTTCCCAAAAAATGAAGTGGAATCTCCTCTATCCCAATCGCATTCAAGAAGCCGACGAATACTCCATTGAGTACATTGACAGAAGAGAGAGAGGTGAGAAAAAGTGGGCGGATTCCAGCTTTGCACACCTAGACCTATCGGAAGATATGCCATCTCCCTCCTCATCAACAAATGATGATCTTCAGAAGCATTCGCCCAACCCCCTGAAACATTTTCACCAAGGAAAATCGAATTCAGCTGCAAAACGCCAGTAGGTAGATCCTAAGCAATATTTACTCATGGTCTAACTCGTTAGTCGAAGAAAAATTCCCGACACTGCTTCTCAAGGTCCAGTTTCAGGGTCGGATGTTTCGACTATCGAGTTGTGCCCTTTTGATAACTGCTCAAAATCTTATACGGGCAGTGCTGCCCGTAACAACCTCTCACGTCACGTCAGAACCGAGCACCTGCAGAAGAAGACACTAAATTGCCCGAATTGTTGCAAGGGAATGCGCCGCCGAGATAACCTTCGCCAACACTTTTTGAAAGTTCATAGTACACATACACTACCGGATTGGATTGCCAATAAAGGACGGGGTCTACGCGATGCGCGACATACTGACTAGTTATCCTTCCCTTCCTTCTTCAATCTTCTCTAACACCCCCCCCCCCCGGTGTTAATAATTTCCTCTGTACCTAAGTGAGCGTTCTTGCTTCCAGTATAAAAAATTTCTGGGAGTGCTTTTGATTTTGAGGGGAGTTGAATAACAAAGTTTCCACATCGCACAAAGAGCCACAGCTACACATTTCTCGTAATATGACATACTGGTGGTAAGGAGGCAGAGGTTGGCAGTCGGGCTTGGAGTTGTATTGATTCTATGTTGATTCAATGTTTTTGGGATGCAGGCGATGACGTGTCACGCGATCTCATATTTGTTTAAAACCTTCTATTGGAATTTGAATGACTCAGGAATTAGTACATCAAGCATTATGTATAATGAAAATCTTATGATAAGTTTAATTCATGATACCTTTAATTATGCCAATTGAGAATTATTTAGTGCAAGGTGGATTGATGGAACAATTCCCAAAGGAAAGTCTACCTACGAAACTAGCCATTGCGCCTTTCTAAGAGGCGAGAGGTTTCAATAAAGACCTTGGGCTAGAAAATTGTAAAATACCAGGACACCTTCAATGGCATCTTAAAGTGCGCTCAGCTCGGTACACTTTGTGATGGCGTTTTGAGATACGACTGCAATAATTGAGAAATCACGTGTTGAGCAACATTCGCTCTGGTTTCCACCTTGTTTACCACAGAACACTTTTATTTATGAATGATGACAACTTTAACCCCAATGAACAGATGCATCTAAAGCCCTATAATTCGCGCCACATCGAAGATTGAATGGCATCTTATTCATTCTTTTGAGAGCATCTGTTGCTGTATAGTCGGCTAGGAACTTGTTTAGGCTCCTTGAGTGTCTTCGTCAAAACTTAACGAAAATGATATGAGAGAACAGAGGTCAGATCAAGTATGATTGGCTAAAAAGCGAAAAGACCAAAACACGTGACATTTTGATAGATCTTGCTCAGGATGCTCAGGGCGCTCGGGTGAGTTGCTCAGGATGCTCACGAAACTCAGGCCAGTTGACTGAGCCGAGGGGGAACCAATGGTGATTAGCACCTGAGCAAGAGCGGCAAGATTATTAGCCGAATGCGATGGACAAGAGGGAGAAAATTAATTCACAATACCGGAGAATCCCATCGTGATCGTGTCCAAGGCGTTCGTAGATACCCTTTTCTCTCCCGAGCAATGGTAGCTCAGTACGCCGGGCGAATTTATAACAGCGTCAAGACGGGCAACCAATACATGGTGCGTAGTCCTATCACATCTTGACGATTGATGCCTAGCGGATATTGAATAGTGTGGTTCATTGGAGATTTGTAGAAGGGCGGTGGTACCTGGACTCCCTAGTTCGAACTAACCTAGGTAGTTTGCTTATTGAAATTGAGTAATGGAGAGTTTTGGATACAATTTATTACCTGATTATATACTTCAATAAACCTGCTAATCACTTACGCAGCACCCTACTCGAGTACCATTGAGCCTTTCACACCCGCGAAAATAGATTCTAGAATATTTAGAAGTTATTATTTAAGAAGTTAAGAAAATACTTGTTCTAGTAACTCCAAACAACTATACTTAAAATAGCGATAAACAAACAAAATAAAACCACACGTCCTATTCTATTATTCTATGTTAATATATTCGAGCATAGACTTGCTTTGAATACTCTAATTTTTTCAAAGTAAAAGTCCTAGTTCCCCGACACACCTAGTGAAGGGCATGCGACTCCGCAGGAGGAAAGCCCTAGCCAGACTAGTTCTCGCAGTGAGGCAGACTAGCCAGCTAGGCCCAAAAGTCAACTACGAGCTTTTAAACTACAACAACTTTAATATATACTATTAGAGCTGGAATTACCGCAGCTACTAGTACTAGACTTATTCTCTAATTATTCCTCGTTAAAGGATTTAAATTGTACTTATTCTAATTATAAGACTTAAAAGAGCTCTATATTAGTATTATTATTACTATTTCCTTATATCGGGATTAAGTAATTTACTTACTTACTACTTTCCTTGGATATAGTAACCGTTTCTCAGGCTCTCTCTCCGGAATAGAACTCTAATTCTTTGTTATTATTAAAACTATAATAAATTACTATTTTACTATCGAAAGTTAATAGAATAGAAATTTGAATAAACTATCGCCAGTATAAAGCTATACGATTCGTTTAGTTATTGTATTACTAGAGAACCCCGGAAAATATTGGTTTTTTATCTAATAAATATACTTTTTCCGAAGTCGGAGTTTTTAGTATATATTAGTTCTAGAATTACTATAGTTATCTAAATAGTAAAATACTATTAAATAAACGATAACTAATTTAATAAACTATTCGTAGTTTTATTCTATAGATTATTTATATTTAGATATATATAGTTTAATCTTTGAGACAAGTATATAACTATTAGTATAATTAACTAAATAACTATTTTATATACTTAAAACGCTCCTGTAGAACAGGTAGGTAGTACGCTGAGAGGGGCCGGAGCCCAGCCTGGGGCGCCGGAGAGCGTTGTTCCCTAGGGAGCCTTCCGCTGCACAGGTGTTGGGGCGCCAGACGCCTGCCTACAGTGCTGCATCGGCCCCCTAGGAGGAGGGTGCCGTCCGCCGACCACGCCCGGAGGCGGGTGTCGGCATGGGCCTTCCCCCGACTGTCTTGGGATATGTTTGGCCATCGGCCAGCAATCCTCAGACTCTAATAGCGGCCGCCATCTCCCACAGGGGATCGTACAGCCTAGGCGGACCCCACTAGCCCCGATACCAGCGCGCTGCTGAAATTCCCGGGCGGGGTTGGGGGTCTGGCAACTAGGGGACGGTTGTGCTAAAGTTGCCTATAGCGGCAGCTTCATACCCGGGGGTAAGCAGGAAGAGAGGAACAGTCGGACAACCGGTCAACGCGGCTCGTCGAGCCTGGGGGGGCTCCAGCCTAGAGAACCCAGCGACCGATTACCTGGACTACGGCAAGACCACCCTCAAGTATCTACAAGGACTATATCACAAACTACACGAAATTGGAACGCATCAATAAAAAAAACCCTACCAGTAAAACAACTTGCCAAAAATCCAGCAAAGCAATAGGCTAAAACCAGGTAGGCGTCAAACAGGCATCGAGAAGACTAAGACGAGAGAAAAAAGTGAGCAGACAAGAGAAATAGGGCAACAACAAGTAAGTGCTCCACTTAGATCTAGATATAGTCTAGACACATAATTCGATCAGCCCCTGACGCAAATAGGACCCTGATCTGGCTAATTGGCTGAGTCTCTTGCTTTACCCAAGCTCTTGTTCGTGGGCGTTGATAGGCGTCAGGGGCGTTGTCGAGCTGTGAGATAATTGTCCGTTAGCTAAAGTCCGCAGGCATATCGCGATCTGCTATACCTGGCCACCCTTTATTTCTGCAACACCCTGTGCAGTTCCCTTTCTCTCCTTTGCACGCCTTCCTTTCGGCATAGGAAATGAGGGATACCCGGCGTCAAATCAATTGATGATTGAAATGTATAATAGAACATTGGTAGTCCAACTTGACGATTGCGGATATACAGCAACCGAAGCCCATGGAATGGCAAGGCGTGTGCAATAGTGTAGCACTTTTGATTCCTACTGGGTATCTAATCATCGGTTAGCGTCCAAACAACGTTCCGCAATAGGGTCATATGGCGTGCATGTTATACACCAAATACGTACCAGCTGTGATATTTCCAAAGTAATCACCACGCGACTTAAAGGATAGGTTTATGTGGGTTGGATGAATCAGTTTTCTGTTATTAATCCTGGTGGAAATGTTTTGTCCTGGACTCATAAGGATATAGAGAGTACACGATTTGAGCTGTCGAGGGATCTTTGGGGGTTATGACGTGCATATTTTCCCCTTTAACTAACCGGGAACGGGCCGAGCCCGTTCCCAGAACACCGCACAGACTAATCTTCGATGTAGCCGATCAGACGCAACAAGCTTCGGGCAATACTCCGTATTCTTATGACCCGAAGAGAAGTGTTTACGATACGAGTGCGAGTAATACGCATCCCCTCATTGGACGTACGACAACAGCCCCTGAATCCCCGCAAAACGGCACCTATGCGGCGATCAATATCTCCCGGATCGACATCACAACTCCCGAGAGCGGTGGCTCAGTCTGCTTCAAGCAATCCCGTTGCTCGGATGATTCAACGATAGGCCCGTCCCCTGTTTGCTTGGCGGAGTAGTTGATACTGTATTGGGAAATGCATAATAGCTGGTCGAGACCCGCTTGTTTTGTTGATGAGTAGAAATCACTTCTCTGTCTCTTCGTCTAATGTCGTATCCAACAGCGGGAGCTTCAGTTACTTTCTTGTCTCATTTATTATTCGTCACTGCGGTTAAGTGCCACCAGTTGTTCATCCTGAAGTTCTCTATCCTTTCAACTACAATGAGCCTTGGGTTGGCCTCTGCTAGTCAACAACACTTTACATGTCAAGGTACTATTGACACATGGGAGCCTGCTGGACCAGATGATTGTAAGCTCTTCGAGCCATTTTCCTACACAATTCCCGTTGTTTAGATGCTACGACTCTTCCTTCTATTCTCTCATGCAGCGTGAAACAACGAAACAACTCATTTCCTAGAGAGCAAGTCCTCAAAATCGTCGAGGAGATTGTTGCGAAACCTGTGACAAAACAGGCCCTAAGTCTAACCGACTAACACCTTTCAGTGCGCGGCCCATGCCCGATGATGAACACATTGGCAAACCACGGATTCCTCCCTCACGATGGCAATAACTTGGACTTTGAACAACGTCGTCCACGCGCTGACCACCGTACTCAACCTCAACGAGTCGATTGCTACTATCATGTGGCAACAAGCCATAATTGCTAACCCAGAGCCCAATGCCACCTTCTTCACTCTGCAAGCTAGCACAACTTCTCTGTGTTTGTTGACAAGGCTGACACCTCCAACAGCGATCAGCTCAAGGTGCACAATCTCTTGGAACACGATTCCAGCTTGAGGTAAACCATCCAGATTTTCCTTATCACGAACTATCACTACTCTTCGATGCCTCTCCACGAGCTCGTCTTCATCCATACCATATACCCATATCTTTCTCCTTGACTCAACACAAGCACTAAAACCCCGCAGTCGATCTGACGCCTTCTTTGGCAACAACCACGTCGTCAACCAAACCATCTTCGACACCTCAAAAGCCTACTTCACCGACGAGACAATGACAGTAGCCCACCTTGCCAACGCTAAGATCTTCCGCTAACTCACCTCTAAGGCTACAAACTCCGGGTACACTTTCACTAAGACTAACAAGGCTTTCAGTCTCGGTGAGATGGCGGCGCTTATTCTGATGTTTGGTGATTTGCCGACTGCAACGGTCAATCGCACGATTGTGGAGTTTTTCTTTGGTATGTTGACTCTCCTTTTCTTGGACTCTGACTTTCTGGCTGGGACAGAACAAGTGGTGATGAGAAGATGTCCTGACGAGCAACAGAGAATGAGCGACTCCCTTCCTCCCTCGGCTGGACGAAGCAAGCAAACTCCATCACGCCTGAGGATGTCACTAGGATGTCTCAAATCGTTAGCAATGTCACTAGTCTCATCACGGCCCATCATCGCTAAGCGCGACTCGCATTTCGGGTATCTGCTGTAGGAAGAGAAAGCCGTCAGAAGGAAGGGACTGATAGTTGTATGAGATGTATTTGTTTAAATTCTAGGTCCGCGAGGCAAGCAGATCGTTCTCGGGGTGGCCCGCACTTCATGCGCTAACCTCTCGCCTACGGTCGCCATGCACCAAGCCTTTTGGTGGATCCTCAAATATCATTCGGGGTTCCCATCCGTCAAGAATTGCTTGCATGGTGTGAGATAACTAAGAGGCGACAGCGCTTGCCTAGTACTTTCAACAATGCCTCTCTACTCCCGGATATCTTAAATGTATCAGATGGTCTCTGTAAGTCTCTCGGTTCTCAAAGAATACCCCTGCCGATAATCTTATGCGCACCAATAATCTCTTCTACGTTTAGGAAGATGATGTCCTGCTCGGGATAAGCGATGCCGCACAATATGCCAGTAAGCAGTTCAGGCTGTACTCGGCTCCACAGATGGAGAGAAAAGCTTACTCTATTGGAGGACCATCTCCCTCCTACGGTTTTGGTCAGTTATTGCTTGGAAATTAGCAGTCTTAACTGGCTATTAATATAGCTGGATTAATATCGAGAATGCGATGTTCGTACACTCGTTTCTGATCGTTAAGACGGAAGTCTGTCTTTTTCTTCCTGGCTTCCTAGAATGGAAACTAATCCGAATTTAAGTACCCGATTGATTCATCTCGCCCTCTGAAATTCCGATTCGCCACCTTTCCTAGGTTGATTCGTGGAAACTAGTTTTAGGGAGGTTTTCCAAATTAGAGGGATAGAAGAGACTCATTTCAGGGATAAGCATGTTTATACCTTGGCTTTAACTTTGTTTTCCGTCTTGGGTGCCTACGTATGCCTCATTATTGTATATATCAGGACCGTTCATCCAGCATCTTCAAGGTGTGGCTTCCATATTGTACTTCATTTTCAGTCTATTAATGTACCGGAAACTGGTGAACACACTATACCATGGTGTCGATAGGCCTCTTGAAGGCTGCCGTGGTTGGCCTCATAATAACCAACGTACCTGTCAGCGCACAGGTCTCACCTGTGGTATCAGAGACTGGCGTGCTTGCCTATCAATTTTCCCTGAGCAATGTTACCCTCACGTCTAGCCGATGGCAGGAGAACGAAAGACGGACGCTCACTTATCTCAAGTACATCGATGTAAATCGGATGTTGTACGTCTTCCGGTCAAATCACAAGCTATCAACCAATGGTGCTTCTGCCAACGGAGGATGGGATGCCCCAACCTTTCCATTCCGTTCCCATATGCAAGGCCACATCCTCACAGCGTGGGCGCAGTGCTGGGTCTCTCTGAAGGACACAACTTGTCGAGACCGTGCTATATCGTTCGTTGCTGAGTTGCAAAAGTGCCAGCAGAACAATGGAGCCGCTGGTTTTGCGGCTGGATACTTGTCAGGTTTTCCCGAGTCTGACTTTAATGCTATGGAGGAAGGTACATTGAGTAATGGAAATGTGCCTTATTATGCCATCCACAAGTCGCTTGCAGGTGTTCTGGACGTGTGGAGAATCATTGGAGACAGCACTGCTAAGAGTGTCACTCTTGCACTTGCAGACTGGGTCGATACTCGCACCTCTAAGCTGTCAACTTCCGCAATGCAGACTGTATTGAACACTGAGTACGGCGGAATGAACGATGTGTTGGCTCAGATTTACCTAATGACGGGCACCAGCAAGTACCTCGCCGCAGCCAAGAGATTTGACCACACTGCCCTATTCACTCCTCTGCAGAACAATCAAGATCAACTCAGCGGCCTTCACGCCAACACGCAAGTCCCTAAATGGATTGGTACTGCTAAAGAGTACAAGGCAACCGGAACTTCTTCGTACCTCACGATTGCGAAGAATGCCTGGACGATGACCGTCAACGCCCACAGCTATGCTATTGGAGGCAACAGCCAGGCTGAGCATTTTCGTGCACCGAACGCGATTGCTGGATACCTCAACACAGATACCGCAGAGTCCTGCAACACATACAATATGCTAAAGCTGACGCGAGAACTGTGGATGACTGACCCCACCAATACGGCCTATTTTGATTTCTACGAGCGCGCCCTCCTCAACCATCTGCTCGGAATGCAAAACCCGTCTGACAGCCATGGGCATATTACCTATTTCTCCTCGCTCAACCCAGGTGGCAGGAGGGGTCTAGGTCCGGCTTGGGGTGGTGGCACTTGGTCCACGGACTACGACTCCTTCTGGTGCTGTCAAGGCACGGGTCTCGAGACCCAGACTAAGTTCGCAGACTCCGTCTACTTCTATGACTCCTCTACCCTCTACGTCAACCTCTTTACGCCCTCGGTGCTGAGCTGGTCTGCCCGCAGCATTTATGTCACCCAATCCACCACATTCCCCATTTCAGACACCTCCACCATCAACATCTCAGGCTCGGGGACCTTTGCAATATCTATTCGCATCCCCGGCTGGACCTCGGGAGCCTCCATCACCATCAATGGCGTAAGTGCTGGCGTCTCCGTAAATGCGGGGTCGTATGCAAAGATATCTCGCACCTGGGCCTCGGGCGACCAAATCGTGGTCACCTTGCCCATGCGGTTCCGCACGATTGCAGCAAATGATAATTATAACGTTGCAGCAATAGCATTTGGACCTACGGTTCTCTGTGGTAACTACGGCTCCACAACGCTCTCGTCGAACCCTTCGCTTTCGCTGAGTACTTTGAAGCGCTCGTCATCGACGACGTTGACATTTACCGGAATAGCAAATGGTGCCAATGTCAGCTTGGTTCCATTCTATGATGGCCAAGGATTCAACTACGTTGTTTACTGGGCTATAAGCGGGTCGTTCCCGACCGCGTCGCCGCTGTCTATTACTACAAGTACAACTAGTACACTGTTGACGACCACCTCTCTAGTTTCAACAACGACTGATGGACCTTGTCAGTCCATATGGGGACAGTGCGGTGGATAAAACTGGGCAGGTCCTACCTGCTGCGACAGTGGCACCTGTAAGTATTTAAGCTTCTGCTTCGATATTGAGCATTGAATGTTAATTAGTTCTAGGCGCGTTCTCGAATGACTGGTACTCGCAATGTATTTAGAGGAGCAAGGTCGGAATTTCGGGAGGGAGTGGATTTGTTAAACGTGGGTCGTTGCTGTTTTGAACCTTCTTTTACTATCTTCTATTAGAGTTCTCTTATTAGGTTTTCATCAACAGTGTAGCGCTACGTAGGGAAAATTTCCTTGAGCTTATATATTAACGTATTTATCAAAAAGCAGATATAGCTTATGTAATAAACTAGAAATGTGTCGGACCCGATCTAACGTTTTTGTGACGGAACTGGACCGACGCCCGGCACGTGCGCCTACTCCTGCAGACCGATCACGTGCAGTATCACGTGCGAGTGGCACGTGACTTACCGAAGGGATATATACTCTTAGAAAAGTTATACTCTCTCTCCTTTCTTCTTTAGCTTAATATCTTCGTATTTACGATTATAGTCGAATGGAGAGATAGCTATTTAATTACAAAGTACTCTTATTTGTATTCGTGACAATTATAGTATTTAAGCTGAATATCTGTTATATTTAAAAAATCTTATAATAGAGGTTAGGAAAAACTCGCCGATATTAGATATTAGGTACGAGTTAATAGAATATATACTGTCAAAATACGGTAAGGATATAATATGTCAAATATGATATTGGTCGGGGGTCGTCTTGCCGCCCCTACGGGCTACGGCACAGCCAGGCTCCAACCAACACGTGGGAGAACGAATCCAATTCCCAACCTATTTGTGATAAAACATGGACGACAAGTCGAATGAGGATGTAGTCGTGATAGGAAGCGAAGACGTGAGAGATTTCAACCCAGACAACATTCTTCCACTCCCAGGAGACTCTATCTGCAAGATACGGAGCTGGCTCAATCCAACCGAGTTCGATTGCGAAGGAAGCGAATACCGGAAGCATTTATATTCGCATCTGGCCGGTACAGGGAGATGGGTTTTCTCGTCGTCAATATATCAGCAGTGGCATGGGTCCCAGAAAGATGGAATACTCTGGATTCGGGGTATGTGTTTCCCGAGGGGAACAAAGGATTAACTCGTGGTGCTAAATTATCTTCGCACAGGTATCCCTGGATCAGGAAAGTCGGTTCTCGCAGCTACTTTAATAGAACAACTTTCCCAGGAAGGGTTTCCGGTCCTTTACTTCTTCTGTCGCCATACCATTCAAGCCAACCACAGTCCCGAATCAGCTTTGCGTGACTGGCTGGCCCAGGTTTTGGATTTCAGCCCCCCATTACAACATGCGCTCGAGAAAATGTCAAATGACAAACAAGCTGTGGAAAAGCTCACAGCCGCCGACCTGTGGCCCCAGCTTCGTATGGCATTATCACACGTACCCAAAGTCTATTGTGTAGTAGATGCTCTAGATGAGATGGACCAAAACCATTTAGAGGCATTCATTCAGTCTCTAGATGAAGTGGGTCGGTGGCGGCCAGCAGAAATCAAGCTTATTATCACCAGCAGGCCAATTTCAACGATCGAGAAAACGTTGCGCAGGGTAAAAGTCTTGGATATCCGCCTGGATAAAGAGTATGTTGAGCAAGATATTGCTACGTACGTCGATCACCGACTTGCTTCGTCGTCGATTTCAATACAGGACCGCCCTTTCATTACGAAAACCGTCATGGATCGAGCTGATGGTCTGTTTCTCTACGCTAAACTCGCTATGGATACTGTTCTGGAACCCAGTCAAGACCCTCAAAAGGCACTTCAGGATATACCAACTGAGTTGAGTCTCGTGTACACCAATCTTTTGCGCGAACATTCGAAGAGATCAGGTGTTCCAGATGGTCTTCAAGAACTCGTTCTTCAATGTGTTACTCACGCAATCCGCCCTCTCCGTCTATTGGAGATTGCCGATCTTATACATGTTACTCAGCAAGTTGATCGTGATATTAAGGATACCAAGGCTCTTGTCTGTTGCATATGCGGGCCACTTCTAGAGATTCTCCCTGATGAGACGGTTCGCGTCGTCCACCATTCCCTGACAGAATACTTGAATGGAACCACTAGAAGGGACAAGGGGGTTTACCAAATTTTCGAATTCGGCGCCACGCACAATTTTATGGCCCTACTGTGTCTGTCATATCTCCAGTCCGGGTGCTTAGAGCATGTCAAGTATATGGGGGATGAATCACTGACTGCGGAGAAACAATCCTTTGCCCACTCGCACCTGAGGCGCGACAGACATATCCTCCAATATATGCTCAAACAGAACCAAGTCCTCCCTCCCTTCACTCATTATGCTGCGGATAACTGGTACATTCACGTTAGAAATGCAGCTTTTCTTGGTCATGACCAGACAGCTGTCAACAGCGCACTTCACAACCTGCTCGTTGACCAGAATTTAAACAAGGTAGCACTCCTGGCGCAGCTACAAGTGGAAGACCAATATACACCACTTTTTCTGGCCGTTGCACTACATCTAGAGGGGTTCGCCAAGTCGCTTCTGGACCTTCCGGAGACCAAATTGAGCAAACCCGAGAAGATGGCCAGCTCGCCGATTTCGTTCGCTGCTAGGAAAGGTCTCGGAACCATAGTGAGGTTACTTCTCAAACATGGTGCAGACCCGACTGAGCATGACGATTATGGGTTCACCCCCCTGCACGCTGCGGTTTTATCTGAGCACCCGAAAGTCGCCACTCTATTTCTTGATGCTGGGGTCGACCCTTTTATCAAAGATACCGAGAATAAAAAAGTAATGTCAAACCCAACTGGAGTAAACTCATATGGAAACCCCGCATTGTCGGCCTTTTCTCATGGCAATATTGCAATGGGATTGGCATTTCTACCGTACCTGAAGACATCCAAACAAGTCACCTGGGCGCTTATTCGCGCTGTGGACGGCCACAATGCACCCATAGTTGAGGTTCTGTTGCAGCATCCTATGATCGACGTCAACGCACGATGTCAGACCCAGGCCACAACCCCTCTTCAAAAGGCATGCAATTCCCGCGATGCCGATATAATTAGCCTGCTTCTTAAAGCTGGGGCAGATCCGAATATACCTCATAATTGTTTTGGCAACGGTGGCATTTCAAAAGACGGACAGGGATCCAACACATTGCACGCCTTGGCCTCATTTTATAGCGGCTGCCACCACCCTCATAAATACGAGGAACAGTGGGTGAGGTGTTTCAAATTGGTGCTAGAAGCCGGAGCCAAAGTAGATCAAATTGATATCGAAGGAAACACTCCCTTGCATGGAGCTAGGGATGTCTTTGCTGTTCGTTGCCTACTTGACGGTGGCGCAAACCCAAACGCAGTCAACCAGTTGGGGGAGACTTTATTCCACAATACCTTCAACAAAGACATCATCAACATTCTCAAAGACAAGGCGGATGTTAATCTGAAATCATCATATCGAGGTCAAACCCCGCTTGTACAGGCATTATCAGAATATTTCCCTGATACGGAATGCGTCGAGAAAGCCTTCCAACTGCTGGACCTTGGCGCCGATGTCAATATTGTTGATAACAACGGTAACTCAGCGTTGCATCTTGCCATGAAAGGCACCAGAAAACTAGATAATGTCCTTCTGCAGCTTATTGAAAGATTAGTGGCAGGGAGTGGGGATACAAATCTACGAAACCTTCAAGGCCAAACTCCTCTACACAACTTGGTCGGTGTTGTAGGATGTGGAGCTGGGCATCGCCATCTTAAGTTGGTTGAAAAAATTGTGACGGCTTTGCTAGACACTGGAGCAAACCTGGAAATCAAGGATAGTGAAGGGAAAACTCCGCTTTTCCGCATGGTCAACTTTCATCATTCCACAGAAGACCAGGAGTACATTGATTTATGCGAGAAGATGATCGAATTCGGTGCACGAATCGACACGATAGACTCGAAGGGTCGAAATCTCTTGTACGACGCTGTCCTGAAATGCCAAGCCAAGTTCATTAAGTACTTGATCGAGCGAGGAGTTGACCCTAGACAGACTGATTATGATGGCAATACAGTGTGGCACGAGGCAGCACCACGATTTGCAAAAGGTGGCGCAAAGCCCGAATTCCTCAATGAGCTCCTTGCCTTTGGTTTCGATCCGGCCCAACCAAACCATGTTGGTCAAACTGCATTGCATATTTTGAGCAACTTCAGACCTGTTGCCTTCGACCCAAGCACCAGTTTTGCAAATAATAGGGGTACCAATTTGGACTGCCCCACCATATTCAACAATATCCTCGATTTTGGAATGAACGTAAACTGTGCAGATAGTCATGGCGTTACACCTCTTCACATAACTTCTACTTTCTCGGAATATCTCACACGAAGGCTCCTTCAAAACGGAGCAGATCCATCAAAGAGAACTGTTGAGGGGTTAACGGCTCTTCACCTTGCCGCTCGATCGCGCCAGGCCAACATTATTGGGATCATGCTAGAGTCGCTCAAATCCAAATTCAGTAGAGAAGAGTTCCTCGCAACACTGAATGCAAAAGATATGCTAGGCAGGACCCCTCTGTACTACGCATGCGCCTCTGGGCTCGTTGAGAGCGCTCAGTTGCTTCTCAATGCTGGCGCTATTCTCTATTCAGATTCTTACAGAGGATCCGCTCTCCAAGGCTGCGTCGGGTTTGAAGAAGAGCAGAAAACTGCTGACTGGTCACGTCGTGCTGTACTTTATGGTCATAAGGATCACCGTCACGAAGGTGGAGGAGTACTGATTTCGGACACGTTAAGGCCTGAGAAGGTGCTATTTTATGGAGATATCGATGTTCTTTCATGCGAAAGATTAGATGACATCTTGGAACTCCTAGCGTCATCTGGATCTGACTACACAACAAGATTCATTGACGAAGCCATTGCCGATGCCGTTGAAAAGAAATTCAACTACACAGTGGAGTGTCTGTTGCGCACACGAGAGACTCTGAGTATGCCGGGACCCTATCAACTGGACGAAGAAACGTCATCATGTCTCCAGAACCGACAGGATACTCGATCTTCTTTGTCCTCTCTCGAAATTGAAGCTCATTTTCTTCGCCTAATGTCGCTCCGAGACTTTGACTTAGCCAGCCGCCAACTGCTTGAAACAGATTGTATCGAACTGCGATACAAATCAAACACTGTCCTGCACGATCTCGTGTCAGGTGGTTTTGCCTCCATTCTTTCTCAGGTGGCAACTCATGAAAGCCTCGCAAAGCTAGAGAACGTGACCTTCTTAGAAGAACGGAAGAAGAAAAACCCTTACACATCACCTAACCCTGTCTCTCTTCTTGCAGCTGCTTGCAAACGAGAAGTGCCAAATATGAACGTCATTCGGGTTCTAGTCGAGCATTTTGGTTTAGCTATACAGACTCCCGTTCAACAAAACATCTGTATTGATGATGGTGATACAGCCCTTCATTTTCTTGTCAGCGGAAATCACTGGTGGCAAATAGCCGAAGCACTTCCTTACCTGGTGGGACGTGGTGCAAACATGGAGCTACGAGGGAACGGGGGTCTGACGCCACTGAATGCTTCACTTGAAGGGATTGGTGGTCCTAATTTCAATAGACCAGCCGTCGAGATACTTCTTGAGTTGGGAGCTGATGCCAACTCGTCTGATGACCATGGAGTCAGTTGTCTAGTCCGGGCATGCAAAGATAGAGAGATCTTCCAGCTGCTCCTCCGGCATGGAGCCATCATCACACACGCTGCAATGACTGCAGCAATTGACAAAATGGACGTTGACCTCCTCGAAACTATGCTTTCAAACGGCGCAGATCCAAATATAAGAAGAGTTGAGAAGGAAGTGCCGTCCTGGACGGATGGAACAAGGTTCAGGCCTCCGCGACATGATAATAAGTGGAATGATGAACTGTACCTTTTGGAATACGTCAACAGGGCATCTAGCAAGAATAAAGATGACCGTGCAGCATGCAGAAAAATGTTCAAGATGCTCCTCGACCACGGAGCAGATCCATGTGCACGGTACGAAAGAACAACTGTTTTGCACGGACTTCTAACAACATGCGGGCAAACTACGTATCAAGACTCATTATTTCCGAATATCCTGCCGTGCCCCAAACTCGATCTCGAGATCCCTGATTCCAACGGTTTGACTGCGTTTCTGCGTGTCTGCAGTGGAAGATTAACATTTACCAACTGGTCGAATGCGAGCACTCCGTCACCATCCTTGATCAAGCTACTTCTCGATCGCGGCGCTAATATCCAGGCCCGAGCCGACTTTGGTATGAATGCACTGCACCTTCTTTTCAGCCAAGGTTACCGTGGCCACACTGACGGCTACCACCCCAGGAGGCTAGGTCGTATCGATCCCGAAGACCTAGAACGAATCAATGCCGAAGCACCAGAGCTCCTAAACGAGCTAGACAGCATGGGTAACACACCACTACATTATGCAATCTCTGGTTTCAAGAAGGAGGTAGAGGGCTTAAAGAAGGAGATAAACGGCCTCATTACAGCCGGTGCAGACGTGAGTAAAGCAAATAAAAAAGGGGATACCCCGTTGCACTTGCTAGTCCGAGGCGAATGGCACGTCAACGTAAACGGCATATTGGATGGCCTTCGACCTGAACTACTATCTCAATTCCTGTCACTTGGCGCAAATATCAATGGACGGAACCAAGCTGGCGAAACACCAATCTTCGCATTCTTCCGCAATGCCAAGGTCTCAGTCAAAACCAATCATTCGCCACTAAGTCCTGAATCTGCGAAAAGGGGGGTATCTAGTCCTAACTATGGTAAAAGAATGGTAGAAGCGGAAGCGGCGGTCGAGAAGGAGAGGTTGGTGTGGGGGATGTTTGAGAAGGCGGGTGTGGATTGGATGTTGATTAATAGCGCTGGGCAGACACTGCTTCATGTCGTGGCTGCGGATTCTGGGCACGATACTAGTCGTGGTGGGCACCAAGGGAGGAGAGCGAGTCGGTTTAAGTTCTTGATGGAAAAGGGGTTGGATCCCATGCAGGAGGATGATAAGCAGCGGACCGCGTTGGGTGAGTTGTTTCCATGCGTTGTTTTGGCTTTCTTAGCTGACTTTGGTTTGTGTTAGATGTTGCCGCTGCTCTGAAGAACGAAGATATTCTTCAGTTGTTCAAAAGAAAATAGTTCACCTCACCTCGTGCAATGAGCGCGCTGTCTGGAGAATCCGTCTCGAGAGACAGTAGTTCGAAATTGCCGTCCAGCCCGTCAAAGTCGATGTTTTCCATGATAGCATGCCTTCCAGGTCGACAACTATTGAGGCATGAGGGGACCTAGATCGGATTGGCCTCGTTGTTGAGAATGTCGGGCATGCACCACGCAACTGGAAATGGCGGCTGCCTTGGAATAACGCAGCCAAGCGCTCCACAGAGACCATAGAAGTCATTGTCATCTAGATGTGTTTTCGCCTTCCTCTAAGCAGGCTACATCCTTCAAGTAGAAGCCGCGCACCAAACAAGATGGCTTCAAGCCCTGACTAATGCAAATAGTAGCACAATTACCCATGGGTATTCTTTCTTGCGTCCCGTAGCGGGCTGGAGAGTTTCATCACGTGATAATTCGGGTTATTTGGCCGGAATCTCGACACAGCCTAGGTAATCTTCTGGATCACGTGATCCCCGCTACTTTTTCTCACCTCGGCTCAACTTCGGCTCAGGTCTGGGCTCAGATCCGCTCACCTCTCTCCATAAAAATCGTCAACTTTTGTCAGGAGCCTAAAAAGGGCCCCTCCTTGCCAATCAGCGCATTGCATTGAGCTCGAGGGCGGAAAGGATATGCTAAAAATTGATTGGGAGTGTAGGCCACAAACCCGAAAATGACCTAATAGGGCTTGTAAAAGCTTGCCTACCATGGTCGAACCCTTACCATTGCTGATTTTCATGTACGCGGATATGGAGTGGGTTATCACCTCTGTGGTTATGGATAATGATACTAGGTACCTAAAGGACGTTAAATGTACTTTATTATAGCATGATCTTCGGTGTAGGCCGATGACGCACTCGAGAGCATAGTAGAGCTGATGGATACGCCGATGAGTGATAATATCATCGAGGTTTAGGAGACCCCTAAGGTAGTGGTTTAGGAATCTACTGGACGGTCCGATGGTCTTGGTGGGCTTCTCTAAGGCCGAATGCTTCCTGGACGGAGCGCGAAAATGGCCTGGTTTTGTACGAGTAGAAAAGCCTCCTATGAACGCATAGCGACAATAGCACATTGATGAACAGCCCAGCGGCTACATATTTGTTCACTAACGTATCGAATGGAAACCCTTTCCTTTAGGCCACAGCAAACTCGAATATCTACTAGCATAACGTGTCTAGTATTTGCTAGCTAGAGGTGTACTGGCAAAAGTGTCTGCTGCTAGATGTATCTGCTGGCTAGAGGTATTTCACTACGTAATGTAGCGCATTTCCACTAGTCTTATTGTGGGCTTCTATTATACTTGATTATTTTATATATCACTTTATTCTTGAGATCACTACAATTTTTTAACTCCCGGTTTCCTGCTTGCTCTCTCGAGGCCGACGCTAAAATCCTGCATTGCACAGTCCGTAGCACGCACATAGAATTGCTAGTCGGCGCGCCCATTACCAAGCTACAGGCTGTTGTCCTGGGTGCTGGGGAAGGTGGTCTCCTGCGGGTATATCTCATGAGGAACTGCTTTACAGCTAAGCTCCTGTCTATTCTGCTGTGTATGTGTTGTTGCTTCTAGAAGCGGCAAAGAGCCCTGGGATTCTCTCTATCTCGTTCTATAACTCCCACTGTGCATTCGAGCCACCGATTCATCTACCCTGTCGATTCCCACGTCTCGTGCAACGCACGAACACTGAGCCAAGGCTGCTCCGAACGTTAACTGGTGCGATGCGAAAAGCCTGGGCGGGTGGGAGACCTGCGTGAGCTCGTATTATGCAGGGGCACTTTGTTTCTGGTATCCATAATTCATTCGGTATTACACGGTCTGCACGCCCTCCAGAACTTTCTGTTCTATCCGAATCTGCTGCAACGAGATGGGCCGAATGACCTGGCTTGAAAGCATTAGGTAGTGAATTGCATCACCGTGAGACTTGATAGCAGCTTCATCCAGCCGTTCCTGAACCAAATTGAGTCTCCAACCGTCATACTGATGCACGACGGCTTCCCAAGCCTGGATTATAGATGGTTCCATGGCCAATTTCCATGTGCCTCTCCAAATAATCATAGCTTGCTGTATATCGCGGAACGCCTGATACTTAAAGAGCGCCGCAAACCCCTTTCTTCCGTTCCAAATCTCCATTGTTTCCAGTTGTGGCATCTTTATTGCCGCTGCCGCCGCTGCCTGAAGCATAGCTCCAATCTCGGTCGAATTCTCGTCGGGCGTAAGTAATTTTGAAGTAAGCACAAGCAATGTTAGGTTTGGCCACTCCCAAGAGGGTTCGATCTCGAAGAAATGGCTAGCATCTACGATGAAGGATGCTGCAAGATGCTCAAGCTTGAGGCTGGCGAGTGCGACCATCCGGCTAACAGCTGGGGCTGGGTTGCGAGTACTGTCACATCCGGCCAAGTCAACCCCAAGCTGGAATCGCTGCATAATAGTCGGGTACTGTTGATTAAAGTTCTCGAAGACAACAAGTCTCTTGAGATTGTTGTTAAAACGTTGGACAGACTCGAAAAGATATTGGAAATCTAAATAACGGATGCGGTTTGTTAGCAATAGAGTACCTATACAAATGAGAGCGAGCAACAACTTGTCCAGGTATACAGCAATACTCACCTCTATCTGTATGGCTCTGCAGAAAGTCACATTCCCTCCAGGGCTCGTAGTGGACTTCCTGGAGTCTAGGAAAACGGGCAAACATATGTGCAAGCGAACCCGGCTTCCATCTCCTGCGGTTATGTTGCCGGAGAAGTAAACTGGTTACCGCCGGGACCGATGGAAGCTGATCCCACCATTGGAGCTCTAACTGCTCATTATCAAATGGTCCCTCCTCCATAATTGAATGGAAAACTTTGCGGATAGCCGCCGCAGACGGAGCGGAGTGTCGAAAACCAGCAACCCAGCCATGTTGAGTATCATTATAGACTTTGTTTAATATTGTCTGCTCTAAACCACCGCCTACTGGTATATCTAAAGGGGTATCAGGCATAAAGGTCAGATATTTAAACCAATGTTTTGAGTCACTAGGCGAGTAGATACTAATATCGAGTATCAAATCGCCGTTAAGATCCCATGTGCTAAGAACCGAGAACAGATTCTGGAATGCCGTTGTGATAGGACAGTTATCTGTATCGCTGATAGCAAATACCTCTTCCCACTCCACGTCTGTGAGCGTTCCACGGACAGGCGCGCACTTCGTGCAATCATAGTCATCAAGTTCCAAGCAGAACCAGATATAGCCAACGAGAGCCCGATTGCGATGAATCATCGAACTAAAATCAACGAGGCGCAATGGTGTCAGTTTGATTCGGGCGAAGTTATATCGCTCGAGTTCTGTTTGCCACTCTCGAGACACTGTGGCCAAGCGACCTAGTGTGCAACCGTCTTGCATCAGGGCCTCTAAGATAAAAAGCCGGATTTCTCTAGGCAAGCCATCCCATGTTGAATCCCATTGCCTCTTCCCAAGTGATATTGAAAACATAGTGTGATAGACCGAGGGTGGTGATAATTTCGGTAATGGAGCGACGTAGGAATATGGGTTGGAAAATTCAAGATGTGAGCGTGTTGCGATTGTTCTGAAAAGGAATGAAATTCAGCGACTACAGGTATCGGATGTGCGGAATGACAGGAAACAGGCCAGATTTATACCTGTCTATGTCTCCGGGGTCTATCCACCTGCCTTAGCGCAAGATCCCCCACGGCTACCGATTAATTCCAGGCTACAGTCTACACGACCGCCTATAGAAAGAAAGATCGAGCTACAGGCTATCCGATACTTTGGATAATTTCCGTCTGTCGAAAATGTAGGTATTTGAACACACTGCGTTGATACCTGTCACTGGGGCAATCCACCCAAGAAACGAAAGAAAGGGGCCCTCCAAACTTAAAAGTAGGAAGGGTAAAGTCCGCGACTCCTCTCGACAGGAGAACGACTACCTAACAAGAGCAAGGAAATCCATCTACTAAAGTATGCGACCCCCTCCCTCTTAGCACCCGCCAATTAACTCGCCTCCTGTGATACGGGGCCAAATGCCTCCCGAAGCCAAATCCCTTCTAGCAACCGCCTCCGAGAGCTCCAAAATAGCAGAGGTTCTACGATGATTCCGGACGCGTATATCCTCCGTGAGATTGCAGATGAGGTGTGACGTTTCCGCTTTGCCCTGTCCCCGCCTAGGTTTTCTCCCTTCCCGTAGCTGTCCTCCTCAGTCAACTTCGTCGCGACCTAAACAGCCTCCCAACCAGGTTATAGGGGATAATTTAACGACCTCCACAGTCTGGAGTTTTTACGACATCCGGGTCATAGGAGTTTACGACATCCCGAGTCAACGGTGAGTTTTTCGACGTCCCAAGTTAGTAGGTGAGGGTTAGGGTTCAACTCTCATCGCGGTTACCAAATTACCGTTCGTATATGAGACTCCATCCACTTGTGGAAAACCCAGACCTAAAGCTGTGCTTTCCTTGTTTCCCCATCCTATATCAACTATTTTGGGATCGATGGTGTAATTTGCGTTGCCCTCTAGCAAGGTAGGCGCTGTGAAGACAGGGAGTGGCTGTTGTTGAGATAGATTTGAGTTCAAATCCGCTAAGTCTGTGTAATCTGCGGGGAAGGACAGAATGAAGGGCGAATCAATGTCATCCATCGCCTGGGTCTATTTCCGAGGGGTCGGTGAGATCCTTCGGTAAGGTGGGTGCTGCCTTTGTCTTTGCTTGAGTTGGCTTCGCGCGAAGTTTGCGAGATTTGGTGACTCGCGATATGCGAGAGGGGCCCTTGGTTGAAGAAGGACCACCAACCATCATAGAATAGGAGAATTTAAGAGCAGATATGTGTGGTGGAATAAGAGGAGGGCGGCGAGGTCCTTTATCAGAATGATGGAGTGCCACGCCACTATGCTGCAGCGAGAGAGAACTATTATGTCCGGAAGAGGAAGACAAACTGAGCTTGCGCGTGATTTGCCTATGTTATAAACGTCACCGTTGATTCGGCAAAAAAGGGGGTCGTCTCTGGCCGTGCCTCGCACGTGACCCAACAAAGGTTAGGATTGAGTAATGGAAGATGGAAAGGGCTTGCTGCGTACCCTACTGTATATCCCTCCTTCGGTTGGCCAGGATCATTCATGATCGTCACATATCCCAATGCCGAAGCGATGTTAAGAATGCACACCATAGCACCCACCGGTTCAAAAAGTTTCTCCTGCAGGTAGATACTTTGTCATGCAAGTAGCGCAAAATCCGACGGTATCTGCTTGGACCTAGCGGTAGGAGAATGGGATTGGTGCTAATTAGTGCGTCTTCATCACCCATCTCTTGGTCATTTGAAGTCGTGTATACCCTATATGGTTTCTTTGTGCATTGGTCCTCCGTGGGAGGGCATGGCCTTCCTGTCCTGCTCTGTCTAAGAAAATGCGGATATCTTGATCTAGCCAACTCCTACTCCGAGGATTCGAAAGTAGTATTCTCACAGCTGAAAAGTATTCTTGCCTGAAGGGTCATGGAAGTTGTCGTAAAAAGGAGGTCCATCTACCAGCCAAAGCTTTGGAGGTTGTGTTCCGGAAAGGAGGTCGTGAGGCTCCGAACAATGGAATAAAGTTTTGCAATTGCACAAGCTCATCTGCCAATTATTTTGTGAATATCCGGTGAGGTTCAGATACCAAAAAGGAAGCAGTTCTTACCATATTCTAACGGCTTCTCTCTAATATCTTTCAAGACGTCATGCTGTGCGGGGGACGTGAGTCTTCGAAGCTCTTCCTCTCCACGGTTATCAACTCTAGATATAGCTTCAATCCTGGAATCGAGTTCTCCGGGTTCTTTTTCAAGTTTCCGTAGAATAAAGGAATGCAGGAAGGCAAATCGGTGCAAAATTGCTCTGGAGTCGTGGTCGTTGACGTATCGAATGAATTGGAAATGATCGGTGTTATTGTGGTTAACTCCATGAGCAATTAGCAAAGGCACCGGATGATATTCGAAGAAGACTTACAGGTTTGTAGAGGAATGCTAGGGTCTGAAATTGTACATATTGCACTCCATTCTGAGGACATTCCATTCCGCCTTCAACCCGTGCGGTTAGTTATTTAAGTAGTTGGTGATAAGAACAGACTCTTTTCAGTTATTATTAGAGGCATTTCTAGATATGATGCCGGAGTCATACGCACAGAGCAGCACCTCCTATCCCTAAACAGTACTCAATTAAAAGCTAAGATAGGACCCTTCTTATACGAGGCAAGTTGCTGCTACGCTAGCTGTGCCAGCATAGGATTATGCCCAAGAACACCAAATCTTAATCGCAACGATTCAACCCAGACCATGTTGGCCGTCCCCGACTGTTATGAAGACGAGGTATACACACCTGATCGTGAGGACATCTTGCTACCTAGCTTGATATTTATTTAAAGTATATCGCACCAACGAGTTTGCTGGTAGCCAGCATGGTTGGCACCGCCACAACGCCGAGCGTGCGGCGCTCGAGGTGCTGCAGCGCAACCGGGGCGGCTGGTATGGCGCATTCTTGGGGGACTTTGGTGCAAAACTATTTTCGCTAGTATTATAAGGCCCAACGGCTATTACCTAGATATAAATCTGATATCGTGTAAATATGTTACTAAAATTGAGGTATTCAAGCTATATGAATATCTCACTGGAATTGAAGTATTCAAGCTGTGTGAATATCTCACTAGAATTGAGGTATTCAAGCTGTGTGAATATCTCACTAGAATTGAAGTATTCAAGTCGTATAAATATCTACGCTCTCTAGATTAGTATATAGAAATAGTATAGAAGCTCGATATGATGCCTGATATTTCTACCGAAAAGAGTTTTGCACCAAATTCGCCTAAGAATGCGCCATAGGCTGGGGAAGCAATTAGTCTGTGAGTGACATACATTTCTTTGCGTCTTTCCCCAGCACAGCACAAGTATTGTTATGGGCGGCAAAATCGGACTCTCAAGCCTCCCCCTGGCTACCGCCTGGATAATACCAGCCGCAGAGTTGCGGAGAGAGACGTACCTAAGCAATCCAGTTTCATGCACCTACAGTAGATAGCAGATAGGCAGATAGACAAATAATGAAATGAAATCAAAGTTTTCAACCTCCAGCAAGGCCTCCACTTGAAGGTCAATTTGAATCGTGGGCGTGGTAATCTCGATCGCGATATCAAGGCAGGTTGTCACCCAGCCGTAATTATGGAAAAGGGTAAATGCCTTTCACTATGCTCCCTGAATCGCACTCTGACCCGGAAATCCAACGAAAGCATGAACCTCTGCGAATACGCCGATGTTGGAGACTCACAGGTTGAACCGGGCAAACTCGTCGTCTTGGAAGGAGTTCTTGATGCGGCTGACATCACGGCGCTTTAGCGAAGGGTACCCTGGAAAAGTGATGGAACGCGCTGCGGGACGGGACGGGATCGGGTGCTTCTGGGCTTTGCAGCAACCTGGCCTTACCTCTGGCGCATGTTTCAACATCCCATAAACAGCTTCCAGAAAGCTAGATCCTCTCTCTTCCAGCCGACCACTCGGAAGTCTCATCGTGCAAAGCATATCAGCAAAGTGACAACGCTTTTGAGCATACTTCTCTGCGCATCTCCTGTTACCGCAAGCCCCATAGCATCTGACCTCTCATCATATGGAAACACTGCCGCCTCTTCCATATTCCCTGCAACGACACTTGTCGAACTCCTCAAGGTTCGTCCCCCAGCCCCAAACCAAAGCTAACAACTCACCACAGCTTTTCCTCCCCTCTTCCACCTCAACACCGCGGAGCTTCACACCCCCAACACTCCTCCTCGCCTCTCTCATAACCACAGCCCTCACGGTGCTACACCTCTACCTTTCGCCATCTCCCCAATAATCCCACTTCTTCGCAACCAGCCTCATCCTCTCACTCTTTCTTGGTGTTTTCAATTCAATCGATATCACTGATCTCCTCTTCCGGTACGTCTTTTTCGGGATCAACGCTGGGTTGGTTTATAGCGCTGTTTATCATCGTGTGAAGGGTGATAAGGGCCGATCCTCTCCCTCCTCTCCCTCCCTAACCTCCGTGTCCGGGCATGAGAAAGAGAACGTTGAAATGCTCGGCTAAGAGTAGAATTGGGGTAAAATAAGAAAGCGATGTATTTAGCTAGAAGGAAAGAAAGAAGAAATGAAGGAAGAGATTGGATTTCTCAATTATTTCGTTTGTATTTCCTTGCCTGGTTTGTAGCTTTCAGTTAAATCTTCATCCAATGATTACAAGAAAGGATCTTTACTCACCTTCCACCTACTTCCACTCATCCACCTTCCGTTGCTTCACAGAGAAAATCCCAAATAAGTGCACGATGATCCCCTCATTCCTTCATCCACCTAAAACAATCCACATCTACCCTATTTAAGTAGCAACCCCCAACCTCCCCGTACCTCAGCACCCTCAAATCGTTTATTTCAAGTCCCTCTCTTAGAAAATACCATCTTCGCCCACCACTTGCATCCACTATGTAACCAATTATCAACTCCACGGTACCGAAACTTCTTCCAGCTGACAAGAACAAGCCGAACACCATCCTAGGCAGCTTGGCTGAGACTTCATACGCCGAACAGAGTACACCGTGACTACAACTCTTCGTCATCATCGAAAACCTCAATTCCCTCAATCGTAACTTTAAAATCTGCATTTTTGATATCATATCAGTAACGTCTCGATCCGAAATAGAACAAGGAGTCATTTCGGCATTTAAATAACAGACAAACTTACCTTTCCCACCATTCGCACCAAATCTCACTGCATTCTGATTTCCCCTGTCCAAGCTCACCATAACGGGTACTGTCTTATGATATCCAGCCCTTGAATTCAAGCTTGAGATATTCGTTGGGACGGATTCACTGTTGATGAAGATGTGTGCCTCGCCAGCTAGATTAAAAAGAAGATAGTCAATATTATAATTTTATTTATGTGGGAAGGGGGAAGTGTTGGGTAACGTAAGAAGGGATGGGGAGGACTAACCTTCGCGACTGTTCACCTCGTAGTGAAAGGAAACCCACTGCTTTCTCCCATTGCCGGTAACATTTCGAAACACAACCTCGCTATTCCCATCAACTATCACATACTAGTATCAGCAGCTGGATCATCTAAAGATTCTTCGAGACGTACTCTTATACACCGCCCTCTTACTGAGGCAACCCCGACAATGCGCAGCTTCACCCCTCCCAATAATCTCCGCGTGCTCTGCCTCATAGCGTTTCCCAGCTGCCGGAAAACTAACAACACCAGTCTTAATGTCGACTTTCCACATAGCATGGTAATCCAGCGTCAAGGTTTTCTTCGCAGAGTCGACTTTGATAGGAAGCCAGACATGATTAGAGTTTGGACCCCCCTTACTATCCCAGCTATCGCCCATGTAAACATAAGTCGTCGCCTTATTCCCAGCAATCGTCAACTCAAAGGTATTTTGGCTATTATAAGTCTTCTCGGCCTCAGGCGCAATGTCTGCACCCCCTGTCCATGGGCCGTTAATGGAGGAGGAGGTGAAGACCTTGTTAGGGTTCGAACGCCAGCCTGTCTTTCCAGAGACGATGAGATAGTAGGTTGAGCCCACTTTTAAGATACCAGGGGCCTCGTAGGCTCCGGCTGCAAGCTGGGAGGCTCGAGCACCAATGGTGCCGTCGCTGTTGATTTTATTTATTTGAACGATGTTGTGGTCGGCGGATGTTAGGATATACCATGTCCCTAAGCGTGTTAGTATTCCATTATTCGGCTTGAAATCAAAAGTATGGATTGTTGACGAACCGTCCGAGTCTTGAAACATGCCCGTGTCTGAGTATGTATAACTATTTGGAGGAACCGTCACAGCAGCGCCATTGAGTTTATATCCTCCCACCATTTGTGTAGAGACCATCGACTGGATATTTCTATTTAGCTGGCCGTAGATCTGTTTACCTTGAATTAGCATGAAAACCTTTAATTGTGGCCCATCGCTACCTAAGTTTCCAGTATAGAGCATCACCTGTCGAATGGTTTGCAAGTATGTAATGAATTGCGCCAAGAAAGATATATATACCCAAAAACTCCCATTCGGCTTCGCAATCTTCGGCCTCCAAAGGTACTCAAGGCTATTCTGAACACCAAGTGGTGTCCAGTTCAGTAGGTCCGTAGAGGAGTACATCAATGCTTTCTCATCTGATACTAAGCATTAGCACATGCTTAAAGAGGGTAGCAGAAACATACTTTGGCTGGCACTCTGTCCAACCCAAAAAAAGGTGTCACCTCTTTGGACAACGTTACCACCGTGAGCGTCGATTTTATTGCCTGCAGTATCGGTCCAGACAGCACCGGGAACGATCCATGACGCTGCTTGCGCTCTGGTCGCGATGACTACAAGTATAAGTGGTTTAAAAAACAACATCTTGACATGAAAACAATTATTGAAGAATCATATTGCAAGAAGTTCAGAAAAGGGCGATGAGAATATGTGCATTTGTATTAATCCTAATTCCTGAGTGCATTCCATGATTTCCATCCTTACCACTCTAAGCCCAGTAAATAGAATGTGTTGAAAATTGCGATTTGAAAGTTCCATGCTTTTAGCCTCCAAAAAATTGCATCAATCAATGCAAAGCAGACGGAGCAACGATCGTGCCGATTCGTGCGGCAGGAGAGGCATTATATCCTCCAACAGCCGTTACCAAAGAAAACGATAGCGTCGGTGATATCCTCCGAGATCCAGGGGATCCGGGGAAATCGGGGAACCCCATGCTCGAAATTTAGATTAATATGAGTAGCCGTCGCAAAATTTACTTACGGAAAGAGCCACGAGTTATATACTTGTACATGTGTCGCAAATTGCCTCGGGTTAAGATCCCCTTGTCTTAAGAACAAGGATTAAACACGATATCCAAAGAACGCACTCCACACAAACGGTGCGACTCAATTTAGCTCGTAATATTTCGAAACTGATCAAAGAAGCCCCTGCTGCTGCGGCTTAAACCTTCTTCCACCAGTAGGACTTCCGGCTGGATGTCGCTTATTAGGTGACCTATTAAGGGGGTGACGAGACATATAACTGACTTTATCTAGATGCTACTATACTAGCAATCGGGGTAATTCTAGCATCTAGGTCGAAGCCCTTTAAGTTTGCTACAATTGTATAAATGCGACACACGCCATAATAGTTGGCTTTGCTTTTGCTTCTCACTGTTGTAACTATTACAACTCTTACATTGAACCTTCTCTTAGAAGCAGTAATGGTTTTAGGCTGCATCATGGGCAACCATGGTGAGGGTTTCTGTACCCGTGACTCCTTCTGTGGCTATAATATGCTGAGTATCGAAATAAAATGGCGTGCATAGGGCTTTTATTTATTTGAGTTTTCGAAGGTCGTTCAGAATCCTTTAGGGTTGGGTGGTTTCTTGCATTGTTTCAATCTATACGTATATCTTAACTATGGGTCGGCTTCATCTCTTAACTGTTCCATTACTCTGTATTAGAACGAATGAAAATTATCATGAAGTAATCAATCCCGATCTATGTAAATATCGTGAGAGCTAGTGTCAACATATGCGTCGTCCTCAAATTCTCCATGTATGATGATCTCCATTCTTCATTAGTGCGTGGTGTTCGTTCTCGGCCATCATAATTATCAAAATGATCAACTCGTGGCTATTAATTCCTAGTTTAGTTCGTCATTCTTCGCCATACCGAGGTAAAGTACGAGTAATCCCGACTTCACAACTCACCTCGCTTTTAACTCAAGCCTGATAAATTTAATTAAGGGTATTTTGGCCAGAGAAATCTCCAGTCGTAAGCTCGCTAGTCAAGGTTCGAGGAAAGCAGATCTAATCAAGCATTGTGAGATGATAGGAGGCGGACTAAGAAAGCGAGGGTTGTCTCGTTGTCACAGTTGTATATTGGTGATAGCAGATGAACGATGCGCCTAGGGCACTTTTTTGGCAGCGGGCTACAATGCCTCCTCTATACTTGTTTCCTATCTTACCCTTCCATAATGGCCAAGTACATCTAGGCTCATTCAAGGATAAGAGTCTGGAACCGTCGCTCTGCTTGTACCCATTTCTTGAGGTAGATCTGTCCCACGCCGAGGCGTTCCACAATTTTATCCTCGTTGCTATTTACGCTTTGAACAAGCATGACGTTCATCATAATGGGACTCCAAGCGGGTATTGGATCTCCACTTGAGTCAAGATAGTAAATATCAGGTGGATACGTGCGCTTCAGTGGACTACGGACGCTCAACTCAGATGAGCAACTGAGGGTCAAAGATTCTGGATTGGCCGGCATATCTTCGATATTCTCCCGCATGCAGTGGCCTCTAGTAGACTCCTGCCCGAAATCAGATACGAAGTAACTGTTGCAGTTCGAGCATACAGTGGGTTCCAACTCTGGCACTGATTCAAGGCTCAGAGATAGGGCGATGAATCTGGTTGGATTATGTCGGGTGGCGCCTAGTTTCTCCATCTGAGGAGATCCTAGACTAATCATTCCAGCTAGGCTACCATCTTTGCTTCGAATTAGTAGGCACTGTTTTCCTGGAAACTTTGTGTCGCTCTTATCGACCCATTCTACCTCAAAGGCCGCCTCCTGAGTGTAAACAAGTAAGCGTCCGGCCACATGCGCGGCCTCTATGTCGGTTTCTGAGAAGGGATGATCAGCGAGGAACGATCCGAAGGCGTCTATCCAGTAATCTGTATATAACTTCCATTTTGCCTGTAGTCGCTTTTTATATTCCTTGGCCGAACAGTCGAATGTAAGATCATCAGAATGTTGCGTTGCAATGCAACCATGGGACCAAGCAACTCCACATGAGATGCCGAAGCCGCGCGAGTCGAAAGCACCGTGGCCAGTTTGATGTTCAGGGGAGGGTACCATGTACGTCAATGTTCCATTTGAGCCTGGTGATGGTATAACAGTTGCCCAAAAAGCGATGCCGTAGCCATCCGGAAATCGAACTGTGCCAAAGGCCGAGGCCCATGACCACGATGGGAATAAAGACTCGGGTTTCGAGGTTCGACTTGCGCTCATGTAATTGTCTGTCTCCCATAGTATAGACCGGTCAAAGGCCTCACAAGGCAGGCCGTAGGTAGTGGCACCCTTGAACTTCCAATTCAATACGCCGGAAAATGCCTTGAGAATATCTTCGTCAAAAGACAGTTGTCGGCCGGTGTATGCTACTAACATGGTTTGGTGATCATGAGACATGTAAAACTGGTCGGATGCCATGCTATCGAAGCAGGTCGTTTGTTCCACAAGGTACCTTTCGCTATTGGCCTCGCGGTCATAGTAGAATACGCCAAAGTCTGTAAAAAACATGAGTCGTTTTGAGAGCATTGACTCCTGGAATGTCCATGCCCGTGTGCTCCATTTGCTTGCCAGTATACACTGCGGAACGCTATGGAGGCGCGCCGAAAGCTTCATATCGTAAACGTCGCCTTCTACTCCATTCCAAGCGCGGCGTTGAGAGACACCAGGCAGTCCATACGTTACATCATGCCCCGCAGCTGCGATAATGCAAAAGATAGCGCCCTGATAGATTCGGCCCATGTGATTGATTTGGTGCTGCTTATTGTCGATATCGTCCTGAATGATGCAAAGGGCGTCAATCCATAGATATTGGTGTCCGAGATTTGCGCAAGTCTCTAGTGCATCTGATAGAGTAGCAGGGTGATCAATTGACTTAAGCCCACCGGGAGCTTCAAGCGCCTCGATATTACTCAATGTAGCTTGGCAACGGCCATGGAATTCTTTGCCCCAAACATAACTAAGCGCGACATACTCACAAGATTGTGGAGCGTCGACGATGCATGATTTTGAAATGTCAATTACTTTGAAGTTCTTTACCGGGTGCAGTCGAGGAAAGTTGAAATTACTCGGATCAGAATCATATGCTTGGACAGATTGTGGGGGGACCCAGCTTCGAATTTGGCCCCAGTCTACGAACTCTTTAAAGCCCCCGTTTGGATCTATTCTATCGGACGAGCCCTGCTGGACGATTCCTGAATAGAAAATATCATTTTCCAATTGCCATTGGAGAGCAGGCCGTGGCTTTTCGATGGAAAGGTGTATTTGTCGGCTATCCAGCGTCGCACTACTAAGCCCAAAGAACAAGCTTGTTTGACTATGGATAGCGTCCGTGAAGAAGCGGCAGAGCTGACAATTTGCATTTCGTTCTGAAAGAGTCCCAATCTTCAATATATATTGTTCCCCCTGGATGCAGTTCAGAAAGTGTCGAATACGGAGATGTCGACAGAACTCGCAAAGATCAGACGGGTGCGTTATTTCTGCCTCCGAGCAGGAAGAGCAAGGAGAGTGAAAAAGATTCCAGGTGTCGATCGGATGATTGCCTGAACGGCTTCGCGTTGCGCATGAGCAGAATCTGCATGATGTTGTCGAGGAGTATATCTGACCGCTTGACTCGCCGTCCCTTTCCATACTTACCTCAGATAAAGCTAGCAGATATAGTAAGGGGAGACCCGCAACGACTTATTATTATACAGAAGCTTGGGCGACAAAGGTTAGGAGTGAAACTTCTGTTTACCCCCTAGGTTCCTTTCCTGGCTTCTCATGTAATCTGGCATATAGTGGCCGGCGCCAGATCAGCGCTAGCCAAGCAGTGGAACCAATCACGTTAGGCGACGTTGGACTGAAGGATCTCGCGACATATCGTGCAAGTTTCCGGATGCGGTTAGCCCTGCGAGGTTTGGGGTGTTGGTCAAAACCCGCAGGAAAGGCACCGCTATTAAGTTAATAAGCTGACAGGTTGGAGGTTCAAGGAACCAGCGGCATTGCCTTGGCTTCCCAGTTGGGACGGCATCGCGAACATCGCTTACGAATCTCGCAGTCAACCTCATTGCGGTAGGATGCACGAGACCCAGGACCAAGATGATAAGAGACGGATTCTGTGTATATAAGAGGGGCCAAGTCGCCCTTGAGAGGATATGTTCATCCAGCATTATAAGCAACAAAACAGCAACCTAACAGTATAATCCAACGCCAATCATCATAACTCTTATACTGCATTCTCCAAGCCCGCACCGCTTTCGGGGCCCAAAGCATCATATACAAAAACCAGTGCGATCTCAATAGATTCCCTGCCAATAAAAGCTCGCACCGGCAACTAAAACCCTCGCTTGCTCGCGAAGAGCCAACCGCATTCTGGACCAGAATCAGACCAAGAACAGCCAGCAAACCCAAGCCTTCAAGGCTTTCAAGTGCTTCTACCACACCCAGGACACCTCTCGACCAGCTTCCAAGATGTCTTCCAACACCTCCACCAGCGCCGCTCCCAACCCTGCCCCTACCAGGGCCATGCCCTCGGCCAGCTCGAACCCGCGGGTGGTCGTGACGACGCACGCAGCGGACGGGACGTCGATCTTCGGCGCAGACAGAGAGGTCCCGCTGTTCCGGCCCTTCGGGCCCACAGGCTCGTCCTTCGCCGTGTTCGACAGGCGCGGGGCGGTGCCGGTGAACAACCAGGAGGCGACGGGGGAGTACGCTGCGGAGCTGCCGCGGTGCCCGCCCAGCGGCGTCAGCTTTGGCATCACTAACATCGCCGGCAACTTCACGGTTCCGATGCACCGAACGCTGAGCGTCGACTACGCCGTCGTCCTGAGTGGCGAGATCGTCCTCAGGCTCGACAACGGCGACGAGAAGACGGTGCGCCCTGGCGAGTACATTATCCAGGGCGGCGCTAACCACCAGTGGATCAACCGCACCGACGAGATCTGCCGGACCATGTTCGTCATGGTCGGCGCTGAGAAGGTTAAGCTGGCTGATGGGACGGAGCTGGAGGAGACGGCCTTGAAGAAATGAGGCGAGGCCGGGCCTATACTTCCCAATGAATTTCTGAACTTGGGTTTGTGTACTATGTTCTAATAGAGCCGGGTGCTGGATAGGGTCATATGATGCTCTTGTCGCCAAGTGTAGCTTTCATTCCAGTATAGTCTCGAATCCGTTCAAATACTTTCCACGCACGTTCCTTTTGCTCCAGTGTCGTCGCAAATGGTTGACCCTTGGTGATCTTTATCGGCCAAAGAAGCAGGTACCCGCCGATTGCACGGCAGCGAGGCAGGCCATCCATGATGTCGTGTGCCCGGCCCATGTGATCGACATCCCCGAAAGACTGGGGGACGGTCGAGAGAACTTCGTCTGCGAGCCATTGGATCGTCGAGGTGCACTCGGCGATGGTGTCAGTCAGCGTTTTCTCTTCCACGTTATCTAGGTCTGGGGTCTCCAGCGCGGCCTTTGAGCATTTTAGAAGTTGCTCTAAGAAGATGATGCGCGCTGCTCTGTGGTAGTTCCATTCGTAGGCCATCCAGATATCGGGATGTAGTTGGATCGTGCCCGTGATCCCGCATGTTGCGGGTTCAAGATCCGGCCTTTCCGACACTGTCAGGTTCTTGAAAGACCATTTTGATGTCTGCCGCCAGCTAACTGCTGATTGGTCAAGTGAGTGCAGCTCCTTGATCATGTCGACGATAGTGGACGCCGGCAAGCCTACAACATTGATTAGATCTAGGAGCATTCTCGCGCGCTTGCATGTATCGCTAATTGCATTCGCGTTCTTCTCAAGACGGACATAAGGTTCATTCTCATTGAGCTGATTTAGCCAGTTTATCGTATCCGGAATGGGAGGCACGTTAAAGGACAATTGCTGTTTTTGCTTCAAACATATTAGCATGGAGAGAGAACGGAATATCTGATTGCTTACGATCCTGTGATGGGCAAGTCGGAAAAGACTCCAGCCTCGTGAGTTATAAACCAAGTCTGAGCCTCGCAATCGGAGGATTTGCACCATTCCTTGAGCATGTGATCCTTTGGCGGCTTCTTTGGGAATATATAGAGTCTATGTGTGTGAGTGGGGGACGTTATCATGATCGATCATGCGGACCTACCTCAAAGATGTCAAGAACAACTACGGTCATCAGGTCATAATCATCTGGGGCTTTCCCCGGCGTAGCAAGCGAGTCTCCCAGGGCAGACAGCGCCATGCCGTAGCACTGCAGTGCCTTCCTCGCAAGTATGTCACTATCTTGGTCTTTTGAAAGATCGGCATATGCAGCAGCTCGTACGGCCCATCGCAAAGCGTACCGCCCATTGACGTTGACCTCCTGGAACATGCATGGTAAATGCTCCAGGAACCCAGGAGACGATGTCTGTTTGCATGGATAAATGACATACTTCTCCATGAAACTATCGACGGCTTGTTCTTCTACGGGAGGCATCGTCTCGGACGGCAGTTCTTTAATAAGCCAGGGACGCGGGTTCCTGAGCTTGATATCAGCGGTCTCTCCAGGAGCCAGCGCTGAGGGATCTGCATCCTGGCCCGGCACCGAAGAAGACCGCCGAGAAGGAGAAGCTGCATCGACAGATCTGCTGCGTTTCCTCGCCGACGGTTGCGAAGAGGCCTTCGAGCTGGGCGGCGACAGCGCTTGTAACGCGCGTGCATGCTCGATCACTTTGTCGGTCTCGTGCCGGAAAATGCTAGAAGCCTCGTCTCGATAGCCCTCGCAGGCTTCATTGCGATTGATGCATCGCTGGCATGAGGGCCGGCCTTCGTCGCAGCGAACGCGACGCTGTCTGCAGCGGAGACATCCGCGACTCAGACGTGCCATCGGGATCAAGTTGGCTCCTTTGATAACACCGGTGGAGATATCCAAACAAATTCTAACAATTGGGCTTCTCTCAGTTGCCTAGATTCATGAGGGAGAGGAAGCAAGATGTTCAAGGCGAGATGAGAGGGCGGTTCGTTTGTCAGTTGAGCGCCTGATTTCAACCGACAGCTTCGCATTGCACAAGAGCAGATTCTACACCCCTTTCCATACTTAGATGAATCTGGCGGATAAGGGAAGACCCCAACGACTCATTATACAGAAGCCTGGGCGACAAAGGTTAGGAGTATGTCGTATGGCGTACATATGTCGAGTTGTGGCTTAAAGAAGAATAGGATATTGTCAATGCACGCTACTCGAGTACCAATGCTCGTACTTACGTAAGCTGCCTCCTATCTTTAAATTAACTTCTGTCCGCCCCCAAGATCCCCCAACATCCAACATCAACATCCTTACGGCGCATTGGCAGCTTTGACGGGGTGGGAATCTGGGATGTTGAGCACGAAACATGGGCGCAAGCTAAACCAATGGGCAGGGGGACTTAACTGCGAAAACCAACACGATTAATGAACGCAGAACTTGACCAGAGAATATCAAGTCCTCACGGCCGAGTGGCCCCCTAATATTTTGGAGTTTTTTAGTTGTGTCGCTCTCGCTCCCCATTCAATCCTCTCATCCCCTTCACTACTTCAACACTGAATATATCTTCCACCCAATCGTATTATGCGGTGTCCGCCTCCGTGATGGCAACGGCAAACCTACGCTCACGGTTCATGGTTGGGTTGGGCGTGCTTGTCTTTCTCACAATATTTATGACATATTCGCTACGCACCAGCTTCTCGTCAAACTTCGGCCAAGTACTAGAGACGGTACCGCTCCCTAATGAACCACTGCGAACTGAGCCCAGCATACCTCCGTCACCGCCCTCAGAACCGGAGGAACATGCCATACCTGATATGCCTCCGTCTCCATCCCCAGAACCGGAGGAGCATGTCATACCCGATCACCCAACGTACAAGACCGAGCATACATCAACACTCGTCTCAATTGTGGACAACTTCCCACTCGCAGCAGCAGCACATTCTGCTGCAGAGCTTCCTTCTATACCTCCTTGGAACGAGCCTCCGAGTCCTCATGTGCCCGAGAAAACACCTCTCTTTATAGGCTTTACTCGAAATTGGCGGCTGCTGCAACAGGCAGTAGTTTCCTATATAACCGCAGGATGGCCACCGGAGGATATATATGTCATTGAAAACACCGGAACCATGAAGTCCAACCAACTTGGGTTGCTCTCCCTCCAGAACCCATTCTTTCTTAATCATACCCGTTTACATATGCTTGGAGTTAATGTTATTACCACACCGACTCTTCTCTCATTTTCACAACTGCAGAACTTTTATATCTGGATGGCAATTGAGAACAATTTCACCACATACTTTTACGGACATATGGATGTGATTGTCCTTCCATTCGAGGATCGGTATATCACCCCGCCCGCTAGCGGTGAAAGCCCCAATAGATATGAAGACTTCAAGTCTATATACCAACTAGCCGTGGATGCGCTTCGCCTGGCGGTTTCACCTGAACCAGATCCGAATTCCTCGAACTCGAGCAAACCATGGGCGGCTCGCTTTTTCGCCTACGATCGTCTGGCGTTAGTAAACCGGGAAGCATATGAAAGCATTGGAGGATGGGATACAGCAATCCCATACTACTTCTCTGATTGCGATATGCATGATAGGTTGAAAATGTATGGATTTGAGTATAATGGGCCAGATGTCGAGATAGGAGAGTTTTGTGATGTATCAGGGAGCCTAGACGACCTTCTCGTGCTATATAGAAAAAGGGATTATATAGAAGCGAGTTTTACCGTTGATGGGCCGACTCAGGAGACAGCGAAAGAGGAAAGGCAAAATTTGGAGAGAGTTGAAAAGGGAGATTCGAATATCCCAATCAATGGACGGAAAACTAATCAAACATGGGTTTCGGATAATCCTGGATCAGCGTCGTTCAAGCAGCTCTTCGAAGTTGCTAACGCGATGGTGAAGCACAAAAATGGAGGTGACCCAGGAGGGAGAAATACCTGGCAAGCGCGACAATTTGGTGGGAAGGGGGAGCCTTATTACCGAGACTCTGAAGGGTTTGAAAAGGCTATCCAGATGATAACTCAAACTGGCAGAGATATCTATGCTGAGAAATGGGGTCACCGTGCTTGTGATTTGTTGCCTTTCGGACGCAAAGCTGGGGATGAATGGAGGGTCGAGCATGATTGGGAGTGAAAACTATGCTCACTGGCCGAGTGGTATGAGCCGGCTGCGAATAGTATACGGGGCGTCGGAGTCATTTGGGAAATATCAACGGGCTGGTGGAGTTCTCTCATCGATCTATTTCGTGTACGCATTCCCATCGGATCTTGACAACGTGATGTAATTTGATATGGCGCTATTGTAAGAATAATAAACGTGGTGAAAATTGTTATATTCATCTTTTACGGGCCTATTCGAACGTAGGTGCCTCAGTTAAGGACAAGCAGCCTTCTAAATGTGATATCTCAAACTAGGATGTCAGCATATACGAAGCTTAGCAATGTTAAGAAACATTACTAATATTTGAATTCATAAAACGGCCCAAATTCCCAAGCTACTAGCTATTCTTTCTAAAGTGTGTGTTATATTACGCCTCAATAAATTTTAAATTTACAGAATTATAAATGTTATTTAAATCGCAGGCGCTGAGAAGCAAAACCTGCTTCTTATGAATCCAAACCTCCCAATCATGTTGGCAGCTCTGTGGCATGCTCTGCCACATGCCGGGCCCCAGGCAATTCCGCGGGAGAGGTGGTATACCCGACCTTGTAGTTCTCTTGTGTACCAATTGGCATAATTGCTTCCGTAGGTGTCGCGTCCCTCCCTTGCCTCCGGGTGAAGAAGAAGTAAATAATTACAAATATTCCAAGCACCGCAACTGCAACCCCAATACCAACGCCAACCTTTGCGCCGCTATCCAAGCCTCCAGAAGTGGAAGACTGGTTTGTGGTAGGTGTCTGAGAAGGCAAATATGTACTTGGACCGGCTATTGACCTCGACTGACTTGAAGATAACAAAGGACTGGACGTAGTTACGGCAGATGTCGATGAACTTGACGTAGAGAACGTCGACAAAGCGCCTCTTAGAACAATAAATCCAGGACTTGACAACTTCCCGGTATTTATATCGTATGTCGAAGATGCTGGTTTGAATCGTAAAACATATTTGGCACTAATGGCTAAGGTCTTGTCTGGAATTGCAATGGTCCAAGCATAATTCCCCGGAGAGGTCAAATTAATGTTCTCTAACATAGCAATAACTTGTCAGTAAGACTACTTTATTTTATAACAGCAGGAAGCAAATGGCATTACCTACGTGTCACAGGTTGACTAAATGGATTCAGGTTGGTATCATATGAAGTAGCCCATAGATCGACGAGGTTTTCCGTTGTATCAATATTAGCGGTTGTAACAAGTGCATTCCATGATAATGGTAAGGTGGTTCCGGCTGTAAAAGTCTGCGATAAGTCCGATAGCTTTCCATCTGGAACATTCCAGAGAATGTTCTGGATTGTCTGTGCCCAAGCTGCGGAGGAAGAAGCCCAAAACAGCCAGATGGCAAGACGAGATTTTGAAACAGAGTAGTGCATATCTCAGTAGTTATTGTTCAAACGCAGTCAGGTCAGAAACAAACCAGACATGTAGGAGCAATGAAGGAAGGTTTATGGTTAGAATAATATTGAGGGTGGAAAGGGGCATCCTCGTAACACTAGTTGAAACGAAAATATCCCGGTCCCCTCTTGGGAGGCCCTCTGGGGAAACTCCAATAACCGAAGTTGGGGTATGGGGCAAGATCTAATAGATGCAATTATCGAAACAACCAACATGCATAGCCAATATTAGTTTCCTACAAGTGGTAGATGAACCAATAATTTACCGCCACCTCGCTCAAGGAGCCGTTGGTGGCGTTCGAAGCAGCCAACAAATTGGTTCCGGCTATACCTATACCTAGTGCTTAACATTGCAATACTTCACAGGATCGGTTACAGCTTCCCCTGTTTAATAGTAAACTGACGATAATATCTATAAAACACGAAGATAGCTTATGCGACCCTTATCTATGACTCTTTATACTTATTGAGGCTCCCATACAAACTGCCTGTGTCGGTTGAGAAGCAAGTATAGTAGGGTGGCCCTAGTTAGCTTTGTGTCCTCACACACTGAAGCAATACCTCAATTCTCCTGGCTAATTATATCGTATTTTCAGATACAATATGGAGACATTGAACTGCGTTAAATCTCTCGATCTTGAAACTCAAATCGATCACTTAGGGAACTGCTACAGGACCTTAACTAATAGCTAAAAAAAATAAACAAGACCTAATCGTCTACGGAGATGAGAGTTGGACTATCTATAAAAAGTTAAAAGGTTAAAGAACTAACGTATTAGGCATCTAAAAGATCTGTCATTGGAAAACTTCGGAGTTCAGGTCTAGAGCCCGTAATAGGTTTCAGAATAATCGTTTTAGACTAGATTGGGCCTTAATTGAATTGGAGAATTTATAGAGGGTTCCTAAACTAGAGAAGTTTATTATTATCAAGGCTCAGAATATATTTCAAGTGCTTTAAGACTTAATGAATACAGTGCTATAAATCTGACAGTAGGAGCAAACTTGGCAGAACATCTTCATACCAACCCGTGTTCCCTTTACCTTTTGTCTGTTTTGGTGTTTGCCGCCCCATATAACAAGACGGAAAGCTGAAACGGACCCCTCAGAATTTGAAATAAATGACCTGGAATTTGAAATTTCCATGCCCTAAGAAAACGGAATATTCCCGCTGTTTGTTATAGTTTTTTACCAATAGCCCTTCCAAAACGACGGCGTATGAAGACGATAGTCTGACTCGATATTCGCAACAATGTCGAATTTAAAGTGGGTTGCTTGGCCAGATATTTATGTGACATTTTGCTCACCGAGAAACCCCTCGAAGGTTAGACTCCCATTCAAACAAAAAAGCATGTCGCCATTTAATGATAGATGAATCATTTGATTTACTAATGTCACTGGGTTCGGACCTCTGGTGTCGTCCTATTTGAGAGCGAGCTCGACCTTATACTCGTCGAATAATTAAATAGTCCATTTTTGGGTTGCGACTGTAGTGAAACAACATCGAGTTTAACTACCTAGGTACCTAGGCAATAACCGATCCTGGGTTGGAAAATAGAAGAAATGCATGATAAATGAAATAGTTGTCGAAGGCAGACTTGGCGGTGTTCAAGAGAAATAAAGCTGCTAGCGTGGTTACTTTCAGTATTAGGATAAGTTGCACTGTGAAATATGCTAGCCGGGCCTCAACGGGGATAAGTCGTAGATTAGCATATAATTTTAAATTGGCAAGATTCACTAAAACCGTTCAGTCCATGCTGGTGTATCGGTAACATTTCCGCCTCTCAAGTGATTCCACTGATTGGTCGCGGTAGCGCAGGGTTCGACTCCCTGGCATGGAATTGATTTTTTGCAAAGCTTTCAAGCAAAAATTGTTGAACCACTTTGACTTTTGTTAATATGTGTAGTGTGTGTATGCTTGCTGTTGTGTTTGTTGCACATGCTCATTGATGCCTTTTTAATGTTTTTTTTTTCGGGTGGAAGTGGGGGATGGATACATAAGCGAGTATTAGAAAGAAGCTACGAATTATCTCTACCAAGGCTTATTAACATTAGATTGCAACTAATAGACGACATCTATTAATCCTAGGCATGCAAACCGCAGCGCTTACGGAATTGCTAACTTTGGTTCCTGTTTTTTTTGCCAAGTATGCAGAGAGGAGGTGGGCCGGGTTGATTGGTGGGGCTGTGAGATATATATATGCCTACGAAGAGATAATAAATCTCCAACGGCTGTGGTTCAATCAGGTAAAGTTAAGCAGCCTTGCCCTAATGGCTTTCTATTCATATGTGAAATGTAGTGTACATGATGCATATTTGCCTTACGAGTGCGAATGAAAAAAAAAAAGTTTCTGGTAAGTAGAGTTACATAAAACCCCCCGAAATTCGCTAGAAAAACCAGACTAATATTACACTCCCATTCCATAAAAGTTACACGGTGCATATAATATCACAACCACCCCACATACCCATCCAGCTATGAAGAGACTTTCTTGGGGTCGAAACCAAAAACGTGTCTACCCGGGTATTTCTTACGATCATAAGTCTGATCGGTAGGCGGTTCTGTCAATGCCCACAAATCTCCATGATTTTCCCTATACGACAAGTCCTCCGGTCCCTTGGGGAAGAAATCCACAAATCTCTCCTCTTTGCTTCCATCCCAAGTCAATAGGGTGCCGGTGGCTTTGCCTGCTGGAGACTGTGTGATAAAGTACTTGCCCTTGATGCTGGCACCGCCTTGGATCCATCTTCTGTTGTGTTTTACAGCCTCGGTGGCGAGTGCAAGATGCACATTGGGATTGCCGCCTGGTGAGGAGGTTTTTAGGAGACGGTTTGTGGAGTCGATGGGCCAGCGAACGATTCGGCAGTGCTTGTCGCATTCTGCCGTGTCTTTGGAGTATTCGCCAACGAGGATACTCGTTGGAGTTAGATATGTTTAAGAGATGAGGTAAGAGAGGACTTACCTGTCCGGTTTTGTTGTTCTGTCAAGGGAAATCCAAGAAAATCGTAGATTTTCCCCCGACGAAGCATAATGAGTATAGGAGCGTATCTGGGGCATAACATATCTGTGTGAACGTTATACATATTTAGCATATAGTTCCATTTTATGTTCGACTAAAGAGAAAAAAGCAAGAGCGACGATGAGGGCGGCTTACTTATATCCATATGCCTGATACTTGTCTCCAACCCTGCCAATACCTTTGCCAGAATCATCGACTTGATATATATGCTTCATGGAAAACACGCGCAGTCCAGCACTTGTATCCACAACATATAGCAAATCTCCATACCACATAATACCTCCAGCATGCAACTTCTGAGTCTTGAAACTTGCCTTATTATCGCTGTCTTTCTCGCCCAACACGAGCAATACATGGCGATACTTAGTCTTGCTCGAATCACGGCGATCAACAAATGTGATCCTGGCGCCTTTCACTCCATCCACATTTTTGCCATCTTGCTTAATATTATTATGCCATGAAATTAAGTCGATCTGCATACCATCATACAGACCATTCCCATAAGCATCAGAACTGGTGGTGACACCCTGCGGATACCAATCTGATGTACCACGATCATCAAAACTTCCCGACGGCCATGTGTATGAGCCGGTTGAGGATTTTACCAGTGGCACTTGGGCTTTGGGATTTTCGTGGTTGGTATTCGCGATAATGTCACTGACTTTCTGATTGGGGAGAGCAGCATCGAGGTCGCTGATAATAGGATACACGTCGTTCTCCTTTAGTTGGAAGTCAGACGGAGTCTTGGACGTGGTCCAATCTCCTGCAGAGGCAGATGTGCCTAGAAGCCCTATAATGAGAGCGAGTAGCTTGGAATAGTTTGAAAACATGACTTAATCTGACTGAGAAACTGAGATTAGTAGATAGAAGTTGATTTAAAGAAGAATAAAGGCCGTTCTGCCGCTGCGATTTATAAACCTACCCTCCATCTGTGATGTAACTTATCTTCACTTTCATAGCGCTATTATTACTGGGTTGCACCTCAGCTCCTGCGGGGTATGTCACTGTGTCTAGGCTATGCGCAGCTCTGAGGGCCATATATAGTCGTGATCCGCAATGTACCCTAGGTTGCTGGAACGTATTCCCAAGGGCTCCATCTTATTAAATGACATTAAGCATTCCTCTCAGACAGGGCTCAGGGTGCAGCTTGGTAGGGTCATTTCCATCCCTCCAGGGTATGATTACTCCGACCGATGGGATGGTAAAAGTACATTGATGTAAGATCAATAAGCAGAACCTTGTGGTTACTCCCTGGGCAAGTCGATCCTTCACCAACTTACGGTTTCTTGTTGTCAGCTGTATTTATAGAGTGGAGGGGTGAGCGTCCTACCAATCCCGTTAAGTTGGTTTGTTGTTTCTGCCCCAAAGGCGGTGACGACTCTTTACCCCCTCTACTTCTGTCAGTATGTATGCCAAGACTACTGCTTATGAGTTCAGGCGAGGAGCGTGGCGAACATGTAGAAGAAAGTTAGAATTGCGGTGAGATAACAAGTACAATATCCATTTATTTCATCTGACCCGAGCCTAGGCAGCTCGAAACAAATTTAGGGAGTAAATGCAACAAGACGACATTCGCCGGAGTAACTCGAGGATTAGATCCCGTACCAAGGCGTCATCATAGAGCTCAATTAGAACGAGTTTCCGAGGCCGACTGAATATACTCGTGATAACACTTCGAGGCGAAGGGTTATTGACGATAGCGATCAAGGGCTAATGGTATGGACGCGAGGGATGTGAAACCGGCACTGCTTGCCACATAGATCAACGACCGGACAATATATGATATAAGTCGCAGGTTCGGATAGATTCGTTTTCAGTGGAGATCAGGATCACTCTGAGTATTTCCACAAAGAGCCAACATAGAGTAATAAGCGTGGCGTCATGAATACCACTGGTTCTTTATAACAACCAATCTGTTCTTGATACTACCTGCTGCTGGCTGACCCATGCGGAGGGGGGTCGTCACCCAGTCGTTCATTGAGAGTTTCGCGGCTCTCCAAAAGTGACCGGCCATGGACATATTGTAGGCGGCAGCTTCTTCCTTCTTTAGGTTTTTAGACCAATGGAAGATATACGGGGGCTCGTCTCGAATATACATCTGTGGTGCTGGAAGGTCTCCACATGGGAGACAAAGTAACCTCCCACAGACTCAACATGTTCCTGCCAGTTGCCATGGTGCCTCAGAGTTTCCAAATTTTCCAATCTCTCACCCTCATGCGCCCAAGAATGCCCCCAAGTTCGCCCTGTCCCTCTTTGCCCCCTTCCCACTTCTTAGGCCCCGCATTATAATTTATAAATCCTTCAGGACCAGACACAAACAAGAGTTTTGAGTCGATCCGAGTCGATATCGGCTGGCTCCTCACATCAGATCTCGTCTTCAGCACCTGGCATATCTTTTTGCGGTCTATAAATGTATTTTCTTCATCCACAAGGTAGGTCACCTCAAGATTTTCCGGATGCTTCCGTTGAAGCTCCTCCAGCATTCGCACCACTAGCCCAACAGGCTCTTCACTCTGCAAGAGTGACTTGTTACCACCCATCCTGCAATCCTCTCTTGTCCGATTCGCCCAAATTATTTGTATCTTCGGCTTTTGGCCTGCATTTCTCCGTTCCAGCAGTGTATACACGACTTGTAAGGCGGGAGCAATACCAGTCCCGCCAGCTAAGAAAACAACATCTTCAACCTCCTCCGGTATGTCAACCTCCGGATTCGGTCCGCGCAACTCAACCTTTCCATTCAAAGGCAGATTGTGTAAATATCCCGAAACCTCGCCCTTCTTCTCCTTCCTTATCAAGAACCGCAGATCCGCAGGGTGCTCCTCGTCGTCTGAGGGTAGAGGGGTATACGACCTTGCAATTTGCAATTCGGGTTGCTTCACCTCTACCGACCAAGTTCCCCTTTCCCAATACAGTTTGTACGGATCTTGAAGTGGATATGGCAGTAGCATCTTCGAAATGGGGCGAAGAGTGAGCAGGATGCTTGTTGGGGAGACTTCTTCCCTTTTGACGATCTCGAAGGGTGTGAATTTTGGGGGGTTGAAGGGTCCATTATTAGAGTCGTGCCAGCCATGTCTGTACTGATATATCAATATGGATATAGGTAGTGCGAGCAAAGCCAATTTGAAGAGAGGATTCTTAGTGAAACCTTCCTTCACCGGCCGGCTGTATTTCGATGAATCGAGGTTGTTATTCGAACGCTGTTGCTGTTGGAGACAGGTAATTGTGCTCAATTGAGCGGCTTGGCAAGAGAGGCGGAGGCCCATTGATGAATGGGACCAGACGCATATTGGAGAATTGCGAGTCGCATAGACTGGCCATTTTGAGAGCCATCGCCGCATACTTAAGTCGATCCACAGGCCGACCAAAGGCTCGAGGGATGGAGGGATAGAGGGGTGAAGGTAATTCGTACGTAGAAGTGAAGTTGCGGGCGACGCGCTTTTCTGCCGCTCTAGATGGTTGCGCGAAGGCGGTGAATGAGCTGCACTTAGCTCTTGTCTACTCCGTGGGCAATATTGTATACCCCGTACCTAGGTACCCAAATCAGTTTTAATAGACACTAGAAGGGTTATCTCTAGCAGATACCTAATAAGTACTATTAGATGTCTGCAGCAAGTGTTCTACTCTTGTATCAAAAACGGGAGATACCTTCTCCGGACAAAGTTATTGAAGAAAGCCAGTTGATCGTTTGCTATTAGGCAGCTAAGGAGCTAGGTTTTACGAGCTATAGTGAGTAGATGAGTGTCTGGCATATGGAGTAAATGACTATCTCTATCATAAAGTTTCGATATAGTTCCGGTTTTGCATTTCTCTGCTTCTTAATACGATATGAAGTAGCGCCCGGGCGTGAAGGGGCGAAGACATGTGGGCATGTATCATAATGTTGTTCAGACTGAGATTCCATATGCCAACCAGATACCTAAGGTAAGGTAGGTAATGGAGAGAGAAAGGGGGAGACACACGCACAAGAACCATTAGGACCGGTTTCAAAGTGATATAGAGCGAGAGAGGAAGCAGGTGTCGCAAGTTTCGCATTCAATCAATTCCCAGTGATAACCAAGCCCATCTAGACACCAGCCAGCACCAATCGCTATGCAACACAAAATACAATTCCCCAAATGCCTCCAAACCTCAAATGGCTTGCACCTTGCGATAATTCGGCGGTTTTATCGCACGCCTGATCAGCTTCCCCGCGTAAGGCGGGATGAGAGATACAGATCCAATAGCTAAGACGCGCCAGACAAATCCCCTGTACGTTGTTAGCGTAGGCAAAATGCTAGGGAAGAGGAAGACAAACCAAGTAATGATAAAAGCCAGATCGAAATATCTCCCAAGGAAAGGGATTGATCCTAGATATACTACGAGCGTCCCCAGTAGACTAAAGATCATGACCGGGTGCCAGGTGGTGATCTCCATAGCCACCATGCAAAGCTCGTTGAGCACCAATACTGTGAAGCTCACAGCTACCATCCTAGGTCCATCGACTTCGGTCAGGATCTGAGATAGGCCCTGGATCATGCCCCCCTGATAAATCGAGACGAATACCCAGATGAAGAATGTGCGGTATGATAGTGCTGCACCAGTCGTAAGCTCCTTGTAGAGTTCGGGATATAAATTTGCGAGTTTCTCGTCGACGTCCTTATCTAGGACGAGTGAGAAGACTGGAGCCATAGTATACAATGTCGCGTATCCCACCAGCAACCAATCCTTGTATAGGCCCTCAGGTTCGAATCTAATAGCAATGCTGTACATGGTCTGACACACACTGATGATAAGCCCACGGTGTATGACGAATTGGGCGAGTTTCGCACTGCGCTTATAGCTGTTGCGACCATGCCAGACCAGGAGTTTGGTCAAATGACAGAATTGAGTAATTGAGAAATCGGCAGCGAGAGAAGCTTGTCTCCCTTCCTTCCCTACAATTCCAACGCCCACATCAGCCGCTTGAATCATCGAGACATCATTGCCTCCGTCACCAATGCAGCATATGCGCTTCTTGGTATACTCGCGAATGAGCAAGGCGACATCTGCTTTTTGCGTAGGAGAACAACGACAGGCGACGACTGCTGGAAGAAGCACAGCGAACGAGATAAATTCCTGGCGGAAATGCGTCAGCATAAACGAGAGACTCTCGCCATCGATGAGGAGACACGAGTCGGCTTTGCTACGGAGGAAGTCTAGGTGGTCCTGTGCGATATCTTTTCGTTTAAGTTTGGTGACCATGTGGATGTATTGGCCTCTAGCCACGAGTTTAGAGCTCACAGCCACGCAACGCGCAGTTTCCACTTTATCACCAGTCAACATCCAGATCTTGATGCCGGCATTCCGTAGCAGCTCAAGTGATGATTTGACATCCTGTTGTAGTTTGTCCTCGACGCCAGTCACACCAAGAAGCTCAAGATCTCGTTCCAAGTAGCGAGCCACGACATTCGCCATGCCAGAGTCTCGGCCGGCAATAGCTACCGAAGCTTCTCTGTATTGTGCTGCGAACTCCTTATATTGCTGTACTGACAGCTTCTTCCGGCCTACAACCAGAGTCCGGAGCCCCTCGCGAGCCATGTTGGCAGTCTCCTCATCGAGCCAGTCGTTGGCAGCGACGATAGATGTCATGACCGTATCAGCACCTTTCTGATAGAACCATATTTCTCCTGCCTCGATATCGTTCGAACGGGTCTCAGAACTAAGAAACTGGACAACAATGCCCATTCTCTTGCCTTCAGATGTAAATGGAAAGACTTCGAGAATGCGGACGCGAACAACAGGGCGCCCTGTATCGACAGACTCGAGTAACATTCCCTTCCGGTCTCGATGAATCAGTCGAAGGCCGACAGCTTCGGTCCATCTAACTATCGCAATCTCATCAGGGGACGAAGCTTGATATGATGTAATCGTTTGCCCGTTTTCTTCCTCGATCGTTGGTGTAACATTATGGCATATAGCTAAAGCGAGTACAACGTCGCGAACGCGTGATCCAATTTCCCGTCTAGTTCTGGTAGCGGTGACTGCTGAAGCAACGAAGGTAGATGAAGGTGTGATGAGGATCGAAGGCTGAGTAGGATCGGTGGATGTGGGAACAGAAAACCCTTGCTTGATATAGGAAACCACTTCATCCATTGCTTCATTGGCGTAAGACACCGTACCCACATGTATCTTTTTCATCTCCATTTCGTTTTGCGTCAGAGTACCCGTTTTGTCACTCAGCAGATATTCGATTCGACCTAGTTCCTCCGGGATTGTGCTCGTCCTTACCACTGCACCAGGAATGCCTTTGTCTCGTTGAATGAACCAAGAGTAAACAGTCTTGCCCATATCCAGGTTCACTCGAAGACTAATCGGAACGATGGTCGAGAATAATACCAAGAATCGCATGATTTTGATATACCACTTGATACCCTCTACGTGATGGAAGCCCTCCAATGCCACAAGGATGATGGATAACGAGAGTGTGAGAGCGCAGAGAATTTTGGTGAGAGAATTGATCTCGTATTCCAAGAGTCCAGTTTTCGACCGGGAAGGAGATGTCGAGAGTGCTGATCTGGTCTGGGGTCCAGTGTATACAACCACGGCTAATGTTGTAGCATTTGAAGCAAGGACCGTGTTTGCCCATGCTGTATTGTCGATAGTTAGCGGTGCTGATTCTGAGCTGTCATCATTGGACTCCTCAGGGGATAGTTTTGGCACATGGGGATCGTAGCCTCTGTTTTTTGGCATTAATTCTACAGTCCCAATGAACTCATTGACCTTTTTATCGGGCTTTCCGGCAACCACACGAAGGCGGGTGAACTCGGACGGTTCAAGAAATTGTGTCAGTGGGGATCCTAATCGAAGCTTCCAATCTGTCTCCCCATCAAGTTGATCTGTTCGGATGAAAGTTTCACCAACACCTTCTGCATCCGCCGAAGGGGTGTTTCCAAGCGCCGAGGTTGATTCGTGACTCTCCGCAACAGTGCCGTCAGTCTGATCAATAGGAGGGTCGGAGACCGGGTCTACCAGCAATGCGTCGCCCGTACCAGCATCATCGGGGTCTGGCGAGGGGGATTCATTCGTATAGCTCTTCAAAATAACAACATCTGCAGGAAGTCGCTGGTCCTTCCCTAACTTCAAGACATCGCCGACCTTCAAGTCTCGAGCCCTTTTCGTTACTTCATGAACGGCTGAAGTTGGGGACTCATGGGACAGCCCTTCCGGACCACCCTCTTCCTGGATATCAGATAATCTGTCCGGCTCAACTAGAGATCTTCGCTTCAACTTTGAGTTCCCTTTGGATTTCAATCTCTTGGCGTGGTATCTGTCCGTATCCCCTATACCTGGTCTATCAAAAGACAGCACAGTATACCCTTCTGAATTCGCCTCTGCATCTCTTCGTCGCCGTCCGATGTCATCGTATGCCTCCTTCCCTAGCGTAATGGCTAAAACGCAAGCTAGCGGTACAATGTAGGTTGAGAGGTATCCTATCCGCAATGCAGGGATAGCTTGCGAGAGGGCGACTAGTAAAAAGTACATGTTGAAGAAGAAAGAGAATTCGTTATACAGTGTCCGTGGCAAGAAGCTGATGGGGGTATATTTCGCATTAGAAACCGCGTTGGGAGGAAAGCGTGCAGACTGAGAGGTCCCGACAGACACAGTGCGAGATGACGCTGGGTCATGTTCTTGCTCCTGTTCGTCTACATCGTCCGCTACTGCCTGTGGAGCAGCAGAGGAAGACAGAAAACTCGGGAGTCGTAGATGAGGCCCAAAGCTGGGCCCCCGCGGTCGCCGTCGGTGGCCTTTAGAATTGGGGGAGAGTAATGGGGCATCATCCTCCGCATTAAGGCTTCCCGCTGAACTCCGATTCTGGCTCCCTTCCTCCAGGTCGTGGTCGTCGTTCAAAAGGCCCTGTAGATCATCGTCCTCGGTTTCCCTCCGCCGCCCCAGGTCCCCATAACCATATCCTCTGTTGCGTTGCGTCCCGCGCAACCCACCCATCCGCAGGTTCCTCAAGGGAATATGTCCAGTCCGCCGCCCGTCTCGTGCGCTCCGCTCTCGTTCTCGCCGCGTGGAAAACGAGCTCGTGGGATTTGGGACCGAGGTTGTTACCGGGTCCAGCTCTTCTATATCCAGCTCAAGGTCGGAATCCGAGTCATCCGTAGGTGGCGGGGGAACATCTGGCTGATGATACTCTCTCGACGACATGCTTCATTGAGGCGGCGCTTGTAGTAAGGATAGAGGTAGAAGCTGGGGGGGGATGCGGTTGATAATTAAGAGGGACGAAGGACTGAGGGTTTATATCATAGATCAGAGGTATTCGTATGCAGTCTCATGCTCACTGTGCGTAGTAGTGCTTCGTCCTGTCTGTAAACCTAAAGGTATACAAGGAATATTATTATATTGTAGCCTCCGTGTCCCCTTACCGCGTACGTTGTAGCAAGTTGCAGCCTCGCTGTGGTCTCAGCCACGGGCCGCGAATCGCCGACGCCCCTAAGCCTAAAGGCGTCATCGTGCTCCGTCCTCGTACAAATAGAAGAAAGCTGGCCTCAAGCGAGGAGCCTTGTCTTCCAGGCGCCTTATACGTAGGACCTATGCTTCACTTCCTTTCTCCAACGTACCAAGTTCCGCTACCAAAACAATAACAATGGGTCCCTCGTCGCTGTAGCATGGCTTCAGGCTCCCCGTATTCTTTTATCTCCCTTAATTTGATTTGACCTGCTCCTTAGCGGCATCGTTGTATAAGTACGTGCGCCCTTCCCTGCCGATTCCCAGGGTCTCGCCTCCGAATAGGAGGCGTGTTAGGTTGGTTCATCCTTTGCTGACGGCTTCAGTATTCAATTCTTTTCCTAGGCTACGGCCACGGCTACAGCTACAGACATTGCGATGCCTTCTGAATCTGTGGCGTCTTCCTGGCATCCGGCCTTCATGCCGAATTCCACGGCCGACACAATCAAGTCAGAAGTTCCCCATCCGCAACAACCACAATCACAGCCACAACCCAACGCGCTCCCCGTACAAGAACCTCCCATCGAAACTTCAGATCCCGATATATCCACGGAGAGACGATATCCAGGTCCTGAAGATGCTGCGGTGAACAATTTGAAGCAGCCAGAACTGAGCACTCAGCCAACGCAAAATGCTCCTCCTTCGGCAAACGAACTAGATGTTGCGCCCACGACATCCCCAGCAGGCTTAGGCTTGGAAGCGTTGGAAGACGGCCCATTGGATAATGGCGTCGACGATCGGGACACAATCGACGATGACGCAGCGGAGCTCCCGTCGGAAATCTCCAACCACGCGAACAAGCACCTCAGCACGATGTCTTTCACGAGAACCGTGTCGCAAGACGTTAGCTGGGGTGAGGACGATGAGGTGGATCCGGAGTGGAATCTTTCCAGGACAGATACCGATCCTTTCAAACTCATGCCCAAATCAGACCGGACGAATTCGTTCCCTATGGTTCCACCCCTCCATTCGCCTGAAACTATTCACGCCGATACGCCGTTGGCCCCGACCCAGGCAGGAGAGGTCATACAGAAGGCTGAAAAGGGGTCGGCAGACCTGTTCGCAGACGGGGATAATGATGAGGCAGATTTCTTCAGTCAGCAGGCTACTTCGAATACTAGCCCAGGCCTTCTCCCAGAATCCTCGAATGGCGGAGATATTGAGGGCAACAGGTTAGATTTCGGGCAGTCATATGGTGGGGATGCGCTGCAGGCGGACGATCAAGCTCAGTCTCGCTTTGAGGAAGGCCTCCCGCTAGTTCAAGCGTCGGAAGTATCTCGTGGCGATTATGGATCATCTCCATTTATGGATGAAGGAAATGATGAGGACGACTTTTTTGCACAAGTCCGCAAGTCGGACGATGCTACGGGACAACCCGCTCCGCCATCTCTTCAAAGAAAATCGACGACGCAGGCCATGGATCTGGGGAATCACCTGCCAGGTGGAGACACTCAGGAGTCGCCTATACAAACGACAGGAAGCTCACAAGGCTCACTTGATAAGGTGACTGGCGGGAGCATCAGTGCATCAGCCAGTACTGTCTTATCTCAGGTCTTTGGCGACCCCGAAACACCTATCCACAATCAAACAGATGGCCAAGTTTTGGAAGCAGGTTCTGGTGAGAGTGATCTTGCTGAAAAATGGAAAGCCGCATTGGCCGGCGATGAGTTTCTGGACGATGAGGACGGGCTTTTGGAGGACGACGAACCAGTGGAAAATAATACTGCCCTTGATCCGGCCACACTCTTTGGAAGTGATGATGAAGGCTTTTTAGAAGACACCGACGAGCAAAATGAGTTTACGGCGCCACCTCTACAAAGCCCCCCGATTCCGACATCTGTCACCGGCCCCAATGGTCATGTGGCAGGGTTTGACAATCTCACCCAAGGAGCCCAACCAACCCGTCCCAGCAGCAGTCGATATGTTCCTACTGGTGTAAGTACGGCGACGGCTCCTCAACCAAATAATAGCTATCTGCCAACTGCGCCACTTTTAGCAGATCTTTCGAGCCCAGCAATTAATAGTATTGCAACAAGCCCATATGTAGCACCAGCTACCCAACCGCAATCTGATCGTCCAGATGCGCCCAGGGCTCAAAGCTTTGCCGCCAAGTCCAAAGGCGGATATTCATCACCTTATGACTTACCAATGGAAGTTGTAAAACCCCGGAAGCGTGTAAGCTTGCAGAATATTGGTCGTGCCAACAATGTACCTACTGCGCCAGCAACCGCCCCTCCTCCCAGAAGCACCAGTATGTTTGCACAGCAGGTACCGCCACCAAGGGAAGCAAAGTCCACATTAACATCACCCACGGACAGCCAGGCGCCACTATCCCAACCTCTCCAGAACAAGTCTTCGAGCAGTTTCTTCGAGGAGCTGCCTATGTCTCAAAAGGCAAGGCCAGCCCCAAGACACTCAAATAGCTACGGGCTTCCAGCAACAAGTCCTTATGCCTCCCCTAACCTTTCCACCCCGCCATTTAATCAAACCGCGGGACCAACCCCCTACGCATCTCAACAGCAGTCAGTACAATCATCAATTCCGGCTACAGACCTAGTCGCGCCGGAACGGGTCAGCCCGTATGCTTCCCTTCCAACGGGCAATGTCCCACCACCAGCCGTATCCTCCAGATACTCTCCTGCACCTCCACACACGCAGAATCAAATCGCCCCTCCGCCCGTTTCTCAAGCTCGATATTCTCCTGCGCCTCCTGCCCCCCGTCCGCAGCTCCAAACGTCCAACTCACTTCCTCTAACTTCACCACCCCCGGTGCTTGCCCACCAGCCTAGGACTTCTAGTCCTCTCGCTCAATTCGAGAGAACCCATGATTCAAGGCCACATAGTGCAGAGACCCCAAGTTTTGATCGTCGAAGTAGCTCCTCGGGTTATGAGCCAGCTTCAAAAACCGCCCATCTTCCTCCAACTCGTGAAGTTGACGAGGAAGAGCCATATCTGCCGAGCGGTACTACAGCCTATGGAGCTTTGTCGATTCCGAATGCACATCCACCACCTCCCTCCCACGGTATGGCGATGGTTTCTCAGACACCGCCACCACCACAAAGTATTGCCTCCAAAATATACTCTTCGCCCCCCAAGCGCACCCCGTCGTATCTACCTAATCAACCCCCAAGTAGTATCGACCAGCATCAGGCAATCGTCCCTCCGAAAAGGTCGCAAACCCAATCTCCTGGCACAGCATTTACTGGTCCAAGGTTTGACATGGTCGCTTCTCCTCCTTATCAACGGCCCGCGTCCGTAGAAGTCCCAACGTCCCCTCGGATGCAGGTTGGAGTAGCTACAGCGCCAACAGCGCCTTCTCACGGGCGTATGAGAGGCTTTTCTCAAGGCCTTGATTACGTCGCTCCCAGTGATGGTCGGGAACACGACCCTTTACAGAGGTGGAAAGGTGCCCCCATTATTGCCTGGGGTGTTGGTGGAACTATTGTTACGTCCTTCCCGAAAGATGTTCCGCGATATGGGATGAACCAGGCTACACCCATGATTCTCCGAAGCCCTGGGGAAGTAAAGGTCAAAGGTATCAAAGATATCGATCCTCTCCCGCCTAGGCTAACAACCTTTCCGGGGCCTCTGAAAGGGAAGTCGAAAAAGAAGGAGGTAGTTGGCTGGCTGGCTTCTGGCATTGAATTCCTGGAGCATAATGCATCATATTTACGTTCGATTCCCCATCTGTCCCATGAAGACAAACGAACTGAAGAGCGTATATTACTTTGGAAAATCTTGAGAACATTTGTCGAGAATGACGGTACCCTAGAAGGCAATCCAACTGTTGATAAAGCTGTGAGGGATGTTATATCTCCCGGCGTCGACGACAATTCTACCACTACCCCACTCTATGCGACTGGAGCAGACCTTTCAGGCATTTCTCGGACTTCGACTTCAGTCGCGAGATCTGAACCAATAGACCCTGCAGCTGTTGACCACCTGAGGATGCATCTGCTACGTGGCGAGCGTGAAAAGGCAGTATGGGAAGCCGTGGATAAACGGCTATGGGGCCATGCGATGCTCATATCCAATACAGTTTCGAGGGAGCTATACAAACAGGTTGCACAGGAGTTCGTTCAAAAGGAAGTCAAAAGTACTGGTGATAATACTGCGTCACTTGCAGCTCTGTACGAAATATTTGCTGGAAACTTTGAAGACAGTATCGATGAACTTGTTCCAGCTTCAGCTCGGGCTGGTTTCCAAATGGTTAGCACCTCAAACACAAACGAGCGCTCCAAAGATGCCTTAGATGGCCTCGATAGATGGAGAGAAACTCTGGGGCTTGTGCTGAGCAACAGGAGTGTCGACGACATTCAAGCCCTGAATGCATTAGGAAAGCTCTTGTCTGGTTATGGTCGAGCTGAGGCGGCGCATATCTGCTTCTTATTCGCGAGGAACCTCTCAATATTCGGCGGGGTCGATGACCCCTCGGCAAGCATTGTCTTGGTTGGATCTGATCATATGAGGCAGCCATGCGAATTTGATAAAGAGCTAGAGTCCATTCTACTCAGCGAGGTTTTCGAGTACGGAATGTCGCTATCCAGCACCTCAAATGTGGCGGTTTCCAGTCCTCACTTATCCGTTTACAAACTCCAGCACGCGATGGTTCTCGCAGAATATGGTTTTCGGGAGAAGGCTCTGCAATACTGTGAATCTATTGCTTCATCCATTACTTCCCAAACCCGACGATCTCCATACCACCATCCGCTGCTTATATCGGCTCTAGATGATCTAAGCAAGCGTTTGAAGCAATCTCCCAAATCGGAATCGTCATCATGGTTGTCAAAGCCAAGCATAGACAAGGTTTCGGGGTCTGTATGGGACAAACTTAGCAAATTTGTCGCGGGCGACGAAGATGATGCAGCTGGAGCTATTACAGGTGATGGAGCGGAAATCGGCCCTTTTGCCAGGATCGCAGGTGGCACTCCTACCATCAGCCGGTCGCCATCTAACTCGGAACTCTACGGCTCCTATAATGGGGGCCTAGGCATTAATGGTGCCATGCCAGCAGCTCCGGTCAACAAGGCCAGCTCAAGATACGCCCCAGGTCGTTCCCATACACCGGAGACCCGAAGCGGGTCGTACGCCTCTCAGCCTCGAACTTCAATGGAAGGGAGATCATCGGGCGAACACCATCGATATGAACCTCAGCGTCAAATGTCTGATTATCAGTCCAACTCACAACCTCCTGTAAATAACTATGCACCCCAGACGAACGAAATATATACTCCGCAAACTTCATATATTCCACATGGAAACGATTCACCTTACGCGCCTCAATTAACTACGCCAATTACCGACCAAGCCCCGGCTAGCATCTATTCCTCCCCACAACCGGTTAACAATCTGGATGCTCATCAAAATCCTTCATACTCCTCACTAGAACCGTCTTCGAACCAACAATTTGCTTATGAGCCCCCCAACGGATATGAGCCAACGACATCTAGCAGTTACGAACCGCCCAGTAGTGGTTACGAACCGCCAGCCTATGAACCTGTTACATTCGGTGATGAACCCGATTCGCCTGTTGATACCAAACCCAAGAAAAAGTCGTTCATGGATGATGATCAAGATGACATTCCAGTTCCCAAGAGACCATCCGCGGCACGGGAACAGTCGAAGGAGGAAAAGGATCGGGAGGCAGATGAAGCCTTCCGGAGAGCTGCTGAAGCAGATGGTATGTTTCAGTCCCGTTCGTATGATTTATATCTAACACTCTTCAGCCCAAAAGTCTGCGACTGCACCCGCGAAGCGAGGCTGGGGTCTCGGAGGCTGGTTCGGAGCTGGGAAGAAAGAATCTGCTGATGTCCCACAATCGAACAAGCCAATTAGGGCCAAACTTGGAGAGGCTAGCTCTTTTGTTTATGATCCCGACCTCAAACGATGGGTGAACAAAAAGGGTGGTGATACCGCGCCTACGCCCACAGCAACTCCGCCTCCACCCAAATCCGGTCCACCACGGACAGCCAGTGGAGGGCCTACGTCGGCCCCTCCGCCTTTGTCCCGGACGACGCCCGCCATGCGCGCCGCTTCAGATGGTGATAGCCGGCCACATTCCAATCTTGGGAATGGTCCACCAACTTCATCTGCTGATGTAGGTAGTGGTGCATTGGCACCACCTTCAGCCCCTGCTATGAGTCGCAGTGTGAGCAGTGGCAGCGTCCAGAATCGCTCACCCAGCGCACCGCCTAGTAGACCTAGTACTGGAATGAGTAACGCAAGCAGTATTGATGATTTGCTTGGTCCTCCGACTGCCGGCGCTAGGAAGGGCACAGTGAGGAAGAAGAAGGGTAGGGGTTATGTGGATGTTATGGGGGAGAAAGCGGCTTCCTGAGGGGGGTTTTCGCAATGTATATTCTGGTTGGGTTGTATCATAGACTTGGGAAGGAGGGAAAACTAGGTAGTTACAAAGTATTAATTGTATGATATATTAACTCTACGCGCGCTCGGGTTCCCGTGCTGTTCAGCTAGCAGATAGGCATCACCATTGAATATGGTTTCTCTTAATGCTCGAAGACAAATTGACCCGTTGCGGTTTTTCTCCCCCAGAAGTCAACGGATCGTAGGTGTATGCCGTTAGCAAGGGGGAGTACCAAGAGAAGGTAAAACTGACACACAACCTTATCAAAACACCGTCTCGCTTAAAAAAGGGGGCAATTCCTGCGATTATCACATCTAGGGCGTATGGTCTGAAGTTGACTCCAGATCCAGATACTTCATTTTGCTGTGCTATATATATTGCCCTGGTCTAGGAAATACTCCTTGACAACATATGCATAAGCTGATTGGTGTCAGCCAATCATTCAGCTGAGTCTGCTGACGCCGCTTCAAATATCCTGAGGCCGGGGACTGTTGCCCAGACCTCTCCTTGTGTACCACGATTTCTGCCAACTTTCCTCTTCTGATAACCCCTACCTATCCTTCAATTCCAACATGCGCCTCATCCACTGCACTCTTAGCATTGCCTCCCAAGAAACCCTCGTTCATCTCGAACTCCACGAGTACCTCCTTGACTTCCCCCGTTACGCAATCCTCTCTCACCGCTGGGGTGCTCCCGAGGAAGAGCTCACGTTCCCAGACATACAAAAGGGCCTAACCTTAACTAAAGGCAAGGGCTACGAGAAAATCACAGGTTGTTGCGAGCAAGCCATCCGCGATGGATATGAGTATGTCTGGATTGACACGTGCTGCATTGATAAGAGCAGCAGCGCTGAGCTCTCTGAGGCCATAAATTCAATGTATGCGTGGTATTCGGGATCTGGTACTTGTTACGTGTATCTATCAGATGTTCCCGGAGAGAAGGAACTCGAGGATCATTCCAAGGAAAAGTCGGCATTCAGAATGAGCGAATGGTTTAGGAGGGGGTGGACGCTACAGGAGTTGATTGCGCCGTCATCTGTGATATTTTATGCCGACAACTGGGTGTTGATTGGAGAGAAATCTGATATGGCCGATCTTATCCACGATATTACAAATATTGATATTGGAGCCCTGAAAAATCAACGGGATCGTCCTATCAGCGTGGCGAAGATGATGTCCTGGGCAACGGGCAGGGTGACCACAAGGGATGAGGATAGAGCATACTCGCTCATGGGATTATTCGGTGTCAATATGCCCACGCTCTACGGCGAAGGCTCAAAAGCATTTATCAGATTGCAAGAGGAGATTATGCGCACGACGTACGACCAAAGTTTGTTTGCTTGGGAAATGAATGGTACTGCACCAAGGGGCCTTTTGGCGGCATCCCCGAACGAATTTGCTGGATCTGCAGATGTGGTCTTGATGGATTATAATGAGTTTGCTGTACAGTTTGGGAATAAAGATCCGAAGCCTGAATATAATTCGACGAATTTTGGGATACGGATCCAGTTGCCTTTGGAGCAGATTGATAACGGAGAGATCTATAAGGCATATCTTGCGTGCACAACTCAAAACTCAGATATACCGGTTTCTATAACTCTCAGGGGATCACCTAGAGCGGCAATAGATACATATGAAAGAGTTGATATTCCTGCGCCAAATTTGGACAACACCAAGCCAATCCGACTTTCCGATATCCCAGTCAAAGATATTTACGTCTCGAGCCCAAACAGCCTTCTCCACATGAACCCAACCACGACTCCCGAACTAGACATTCACTTCACAATCTCCCCCAACGATTTTCTTAAACCACCCACAACGTTCCGCTCGAAACTCTTACTAAACTACCATTATGGCGCCTCTATCAAACGTGCCACTGGGCTTTCCTTCACCGTCCGCTTTCGCCAAAATGTTGATGACCAATACGTCGTCTTATGCTTGGGCGAACTCCAAGGATTAATGACCATGGAAGCCGATTATGTTAAGCTTTTTGTAGTGGTGGGGTGGTATGGAAAGAGGCTGTGGTGTGATGTTACCGGCGCAAAGTTGGCAAGTGAGACGAGTGTTTATGAGTTGTATAGGGATTGCGACTCAAGTCCAGGGAACGTAAGGGCGAAGGGGAGAACAGAGTATAAGTTGAAAGTATCATTTGGAGAGAATAAACTAGCTGCTAATTTGGGGGTTACTGTTGGTAGGGAGAGCGTCAATGGCGGTAGAGAATCTTATAGCGCAGCTATAGAGTTTAATTGGACGTAGACCGACGTTTAGTTTATGAGTGAGCATTCCAAGACCGGTTTTGAGAACGAAGCGGTTTAGTGTCCTATGCAATGATGACCTGAGAGGAGATCTACATACATATTTCCAAAAGTTCCCAGAAGGAGCATTCGTTAGTTGGAAACAGCCGATGAATAGTAAACGAACATAAAACTAATGACTTTAGGGGCAAACTAACCAGTTTTCACTTTGAGTATCCATAGGACGACACTACAAGGCCTGGAAAAAGGAGCATACGTATCTAGATAATATCACAATACAAACGCACTTTCAAGTTTTTTAGTAACTTTATTTGTACTATGTGACGCTGGCTGGCGTGATCGAGCGAAAATTAGATATTTGTACAATGTATTGCTTCCCCCCTTTAGCAAATCCAAATCATCCATCCACTTGCTGTTGGCGACCAGTTCGTGTATAGACAATTCAAATCCGCCTTGGGCTCCCACTTCCCCAAGCACAGAAGCCCATCCATCCCTCCAAGATTACAATACTGGCCAGCCAGGCCATAGAACGCTACAATCCAGGACCACAGTCCAGATTCGAAGTAGCAGTTCTGAGACGCAACGCAGAAAATGCAACGCAATATCTCGCAGACCCCCCAACGCATGCAGGTAGAGCAAGCGGATCTTGCAAAACAAACCAAACCAACGAAAAGAAACGAAAATGATTATTGACACAAAAAGCTTTTAGTCGCTGACCGATCGCGGGTCAAATGCCGTCGCGCGCAAGAACAAATCCCTAGGGAGCTGAAAAGGAAATATGCGGAAAAAGCAACCTGTCTTCCCGCACACCGGTTCAATATGCGCAGGAAATTAATGCTAAAGGAAATCTGGCGACGCGAATGTAGTCTATGGTCGGAAGGTGAGGTATCATGGTAACAGAGAAAAGAACTTTTAAGACACGTTTTAGAAAAAGGCCCGCCGTCAAATGCAAGTGTTGCCCGCCAGTCTATGCACAGAGATTAGAATGCTTCCAGAGTACACCTCCGTGAATATCGTTGGATGCTCATGAGTCGTTCTCCTTTTTATCTTCAGATTTCTCCGCAGCGGCGGGGGTTGCCTTCGACATTGCGGGAGAGACAGATGTTGAAGGAGGGGAGGCTGGGTTCTCGGGCTCGCCCGATCCTAATCCTGCGAGCAGACTGAAGGTATGTATGTTAGTAAATATACTACGTAACAAAGGCTCCTGTTCAACATACCTAAATGCATTTGCTGACGCAGCTGACTCCTTTTCCTTTTGTTGAGGGGGTGTGCCAGTTCTTGATGAAGCTCCTGAGTCTTCACCTGGTCTGCTTAACGAACCACCAGGACCCATCTTTCGCCCACTGTTGCTTCTAGATGAGAACATGGAGGTTGGGCCAAATGACATATTTTGAGTGGAATGTCTGTTCGCGCCACCTTTGTTGGTTAAACGACGGAGGTCATCCATGCCAACAGTGTTCTTCTGGTAATCAACAGGTGGTTGGTTGCCATATCCACCTGAGAAATTTCGACCATCACCACGGCCCATCTGCATACGCCCGCCACCACCTCCGCCACCGCGTTGGTTGCCTCTGGCGTTCTCAGCGGCCTTCTGGGCAGCTGCAGCTTCAGCCTGCAATCAGTTAGCAATATGTCGTTAATATCTGGAGCGATGAAATCTTACCTCTGCTCGGACTTCTTCGAGTGTCTTCGGACCCTTGTTGGTCTCCTTGGATACCCAGCGCTTCTTGCGCAAATCAACGATATCCATCAACATGAATCTCAGTCGACTTGGCAAGTCAGGCGTGTCGGTCATTGCCTGGATTCGCTGGAAATAGACATCCATCATTGGCTTGCCTTTCTCGGTGCTGTCCAAGTTGGCACCAATTGTCTTGAGAAGCTTCGTCAATGACTCGATTTCCGCCTCATCAGGAATTCCGGTGTAGTCCACCAGCTTCTTCACGCATTGATGCATGATACGTTCTGTAAGCATGCTAAGCTTGTAAAGTTCGCCGATGAATTGGACAAGACCAAGACCACGTCGCTTGGCAGCAGCTGCGATATAGTACTCGTCGGACAACATGGCAGCTTCTGCCGACTTCTCCTCGCCCCGTTCACCCTCGGGCTTGTCTGGTAGGTCAAGCTTCCAGCCGCGCTCGAACTCTTCTTGACATCTGTTGAGCAGGTATTTTCTGAAGAGATTGCCTCCAGAGACGATGTTGCCATTCTTGTCTAGAATACTCTCATCCTTGATGTCTGGGCTCATAGTCTCCAACATCCGCTTGCAGAATTTGGCGTACATGGAAGCCCAGTGAGCCTCATCTGTAGCCTTCTCAAATGTGAGCTGGATAACCTGTCGAAGTGTGCGACCATCAGATTCATCCTTTGACTGCGCAGCGATCGCAAGAATTTGATCAGCAATCTTGTCGAACTTCTCAGGTGTCATCTTGTTGAGAGCCGCCTTAACCTTCCGCTGCACCATTTCAGGATCCATATGTCCAGCACCACCTGAAGCACCAGGGGTAGGGCCGGCAACACCAGTCGCAGCTTGAGTACCAATGCTACGAGGCTTCCATCCAGTTGCAGAGACTTGGATAGGCTTGAGATCCATGCCGGCTGTGAGGGGCATGGTCTTCGCCGCCTGGGCTTCCATCTTGGCATTGCCCTGGTGACTCTCGCGTTTGCTGCCACCTCGTTGAGATCTGCTCTGTTGACGAGGAGAGTTGGGCATGTTATACATTGTAGAACTAGAAGGAGTACGCTGCATTGTGCTGCCACCAGGGAAAGCACCACCAGGTCGATTGAATGCTGCCATAGGAGTGGCGGCAGGTCGAGGCATCGTTCCACTAGCCATGGCAAAACGCTCCGCGGAGGTTGTACCAGGAGGTAGAGTTTTAGCACCAAACTGGCCCATAGCGAAAGCTCCAGGCGCGTTGCTCCGGGTTGAGCTTGATCTGGGGCCCATTCCTCCAGTTCTGGTCGAAGCTGATCTTGCTGAGCCTCCATCACCATCACCGATGAGCGCCTTGATCTGTGACTCAAACTCCATGGATGGCTTTTCAATGAAGACCTTCTGGAATTGGAGTAAGAATTCCTTGTCATACTTGAAGCTCTTGCCCTTGGCAGCGACAGCAGAGTTGAGAGCCGGGTTGGGCGAGCTAATGTTGGTAGGATAGAGCGAGGGGTTGATGGCAGTGAGGAAGCGTGCCGATTTGAGCGATTGGAGAGCGGCACTGGGCTGCGGTGGTTCCACTGGCTTGGTGTTCAGAGGTGCTAGGTTGAGAGCGGCTGGTTTCCCACGCTTTTCAGTTGCACTGGTCTTAGGAGGTGGAGGGCCCATAGAATCATCAGAAGCTGGGGTAGATGCTCCGCTATCAGTGCCAAGAGTAAGGTTTGACAGCTTCGAGGCGAGTGTGCTTGGGGTAGTAGGGGCGATCTTCTCATCCTCCTTGGGGGTCTGCTTGACATCAACCTTCTCATCAGTGCCCTGAGCTTTTGCCTCGGCTTCAGCCCGTTTCTTCTCACGCTCGTCTTCGAGGCGTTCCATCTCGCGCTCGGCCTCCTTAAGCTTGCGGTCATTATCCTCAGCCTCCTGCTTCCGCTTGGCTTCATTAGCCTTATCAGCAATAGCTTTCTCGGCATTTCGCTTTGCAAGGATCTCTGCCTCCTTCTTCTCTCGTTCGGCTTCCGCTGCCTCCATCTCTTGAATCTGTCGCTCCAGCTCGTCTTCCTCGTCCTGCTTGGCCTTCTCGGCGGCGACCTTAGCATCAGCCTCTTCCTTTGCTTTAGCTTCTTCAGCAGCCTTGGCATCCGCTTCTGCCTTTGCCTTTTCTCCCTCCTTCCGCTTCTCCTCGGTGGCCTTAGCATCCTCGTCTGCCTTCGCCTGGGTTTCGGCAGACTTCTCAGCATCGGCGGCCTTCCTAACCTTCTCCATCATCTCAGCCCGAATCTGGTCCTGGGTCTTGGTCGCAGCACTGTCTGTGCGAGCATGTTGAGGAGTGGATGACTTGGGTGGAGGTGTCGGGGTCGAAGCAATAACAGGAGGTGTTCTTGTTCGGTTGCTAGGAGCAGGAGATGCGGGGGCTTTCAAAGCCTCAACATCCAGTGGTTCGCCATCTGGTCTCTTGATAAGAATTGCGGCGCTCTTTCGGACAGGCCGTGGGAAAGTCGCAGCTTGTGCGGAGGGAACCTTTGGTTGTGGCGTGTGTGGGTGGGAAACGGAGGCGGCCATTGAGGGGGTCTGGGGTTGCACTCCCATACTGGAGGCTGGTCTCTGATCTGACATCTGCGAGGAGTTTCGAGACATCGGCTGGGGCTGGGGCGCATATTGACCAGGGATGTAGTTTGGCTGTTGATAACCAGGTTGCGGGGACTGCGGGGGACCGGTCATGTACGACATCTGGGGGTAGAACATAGGGCCGCTCTGCATGGGCATGCCTCGGGGGTCATATGCTTGGGGAGGGGGGTATCCGTAGCCCTGTTTGTAAGTTAGAAATGTGTCAAAATCGTTACTTGCAGGCGAAAGATCCATCTTTTTCAAGTCAAACTGCGGCATGCCAGCGAGAGGAGCAGGAAGGGGGGGAAGAGGGGGAAGAGAATGGAGAGCAGATTGATCAGCAGAAGGACGTCGGTTCTCCATGAAGCCTCGAGGTGGTGGCGCCATGACTTGCTCGAGAGGCATGAAATGACCCGAACCTGTGGGCTTCAAGGGAACCGAGAAATTCCGCATCTCGGGCTGGCCATAACTTTCACTCTCTGTTGAAACTTGCTCATGCGGCATAATTTGATGGCCAAACAGTTCCCTTGCAGGACCTTTAGGTGGCGCGTGGCGGTTATTAGAGTACTTCTCGTTCTGCCTGATCTTGCCTTTCTGTTTATTGGACTTTGAAGAAACTGAAGGGTGACGTGAAGTGGAAGGGAGGGGTACTTGTTGTGCTTGCATGTGCTGGAATTGTCCATATCCTCCATACTGCTGTGGGTTTGCCATGGGCATTGCGTTGTTCATGTTTGGCGTGCCAGGCATTGAGGGGGTGAGAGCTGGACTACGGGCCGCTTGGTGTGGGGAGTTGGGGAAGTTTGGCATAGGTCTGCCCTGTCCTTGGAAGGGCGGGGCCATGGCACCGCGACCCTGGCTTTGGGTATTTCTGTATTGCGCATTTCCCGGAGGATAGCCCATTTGTTGCGAATACCCTGGGTTGAAGTTGCCTCGACCTCCTCGGCCGCCCTGAGGAGGGAAACCACCGCGGCCCTGAGTCGCACCAGGTCCTTGGTTGATGTCACCATGATTAGACTGGGATTCTCGGCGTGCATGTCCAGCTTGTTGGTTTCCGGGAGCAAGAGGGGCTTGGTTTCCAGATGCTTGTCTCATGTGACGCTATCACACAGAAAGATTAGCATATGCAGTTTGGTCAAAGGAAGAGGGAGGAAATTTACATCGCCATCGCCACCGAGACTACCAAATGTCACGCCGTTGCCTTGAACTGCCAAGCCAGAAGGTGGTCGACCACCACTGGCTGATGGCTGGGGGATCGGGGACGGCGGTTGTGCCGGAGATGTCACTCTGGGGTTGCTTGGGATCGGGATGGGCGCCGAAGCAGCAGCTTGTGTCTGTGGGGTGCTGTGGGTCGCGGCAGGAGAAGCACCAGCGTTGATCGAGCCAAACTGGATGCCAGCCTTTGATCCGCCAACAGGACCTCCATTGGGGACATATCCGCCGATGGTCACCGAGCTCTTCCGCGAATGGTCGGCCGCACCGCCATTGATTGCAGAGCTGCTATGGGCGATAGCAGGTGCCGAAACCGCCGGTACAGCAGGAGGAATCGCCGTCCGACCGTTTACCGGCGAGATGGACGCGGATTTTCCATGTTGCTGCTGTACCGGCGCAGAACCTCCGACAGCCACGGCGGGGGATGGAGTCGAGGAGCCCGTCGCGATGGGAGGCGACGAGACTGCCTTCGCCTTCTTCGCGGTCGAGGCGTAAGATGGAGTCGACTGGGACGCGCTAGCGGAGTTGGAGGCCTGGCTTGGGATTTGGGAAGACTGAGAAACTGAAGTCATAGGCGGCGAGATTAGTTCGAAGGTGACCTCGTGTCGTTCTCTGTGTGTGTGCGTTGTTGTTGAGTGTTTCGTATGACGTATCGCGATGGACGGAGATACCTTCGCAGAAGGCGACCGAGATCAAATCTGGCGACAAATATTAAGAGGAGGTCGAAACGCTGTGGAGTGGAGTTTGGAGGGAGGTGAGATGGTCGAAGTGAATCGGATCTCTCTTGGAGTTGGGGGTTTGGTGGTGGTGGGAAGGTGAGAAGATTGCCTGAAAGGAGGCGTTTCTTTTTTTTTTCACTGGGTGAATTGAAGGAGTGTGGCTGTCGCAGCAGGCTCGTCGCAACGGAGGCGCTGTCGATAGACTCGGGGGGATACAGAGTATCTCGAAACTAAACCAGCCGCGATCTGCTCTTCTACAGAATAGAAGGTAGATCTGGGGGGGGATAGAGGTCGGGGCCGGAGGAGTTGTGCGGATGGAAGATGTTTCTGAGATGCTCAGAAAGAGGGTTGCGGGAGAGAAAGAGAAAGTCGAGAAATTGCGAGTTGCAGACAATTTGGGGCGACGGGCTGGGGCAGGGGGGGGGGCTCGCTTATTCAGCGGGTACTTGGGTACAAGGTACATTCATTGTTGCGAAAGTATTATTATTATGATTGAGTATGAGTATGAGTATGAGTATGATTAGCATTGCTTTACACAACAACAACAACCACACAGAGCGAGCATGAAGAACAGTAGTGGCAACAGCTATGCGCTGCCTATCAAGTCCTCGTCCTCAGTTCTTGATTGACTCTTGACTTCGTGTCGAAACGAAACCCTCGCTCGGGTTGCCTGCTGAACCAGCCTATTTCCCTTCGGCTTCCACGTCCACGTCCACCGAGCACTCTATGTACCGTCCAAGCGGGTAAGCAGTGCGAGGGTACGAATGTCCCGATCATAGGTACATACGTATGTACTTCATACTTATTATCCTTCAGTGCAGTCCTCTCTCCACAGAAACGTCCTGCCTGAAATCTGTTCTCCCACCAGCAGCAGCGCTATATACATACATGCAGCCTCGCACTCCGGCTCTGAGCGCGGAACCCAAGATTCCGAGTCTTGGTCAGTCAATCAATATGTTTTCCTGGCTGCTGGCTTGCAGAGTTAGGGCCAGAAGGAGTTGGTTGGCCTGGCGAATTTTTCATCAAACAAAAATCCTCAGATCACTCCGATGCCTTGCCCTGCCCTGCCCTGCCCAGGGCCCAGCTCTGGCCCAGCCCGAAGTCCCGAGCAAGTCTTGCGAAAGTTCAAACGCGCTACAGCCAGCTCGCAACCCCCTGGATGGGCCCTCATCTTGGATTTGGTTTTTCTTGGGCGGGTTCTTGGGTTCTTGGGGGCAATTATTCCCGTGATGCGCAGTACTTCGTACAAACCGAACAAATACCGTGCTCATGTCAAGTCCCAAGAGAAAGAAGGAAGGAAGGATTAGGCTGCGCAACAGGGCGAGCCTCCAGGCGAGTGACTACCTACAGAAGTACTCGGGGCTGATCGGTGGTCCAGCGAAACTCGAGCGCTCGCACCAGACCGTCCCTAACAAAGCAGCCCGGCGCAGTGGTTGCTATCAAAGGATACGTTCAAAACGAGAAGATGATTCATGAGCCATATGATACAATAAATGATGGCCATGACAGCGATCTGAGCCATGACAGCCAGTGCCAATCAGTTAGCGTTCGCCCAGATGTCACCCTCTCTCTATAACCAACCATTCGCGCCATTCTTCGACACTAACTACTCTGTCCATCGTACCAAAAAGTTGGGCTGGGCAGCCCCTTGCATCGTGGGGACGGAGTACGAGTACCTCCGTAGGGAGATGGATGGCAGTGGTAGAGGCTCATCGCGCCCTTCGCCACCCCAACACGAACGGTGCCAAATATTTCCCAGTGGATCGAGTACGAAGTACGTAGTACCCGGAGGTACGTAGTGCAACGTACAGGAGTTAGGATGCTTTCACCCCTTAAACCCGCCAACTCAACCAACTTCATCGCCCTCGTCGTTCGCCGAGTAGCTTACGTGAAGGCGAAGCATCCAGCATCCAATATCATCCAGTATGATATGCCCGATCGAAGCATCTCTGAGTCATTCTGACAGACCATCGTCGTGGCGCAATCCGCCTACTTCTGCTTCTGCATCTGCATCATCTGCATCATCTGCATGCACAGCTCACATTCTCGAGCGACCGGTCTCCCAAAGGGGAGCAGCGCCAGTCGGGATCTGCTGCAATGTGACGACAGCCGCGTAAGGCAAACGGATCTTATCTGCCATGAAAAATAAAATAAAATTGCTAAAACCCCGTTCGTTGGCGTTGCTCGACGTCGCTGCTGTAGGTATCCGTAAGAACCCGCCGAAGGAATCCAAACATACCTTACGGAGTATACACACACAGTCTTCCCCTCCTCCGGGATGGCTCGCGAAGAGATCATTTAATAAGAGCACAATACGAAGTATCTTCCCTCGCCGCACATAGTATCAATATCACATTGCGCCCCCAGATGCTAATCTTAAAGATATGGGTTTCCTCCCGGAAATTGCATCTGTTTCTTCTGGAAGCCCCGAAGGCTCAGGCACTCGCAGAAGCGAATGACATGCATGGCATTTGATCGCCCAACCTGCATCTGTAGGTTTTGCAGCAAACGAGACTCCCATCGTTCACATGCCTTTGTTCAAACCCAGATTTATTTACCTGGTTTCGTTGTTCGTTGGTTTCTTCCACTTCTAGAGTTTTATTTGTGTTTTTCCGGAATCGGTATTTTCAGGTTTGCTGCATTGCATGACTTCTGATTCGCCACCACTGTTTGTGTGGGTGTGGTGCGCTGTGGCGCATTACCCCTTTTCGCCCCCTTCTCACAGAGCTGAAACTATTCCAATGGCAGATGCGTATACCAATGCACCAGAGAATACACAGTCTAAGTACCCTCGGATACTTTAACAAATTTAAGTCGTTAAACCCCTACTAGTAAATAGATGCTTCAGCGGATTTGAATGTCTCACCTCACCATAGGGTTTTTCACGTTGATTACCTGATATCTAGACAGTTCAAGTTTCTGAGCTGGCGACTTATTAAAAGTCTGCTGAAGGTAAAGATGCGACAAAGGCAATGACCTCCTTTGGAAAATCAGAGATATGGACGCCGGTCCGTCGCTACGATTTATAACTTTTCAATTACGTATGCCAGCAAATGGTAATATTGTTAATCACATAAGCATTAGATCAGAATATCTGCCTGTCTTCGAATCGCAGGCCTCAAGACCACGCATATAAATTCTATCGCCCGCGAGCACTCTCCCTTAGATTATCTTGACCAAAACACAACACGCCTTGCCTTTCACCTTCCACACCTTGCTCCTCACTTTACCAAATGACAATATTGGACGACCTTGAGAGATATCGTAAGGACTACGATCGACGACGTCGGGTCGAGAAAGAAAACCGACTTATGATGGAGAACATAGACGAGGACGATATGGAGCGCTTTAGCAATCAAGAGTTAATTGATAAACTTATCTGTTTCTAATCGCCATATTGTCATCCTATTTCTTCACAGAGCCTTGTATAATTTTGACAGTAGCCTGGATAATAACAGTATGACTTTTCTTAATAGTGTGGTCTATTAATAGCAAAATAACTCTTATAACGAACCTCTGCATCGCCTCTAGTTTCCTTTGTGAAGAGTCCCAAAGTAGCTGTGTCCCCACTGGCACGGTCCGCCTCGATATACTCTCGCCCTGTACTCTATACTATAGGCCGTAGGGTGGAGTTCGAGCTTCTCTAACCGCTGAGTCCGAATCCCTGTCATCAATACCTGCACATTAAAGTGATATAACTCCTAGCATAACTTCCCTATTACTACTACTTTCACATATAATTTCAATAGCTAAAACCTGAATATCGACAAGTGACAACTTGAACTGATTCCGACAACCTAGGGTAAGGCACTTTCGACATTGCTTTTGGTAACTCCCGCAAGCGGCCAGAGTTATAGAATAAGTATAATCCTAGGAGAAGTATAAAGAAGCCTCTACATAAATCTTCATTCCAGCCATTCCAACCACCATATCAATAGCCACCACCACCACAACCCTGAAAGAAAAGTGTTCTAGATCCCATCGAAAACCCTTCCAGAACCTTTCCATTACGAAGGGGAAATCCGGACCTGTCAAGAACTACAATGAAATCTATGAACCTGCAGGGAGCTAGTTAGCGCGAGGAATAAATATTACCTCCATGTTGGTGGTATTGTTTTCCTCCATCGGCATGGAAGCCACCCCTACGTATTTCTTTGTTCTTCGAGGTAAATATTTTGATGCCCTTCTTTACTTTCATACAGTATCCGTCGACCAAGTCTGTTTCTATTTCCGCTCACAGATAACTAACGGGGACCGGGTACATAACTAAACCACGTGCTTCGCCCCCCTTTTTCGGTCTATCCCGCCTTTATCGCATGTGCCTAAGGTACCTAGGAACGTAGAGCAATATTCTTTTAGAGATATAGCCTTCTAATCTCCCTCTCCCTGCAACAGGGCAAATATGGCCAAGGGCGTCGACAAACAAGATCATATCCTTATCAATATCATTTCGAAGGTCATGGGTAACACAGTTCAGCACACCAATAGTTAGACATTGAATATATCCCAATTCTGACGCTTTCTATATGTAATGCATCGGTATCCTTCGTCCCTACTCTGGACAGCGCCAGCCCAGTCCCGAATCCCCCATATAACATAAGATACCTAGGTACCAGAGGACATGCCAAGTAACACCACAACGCTAATGCAATCACAAACACCATGAGCCACCACTTCGCCTTCAGACCATGCTGAGATACCTCTAATCCAGTCTCGCCATCATTTATATGTAGCCCCTTTGAGACCCCCGTACACTTGCCATCCTTTCCCACGTATGGACTGGTGGAAAACCACGCGTTGGTGTTATATAGACGATGTTAAATGGATAGGACCAGTAAGTAGCAAAACCTGATCCGTAACCACAACAACATGTCCATACCTCCGTGAAATCGCCATAATCACCGCGCTAGCGACCATCACTAAAATACTTAGACCGGCTAGTCACAGAACCGTACAACTCGACCTGTGACCCCTATGTCCACAAAATCAGTCTCTCCGGCCTCGATATACCCCGGTAGCTTACATTGCAAGAACACTCGCTAATATACAGAACATAGGAAATCGGCATACCATCTCTGAGCCTCAAGCTGCGTGATCCAGCCCGCGCACATCTTTAACCTCCCCCGCACGCTAGTCGTAGCCAGCAGTTTGTATTTCTCTGCTTCTGCCGTGGGGAGCACGCTTGCGAACCACCACGGGAAAAGGGCCGGGTCATCTGGACAGTCGCCGTATGCGGCGTAAACGCGGTTATGGAGCCATGGAGCGCTTTGCTCGCGCATTCTCTTCACGAACGCTGTGCCAACCCCCATTAAATCCTGCGTTGACATGGTATCTAGTTCCATGACTGGCGGGGGTTGTGGTTCGTTTCGAGTAGAGCTGTGATGAGAATGTGCGCCGAAATGACCTTGTGATGGAGCATTGCGCCGATTGGCCAAGTTGCCGGTTTCCGCTGCTTCGAGGGCTTCTTCGGCGGCAATACTGATGTCGTCTATCCTCTCAATTTTACCAACTGTGTAGCCGTCCAAGAGGCCGTGTTTGACAACCCGGAATCTTGATACGCCTACCGTTTCTATCAGGCTTCGGCCGTCGGGTAGAAGATGCATATTGACGATATGAAGTAATGTTCCATATTGATATGAAGGAGCATGGCCTGAATTGCTTTGCTCTTCTCGATCTGGGTTATGGAGGAGCATGCCAAATTTCCTGCCTCCGCTCTCAATCGCTCGACGAATCATGAGACGATATCTGGGTTCGAATATGTGAAGGAATGTCGGCATGGATGGAAATGACAGTGTACAAATGAATAGCGGGGTGTCTAATTCGGCGGTACCGCTCGACTCTTCTGCCATGGCAGTTTCTGCTCGTGCGGCCAATGCTTCGGGGCAGAGGCCGATTAGAAGCTTGATGAGGAGTGTGTTGGATGGCGCTTGTTGAGCACTGATGCTGGGTGGAATTGACAGAACCCGCCGACATATCGGGCACAGATTTGAGTGATCTAGCACTCGATGTACGCATTTCCGGCAGAATGTATGGCCACAAGCTGTGGTGAGAGGGTCAAAGAATAACCCGTAGCAGACTTGGCAATCCAGCTCTGGTCTCGTCGCGTCCGTCAAATCTTCCAGTAGGGCTGCATCGAATGTCCCTGTGTTCTCGCCGGCTGGTGATACGGCAGTATATATGGCTTCGGAATCATATGCCAGCTCGCCCATTTCTGCCATAGCATATGTAGAACAGAGACGCCCGCCTTTCAAGACCCGGCTCCGTACTTCTTCATCCTGCAAAGAAGATATGCCCGCAGTTGACCATTTATTCCTCTCCTCGACGTGCACCAGCACTTCCGAAACCCCAGGCTTCTCATTGTACACATCTATCTCATTCCTCACAATTTCTACTATCTTATTCACCACCACATCCACAGCGCAATCACCATCTGCATGCTCTTTCTCGCAGCCCATAAAAGGGCATATGAAGCCCTGTAGCCGGTTCTCAGTAGCAGGATAGGTGATGTTCGGCCGCAGATGAAGCTTCGGAATGCATTTCTTGCATAACGAATTCCCACACGGTAGTGTAACTGGCTCTCGGAGAGGGTATGAACATTGCGGGCATTGCGCCAACCTCACAATCTGTCGGGCATCTCTGGAAGCATCGAGCGCGCCATTCGAGAGGGGAGTTTCGACGGGTAGGGAGTTCGAGACACTTGGGACGGGTGTTTGGCGAGGGATTGAGGTGTTCTTATTATTGACGGGAAGAGAAACGGGAAGAGAGGACAACAATGGTGCTTCGTCCAGTGCTGAGCCGTTGGACTGACCCTCTGGGTCGTCCATGTATTATATGAGGAGGCCGTGGGGTCGGCTCCAAGCCGTATTATAGAAAAGTCGCCAGTGTTGCTGTTCCTGATAGCAACCCTTTGCACGGGGCGGCGACTGGCAGTATTGAGCTACTATATGTATCTGGAAACCGATGTTGCAGAAGCTCGACTCGCCGTGTTTCGTCTTCAGGGTCATTGGCGTCGCAGAGATAGAAGGCGTATGCGCAGGGATATCAACTAGAAGCTCGAAGCTCGGGCAACAGATAGCTGGGTTGGAAGGGGAGCTTCGGGAATCAGCAGGACAAAAGAGCTTACCCAAGTAAACCAACCGAGCGCTGCAAATTAGGGAACAAGTATGGCACGTACGAGATACCAGCACAGCATACAGAGGGAGCTGATGGGGGATGATAATGATGGGTTCATGTGCCCCGTATGATCACCACTTTGGCGAGAGCCCGATCTGAAGTGGTGGGGCTCGGCTTGTCTTACCACAGTCTCAACTCCAGCCAAAGTCTCGTGGGCCCGACATCACACTGATCACAGTTGTCGCGTGCAATTTACAAGTACCTTACGTGGCACATACAGCACGAAGTACTTCAGTTAGCAGATCCTCCAAATAACTCACCTAGGTATACACCGAGTCATAGCGTTTGTTGTGTTCGTCTCTTCCGAGCGTCGCCAACATCCCTTTGGAATTCCTTTTGCGCCCTCATTTGTCTCACTCCAAAGATAAATTACGACTCTCAAGGGCGCAATCTCCTAATCTAATCAAGGCCGCTTTCAGGCTGCGTACATAGCCCGGTCCGCGTGGATCAAGCCACTGCATCGGATTGAAGCTGGCGATCCTAGCTAGATAATGTATTTCCTTCCAGATGATCGGCATCGTGCCAAACAACGTCGTAACAAAGCACATATTTCCAACACACCTTCTATCAAAGTGCATCGCAATGCAAGGAGTACTTCTCGAAACCATGCGATATGATTATTGTACGAGGGGTCTATATGCATCTAGAGTCTAGACCGTTAACACACATCCCAGCAGATAACGGCTTCTCGAGTACTACGTACCTAAGGTACGTAGTACTGTACCTCGCTTTGGCCTTGTAGAGAAACCCCCTTTCAGCCATCCCAAACAACAGCCTCCATAGCGCAGCAAACGACGCGTTCACATTTGAATACTTGATTACGCATTTCCCCTCTCTCCACAATTCCTTGCAGTATGTAGCTTTTGCATCCTTCATCTCATTGCTGTACAAGCCCGCCAACTGCTGCCGACACCCAAGAATATACATTCATGCGTCATAGACTATTTCTTACCGAGCCAGCAACCCCGTCTAATTGGGCTATCTTAACATCATATAACTTTATCAAGCCTCTCTCGAACCTTTTTGCAGAAGTCAATATACACCATGAATCATCAGTTTTGGGACTTTGCGCTATGGTAGGCCTTTGAGAGGCCGCTGATTCGTTATACCCAGTCTGAGAACTGCTTATTCCCTACAAAGTTAAATAATGTAGTAGGAATTGAATCACCGGAAACTAGAGTCTATGGGGCAAAGCGACATCGTAGAGATCTGGCGGGTGGTAAACAATTTCATTTTAGTTGAGAAATAACGTACATGTACAGTAATTGAGACATTGGGAGTGCTAGCTATTTCGCATTTTCCTACAGATGAAAATGAATGTAGAAGTTTGGGCTTGCAAGACTGTCTAAATCATATCGGTTTACTAGATTTTATATGGAGAAAATGTTCACTATGCTTCCACTCGTTCACCAACATAAAGTGAGTTATTTGGGCCCGGAATATTTCCAATCTGTTGCAAGCGAAATAGAATGATTCGGCGGTTGCAGATGATGTCACAGCAATCAGTATATGGGACGCAAGTATAGCAAATTTTGTATTCTAAAGCTCAGCGCGTGATTGATTATTAAGGTATCATGCTCCATTCTCTCATATTAGCCACTTCCTAGTAACACTTGATCGCTAAAACTCCGCAATGTGCTATGTATCGTGCAAACGCCCCCAAAGAAAAGCACCTCACACTCTCCTCCTTCCATAGAACCTACTTAGCTTTCTAGAACCTCGCTATTTCCATGGACCTTTTCTCCGCAGCCTTAACGGATTTTTCGAATTTGATAACACGCCTAATCTCCGCTATAAATCTTGCTTTTGCCGCTTTTTTGATCACCTCAGTTGGCTGAAGTTTCCAGAATGCAACCAGCGCTTCCTTTCCGGAGGCCATGGAATTTCTTCCGTAAAATTCAATGATGCCCTCGAGGCTACTAGGAGACGACAGCACTGCAGCATCCTCCCATGATACCCCTTCGCTTTCTGTATGGGGATATTGGTTTATGGAATAATGATTCTTGTTGGAATGGTGATGGACAAGAAACTCCACACCGCTTAGGCCATCGTCGGTCATAGTCTCCCGAGAATCGCTGATGCCAATAACATGCCAGACCAAGGCTCCTTCTGCACTGTATTTGGGCCATGGTTTTGGGGGAATCGTTCCATCAGGGTTAATCGTGGCTGCGCGGCGTGTTTGGTATCGAGTTCGGCTAGAGAGAACTTCTGGTTTTAAGTACTCTCCAAGTCTGCCTTCGCCATGAATATCAAGCCGCGATTGTATCTGTATCTTCTTAAATGCTTCAAGCATGGCATTTGTGATTACCCGGGGCCCTTTCATATGCGCCTTTAAATGGTTTTCCAGACCAAGGCAGAATTCGACGGCCATATTATGTTTGGATTGTCTCTGGGCGTCATCGCCCAAATGAGAGTCCTTTCTGGGGGGGTAAACAGCGAGGTGCTTGAGACCTCTCACCAAGAGTTTTAAGATTGGCAAGCAATTTGGCGTGAAGGTGTCTACGGTATATGGGCTGATTTGATGATCCAGTCTATCGCTGTAGTACACGAAGTACAGCTCAAGTGACTGCAAGCTTTTGCAAATCGCAATGGACCTGAAATTTGTTGGGTCACAATAATGAGACCAGTTGCAAGCGATAGAGCGGATCGCATGGAATCGGGCAGCGGTAATTGCGAACTGAAACAGGCATCCACTCTCTAGGTAGAAGAGGTTGTTCTTGTAAAAAAGATGCTCGCCAGCAACCTCCATGTAGATCTGCTTGCAGACCATCGTCAAGGCCACAATGGATGGAGGCGGAGTAGAGGCAACAACAGTGCGATACCTGTCATCAATCCTCCCCTCCTCGGGGGGATCCCGAGCGCTGGCGCAACGAAACTTATTTGACCTATGGCAAAGCTGGACTGGGCAAATAGGCGAATCGTGAGCCACACAATATTGGAAAATCATTGCTCTAATTTCTGCGGGAGGTTTGAGCAGTCTAGTGGTTTGGTTCATCTGAAACTTTTTAGCTTTTAGTACTCATTTTGTTGTGAATTATGAGACATACATCGAAGATAGCTTTACGGCTAACTGCCAACGATTGAGGTGGAGTATGGGTTTCGTTCTTTGGTGAAGCTAGGGTGTTATTGCACTATTCAAATTGTTAGCGTTGGCAAATTCATCAAAGGAATATTTTATGTTGACATACCAGCGTCATGCGATCACTGCTCAAGTTGTCATTAAGAGATTGCGATCCTTCAATGTCCTAAAAGTAGCCATCAGCCTTGATGATAGATCGGAACAAGATAGTGGTTGGCATACCCTGCTTCCAGTTGGTCGTCTCGCCGTCTCGCCGGGCTTATACCAGGAGCGGTCCATCGTGATTGCTATGGCCTCTCACTTCGTGATAAAGGCTGAGATGTAATGGAGATAGTAGAAGCTGTGATATAAAAGTTGATAAAGGATAGACAAAGTTGATGGAGGATGGACGAAGTTGACGGAGGATGGACGAAGTTGACAGAGGATGGACGAAGTTGACAGAGGATGGACGAAGTTGACAGAGGATGGACGAAGTTGACAGAGGATGGACGAAGTTGACAGAGGATGGCGATGAAGGACAGAGGATTGGTAGAGGACGGACGTAGTTGATGGAGGATGGCGATGAAGGACAGAGGATGGGTGGTTGATGGGGGGTGGCGATGAAGGACAGAGGATGGGTAGAGGACGGACGTAGTTGACGGAGGATGGCGATGAATGACAGATGATGAGTAGAGGATGTACGTAGTTGATGGAGAGTGGGTAGAGGGTGGACGTAGTTGATGGAGGATGGACGAAGTATGGAGTTGATGAAGGATGGACGAAGTTGGCGGAGGATACACGAAGGTCTCCAGGAGTTGTAATGGAACAGTTGGTAGAGGATGGAGGATGAACGAGGCTGGTAGAAGACGGGCGAAGCTGTCTAGGAGTTGTAATAGAAAAGTTGACGGAGGATGGGCGAAGTACGGAGTTGATGGAGGGTGGACGAAGGTGTCTGGGAGTTGTAACAGAAAAGTTGATGGAGGATGGAAGGTGGAGTTATGATGGGAAAAACAGTTGATGGTGGGTGGAAGGACGAAGATCTCGAGTTGTGGGCATACTTATTTAGCGAATTCACATCGAATAACCAGACCGCCTTTGAAAGTTGCGGGTAGTTCTTACAAGTGTAAATATTTCACAATTCAGAAGTGTCTTTATTATCTAAGTCTGAAATAGGAAACAAGACAAGTGGGGAAAACAGTTTACAGTTCAGACTTCACAATATCGGTAGGACATAAAATGTCTATGAGGAAGGATCATATGCGATCATGCACAGATAATTAATACTAGGAATCACCAATAACACAACGCCTCACCAGGGCTTTTTAAGCCCTGAGAGTAAGAATAGTTAGCCCGCCTTCATCCAATAGACATATCCGACTAGCACTTGTAAGGCAAATGACCATACACATCTGTTCTCTTGACTTCAAGAGTTAAGATCCTGATAAATGAAGTTGTCCTGGTGCGAGCCTTTCCTTAGGCTAGATATCCCATCTCTCATTTGTTCCTGATATAGACATAGAATTACACGTAAAGCTGCCATACATCGCTCGAATGGGAAAATTATATTGCCAAGAGGCAACTTAATACTGTTATTTATACCACTTAGTTTGTATAACAACCCTCAAGATCCATGAAAGGGTAGCTCTAAAGACTACAGTGGGATATAGAAGAATCAACTGCCCCACAGGATATCCCGTAGCCTCTCAAACCAAGGCGCTTGTCCGGTTCTAAAGCTATAGCAGGGACATAGGGAGATAAATAGAAGATTATGGGATACACGTTGAAACCACGCGCCCAAACCTATTTTCATAGGTAGAAGAATGTTTTTCCATTTGAGAGATTCCGAGTTGACTTCCCTTTGGGCAACAGTGCACGCCGCTCTCCCGTTCTCTACAGAACTGAGTCGTATACTTGAGCTGCGGAATGTTGAAAAATGCGATATCACATTAACGAAGCAAAATCCCTAAGAGTCTTATATAAACGTGCCGAATTCTGCTCTTACAAGAGTACTTGATGAATCGATGATGGGATGTCGTTGGGAATCGTGGCGCAATGAGCACATATATATAGCTATCGGCAGTGACCAAGTGCGCAAAAGCACTATGATACATAAACCCCCTTTCCCACCTTACCAAAAACTCAAATCCCCAACCTCTCCGCAAAACTCACATTTTCATTCAGTTCTCCAAAGCCAAAAGAGACGGAAGGCTCAACCAAGAGCTGCCAGGGACCCATGATATTATCGCTGGGATATCGTGAATTTTAGTGTCAGATTTGCGCTCGCATGGAGTTACATGCCAAATTTTCGTCATATTTTCTACTCTTTACAAAGCTACCCACCACCGTCAAAGTTCAAGTGTCCTTTCTCTAAATATGTGGCCACCGTTTCTCGGGATAGTTTTCGAGCGATGTGGTAAAAGAGTGTGGCCCTGGAACAATGGCGCAATGAAGTTCATCGAGCTGTGCTCCAGGGCCGCTCGGCCGCGGTGACTGCTTAGCGTTGCCCGCACAGTTGCCCCCACCTGCTTGTTGAGTTACAGCAACTGCTGTCTCGAGCTTCATGGACAGCTAGCTGGTTAAGACTATAATGAGATGCACATACTTGAATGAGCATGTCCTCGCCACCTTCTTGCTGCGCAGCTTGTCATTGTTCTGTTCCCTCGCCCTGAGCGCCCGGTTGTCGCTGCCCACTAGAATTAGCCGTGCCTTGTAGCTCCTGCTTCTATAACGATATACTTTCCTCCTGCCGGGCACGAGGGCGGCCACTTGGTCGAGTGGTTCAGGTCAAATCGTGCCCGGCGGAGGATATCGGGGGACAACTGGATGAGGGCACTAGGAGTTATCATGCAGGAACGAGGGATGGGGCGACGACGACGACGACGAAACGACTCGAACGAAAAGGCCTCGAACGAACGACGGAAATCCTCAAGCGACATCGCCTTGAGGTAGAGATGTAGGCATCGACACCGGGCCGAACTCTTTTGCTTCTTTCATCGTTGCAATGTGTAATAATATTTTATTTTATTTATTTTTGGAGTGAGGAAAAAGCATGTTTTGAATACTTTTTTCTTTTCTTTTTCGCTTGGAATCTATCGCTTAGATAGAGTAGGCTCGTCCTGAGGGTTGGCTTTTAAAGTTTGGACCATCAGCATCCACAGGCCTAAATGGGGGAGCTTGTAGAGCTTCCCTTCAAATGCTTCTGGATCGGGAAGCTACGAGCTACCATAGTGACCCACTCATTAAATATCGTTCACTATGGCGAGGATTCATTTGGTCCCCAAATATCGGCCCGGGCGACAATCCGGATTGTTTCTTGATCAGCTACGACTTCCACGCCGGGTTGGTATTCCCGCCAGAAAGAGCAAGGAAATCTCAGAAGCTGGTGGAGCGGTGTAATTTTGATGCCTTGGTCTTGTGAAGTTTTACCTGCAGCCATCGCTCTCTCCCCTCTAATACCAGTATTCTAACACAATCCCTGTACGTAGAAGTGAGTTTCGAGTTTTCATCGTACCTTTATCGCCTTACCAACTAGCCACGAACGCTCGCAATACCCCTACCATGAAGCTGCGAGCGGTTGACGAAGACCACGATATTCTACTTTACCGCCTCTGCATTTGCCCACCAGACGGTTCCCAATATCCGAAAAGCCAGCTGGTTATATTGATTTTGGACCAGGGAGTCTAGTTTGCTATTGGTACTGAGATTATGGGCGGTCGAGAGAGGCCATGTCGTATGAGAGGGGCCGGCTTTATCAAGCATTGCGATAAAAGCCTCTGATATGGCCAACAGATCCCTTTACTCGATGCAAGTGGCTGAAATACCAGAGAAGGCGTGGTTGGGAGGTTCAACAGACACGGTGCTTGGAGGTCAAGATACTAGGGAGGTGGAATACAAGGCCTTTACTCAACGGAACTTGGCGTAAGGGTATCGACCGAAGAAATGCCTACTGGTCTGCAAATGACTTGTGGCTTACCTGCTTGGGCAAGCCTTTAGCGGTGCCGCCAGCCTAGGGCCAGGTGCTATATCTCTATGGGCAGGATCACGGCTCAAAATGGAGACAGCACCTGGTGGACAGTATGAGCCAACTCGTGGCTGTACATAGCATGGCACAAGGTCGATCAGATCGACGATCCACATGCGGTATAAATAGGAGCGAGGGGTACAAAATAGAAACATGGAGACCTAACTTGTAAACAAGTCGTAAGACGGTTACGTTTTGTAACTTTTGATAGTGCTAAATTAGAGTGGGTAACCTAGTTATTATCTTTATCGGCTCTCTGGACGCCCCTTTTTAGCACCTGTAACTGCTTGCAAGACCTTTGGGGACAATCGTTTATTCCCTAGGGTTGGCATGTCGATACCTGGGTATCTGGAGCACACCTGATAAGCTTGAAGGTAGAGGATATCCGTTTCCCTCTAGGAGTGGCAGCTTAAAGTCACTCAGCCTGTACAGTGGATCCAGATTTCTGGCATTTTTCCTAGCCACCCATTCTCGGATAGAAGTAGGTAATGCAGATTATCTCGTTTATAGGAGTATCGAGGAATCTAGGAAGCGCTCACGAATAGGAGCGCCCAAGTATGAATTGTTAAGCTATCGTGCAGTATATTTCTCTATATAGTGATTATCGTTAAGATAGGCCGCGCCCTGGAGGTGTTGTACATTATGTTAAGAGTTTGGGGCTTTGCTCGTGGCACCCCCCGGCTCACCCTACTAAAACTACAAACTTACCACAAACTACTACTACAACAAAACAATTATTATAGTATAAATTTATATACAATTAATATTAGAACAATGAATTATAATTATAAGTATATTTTAATTAACAGTCGCTATTCCTTTTATACTAATTACATCTTCAAACTTACAAGTTAGCTTCTTTGTTAAATATCTCTACTCTATAGGATTAACTTTATTCTATAGTTCTTGTAATACTACTTTCAACTCATTAATAGAAGTTGGAGGATTTGGTAGTTTTGTAATCTCGTCTTTCATCTATCTCTAGACTTTCTCAATTGGGTTTAGATCTAGGGAAGAAAGAGGCTAATCAAACCCTTTAATCCTTTTATTGATCTTTGGTAACCTAGCTTTCCCCATATGGACTTTAGCTCTATCTTCTATAAATATTAACTTCTCTTTCTCCTGTTCGTTAAGAGAGTCAAAGTGAGGGAAAACAACAGCGTCTAGTACCTGGGTTAGGTATACCTGGCTGCAAATACCCCTCCTCCCGTCCTCCTTCTCCAAAAACACAAGAGGAGACTTCCAATCCTAGCCAAGAGCCCCCTATATCATGACGCTTATTCTCCCAGTCCTGTAAACCGACTTTATACAAGTCTGACAGTGCTTTTCTCCTGGCCTCCGAGTAACCCAGATCCTTCCTCTCTTTCCTGTCTCAAATGTTGCCTCGTCACTCCAGAGAACGCGTCTCCAATCCAGAGTCCCCTACTACCGGTATTTTAACACGAAAGTAAGGCGTCTTTTAGCTTGTTTTTTCGAGATAAAAAGTCGAGGACAGGCTATACAACGACGATATCCAAGCCTCCGAAGTATACGTCGAATACAAGAAGAAGAAACGTTTAGAAATAGCTCTACTTTAATTCGAGACCAAGAAGCGCGTCGCGTATCCCAAGAAGTAGATATATATCGAAGAATTCGTCGAATATCTTGTTTTGTTAAGCTTTGAAATTTAGTCGCTTTGCCTTTTCGAAGAGACCGAGAAGATCTACTTTTAATAACATTTCGTACTATTGACTTTGGAATGCTAGTAAGTTTATTGATCGATTTGTAGCTATAACCGGTATCGTGTAAGACGCGTACTTTTGCGCGCGTCGGAGTATCCCAATTAGCTTTTGCTACTCTAGGCGTAATAGGAGAAGAAAGAATTGAGGATTCTATTAATATTAAGCTAATTAATAGCGCGTTGTGGGGTAGTTATAGGTAAATGGAATGTGGGTTGTTTTTAGTTGGGGGAGAATTTAACCGGGGGGTGCTACGAGCAAAGCCCCAAGCTCTTACATGCCACGTTGAAGATGCTCTGAGCTATTCTAGCATCTGTAGCAGCCATTTGCTGTCCGTGTTCATATAAGGGCAGCTGGCGCTGTTATCAACCTTGATCCGTCTTGGACGGTTCTTCTTCTCCTGTAGCGCCTGCTGCTGGTGCATTATCATCCGCCATCTCCGCATCAGCGGTTGCAGTCCCCGAAGCATCTTTCGGCTCGTCAACGGTTCCTTCAATCCCAAACACATAGTTCTCCAGCACCTTAAAAGTCTCTTCGAGGTCATTGTTTACTAGATGTATATCGTGAAGCCCTTCCTCCTTTGATTGGTCTAATTCTTCTTGGGCGATTTTTAGCCGTTCTTGGATCTCCTCCTCTGAGTTTAATTTTCTTTCCCGTAAGCGGCGTTCCAGTTCGGACATATCTGGTGGCGCAATGAATATAAAGCGTGCTTGAAAGCCCTGCTCTTTGACTTGTCGTATGCCCTGAGAAAGTTAGTACGTTAGTAACGTTAGGTAGATGTGCGAGTGCTAATAAGACGTACATTTACATCCAGTTCCATCACAGGGACCTTTCCTTGGGAGATGATGCCCTCTACTACCTTTCGACTAGTACCATAGTCATTCCCATTGAAATTGTTGTACTCCCAAAACCCATCTGCATCGCGCATGACGTCGAATTCCTCCTTCGTGATAAAAAAGTAATGTTGGCCATGAACCTCACCGTCTCGAGGAGGGCGGGTAGTATGGGACGCCTTTTTGCCGAAGACCTTCGGATGTTTCTTCATGAGAGTCTTAATAAGCGTGGTTTTCCCAGCACCGCTGGGGCCCGAAACAACAACTGGGCGACGATCCTTTGGATAGATAAGCTCCACGCTATCTAGAGTTTCATCTTCAGCGTCCACAGGCCCATCAACCTTGACACTGTCTAAGAAAATCTCATCGATCTTGTCGAATCGTTCGATCTTATCAAAAGAAACCAGCTTGGTTTTACTTGCAATGCGCAATGCTCTCCAAATCTTGCTGGCCTTAGACTCAATGGCTGCAGTTTTCTCCTCGTCGTCGTTTGCCATGTMAATGTCCATATCATCCAACTCGATCTTATTCTTGAAGCTCTTGTACTCCGGGACCTCATATCTAGATGGGCCCTTTAATCGCTCCAGTCCAGCACGACCATCGCTTTCCGAAAGAAATTTGAGATCTAGTGACCCTAGCGGGTTCGGACGGAGCCGTTTGTTGGCCGTTGCTTTGCGGGCAGAAGCTTTCGCTTTATTGTACTCCTCGGCAGTGATTGCAGGTCTAGAAATCGATGGACAATTCTCAATTTTCCATCGGACCCAGTTCTTATCTCTCGATAGCACAGAATCGACCATTCGGTCGAAGTAACGGCCTTCCGGACCTCCCCTTAGATAATTCACGATAGACTTCTTCGTATCCAAGGCCCATTGAGTCTGTGTGTGTTAGGCTAGTTTAGGAAGGGAGAGGATAGATCATAGAATTCGCTACTTACATCTTCGTCGTTGAACGATTGGTCGGCATACAAAACGGACTTGTTTACACTTTCAGGTAACGTTTTGGAAAGCTTCTCTTTGGCTTTGGTGCTTAAGGACAGCAGGTAATCCAATACGATGAGGATCTGCACCAGGATGTGCCTTCGAAACGATAGATCGCTGATCTAGATGGAGGCCGTCAGCGGATGAGCAGATATTCAGCCAAATAAGACGTACCTCAAGTTCAAAAAGATCTCTACTGGTAAGATATTTTGGATTAAACGCGTTTGCTAGATCGTCATCATCTTGGTTCCTCTTTCGCTTGATACCCCTTTCAGTGTCATCCGTAGAGTTTGTCGAAGTGGTGGTACGCTGACTTTCTCCTGACTTAAACATGACCATGGTTGCCTCAATCCCCGATTTAAAGCTCGAAAGCTGGGTCTTATCGAAGAGCTTTTTGGGCTGACTGAAACTTTGCTGTAATGACCAGAAAATGGGATATAGTTCGTCTGCGCTCATGGACTGCGCCGGCTTCGGCGAGGTAGAGCCTTTTGCCAGCCCGTCCTCATCCTTAAGTTTCTGAGCGCTTGTGGTGCCATTTGGTGGCAGTTTCAGGGTAGGGCCACCCGACTTTGTAACATCTGAATCGACGTCCATACTGTCGGGATCGGACTGCTTAGCTGGCACTTCGTCAAACATTGTGACATTCTCAGTATGGTATTCGCCTCGGAGATTGACCGAGCTCTTGTCTCCCAAAGGAAAGCTCTGGAATAAGAATATGAAAACTCGTCCACAGAATGCGGTATCTTCAGCTCGCGAAAGTCGGCGAAGGAGTTCATTGCAGCTCCTCAGTATAACCAATTGCTTCTGAGGGAAATGCTTCGCCGTTATCCTTTCTCGTCGTGACTCTAAATAATCGAAGATCCTTCGGCAGCCAGCAATTGTTTGACTGTCTAAAAGCTCTTCCACCAGCCAGAACAGCAGAGCCGGGTCGCACTGCTGGTCGTCCGAGAGGATGGATATGATGTCTAATAGATTCCATAGCTTCACGAATGACGGCGTATCAATGGTTGTAGAGGCCTATCGACCGTCAGATGGATGTTCCTGTCCTTTTATTTGCACCGCAGTTGGCTCACCAATAGATCGTTGAAGGTGTCGTGAACCGCCGTCTCGATGGCCGCATACTGGCTGCGCTTTCTGACCTCGGGCGATACAACGGAAGGGAAAACCGAGTTGACCCGCGCAAAAAGATCCTCAAGATCTGGCTTATTTAATGGCGGCTCGACCGTATCCGTCTGTTTGACCACCTCAGCATCAAGAAGCATCTGCCGCAGGAGTTCCTGGAAGTCGTCGACCGCCTGCACCCCATGGCCGGCCATATCTGTGGATCACCCACTAGCTGAGATCCTGTGGGTTCTGCGGGCTCTGCGGGGTCTTCGTGGCGACGATCGTGGGAGAGGGGACGCTGATGCTGCGGTTATAGTTGCTCTTCAACGCGAGATGTAGCACAAATATCGATGGACCTTTGTTTGAAGATCGAAGCCTCGCGTGCCTTGTGAAGTTTCGCCTTGCGTGCCTGACGGAATGCCTGACGTTGCGCCGCCAGAGCGTGTCGGACTCGTGGAACAATCAACATTTAATTTACAAAACAAGTCTATAGGAGTATAAATTCAACTGTAAATAAAAGTTCTATCGCTTTAGAATTGCTATTTTGTTGCAATATAAAGTTAGATAGTAGCAGGTAGTAAACTCTGTTGTTCCACATATTCTGGCACCCCCTGCTGCGTGGTCGCCGCCTCAGTCGCGTAAGGCTCTGGACCGCATGAACGAATTTATTGTAGCTCCTCAAGAGACCGCGACGACGGTTGTCCAAACACAAACATTAACAATGCCGCCCCGAACCAGAGTCAAGAGGGATGCCCATAGCCAAGCTGACGATAGCAGGCCAACAATGGCAGATTTGCAAGGCGACAGCGACAGTGCATTTGCGCAGCTGGCGCAAAAGCACTGGTTGAAGAGCTCGAAGAAAACCACGAAAGTCAAAGTTAAACCGGATGTTCTGAAGAGAGATATATGGGATGTCTTGCAGCAGGATGATTTTGCTTTTAAATCCCTTCTAGCTTTGGAGAATATGCAGATTCTGGAGAAGTACGGCCCCTCTGCTAAAGCTTCAGCGTCCCTGCTAACCGTCGCAACAGCTATCTTTGGCCAGGCTACTCCGAGGACTCGTCCAATTTCCACGTCATACTCATTGCATTGATATCGAATGTCAAGACTCGGGAGCATTTGCCAACATGGGGTTAGTCTATCTGGTTAATTGGAGGAATGTTTCGCTGATGGCTGTAGCAATATTTACGGACAACCACTCCGAGTTCTCCAGCATGTTTCGGCGAATACTTTCGATGACGCTGGACACTACGCTCTCTCCTACGATCCGCACCCATCTTCTCACTTTTATAATTAGCGCGTTCCAATCGCTTGATAGCGGAATCGTGAGGAAAGAATGCGCTCCATTGGTTGGTATTTCCATATGGCATAACATATCGAGCGAAAAGAAGCGGGAGCGAAAGCTAGAACAAAGTGTGCAGTTAAGGAAGGCTTGGAGAGCTGCGGCGAAACGCTATGATGCTGCCGATGATACAGTAAAGGCTCGACTGCGATTTGAACGTTCTTGGCTCTTTACTCTGGTATTGGATTTTTTCAATCAACTTTATAATGATAAGAGAAAGCCAGGTGAGTAGTGTCACAAGTAAACATGGCTATCGAATCTAATTGTGGCACAGAAAATGTTCTCTACTGCGAGCGCTTTATCGAATTTTTGTCAGATCTGCAAAGTCAGCTACCAACAAGGAGATACGTCAACACACTCCTGCAAGATTTAAATACACTGCCGGCGATTCGAATGTCTCCAACCTTCGACGACGATGACAATGACCTGCTAAGAGATTTATACACTTTGCTGAAGCATTATACGTACTTCTCTATCGACGATTACACAGGGATTCAATACACCGCTACCGAGGCATATGAGCGCCATTGTGCTACGTTAGCCACCTTGCAACGAGATGCGCTTAAACACTACAAAGACAAGCTAACCGTTCTTGCTCTGTCGAACTATGGATCAATTGACAAGCGGCCCGAGCTTGAGGACCATCTGAATGCACTCACTGATGCCGAAATCCCCGAGTTATGTAGTCTGCTCGACTTCCGTACATCTTATCCGTCCTCTACGACAGTGGTGACAGATCGTTCATTCCTTACCGAAGTCCTATTATCTGGGCATGAGAAGAGGAAAACCTTCCAGGAAACAGCACGTGAGCTTAGTGTGCTGCCGACTGAGTTAACGCTGTTTGAGCCTGCACTTCTGAGAAACGATAACTATGATGGTTCACGGCCACTCGCAATACCCAAGCTTAATCTACAGTACCTCACAGTTGGCGATTTCCTGTGGAGATCGTTTATTCTCCACCGCTGCGAATCATTTTATGAGGTTAGGAAGCATGTTGAAGACACAATCAAACGTCTAAGGCCTGTGATGGGCCGAAATGGCCAGACAAGTTTTGAGGGGTTCTCGAGGATGGCTTTACCCACCAGTAAACCTGCGTAAGTCCTATTCCAGCCCCATTTACATTAATGTCTCTGATATCTTCCTAGTATAATGGAAGTAGTCCCACCACGAGTCGGCGACGACAAACCTTCAGTTGTCCGTGCCGAGATAACCCTAGATGTCAGTCGACTAGCGGATAACATCCGACGAGAATGGGAGACCTTCCGTCAGGATGATGTAATTTTTCTGCTGGCTGTCGAAGCTCCAGATGACTCGAGAATGGTTACCAATGGCGGCAGTACCTCGTCCGATGCCCAAAGGATAGGATTAAAGTACCTTCGAACTGCTGAGGTTACCCAAGTGCTAGATGATAGAGGTCGCGTACTGCGGGCTCAAGACAACCAAACCAATGCACATGGGCGTCCTAGAGCCAGGAGACTGCAACTGAAACTTGATGCAGCCATGTATAAAGAGGATATGGACCGGGTAGCTCATGGCCAGCCAAACATCTACGAAAGCTTGAATGTGATTGTTCGCCGAAGAGGGAGGGAAAATAATTTCAAGCCTATTCTAGAGTCCATCCGCAGCCTAACCTTATCCGACGTCCCTCTAGCCTCCTGGCTCCACGAAGTTTTCCTGGGCTATGGCGACCCGGCCGGAGCTACTTACCCCAATTTATCGAATCGAATCGACAAGATCGACTATCGAGATACTTTTCTTGACTGGCAACACTTGATTCAGAGCTTACCTGGCAAGATGATTGTCCCAAGTGACGATGTGGATGGTAGTTTTGGACCTCCTTATGTGCTCGAAACAAAGGCCAAGGTAGCCGATGCTCCTGCAAAACAGTCAAAGAAGAGGCGTCGAGATGCCGAGCCAGCTCCAGAGGCAGAGCCCCAGTCTATAGAGGTCTCGACCTATAAACCCCCAAATACAGGGCCTTATCCGACTGATGCTCCGAAACTCAATCGCGTTCGATTCACACCAACCCAGGTCAATGCCATCATTTCCGGCACACAGCCTGGGTTAACCGTCATCGTTGGCCCTCCTGGAACGGGAAAGACTGATGTCGCCACGCAGATTATCAACAATATATACCACAACTTCCCAGAACAACGTACACTTTTAATCGCTCACAGTAACCAGGCTCTCAATCAACTATTCCAAAAGATAGTAGCTCTAGATATCGACGAGCGCCATCTTCTTCGGCTCGGCCACGGCGAGGAGGAGTTGGATACTGAATCCGATTTTAGCAAACATGGGAGGGTGGAGTCCCTCTTGGAAAATGCCTACACCTACCTCAGAGAGGTTGATAGGCTCGCAGCATGTTTAGGGGCCCCTGGGGCTCACGGCGGTTCTGCCGAAACAGCTGGCTATTTCAACTCTGTCTACATAGAACCTGCGTGGGCGAGATTTGAAGAAGTTGCCAGCTCTCCAGAGTCAACGGTACAATCTATTACCGAAGCCTTCCCATTCCATGACTACTTCTCCAAAGCTCCCCAACCCCTTATCCCAGCCAATGCCGACAAGGACACGATATTGGATATTGCCAATGGCTGTTACCATCACATTTCGAAGATATTTACAGAACTGGCGGATGTCCGGCCTTTCGAGATTTTGCGACGTGATCGCGACAGGTCAAATTATCTCCTCACAAATGAAGCCCGGATCATTGCTATGACATCCACACACGCAGCGATGCGAAGACAGGAGATATCCTCTCTCGGCTTCCATTACGACAACGTGGTGATGGAAGAGGCAGCTCAAATTACTGAGATTGAGAACTTCATCCCTCTTGCACTACAGAAACCCAGGAATGGCGAGATGCAATTGCAACGGGTGGTTCTTTGTGGTGACCACTTTCAGAACTCTCCCGTCATTCAGAATCTTGCATTCCGACAATACGCAAACTTGGAACAATCCCTCTTCTCTCGACTTGTTCGCCTTGGTGTGCCGACAATCACTCTAGACCAGCAAGGTCGGGCCCGAGCTTCAATAGCCTCGCTGTATTCATGGAGATATCAGAATCTTGGCAACCTGCCCGCTGTTCTGTCTACCCCAGAGTTCCAAACCGCCAATGCTGGCTTTAAATACGATTATCAATTTATTCAAGTCAATGATTACAAAGGCAAAGGCGAATCGGAACCTACTCCTCATTTCATTCAAAATCTAGGAGAAGCAGAATATGCTGTGGCTATTTTCCAATACATGCGCCTTCTTGGGTACCCAGCTTCAAAGATATCCATACTAGCTACGTATGCCGGTCAACGTGCTTTGATCAGAGACGTTTTGGAACACAGATGTGCCAAAAATCCGCTTTTCGGTCTTCCGAAGATTGTCACCACAGTCGACAAATACCAGGGCGAGCAAAATGACTGTACGTATACCAGCCTTTAAAATATGAGCGTTCTAACTTGGATATAGATGTCATTCTCTCCCTCACCCGGACATCCCGCGTTGGCTATCTGCGTGATATTCGCCGTCTTACTGTAGCGCTTTCCCGAGCTCGACTTGGTTTATACATCCTCGGGCGACGTGAAGTCTTCGAATCATGTTTCGAACTGCGCCAGGCATTCGATATTCTTCTGCAGCGACCTGATAAGCTGATGCTCGCCACTGGAGAATTATGGCCAAGTAGCAGGATATTGGAAGATGAAGAGGGCAAAGATGTGCCTGGAGAGACTCAAATGGAGAACGTGGAGCATTTGGGTCAATACGTGTTTGAGATGACGAACGCGAAGGTTCAGCAACTAAGAGCTCAGAGAGGGCTGCCGGAAGCTGAGCTTCAGGTAGTACCTATGCAAGAGGACGACGTGGCGTTAGCCCGTGTGGATGAAGAAGATGAGGAGCTTCAAGAGGAGATTCATGAGGGTTTTGAAGCGGAAGAGCCTCAGGAGGAAATGAATGGGGATGTCGAAGCCGAGAAGTAGGCATATAATTCGAATGGACTTGGGAAGGATGGCGGGTGCATTGCTATGGCGTCTGTAGGGTAAATTGTACGCAAGTACCTGAGTGTATAACAATCACAGAGTTACCTGCTTGTTTAGGAAGTAGATCGATAAAATGTAGTATTCTCTTAAGTGTGCGAAGTCTCGCAGAATCCACCTTGCCGTGCTTCTTTCTTTCTTAAATCGCAGCATCAGAGGGCAACTAATAGAGAGTAGCATGGCCAAGCGTATCCAAGAAGTTAGGAATCGGCCTACAACCTCCTATTCCACAAGCGCGGTGGGATGCCCGATCCTAAGTTGTCTTCTTTCTTCCTACTTTACTTAAGAAAAGCTAAAGCAGTATCACTTATCGTCCATCGTCTGAGCCCTTATTCGCATCTCAAAGTAACCTTCGCAAGATGTTGCTTCGCTTTTTACTATATCGTGAACGCTAGTGTAGGCCATGAAGCATAATGAGACTGTGCCAAAGCTCGCCGAAGGCCTTTCGAATGAGGGTGTATATGTAGTACCGTCGTTATTTATTTTGTACACTCTCTCCCTTATTCTCTAAATATGTCTGTTCCCTATCTTGTACAACCCAGTTAGCTATATACGGTCATGTTCTACACAAGTGTCTAGAGAGGAAGGATATTGATTCCCCCAACACGCACCGTGACGAGGGGGTCGGCTTGAGCTGGGAGTAAACGGGATGGTCAATTCTTTCTACTTACTCTTTCTCGTGGGTCGCCGCTAGGCAGATGGATAGGTGTCTTAGTTAGTGTAGAATGGGGAGGGGAGGGGAGAAGGGATCTTATTCTTCTGAAAAGTAGGAGATCGAGTGATCCAGACGGATGGGTTTTGAATGAGGTGTTGGACTGAATGCTGTTATCTTTGTCACGACAAGGCCCCCTTCTTCTAAATCACTTGGTACAAGGCGATGGGTGGTCGTGCGTGAATGAGAGAGAATCATGAGCAAACCTTGTGAAGGCATAGGAGGGCAGCATAACAGAGCAATGTCGAAGGCTCGAGAGGTTACGATGAGTATATGATACGCTCTAAACTAGGAGGGCGAGGAAGAAACCTTTCAAGTGTCAGATTCTCACGCACAAAGAGAGATTAACGGGTGAAAGGTTGGTTGTATTTTCATTTAGATTATAGTAAGTTCATCGCCATCTTCATCTTAGAGCAAAGCAAGCATTTTCATACAGTGCTAATAACTACTATCCATTCACTTATCCCCCTACACTACTCTACATTGATACCAAGCACTCTACTATACAACTTCACCCCCTTTCTCTCTCACTTCATCTCTGCCTCTCTGCCTCTCTCTGCCAGTTTGCCAGTCCGCCACCCTCCCACTCTGCCTCACTCTCTCTGTCGCCCTCGTCCCACCCCTTTTCCCCAAGGGCCCCAAGCACCCCATCTAACCCCGCGATATCATCCCACGCCACCATCCCTCACCACCCACTATCTGCCACGCTCTGCCTCCGCACACCCTCAAGATATAGATGAATCTTCCAGGCACGGGGCCGATGCCACACGGCAAGTACACACGCATATCCTACCCGTGGTTTCCGCAGCTTCACATCACATCACACCGACACTTCTGACTCGGACAGATGGAAGAGGGGGCCGTAGCTGCCCCTGATTTCCCAAAGAGGCATGACGAGCAACAAGAAGCGAGTAACCGCGCATGGGGAAGGGACATACACACCTGCGTGCCAAGGTTCAAGGAGCTGACTATGATGTGTTGTGCTACGATCCGAGTGGGACATATTGTTCCACAGAGTACAAGCAGTACATAAGACAAGGTGGAAAGGCCGTGAGAGTATGATGTGGGGAGGCCGGGGCGGGAATGGAAGCAAAAGATAGAGACCCCGTGGGCAAAAGTAACTGGTAAGGGTAAGGGGAGTGATAGAAGGGGAGAGAAGGGATGCGGGGCCCGGGAATGGAGACAGTCTGGATACCTTGCTGACGATCTGCCACACTAAAGGCCTGACTGAATACTTGAGTGAACGAATAACTTCACGGCAAGGGGGAATCCCGTCCCCTAAGTCACTTTACAGGACGGTCGAGGCCGGCCTGACTAAATCCAACGGGCCAGCCGCCTACCAGCGTCTGACTACCTGAAAGAAGTTTTTCTTTTAAGCTTGTTTTATTGTGTCGGCTCTGTCGGGATGTTCTTCAGATTGATTGTTAGCGGAAGACTCTTATGGGTTCGTGTTGCTTGGGAGAGATATATATTGGGGAGGCAGCAGGGGAGATTGCACGGGTATGAAGAAGAACCAAGCAATGCGGAAAGCTATGTTATGAGGCGAAAGGAATTGCAGATCGAGGCATAATCCAGATTCCAGAAGGCCGGGTCAGTCCCTGTGGATTAATACGATTGGCAAATTTATGAAGGTAGCAAAAGTCTATGGGTGCTTCCAGGTTTGGGACGATAACCGTGAGTGCTTGGTGAGTCTCGAAAGATGGCTTATCGTTCATATATCGATCCGTGGTGTAGATTGCTCGGTTGTGAGGGATATATTAGATAGATGCTCTAAATATACGAGTATATTCCAGCCGTCCACGCTTCCCAGCTGGGGAAAGTTAGGCGGATGGGGTGGGATATGCGGCAATGTGAGCGACCAGTACTGCCGCGCGCGCGCGACTGTACGAGTTTTGGAATGATACCTTTCAAATATTCCAAATACATTACCTTGCTGTGCTACTTGCTCAGCCAGGTGGGTTTTAAGTTCAAGATCGCTCGCGTTTGCGCATATGACGATGTTACGGCTTCATCAACGTCCCAGCCGTCGCGCCTCAATATCCACCCACTTCTGCCCATCAACCCACCCAGGTCCGGACATCCAGCCGGATCCCGATCCCACCTGTGGGAATAGTGAGCCGCATAATTGCAAAGGGCCGATGTGCAGGTACTCCGTAACTAACTGCATTGGGGACGTGTCGAGGCTGGATATGCATGTATTGATGCAGGCTCTAATAGCAATTTCTGATATGACCTTTCGGGTTCTATGGTACATACCAAGTACAATGATCATGAACAGCAGCGACATGGTAAGCGGCACGGAGAATGGCGCCGGACACTTGACGAGGTTTGACGTTGAGTGCTTCTTAGCCGCAATACCTAGCTTGTGGGTGTGAGATCTGGCTGAATTGGGGTGGAGAGGTGGGATCCCCGTTTGACAGCCATTTTGAGAAACAAAGAAACACGAAACACAAACTTCCTCTGCCATATATTTCATAGATATAAACACAGTTCATGTGTGTGTTGGAAGTGTAAAGGGAGTCCCTAGTAGAATAGTGATGTACATCGTATTAGCGGAGCGTTTTATTCTGATACAAACGCGAAGCGAAAATGAAGATGAGCCATCACGTGTTTATTTAGATGTGGATGCTAAAGGAATCCGGGAGATCTGAACCGAATCAGCTCCAACAAGAGTGAGTCCATATCTTCAACAAGCTTTTGGAGCGAACATTTTGTATGGGCGATCCATGCTGGACATGTACTGTGATCCCGTACCTTTGCTTAGATTAAATTGGTAGCATCTTGCAGACCATGACTGCGAAAAAATATCAAGAACAAAAAATATACCTGATCGTAGATGCGCCCCTTTTCCTCGAAACTGTTCACCGAGATGTGTTCGCCAGCGCATTTGAATAGCCGAAGTCGGCTAATGAAACCAGATAGCGAAGGATTGCATTTGCAATTCTTCCATTTCTCAGGCGGCAATTGAACTAAATGCCGAGCAGTCTGGTTTACGTGAAGATATGACGGGCATGAGGAAAGGGGGGAGTGGCGTCCAACACCTCGCCTGGTTGCTCGTCTACCAAGGGGGACGCACTCAGCCACGCAGCAGCAGGTCCCTATGAACTGTTGCTGCTGCTGAACCTTATTCCGCTTATATAATAGACAACGGCCCCTGAATATCAGTTTGATGGAGATTAGAACCCGAACTTGGGGCGCAGATGCCTGGGCCCTGGGATTTTGACTTATAAGTAAGTAAACAGGATCAAAGTAAATGGGTTTCGTAGACGGAGCGTGGTCGCATGACGTTGAATCTGAGTTTCAGGACCGAGCAATCTTCGGTCGTAAACCAGAAGAGGATTCCAAAAACGCCCATCGGAGAAATACCAACCAATCCAAGGCGAGGCCCAAAGCCTTGACGAGTGATATAACCAGGCACATAAGTATGGAAGCCACAGGAACAAATTGAACAGAACAATTAAGCACTGGTGCCGGACGTGAGGAACTGCATCATCTTGCAGGTAGTGGAACACACGTGGTGGACAGATCACGGAGTCTAGTGGTCCGTCAATGATGATACTGTAGGTACTCCCACACCTGAAGTTGCCCGAGCTGGCCGGCATTCGAAGGATCGGGAACTGCCCGTGAACGTTGGGTAAGAAAGATCTCTGATGGCCCGGTGGCTTTTGCGGAGATTCGAGAAGGCAGGGGGTGGCAGTGGGAAGAAAGCGCTTTCACACTCCAGAATAATAGCCTCCTTCTCTGCGGCCCTCGTGCAGGAAGGGGGCTTGCGGCCTTGGGCTGGGAATCGGCCGTTTGGTCAAGCCGTCAAAGTCCGCCAACGTCGACGTCGAATCGTACGGCACCAGCCAGCTGGGATGATTTCACAGAGAGGTGTAAAACGGGCAGCGAGTGGACAGCGCCGTTGTGGCTGATATGAACCCCCGACTCCCGAGCTCCCCTTGAGGCATCGCAATTGATCGACACACCGATAAGGACAGGCGAAGCAGGCGAGACAAGTACATACCTGTGCAGCTGCAGGGCCCCTTCGCTCACATTCTCATGAATCGAGAAGAATCTGACCAGGGCAAGCGAGGGCGATGAGGTGAGGGTTACCAGGGCATCAGAGCATCAGGGCCAGCTCTTCAATCTCGCGGAAAATCAGGTCCGCCAGACCAAACGGCGCTCTGTGACCGACTACGCACTCGGCGGGCGCCAGAAGAGAATCTCGGTGACGCTCAACGCGACAAAGTCCCTCAGGCCGCCTGCATCGTGTCGCAAGTCGGGACTCGCGAGAGGGGACCATGGGAAGCGTATGTATCTCTTCGCTTTCGGTTTCGGTTTCCCTTTCCCTTTCGCTTTCCCGGAGGGGTTCCAGGGGCCCGCCTCCGGTACTGTACGCAACAGGGTCCTTGGATTTTCATCACAACGCGCACAACAATTGATGCTAGGCGACTAGAGGGAGCACAGCACTCCGTACGGAGGTACAGTACCGTAGGTACCCGGTCGATAGCAGAGAGCGGGGGCTGAGGAGTAGAGCTAGGCAGTGGACAGAGCAGTAGCTCCATCGGACAGGACTGCGATGCTGCAATGGAACTTCTCGAAGCGGCGGTCATACCGAGTACTTGAGGTTGCTCAACGTCGACGGCGACAGATGACTTCTTAGTCACTTAGCAGTTGGTTCTGGAGCAGTTAGTGGCAAACGCCCGATGCGCCTCTTCTCGGCAGCGTCTTGCGTTCGGCAGCACATCCTTGTGGAGAGAAAGCCGCAGAGTAGGCATCTTTGATCTTGAATGCCCACGGCGGGTGCCAAAAGGCCTCAGGAACAGCTCGACGAGGCAGAAGGAAAGAAAACGCGAGGGCATTGGGTATCAAGGTTGGCCGAGTTGAGGTTACCACGCCGTCGCGGGCGCAGGCGCAGCAATCCTTTCATGTGTACCTACGTATGTACCGTATACGTACGTAGTAAGGTGCAGGAAGCATGTGAGAAAGGCCCGCAATGGAAATGAGAATGGCGGTTGTCATTGAAAAGCGACGGAGTAGCGCAAGGGTGATTGAAGTAGCAGTACTTGTAGTAGTTGTTCTTGTTATTGTGGTGTTGTTGGTATTGTTGTGTTGTTGGAATTGGCGTTGGGACCCAATACGAAGAGTACAGACTTCGTACACTTCAAGAAGTCTGAAGCAGCCCTGAAGCCTGAGGCACAAATACCCTGTCTTACTCCGTGGCTCTGTATTCGGTACCTGCATCTATCCAGAACTCCACAACCACCGTCTTCTGTCACGGTCAGTTAGGTTACAGCTTTCCTCCGTACTCGTACCGTACTACGGTTACAGTGCTACCGATCCTACGTAGGTGCTCGTCCCTTGACGCCGCTATTACCGCAGCGAGCAGGTGTCTCTCGCTCCTCGTCTGGCCGACAAGCAGAGGAGAACATTCGCAAGCGCGTCTTTTGCAAGATCTTGACGAGATCAAGGTTGGCTCTGAGGGCGCCTACATCATGCTGATTCTAGAAATGATGTTGTCGCTGCAGGTCCCGAAATCTGTGCTGTACTCGTACTTCTAGGCCAAGTCCCGTCCACGAGGCCTGGCTTGGAACCAAGCACAGTAGGATACGGAGTACGACTCTCACAATGCGATTCCCGGAGGGAACACCCCATACCCCTTTTCTATGATGCAGCAGTCCTGAACCCCATGGATACTGACTTGGTCTTTTGATGGATCGGCTGCGCGGTGGGTGAACCCTCATCATTGTCCGGAGCACAGCGCAATTCGCACCGGCGCATCCCAAGTCATCTGAGCGGCGTCAGCTCTCAGACGTCTCAGCCTTACGGGAGCAATATAGGGCGGTCCACCAGATGGCGACCGAAACCAGGGACGGCCCACCAACGAACTTCGAAACGTTGATGAAGAGACGAGATTAAAGCCTCGCCCAGGACGCGTCGTGCGAGATGCCAACTACTCTATCTTCCGCCTTTGGACCCGCGCGGCTGCTCCATATCCTTGCGGCAGATCGCACGGAATCAGGGCAGAATCAGGGCAGATACGAGCCCGGCGTCTCATTTGAACCCTCAAGTCGGGGCCGCGACAAGCGGAGAAATCGCGCTCTACCGTGACTCCAGCAGAGTATCAGCGAATACTTTTGCAGCCGTAGAAGCCAAGCAGCGCAAAATCGCGACAGGAAAGCTGTCCAGTGTCCCATGGCACAACCGCAGTCCCGGCTATTCGATGGCGAGCTGCCTGCCCGTCCGAGGAGGATTCAGGTCGCTTCTGCCCCTTACTCTACCACGGATGCCCACCCGAGGTCGCACCGCGGCAGATCGGGCCGGGGAAAGGAGGAATGGGAAAGAGAGGAAGGAGAAAGACAGGAGGGCAGGAGGAGCAGGAGGAGGAGCAGTCTTCGCAAGTGTGGTACTGCAATGTGTCCCTGTGCTGCCACTACTGGCACCGCTGCTGCGCTGCTGCGGTGCTCAGTTCACTAGTGGAGCAGCCTCCAGCCTCCTCCTCCTTCTCCCGCCCGCCTCGATGCACTGCACGAGATTTACAGGGGCATCGGTGATGTACATTAACGGTGCGGTAGATTCTTGGTTTCCGGGACTCATCGCCATGGCGAGATGATGGCGCGGGATGTGTGATGCGCACAGACTCTGCCGGGAAACCTTGTGCTTGTCATGATGAAGGGGAAGGGGATAGGAACCATTTCCAGGTTCTATTCCGAGTTATCAGATAGCAGCGGCTGCTCTGGCGGCGGCATTGGTTTGCATATTGTTCCTCTATGCATTTGCGCGCGCCTTTGCATTCCCAAGGCATTCTGCGCCCAGAGTTCCAAACGGATGTAGATATGCAAGAAACACTGGCTGCCATGCCGGAAACAAGCCTACTGTACTTCGTACCAGCAGCTGTTCGTTGTCGGCTTTAGTGCTTTCGACCAGCATGGGATCCTGGCCCCATTCTTGAAACCACAGCTGGCATTTGGGGCAACAAAACCTTACCCGCAGACCCCTCCTAGTCGAGGAAGACAACAAGTTTCTAGCCTTTTTCTACCTTCTCTGCGAGCATTGGCAGCCCATGCCCTACCGCCGCCGAGTGCCGCTGTGTGTGCCGCAAGGTTCAACAGGACTAACCTGCACGGGGCGAATAATAGGCCGGACCACGATGCGTCGTCCCAGAGAGCTTTTCCCATGGGCATCGTCGCTGTGTGGTGACTTCCGCAGCCGAGCCTGATCTGCGCCATATCGGAGTGTTGAGAGCCTGCCGGAGGATGCTTTGGGCAATCCAACAAGCTGGATGAGGCACCCGCCACGAGAGCTTAGCTGTGATCTGCGAATCCATACTGTTGTTTGCGGTCTCCAATGCTACGAGAGATCCTCTTTGGTGCTCGTCGAGCCAGGGCCGTCACGTTGTCAAGTTGCTTCTCATATCAAAAGCTCCCCCCCTGAACAGTTCGTTCTCCGCTATGTGTCTTATTGGCTAATCACCCTCCCCTCGCTAGACATGGCAGCCGTTATGCGTTGACCCGCAGGATGTTGGTCCTGGCAAAGCGCCGATGCCAATGATTTCAGCCAGGTCCGGCCGAGCCTCGATCTTTCCGTTGACGCCCTGTCACACTTGCTGTGTGGCATAACCGTCTCCATCAGGCTTAGCAGTTGAGATCGATGCACCTCGCGAACCTCAAGGCCCTGGCTGATCTCGCACCTGTTCCTGTTGGCTCGCTATTATTTCCTGCCTCATCAGAGTATCGGATGATTGCGCCGGCAACAGGCCCCTCCGATAACCCTAGGCACACCCTCATCTTATCCAGGCGTGCTGAGTCTGCACGAGGTTCTCGATGGGGGCGCTCTCCAGCACCTTGCGGTTTCTCCGATGCCATTTGCCAATCCTCACAGGGGCTATAAGGGAGTTCTCCAGAGACTAGTCATTGAACCGGGTGCTCGTTTACTATCGTTCTTGAGCCTTGTGGCTAATAAGTCCCTCGGCCATGCTTGGAAGCCCTCATGCGCTTCCATTGTTTTCGTTGCTACCCGCCTGTGAAAAGTCTTCATATTTCCATTCTGGCCTTATTTCCACCTTATATTATTATTGTAACGGAGTCTCGCCAAGATAGTATAACCACCCGTGCTGTCCCTGTCTTGATCTTGCCCAGCGTCGATAATTCTCCGCTCGTGCAACGCCCGTCGTCGGCGCGGGATTAAAGTCTCTCTCAGCGGCACCTGTGGGCAGTGTGGAGCATTTGACAGGGAGTGGCAGGGAGTGGCAGAAGAGGGCGCCTCTCGGGTCCATTGACCTTGTCGTGGTGATCATACCAAGCATCATATCAAGGCCCTTCAATCTTGGGGTATATCATCCGACGCTCGTCGACCAAACGTGAAAATCAGGACCGCGGACCCTATCCACTTCACAGGAACCTTCAGATTGCCTAAAACGGACGAGGAACGTCATAAAGCTGGAAAGCAATTTATCCTTCATTTGGACGACGCAGAACACTCGCCACGACTGTTTAAGGTCCAAACCACCCTGGGTTCCGGCCGCTCTATCTCTATCATCTGCCCCGCGTGATCGATAGACTGTCACTTTAAGTGTATCGATTGTCCTGGGCTGAAGGATAGGTCCTGAACCAGGCTAGGAGCTCAAAGAGCCCCTCAATCCGACCCGCCGACGAAATTGTGGATTGATCTGGCAGACTTTATCTATCTAGTAGGAAGACCTGCAGCCGAATTCGTCTTGTTCGGAAAACCTCACACGAGTATCCAGTTGTTGTAAGAGAAGTCTGTACGCAACCGTCGCCATCCCAGTCAAGCAAGCTTGTCAACCATCCAACACACATCCGACACTCTCGCCCCTGATAACCTTATGAGTACCTCTGGTCGGTGATCAACCCCTATCCACTGCGGCCCTGACTTTCGTTCATTCCACGGCATCGTCCCACCACCTCGGCCTCTTTGCACATCGGAATACGAGATCATATTCTCGCCCGTCAACGTATCGGACCGAATTTTTGGCTTTCTTGCACCAGGAGCAACAAATCTCTCAATGCTTGTTACACGGCAATGTGATACAGGAAGGAATACTTGGTCTTCTAGCAAGCTCGAGGCGATATATCGAAACGCAGCGTCTCCACGCATGTCGAACTTTGAGCCACTGACGACGCAGCCGGACTGGCGAGAACAGTACTCAGCGTTTCCCCTTCCAGGACAGAATGGCCTCCTCCAGCCATCGTTTGATCACACAGCAAACCCAAATGGTTCTGAAAACAACCAGGCGCAACAGCAGAGTGGCTCGAGACCTACACTCGAGCACCGGCATAGCCTGGGACCCCTTCGCCAAGAGGCTCCGCCAGCGTCTGTCATAGAGCGGCCAGAATCCGCACCGGGCGATAGCGACCATCCAGCCAATCCTGCGCGTAACGACTCTTTAGTTTCTACAGAGTCGACAGAAATTTCACTTGGCTCACTTGGTTCAAATCCACTAAGCTCTGCATCAAGCGCCCCAACTCAGCAGCCAACACTGGCGAATAATGACGGAGGAGATGTGCCAGAAGAAATCAAGGACGAAGAGGAGGAGGAGGACGACGATGAGATGATTGATGTGGAGGAAGGGGCACCACCACAGACTGCTGCCGAAAGACGAGCTGAGCGAAGAAAGATGAAGCGATTTCGGTATGATATTGGCGCCCCAAAATCAATGCCCCTACCTTTACATGACCTAATTCTTTTTTTTTTGGCGCAATCGAATATATACTAATAGTGCTGCCAGTCTCACCCACCAACAAACACGCTTCTTAATGAGCGAGTTTGCTAAACAGGCGCATCCTGATGCGGCTCACCGTGAGCGCCTTTCAAGGGAAATACCAGGGCTTAGTCCTCGACAAGTCCAAGTGTGGTTCCAAAATAGGTAAGAGAGACTTCGGACTGTTAGAAACAGAGACGTGGGGGATAGCATCACTGACCACATACAGACGAGCGAAGATAAAGCGGTTGACAGCTGATGACCGAGAGCGCATGATGAAGATGAGAGCCGTACCAGACGACTTCGATAATGTGCAGGCCTTGCACTCTCCGTATGGGGCAGTTCATGGCATCGGCACTCCCATGCAATCGCCAGTCGATTATGTCCCAGGCTATGCTGACCATATGATGCGGCCCTTGATGGTTGACACCATGAGAAGACACGATCATCATGATGAGCATATCTCTCCCAGCGGCCTCAGTCCAGCTTTTGGTCATGTAGCCTTTGGTGCTAGCGGGTCGATGAGTACGTCTGATGCTCTCTCGCCGTTGTCCTTGAATTCCAGCGACCGGTTTTACCCTGGAAGTCACCTCACCAGTCCAATGAGCACAGGTCCACGGAGTTCGAATCCTTTCGACCGGCAGAATAGCTATCAAAACATGTCCCACTCGAGACAGCCGGTTCGACCGTTGCAGCCTCTGCAGCTTCGAGAGACTATGTCCAGATCACGATCCGAATCGATCCAGTCTCCTTTAAGAACGAGCATGTCGTGGAAGGGAGAAACGCTTGACTACACCAACTACCAATCGGGGCAGCCGAGTCCACAATTGAGCGGTCGGCAGCAGTCTGTGTATCAGCCTGATCAAATTGGTAACAATAATGTCAATTCGCATCAGTATGATGGCACAGGATTCTCAAGTTGGTTCAAATTTTCTAGTTCCCGTACTTGTGATGCAAAACTCACGTGCTAACCCCTTTCTACAGGCGCAAATATCCAAAGCTCACCTCCCCACATGGCATTTTCGCCGTCGCATGGCCCCTCGAATTCATTAAGTTCCTTACAGCAATCGATACCGGCCTCAATATCTCGACTGCGAACGTCTTCAGCAGCGTTCCCGCCAGGTCTAGACCTTCGAAACCAGTATCGGGCGCTTCCACCTCAGCTTAACTCTCCGCATGGCCCCACAACGACACGAAGTAACTCCTTCAGTGCCTTCACAGGAGGATACGCAAGCGCGCCGTTGGCAGCACCCGTTGACTTTGCGCTGCCACGGACACCTGCTGATGGAGGGTCAGGAAGCAGGGATTTCAATATTCCACAGCTAAGCGCGCCGATGGCGCCACCGCCAGATTTCTCAGCTGCCTATAATTCGAGTCTTAGTCCTGTCAGGCCGCAACATGGGGATAGGGATTTTGGACATCAGAGTCAGAATAATGGGGATCATGCTGTCCACACAACGCAAGGGACACAGGGCCAGGGATCAGGGCAGCCCGGGGGAGAGCCACAACAGCAGCAGCAGCAACAACAGCAACAGCAAGCTAGAAATAATGAGGAGGCATCCTACCTCAGGCCTATGCAGTACGAGACGGGTCAAAAGCGGAAAAGGAGTTTTACGATGCCTGGAAGTTTTGAGAGCGCGTAGTAGATATTATCATATCTGAGGAGAAATCATTAATGGGCGCCTGCAGCACGCATCGGGACTTTCCAGCACGTCCTCTGCGACAGTCATGGCACTGTTTTCTCGTCTCGGAAGGCACATATTCAATTATATGACCCAGGTTAATAGGTCGCAATGCCGGAGCATATGACTCGTTGAGCTTAGCTCACTTCCTCCCAGCACCGTCGCTCACCTCCGCTCTTCGTTGAGCGATACTTACTCTCCTTTCTTTCCCTCCTTTTTTTTCAGAGTACCAGTGTTTTAGTAAATGGAATGGTTATAAATGGGATAGGGAGAATGGGGGTTGGGATGGCTATATGGAAAAAAAAACGCTATATGAAAAGAGTTGCAAATGAATGAAATGATTGGGATTTTTGGCGGGGTTATTTGAATATGGAATGGGCATTGTTGGTTATGATGGGGGAATCAGCAGGGTGGGCAGAAGGGCGAGATGGAAGTTATTTTTTTGTGTATATTTTTTTGAGGCTTTTTGCTATGAGCTGGTCCGTGGGTGGGCCTGTAGATATTGATTGGATATTGGAATGATGAGGTGTTTTAATAAGTGGCTGCTTTTGATGAATTCATCATATGTGATCTGGGGTTTCCAAGGTGAATTGATGAAGTTGGGTAGCATAGTGGCTTGTCCCGTTTGTCCCGCGGAGGAAGTTCGTGTTCGAATTTCTAATAATCATAAAAGCTATGTCTCTGTTAGCGTCTGTGCATGAGTAACTCATCAAGATATAAACTTACCCCTTGCCACTCTTCTTCCCCAACCAGCCAGCATCCACCATCTTCCCCAGTAGAACACTAGGTCTATATTTGGAATCGCCGGTTTCCTCGTGCAGCACTTTCATAATGGCCAGGCATGTATCAATGCCAATGAAATCTGCCAGCTGCAAAGGCCCCATAGGCACGTTTGTTCCGTTTTTCATGATGGCATCAATATCATCCCGGCGTCCCACACCAGTCTCTAGGCATATGATTGCCTCGTTGATGTACGGCATCAAAATTCTATTTGCAAGGAACCCGGGTGAATCAGCGGATTGCGAGGGGATCTTTCCCATCTTCTTGCAGAATGCAATGGCGGTATCGACGGTTTCTTGACTCGTTTGTAGACCTGTTATGATCTCGACGCCCTTTTGGATTGGCACCGGGTTCATGAAATGTGTGGAAACTACACGGGATGAGGCCGAGGTATCAGTGGGGTCCTTCGTTGTCGACGCTGCAATGCGTGTTATTGATATGGAGGAGGTGTTTGTAGCTAGGATAGTGTGTGGTTGGCAGATCTGCGCGAGGGATTCGAAGATAGAGAATTTGAGGGAGGGAATCTCGGGGACGGCTTCAATCACGAAGTCCACGGATGAGAGGGAGTCCATTGACGTAGTTGTAGAGAGAAGGGATCGGATCTTGTCCGCTTGGTCTTGGGTGATACGCTCTTTAGAGACATCTTTGGCTAGAAGTTTGTCTATAGGCGATGGATATGTCAGTAATTGGAGGTGGTGGGAATGAAGAGCCGGAGCCGTGCTGCGTACCTGCAAACTTGAGGCCTTTGTCAATTGATGCTTGGTTTGTATCTACCAGTGTCACTGGAACTCCGGCTTTTTGTGCAGCGACCAATGCTATTCCCAAGCCCTGGAATCATGTCAGTCAATGGCTCGTAGGTCGGGGAGCAGCTCTCCAGCCATACCATTTGCCCCGCTCCAATAACACCAAGATGCTTGACATCAGCAGTGGCGACTACACGTGTCGAGCTGAAGCATCTGGCATGTTTACTGCTTTGCAGGAGCTGCCGTCTGAAGATTGGAGTGAACATTGTGCTGTGCTGGTGCAATGTGCAAATGTGAGGTTGGAGATTTCTGAGAATCCAAGGTTATTTCTACGAACTATTCCGATAGAACTACGTATTCGACCTCGGCTTAAGACGCTAGAAGCAGCTGAGATCGGAGACTTGGCGGAAAGCGGCGGCGGCGGGGCGGAGCGGAGGCTTATCCTTATCCGGAGTCGCTAAAGTGGTTTCGCAGGGGTTCGCGTCGCGTCTCCAAACTTCCGTGGGAAACTGAAGCGTGTAGAGAGCTTTTGATATATTGATGTTGATATTGATACTTGTACTGATTGCGAGCTCAATGCACCATCAACATCAACTGTCATTCCAGCAAAAATGGAATTGGCAAACGGGAACAGAGATGTTGTCGACCCCGAAGTTCGCGCCTATGTTTCGAGTCTTGTGTCTGCAGTACGTTCCTTACCTATGCCCGTAATGCCTAAGAGGAATTTATTATGCTAACGCGCTCTAGTTGGGTGGAAGCGGCGCCGATGAGGATGGACGATATATACTTGGAGACGACGCCATAGCATGTCTGCGGGATCTCAAGAGATGGTTGAAGTTATACGATGAGAAGGCGAATCGACTGGACGTGGCACGATGTTTGGCAGAATCGAATCTGGTTGGAGGGGATTTGCTTGAAATTCTGGCGACCTGGTCCGAGAACGCAACAGAAGACCGACTCAAATTGAAGGTAGCTCTGGCATGCCTGGAGCTTATGGTGCCACTTACGTGGCCGCTAGAGAAGAACCCAGAACAGATGACGGTCAATCATCACCGACATATTCCCTATCTCGAAATTGCCCAACTTGGATACAAGCGCGATATTGTAAATTATGATGGCGCAAGGATACTTCACACTGCGGTGAGGTGCGCGTTACCCTCTATGGCGCAGGATATGGGCGACCGGAGCAGCAGGGACGAGGGAATTATCAAACTTATGCTATACTTTTTGCGTAATATTGCCATGATTGCTCCTCCGCCAAACGTTCAATACGAGGGAGATGAAGCCGAGATCTCGAGATCCTCCATGATCGACGCTTTCGACTACCAAGATATATTTCAGCTGCTATTAACCCTTTCTTCGACAATGGGGGAGGACTTCAACACTCAAGACGTGGTAGTTTTAGACCTAATATTCCAACTGATTAAAGGAGTTGATATCAACAAACTCTTTCTGGACGAGAAAAAAGTGAAGAGCGGGCAAATGGATGAGTTGGCGCAATTAAGGGAGAAGGAGGCAGCAATGTTAAGGAGCTACCAAACTCACGCACCTACAAGACATAATCGGTTTGGTCCCATGGTCTGGATTCAGCGAGAAGATGGGAAGAACACAGCGATTTCCGGACAGGCTGCCGTGTCGGACTCTACGAGGGGTCTGGCAAAGATGGACAGTACCAAGAAGTTCAGACCTCCACATCGGGCTTTGAAATCACAAGGTGGACCCATGGATTTTGACACCTCTGCACGCCTGACTGTTACAGCCACCAAGCATCTCCGTGCTTTTGTGGAGGAGTTCTTGGATGCAGGATTCAATCCACTTTTCAACCACGTTCGCAAAGCCATTGACCGAGAAGCAGAACGGATTCTAGAGTACCACCCTAGACAGTTCTTCTACCTGGTTTCATGGTTCCTCGAGGCGGAACGCGCGAGACGACAAATCAAAGCGCCCTCAAGTCGCCAAAAGTCGGTCAACCCAGACGACTTAGACAGCTTTTCACTAGTAGCAAGTGTCTTGAGCCAAGAAATGTTCGTCACATTGAACAGAGCTATGGATTCAGCTTTTGAGAATAAACTGTGGCATAATCTCAGTGCTGCGATGAAATGCTTTACGCAGATTCTCATCACTGTTCAGGAAATGTCTGAATCTCCGCTTGAGGAAGATCAAGAAATTGCGGAGAATATCCTTAACCGCATATTTTACGAAGAGACCACACATGACCGGGTTGCAAATATCACCCGCACTTACAAAGACCAAGGATTCGGCTACCTGGATTCTGTTACAGACCTCGCACACAACTATTTGCGAATTCTCGAGCGATACGCGAAACAGAATATGGATCTACAAGTGAGGTCACGGAGGCGGGTCCGACGAAAAAAGAAAGCCGCACGAGAAGCCGGCGAAGATGATGGCAATGATAATATTGTTGATGAATCGGAAGGAGAAGACGAAACTCGGGCAGAACGAACGTCAAATGAACGGAAATTCGACTTTAAGCGTTTTGCTTCGAGATTTGCGACTCAAGGATGCGTCGACACATTTGTCACCTTCACTGGATATTATAATGATCTCAAGCCTCCCCAATTAAAACGCGCCCATCGTTTTTTTTATCGCGTTGCTTACAAGCAGGACATGAGTGTGATGCTCTTCAGAGTCGATATCATTGCTCTCTTCTATAAAATGATCAAGGGCCCACAAAGTCTTGACCCACAGTCTCCCTGCTACAAGGAGTGGGAAGCATTTGTCAAGCAAATATTGAAAAGGAGTTTCAAGAAAATTCAAGAACGACCCGAGTTAGTAGTCGAAATGCTATTTTCGAAAATCAATAGTACTGCGCATTATCTCGAGTATGGCTACGAGAAGCAGACGGTGACTACAACACCACGCGCCGCAGCGGAATTGGAAGTCAAACCAGGCAAGGAGTGGGAAGAGCAGATTAGTATCGTCGTTGGGGCTATGCTTGACAGGAACGAAGCGGAACATCTTCAATGGATCAAGCCGCAACTCTCTTCTGCCGAGAGCGAACGAAGGAGTTGGGAAGGGTCGAATGCTGCATTGCAGTCTATCGAGGACGATCCTTTTGCTGAGCCAAACACCGAAACACCTGCTGAGCCACTTGAGCCACCAAAAGCTCCCACTATTCGTATGCTTTCTGTCCCATACATGATTTTACATGCTGATTGAAAATAGTGGTTAAACCTGATAATGATACACGAAAGCTCGCTATGTTCAAGAATGGGCATCTCCGGCTTCTCATGTCATTAGTCGGATTTCAACGATTGGGTGTAGATGATGATCCTGAAAGCTCATGGGTCATACCCGCTTCACTGTCTGCAGATCAACTCAATCAATCGCTGGACTTGATTAAGAAGGCTGAATTTAACCCCCCTGTCGTTGACGATGGGCAAGAAGCAGGCGATTTCATCAGGCGGAAATCTGCGGGCACGGCAGCAAGGAGGAGGGCGGTGTTCGATGATGATGACGATGGAATTGATGACGACGATGAAGAGGAGTTCTTATTTCCCGCGGGTGGCCCTACCGCCATGAAGAAGTCCGAGGCCCTAGAGGCATTAAAGAAGACCCGCCGACGTAGAAGAAAGGAGGGAAGTGAAGATCCCGAGGGTGGCGGCTTGACAGAAGAACAGCTACAAGCGCGCCGAGAAGCGCGCCGCCAGAAAGAACTCCAGAAGAACCGAAAAATTAAGAGTGACCTATTTGTTCATGATAGTGATGACGAGACGGATGAGGAGAGAGATCGCATTTTCTTCGAGCATGAAAAGAAGCTCCGACAGAAGACTAAAGTTGCGATTATGAAGGAGTTACTCCGTGTTGGGAAGGATGATGGTGATAATGCTAAAATGAAGAGTAGAAAAAGGGCTTCTAGTGCTATTTCTGTGGGCAGTGATGATGAGGATAATATCATTCCTAGTTTTCGCTCTTCATCCACACCAAGGGAAAATATCCTCGACGACTCCGATATGGAGGCGACTGATACCCCCTTATCCAGTCCACACACACGACCTTCAAAAACGAAAAAGCGGAAGGTGGTGGATGGGGATGAAGAGGATTCTGTGTCCGAGTCGGCTGCTGCAGATGGGTTGAAGAGCATAACGAATGCATTAGGCGATGACGATGAGGATGAAGATATGGCCCCTGTTATGAGACCTAGTCGGCCGAGGGTTAGGGCAGGGTTTATTGTCGATAGTAGTGATGAGGAATAATCATACTATCTATATCAGTCGCTAGAAGGTTTAGACACACGGATCGTGGATACTTGAGCGCTACGAAACCCCAAAACTTTAGTAGAGCGAGCCTCCAGCTAAATAGAGAATGGATTTTAACAGAAAAGTACTAGGTACGTTAGTAAAAGAAAGGAAAAGCAGCCTGGCTCTCTACTCCTTACATTTCATGCTTCATTATGACCGCTCACTAACTAAAATGACAGACTCCCACATCAACCAGCAAGACGCGAAGGCGTAATAGCAAAGCGTCGATGCCGATGACAATAATCATATATTGCAGGCATATTTACAAGGCTCAAGAGGCTTCTTGGCTAAACTGAGTATGAATAGGAGGAAGGGAGAGGGAAGGGGGGATGATGAGGAAGATAGGGGGTTGGAGGTAGTTGTGGATTGGGCGGCTGGGTAGGAAGTCTCTTGAATCTGCAGTTTTTCTTAAGGAAACCAGAGTAGATAGAGTTCTACTTCCCGCCACGACCCAATTAGAATCCTAGATAACTTTTCCTGCAATGGGGATAGTCAGGCGGCGCGGTTACCGCAACAGCAGACGTCAAGGTCATCCCCAGCATCGAACTTGTTCACTATCTACTTGAAGATACCTGCTCTGCCAAACAATTCTGCTTCCAAAAAACTTCATAAGGCCCTCGCTACCTTGATTCCCCGCCGCGACATCCGCATGCACCCATTCACTCTTTCCCTCATATCCCAAGTCGCTGAACTCCCCAACATCCAGTGTCCTGAGGAGCTCTTCAGCTACCAGCGTAGCAAGACTTCACCCTCTGTACCCAGGCAACACATAGAGCGTTGCTCTACCTCCGTCGACACTTATATATCCCCATGCTACGAATCCATCTTCATCGCTCACAATCCCCACATTTGCTAGTGGCTTGAGTGTTGAGGGATGGCGTGGAATAGAGGAGGTAGATACTACGATATCAACCTGATCTTCAGACACTCGCGCCACCTCATAGCCTTCGCGAGAAGCGCATCGCTTCTTGCTCCTTCCATCGCCACTTGAGATCCTAGATGAGAGGCTATAGTCTTGGTGGAAATTACCCACAGATTCCATATCAAAATATACGAGATAGCACCATCTACGCTTCCATACAGCAAGAACTGGGGACTTTAGGTGACGGGGGGCAATGAAGATTATGGGGTGCTTGCAACCGGTTGTATGGAGGATTGCTATCGGGGAGATGTTTCTCTAGTATACGGACGAAGATGGTGAGCGCTAGTCCTTGGGGATATCGGTGGATCGAGGGGTTTCAGTCGTTGCGGTGTCGCCATCGCCATGGGCCATCGCGGGGCAGACTTGGGGGTTTGAAGTTACTTCGTAGATCGATCTTGTTCTGATCAGTCGATAGGACTCTATGAGTATGTTGATAACTAAAACAGGAAGTACGTTATGCAGCGATTCAGCGTCGAACGGGGCTGCGACCTGTCACCAGGTTCAAATCGTGCCATACGGGATACAGTTTCATCGATCTTGCCGATGTATAAAGGGGCCCATCATCCATCATCTATTTGCTCGATAGATGCTAGGACCATACCTACTAAAAGCTGATTACCTATACTTAACGTACAGACAGTGCCAATGTGAGCTCTTAGCTTCGGCAAAGTACTGCTCCATGGGCATAATGACTCTTCGCACCCCTCGGAATGCTTATTAAACAGTTCTTTGATAACGCTTGAAGAAAGTCTAGCAAAAGGCCTTCCTTGTAGTCATTAAATCATTTCTCATAGACATCGATGAACACTAAGCTAAAAATTATATATCCATATATACGACCGTCCGCCATTACTCGGGTCGTAAACAAATAATTAACTCAAAGCATCTTAAGAACCAGGTGCCCTATCCAGGATCCTAACATATAATGCAGGAAACAAACCTGTCTTTCCCATATAAGTCCCATACCACCACTCGGCATTAACCTCCTTGCACTCCCTGATCTCCGCTCCCTTCGGAAACATCAACTCGTCATCAACGCCCGGTGCAGGGTACCAGCTCCATCGAGCAAAACATGACATGCCGACGCCTCCATCGGTTGGGAAGTCGTTGTCGATAGCTAAATCTAGGACGTTGATTGGTGAGGTATCCATGACATTCTTAGTGACGAGCTTAACATGTTTTTCATCCTCCCAGCTCCATTTCTGAAGATCGGAATAATCGCTGGAATTATACGGTTCCTCTTTAAGCATGCGACCACCGACAAGATCCTGTGCAATCGACCTACGTTGACCTCCTCGATTATCTTCAAACCCTAAAACGACCATGCGATGCCCTTGTAGACATCTACGCCAGCCTTTAATGCCGTTTTCAGCGCTGACACGACGAGAAGTCACGAGCTTTGGGTAGCAGGTTGTGCAGATGTCGTAGTCTCCGGGCAGCGTATTAGGTGTTTTACTTGTGCAAGAGAAGCAGTGATATCGTGTCTTAGATGGCTGAATAGGATGATGGCAGATATCGCATTGCACAGAGAATGTCAGAGGTTTGAAGCGTCCAATATCTAGCACCCCAGGTCCCGTAAGAATCGTGGCCGATGAAGGCATTTGCTGAGCGCGAGTTGGCGATAGCGGTGGAGAATCGGACTCTGGCGGCTTGAAGGTTAACGGTAAGAGAGGGTGTGTACAGCATTCCCCTCGGTTTACACAAAGGTTGCAGAACCCCCAATCACCTTCGTTGCAGAAATCGCAGCGCCAGTAGCACTCGTTTGCCCAGGCGAGGCAGTTTGCACAGAATGTGCCGCTCTGCAGCCGTTTTTGAGGGTCTTCGGTAGTGAGGGTCTTTCGGCCATCAGCTCCCCCAGGCGAAATTTTAGGTGGTATATAGCGAGATGCTATGAGCATGTGAGGTTTTTCAGCATTAGGAGGTAAATCTCCCGACTGGGTCAGCGCCTCCCACCTCGACCATGCAGCGTAGCCAAACCCAAACCAATGCAGACAGCCCTTCCCAGACCGGAAACATGAAAGACAAATATTATAATTTTCGCCACGACAGATGCCGCAATTGTAGTGAAGTTCATACTCGATGTGAACCTTAGAACACCGAGCGCAAGTCAAAGAAGGTTCGGGGTAGAGGGGGGCACGGCTCCGTGATACCATAGAGGACGAGGATGTTGGTCTTGAACCGCTTGATAACGCCATCGCCCTGTCAGAGAGCGATGTTCGTGGAGCATGACTTGGGGACAGCGGTGCAGGCATCAACGATTGCTCGCCTGGCGAGTGTAACGAGGCCGAAGAAGGTATTGATGCAGGAACGAAGATCTCAGCAGGGGGTGCTCGCCGAGTTTGTGATATCGATGCTGTTGCAGGCTGTTGCAATCGAGGACTTGTACGCATTCGTGGGCTGGAATTCGGCTGTGTTTGTGATTCGCGGGATTCCAGTTCAGAAGCTGTCCCTACACTACCATGCTGACGGTTTGTTTCTGTGCTAGTTCTCAAGCCTGATGTGATTGTAGGGCGTGAAGTCCCCAGGTCCATGGAACCGGATCTTATGCTCAAATCAGTTTGTGACCGTGCTGCTGGTCTTGTCTGGGCTTGTGTGCCTATAACATGGGCGGTTGAGCTTCGACTACCGCTAGTTGTTCTTCTCCTCCGCCGTTCCTCACTGGGCTGGACTTCAAGGTGAGCAGCATGGGCAGCACTGATAGATGTTGGCGGTCTGCTCGGCCCATCAGTGTCACTAACAGCACTGGAATTCCTGGTGTGTGTCCGCCTTCTTGGCGTTCGGCCACTATCATCACCAGATGTTTCCCTCGATTCCGGGGCAGAACTTCGAGCTTGCCGCCTCCGGTCATTAGACCTCTGCCTTTCACGCTGTTCCCTAGATCTCTCGCTTTGCCTTCTTCTGAATGCCTCAGCTATCCTTTCACTAATTTGGTCCTCCTGGCTAACATCAATATTTTCCAAGTCTATTCCATCTAGGAGCCCTTCTTCTCTAATCTGGCGCAAGATCTCCTCCTCCATCTCTTGAGAATCGATATCGGACGAGCTAATCAATGACCGTAAAGATGATTGATGTTCGATTTGCCTTGCTGCCGTGCGGCTCGTTTCTTCATGTCTTCTTCTCGCCTCTTCATTGTTCCTTCGTCGTCTTCGCTCTGTTCCCGACTCTGTGTCGGATCGAGGATCATCCCTAGTTCCTCTTCGCCCAGAATCTGCTTCTCTCCGTCGCTGTCTGTCCCTATCATCCCCGCTTCTGCTGTCCCGACTATGCTCACGACTAGAGTCTCGTCTTGACGGGCGTAATCTTGCCTCCTCCCTTCTCCTACGCTCCCTCCTTGCGTCCGAAGATTCCACACCCACCTCTCTCAGACTCAAATCCCTAACTTCTTCCATGAGTCTCCGGTCTTCATCATCCACCCTTCTCTCCCTTATAGACTTATCCTTAGCCTCAACTTTTGGTATTACATCCTCCCCGGGCGTGTATTTCTTCTTCAGTTCGGATTTCTCCTCATCGGTCTTGCCCTTGCTCGGATTCGCCACGAGGAACATCTCCAACAGTGTTGTAACCCTCGCATCATGTCGCGAAGCGCGGACCGGCGCTCGACATGACGGGCATGTATACGGCGTAGAGCCTGCGGGGAGTGAGTTTGGAGAGTTGCGCGCCGCGGTGAGCTGCCAGTTGAACCACTCTTTCAAACATGAGCCGCAGAAAGTATGGAGACAGTCGAGGAGGGTGAGGGGTTGATAGAGCACTTCGGTGCAGATCTAGTGGCGCAACATCGTATCAGTATAGTGCCACGAGCCATGATTCTCTCTCCCTAAGGTCCCAAATAAACTCAGTGAAATTGCAACAAGATCTCCCGTCGCAAACATGCCCTGTCGCATCTGATCGCAGCCGCAGTGCTCGCCTGCCCTTGACCTTGACCTTGACGCCAGCCTTATGTATCTTTGGTTTTAGGGCCCAAACTTACAGAGCAGGTTAGTTCCTTCTCTAAATCGAGACCACGAATCTCCGACTCCATGGCCACGTATTTCGTGCCTCTGCAATTCGACGGTTCAGAGTTTTTGGAGCGAAGCCAGAATTGGGGCAGTGGAATCGAGTTGGGTACTTCATACAGGGCTGGAAGGTTGCTGTGGCGCTCGTACAGGTTGGGCGCTGAGTGTGCACTACTGCACGCAGGGCTGACGATACGATGGTTGACAAGTCAGAAATACGAGATAATTTGTAAATTGGGGCAAATTATTATACGGAAATCCAAGGATATTGCTTGCTAAATACATAAAGATCTCGTTCTCTCCTTTGAGAGAGAGTAATGTAGAATGCGCAGATGTTGGTGTGGTTTTGAATTTGTCATGTGGTATGAAAGATTAAGATCGGTGTCTAAGTTTATTGGCTATTGGTTACAAGCAATAAATTTCCCCTTAAATTCGCCTCATTTACACTAATATCATATATTATATTTAGGTGCTCATTAATTCATACTAGAAAGACGTGTCTTCCTCAAGCTATTTTTCATTTTCCTCCTGATTTTAACCCTAAGATCGGCGTATTAGCCGACGAGTTCTCCAAAGAAATTATGATCGAGGATATATCTTTGGAAAGTAGATCTCAAGAGGAGAGCCACTATTAAGAGCCACAAGTCCCCGATTCGGGTTTGCAACCCGTACCACAATACCCGGAGGTGGACCCGCAAAACCCATACTGTGAGCAGCAGTTTCCAAAGGTAGACCCTTGACAAGTAACTGTACTAGAACATGAACCATCCGTACTAATGGACTGAGGTGGTGCGCCAGATCCGCAGCTTCCTGATGCCGGCTGACAACCTGTACCACAATATGCGGTAGTGGAACCGCAATACCCATGCGAGGAGCAGCAATTTCCAAAAGTAGAACCCTGGCAAGTAACTGTGCTAGAACATGAACCATCTGTACTCACGGACTGGGTGGGTGTTGTATTGGAGCCGCAATTTCCTGACGCCGGTTGACAACCTGTACCACAATATGCGGAAGTGGAACCGCAATAGCTGTGCTCAGAGCAGCAGTTTCCGAACGTAGAGCCGAGACAAGTTACACTAGCCGAGCAACTCCCGTCAGTGCTAACAGTCTGTGTTGGGTCTGTGGGTGGTGTACCGGAATCTGTTGAGCGATACCAGTTGGCGGAAGGATCCCCCAAGCATTCGCCAACGGTCACAGACTTGTACCCGTGCTGGGTCATAGATGCCAGGATATAATCAGTGAGGTTATACACCGTCTGGAAGTGGATGTCATGCTCGATCTCCAAGAAGTTGTCGGTTTGGCTGTTGGAGGGGTTGATCGCTGTGTCCCAGATATTCTTTGAATTCTGGATCAGGTTTACGTCGTCGTTCAGGTAGCCGGCTGTGTCAAGGTCGAAATCTACGAAAATATAGTTAGATAAATAGACTTTCAAATACATTTCAGAATACTAACATGTCACATGATATCCAAGTGTTGCCAAACGCGAGCCACATGTGGCATCGCATTGAGAATAAGGTGGCCTGTGGTATGCGTTAGTTATACACATTTCCTTGATCTGCTAGTCTGGGCAGTACCTCATATAGGTTGGGAAATAGCCCAGGATATTCCTGAATGCCATTTCATTATAAATTATTTGGTTATTAAAAGTCGTTTCGTCCACAGATGTCAAACTTTGATGGGACCACGTGTGTGATGCTACTTGATGGCCTTCTGCAACCATGCGCTAGAAGGTAGATTAGTCATGGTTACATTCTGCAAACTGGGGAGGAAAATAGTACCTTGATTAGATTCGACCATTGGGCAGTGCTGTCGATGGGGCCTGGCAGAAGATTAGTTGTGTGGTTTTTTCCCTAAAAAAAAGGTTCATTTACCTTTTCCAAGATTGTTTCCAGCTAAGTTTACATTAGTAACATTCCCAAGGCAATCTAGGTAGGAACATACTGATGAAAAATGTTGCTTTTGCATTATGAGTCTTGAGCTTGTCAAGAAGGTCCGAGGTATAAATATATGGACCATCATCGAAAGTGAAAGCAATATCTAAAATAAGTTAGCACAAGAAGCCAGTCCTTCTATTAAATAGGGAATAGTATACCTCCAGGCACAACGCAGTCATAAATTCCACCACCGCCGTAGGGTACATTGCCGATTTTCGGTCGTGCAATGTTGGCTGTGGAGGTCCCGGCAGGTTTCTGATTCCCATCACATGCAGGGCCATAATCCAATTGACAATCGGGAGCGGCGCAGTACTCTGTGCCCAGGCCACAGTACCTAGTAAAACTGGTAAGGACAGTACATATATGATAGAAGGATATGAGTTACCCAGCAGGTGAACAACAGTTTGTGGCACATTTTCCAAAACCGGGACCACATCTCCCATTCGAATCCTGCCTTTCCTCCAAGGTTTCCGCTTTTACTGGTTGTCTCTTTTCCGCCTGGACAGTTGCTTCCAACGGGTGCGGCAGGGCATTCCGAGCTTTCATTTCGGAAAGCAACTTCCTGGCGCCCATAAACTTCGGTAAACCAGCATTGCCATCTCCAGATTCCGAGTGAGCGGCAGTGGCAGAGATAAGACTCCCCAGTACGAAAGCGGCGGTAATCTTCATTCTGAATTGACGATGTGATTGAAACTCAAAGCATTCGTTTATCTCGCGGAGGCAGTAATACAATATCTAAATACAGCACACGAGTGCACGTCAACGAGTATGTATAACCTTTGAGTGATTTTCAACCCAATAAACGAGAGTGGTGCAGGAAAGAATAAAAGCAGCAGATCAGTTGTATACTTATACAAAAAGTCTGACCGGAGCATGTGGGTACTGTTGATACTATAACGCAACGCATAAGAAAACAAAACAAAGAATTAGGTCCATGGGTAATGGATGCGGGGACGAAACCTAGCCAACCGCAACAACCGACAGCCTTGATCATCTTGGGACCAGGAGAAGCTGCATGACATGCAGCGATATCAGCTGTACTAACAGCAATATTGTAGGTAAGATATCGCCAGGGGGCGTTCTAACACGAGGGTTGGCATTTCGTTCGCCAGTCAGGGCTTTGAACCTGCTTCCAGCTGGGTCATCAGAGTGCTATGACGGAGGTTTACTGCGGGCCGACCATGCGCTATAGGTTACCTTGACGCATGTCCCGTACAGAGCGAGACAGCCATATGCGTGTCTCATAAACCGCGTGATATCGAGGGAGATCTTCCGCGAGGTTGCTGGGTCGGACAACTGTACCTCGTATCTCACATAGTGTGCGTCTGCGGTGGCAGGTCTTCGGGAATCTCTGCCGCTCCACCTTCAATGTAGGATGTAGGACCATATTCCTCCACGTAGAATGGTCTATTTTCGTGTGGCTTCAGTCGCGCTCGGCCTTCCCTGTTTTTAGGCCATCCTGCAGATGCGAAGAAGTTCTTCCAAGCGAAATAGCACACACCCGGCAAAAGCATGAAATCAACAAACCAGGATAGTTGATGGGCATTGAACGCCCCCATTAAAAGGTGGGTACGCTGAAGCTCGCTTTCGACGGTATATCCTATCGCATTAAACATCGTCAACATCGTGAAAGATGCACAGATGCAGCAGCGAGTCTATTCCAGATCTTCCCGGGCCGAGCCGATACGAAAGTCGTGTGGTTTGCCGAGGCTAAAAATAGAAGTCACTCGCCTCCCTCGCTTGAAACAAAGTCTCAGATAACATTCCAGGTTGGGTCGAGCTGCACGTCTTGGAAAGCAATTTGCTCTGGCAGGATGAGATTCAATTTAGTCGAAGTCCTTGTCGTGTCTGACCCGACGGTGACACCAAGGGACCGCACTCGCTATCGCCAAAGGCACCCGCTCCCATCGAGTCCCATGTGCCACTCGTGGTGCCCGTAACGGCGATAATGTCCGCTGCATATTCGTTATTTGTCGTCGTTCGGATGGTTAGGAGTGGCCGGCTGGTGGTATTAATATGAGTACCTACGGAGCACTAGATCCAACCGCCCCCAAATTGCGAAGGGTTATGGCTGAAGAAAGCCTCATCATCCCATTTATCAACGGTCGTTTCGGGAGTAACCAGAGGCGAATACTATGTCAGTTACAATAACAAATATGTGTGGTAACTAAATGAAATAGCAAGAGTTATTAAGCAAGCTATTCCGGAAGGATAGAAAGGTACGGAGAGAAGTGAAGTAAGTGCCTCACTATGGGCAACGAAAAGCGGCATACCACTCGTTCATACTCAGGCTTTATTAATGTACGGCACCTAAATGTCATAGATACATTAAAAGATCATTAGGAACAACTCCAAAAGTTTCAGAGATTAGTAGAGCAAGATTGGTAGTGCCGCTTGTTTTGTCCGCCACGAGATAATAGCCAGGATGATGCTGGCCAGTCCTTGATAACTTGTCAAAGCCACATTCCTCTCCTCATTGGGCATGTATTGGGTGGCAATACATCGTATTCCAATTTTCTTATGCCTACAAAAATGAAATTGGTGGCTGTAGTTGCGGTAACGCTGTCACCAAACAGCCTACAAAATAGAGGAATAACCCAAGTGGTGTTCCCCTCAAAAGCAAAATTCTAGACACTTTTATTGCCGTTGTTACAGCTGCACTTCTCGGAGGACAGCATGGGTACCGATTTGTGCCGTCCTTGCTGCAGGAACGAAACGCTACTCGTTTGGTGTGGTAGCCAATACCGTTTATTTGCTACGTGCAGTGCCGACGTCGTGCTCCTACGCTACATATTACCTTACACCACTCTTCTCCTTCTATTGAAAATATTGAATGTATTGCATGTAGATCTTCATGATGGCAATAATTTTCTGCCAGAGGTGGTTTTCAGAACTCCGATCCGGAATATAAGGACGTGCGCTATAGGTCGATATGTCGGAATCAAACCAAGTGTAGCGAATGGTACTACCGCTATTCCGAATATCTACAGCAAAAAGATCCAGTTATAATCAATCCTCATAGTTACCATCGGGAAGAGTTAGGACGACCTATCTCCGTATTCTGCTTCGCCCGCGATTATACTACTGGTGTTTCGACTGTGCCAAGCTACTTTAAGGTGCGGCTCTTTCCTATGGAATGGCCTTATCAATGTAGATGATGATGATGATGGTCAAAAGGCAATTTTAGATTGTGGGTGATGGTGATGGCGAGAACCACATTGTGAGACTGAATTACAAACAGAAAGGAAAGAAAGATGAACTATGAAGCTGAGTTGTTACTTAACTTTACCTACAACCCTGTCTAGCTCTCTATGATTACAGTACTTCGTATATGCACGAATTGTTTGCTTTTAAACCTCATTATCTTGCTTTTACTTTTCAAACCTTTCGCTCTACTGCAGCTATTAAAACACGTCACAGTAGCATATTTGTTGGTTCCTACATTGGGAATATGTATACATGGCGCTGGTTCCATGACAAGTTGTGTCTATATGTTGTTTCTATATGTTGTTTCTATATGTTGTTTCTATATGTTGTTTCTATATNTCTATATGTTGTTTCTATATGTTGTTTCTATATGTTGTTTCTATATGTTGTTTCTATATTTATCTTAATTAGGGGGCCTTATATAAGGTGTTGTTGTTAGAAGGAAAGGGATATCAAAATTCACAGGACAACCAAATATTGAATATCTCTAGCACCAAGTGAGTTGCAAATTATTCATGAGTATCGACCAAGAAAGCAAAAAGGATTCACCTATCCTTATAGGTATTATTTACCGCACTCCTTGCCATATCATTAACATTCCAGAAGGAAGTCGCTTTCGTACTTTGACTATCCACTGACAGCCCTCTAGGCTCTACCCTTACGCAGTGTTGGTAACAGTACGTATGGGTATGGGTGTGCGGTAGGCCATGACGCATAATTCAACAAGAGATGGCCGCTATATTGCTGTGTATAAGTGATCTCCCCTTCCCCATAGCTTTATCTCCCTTAGTTCCAGGAGCCAGAGAGGATGACATTCCAACTGCCGGGCTCTCACCTTAGGGTAAGGTTTAGTTTCACGCAGTCGATTCATCATACAACCAAGACAGCCAAGGTCGACTTTGGGGTTCTTTGGAGTTGGCTAACATAGCCAACATATAACCATAATATATAGGGTATCTAATAAATAAACAGAATAAGTACAATTCATCTCTCGTCCTCATCATCAGGTCGTCGTGAAAGATTTCTTTTCGTGATAGCGAAATATACCACACACTCAATGAGATCAAGGCCCCCAACCTAGAAACTCAATGCAAAAGCCAATCCACGCCTCTTGTCACCGTGTAGAAATGGGGAGAGAGGACGACCAGTCCATAGGATCACAGCAACAGCATAACTTTGCACACGCAGACAAGGAGCAAAGATTGCTAGCCGCCAACTCCTCGGTCTGGGCAAGCCAACGCTATTTCTCCATGCACGCCTCCTTCGCCGTTAGTTACCCACCACCCATAGTATCGCCAGTCGTGCTCGCCCTTGGAGTACTCGGTGAACTCGCCGGAAGCTCATCAGGGAAAGGCTTCCTCCCCACCAGCACCCTAACATTAAATCCCAGTCCCTTCGCCTTCTCATGATCCAGGGCCATAGCCTTCACGCCCGTGGCAATAATCCCACATATCCTTCTCACCTCCTCAGGATCCCATCCAAGGACCTCAGTCAGGGGCCGTAAACATAGGGCTTCCAAACCACAAAGCTGTGCTACGAGGAAGTGTTTCCCCGCCTGTCGCTCCCCCGGGTCATCCGACCAACTGCCCATTGGGATCATCGTGGTACTCGTCGAAATATCTACGAAGCCTAGCTCCGCCAAAAATTTTGGCTCCAGATGCGTATAGGACCGTGGACGGCCTCCTATTCGCGTTGCTTCTGCGATAGCTGCCAAAAATTTATCAATCTCCAGCTCCTTATCAAAATGCGTCATTAGCGTTTGATGATCATCAAAGTCAAAAACCTCGACCCATCCTCCCGGTTTGAGGTGTTGGTATGTCTCGGAGTATATATATCTCCAGTCCTTGAACGCACCCAGCATAGCGCGAAAATGTATCAAGTCAAATTCATCCTTCGGCCACGTCCAGCCTCCTTCCTCTTCAGCATCGTCGATCTCAAAGTATACGTTAAGCGGTACTGCACTTGGCTGTATTTTTGCGATATCGGTACCAATTACTTCGGCTTCGGGGTACTCGTCGCCCATGGCCATGGCCCAATCTCCTGTGCCGGTGCCAATGTCTAATATCTTCCGAGGGTTGGTAAGGGGGACCATGGTGAGTTTCTGGTCGAATAGGTGGAAGTAGACGGAGTGGAGCATTTGTGAGCGGACTTGCTCTTCTTCGTCGTTAGGCATGTAGTAATTTTTGCAGTAGCGGCGACCGTGGATGTTTATGTATACAATGTCAGAGTCGTAGAGCGATTGTGTCGAGTTCCTAAGGTTCGTTATTAACAATCTTCATAAGTTCTCTGAGATACGCCGGCAGGTAGCCACTTACATGGTATCATTGTCGCCCCGCGGGTGGCGAAAGACGGTCCTCGCAGCAGCGTATGGGCTATAAGCGTGCTCAGAGCTCCCATCATGCCATCCTTCACTGGTCTCTCTGTTCCTCATGGCGGCATCCTCGTGCCCCCCATCGTCGTGCTGGTCTACCGCCAGAGGTGGATTGGTAGACATATCTCGAGGGGCGGGATATTCTTTTTATCCCTGCTAAAATGTTTGTCCTCTAAAGCCGGTTCTATCATACAAATCTAGTCACTTTTACTCCCAAGAAGTTGGAATATAAAGCTCGTCTCAAAGTATCAAGGCTAGCCAAGAGAGCGTTTAGCATGCCACGACAGCACACGGAGAGGCGGATGGGGGATCTCTAGTAGCTAGCTGACCTGGCTAGAAGATCAGAGTGCAACCATGCAGGCGCCCTGCGGTCTGCGGGTCTGGTGGGAGCAGCATGAGGACGAAAATAAGAGGGCGTAAAGTAGCGGAAGGGGAGGGGGTACTTGGGGAAGGTGGAGCCAGGCGGTGGAAGAGGAACGCAATAAAAGAGTTAATAAGGAAGCTACTTTGTCCTACGTAATGGGATAGTTCACTACCTACGGAGTGAGATACGGTGGAATCGACGGCTACATCCTACTGGCACAACCGGGATGGCGGCGTTGCTAGCGGAATACTAGTGCCGCGCCAGATCCATGCTCCCGGGAAACGGGTACGGTGCAACTCGAGGTGCTCCGTACCTCCGTATGGAGTTGCAGTACGTATATACAGTACATGTAGGTACATGTATAGCACATGTATAGTACGTAGTACTTTGCAGGAAGCTGGAAGCTGGAAAGTCAAAGCGCTTGGGAACCCCAAGAAGCCAAGGATTCTTTGGCTTCTCTGACCGACTCCGTTCCTTTCATGGCCAGTAAACATTTGCAACCAGACAGCCGGAGCCAATCCCAAGTGCGGCCCGCCCCCGGACAACGCGGGGCCTGCGGGAACCTTCTTGGGTCGGGACTACTCCGTAATTGCTGGAATAATACTAATGATATGAGATGAGATGAGATGATATATCTTCAAATTAAAGGGAACCAACTCCACCTAATCCCACCTATCTCCACCGTCACAACAATCACAGCAGTCGTATCCTTCGTATCCCCACAAACAAAGGGGCGGGTAGCGGCGTCCACTCCACGATCACCTTTGGCAGCCCGGGCGAACTGGAGCACGCTTCCAAGCTTCCGGTTTGGTATGTATTATTGCTAACGCCCTAGAGTCCATATCCGTAAGAATAAGTACGACGTACAGTTACGGAGTGCCGCACTTTAAACGTCCTCGAGTTGAAAAGCCTGGGCCTAACATCAAGACCTTCGATTCTCCAACCAGAACCCTGGGTTCCCAGAGAGTTTTCTCCGAATCCCCGTCTCACCCAGCCTCCTCCGCCCTCCTGTGCAGCATCGAGTGTCGAATATCCAGCACCCAGCTCACCGGCATCTGGAACCGAGCGTCGGGAAGGGACGAATCCCCGTCTCCGAATTGGCGGTGCATCTCAGGTTTTCCTGCTCATCTATTCGCCGATCCGCCCAGGCGTACGGGTTGGAAGGATTCCCAGCATTCCGGCCGTGGTGCCCAGTTGCCGTGCAGTCTGCAAGCCCACATGCGGTCCATGACAAATTGGATCCAAAGCCGTGCACCCCTAAACAGATGAAAGAAAACCTTCAAGTCGAGCAGAAGCGCTCCAAACGGAAAACACAACCTGCATGTTGTTGCATAACGACCGAGCATTTCATCCTCTAGACTCGGCGCTCGCTGCAGTCGCAGTAACCTGCTGGTTTCAGCTTGCTCCTGGCTATTTTCTGCAGCTGCCGAAGCTTTGGTGCCCGTCTGTTCATCGAAGTCGTCTGATTTTGCTGCGCGCTGATTGAGTGTTTCCCTTAGCTTGTTTCGAGCCCACTGGTACACGTACCATGCTGCTCGGGATCGCCGGTCGGGAAGCCCAAGTTCCTGGAATGAGGCTTCAACGCATCTTGAGGATATTTTTCGAGGGTTTCCACAGATACATGGCAGTACAGCACTTCACAAGATCCCGACGGCCTGACCGTTAGCCTTGGGTTACAAGTTACAACAGCTGGTCAAGCATTGGCGTTTGCAGGCACAGCAGTAGTACGAGAAACTCCCTCATTCGGTGCTGTCGGGGAACTTCGTAATAGGCTCTTATCCGTTCGTTGTCTGATCCCAAATTCCCAATCCTCCTCCGACCCCTACATGCCGTGCCGGATGAACTGGGACCGACATGGTGGCGGTACTGGGAATAGATGTTCTAGAGCTCAGGTGGGCCAAGGCATCAACACCGTCCAACGTTCCAAGACCCTATAGGGCCTATACTTCGTAGGTGCATACCACAACCCCATTTTCCGGAAGAGAGTGACGCTGGCCGGCCATGCAGACCGGCCTCTAACGTCAAGGTGCGATGTTACGCTACTCGTATTGACGCAAGATATGGGGGTAGTGGGGCATGAAACGAATCCTAGAGAATCCATCCTCAGGACGCAGGAAAGGAGCAAGAAGGGACGGAAGGATTCATTCGAGGTTTGAAGTTCAAAATTATTTGCATGTGGGTTCCATCTGTGTCCACTGTCGGGCGTCCATCTGATCCCATCACAAGACGCCTGTGGGCCATATTATAACAGGTGTCAATATGGTACTGTATCAGCGTACTATTTTCCCAACGCGGTGTCTCCTACGGATTGCAGCCTCGTTCTTTAGATTAGAACCGAATGCACATCCTTCCCTATCCCCACGGTGTTGCATGTTTGATCCCAGAGGTTCTGGAGCTGGACCCTAGAGTAGCACTTGATCTCTGAATTGTTACCACCAGCGTCGGATGTCAAGTGCTTCACTGGCTAGATTTAAGTTCTATGTTGGTGCTGCGTCTAGTCATAAATTTCCCCTGTTTGGCCTGCAGGTTAGAAGAGCTACACTCCTGGTGGTTCTCTTCCGTTCCCGGAGGCGGCTGTAGTCGAGATGTTGGGAAAAGCCATTGCTAGACAACCTATCGTTAGTTATTCCCTCAACGCATTTCTGGGTTGGCTTGCCGCCAGGAAAAGCCAATTCTTTAGGTCAGATTAGTACTCTGGCCACAACTCAATATCTCCGGTGTTACCACACGCCCGCGGACAACTACTCATGCATGTGTTATTTTGCTTTTGGGTTGTCAGTGGGTTCAGCAGTTTCCGCCTTATACATTGGCAGCGCAAAGCCACGTTTGTAGTTCTTATCGGACAGAATGGACCTTTGCATAGGCGTAAGGGTCGATCATGACCTTTACTTGGCCTTAGTGCCAAGTCTTACATAGTTGTCACTATTGCCATCGGTCACCGTCATCACTGTTGGAGATCCGCTAGTAGGCGTACTGAACTTTGTTCGAGCCTTGTTCTTACTGAGCGCATTGCCAGAAATCCCTACCTGGGTGCACCATAGCGGTATGCAGAAGGTGGGTTGCATATTACTCTCTCAGCGAGCCGTCACGAATGGATACTCTATATACTACCAAGCAATTCAATAGGAATGAATGCAGTCAGGTCCCCCACAGCTGCAGACTAGAATTTCGAAGCCGACCGAGATCTCAAGATCCTATTCCAACTCGTACGATTAAACCGGTAGCTCTTGAACGACTAGTTTGACGTGCGATGGGTACTCTTGCACGCTACCAACAATGTGTTATAATATCGTCTTCGCACCTTCAGAATATTACTTCATGGATGTATGCAGGCAAGGCTACCGGCGGTCCCAGCGTTAGAATAATCCAGTGTCAGCCTTCGCCACGCACTCAGCTCACTACCGTAGTCTGGTGGGTATACTTTTCCATGCCAACTACCTCATCTCTCTACGACAACGCAGGCTATTGCGAGCTTGTGAGCTCAGTTAAGGAGATCTCGGCTCATGAGTTGAAATGGAGCATCCCTATCAGGCACCGGCAACATGAAGCAATCGGCCTACCCCTAGCGTTGTGTTATATCGGAGCTATTGGATATATCAGTGAAATCTAGGACGCGGGAATTGATCCAATAGCTCTAGCTCTAAGGAGATAATGTACTCTGTAGTCCGCTCCAAGAGCCTGTCCGTTATAGAGGGGCATGTTTCCGAGCTTTGGGATGCATGCTACACCCATAGCGAATTGGTTTTCACAGTTGGCTACTTCTTCACCACGGCCTAGCTATGGAATTTGTATATTCCAATGGCCGTAGCGTCTTTCGGTTGGGATGCAACACTGAGGATGGAAATCTCAACAGCTGGCGGGTTGTTTGAAACCTAGCATGGCACTTGTGGCTCAGGGGACAATCGGTCACAGCATCTCCAGTAATAGATGGTCCAGTTGTGCCCTATTTTTCTTTTCGATATGCTATATTTTCTAGGATGATTTCATGTTATAGGACATTTCTAGCTTATTAAAACATCATGATATCACACCACATAAGTAATACTGAACACCACAAATCAAGTATTGTATCAATAGTTAAACTAAGAGCTGCATCAACGGCGGAATCTACAGGCTGTTTGGTCCTGTTTGTTTGAGATGTACAAAATGATTGAATACTATGTGACTGGACGACAAGTTCACCATCATTAACGCGATGCACGTAGCCCTATATCCAATGCCAGAATCCGTGTTTAATATCATTTGGAATAGTCCCACATTATGGGAGTACGTGTAGATCCTAATAGGAAGTGACGTCTACGGAATGCCTAATTCGGTCGAGACCTTTAGATGAAGATTAATTGTACATTTTATTTGCGGGCTCTACAGACTCTCTTTGATCATACCTCACTACCAAGAAGTCTTTCTCGAACGAGCGGCATTTACTTAAGATCGCTTTTATTTGTTTTACCTCGTTTCGAGTCCATGTAAAGGTACCTTTGGAGTTTTATCAATTAGGCTACACCTGTAGTTGCGAACTGGCCTGTACAGGACAATCAGTGCCCCAAATTGCCTTCATAGACGACATAGCCAACCCATGCCCGAATTGATTGACGCTTCTCGGCTCTTGTGCCAGAGTCTAGAGGGAATCATCTAGGTGCGGAGGTTAGTCAATAGGACCGATCAACTGTACTTTTCTCAGGTCCTTACACTCAACCGAGATGAAGATAGCACGCCCAAATTAGTATCAAAAATAAGAAGGCACAGACTTACCTCCTACACGCTAATGATTTCTAAAAAAAATTCATTGTATTTCCTCCCTTTACGAATTGAGTTTCCTAACCGTTATTTTACTTTGCTCCCGAGAGAGAGCCATAGGATACCGATTAATAGACGAGGGATAACTTTGTTCTAGTGATTTTGTCTACCAAACCTTCCAAATATCTCGTTATTTGACGGCATGTTGAATCATTGATCCGCTAGGTCTGATCTCTATATCTCTACGGTATGTATTCCCTAGTTTGGGAGGCAGTTTTCTAAGCCCAAGGATACTTCGCATACGTTCTATTCGGTTGAGTAGTTCGAGGATACCTCTGACTATTTTTCCTATTTATCCCTTATGGAAGAAGTCTTTCAGTTTTTAGCTTAACGTGGCTTTGATTGTTTAGTTTTGATCCTTTTCAACCGGGGGCTAAAAATGCTCTCCTTCTCTGCTGTAAACCGACTGGCTTGCATATCGCCGTCCATTGGTGCCTTTTCATGTCCAAATATGAGCATTCTCTGGTACCCTGATTAAACTCTGCTCGATACAAGGCAATATATGTGGCCAGTTATCAAGCTAACAGCATGGAGGATATCGTTTGGACATCTCCGAAGGCCTTCCAATACCTTCCTGTTGCTAATAACAAAGATTTAGCAAAGTGAGACTATTAATTTGTTTGGATTGGTGTTGAACACCACATAAGGTAAAGTCATGGAATCGTAGGCCATCTCACCTAGTTTGAGTCAACGAGAATAAGCAAAGGTTGTAGAGGCAATCCGGTTGGCCGTATAGTCAAATATTCCAAGTATGATCTTTAGCAGCTCAATAATCTGTTTAACTCCTGCCTCTAATGCGGGGGAGTACAAAATACTTCAAGACAAACTTGATGAGGAGCATGGAAGTAGATATAGATCTAGAGTCGGCATCATGGTCCCGTACAAAAGAAGAACCTTGAAGTTCTGAAGGTCATTCGCACTTCGCCAAACCACCTCTTTCCACCCGCCTCTATTCCCCTTGGATACCAATCTCCTGCATGACCCTTCCCTATGGATAGAAGGCGGGCTGTAAACAGATAAGGCATGCAACGGCACTGTAATAATGGATTAAACGATATCTAGTTTATGTGATGTTTTGTCTAAGCACCCCTACGCCCTTGTTTGATGAGCTCTTTCGAAGCAAACATAGAGAAATGCTAAGATTGATAACAAGAGACAAGTAAATCCTAACTACATGGTATGAGAGGTGTTACTAACCTGTCTCCTAGCATGCTTTCAATAGATGAGATGTCGTATATGGTATATCATGTTTTAATGCATCCTGTTTAGATAAATAGCAAGACCTAGCCCGAATATGCCGCAACGCCCAATCCAGTCCCAATCTCCCATGCAAATGGCAGTATCTGAAGACATTAAACATACACACACACAAGTCGCAAAGCCCTGCAACGATTTTGAACATATCAGAAACAATGCCCCTATCGTCGACCTATTATTCTGGACCCTTGATGATTTTACCCTCCTTATTATCCCCCTCACACCGTTCTCTCTCAAGCTTCATCGGCATGATAATAGCCAGCTCGGGGCAGTACTCGAAGTTCTTCTTCCGGCGAGTAGGGTTCTTCCATACATCGTCGGCGAGCTGCTCGCCGCCTCCTCGGACATGGAACCCCATTGGCTTCTCGTGCCAGACATCCTCGACAGCGAATTGCTTCTCCTCCTCAGTACTGGAGACCTTTGCTCCGGGGAGAAGCACCATGCGCTTGCCGAACCATTCGTCTTCGGGCTCCGTGTCGTTGTATCGTGACTGGAAACCCAATACCCTTTTCACTGCAGAAAGCCTGCGAAGTGATAATCCGCCATTCCCTGAGAATCTGTCCTCGGCATTCCTACCAATTAGCAAGTCAGACCTCGAGTTCCAAACAGACGTTTTAAGACTTGAATTAGATAGGGGGCTTGGGAGGAAACTGACCTTGGGGCGCCAGCCCAATCGTAGTCTAACCAGTTATTCAGCGAATCGTCCGAATTCGCACATAAAATGCTATCCGCCTCGAACTTGAGGAGCCATTCCACGTCCGGCAGAAATTCGTCGTAGAATCGCTTGTCCGTCATGAGGCGGAAGACAGCCTCCTTGCTGTCCAACTTCCACGGCTTGGGGGCTATCACGATATCCAGTTTCCCATTCGCTTCGTGGTATTGAGTCGCAAAACTGCGAGACACGCTGACAGCACTCTTGTTCGTTCCGAGGAACATGAATCTCCAATCTGGAGGAACGACGGCCATCATATGGAGGAGCTGGGGGACGAGGTGAGGGAGTGGGCGGCCTTCGATAAACAGTGCCACCTTGGAGGCATTGAATTGTTTCTTCGGATCGTAATCCGGGTTCCAGTCGACCTTAACCGCTGGCAGATGCTCGAGTGCATCGTGATACTTCTCGGCCGCCAGATGCTTAACGGTGTCTTTGTAGTGAGGTATGATATGCGCGATGACCCAGCTGAGAGTGAACAACTCCGTTAGTCTCGCTGTTCGCGCCCTGCAGACAATCCAAGCGGACAAAAGACTTACACGAATACCAGCGACAGTCCCAATAGTATCCGCGTCCTGTTGATGACGAAGATTTTTTGAAGCAGCGAGCTGGATCCCCCGATGGCGGTCGTCATCGTGGCCCAACTGATCAAGGGCCGTTGCGACGGCTGACGCGCGGACAGTTGGTGGAGGGAGGAAACGAGGAGGGACAGGAATAGGAACAAAGGAAACTTAAACTCTCGAATGGGTGCCTGCTGCTCGGGGCGGTATAGTCATACTGTTGCGGATAAAGGGGTTCAATCCGGTTGTGGCTGAGGGCATCCAGCGGGCGGTGGTGATGGAGACCGCGAAGCAAATGGTCAATGATTGTAATGATACAAATTACGAGGTGCAGTCCGTATGTGGCATAATTAGCGCCAAAGGGGGGCCGTTTCTGGTGTTGGCAGCGGCGCATTACATTACATACATGCCTCCAGGAGTCTAGGAGTCCAGGCACTTCATTTGTGTTGACGGGGTTTCGCGGCGCAGTGTCCCAGAGCCAGGCGCAAGATGATCCTTCAAGGTTTTACCCACTTCGCCAGCGTTGGCAGCAATGGATACACCTCCATAATCCAAGCCAATAGGTATGTAACCTAAGGTCCATATAGACACCTAGACACTTTAAGGTATGCGGTTAGAGAGAAGGTCCATTATTGCCTCCGGACTCTATTATTGCGATGATGTCGCCTGTTAGTTTTTGACGCTGCGGTTCGATCCGTCGGTCTCTCCCTTTTGTGTGGGCATAACCTTCAAGTTGACGTGCATCGGTTGAAGATCTTGATCCAATATATACCCACAATTCCAACTCTTATTTTCTATAGAAGTGGGCCAATTCAAGGATGGTGATGCTTAATAGAAGGTATTGGTTTGTACTTTCTTGATAGACTCTGCATTTTCAGACTTTATCTCCTCGCTCGCTGATCTGGCTTCCTTTCGTGTCTGTATCCCCAATGCCACCCGTGACAACTCCCAGACGAATGGAAGAAGAAAAGGAACTTGTGTGAGAAGATATATTTATACATGTTATAACAAAATGAACGCCAGTTTCCCAGTTCGATGACAGCTTGACGTAACAGAACTTATATCCCAGCAAAATAACCGAAAACAGGTCCGCCCCTTGACGCCATGCCATGTATTCTCTATTGTACCCAACTCTAATAATATCCCAATATATCGCCGACCGAAAGAAAAGGTTCGTCAAGTATCCTTAAAGGGTTCCTTACTGCAAAGTTTGGACTCCGGGCACCACTCAGTCAATTTCTCCATCTGGTCATTATTCCACCTGTGCACCTCCTGTACACCCAGCGGATGTGGGTAATCAATCGACTCCACGCTGAACGTCCTCGCAACCCCTACGGTGGGTAGATTGATAGCACCTTCGGTCTCGGGATCAATCCCTTCCGCTTCTTGTTGCTCTTGGATCTCTTTAAATCTGTCATCCCACGGAATTAGCACACATCCTGGGTTTGGCGGGGTACATTGAGTGACAAACCTATTATAATACCACTGATCCTCGAATTTATCCCTGTGGTTCTTATGCCAACTCGACTCTTCCAAGACTCGCAGAATACTACTTCTCTTCCTCAAGCTCAACCCCCCATTATAAGCCTTCGGTTTGGCCGCCCCAATCAGCGCCCCCACGAAATCATACTGGAAGTAATCATCCACGCTTCGTGCCGCATTCGCACAGAGCATGCTGTCGCTCTGGAAAAAGAGAATGTGTTCAGCGGGCGCCAGACTCTCCCACAGCCATGTCCCCGTCATCAACTCGCTCATGGCCGCCGCATTTGGGAGAAATACGCTTTGTGGCAATGTTCGGATTTGGATGGCCCCGGTCTTTAAATATCCGCCAAGCGCAGAGGAGGTGGAAAATTGACCGATGCCCTCGACGGAGGTATATATCAGGATGGGCCAGCTGGGACCCAGCACGCTGCCAAAATGCAAAAGGAGGGGGACGAGGTTCGCGCGGAAGGTTGTCTCGACAATCACGGCTACTTTGTTGCCAATGGTCCCATTGAAGGGATCGCTAGTAAGGGCGTTGTTCACCGGTCTTGACTTCCAGTTCTTTTCGGGGGCCACTTTAATGACCGGTATTGACGGAGGCTTCGAAGGGTTTGAAGGTTGTTGGGTTAATGGAGATTGCTCGGAATATGAGGAAACGATTGAGTATTTGGGATGGGAGAGCTTGAAAACCCAAAGCACAACCAGAAGGGCAAAGGCCGCGAGGAGTATATGCCTCGACTTCCGGCGTCGCTCTTCGATGGAACTGCCCACTGTCATGGTCACCGCCATACCAGCGACGTACAGCTGATGGCGAAAGCCGCGCTCGACCGCGCTGGTGTTGATGTCCGCAAAACGTCAGGAATGCAGCTTTCACCCTGTAACCAACCCAACATATCCCCGCGATCTAAGAACCAAGGGAGGTAGCAAAACTCGACTACCCTAAAGGCTTTCTTCGTTCGAGGTTGTGATGCTCCAAAACGTCTGTTAACTTAACAGATTTGAGTTCGTTCTTGTTGTTGCTGGACGGGGCTGGCCAACGGTCAAAAGCCACCAAATCGATAGCCACGGAATGCTGCTGAGGGCCAGGGCGTAGATAAGAAATTGGGATAGGCCAGCGGGAAAAAGATCGCTCCCAACTAGGGAGAAATGTCTCGGACGATAACGAAGCCTTACCGCTCAGCTAGCCCAGCTGCGCCCTGGTCAATAAACTGCAAGGAAACCGAGAAAGAAACGGAAATGATGATTTGCGTCTGAATACGGGCATATTCAAGCAACCTACGAGTAGGTTGCTGCTTATGACCCTGACCTCCCTTGGGGTACGGAGACGTGCTAAGCTTATAGGATTATATTATAAAGTCCCCCTTATAACAACCTTATAGAAAGTAGTTTCGTATATTAAGCTGGTGGAACGCACCGCCACCGCCCACTTGTCCTGTTGAGTCTGTAACGGCCAGTTGTTCTGATCTCAACCCCGGTGCTAAATCCACCAACCAAGTAGTATCCTCCTTCCCAAAATCCTAAATCGAACCGAGTAACTCCACTTCTCGCTCTTCCTCCATGATACTGACCGAAAGTCGAAAGGCTGTCTTTAGGCTGCAGCTGCATGGGATCTTCCGCGCCGGTGGTTGTCCTGGGAGTTGTAGAGAGCTAGTCCTAACAGCTCCGTCCCGTTGTCCCTCCGCCTTCTCGTATTGGCCCCACCACATTCGCTCTCTTGCTCATAGGGTTGTAGGTTGTCGAAAGAGGGGTTCTTGTTCGAAAGGTGTTCGTCATTGGTTCATGAAATCTCTGTTTTGTATCGCAGCTATACCTGTAGGCTGTAGGAGTTGAGGTACGGCCTGAGCTTAGCTGTAACAGCAGGCAAGGCCTATAGCTAGCCACCTCAGCGACCCGTTCTCTGTTCAGCTCAGACGAATACTAATTGGAAGTATCGCCAGTTCGTAGCCAGCGCCCGGTACAGGCACAGAGATCCGTCTTCGCCGGCCGGACGAAAAGGAAAGAAAAGGACCTGGACGAAGGACTCTATTCGTACTGTACTTATCGCGCAAGCCCATGTTTGGACGATACGTAAAACGGGCTACGTCGAGACTCCCGCCACATAATATCACAGCCCTCCGTAACTGGAGACTGGGCAAAGTCCGACAGCAACCTCTCGGTGCATTTCATACACTACGTACTTATAAGATTTCGTCATGTACGACGTGTCTACTACCTAGGTACATAGTCGAGGTATGCCTATAGCAGTGATCATGTTCTTTATTACTCTGTAGACACCTTAACTACGAAGTAGGCACCCATTATTGTGGTATGTGTGCCCACTGCCCAAAGCCATCTCGGACAAAGCTTGTTTCTAGCCGCTGTTACTCAACATTCCCCTTTATTAGTAACAACCTATTCATGTGTTGGGGCGTAGTCGGGGTGTCCTAGCTAGGAAAGCCAAGGCATGCACTTATTACTTCGTTCAAGCGCCGGGACAGTAATTGGTAGCCCGCGCAATCCATTGCTGTTTGAGACTGGATCTGCCGGAGAACCGTCGACTATGGGATGGAATGGAATCCTTGATATACGGCGCGGTGCCTGGGCGTGTACGCCGTACTTACGTACAAGACACTGAATATAGAGATCGAAGGATCTTGTTTGATAAGTTCCTTTCATATACGCCGCACAAGTCCATAATTATTATTATTAGCCCCTACGGAGCAAGAATCTCCCCCACCAGCGCTCCTTCGTACCCACCGACCCATTTTCAACTCACTCGTAAGTATTGGAATGGTCGGCTGAAAAGCACGCAACAGCCAATCTTGCGGGCTCTAGTCCGATCGCCCAACCAGCTCCTGCCACCGGGCTGCTTCCCTGCGCCTGCTCCCACCCGGCGATCCCCAATCCGTTCCAACAGACCATTTACGGAGTGCTGCTTATGAGATTAATTTGGCTTCCTCGCACCCCTATGGGCCCTATCGTCCTCAACATTAACATGGCCAGGGCGAAGGGGCTGTAACTTGCAAGGGAGCACAGGGCGGCATCATTCTTTTCTCAGACAGCCCTGCCCTACGTAAATTCCTGTAGTATCGATAAATCGTGATTCTGCCTTTAAGGGGTGCAAGGTAAAAATATAAGCTTGTTTTACCCTGGTGCAGAATGCATCCCTCTGTGGGCCTGTCCTCGACTCCTGGGACGTACTCCGTAATGTAATAATATGTAATATGTAAAGTAGATGATGTGGGTTTATCTGATACTTCGCCGCGCGAACTGCAGCAATAGCCTGTGGCGTAGTCTAGATCGGCGTCACTAATTTCGACCTTGAAGGATTATTCACGTACGTCGTGCCCCCCTACGAAATGCCCATTCAACTTTGTACTTCGTGATTTGTAGTGAGTGGTGTTATATCTTGGGCAGTTTGGTGATTCGGTGTCATCAACATCCCACTTCTTGGGATTATAGATTACAGACTAGCACTGCACTGCACTGCACCGCACCCTGATGTCCATCAACAGCCGCTCTTCTCTAGGAGATTTCTTAAACAAGCATTTTCAAAAACGTAACCAACCATGGCACGCTATTTTTAGGCCCGGATCTACATTTACCATTTTACCTACTTCGTACTTGACTACTCCGAATCCGGCTGCGCGGACCTGGGCGGGTGCGGCGTAATACCGAGTACGAGACTTTTGTTGCTGGCTGGCTGCATCTGCATGGCAGAGACCGTTTCGTGTGCGAAAGTAATGCGTACGCGCAATACCTACCCGTATCTCACATCCAAACCTCCGCAGTGACACTGTGGCATGTCGGCTCTCTTTTCACCGCGGCACTAGAATATACCGCATCGTCTCGATACCTTGAGTTGAGGCATCTAGATCGACTGCTATCCAAAGCTGTTGGAGACCTCGATAGGTCATCGGCGCCAAGATGGTCTCAGCAGCGAGCGATATGACGCTCGACGATGCCTGGGAGCAAGTCAGGAGCGGTACAGCGGTAGGATGGACAAAGGCTTCATCAATAGCACAGTCAGGCTGGTCGAAGACAACGAAACGAGTGCGCATAGCGAGCGCTGTAGTATTATTCTGGTACAATAAATACTCCATGGTCGCTTTCAATTCCTCAGACTAACAATTCTTCCGCAACTTCCAGCATCCTATCCATCGCCCTCATCCCCCGCTCAATACCAGAAAACTCCCTCCCAGCAATCCCAAAATTCACCCTCGACTATGGCGGTCCCGCAGCGTCCCCCTACAATATCTCCAAAGTCGCCCTCCTCATCGAGAACCGCCCGAACCCCATCCTCGCTCCGCTCATGTTGCATTTCATGACTGTCGTGCCCCCCGACTGGCGCTTCCGCTTCATGGGCAGCATTGAGAGCGTCGCGCTCGTAAATTCCAGCCGCGCAGTGCGGGATCAAGTCGCGGCGGGGAAGCTTGATCTAACCTATATCCCGGCGAACATGACGACGGGAAGCCAGGAGGAAATCAGCCGTTTCTTGACAACGTTATGGCTCTACGAGACGGTTCTGCAGCCTGCGGAATGGCTGCTGGTTTTCCAGACAGATAGCGTCCTGTGTGCGAATAGCAGACAGTCGCTCAACAATTACCTGGAATACGACTGGGTTGGCGCGCCGTGGAATCCAGATGGCAGGTTTGGAGGCAATGGCGGGCTTAGTTTGCGGAGGGTTAGCAAAATTGTCGATGTGCTACGGAATCAAGAGCGGTTCCCCAACTCGGAACCCGAGGACGTCTGGCTTACGGATCGATTGGGACATCGACCGGGTGCCAAACTCGCAAACGGCACAGTTTCCTTGGTGTTCTCGGGGGAAATGTTCAGTGGGAAGGAAGTCCAGGTTGGGGGGAAGAAGGGTGGGAAGAAGGATCCTCTGAAGGCGGGGGAGCTGATCAAGGGCATCGACGACTGGAGAGAGGGGTTTTATGAGCCCATGGGTTATCATACTGGTGGCAGTGGCTCTACGCTACACTCTGGGATCTGGGGTACGCCTGAGATGCGCAAGCATATCTGGTCGTACTGCCCCGAAGTCAAGATGACGCTCAAGATGGACGCCGCCAAGTACGTCCCTGGCGATTGCGCCTCATCCTGGAAACGCTCCATGGACGTGATGGGCTTAGGTGAGGACACGCCGGAGACAGAAATCATCGACGGTGTCGAGTATCCGATATTACCAGGCGGCCTAGTGCCTTGGTAACACCCTCACCATTCCTCACGACAGACACAAACACACATCCCCCCAAAACAACCATGTAGGCGATATATAATCTTCTGGGATAAAGAAGGCGGGCAGGCGTTCCGGGATCAGATAAGCGTTATAAAGGGTTATTTTTCGTCATTCATGTACTGTACTACATAAAAGATATCTGCAGCATCTGACACTGTTTCTGCCCACTTTTTCGCAAGGCGTTGGAATGGATCGCTGAGACATGTCTAGATACATATGGGGCCGTTGAATATTCAACATGGGTGCCGAGGAAACAATAGCCTAGAATATATCAGAAATGGAATATTGAGTATAAATATGTGCAATATGAAGTGAGGGGTGCTATTTATATCTACAAAGTCTATATCAAAAGCCTTCTATTTAACGTTTCAATATAAGATTTCAATATAAGACCAGTGGCTATTTTTGTCATTGAGCTTCCTTGTTGAAACGACGCAAGGACCCGAACAAAGACAGAGAGCACGCAAGACCAATGATTCATTTATTCATGTTTCTGGAATTTAGAAATTTCAATGTTCTATCGCTTCTCTATCCTATCTTGGAAGTCTACAGATATCCCAACCGCTCTCTCGCCCAAACTCAAGGTATGTAATTTGCCCTTGCATGCAAACCCCCACGCGCTTCAGATGCAACACAATACACGCAGAACGAGGCTCAGAACGCCGATCACCGCTTTCCCATGAAATCAAAGGGATTTAAGTATGAGTACAAGAATGGAAGGAATGAAGATGTAGCGCATATAGCGCGATATGATCCAGGGGTTTGCTGAAACCTGGCCGCCCAGGATGGGGGGGTCGAAAAAGATAGGGATTATTATTTTCCTTGCTGGGCTTTGTGCTTCAGCATCACTACCGAGTATCTGTGAGGGAGTGCTGGGTCAGCGAGAGATCTTTCTTGGCTATGGAGGGGGCGGCGCGGCCGGGTTGCGTATGCCAGTTTCAAGATGGCTTCTCCGGGAGAGGTCAAGGGGTAAAATGGCAGAACAAAATTAAATAATGCTTACATGATTATTCCTCCTACGGCGATCAGGACGCCGATTATGGATTTATCCCCAACCGCGCGACCTGACGTGATCCAGCCAAGAGCCACAATGGAACACGTCTTTACGTGGCCGACGACCGTGCTAGATACAGGGCCGGTTTGTGCGATGATGAAGAATTGGGACATGTTGATTATGCAGGCAAAAAACCCGGACTAAATTTGGTAGTAAATGTTAGCTAGTGCGCATACCTATGTAGCATTGCATATACGAAGTTGCGGAGTTTGGGTTGGCTGCACGAGGGGCGGTTGAACTCACCATGAGAATCATCAACCATCTGTTGACAGGAACCTCGGTCCATGTTGGGAAGGTATCCACGAATGGAATGACATATAACAGCATGAAAGCTGCCAATGGGGCCTGGTTGAATAGAAGCTGCATGCTGTTCATTTGCAGTTTCTTGTGGTAGCTAGCAATCCAGACGGTGTAGAGGGAGCTTGCAAATATGCCGGTAAAGGCAAAAATGACGCCCAGCGTGCTGGTGGTCTTAATATTTGTATCTGCGCTGGGCAGCGAGTCATAATAGGAAACCATCCCCACTCCGAAGCAAGCAGGAACCAATGCGTAGATGGCATTTCTGGGCAGTGTCGATCTGTATAGAACGAAATTCATGAGCGCAACGGTCGGCGTAAGTAGGATACGCGCTACTTGGTAGAAAGTGACGGTGGAAAAGGCGAGGGACAAATTCGGCAGGATGACATTCAGCGCCATTGCAACAGCCAGAGGCATAATCTCCTTGATCGCTACTCTCCGCGGTGTGAACATGGCAAACCGAGGTCGAGAAAGTGTAAATAGCGTGAGCCATGTTACGAAGAAGTGGAAGGCCGCAAAGGTCAATTGGGCGAGTTTTAAGGAAGGGTCTGAGAAGATCGCTTTATTCGTGAAGACCTGGATGTAACCCATTAGCATATCTTGTCTTGCGGATTGAACGGCAGATCTCCTCTCTAACTCACAATTCCAATGGTAGCTAACGTGTTGACCACCATCCATATGACTGCTGACCTCGTCGAATTGTCCTTCTTGACCAGCACGGGCTTCTCGACATCCCCAGGTAGCAGTTCCGCCATTTCCACATCGTCGCCCGCTTCGTGCTCTTTGGCACGGGTTAAGCTGTCAAAGCTCCCGCCATGCTTCTCATTCACGTCTACATCGTCCGCCTCGGTGGTTGAGGACCCGATCGAGGGGTTGCGGACTGGCTGACGGTCTGCCATTATTTTTTGTTTCCCCGGTACCACCACGGTGGTTGTGACGGGAAAGTTTTGGTGGCACGGAAGGACAGGAGAGCACCGAGCGCACAGCGTATGCGAAGCGATATGCAGAATATCTAGAGGATGTAAAAGGCGACGAGGAAAACCAGCGACAGCGTGAGCCTCTTTTGGTGGAGATGGTGGTGGTGTTGTAGCGCCAAATGCTGGCTGCGCCAAAGAATGCTGAAGGGATATCGGTCCCTTGGAAATGGGTGGAGGGTACCAACTATGAACCACGAACTACGAACAACGAACAAGAATCTCAGATACATGGATGGTACAAGTACTTGGGTAGGTTTAGGGGGCTTTATTGGGTGGACGGCGCTGGCTGAGCCCATCCGTCGACTTCTATTGGTGCTCCCTTATCGAATCCTCTGTAATTACAGGTATGCACCTTGGGTTATCTTGGTAATAATTCGGATTGGGCGTACTATGCACTATACAGGACGAGCAGCAAGCGTAAAGTCAAAATGCCTAGGGGCACTGTACTCGTACAGTACCAAGCAGCGCGACTATCTACTAATCGGGCCTCCGAAGTGAGCGACGGTGTTCTTTGTCGTGGACTACTTCGTTCGTAGCAGCACGTAGGGCGTCGTCGGCCTCCGCTAGTTCCATCCTTGGTACGGGCGAACAGGCCTGTGTTTCACGACTACGTACTGTGCATGTACTGTGCTGGCGCTGTCACTTTATTTTTAACTTGGCTTATTAACTTAACTTAGGTATTATTATTCCATGCTCAGCCGCTGAGCCTGGTGGACGTACGTGGGGTTACCACTTTTTACGCGCCTCAAAGTTCACCCAGGCCAACGCCGTGCGAAGCGCTATTGATAATTAAGTTTGGCTTTGCCCGTTTCTATACGGGCAGTAGAATACCTGGTACCTACATAGGTATATTTACGGGATAGTGAGCCATCTTTGAGATTGTCTCAGCGTTGTCAATTCCTGAGCCGACCCTAGATGATCGGAATTATCTGTGGCACATAGCCATGTGGCGGCAGAGTACGAGGGGACGGAACTGTTGGCCACCACGCTTACTTCGTATTATCTTCGTGCTGACCCGGCCCCCTCGTGTTGTGGTTCGTAGCCTCGCAGGGCTTTTATTTTTCAACAAGTTAGAATCGTGTGAAGATCGCCAAGATCTGGTCCTCGTATCCAGCTCGACGGAGTACTGTAACGAGGATGCGAATATGAGTGTACTGTACTGTACATATTACCTACAGGTACCTACGGAGTGTAGACGATGGAATTGGAATCTCTCGTCCATTGTTACGAATTTGCGAGTAAGTCAAGTTGAGCACTGGAATAGCCTTCCTGGTTCCTGGTTCCTGGTTCGTGCTACGCGGTGCGTGGTTCCAAGATGCTATGCTAATAACATTGGCGCATTCCACCAAAGTCAAAACCCATATTTACGAGCCTCGCGAGTCGCAACGACACGCAATACAATATCTGGTGCGAAGTAAACAACCTGAGCAAATATTGCGATCAACAAAACATCCCCCCTTTTCTTATCCCCCCCCTATCTCGATTTCTCGCCCTGGAGCCCCTTACTGCCCCCAGCTCCTTAGTTGCCAATCTGCCAAGCGGCTTCGGGGGCAAATCCCCTAATTTACCGCGTTTGTTAATAAAAAATCCACCGCCATTCCCCTTGCAACGTGCAGACCGCCTTTGGGATCTCCTTACTTCTCCACCCCACCTTCTCCCAAGCATCTCAACTTCGTAATCCAATTTTCAAATTCCACCCCTCGACAGAAAGGGATTCGTTTTAAAGACATCTTCATAATTCGCACCGCAGCCACCATGGGAGACAATCCATCCAACGGCGCCTCTGGTAAGTCGCCATCTCCCCTCCCCCGTGCATCGTGTAGCGCGGTAGGGCTGGATAAGTTATTGACCGTGAACCGCGTTCTTCAGGGGCCACAAACGGCGCAAACAAGTTCTTCGAGGATTTCGGTGTCTGGAAAGATGCCCCCGTCCTTACCGGGAGCACAAAGTTCGAGCCCTTGCCAGATGTCAAGAATATTATGATCACTGGAGGTGCCGGCTTCATGTAAGTTTCCGAAATCCCCCCCCCCCTTCCCCCCGCCGTCAAGAGACGAGAACAGGGCCTTCTAACGTAACCCGCGCAGTGCCTGCTGGTTGGTGCGACATTTGACGTTAACCTACCCCAATGCCTACAATATCGTGTCTTTTGACAAGCTCGACTACTGTGCGTCGCTGAACAATACCCGCGTGCTCAACGACAAGCGGAATTTCACTTTTTACCATGGCGACATTACAAACCCTTCCGAAGTCATGGACTGCCTCGAGAGACATAATATTGATACCGTCTTCCACTTTGCTGCTCAATCCCATGTCGACTTGAGCTTCGGAAACTCTTATGCTTTCACCCACACCAACGTGTACGGCACACACGTTCTCCTCGAGAGTGCCAAGAAGGTGGGCATCAAGAAGTTCATCCACATCTCCACAGATGAGGTCTATGGAGAGGTGAGAGATGATGCCGACGACCTGTTGGAGACCAGCATTTTGGCCCCTACCAACCCATACGCTGCAAGCAAGGCCGCGGCAGAGATGCTTGTCCACTCATACCAAAAATCCTTCAAGCTTCCCGTGATCATTGTGCGCAGCAACAACGTCTACGGCCCTCATCAATACCCCGAGAGTAAGTCAAGAACACAAAGAGAGTAGAAAACAGGGTTTTAACGGATATTCTAGAAATCATTCCCAAGTTCAGCTTGCTGCTACACAGACGCCAGCCAGTCGTTCTCCACGGAGATGGTACCCCAACCAGAAGATACCTCTTCGCCGGAGATGCTGCGGATGCCTTCGATACCATTCTCCACAAGGGTCAAATGGACCAAATCTACAACGTCGGATCATACGATGAGATCTCCAACTTGACACTTTGCTCGAAGCTCCTCACTTACCTGGACATCCCCCACTCCACCCAAGAAGAGCTCCACAAATGGGTCAAGCACACAATTGACCGTCCCTTCAACGACCACCGTTACGCTGTCGACGGCACCAAGCTTAGACAATTAGGCTGGGATCAAAAGACGAGCTTCGAGCAGGGAATGTCAATCACAGTGGACTGGTACAAGCGGTTCGGCGAGAAATGGTGGGGCGATATCACCAAGGTCCTCACTCCCTTCCCAACCGTTACTGGCACAGATGTTGTTGCCGGCCACGAGACCGTAGAGGACATCGACGAGGCGATGGTCGTCGACTCTAATGACCAGATGACGCTTGGCAAGAAGCGGAAGATTGACGGAGCTGGTGCGCAGGCCGTGCAATCGGTGCAGGCCTAGGCAATTTAATTGGAAATGAAACAATTGACGTGGTGCATTTATTGGGCTGTTTTACGTGGTTTCTCCGTTAATAGACTACCTACCTACTAAAATTTCTAAGTTGGGTTGTTTTCTGCATGCAAAGATATTATGGTCAAGGTTCGTCAAAATTGAATATGAAATTCAAAACTAGTTATCCAAAATTCGCTATTGCCAATACGCTGTGATTTGAGGGTATTCCTATTTTATGGACAGGAGAACAGGTTGCTCTATTTGCGATCTGCATTCCGCGCTCAACTACTTCGTAACCTTGGTGATTGATAGAACAAGAGACTATGATCAACAAACTAACAGCAAGGGGTTTTCGCTACTGTTTCCCATCCCTTCTCGCTTGCTCTTTGAACAAAATTCCTTCGACTCTGTACAAGTCACTACCAAGGTACAAGACTACCTAGGTACTTACCCGCTTCAAGTCTAGATCAAGCTTTTAATTAGCTAAATCAAAGTACACCATCCTCCCCATATCGAAAATATTTACCTGGTATTTCGTGCTCGAGACATGCAGCACATAGCCCACCGTTCTCCAGAACCACTGCCATTCCATCATCAACGCCCTACCTCCAAGCCCCTATCCATCTCCATCCCGCCCATCCTAAGCCACCTCCATACATATCCATCTGGGTAATTCCCATACGGAAAACTCCGAAAACTGAAAATCCTGCCGACAACATGCATAAAAGCACATTGCATAGGGCTGACTGGAGGGGTTTCGTTCGTCAGGTGGTGGTATTGTTTAAGCGCCGATAACATGCAGGTCACATGGCTGAGTGAATCAACTGTTCGGGTTGGATTTAGAGCGGTATGTTTTGTTTCAGGAGCACGGGCTGTGTGAATGAATATGTGGAGTGGCTATGATTAAGCCTTAGGGCGCTGGGCTGAGGTTGGTGGGGATGGTAGCTTCGACTAGAATGGCTCCTGATAGTGTGTTAAAGTAGATAATTGGTCGCCCGAGGTAAATTTGGTTTGCTGGTACCTGTGGTGTACTTTGTTCAGCTTTGATTTCAACTTTCTGAAATAGTATAACTATAATTTCCCTTCTGCCAGCTGTGATAGAAAGTTAGGCACAAATCTCAATGTTGTCGTAGTTTTTATTCTTGTATAGTCGATTGATTTGTAGCAATAGTTATAGTTGGTTGTCCAGCATTTAAACCACCGATAAACCTTAACAGTACACATACTACTAATTTAAACCCACTAATTGATACATGGCCACTACACAAAACATCCCCCTCCAGACCACGGAGTTTTCCTCAAACCCAACATAAAGCTGAAAGGGCAGTGACAGGCACTGTTTATATGAATGGTTGGATGTGAAAGATTTCAGCCTCGTGCTATATCCCGAAACCATCCACCAGTATGGTGAGATGTTGACTTGGGTTTATTTTTAGCTCTAGCTTATAGAATCATGGCGTTTTGGGTGTCGACTGTGGCTGTGGCTGGGGAGCATGATCATTCTTTGGCGTGGGGTGTTGGGATATGATTCTTGTGATAGGATGTATCGTGGTTTGAAAGTTGAATACTAGTGGTTACAGACTGTAAGGCTCAATGACATCTGAAACCTGTAAGGCTGATTTTAGGGGTTTCCATAGCTGGAGTAGTTATAGCTAGGGATTGGAATCCAGCGACAGCGGTAGATAAGGTAAGGGACCTAACTGGTATAGGCTGTATAAGGCTAGTCACATGCTCTATGTCCATTCACTGCTACCTATTCTCCCTGTATAGATCAAAATAAGGGATTTTATGTTTAAGGAAGACAAAACGCGGCCACTTGGCTAGGTGGTTTAGGTCAAATTGTCTTCTGGAGAGGATTGATAGAGAAAAACCGACAAAACCGACAAGAGATGTAGGCATTCGACATCGGGCTGAGCTCTTTCTGCTTCTAGGATATACGAGAATATTTTTATTTCATTTTCCTACCTAAGTACCTTTGTAACAGACGTTAAGGATCTTTTTGTGTCGCTTATGGTGGGCTCGGTTGTAGTTGCGGTTGTGATATAGAAGCGGACAAAGTTATCTGCCTGTATATATATTTCGGTGGGATGGCTCCAAATCCGCAGAGGGCTAGAGATAATCTAGCTTCTAAGTATTATGAGCTATGAGGTGGTGAGCTTATTTGCAATGGTTGATAATCAATATACAAGTACAAGAACGCTCTTGGCGTGGCTGGTTGATAAATATAAAGATGGGGCATATTGTTTCTTTCCCTTGAGGCGTATCTTGAGTATTTATAAAGCTAACTATTGGTTCATGAATTAACAGAGAAGCTTAAATGCATACGGAACAAATACATTGCTTAGATCGGGAAGTCATAGTCGAAAGATCTCATCGAATAATCAATGTTGAGAAAATCATCTATGTCTTGTTCTGGAAAGTCCCGTGCCCAAGTTTCCTATTATTTGTTAGCTTTTTGGGGATGGGAGGCAAGTGCGGAGAATGGGAAAGAACAGTAAACTATAGGAAGCCTACTTACCCAGCCAAAATTATCGGGATCTGCTGGATCTTCTAGCTTGTTTATGCTTGTGGGAGACGGCGTCGGTATGGTAGAAGCCACATAAGTTGAGGCTTGTCCATCGACGGAGGCCATAAAACCGCTGCTGCTGGAAGGAGAACAAGGATGCTGTGGTAGATTAAAAGAACGTGGAGTCCCTGCTTCGTTTTAGTCAATGGCCTTGCAAGCTTTTATAGTCAAGTCCAAGTATGCTCACCAATTGCCGCTGTTCCACTCGTCCCAAATGTAGCCTCCAACTTTTTGCTATCCCTGACTTCTTTATTCCCGTCACTCCTTTCTATTTTACCCAGAACAATCCTCACAGCCTCGGCAGCTTTCCGTGCCTCTCTCGAAGAATGACTCGAAAAACGCCATATCCTATACGACTCCTGTAGAGCTTTCACAATGTTGGCTCTTTGCATGTTGTCAACATCCGCGTCACAAAGGCAGTCCGGGTTCGGCGGCCCATATACTAAGTCATAATCGAGATCAAGGCAAAGGAGCGTAGTCGCAAAGAGGAAATCGTTATTAACAACACTAGAGACTCTCCACCTGCACTCATACAACTGCCCACCGGGCTGCGTCTCTTCGTGCAAGCTAGATTGATGCTTTAGTATTTGCAAAGCCGCGTCAATGCATGATTTCCGCGAGTATTTATAGTGGCAGTTCGTGCGAGCGGAGAGTAGATAGCGGCGGTGGATCATGCAGCGTGAGGAGTGGAATATGGTGTCGAGATAGATGCGTTGCATTAATTTTTCCGGTTGGTCGGTAAGAGATTGCAGTATTGAACGGAGCTGTAGACATGGTGGAAGGGAATTGTGAGATGTGTGCACAAGTCTGTCTAGCTTGATAACTTCGGCGTAAGGTGGTAGAGTGGTAGATCCACTAAGATCTGTGGCCATGGTATAGCCCTTTAAAACCTTATTCTTTGCTATAACATAGAGCATCGGTGTAAAGTCCGTCGGGGGCCTCGAAGGGGGTAGCTCCAATATATCCTCGTTAAAATCGGTGTCGAGCAGGTTTCTTGGTTCCATGGTATCCGATTGACCTTCTCGGATCATGCGGGGCAATCCCACTTGGTGGGAGTTTGCTAGATCGACTTGCACGAGGACAGCCCATAATCTTCTCTGCATTTCTGCTTGGAAGGGGGAGATTCGTGGGTCATGAGAAGGATCACGATGATAGCCCATGCGCATGGCAATGCGGAGTATCATTCCCATGAGAATCCAGGGGCCGACCTGTGTATCTTTGCACTGAATATACTCGATTGTGAAATATAGAAGGAGGGTCTGAACAGTATATGGCACGGATTTGGTATACTTGCCTAGTACGAGGCATTGTGCGACTTTCTCTCGGTAAGTTTGTAATTGATATTCATGTTCTTGAGTTGATCGTAGGGCTGGATTGACAGTTGTTGATCCGCTTGCAGCGAATTTCTGGAAGTGGACCGCTAAGCACATCATGGCGAAGAGGAGTCCAAGCCACATCACAGGTGTTCCGGGCGGGTTGTCCCAAAAGTTCTCATACTGACGGATATTAGCTACGCCCATATTTGGATACGGGATAGGGGAGACATACTTCTTTGAGGAATGTAGGACCATGTGTAGCTACTATAATTAGGGTTAGCAGTTAAACCAGAATTTAAAGTCTATAAATTCCATTTACCAGGAGACAGTTCCATCTGATTAAAATATTTTGAGAGTAATCTGTCAACAATGGGCCTTGGAGGAATTGCCGAAAGAATATCAAATTTTGTGGCATGGTTATTGCAGCCGAACAGCAATAGGGGCCCTTCAATGTCAACGTCTATTGTCTCAGGGGTTGGGACGTGTGTCTGGGAGCTCTCAGATTCGAAATAGCATTTGATCTCCGAAATCTAATAGATTTGGCATTAGCGAATGCTACATGGGAAGCTTATTGTGAAATGTAAGCTAGCACGGTATGAGTTGCTTTGTGAAGTGGCCTTGTGTATTCGATACCACATTAGATGCGGCGAACAACCATGGAAAATCGACATGGTAACCCCTTGTCGTCTTCCAATAGGTATTCAAGCTTAGCAATATAATGGAAGAGATTATAAAATAAAGATACTTACACCATCAAGGATCGCAGTCCAGTGCCCACCTTCAACGTACTTCATTCCCGAGTCTTCCAAACTTATCTTTCCAAAACTATCCGAGAATTTGGACATGGAGTCTCCCTCAAAACCATCTGCCAAAGATACTTCTTCAACAGTAGCTGCAACAAAATCCTCCCTTGGCGGAGGTGTCTCGACAACAGAATTCTCGCGGGATTCCTCAGCCTGCTTTGCTGTATTCAGCGTTGCCATGAGCGACACAACCAGATTTTCAAGCTGATTAATTTTCTTCTGGATGCTGCCACTTGATGAAGCCTGAGGTGCTTGCTGCATCTCCGCTCTGCCGTGTGCCCCAGGATGAACGTAAGTGCACGAATTCGCTAGCCCGCGTCCTGAGCAGGATCTACAGGGTTGATTGCGGTCACATTTTAATCTGTTTATGAAATATTATTAGCGCCCGGTGCAAAATAGATAAAAGGGATGGTGACTTTTTAGCTCTACATAATGTACAGGAAAACTGAATCTTCTCTCGCCGTCGAGTGGGTTTGGCCGCGGGTTTTGGAGATGCTACCGAAGATTGGGGTGCATTGGACAGGGAGGGTGAGGTTGAGGAGTTGGACATGTTGACTGTGTGTATTCAAATAATGATATGTTGGATCGTCTGAAAATAAGATACTGCCCAAAAGATGCAATTCCGCGTAACACCAGCTGGCTTCACACCTTAGCATTAGCTAGCTCGAGCATAATAGCAGGCTCAAAACCAATTAGCATGATCGAGTGTACCGAGTATGGGCAGATACAGCTTCAGTCAATTAAACAGAGGTTAGAAAGTAAGCAGAGTTGAGGAAGAGTGTGCAAAGGAACATATTATACTTCGTATGATGTCGAGGAGCGGACTATGGAAAGCCACCCCTGTATGTCCGAATGTCCACCAATCAGAAGACCCCTTGACGAAACGAATTGGTGCTACTAAGGCGATTCTTCATAGACTGTCATTATCTATAAAGGTAGTTATATAGATATCGTTATTATCATGCCCTGAAGTATACCGAAAATGGAAATACTTCGGAAATACTAGAGATTGAATCTTGTGCGCTGTTTCTCCATATGCGCCTTCCACTGCCATTGCACGGCATCATCGCCTTCACTTCCTGCCCTACCGATCCCTTTGTCTACTCTTCTTAACTTTAAAGTAAACCTCGGTCCTAGCTCTTGTAACCCGGCTCGGATACCTTCAACTCCCTCCATGGCTTTCCCATCAGTCCCAACCACGCTTTTCTCTGTCTCTCGCTTATCCCGAAATACATATCGATGTCTTCGCACGAAGATATAATCACGCTGATTGTGCAAAGTAACAACCTGTCTACCCTGTAATTCTGGCTGCGGTGGGAAGAGTGTTAAGAACAATCTGGCTGTTAATAAACCGAGAGGTGTGCGAAAGTTGTTCAATATCAGTTCTGGGTAATGGTTCGTGGGGTTTCCATGTCCCGGCAGTTTCTTGCCTTCTACCCAGTTGGCGATGGAGAAATGGCAGGTTGGCCCCGAGGGAAGATGCACGATCGTGAGACCGACCGGCTTTTTAGCATCTTCCTTCAGAAGTACTACACAAGTATAGTTGCGGTTTGCTGCAAATTTAGAGATCTCGCGGAGAGAGTATTTGTGTCCGTAGCGATGGGCGGAGCGTGGGATGTAAGTGCTGTGTGGAAAGAGGGTACAGAGGAGTCCTGCTTCGTGGTGGAGTGTGGAATTGATAGAGGTTGTGAGGAGGACTTTGGGAACTGGAAGAGGCTCGTCGGAGAAGAGGGTAGGGAATTTGAGGGCGAGGGATGAGGGCGTAAGGTCGAGGTTGGTGCTAGTTGTAGAAGGCGCAAGAGAGGGTGCATTTGAAGCTGCTCGTTGCCTTTGTCGAGACGACTTTGAGTGCTCTATATCTCCGTCCACCTCCTCGTCTGTCCCGTTTTCTGAATCTGAATCCAACATGCTGTCTAGATCCTCCTCCTGGGATTCTTCGCCATCTTCTAAAGGCTCTTGCTCTGCAGCTTCCGCTTCCTCTATCCGTCGACGCTTCAGTTGTTCCACATCGACGCTGACATTGAGCCCGTCGCCATCCACCTCATCCCAGACACGTTTCTTGTCTATCGAATGCGGTTCATTTTTTGCTAATCGCGCCCTCCTCAGTTCTGGATCTTTATCCTCTTCCCGTTTCCGTTTGAAGCGCTCATCTCGTCGAAGGCTGTCGCGGGCCTTTTTTTGCTTGACATGCAGATCTTGCCTCTTGAACTTGTTGGCGGTTTTGAATGGCAATGCAGCCTTCGAAGAGACCGGCTTGATTCTTTTGGATCCCATTGCGTTTGGTTGGGGTGTATATCAGAATTGAAGTCTTAAATTTTTATTTCGTTCCCTTGTAAGAAAAGTTCCTGGAAGAAAGAAAAGCCGACCCCGCGGTCTGCCGCCCCACACAAGGCTCTAAATTGAACCAGAAAGAGTCATTCACATTTCTTCGAACAGCTATTCAGCCGACATTCTTTTCCAGCGCATACAATCACGATCAGGTCCTTAAGACCTCAATTGCACGAGAACTGAGTGGATGCGCTCCCTCTTCAAATATCCTTGGACCGTTACTTCTATTCAAAAGTCTATACCACGACTTGCAGCTCGAGGATTCTCTGCGACTGCGCAACACAACAGATATCAACCCCCCCAATTTCGAAAACCACCAGAGTCCACCATGGCGGCCACGGCCACGACCCTGAAGGGCCAGCCCCTTGACCGACCGGTCCTCGATTCCATGCTGCGGCGGCGCATGTTCTATACCCCTTCCTTCGAAATATATGGTGGCGTCGCTGGTCTGTACGACTACGGCCCTCCTGGTTGTGCCCTCTTGACAAACATTATTGACACATGGCGCAAGCACTTCATCCTTGAGGAGGATATGCTGGAGGTGGACTGCACGGCCTTAACTCCTGCCGAGGTTCTGAAAACTAGTGGACACGTGGAGAAGTTCGCCGACTGGATGTGTAAAGACCCTAAGAATGGCGATATCATAAGGGCAGATCATTTTGTGGAGGAGATTCTGGAAGCTCGACTAAAGGGCGATAAGGAAGCGAGAGGCGTGAAGGTCGAGGAGAAAGAAGAAGACCCTAAGAAGAAAAAGAAGAAGGCCAAGGCCACAGAAGCTGTCAAGCTGGACGATGCCGTGGTGCAGGAGTATGAGGAAGTGCTAGCAAAGGTAAGGTGATAATAGCATATGAAAGTAACAACGCGCTGATTTGGGCAGATTGATAATTACAACGGCGAAGAGTTGGGCCAACTTATCAAGAAGTACGAACTCAAGAACCCCGCAACTGGCGCCGAGCCCTCTCAACCTGTGGCATTCAACCTCATGTTCCAGACTGCTATTGGCCCTAGCAGCCATGCTCCTGGTTATCTACGTCCAGAAACTGCACAAGGCCAGTTCTTGAACTTCGCAAAGCTCCTAGAGTGGAACCAACAACAAATGCCATTTGCATCTGCATCAATTGGCAAATCCTTCAGGAATGAAATCTCGCCACGTGCTGGAATTATCCGTGTCCGAGAATTTCTGATGGCTGAGATCGAACACTACGTTGACCCTCAAGGTGGCAAGAAACACGACCGTTTCCACGAGGTTAAAGACGTGGAGCTTATTCTTTTGAACCGTCACACCCAATTGGCTGGCAAAACAAATGTCGAAAAGGTTTCTATCGGCAAGGCTGTTGCTGACGGCACTGTTGATAATGAGACTCTCGGCTACTTTCTAGCCCGTATACATCTTTTCCTAGAGAAGATTGGTATTGATCAATCTAAGATTAGATTCAGACAGCACATGGCAAATGAGGCTGCTCACTACGCGAAAGACTGCTGGGACGCCGAAATGCAAACCAGCTACGGTTGGATTGAATGCGTTGGGTGCGCCGACAGAAGTGCCTATGATCTTACAGTCCATGCTAAAAAGACTGGTGCTCCACTAATGGTCCGAGAGAGATTAGATAAGCCTATTAGTATTGAGGAGTGGCAGATCGACCTCGACAAAAAGAAGTTCGGCCCCCATTTCAAGAAAGACGGCAAGACAGTCGAAGCTGCTATTGAAGCACTACCCCAAGATAAGCGCGAGGCTTTGGCTCAGGATCTCCAGTCAGCTGGCAAGATTACCGTCGATGTTGAGGGCGTTGGTAACGGCACGGTAGAGATCAGCAAAGATCTTATTACCATTGAACGAAGAACCCGGGTTGAGAATACGCGGGAATACACGCCTAATGTCATCGAGCCATCGTTTGGCCTTGGCAGAATCTTATATGCCCTGCTTGAACATAGCTATTGGACTCGTGCCAGTGATGGCGGTGATGAAGCACGCTGTGTAAGTGATTTCATGCAGATTTCAAGGGCCTTGACGCTTTACTAATAGTCGCAGGTGCTTTCATTCCCTCCTACTATTGCCCCGACCAAAATCCTGCTTGTCCCACTCTCTTCCCACGAAAGCTTTAAGCCGCTCCTCAGGCACATGTCACTCAAGCTCCGCGGTCTGGGCATCTCTAGCCGGATTGATGACTCTTCCGCTTCAATTGGCAAACGATATAGCCGAAATGACGAGCTGGGCACACCCCTTGGTATTACTGTTGACTTCCAAAGTGTTAAGGACAAGACGTTCACTCTCCGCGACCGAGATTCTACCAAACAGGTCCGGGCGGATGAGGATAAGATCATTGCGGCTATCAAGTCGCTAACTGATGGAACGAAGGTCTGGGCCGATATTGAGAAGGAATTGCCGATCTTTGAGGGCCAGGAGACAGATGTTGCTGTTCGCTAAGTGGCTGAGTCTTCAGCCATTGATGCTGATATCCACGAAATGGCTGGATTTTCAGCGATGGTTGCGGTGATGTGGTTTTATATGCCCTGTGGCAAAAGTAAAGTAAAAGTATAAACAAATACAACGCTCTGTAGAAAATTATTATTGCTTCTTTCCTCGATTTGACTGGATAATTTAATTCAATTCAATCCAATTCGCAAACCTAGCAGATAAGCCCCACATGTAGTTTGTGAACAGTGCCTACTCGTATAGGCTATTAGCGGTATTAAGAAAATCGCATTAAAATAAATACTTGGCTTTACTATTACTATAAGTTAAAGCAGGATTATCAACTAGGTGTACTCATGCATCCTTTATTTTGTATGATACTTGTAATACTATGCTATCTGACTGACTTAGTTTGTCCCTTTCGCAGACCTGTGTTTGATTATAACATTGAGATATGTTTCCTTTCCACACTGTTTATTACTTTTACAGCTGCTCCCCAGATCCCAACGCCGGGAGTCCAAGATTCTTGCTACGTGAAAATGCCGCCCGGCTACCTCGTAAAATAGGGGCTGGCGCCCATGTAGGCGTTGGCGGTTGAGTTCTGAAACCCGCCGTCGACCACACCTGAAGCCCGGGCCGGCATCTGTGACAGTGCCAGAGCGCATACTCATATCCCCTTAGACTCCTGGAGGCCGAGCCGCCTGGCCGCGAGAGGGTCGTTCCCCACTATGAAGTCCTGCTGTCAGATAGCTGTGCCATGTCGGAATTGCCTGCTGCCCCTCTATCTCCTTTGCGCGCTTCAGGTTGAATCCCACCAGTCCGGGCCTCTGCATTCCCTATCCGCCTGCTTCCTGCATGGAATACTTGGTAGCTACTGTATGTCAGTTTCCCGGCGCCCCTGAGGTGGAGATGTCTCGGAAAACCCGTCGATCGTCGCTATGCCCATGGGCGCGCGTGGAGCAACGCTGGGTGTTTCTGGTGTTTCTAGCGTTTCCGGTCATTGTACGAGTATGTAGACTTGTAAAGGGAGTGCGAGCCTATCGCTGAGCGTGTAGGCCATGGTATTAGGTGCTATTCACTAGTGACTATTGGCTATTGACTGCTGAATGAATTGCTGATTTGTTCATTAATATTATTGTCCACCGTCTTCCTCCATCCTCCATCCCCCTCCGTACGACAACAAGGTCAAGCTCAAGGTCTGTCCCGCCGCCGCTAAGTACGCTAGCGCCGGCCGTAGGACACCGCCCAGGGACCACTACGGGAGACCGCTAATAGGCTCGAACCTCTAAAGTGACCTCGATCTCCCGCGAATTGTGCAGCAGTTGCAAGTACCCAAGTACCCAGGTACTCCACCGCCCGAGACCCGTCCTTCGTATCTCCACATCCTCCTCCACCACCAACTCTCCTCCACCTTCAACACCAACAAGTCCTCCAACCTCGACCTCAACCTGGACTCGACTCTACACCACCACCCACCACCCACCAGACCACCCCGTCTGGTCAACACATTCCATGCTGACAAGCTATTGAAGGGCTCCCGTTAACCTACTGCGCTGCGCTGCGAACCGCTCTGTGCGCCGCTCGACGTCCTGCGCTTCTCACCCGCGCCTGTCGTCCAGGCACGGTGAGGTGAACTGAGGATAGGGGCCCCCGTCGCAACAGAGCCAGCCTCACGAGCGACGACGGCATCGCACTACAGGATACCAGACCGGCGCATTGTCACCTTCTCTTAAATCTGTATGTATTCCGAATCCCCTCCTGGCGCATATTACATTATTGCCATGGCTGGAAGCTGACTGCAGCGCTGTTGGCAGCACGGCCAACGATTTCTTTCTTCTTACAAATACCCCGCAACGACTCTACGCCTGCCCTTTTACGAGATCATCCCACCGTCATTCTAGTCATTCCAGGCGTGATATTTCACATATTGCAAAAATGGCTGCACAGAATAGGTATGTTGTCACCTTCGCCGTCTGGAGAAAGTCACATTCCCCAGTTGGGCTTCGCACATGGTTGCGATCTGTTGGAACACCTGTGGACCCGAGAGGCCGAGTTGGACCAGACCAGTCAATCGCGCCCACATCGCCGAACCGACGTCGAATTTGCTCAATCGTGCCCTCGAGTCCATGGTCCCCAAAACAATCACAATTTCACCTTCCCAACCGTTGTTCGCCGCGAATCACAAGACAACTAAGGTAACTAACCTTGGCTTTCTATAGTTTCTACCAGGCGGACCAGTTCATGAACCCTGGTCCCGCACCACGACCTCCTACCGACCGCCCCCGACTTAATCTCACCCCATCCACCGCCAATCTCCCAGGCAACATGTCTCAGATGAGCATCAATTCTCCCATCACCCGGACCGCAACCTCTACATACACTGGTTCGACCGTATCTCTTCCCCTTGCGCGCCAGCAATCCAATATGGATGGACAAGGCGGGGTCGCTATAATCAAGGAGGGGTGGGCCACCGTAAAGGAGGGCAAGAATTTCATCAGTCCCTGGAAGCAGAAGTGGCTCATTTTGCGGAAGGAGGCACTCGATTTCCACAAGACTGATGGCGGCAAGTTGTCCTACCAGATAGTCCTGAAGGATGTGCTAGGCGTCTCTCGTGTGGAGGCCGCAGGCACTATTTTTGAGATCAAGCGGACCTTGACCGGATCCTCGACAAACCCCGGAGACGATGACGGTGTTTCCAAGACCCTTCAAATTAAGGTCAAAGGTGATGATGAGCTATACGAATGGATTGACTTTATCTACGCCCGATGCCCAGGCATGGGTGGTGTCAGCAACCCCACTAACTTCAGCCATTCTGTCCATGTTGGATTTGATCCCCAGACTGGAGAATTTGTAGGACTTCCTGCTGAGTGGTCCAAGCTGCTCAATTCCTCGGCAATCACCAAGGAGGATTATGAGCGTAACCCACAGGCCGTTTTCGAGGTTCTGGAGTTCTACTCAGATATCACCAAGCGGGCCCAAAACCCAAATACCTACCCGAGCCTCACTCCGACACCACCCGTTACTTCAAACCAAAACAAGCAGTTGGGCTATGCCTCAAGCGGCTCTAGTATCGCTCCTCCACGAGGCGTGCAGAACCAGCAACAGCGCAACAACAGCTATGGCAGCTCTCAGTCACCATCCCCCGCCCCCCGGCGACCAAGCCCCCCGGAAACTGCCCAACAGCAGCGCCAGATGCAACAAATGGCTTCGAACTATGTCGACCCCCAGACACGCGAAGACCAGCGTCAGAAGCAGCTCGAGGCTCAGCGGATGCAGCGTGAACGGGAAATCGAGGAGCAGAATAGGCGTGACATGGAGGCATACAATGCGTCCCTGCCAAAGACACGTACACCTATGGCTCAGCAGGAGGTAGGCGGAGGTGGATATGGTGGAGGAGGCTCTACGTCCGATCGATACAATCCTTCAAGAGCCGCGCCCCAGGCACCTCGTCAACCACAACAGGCGCAAGCACCCCAATCTCTCCGAACACAGCGACAGGCCCCATCCGCTCCTACTCCTACCGGTCAAACCCGCCCTCAGCTTGCAAACCAGCAGAGTTCTAGCTCGCGGGATCAGAATGGTGGTAGGGCTTCGCCTGCAAGACCCGACCAGAGCATGCAACGTCCCCAAGAACCCCGCTATCAGAACGGTCCCAGCAATGTACCACAATCTCCATACCGTCCTGCTAATAACCCAAACCAACCTCCTTCCCGCCTTCCTGCACCAGTCAACCAGGTCAAGCCGCTTAATGTTGCCAACAAGCAACAAGCAGCTACCAACGGCCAGCAAAATGATGGAGGAATCAAGGCAGCCGAAGCAGCGCTTACCTCCAAGCCATCAGCGAGTGAGCGCCAGAAGGATGTCCGCATGTCCACCATGTCTGAGAATGAAGTCATGGCCAAGCTTAAGGAGGCTGTTTCGAAGGACGACCCTAACATGTCTTACGCTAAGCAGAAGAAGATTGGACAAGGAGCTTCTGGTTCAGTCTATGTTGCCAAGGTCAAGGAGAATCCACTGTCGCCCATCGCTAGAGAAGTCATTCGCCAGCAGGGAAGCAAGGCCCAGGTTGCTATTAAGCAGATGGATTTGGCTCACCAACCAAGAAAGGAGCTAATCGTCAATGAAATCATGGTTATGAAGGACAGCAAACATCGCAACATTGTCAATTTCCTGGATGCTTTCTTGCGCAACAACTTTTCGGAGCTCTGGGTCGTCATGGAATACATGGAAGGTGGTGCTTTGACGGATGTCATTGATAACAACCCAACCATCACTGAGGACCAGATTTCCACTATTTGCCTTGAGGTGAGTCGCCGGAACGCCGGCAAATTTCCACTAACCATTAACTAACCGTTTGCTAGACTTGTCGTGGCCTTGAACATCTCCATCAACAGAGCATTATCCATCGTGATATCAAGAGTGACAACGTTCTTCTTGATGCTCGTGGTAATGTCAAGATCAGTATGTAGCATTTCACCCCCTCTAACTATCTTCCTACTAATCGCAAATGACAGCCGATTTTGGATTCTGTGCTAAACTTACTGAATCGAAATCCAAGCGTGCAACTATGGTTGGTACACCCTACTGGATGGCTCCCGAGGTTGTCAAACAGAAGGAGTATGGCCCGAAGGTTGATATTTGGTCCTTGGGCATTATGGCTATCGAGATGATCGAATCCGAGCCACCTTACCTTAATGAGGAGCCTTTGAAGGCACTTTATCTTATCGCAACCAACGGCACCCCCCGCCTGAAGAAGCCTGAGAAGCTGAGCAAGGAACTGAAGGCATTCTTGTCGGTGTGCCTTTGCGTTGATATCCGAAGCAGAGCCTCCGCAAACGAGCTTCTTCAACATGACTTCCTGAAGCATGGATGCAACCTTTCGAGCTTGGCAGACCTTCTTGCTTTCCGAAAGCACGCCAAGTAAACCAAATCGCCCTACTTCGTATACATACCAACGTTATACATAGGTGGTTTGGTGTCTAGGTTGTAGCAGACTCTTTCGTGGTTCGTTTCATTTCAATCATTGCGCGGACAAAATGCATTTTTCATGTCGGCGTAACACATATCATCGACATGGATTCCCGGCGTTCGGGCGGCCATCCTCGAATGGCCAGGATTCTACATTGCGGCAGCGACTTTTTAAGATCAACAGGATGATCAATTGCTTTTGCTTTTAAGAATGGCCTCACTCACATAAAGGTAGACGGGCAGATAGGTTTTGCTTCCCTTAGCATTTTCGGCTTCTTTTAATTCACCGGGGCAATACACCTGGGTTGCTCTCATGCTTGACGTTGGTGATGCTCTCCAGAATATGGGTTACGATGGAATATCATGAGAACACAACGGCGTCTGGTAGAAGTAAACGGAATAAAAGACCTTTGCATAATCTTTCCCCTGTGATATACATCTATACGTAGCTATTCTGCAAATAATGAATGCCTCTCTCGATTGTGTAAACGCGAATCCGCTATCTCCCTCCCCAGCCTTGTGTTGTAAAGGATTCAAGACAGTTTAGGTTAGCCTCGGAAACGCCGCTTGCAGCCCAGACCCCACCTCTGATTGGCCTGTTCATAGCTCTGACGGATCTGATGAGGTATCAAGGTACAGCAAGTATTTCTAGTCTTCCAACAACTAATTATTCCCTCCACTCTTGACACCTATACCTTTCGCCCATCCTCAAATTCTTTAGCGCTCACAGCGCGCAATTCTTCACAGCGCAAGCTCGTTGATGTTATAATCGTTATCGTGTCATCATCGTAGCGAAATGGCACCCTTAGTCCCCTCGGCGAAAGCCACGCTCTCCTATCCGCTGTGGGCATGCGATTTCGACCCTCTTGATTCCTCGCGACTGGTAGTCGGCGGCGGCGGAGGAGCCGGAAGAAGTGGTGTAGGGAATAAGATTGTGAGTGGCACCTTGGAATTTTCTAAAAGCCAGACCAGATGCTAACAAACGAAATGCGTAGACGCTCCTGGACACCTCAAAAGCGAGCGAACTTAAAGAAGTCGGCGAAATCGACCTTAGCAAGGATGAAGATAACGTTACGAGTCTTGCGGTCGGCCAGCGGAAAGGCGAAACCACTTTAGTCTACGCCGGCGCGAATTCGAGGCCAGAGGATATAAAGAAGGGGAGAAATAAGCATTTCCGTATCTTTGGGATTGAGGCCGCTACGTCGGGAACGTCTAAGATTACTGAGCTTTCGAGGTCGTCGCTATTTACCGGGACGGAGAAAGACTCGTATCAGAGACTTTTGCGACTGACGAAGCCATATCCAAATCAACCGCAGCTCGGAGCTATTGCAACTGGACTTACGAAGAAATCGGAGATTGTGTTGTTTGAAACTTCGGCGACACAGCCGATGAGATCGAGGGGTGCTGTGCAGAGCAATAAGGAGCCTGTGGATGCGGATTTAATACAGACCGGGGAAAACGAATATATGTTTGCATATTGCGATGAGCACGATGTGTTTGTCAAGAAGATAACTCCCGACAACGACGATGAGGAACCAAGAGAGGTCTATATCACTCCGGCATCCAGATCACACGAGAAAGTCACCATACCTTCGTTCCGAGCAATGAGGTGGTTAACAAAGGACTTCCTCCTTATGCTCACCAATATCCACGGCAATAGCGGGGCAGTTCTACAAATCCTACGACTACCTCCAAGCGGCAATGGCCACTGCAGGATCGCGCAATCACTTCGACTGCCATCAAGAATTACCAAGGGCACTGGGCTAGCGGTTGCAAACCTGACACCGCCATTATCACCAACTGCCGAGCAGGATTATACGCAATTCGTCATTGCAGTAGCAGGGCACGACATTTCCATCACGCTCTTCAAGGTCAACCTGCAAGTTGAGCGGAGCGTCGCTATGCCCACTAAAATCAGGGAGTTCCGCACCTTCAAAAACGTCCATCCCAACCAAACCACGGGGCTCTGCTTTTCAAACTTCGTCCCGCCCACGCACCCAGTTACAGCCAGTACGCCTCCCCAGTGCTTGAAATTAGCAAGCATAAGCGTAAGCAGCACGGTCGTTGTCCACACCCTTCCTCTTTTCCCTGTGCCGCTCTCGATCAAGCGTGGCCAATCCAGAACTCCCCGCTACGTGGTCGCTCTCCCGTCTGGCGCAACCGCTATGGCGATGAGCCTCGTGCTATGCACCTTGGGCATCTTGCTAGGAGCAGTCTTTATCCAAAGCCTCCTCGAGATCCGCGGCGCCGCCCCGAATTGGGTGCAGGCGAGGAGCTTCATTCCTCTCCGCGTCCAGGAAGTTATTGGGAGACCGTACGAGTTCCCAGGAGGGTACAAAAGTAGCATTGCTTCTACAAAAGATACCTACGCCTCAGGTTACAATCACCACATCGGCGTTCCGGCCGACGATGCCAGTGGCTCCGCCCTACGGCTCCCGGAAATATTCTCAAGCTTGAAATCCGAGAGCGATGGAACCGGTGTGTTTGTTGTGCACGAACACGCGGACGCTGAAGGCGGAATTAAAGCCAAGCTGCATGATGAGGAAGTCCATGGTCCGCATGGTGGGCAGCCATGGGAGGAGCTGAAGCATGAGCAGCGCCAGAAGTGGATCGAGAAGCTTAAACAGGCTGGGTATTGGGCGGAGGATATGGGAGAGACTATTTTGAAGGGTGTAGTTTTTGGAGAGTTGGGTGCTGCGGTGGGTCAAGCTGTTGCTGGGGGGTAGCTTTAAGATGCGTGGGATTGAAGGAATGGAGAGGGAGGGGTTTGGGATGACGCGGAGCTAGTTGCAAGAGCAAGTGAGGATATGGGGATTGCTTGTATATTATACATGTACCATGTGGGATGAATGATGTCGTGTAAAAGGTTCACTCCCTTCGGACTAATAGGAATTTCAAGATGCTAAAATGGGAAAATTATAAAGCTTTCAGAAGGCAGATGTGTGAATGGGCATTATGTTATAGATCAATCTCGGTTGTACTAATGGAACTTGTATATATTAGGGACTCAAGGGGGCACTTCCCCTTACCCATAAGCCTAGATTTGATTTTGCTTGCGGGTCCCGCCACCATCCGTCTGATCTTCTTGCAGGGAAACCTGCATGTTTTATTGCATCACCATTGCTGAATCCGAACTTGCACTTTTCGTTTATCCCTCCCATCACGGTATTCAAGCTCGTAGGCATGCTCCCTCCCGAATGGCCTAGCCTCCCTCCCAAAGCAAGTGCGGAAGGAGGTAAATTAGGAGTCGGGTGGCTACCTGCATGTCATATTACTTCCCACGGCCCGTACCCGTCTCAACGGTGTAACGGATTTTCATGTTGAGGCCCAATTTCAATTTCTTTCGAGGATGAAGTCCCATTTTCATTTTTATTATAAGGTACTCGAGTAGAGTCATGAGCCATGAGCCTCGAATACGGGTTCTAGTACGGGCTTTCGCCGCGTTATTAAACTACTATAACAGTAGCTAGGCTAGCTGGTGGTGATGAGCATGAGTGGTTTCCCCGTGTACCCATGGTTCACATGCTGGACATGACAAAGTGTGTATAGTCATGAGGACACGCTTTTGCTCTTTTCTAATGTCCTATTCGGATATGTAATGTACGAAGTACGTTGATTACCGGAAGACTAGTTTTCTGTCTAAATTACAGCTTTGCTTGAGATTTACCTGTGGCAGTATGGATCGAGTGGTGGCATTCATAGAATTGAGGTTAATAGCTGCAGCTGCTTTGTTTGCTTTGAGTGCAACGGCGCTTGATAATGGCTTGGCTAGAACGCCTCAAATGGGATGTCAGTTGCCGTTCCCTTCAGCCTGCCTGCTGTACTTAACAAAATATATAGGGAACAATTGGAATGCACTCGCTTGCAACGTTTCTGAAGACCTACTCCTACAAACAGCAAAATTGATCGTTAATTATGGCCTCAAGGACTTGGGTTATCAGTACGTCGTCCTGGATGACTGCTGGAGTGCTGGCCGCAATGCTAGCAACAACAACTCGCTGCTTGCCGATCTGAAGAAGTTCCCGCGCGGTATGGCTGCTGTTGCGGATGATATGCATGCATTAGGTCTAAAATATGGCATGTACTCCGATGCTGGCAGTAAATCTTGTGCTAGGTTTGCTGGGGGTCTTGGATATGAGACGGCCGATGCTAAGACCTTTGCCCACTGGCGGGTGGATTATCTGAAATGACAATTGCAATAATGAGGGGCTTTTTGGGAATCAAACAGTTAGCTCTGCTAGGTGAGTGATGCGCCGCTTTGTCAAAAAACCTCCCTGCCAACTTTTATACAGATACCGGGCCATGAGCGAAGCATTGAATGCTACCGGGCGTCCAATTCTATACTCCATCTGCAACTGGGGAGAGGACCAGCCGTGGGATTGGGCTGCGTCTATGGCAAACAGCTGGCGGATCTCAGGCGATATCTGGGATTCCTTCGATGGTGACAATGGGACATGTCCCTGGTACGCTGCTTTTCAATAACTATCCCTTACCTACCTAGGTACCTTGCGACTAATCATCCCTAGCGACGGCCCAAGTGCTTGGAACTGTACCAACACAGGAATCAACTGCTCGGTCACAAATATCATGAACAAAGCCTCTTTTATTACCGCAAAAGGACAGCCAGGGGGATGGAATGATCTGGATATGTTGGAAGTTGGTAATGGAAATATGACTGATTCCGAGTATGTCGCACATTTTAGCATATGTAAGTATCTCGTGCTCTGTCGTTCATCTTGCATCCGCATCCGTAGCTGATAGGGGATGTAGGGTCAGTGATAAAGAGCGCCCTTCTAATGGGAAATGATATCCGCAAAATAGCTCCGGCAGACCTGGCAATCCTCTCAAATCCAGCCGTCATTGCTGTAAATCAGGATCCGCTTGGAAGCAGCGCGTCGAGGCGTTGGATGCGCGATAATATCCAAATGTGGTCAGGACCTCTAAAATCAACAACTGGTAACCAGTATAATGACATAGTTGTCCTCCTCGTCAACGGCAACAAAGATTCAGCGTCATGAACGCCACTCTCGCAGATATTCTCGCAGACTATACTCCTAATGCACCGGAACTCAAGCTGGCTTGGGAAGTACGGGACTTATGGGCGAATCGAATGTCAAACGATATGGCTTCCGCTATTATTGCCGGGAATAACTCGACGGAGGGGAGGTACAATTCGACGGAAACGAGCTATGCCGATGGTTTGGCTCAGGGTAATCCACTTTTAGTAGGAAATGTGACAACAACCGTTCAACCTTCTGGTACGATCACGGCTACTGTGGGCCGACATGGTGCGGCGATGTTTAGGCTGAGGGCTCTTACTACAACAACATGTTAAAGAGAGATAGGGGTAGCCTGAGAATGCTGTTAGCTAAATATATAATACATATGAAAACTTATGGTAGGGCTCACTTATGTATGTGTATATACTAGGTATGGCAGGTAGGTAGTTAGGTATATATAAAGCCGTGGAAAGTTCGTTGCACCTTCCTAAGTAGCAAGAAATTGTGCTTTCTTTCCTCTTACCAACACTAAAAACTTAAATCTCAAACCACACACAATAGAAAGACTCGGAAAAAGTGTTCGAAAAGCCCAAAATCTTACTCGAGACTCTCAACGCGCCAATACCAATGCTCAGCGGCTCAGCTGCTGCCTTACGAGCGTTCCCTGATCGAACAAGGCAACCTCGTGGCAACTCAGCCTCACAGTAGCGCTATCCTTTCCTGTTAAAGTCTGTTCAGACGTCTTCCCCCAGTACGGAGTATGCTTTCCACCATTTCCTGATATCAAAACCCCTTTATTTACGAGCACCCAAAGTTAGTCTGCTCCATCTTGGCCCAACGCTCGCGCGTGTATCTTTATCCTGGCCCGGCCAAGGCTCGTGCCATTCACCATAGCCCGATTTGGTAATTTCCTTGTATTGGCTTTATGTCGTGTGCGGAGGCTTACCTACAGCAATCGCCGAGGTTCTGATGTACATGTACCGCACATGTACCTACCTATGTATGTCAGATAATCATAGCAAAAGTGGGATGGACGGTGGGGTTCAGGGGGCGAAGCAGCCTGCCTCCCTACGATTCTTCAACTAGCCTCTGTCAGAGTCTGTCTATCGGATTGTCTGCTCAACTGCTGATACCCGTCCTCGTATGTTTCCACCAGTGATGTGTCTTCTTGCATTAACTCATGCCTCCCGCGAGTTACTGTTTCATGATATGATCCTTTAGAGGTTAAAAGCAAACCCGGTCTATGGTCCTTGGCGCACCTTGGACCCGACAGTGTGGATGTCCCGCCGTGGTCGTCTGGAGGGTTTCTTCTTTGGAACTTTCTGTTTAATAACGTGGGATCACCGATCCCTCGTTTTAAAACCGCCGATGAGCTGAGCCGGGATAGCTCGTTGTTTCACAGGTGGCTCCTTGCATCATGACCTAGTAGCCACTGAAATACGAGCTACCGTACGTCTACCATAAGCACAGATTCCTTCCCGTTTCTTCGGCCTTTTGAAGCTTCAGTTGAAATATCCATTCTTACCGGCCTAAGAAACCGCAGTCTATTTTGCTATATTGTCCATAAATGCAGCTCCTGTCAGTTGTCGGCTCGGAATATGTTATCATTGGTCAACTCGGGTGCCTTATATGACCTCAAATCTAGCCAATATTGAGACCTCAAGTTGCAGCAGAAGACGAGGAACACCAGCTGGCTCAATTTACCGAACGAACCGGTCATCTTGATGTCACAAGGTATATGACCCCAGTAGATTTATATTTTCGCAGTTACCCGCCTCCGCCGCAGACTTACATCCGAAACGAGGGTGGATGTCAATTGTCTCTGATGACCGGAGTACACATAGTCTACGCCCATAAACCTACCGGCGATAAGTGTCAGAACCCATGTATGTAAACCAAGTAGTTCTTCGGTTTCTGCAAAAATGAAGTCGAACTTTTGTTTGTGACTTTTAATCTGGAATATCATGTCTAAACCTACCTTTGTGTGCATTCCAGGGCCATCTCATGCCTCTGTTGTGTATGAGCCACTTAAAGCGGCCCTATCACTCCATGGCTACACCACAAATGCCGTCAATCTCCCTTCAACCGGAGGAAACCCACCAACATACGATTTTACTGAAGATGTCGTTGCTATTCGGAACCTTATCTCACAGCTCGTCCAGTCAGGCTTAGATGTAATTGTTGTGATGCATACTTGGAGCGGTGTAGCTGGGAGTGAAGCAGTCCAAGGCCTAGGAAAGCTGGAAAGACAGCAGAGGGGGCTCAGAGGTGGAGTTATTAGATTAGTATTCATTATGGGCTGGATAGTCGGGGAGGGATTTCAGGGAGCGCCGAGAGGAGATGTTTCTGCCCTCTTTCCATATATGATTCCAGATGTTCAAGTCAGTGAAATCTTCTTCATTTTTGCTTTCTCTGCAATTACAGTTGTATGGCTACGGATACAGTTATCAGGGGTAGAAAAGCTCTAAATCGATGCTGTTAGGCTTCTAGAAACGATTCCTTACTAGCTCCCGCTTTACCCCTTTTGTTATCAACTTTAAGTCCCATCTAATGCGTCTCAAACTTCAATTCTAACAACCGCTCCGGATCAACAGGCCGGAATTTGTACCGTCAACCCCCAGCTAGCCATCCCCGCATTCTACAACGACCTAGCACTCCACCAAGCCCAATTCTGGGTCTCGCAACTACTACCGCAAAGTCTCGGCATCTTCTGGAGCAAGACCACCTATGCCGCCTGGCGTTATATTCCATCAACCTACGTTATATGCGGCCAAGATCAAAATGTCACGCCGGAGTACGCAGAGATTATGCTGCAGAATGCGAGGGATTCCACGCCGAACATGATTGATACGGTAGAGAGGTGCGAGGAGGCGGGGAATTCGGTATTTCTAAGTCGTATTTCGGTAAGGAACAAGAAACTCTCTTAAGACACTCTCTCTTCTCTTCCACAGTAGCTTTTACATCATTAAAGCATAGCCAATATCGTTAAAACTAACACCCATTTCTCTCTCTAGTGGACGGTCGACATGCTCCGGCGCGCAGCGGGAGAGCAGACATAGCGCTGTTATTATATATCCGCAGCATTATGTTTCAGCTGTCCTTTCCACAGCTTCTTCTACAGTTTCTTCCACGGCTTATTCCGCGGCTTATTCCAGACCCTCCAACCAAGTTAATAACAATGCTGTAACTGGTTACTTCAAGTGGCTTTTCATACAGGGGTTTAAAACAAGACCTAATTTCTCCTTAAGGCTCATGATTATATGTATTTCATTTTAGCCCTGGTTGGCGGAGTTTAGGTGACATATGTGTCTAGGTTTATTGTCTGTGCTTCGGTAGTTGTAGTTCCTATACAGGCTTATTCTTTAGATACGTGGATTACCAGCAAGGTACACTACTGCCTAGATGCCGAATGCACCAACTCGCCAACTCACAAGCCCCTAGGGGGGTCACATGCATTTCAATCCATGAGATTACATTATCAATTTCAGTAAGAAACAGCTAAAATAGCTAGAAAGACGCCAATATCATTAACACCGTATTTCCACTCATGGAAACATGCCGGCCCATATGGACTTATCCAGCAACTTCTGCAGAGAGCGATCTTCAAGAAACACTAGCGTACATGAGATAGATGATGGGTTTACTCATCATCTATCAATTTCTTCGCATCCCATGCCTTCTTCGCAGCCTTCTGCAATGCTTCGAGATCCCCACTCATTTCACACATGCCCTTAAAGGTAGCTTCAGGGCCTTCTTTCTTCAACAGCTCGTGTGGGTGTCCGTATTCGACGACTTGGCCCTTATCTAGCACGAGGACTTTGTCGTAGTCGACGATGGTTTGCAAGCGGTGAGCAATAGTGATGATGGTGCTCTTGAGCTCGCGGATGGTTTCCTGGATCTTGGAGTCGGTGTTGTAATCAATTGAGGCGGTTGCCTCATCCATCATGAGGACCTTGGGATTTTTGAGGAGGGCGCGCGCGAGACAGAGGAGTTGGCGCTGACCCTGGGAGAGGTTGTTGCCGGATTCGGCAACGGGCGAGGAGAGGTTGAGGAAGACGTTTTTATTTGTGCCGGGTGTGGATGTGCTTGTCGGTGTGTCTGGGGATTCCAGAAGATCTACTGTTGAGGCGCCCGCAGAGGTAGGGACGCCAATTAATTGGACTCTTCGTAAGGCGGTGAAGATGTCCTCGTCGGTGAAGAGATCGAAGGGGTCGAGGTTGGTTCGAATAGTACCCGTGAAAAGTGTTGGGTCTTGTGGGACAATCGTAATAGATCCCCGGAGGTCTTGAAGCCCAATTAGGCCAATGTCAACACCATCAATGAAGATTTTGCCCTCTTCTGCTTCAAGCCCTCGGAAGAGTGCGAGAGCAAGCGAACTCTTGCCAGCACCCGTCCTTCCTACAATTCCAACCTTCTCCAAGGGATTTATCTTGAAGCTGACATCTCGTAATACAGGATCGAGATCCGCCCTATATCTCGTAGTATAATTGACGAACTCCACTGAGCCTTCGCTTGGCCAGTTTGCAGCAGGTCTCGTCTTCTCAATAATAGGGGCTGCCTCCTGCTCTACCTCAAGGTATTCTTTAATACGTTCCACCGAATTCATATTCTGCTCATTCATGGAATAGAGACGGACGAGCCAGAGCACATTTTCCGTGAAACTGAGAGCATAACTTAAAGACAAACCAGCTGAACCAGCATCGATCTTTCCAATATTGAAGACAACAAAGGCGCCAGCAAAGAAAGCCACGAGGTCGCCGATAACGTCGATTCTGAACGCGAGCCATCGATTCGCTGCCCACAAATAAATATAGGGTCGGCTATAATTATTGATCCTGTGCATATTATCGCGAATGAATCGTTTTTCCTCTCCATAAGCTCGAATTGTGGTTATCCCGCTGAGGGTCTCTCCGAATTGTTGGAATAGCGGACTTCTTTGAACCGACTCGATCCGCTTGAGATCTCTGGATGATCTGAGGTAGAATCGCCCAACGAAGAAGTATACGAAACTAATGAGTATAGCGGCGACCAGAAAGCCAGGTGTGATGACAGTAATAAGTGCAACCGTCACAACGATGGAGAGAGCACAGGACATGACACCAATAGCTATAGGTGCCACTTCTTGATCAACAGCTTCTAGGTCTTTGCTGAAACGGTTCATAATTTGACCGAGTGGTGTTGCATCGAAGAACTTGAACTTTGCTCGCGTCACAGATTCCATCAAGCGCGTATGGATATGCCAGCTAGCCGTTAAGGAACCGAAGAATAGCCATAAATCTCTGAAAAGCGCTATAAACATGGAGAGAATACCGATGATAGCGTATATCGTGAGGTAGTAGGCAACATCAACGTCTGGAGCAAACTTTGCAAGGAGCGAAGTCTTAGTCGGGTTAAAGAAAGGCTGTAATTGAACGATCCGAGAGCTAGCCACTTGGACAGTTGAGATCGAGTTACCAAGGTAGCCTTGGGTGGATACGGTATGATACGTGCTGACTGATTCTGTGCTGTATTGGTTTGCCCATTCCCTGATCCAGACATTACCGGCCAGGATGCCGAAATTATGGATCCCAAAAACTGCAAGTGCAAGAACCCAAAACCACCTAAAAGAAGTCAGTATTTGTTTGTAAAAGTGATGTTAATAATGACATACCAAGGTCCCATGGCCTTCAAATAGAGCGCAATAACAGGTAGCTTAACACCGCCTTCAGCCTTTGTCTCTGACATGGCATCCTTCGTGACATCTTGTTGGGCAGACTTAGCTTTTTGTGCCTTCTTGCTTTTCGCACCAGGTGCAGTGCCCATATCATCGACAAGAGTTCCACCGCTTTCATCTCCAACACTGGATGGCACTCGTGATGGTATTTGCGAGGCAATGGCGGAGCCAGGCCGCGACTTGATGAAATCTTCGCCGAGCTTGCCAGAAGCAATAACCTCCTCAGCCGAGCCTTGGATTGCAATCTTCCCATCTTCTATATATACAACGTATCGGGACTGGGGCACACATAGAGCTAGGTTATGCGTCACCAATATGCAGGTTCGACCTTGCATGAGAGGTCCTCGGATGCACTTCTCAAAGATCCACTTTGCTGTATGTGAATCCACGGCACTGAGGCAGTCATCTAGAAGCACATGCATCGAGTTTGAGTATAGTGCTCTTGCAAGCGATATACGCTGCTTCTGACCACCGGAAAGAGTCACACCCTTCTCACCGACAAGTGTTTCATCGCCGGCATCCAGGACCTCTAGATCGTGCTGTAAGGCACATGCCACAATAACTTGACGGTACCTCGCCTCATCAAGTGGTGCGGCAAACAGGATATTATCTTTGATATTTGCATTTACAAGCCAGGCTTGCTGAGCGCAATAGGCAACAGTCTCGGTGAGGCCAGTCTCCGGGTCCGGTCGGACATCTTCACGACTGTACCCACCGCCTGGGAGGAAAACTTTCCCCTTGATGCATGTCATCTCGCCCAGGAGCGCCATCAAGAGAGATGTCTTGCCGGATCCCGTGGGGCCAGCGATGATATTCAAATCGCCAATGGCAAACTTAATATTTAAATTCGGGAGGCGGAATGCATCTGAAATTTGGTCTGCGGATGATTCTTTGCCACCCCAGGAGATAGTAGCGTCTTTGAAGCCGATCATTTTATCACCATCTTCATCTCTGCAATCGTGGCGGAGTTGATCGTATTTCTCAGTCTCTTCCTCATTTAAGAATTCTTCAACACGGTCCACCGACACCTTGGATTCTAGCACATGCGCAATCATGTCGCCAAGCTGATCTAGAGGAACCCGGAGAATTGTGAAGAGCGAAATGGCTGTGAATGCAATAGAAGGATACAGTGGCTTCTTCTCGATCATGGTGTAGCAGAGGAAAGAAAAGAATGTTATCACCACGGGAGCTGTGTTCCACACAGCAACCGCAAAGGCCCAGAGTATGTATTTTGACCGTAGGGATTTCAACTCGACGGCACGCTTGTCATTGACAATGTTGCTGAAGCGGTGCTCCCATGCAAAGAACTTAATGATTCGAATATTTTGGAGGACTTCGTTGGTCGTATGAATCCGCTTATCCGTCGCTGCCATAATCTTCTTTTGGAAAGCGCCAAAGCCTCGTGCAATGGCGATATTGATAGGCAGAAGAATAAACATAATCACCAGTCCAGGAATGCTGCTGAGACCAAGGATTCGGTAGAGGAGGTAGATGCACACTATCAACTGGGTTGGACCGGCCGCAAAAAGGAAGTGCAAATATGCCGTGATCTCGCTGACTTTGAAGGAGTCAACAGACATAAGATTGATAATTGTTCCCACGTTGACCTGCTCATCAGCGCCTCTTACTGCCGTGGGATCTTTGACTGTGGGGTCTGAATCTGGTTTACTGGTAGCTTTCTTCTTACCAAGACCCAATAGCTTCTTGAACATGCCATCCTTGGCAGCGTCTGCCTTATCTTTCTTGTCTCCTAGAAGTGTGTCGCTTCCAGCTGCGGCTTTCCGCCGTAGAGCCTTTGCGTAGATTTCGCCAACCATGATGGCTCGTAGTTTGACAGAGATCTTCCTGCCTATCCAGAGAGCCTGTTGGTCTGCCAACGAACGAAGAATATCTGTAAATGAAAGCATGATGACAAAGAGCCAGATAACATTTCGAGGCGCGCTCTCAGGATCCTCAATGTATTCCAGAATGGACTTCAGGAGAAGCGTCGGGGCGAAGGTAAAAATACCACCGACCACGGCGTACGAACATTGGACTACAAGTACTCCTCGGAAGTAGCGCATGAGATGCCATGTCAGCGCAGCCGTCTTTGACAATTGTCGATAATCTGCAATAACTGCTGCGGCTTTTTCTTTGGGTACAAGGTTCCACACATCTGGTAGCTCGAATGTTTTCCGGTATCCTTGCCAGACGATTGAATCAACCCACGAGAACGTAGCGATAGAAAACAAACTTGCGAGGGGCTCCCTGGAAGGCTCGATACCGTCTTCCCATTCCAATACAACGGTTTTATTACCCTTCCGAGTGCCGATGGCAATGGAAAAGACCAATGTGGTCAGAGCAAACTCGGACATGACCAAAGCTTGAGCAGCTCCTGATCGAGGATGGATGATGGCGGAGCGGAAGGAAATTATGGAGCAGAGCCAGAGGACCGTATAAAGCGCCGCGGTGTGATTCCATACCCTCGGGATCCTCCACCGGGTTCTAGACAGCAACAGCCTCGAACTTGCCAGTATCAAGATGTATACCCATGTAGCTATTCCTGCCACCGTTGCTGGAGTCCCCTTCGGACCGTATGCACGAATAACCAGGGCTACCACGTTGATGGAAACAATTGCAACTATTGCTAGAAGCTCCACAACTAGTATCGTGTATTGGCCTCGAGGGCTATCGACCGCCGCGACGGATCCTCTGGTGGTGGTTTTTGTCAATACCAATCGGCCCCCACCCATGGTCAATACATCATCCTCTTCCTCTTCCTCTTCCATCACCTCGTCTGGTGTCGGTGAGCCATTGGCATATCCAGGGACAGTCGGGCGGCCGTTCTCGGTTCCGGAGGGCCCGTTGGCCGCGCTCGATCCATTGGGAAGGGATTTGTAGCCCGCATTGCGTTTTAATTTGACATTTCGTAGGACTGCTTGTAATATAAGAAGTAGTGACGAAATGCCAATAGCTATTAGAGGGAAGAGAACTTTGAGATAACTGTTTCCGGGTCAGCCAAAACGACACACAGTTGCTTCTTTTTGCTGGGGCCAATGACATACTCTCTCTGGACGCAATTTGATATGTCATCGACACGCCATATCGGCGATCGACAGTGAGCGAACATCTTTCCAGGACCGAATCGACCAACTACCAGCTACTTGCACGTAGGTGATTGTTGTTGTAAAAGGAATCGAACCAGGGAGAGCGACACCGGCGTTGTGCCTTCGTTCGCCCTTGGGTTAAGGGCGAGCGAGTTCTCAACAGGAAGCGAACGAGAAATTGGCCTTATTCAACGCGCATTGGCAAAAGGCCTGCATTAAAATAGAAGCCGCTGGCTGCGTTGCTGGTGGGCAGTGAATTGGTATGGGAATAATAATAATAATGATAATCGCAGCTGTTGAAGTTGCAGTTGCAGTGAAATCATTTTATCATCTTCACAAATAGCAGATGCAAATGCAAGCGCAAAGTGCAGATGCAAATTCCGGTACGAGTCATACTAATAAAAACCCCACTTGTTCAATGTTGCAGCTGCTAGCATTTCTTAGCAAGCATTCAGTGGCGGGGCGTCGCGTGGACGGGGCACGCCTTTATTATTATTGGCATTTATTGCATAGCTCGTATACATAGCCGGGCGAGACAAGGCAAGCCAAGACAAGACAGCATAGCTGCTATAGGTAGCTACACAATAGCACCCAAGTGGAATTGCATTGTGCTTGTCTTGTTGTCAATTGCCAAAAGGTTAGTCCTATGTCGTACGGAAATCCCCATTACCACCACCGACACTCACTTCGCACAAAACATAGGTAAGGCAATCATTGAAGGGTCAAGTTGCATCATGCGGCTCCTACGCCGTAGAGTCATAGTTATTGACCTGCTTATTCCGTACTGGGGCAAATTGCTCTTTTACCGCTACTCGAGCATGCCAGGGGCATTGGACCCCGCGCTTTAGATAAGACGGTATGATAGTTTTCCATTGCCTTCCTGGTATGCTGTGGTTATATCCATAATAAATACCACAGTAATAAAGTGAATTAGTAGTAGCTTATTGCTCTCTTCTCTGCCACTTTACTCGGGTCCTGGTGGGGATTCTTATACATTCGTATACCTAGGCACATGTACATGCACATGTACATTGAATCTGTGATGTAGCGCCGGAGAGGTTTAATGTTTAACGGGGCTTAATAGCTCGGACCCTGTCAATAATGGGGTTTAGATCGGAGCTTTCTTCGGACTTCGTATGGCCAATAATCAATATATACGAAGAACCTAGTTTAGTATTTATAATGTTCCTTCACCAGTTTGCTTCCGTCCCACCTGACTTATTTATTAAGCAGCAAGACAAGTACGTGCTGTAGCTCGAGGCACCTTATCAAACGCCACAGAATATTCCCCAAGCCATCCACTTTGCACTGTCAACGGCCGACCCCGGCGGAAGCAGTGCGACGTCAGCGCAACTCCCCCCCCGTCGGGCGTGTAGCACAGCGTGGCACAGCCAATGCCTCAGAGCAAGCGGTCACTAAAGAGTAGTAACCACAGTCAGGAGCCCCGAGCAGCAGAAGAAGAACCAGAACAGGTGCAGTCCGCCACAAGACCAGACCAGAACAGAATTCAAAATGTAATTGAGAGACAGGGCGAGCTGTGATAACTGTTTGTAGTAGATGCAGTTGCCCGTCTAGTTGCCCGTCTGCAGCACCGGTTTCCAGAACACATATTACAATGCAATGCTCCCGTTTTCCCGTCGCACACCGCCATGATACCGCATTGTCAGAGCCGAATTGGCTGGATATTGGATAATAATACATCCCCTGGAGTCCAGCCTCGACTAGGCACAATGAAGGAGGCAATCAATGGTTCCCCAGCATTGGAATGTGTGGTTCACATGAAGCGCACGAAACGGACAGACACCAACCGAAGATTGTATGGGAGACTCCGATCTAGCATCCTCTTGATCCAGTCCGAAGGGTAGGTGGTGGAAGTGCTATCATGGGGACGAGCACAGGAGGAAGGAGAAATAAATTTGGAGATCATTTAATAGTAGCGGTCTGATGACTCGACGACCAACTAAAAAAGCGATCACCTCATTCGTATACCTGATCCGCACAAGAAGAGTACCTACACCGGGAACTCTTAAATTACCGTCGCATACTATGTTTACAATGCTTTCGATAGATAGATATACACAGAACATTCTACCTACTGTGATACCATAGATAGATTTGTCCACGAGCCCACGCCATGCATTTTTCAATTGTTCAATCCCATCATCTTCCTGTCTCCTCCTCCCCCGTCTTGCTGTGGTTTACACAAGGCCGCGAAAATCGCTTCAACCTTAGAAAGTCATCCATTCCACCACCACTTTTATGTAGCCTGAACCGAATGAAGCAATAAAAGATTCGTGACTTTCCACCCTATCCCATGATCATACCCTTCAATCCTGCGGCATCACCCTCCTTAGCGGCAATTTCGAAGTAGCCGTAGATGATACTAGTATCCAAGTTAGTAACCCGTGATTTTGAAGGCACAAGGAGATTCAACTTACGTGACAGCCATCAAGATACCAGTGCCGGAGCCGAGGGCCCCGAGCAAGTCGCTCGTAACAGAGAGAGCTCCAATGCAGGCGCCGCCAAAAGCAGCAGCAGTAGGAATGATACGCTTCAATTCCTTGTACATGCTCTGCTCTCTGTGGCCGGCCATGACGAGTCCCTGATCCTTGAGCTGCTTAGCAACATCGCGGGGGCTGGAACCAGAAACCTCAATCCAGGTCTTGGAGAAAACGGCACAGGCAACAAGCATGTAGATGATGTAGACAACGGTGTGGATGGGGTCGAGGAGGGCATCAGTGAAATTCAATGGCGGCGACATGTAGTATGCAAGGCCGGAGACAGCGAAAAGCTGAGCGGATCCCTCCTTTGGCTCCCAGACACCGAAGAGTTGGACAAGTAAGTTCTCGCCAAAGCGAGAATAGAGCATTTGGCTGATGAGGAAGACGTTGGTGGAAAGAGCTGATTGCAGCATGATAGGCATGTTCGAGGTATAGAACAGGCGGACTGGGTAAGATCCACGCGCGCCACGTTGACGGGATGACTTGACTGGGATCTCGACGCGGAAGCCCTGGAGGTAGATAACGGAGGCGAAAACGACGAGAGTTGCAATCAAGTTCATGATGTTGGGGAGATTTTGGCGATAGAACGCCTCTTGAAGCGCACGTTGCTTGTTTGGCCAGGTCAAGAGCAAGTGGAAAAGCGCAATAACTGCGCCCTCAAATTCGGGTCCACGGCCGGTGTTGATGGTGGTAGGGGAGAATGCCTTCCACATGATGGATTCGCAGATGTTTGTGGCAATGAAAAGGGAGATACCGCTTCCAAGACCATATCCCTTCTGGAGGAGCTCATCAAGGAGAATAACAACCAACCCAGCAACAACCAATTGGAGGATCAGAAGGAAGACGATACCGGCGCCAAGGTCGGATGGTTGACCATAGAGACCAGTGAACACGTAGACAGTACCCTGACCCATGGCCAAGATAATGGCAAAGAGCTTCTGCGCTGTTTGATACAGTTCGCGATCCGATTTCAAGTCAAGGTTAACGTCGATCAAGTGTGTGCCAGCAAGGAGCTGGAAGACCATCCCTGAGGAGATGATGGGGGTGATGCCCAATTCCATCAAAGTTCCTCTGTTACTCGCCAGCATCATCCGAAGCCAGTATAGCGGATCCGAAGTATCTGACGACACAATGCCATACAATGGCATTTGGCTCATGACCAAAAATATTAAAAGGGTTAAACCCGTCCACATCAACTTCTGGTTGAAGGGCACCTTCGTCTCCGGCTGCTGCACCTCAGGGAGGATCGGCGTGAAGGGCTTGATGAGATCGAGGAATCGAACTGCAGGAAGACGAGCGAAGCGTTAGCCATTGTGTCCTTTCTAGAGAGATCGTAGCCACAGCTGCGTGATGACGAGGGAGGTAATAGGAGTAGATTGCACTTACGGCCACTCATCTTGGCGGTTGGTCTCTGCAAACCTCACAGACGTGGAAAAGAAGATAAGAAGTTTAAGGAGCGACAATGGAATGACACGTCAACACTCTGCTCTTATAATGGCAGAAAATTACGCGCAGGCGTGGTGATGTGTTCGAAAGGAAATATCGAACAGATCTCCGAGCTGTGGTCGCTTGGGGAATTTGGGGCGGTCTCGGTAGTATCGAGTATGTGGCCTCAGCTAGGTTTCCACACGTGACCACGCATTAGAGTTGCCGGGGGGTTCCGGGGTAACCTCTCGCGAAACGGGCCCCCTGAATGCCGGGTAAAAGGGGGAGAATACGATGCACCAATTTGGCTTTGTGTATACAGAAGGTAGGCTACCTTACTTATACAACGGTATGTTCCGGCATCCCCCCACGTCATACATGTGCAATGTAGTATGGTAGGTAGTTCTAATATCATGTATTTCTCATGGATTCCAATTTCACTTAGCTACCAAGGTACTATAAGGTGGATTGTCCCCTAACACCTAGTGTATGTTATAGCTGTGAGTCTTACGGTTTGCTCATCGAGGACGGCACGCTAGTTGTAACATTTTTGAATTAAATATTATCGACGTTATTTAAGTGATATCTATAGCTGGTGAGATATCCAGCTTTTGAGAAGGCCCAGGATTCAAGGCGCGCTTCAGGCGCTTCTTCTCAAGGGCTCGATGGCGGCGGCTTGTGAGATGTTGGCGCCACTGATCCTCAATGACTACCGTGACATGGCACAGCTCACACTCTCGACGAAAGTCTGTATCTTGCACCTCCTTGGAAGGGCCATTTGGATCTAGGAGCTGCGCAGCCATGGTTGACACTTCATGTGGAGCAGGGAGTGCACGACCGTCCAAGAAACTAGCTGTGATATCAAGGGCAGGATGAGCCACATCCGCATCCCACTGCGCGATATTACTGCTATCAAGGAGATATAGTTTGTCGAGGGCATTCTCCTCCAAGAGCGCGGACCTCAACCTCAAACGTATCCAGCGGACTTGCTGCTTTGCATATTGTCGGGTTGCAGTTTTCGTCTGCTCTGTGGAGAGCTCATAGAGCTTTTCTAGCTCATCTGGGGAGGACGACCCATCCTTCAACGCTGAAAGATATTGTCGAAACTCTTTCCAGCCAATGGAAACCCAGATACCTCTGGTGAGGTCGACAGGCCGCCCCGAGTCCAATTGCTTGGTTAGGAAGCCGTCCATGGATTTTACTTCTTCCAACAGACCAGACTGTACCATCTTATCGACCCGGGTGTTTAGACGATCCGTTAGGATTTCGGAATCGGCGTGGACCCAAAATAGTAATATTGAACCATTCGCAAGGCTGGACTGTGCCGATTCCCCGTCTTCTGAGCCCGGGACCTTGGCCGCTACTCTGCGTTGTTTCTGTTCCGCGTAGATATCAGAAGCTTTTCTGCCAGTTGTAAGAAATATTTCGAGTGACCTCCGAATCTTTCGTCGCTCGTTCGGGTGCCATCTGGTAGCCATGACGGGATCCACCTCCCTTAGACGGTTAAGTATTTCTTCAGTCGGCCCTTCAAGAATTGGGAATGTCTCAGGAGACTCCCGCTCACCTAACTCAGCCTGCGTTTGGTCAACCCCATCTAACCCATCATTGACCAAGGAATCCTCAAAGAGGAGCGACTGGGTGTAGTAGTGTGTTCCTCCCACGACAATCGGCAACCGGCCTCTGGATCGGATCTCCTTGATAATTCCACTGGCTTTCTGTTTAAACATACCAACCCGCCATGGCTCTTCATCAAGCGCAACTGATCCCAACAAGTGGTGGGGAATGCTCTTTTGTTCTTCTACAGTAATCTTGTTGGTGACAATCGGAAGCCCGTCGTACATTTGCATTGCATCGCCATTGATAATTTCGCCATTAAATCGAGTCGCTAAATCGACTGCCAGCTTAGTTTAGTGAGCATATTAAGTTTAATAACTGGGAGTTTGGTATACCTGTGATTTCCCGCTACCAGTTGCTCCAAGAACCACAATCAGTGGATCCTTGGGTGGTATTCTGGCCATGAGCGCATTCTTCCATAGAGAGGCAAAATACCGTGTAGCAGCTCCCAGCATTTGCTCACTCCCAGGTGGTTGTGGAGCGTTTCCGGAGCATTTGTTGATCTCGTCACCTAGCTTCTTCTATCAAGCTGCCCAAGTTGGGCGAGATGGGTCGGAGTTAAACTTTTGAGCGGAACCGGATTAAATTTTCCCCGCCTGAGGGCTCGCGACAAGGGCTGCTTATTAACCACCGATAAGCGAAGAAAAAGATCGCACGACGAATACAATCGCATCAAATCCAACGAAACTCATCACGACAAGGCACATCTCCGAATTTCCTACGTCCGACCCTCTACACAACTTCCTCAACTCGATTAATCGCAGAAATGGAGGCCTCCAAAGTTCCCGTCAAGCTCGTGAAGGTGACCCGTGTCCTCGGCCGAACCGGTACGCAATTTTCCATAGCCTCTAGGCTTCTCCGTTCATCGATCGCAAACTAATATTCAAAAAAGGTTCCCGTGGAGGTGTTACGCAGGTGCGCGTCGAATTTATGGACGACCAGACTCGCTCCATCATTCGCAATGTCAAGGGCCCTGGTATGGTTTTTCCTTCTCTAATGAAGAGCGCAGCGGCTAACTTATCTAGTCCGCGAGGATGACATTTTGTGCCTGTTGGAATCCGAGCGAGAAGCACGACGTCTCAGATAAGATACAGGAGCTACAGGAAGGGAGAATGGGAGAAGGACACTGCCTTGTTATGGTCTGCTAGGGTGGAGATTGCCACATTGAATCCCAGTGAAGGAAATGGGAGCAACGAAGGCTGGAGTTTCGGTAGAACGACAGTATCAGGATTGTTTCATCTCGCAAATTCAACAAGAAGCTGTGCCCTCCCACCTGTTTCTCCTTTCTTTCAAAGTTTACGATGCCTCACTCACCTAGCCATTAAGCACTCGCACGCCTTTTCCCGCTCCTGGACTATTGAATGCACGATAAGTCCCTACATGACTTGAACCCTTCCGTGACAATGCATTGGATCTTGGATATTGGATACCAGCTGTGTTGATTTCGCCTTCGGCCTCATTTGCCTCTGTTCAGCTCACGCCGAGCAGTCGAAGTGTATCTTGAACTTTAGCAGTCACTTGCGCCTATTGCGATAGCATAGTTTCTCTTGTCCGTTTGAGAGGACTGTCTGCGCAATCGCTTTGAAATGTACTCAATTCAACTTCATTTTCGCAGTTCTCTAGTTATAAGGGACCATGCAATTCACTCACTCCGTCACTTTGCATCGCTCTAATTTGGTTCTTGATTTTGCCACCTTGTCAACTTCGCAGCTATCTAATTAGAGTCTTGCAATCCACTTCATTAGTTTTTGCAGCTATCTGATTAGAGTCCTTCCAGTCTAATTCACTGCGACTATTCAATTCCATCGTCTCGCTTATTCTGTTTGTGACCCATTCTTGCTCAACTTCCAAATCGCAGTCGCTCCTGTTTTTACACAGTCAAATTATTTCCCCCTGGCCAAGTCAATCTGAATTCGAATCAATCCTTCGAAGCCACCGTCTTCGGTGAGGGGCGAGCTGTACCGATACATCGAATACGCTGCCTTTTCCCGGCCTCTTTGCTGAATTACACATATACAATGACCGACGACCATTCTTTTGGTTCGCTTTTGCCTACCAAGCTCCATGGAGCTGGTAATTACACGGTCTGGGCCAGTCAGATGCAGAATTTCCTCGTGTGCAAGGGGCTTCGTGAGCTAGTTCAACCCAACGCTCCTTCTATCGACAAACCCGAATCCTTTAGTTCTTGGAATCCATACTCAACGAAAGAACCCAAGCCCAACGACCTTCGGCTTTACGAGGCCTGGGCTAAAGACGTGGCCGAGGCTAAACTTCTATTACAACACAACATTGATGCCAACTCCAACAAGCTAGTCGCAAGCTATTATACGGCTAGGGACGTCTGGGTGAAACTTGAATCAATGTACGGAGGATCTGGTTTTAACTTACAGTACCAATATGCCAACGAGATCTGTAACATCAGATACGAGAATTTCAACAATGTCGCCCAGTTTATCTCGAAATTCAAGGCTCTTATCGCTGACCTAGCCAGCCTAGGCCTATCGCCTCCATATATCTAGGGTCCTCCAAACGTCAATAATGAATACACTGCCAACTTGTGGTATGTTGTCACATTCATCTCAGCTGTTTCAAATGCCTTTCCCACCTGGGCAAAGCGTCAGGATGCAGCTTGTCGAAGAGCTTCCAACTTCCCCAAACTCAATGACGTTATGATCGATTTAACTGTCTTTTCGGCCAATTTAGATAGCTCTCTGCTTGCCGCCTATCATTTCCAACCTGGCTGTCACTACACCACTGGTGCCTATTGCCCTTGCAACCAATTCCACCTCGAATGCATTCGTCCACTACCACGATGAGCGGATTAATAGCACCGGCAGCTCTGACCACATAACCAATGACATTTCATGGTTCTCTTGCCAACCTCAATTCAAGGACCTTCCACCTATCATTACGGGAAGTGGTACTGTTACTACGTTAGCTGTCGGAACTGTGGTATTGCCTGTTTGGGTCTCTTGTTCTGAAGCCTCAACGATTACTCTCTGTAACGTCTATTTCGTACCAACGTTCCCAGTTAATGTACTTGCCTCCCTAAAAACATTGATTAAAGATCACAGGATTCTTCGGGACCGTATCGCCGATTCTAAGGGAAATACCCTCTGTCTCTGTAAGACTGATGAAAGAGGGTCTTTTGTTCGTGTTTCATCCCAGCCCTCGACAAATTGGTCTATCCCTCCTCCTTTCGCCTTTTGCTGCGGAAAGCTTTCTTCCAATTAGTCATTTTTCGATTCCCCGTCTCTCTACTTTGTTTAACCCTCGGCCGCCTTATTAACTGTCATCAGAGGGGAGATTATTTGTACGACTTCAATTCAATTCATTTTACCGCCACTCAGCCGTGTTCTGTTTCGACCAGTCAACTTATTCGACCAATCTCCGTCCTTAATTCGCCTTCTCCTGACACCTTCCGTGGCACTTCCAGATTATGAATACAATTCCACGGTCCTACTCAAACCGCACCTATTTTTATCGATTCATCAAGCTCCTAGGTCTCAGTGTCTTCAAGCCATAAAGATCAAATATTGGGCGAAGGAGCTGGAATGGGAGTACACTTTCCCCAAGAAACCTGAGACAGGATGCACAGTTAGAGTATCATCGATGTGGCAACCGATGAAAGTAAACATCTGCCCACGTGGAATCTCATTCTACAGGGAAATCCGAATGCTTGTGGGAGGCAGTGCAGGAAGGCTCAAGGCGACGAAGTAAGTACTTACTAAGACGAGAAAATCTTGAAGATGTTTTGGTAAGTCGAAATCAAATTGTTTTCTACGGAACGGCTTCCACAGAAGTATCAGATCAAGAACGTCGAGATAATAAAAAGTTGAGCACAGCCATTTTAGGCATATACTTTACCGCTCGTCCTTCTTCCTAGATTGATAGTCGTCCCTCCTAAAACTGTGACCTCATCTGACCATATGGCCCTTAGCTGCTCCACTATCCAGGATATAAATGTAATGGCCGAAAGCAGTCGTGTTATAGCCTGCCTGGCTGTAAGGCACAGCTTTTGACATGCCATAAAAATAAAATTGCCCGGATGTTTGAGTCGCTCTTGGGGGTTTCGGCAGAGTATTATAATCCTAGCTAATCGTGAATCCGTAATTCGATGACACAACAGCCAATTAGGAATGATATATGCTCGTAAAATCTTAGTTCCCTATCGTCGATAGCTAATGCTAATCATTTTGCGTAGAAATAAAGTAGGATAAGGGGAAAATTCACACATAGGTAGGCAGTAGTCAGAACATGATTCGACGAATTGAAATTGTTGTTCGCTGGAGAAAAACCAACAAATTCGCAGCTTTAATGGCTCTCTAAGGCCTAGTTCCACATACCTCTAGGTAGGCAGTCTGATTTTCCCCTAGTAATATACAGTCCGTTGCGCCATGTTCGTTCTACCTTTGTACATCTAACCTTCTGAATGCCCGCCATATGTAACAGTTCAAGACATAATATCTTCTAAAATCGTTTCTAGCTCTTCTTTTCGGAATGGAACTGAGAGCATCTCCGTTCCCAAGGCATCCTTTCGGCTCTGAATCATTTGATGGTCATGGAATCTGATAAAAGTTAGAAACATAAATTTCCGCGAAGACCAAGCGTCCAACTTACTCCTTCAGCAGAGTCCTAAAGTTCATCTCGTTGCTGCAAATGAATTCCTCAACAGCCTTTTGATATAGAACCTGATATTCGACGCCCGGGTCGGTCCTTTTCGAAGAACCTATTCGTTGCTCATTTTCATCATCATCATCGTCGTCAAACCCTCCGAGTCCGTCTGCGTGGCTATCATCCATTGCTGCCAATTGCTCTCCTATTAAGACCCTAAACAGGTTCTTGGCATTTTCAGGAAGACTCTTCAAGACAAAGCTTACACCCTCCTTCCCTCCAACCCTTCGCCCACTTCTTCCTAAAAGCTCATGGACTTCCTCCACCACATCCACTTCCGCGATATATGGTTGGAAGGTTGTGCAGTTGTGAAATACAAAATTGTAACTTGATCGGAGAGAACTATCCCAAAGGAGCGGGAATGATGGATGGTCCGCGGAAGTCACTAAATGGACCTGTGGGTGCGCACTGAGACGTGAAAGTATAACCTGTGAGGCGGGTCGACGAAGTGGCATTCTGTCAATTGAGTGAACAATAACTGTTACATCCTGAGTTTTATCCTCTTCGAGTAAAGCAATAATAGACTCAAGCATTTCAGCCGGTTGTGAGCCAAGTTTCTGATCGGGCCCTGATACAGCACTTGCAATCGTGTTCAAAACATCCCGAATGGTAAGAGTATGGACATAACCGTTAACAACGACAATTTTTGCCGACTTCTGATTTATTTGAGATTTGTAGATGTGATCAGCGAAGCGCATTAGGAGTGACCGTTTCGAACCCCACCCATAAACACATATATTGAAGTCCTGGCTCAGCTCAAACTGCCATTGATTGAATGATTTAGCGTGTAACTCTTGCAATGTGTTCAGGTCATTCACATGTGGATCTGTGAAACTTCGAACGAGGCTGAAATACTCCTCGTGGTCGAGGAGCGCTAGGGAAGACAGATTGTTATCTGAAGTGTTGGCGCGGCCTCCACGGTTCTGGAAAAAGTACTTCTCGTGAGGTGGAAGGTCATCAAGAGGTGGGGTTGGTGATCGTAACCTATTTTTGGATCCTTTTGGCCGTCCTCTTCCACGTTTTGAAGGAGTGAACGGAACGTCTACCACCTCATGGCCACCAGGGGTTGGTGTCTGTGACCGCACTCGAGTCTTCGAACCCTTTGGCCGCCCCCTTCCACGTTTTGAAGGAGTGAACGGAGCGTCTACCACTTCATCGCCATTAGGGGGCGGGGTTGGTGACCGTACTCGGGTTTTCGAACCTTTTGGCCGCCCCCTTCCGCGTTTTGAAGGAGTGAACTGGACATCTACCACCTCGTGGCCATTAAGGGGTGGTGTTGGTGACCGCACCCGATTTTTCGAACCTTTTGGCCGTCCCCTTCCACGTTTCGAAGGCGTCAATGGAGCGTCTACCGTCACCGATGTTTCTGCTTCGAAGGAGTCTCTGGTTAAATCATCTTCTTCCTCGGAGTTATATATATGCTGGGCGATATCCTCATCCTCGTTGTCGTTATCACTAATATTCCCTAGCACAGTCCTCTCTATGAGCATCCTAGTGCTTTTCCTTCGGGCGGATCGATCAGCATTTCTCTTCAGTGTCGGCGTGTCGTCCGTTTCAGTGACCACAGAGACCTTCACTGGCGTGTGGTTCGCCATTATGTTTATGTACCTAGGTACGAAGTATGCGTAGATGATATGGTGACGAAAGTCGCGACGCAATTTAAGGTTTAAGTGATACCGGGATTGACCCGAGGCCTAGCGGAACTCTCCCGCCGTAACTAGCCGTAAACTGCAAGCGCGTCCCCGAATTGCGGCTGCCGTATCGTTTAGTGACAAGGGTGGTGTACTCCAAGCCAAAGTAAACAAAACGCGAGAATCAACACCACGATTCAACAAGGTGAACTACCATTTGCAGCTATTTGAGGACAACCTCATATCCGCCAAACCACCAAACTCGACTCATCGATGGACAAATAATCTCATAAGAATTGCCGAAAGCCCTTGTCCGCAAAGATGCTAAATTGGTGGCTAGGCAAGGGTGCTGAAGGGAGCCATGGTCAAGGTACATGTGTACTGCTAAGGTAGTAATTTATTCACTTTACTGATTGACCCTTAGATGGAAACCCCGAGTTAGAGCCTCCAGAAACGCCCGCTCCTGTCTTCGCTGCGCGTGCGCTAAAGAGCGCAATATTCGGAACCCCAGCACCACCAGCTGACGATACCCTCTATGAAATTGACCAGCCGTCCGATACGATGGCTGAGGCCGCGGCGAAAAATAGACTCTCGATGAATCTCTCTCCCACCAAGCCCCAGGGTATCCTGTTGACACCGGGGACTGCAACAACGCGGAGAAAGACCGTTTCTTTTGGAAGCGAGGTCGTGGACACAACCGGTCTGCCTGCAGGGAGACTTAGAAGAAGTGGAAGGCTAGAAGAACCCACAGATACCTCGGGAAACGAGAGACAGTCAAATCGGAAGGCGTCGAGCAGAGCTTCGAGGAAACCCTCCTTCACTGCAAGGTTGGAGAATGCACGAGAAGGAGCCCTGGCAAAGACCGAACCAACCATTTCTCTGTTTGATGCAGAACCCCAGGAGAGTCTTAGTTCGAATATCGATGGTCTAGAACTACACGGGTCACGTTCAAAACCTGGTACCGCAAACCAGGTTCATAAGAGTAATTCCGACTTGCTGCAACAAGTCCTCATCCCAAATGACAAGCTCGACGGCGATGTAACGATGGACCTGAATGAACCACACTCTCAGTCTGGAAAGTACTGGAAATCACAATATCAGAGCTATCATGACGAAGCAAAGGTTGAGATGCAGAATCTTCTCAAATCCAAGCATCTTATTAGAAGTTACGCCAAGACGAAGGACGGGCAAGCTGTCGACTTAGCCGAAAAATTAAGAGAAGAACAGCTGAAAGTCATCAGCATGGAGAGTGAGATTTCGAAGCTTTCTGCGCGTCTAGCTAGAGCGGGCTTGGATGGAGCTGAGGATGAGGCCCCAGAGTTAATCAAAGAACTGGCTAGACAAACTGCTCAGGCGTTAAAATACAAAGCTCAGGTGGACAACCTCCGAATAACCCTCCGAGAAGTCAGAAGTAGTAAGATCTCGTCGAACGAAACTGCCAGCCAAAATCCTCTATCACTACGAAGCGAGCAAACCCATCTCGATATCCACCAAGAGCTCAAGGAGGCAAAGGAGCAGCTACGTGATATGGCCGCGATCCGCAACGAGATAGACAAAATGAGACAGACCTTATCTACTGCAGAGGCGAATAATCGGAATCTTCAGGAGGAGAATACGAGATTGACCGCCGACTTACGCCATGCAAACATGCGACTCGACAAGCAGAGCGAGAAGAGCGAGAAGCGTCGGCAGTCATTTGAGGAACAATTCCATGATAATGAAGAGGCTCTTAAAACTCTTCAAAAGAGCTACGACGAGTTAAAAGAGCAAGCGAAGTCACAACGTCGGGATGCTGGGAAACTCCTAAAGGAACGACATGACCAAGCTGTAGAATTTAAAAAAGAGATTGCCTCAATGCGAGGCGCAGAATCTACTATTCGCGATCTTCAGCAAGCCCTGTCACAGAAAACATCTGAACATGATGAGGTCGTGGCGGATCTTCAAAAGCAAATTGCAGAACTGAAGCGGAGCAGCAGACAAGAGCCTAGCTTGATAGACCCGGGATATAGCAGAAAGCAGCAGCCTGCAAAGCCAGTTGCATCTGAGGAGTCTTGCCAGTCTCGCCATAGTCTCATCCCGGTGACTATTCAGTCAAATTTTCGCCCTTCCAAGACCCGGACTGCTTCTCATTCTGAGACGCCAGTAGGATCCCCTCAACGTGCCCATCCCGCATTATCAGAGATAATCAACCACGCGACTGTCGATACCGTGCCCCCGAGAACATCCGGGCCAGTACATTACACACCACTGGCTAAACGATTCTCTGATATGACCTTGGAATCCCCGAAATTCGAGTTGCCTTCTTTGGAACGGTCACCCCCCCGAAACATAGGCCGGAAAATCCCCAAGATGGATCATCGTCTAAGCCCAAGACCGTCTATGTTCAATATTACGTCAAGCCCTCCAAAGATGGCGGGTAACGATCGAGGAGGGCGACGACCGATGAGCGTTCCCTCAGGCCGATTACCCAGCTTGGATGGCTCCAAGGCAAGGAATCCGCTTCCGCCGGAGAGAGCTGCCGCCGCAAGGGCCCGACTAGAGCAGAAGAACGCTGAAAAGAAGCGGCGCCGAGCACTGGAGACGGACAAGGAGAATATGCCATCTTAAGCACAACTGCCGTGGGGAAGGGGGGTTATTCAAGGAGTTCGGGTCTACGGGAGGGCTTGCTTCGATTCGAAAGACAACGCCTGTTTAGATTGGAGTTTGTACTATGATACCAGGCTTGGTTGCATTGTTGTTAGAGATTATAGCGCCGGAGTAGGTTGACTTTACGATCCGTATTGGATTTTGTGAGTATGGACTGCTATATTGTTAGATTAACAATACCATGACGCAATTATTTCCGTTCGCCTCTCAACCGAGATTCTTGGTGATTTGAATGACAGTGGCATTGAGAGAGGGTGAAAGGAATCCGTATTTGTTATATTGATAGTCAAATTCAGGAGTCATGCCAGACGCAGACTTTTATTTTTGTTTTTGCACTGACTGACTTGATTGCCCTTCCCTTCCCTGCGCTTTTGCCTTTGCCACGCCACGCCGGGCCCCCCGATTCCTTTTTCTTCGCCTATCACGTACGTATCGGTACTTATCTTATCGGCAAGGCCGTCATTATTCCGCCATTTATACTACGTACGGTACAGTGCTATGGTCAATCAATGCCAGACTCGCTGGACTCGGTGCACCTGGATGTCGCCGTCGACAAACAGCCTGAGACAGACCGCATGAACCTAAACCAGCCCGCCTAAGAAGCCAACCCTGCTGCCTCACGTCAACTGTCTAGAACTAGAACCGTGTCAGGCTTCGGCCTAGGCCCGCTGACAGTCCGTGGCCTGTACTTCGTAGTTAGGTCACGGCCTAACCGGCGCTGTCTGTCACCATCGCCATCGCCATCGCCTTTCGCTGCCGTCTCAACCTCCCTTCCTCCCACTCCCAAACACCAACATTCACACCACCTTTTCACCTTTGTCCCGCACAAAACTCTACGGGGAGAAACAACAAACACTCCTCTTCTATTCCTACTCCCGGTCAGGCTCAGTTCCCAGAACAGGTATCTGGAGACCGCCTTTTTCTTCTGGGCAGTCCCCTTGCCCGAGCAATAGTCGTCCGGAAACAAGATCGATCACCGTACATTAATTACTCGGACGTTCTAGCACACAGTCTCACCTGATACCAAACGCGACCCGATAAATCACCCCAAAGCAGGAAACATCAGGATGTCTGCCGCCGCGAAGCAACGCTTGATGAGCGAGTACAAAGCCCTCGAGAAGGAGAAGTGGATCAATATTGAGGTTTGTCATCTGTTATCATATGTTCTGGTAAACGCAACTAATACTCGAAACAGCTCAGCGATGGCTCTCTTTTCAGATGGACCATTGGTCTTATGGTCATTAATCCCGAAAGCGCCTTCAATGGTGGCTATTTCAAGGTAACTGCTGTCGACATCGCCCTTGCTAACCATCTGCTGACGGTCTGATCTTTAGGCCGAAATGACGTTCACCGATAAATACCCGTTCCTACCCCCAACTTTCAAGTTCCTTCGTCCGATCTACCACCCAAACATTTACCCTGATGGGAGAGTCTGCATCTCGATCCTACACGCACCCGGCGACGATGCACAGTCCGGCGAGCTAGCTAGTGAACGCTGGTCTCCTCTGCAGGGTGCTGAGTCGGTCTTGCGTTCTGTCCTCCTCCTCCTTGATGATCCAGAGATTGCTTCTCCGGCCAATGTAGATGCAGGAGTGATGTACCGAGACAACAGAGCACAGTACAATCAGAAAGCTAGCGAGACGGTTGCGGCGTCCAAGAAGGATATCCCCGATGGATTTGTCATGCCTACGACGCTCGAGTCTGCGCCCCCAGAGAAGATCCCCGACGATGACAACTTCTGGAATGAGAGTGATGCCGAGGATGACTTTGGTGCCAGTGATAGCTCTGGGGAGGACTTTGGGATGGACGAGGATGAAGAAGATGGAGAGGAGCAAGAGAGCGAGCAAGAGGAAGGCCAGGGCGAGGGAAAGGAGGAATAGAGGGGCGGGAGCTAGTGACTCGGGTCTCTGGCATTACCCTCCCGGCCATCAGTCTCTGGAAGATTCCGGGCATCATATTTTCATTTTACTGCATAGCATAGCATAGCGACAACCTCTTTCGGGGCTTGAGGGGTTGGCGTACGGATTCAGACAGGCATACAACATTTGTCCGCGGCGCATTTATCTCTACCATGGGCCTGCCTCTGATCAGGGTCTCGGATTTGGTGCACACGGCATAATCATACGTTGCTCTAGGTGTTTGTATGGGTTAGGAACGAAGGCAAAAAATAGATCGGATCTTCTTTCGCATGAGCTCCCACTTCACTGCTCACTTTTCATCATAGTGACACACGTAGGTACCAAAAGTAGATATATATTTCTGACAACTGACACTGTACTTATTGTATCGTAAACCATCATCATCATCTGCAGAGTACAGACCGCTCCGAGGCCGCCCACGGGAGGGAGCGCACGTGCCAGCCGGGGCCTTTGCAAGGATCTTCGATCGCCCGCTGCAAGCTTTCCTCCGTACCATTTGACAAGCTACAGTATACCCAGTACGTACCCTCTCTACCCAAGCTGGGTATTCTTCAAACAACTGTCTGCTGGGGGAATCTTTCTTATCTGCTGCGTCACTCCCTAGACAGGTCAGCTTCAATCCTCTGTTTAATGAACTCCGATACAGCGTTCGGGAACTCACTCAACATCGCCGCGCCCCGAGCTTCATCGGCGTCAAGGAGCTGACGAGCGCATGCGATATGGGAGCTTATCCACAGCCCTCAGAGGATGATATTGAGGCCTTCCGCGCACTGCTTCCAGACGTTCCTCGTGAGGAAGTGATAGCCAGGCTCAAAGTATTTCTTCTCTCGTCTGATGTGCAGGGCTGAGGCTAATCGATACAGAATAACAACTGCAATGTCGACCAAGCCGTAGGCGAATACTTCGATGATCTCGACAATCCCAATAGAAACAAGGTATGAGGGCGCATATTTGTACGCCATCTGATCGACAATGGCTAAGAAGATTGTTTAGTATCGTTGGGATGAGGGCCAATTTAGTGGCGAGAGAGATGGAAGTTCCGGGAACCATGGAATCTGTGAGTACTGTGTTTGCTGCTCTCCAGGGCTGCGCAAGTTGACATTGGTGAAAAGCGTTTGATATACAAGGCCCAGATATCAACGGCCCGTACAGCCAATTCGATACAGCTCCATCAAGACCACCATCTCGAACGAGCAACAACAAATCTCCCCTTGGTAAGATCATAGATATGACCGCTCAGGCTGCAGTTGGTTCGTATATGCCTCTGGTGACCGTTTCAAAGTGCTGACGCAACTCTGGTAGCTGATCCGAGCACTTCGAAGACGTATATGGAACACGGGGATCGCGACTTAGAGCAGGCACTTGCAGCGTCTCGAGCGGAAGCCGGGCTACCACCACAAGAAAGCGGGATCGCCGCCACGAACGAAGTTCATTTTGGCCCTGCCACCCGTACTCAATATGAGCAAGGCAAATGGGAGATGGTTCCTATTGGGAAATCGTCCGGAGGAATAATGTTAGACCCGGAACCTGCTGGACGGAAGCGTGACATCGATGCTCCCCCTTTCCTCAAGCCAAGCATTGAAAACCATCGTCTAGGCGCACTCTTCACTATTTACCACGAGATACCTATCATCCGCGAAGTCTTCCTTAATCGAATAGACGTCATCCCAAATTATGGCTTTGATAAAGAATGGTGGACAGGCAATATAATAGAACAGCCTGTCGTAATTGGAGATGAGGAGCCGCCCGAGCGTGAAGTGGTTCGGGAGATCCAACGTCTTATGGCATTCCTTGATAAGACAGACCGTGCTTATGGGTCTGTAGGAGCCTTGTCATCCCTCCGCGAAATCAACAAATCCCTACGATGGAGTTCTGAAATTGAGTCTGCTGTTCTGGATGCGTGGCGTAAAGCCTTGGAAGATAACCAGGCGGTCATCAACAAACTGTTCAGTAGAGGGGTGCCATGTGAGGCAGAAGAAGATCGGACTAAAGAGTTTGCTATTCTCGAGCTACTTTTGCCAGCCAAAGACTCATTACAAGAAACGCTCTATGATATCGCCGATGAAGCGTTGTGGCCGGCTCTTGGACCCCTCGATCTGGCCCAGAGCCCCTATCTTTCTCATATTGCCGACGTCATCGCCTTCAAGATAGATGGAGATGACTCGTCGAAAAGTATCGACATCCCTGCGATCTGGTATCCCGATCGGTATCTAAAATCAGCGAGGCAGGCGGCCCTAGACATGCGACTCCAAAAGCATGAGATTGAGGATAGTCTTCGGAGATTTTGTGCTCTGGAGGGTGATCTCACGAACTACCCCATGCGCGGAGGTAAGGTCGTCAAGGTGAAGGATTTATTCTTAGCATCTCTTAAACATGACGAGGCAGAGATACAGAATGACGATCGAACTCTGGAGCGCACCAATGCGGATGTGGATGAACTTGCTACAAAGCGTCCTAAGAAGTCGAGGAACCTTTCAGCTGAGCTTCGAAAGCTAGTTGCCAGCATAGATAAGAAATTATCAGGTATTTAGCTCTCCCTGTTTTAGATTGTGGCACAGGCTCATGAACTAACCGCCTGTAGCTCTGAATTCGGAGAAGGACAAGGCCCGTGAAGCCTTGAAGAACCTATCCAAGCTATACACGGAACCTTCAACGGACCCCGAAGCAGCAAAGCTTCATCCATACTCCCTTCGTGGTGTTAGCACCACCAAGAACACAATGTATGTCTGCAGGCGTGCCGAGCCAAACTTGATTGATATGGATCTGGATAACGATCGCATAACCTCTTACGGTGACCAATGGTGGAGAATACATTATGCAACAGTGGGGCACAACCCCGTTACAGTCGAGGTATGGTGATGATCATGTTGAGCATTGCTTGTTTGGATGCATGACTGACTATTCCGTAGCAAACGACTAAAGAAAAGGTTCTCCAAGCTGCCAAGAGCGAGAGCAAGAATACAGTGTTGGTCTATGCGAGCGAGAAAGCGATGGACTTCTCCAACAAGCCCTTGCCTAATTCATTGGAGGTTTGTTTGGTCCCACCCGTCTAAATGGCTGTGGCTAATATTATCTAGACATTCGTCCGCGCCGACAACCGGGCTTTCAAAGCCGAATTTGCGGAAACTGAAGATAGCCAAACTCAGTTGTCATCTCCGGGCAAACGGAAATTTGACGAGCAGTCTGAGGCTTCTCAGGACTCGGGAGCTGGCCGGTGGAATAGTGGTGGCGGAAGCCCAAAGGAGCGAGAAAGCAGCTCCAGTGTGCTAGAAAGGGAGTTAGGTGGTGCCGATGGCCCGCCCTTGGATGAAGCTCGTGTGGCTTCCCAAAGTTTTTCAACTCGTCTAACAGATGTGCCAGAGGGCAGCACTGAACTACATGGCGACGAAGTTATCGAGGGGGTTGACCCATCGTCGCCCAACAAGGGGCAATCTGCGGCACAGGAAATGCAAGAACGAGGCAATATGAGGCTCAGTCTAATGGCAGGAAGTAGACCTCATGCAAATGGCGGCAAGGCAAATACTATCGATAGCATGGACTTGGATGAGGTACTGGAGGACTCGCGCTCCATGGAAGAGAGCGCAGCTGTGAAACAAGTTGGATACTCCAAATGAGTACTGGAGCAGACTGCTTTGTTTTGTATCACTAAATGAACTGTCGGTAGTATATTAACCAAAGACACCGTTGATCTAATAATGTCCGGAGTTTGTGTGGCTTTGGATAAGGTACACTGCTCAACTCGGCCCTCCAGCCCTCCGAGCTAGTAGTGTTTAATGCAGATATTTCTTTTTCCACCTAGCGAGGCATGCTATATTACTTCTAGACATTTCTTGAATCATCGTGAAGATTGTACTCTAGCTTGTATGTTTATATGTTTGCATATTCGTATGATTTTTCGTGACGTGGAAGGTTCCAGAACCTTCGTTTGGGTACTAATAATAAAGTATCTGGCGACGCCCGACGTCAATGGGCCACCCCGCGACCGGTTGGGAGACAGATCGGACCCCGCGCAATGGACGTCACCGCCTCCAGCAAAACCGGGCAAGAGTGGCGTGTACAAGTAAAGCGTAAAGCGTAACCTGAGCCTGAGCCTGAACCTGAATAGCAAGCAGCACTCTTTAAGATCCCAAAATCAAAGAATAACAATCAAGCTTCTTAAGAAGCTCAATTTCTTCAGTTAAGTTCCTTCATTGGTCAATTGGCACCATACTGCACGCACAACACAAAGCGCCCATTGTTCGCTCGAGGATCAGACATCCAGACAAAAGCCGAACAAATAACCAAATCACACGATCAGCTGTTCAGCACCCGCCCTGTGGATTAGCGCATTGTGCGACACCACGACACCAAGAGACATCCAGAACTATCTCTTTCACGACCCTTCTGTTCACCGAGAAAACGAGGTTCACGCCTGTTCCATAAGGTCGTGGCTCCAGCTATACACCACACCGCAAGACACTCGTCGATCATATATTGAACGCAAGCGTCACATATAGGATACCTCCCGTGGCACCGCATCGCAACCATGGTAGCTGAAACGAAGCTCTATGATACCTTGGGCTTGAAGCCCGATGCCAACCAGGATGGCATCAAGAAAGCATACCAGTAAGTTCCATCCCTCCCGTATATCCCTCGTCCCTTGCATCGTGACAATGACATAAATGCTAATATATACTACAGTAAGATGGCATTGAAATTCCATCCCGATAAGAACAAGGACAAGCCCGAGAGTGCAGAGAAATTCAAAGAGATCTCCCAAGCCTACGAAGTCCTCTCCGATCCCGAAAAGCGGAAAACTTACGATCAATATGGTTTGGAATTCTTACTTCGGGGAGGCCCACCACCCCCAGAGCCAGGCCAAGGGGGTAACCCATACGCAAACGCTGGCGGCGCGCCAGGAGGAGGATTTGACTTTGGAGGCATGCCAGGCGGTGGTAGGGGTGGAGGTCCCCAAGGATTCCATTACGAATTCAACCAGGGGCCCGGGGCTGGAGGAGGATTCACCTTCAGCAATCCAGACTCGATATTCTCTGAGTTCTTGCGTGGACAAACGGGAATGGGTGGAGGAGGTGGTGGTGGTGCTGCAGGCTTCGAGGATATATTTGGTAGTATACCTAGATCCCGTACGTCGGGCGGCAGTGGTGGAACTCGATCTCGCACTTCGCAGTTTGGTGCGGAGCCTGCTGGGCGACCGAGAACGTCGGAGCTTGAAGTTACAACCGTGGAGAGACCGCTGCCGCTTACCCTCGAAGAGCTGTTTAATGGTTGTCATAAGAAGATGAAGATTAAGCGGAAGGCCTTCGATGAAGTTACCGGCAAGCGCACCACGCAGGACAAAGTCCTTGAGATGGATATCAAGCCTGGCTTAAAGAAGGGCAGCAAGATAAAGTTCAAGGGCGTGGGAGATCAAGAGGAAGGCGGGCAACAAGATTTGCATTTCACTATTGAAGAGGTAAGCTATTATTTCCCCCTTGATACACTATTCCGACGGATTAACTAACAACCATCACAGAAAAAACACCCGCTCTTCACCCGTGAAGGCGACGATATACACCATACCATAGACCTCGAGCTCAAAGAAGCCCTAACCGGCTGGAAACGAACCGTCGCCACGATCGACGGAAAGCAAATCAACATCGAGAAAGCGGGTCCCACGCAACCTGGCAGCAAAGATAGTTACCCCAGCCTAGGCATGCCAATCAGCAAGAAACCCGGTCAAAGAGGGAACTTCATCGTCACGTATAATGTTAGATTCCCAACGTATCTGACCTCTGAGCAGAAACGGAAGCTGAAGGAGATTCTGTGATCATGAGTCAAGAAGGTTTATAAACTAGTAAAGATGGTCATGATAGGGATGAAAATTTAGCATGCAGGATAACTGAAGCATGATGGAGTGTGGGAGGCGGAATGGATAGTTTATGAATGGCATTTCAAAGGTGTTTGGCGAAGGGAGTGCAGGGAGGACTCCGCACAGGATTGGGATGAGAGCACATAAAACCTCATGGCGGAGTTGTAATAGAACCTGTGCAGGATTCAGACGACAGAACGACGAAGACACGAATCTTTTTTTCCTTCAGTTTAATTAACTTTCTTGTTATGGTACATAACATGTGTTAAGAGTAATATTAACCCCCGATTCAAATTTCCGTACTTTGTTGTATGTCTATAAATCTAAAATGTGAAACATACGCATACACGTAGGTATAACCTACAAATCCCTAGACCAGGCAGATGATACAACCAACTAATCGAACACATGATGATTCCTAGGCCCGTTTTCACAAGGCGCCTCCAACCATCTGCACAATCCACATCGCAATCCTAACATTAATCCCGACCCTTCTCTCCATCTTCACAAACTCATCCATGCCCACCACCCGCGCGTGATCCTGCAGCCCATCCCTCTCTTCCCTCAACCTCGCCTTCAACCCCTCATCCTTCGTAACAATGCAAGTTCCCACCTCCAAATCTAATCCGTAGCTTCGCTTGGTGTAATTGCTGCTCCCGACAATACTGATGCTCGGCTCTTTCTCGCCATTCAAGCTCACCCACATCCCCTTGGCATGGTACGTCCATCCGTCTTTCTCGCCTACGGTGCCTCGGCGCCATTCTCGAAGGGATATATCGTTTGTGCGATTGGCTTTAGCGGCCGCTTCGAGGAACCGCCTAGAGAGGAGTGTGTAGGCTGCGGGGAGCAGACCAGATACGCCCTTGCTGCCGTAGAAACCGTTTGCGAACGGGGAGGCGGTTATTACGGTGTTGTTGCTCGAGGCGGTGGAGAGGAGGAGAGGGGTTAGCGATGGATGAGGGTTGAAGTAGCCGGCTGTGAAGGTCCAGGATGAGTTGTTGTAGGCGGGTTGGGAGAGGGTCCGGAGGATAGACTGGATTAAAGGGAGTTCCGTGGAGGTGTCTGGTTCTAGGAGGGGGGTCAGTTGGGAGAGGGGATAGACGGTTGTGTTTGTCTTTCCCTTGGAGACGATGCTTTTAGAATCAGGGGAGGCGGATTGGACCAGAGGGGCGAGGATAGAGGTCGAGCGGGTAATGTATTTTGTGGGATCAGAGAGAGGGGATGGGGCGAGGTTGGTGGATGGCCAGTCCAGGGTGTAGCCTGCAGGTATCTGCTTCTCTGGGATCACTAAAAAGCTGAGTTTCGACACCGCATTATGGATATTGAAGAAGTATTCTGTGATCTCTTTTGAGGAGAACACATGGTACCTATCTTGTCGGTTGGTGAAGTAATCGGTCGAGAGGTTGGCACTATACCAGTTAGTTAGTCCTCTTGAATATACAAAATCCGAGGAGCGTAAGTGTACCCAGATATTATAACTTCATCATCTACCCCATAAAGCTTCATGTGCTGTAATCCCCATCCCTCGTTGATTCGTCTTGGGATATGCTTCTTCCGTAGTCCCGTTAAATTCGGCGTATGGTACATTCGAATTTCCACCCTCTCCGTACCAAACTCCGCAACCAGTGGAGCAAGTAGAGACGCGCATGATGGGTCTGGAGACTCCCGTGTCCCTCTCAGAGCATCTGTCAAGATACTCAATTTCAGATGTGGCTTGGCTCTTAGAGCGGCTTGCAGTGTTGAAATCTGGGCCCGAGAATCAACATATATTCAAGGAATGCTAGGGACGCGGATATGGTTTTTACAAATTCATGTTCTGTTTTTCCTATGTACAACGTAGACAGAAAAATATGCCTTTCCGCAGCAAGTATCTTGGACTATCCTTCCATCAGCTACAATTCCTATTATGCGGTTTCATACTTCGAGCGGACCTTCAATGTCTCGTAGAATTCAGACGGCGTGCGTAGGATGTGGATCTGCGACCCTTGGATTTCGAACTTCGGTGCGATCCTGTCCAGTTCGCTGGTGAACGCTGCGACCATCGAAGCTGTGGACGAGGAGTTGCTGCTCGTAGCAAATGAAGCGGATGTCGAGAATCTGCGCTGCTTAGCCTGGAGCAATCGCGGCCGGCAGACCTGAACTCGTCGAATGGCAGAGCATCTTATGCTACTCCGGACTATCATTGCCAGTTTTCAAAGCAGTCACCTAATGGCATCTAGTGCTTGGTAGTGAAGCTTGAAGTTTGAGAGCTTGAGCTTTGAGATGCCGAAGGCGCTAGACCGGATTTGGCGGAAATATAGCCCGCCTTCGACCATACAACGATATCACCTCCTCCACTCCAGAAGCCATTGAACAACAGACAAGATGTCTACACTTACGAGGTCGTGGCGCCACCTGCGCAAAGCTGGTATCAGGGTATGAGACTCACCTGGCAGAACCGGAGAACCTTGCTAATTGTTGTTCCCGCAGGATGCCCTCCATCAAATGCAGGTATGATTCCAAACAACTCGTGCTTCCCGCAACAGCCTAGCTGAACGATGCTCTTCCCTTCTAGCACCAAGGTATGCCCTGAAACTTGTCGCTATATTGAGGCTAGGGCTAACAGCTTTGTTAGGTGATACCAAAGCCGGTATCTTAGTCGGCAAGGACCGCTGGGGTAACAAATTCTTCGAGAACGTCGACGAACTGCCATGTGAGCACAGCCGAGACCCCCGCCCAATAATACCATTTCTCACAAGAACACAGTACGGACAAGATGGGTTGATTACAGAGATTACGAATCCGATGCGTAAGATCCCACCCATACCCGAAGGCATGATGTAGGGTGTTCTGGACCTGACAGTTGAGATAGCTCACAAATCGACCCTGGATGGCATGCGTGGATTTCATACATGGTTGACAAGCCACCGGCTGAGGATCCTATCATGAGAACTCAGATTAGGACTTGGGAGGAATCCAATAAGCAGCATGTGCCGAATATGACTGCCACAAGGTCTGCGTACAAACCATATTCTACGTGAGTTTTCTACACTCCCTTCTGTTTCGTGCAGATGATCTGATACGAAATGTCATAGTACGAAATCAAAGAGCAGCGTGTGGATCCCAGAGCCTGCTGCTAGGCGGTAGATATGGATTGGTTTTGGGGATTGGGGGTTGTATATAGTGTCTTGAGGAATGGAGTTCGTTTTACACTCAACGCTGTTCAAAGTGATTTATTGGCAAAGCCCATCTACCGACACAATGAGAAAGATAAAAAATTGTTGAGTGCGGTTAATAACAGCTTCCCGGCCTATTAACTTTCGTTTTAGGAAACTGCCTGGTTTAGAACGCTCAGTCGTCTCTAACTGACTATATTGAAGTCTATAGGGTATATGACTATTCCTTTTGTCTAAAGTAACGCAGTGGTTGCCCCCTTGAATTTGGATTCAGGTAGACCCGAAGCCTAGGAATGGACCTAAACCCGGGTGAATCCATATGGTGTAATAGTTGGTCGCACTTCTATTTTCATTCTATTTCGCAAATATTTGCTCGCAGATTAAGCCCGAGTTATCCACTTATGTGCGGTAGTCTCCATTGATAGTGATATACTCGTGACTTGGAAAGGTTAGCCAATGCTAATCTCAACTGAGTTTTCAGGGGTGTATTACCTATAATCACACGTCCAATAGACAGCTTCTTCCTTACCACCCCCTAATCTGACCAATATTTCTAGATCCTCATGCTCCAAGATCTCTGCAGCGCGAACCTCATCTACAGTCTCTGGCTCACCATTGACAAGCAGTTTGAGTTCAGGAGATCCGTCGGTAGGAATAAACGAGACACTCGTCTTTTCGGGGACAATTTCCGGAACATCAGTAACCGGCATGCCTGGTTCAGAAATTTGTGAATAACCAGTAGCACAAAGTATGCGGCCCCAGTTTGCGTCCTTTCCATATAAGGCTGTCTTGACTAAGGGAGATCTTGCAATGGTGCTAGCAACTTTTCGTGCACCAACCTCGGACGGTGATTCCGTCACACGGATGGTGACGAATTTGGTTGCTCCCTCACCATCCCGAACTACAAGTTTGGCAAGGTCTGTAGCAAATTCTGTCAATGTTTTCTGGAAAGCATTGTAGTCATCGGAAGATTCTGACGTGATTTCTTGCCCTCCAGCAGCACCGTTAGCTAGGACGGCAACTGTATCATTAGTAGAGGTATCACCATCGATGGAGATGCTGTTGAAGGACTTGTTGACAGCATTGGTAAGCAGCTTAGGAAGGAGCGCCGGTGCAATTGGAGCATCCGTAGCAATCATCCCTAATAGAGTTGCCATATTTGGGTGTATCATACCAGCCCCTTTCGTCATCCCCGCTATTCTATACTCGACGGTGGGGGAGGATGGTAGGGAGAACGTTCGTGAAATAAGCTTGGGGAAAGTATCAGTCGTGCATATTGCTCGTGCCGTAGATAACCAATGGCCATGGGATGTCCCCAGAGCATAATAAGCTGAGGGTATCTTGTGCAGGATCTTCTGAATCGGTAGTCTGTAAAAACAGGTTAGTTGAAAGTTGGTCCGGCTTGGTCAATCACACAACCTACCTTTGGCCAATCACGCCGGTACTCATAACTATAGAACTTCCTCCCTTTCCATCCGTAGGTAGATCAAAACATCTATCAGCTTCTGCCACCATCTTTTCCGCATCTTCCAAACCACCCTTCCCAGTCACCGCATTTGCACATCCAGAGTTGATGATGACAGCCCGGATTCCAGCATTATTCCTCCGCTTTAGCATTTCTCTGCTGACAGTTACAGGAGCCGCTTGGAACTTATTCTTCGTGAATACTGCCGCAGCCGCACATGGTGTTTCTGAGGCGAGAAAGGCTAGATCTGGTGTGCTCTTGTTGGTAGGCTTGACTCCAACATGAGTCCCCGAGACGAGGAATCCTCTAGGGTATATGCCATGTGTAGGCACATACTTCTGCTTTGCGGCGGGAATTGCTCCATCGGGAGGGGCACTATAGTGGCGAACATGGGCGGATGTGACCGTGGACTGTAATGTTGTTGGCCGTATCAGTCGTGTCAGAACACCAGTCTGTTGCGGTCGGAGAGCCATTGGCGGGGAAAGGATGGTCTAAAGACCCTTTGAGCACCTATCAAGTGTTCAGAAAGCTCTAGATTTCAGTGGGTAGAGTAATTGATGGTTTTCTTGTTTCCTTTCGTTTGTATTATCTCCAAAGATTTTATGACTCCCAAATCTTGTATTCTGACAACTTTCTGACAGCCCTCTTTATGGTTTAGCGCAAGGCCAGGAACACGGCCGCAGTTCAGCCTTGTTCTGGCGGTGGCCATGTCGGCTTCCTTATCAACTCCTTGTCCTGACAACCTACAAAGAGCATTATATTACTGCCACTACGGTGAATAATATGTATTTCCCTAGCAAGTAGAGATCTCGCAGCTTCGGCTGCGTGTATCATTTCAGATCACAACCTTCGCTCAGGTCCGACCCTTCAATTGCAGAGATCTCAACGTCAACATGCCACCAAGCAGCCCATGGGGAAAGAAGTCACAACAGAATACCACGCCCTTACCTGGTTTCCCAAAACCCAAACCGGAACCGAATAAACCGGTCGAATTCGTGCCGGAGACCCAGTATGAAGAGATCCAAGAAGATGAGCTGGTGGCCTTGGCGTCCATCTACGGGGATGACTTTCGTAGGATAGAGACAAGTCATGGCGCCTGGAAGGTTTGTTGGCTACGTCGACTTTTGGAACTCCCTCCTTGCTAAATTTCTATAGAAAGCTGAGCCCAGCTTCGAGATCCGCATTACCTCCTCAGACCAGGATATATCTATAATCCTATGTGTCGTCTTCACCGCTTCATACCCGAAGACGGCCCCGTTGTTGAGTTTCAAAGGCGGCCAATATCTCCGAGAAAGTACTTTATTTAAGCTTCAGAAAGTTATCGAGACTAAGCCTAAGGAGTTGGTGGCTGCAGAGCAAGCTATGATCATGGAAATTGTCAACGCGTGCCTGGATATCTTGGAAGATGCTGCCCAAGCTAAGGCGGCTGGCTTGGAATTGCCCAGCCTAGAGGAGGAGCGTGCTACACACGAGGCAGCTGCAGCTAAGGAAGCACAGCGACAGAAAGAAGAAGGGGAGCGCAAAAAACAAATAGCGACTTTGGAAGAGGAGCGGATGCTAGGTTCTCTGGTGCAGGACGAACTAAAGCGCCAGCAAGCAAAAGCTAAAGAGACGAAAAAGAAGAACCGGCTATCCACAACACTGGTCTCCCGAGCCGCGATTGACAATGGTAGTTTCAGAGGCAAGAACGAGCTTCTAGAATTCGATCATCCAATTAGCCTTATTGATGCCAATGGCAACCCTTTTCTCTTTCAAGTCGTTACAGGCAAGGTCTGTATACGTCAGGGACCAATATCTAAATGCTTCACTGTAAGACCAGTGGTTTCTCAAGCTGATGCTCCAACACTTGTCTTAAAGCAGACAGATCTGGACCCAGGTGTAAAAGACCAAAACGCGTTCAAAAAGCAACTGCAGATACTTGAGACTGAATTGAAGTCGCTCAAAGATATCAGGCATCAAAATATCCTTGATCTTCTCGATTCCAAGGTCCACAAAACTATTGACGATGATGGTGAATCCGAATCTGGTTGGACTGTCAGTATTCTGACTGAATTTGCTGAGAAAGGATCTTTGGGAGAGCTGCTTGATATTACTGGAACACTTTCTGTTGGCAGAGTCCGTTCCTGGACTATCGAGCTACTGGATGCCTTGCGTTTCCTTCATGATCATGGTATCACTCACGAAGCCATACACATGGGAAATGTGTTACTCGTCCGAGAACAAAGCGGAGAGGTCAAGCCGAAGCTTTCTGACGGGGGCTTCCAAAGGAAGTTGCAGAATCTCAGTGGGAAGACACAATCAAAGACCGCGATTCCAGTTGCCAAGTCGGCATATTGGCTCCCCCCTGAGATAGCAAGTTGCAGCAACTCTGAATATACTCAGAAGACGGATGTATGGGACTTCGGCATTATGTTTCTCCAGATGGCATTTGGCCCGTCAGTTCTCAAGAAGTATTCGTCTCCGACAGCTTTAGCCAACTCTTTAGCTTTGACTGACTCTTGCCATGAATTCATTGTTAAGCTATTTAAAGCAGATCCAAAGAAGCGACCGCGCGCTTTCGAGTTAGCCTCTTCTGAATTTCTTGCGACAGACGCTGAGTTGCTGGATGTAGAAACTTCCACAGCGGGCTCGAGACAGGGTTCAATATCATCCGCATATGCGCTAGCTCCGCGTCGGACCAGGCATGATTCCATGAATGCGTATACTGGACCATTGTCTAGGTACCGAGAAGATTTCGTAGAAGAGGGTCGGCTAGGAAAGGGAGCTTTTGGAGAAGTGGTTAAGGCACGGAAAAAGCTCGACGGCCAAATCTATGCAATCAAGAAGATAACGCAAAAGTCCTCGGCATCCCTGACAGAAGTATTGAAGGAAGTTCGGCTTCTGTCCCAACTGAGCCATCCATCAGTAGTTCGTAAGTCAGATTTCCTAAACCTCTCCGAATACAACATATAGTCAAGTTCAGTATACGAGTATAGCTCATCTACGGAAAGTTCCGGGAGACATAATTTGCTCTAGTCTCGGGAATCAAACAATAAGGGAGATTATTGCTTGCCCTTGACGAGGACTCCCTTACTGAGTGTTTCGATCTTAATTTCTTGGAATATATTGAAAATTCAGTGCATTCACCACGCATTTATCTGTTGATGGGCGGGGCAACTGGGTAATCGCAATGTATTCCACTAGAGATGGGTGGAACTTATGGTTGCACCCTTACAACTATCCTCGGCGCCATTCTCTGTACAATACCGAGATCAACACATTTCTAACATTGTCTAATCATTTCTTCATAATAGGATATTACAATACGTGGACGGAGGAGGTCTTCGATACTTCTGGGACCGATGACGATGCGACAACTACCGATGCTGCAACTGAAACCTCTCTAGGTGACATGTCTCTCGGCACTGGTCCAAACATTGAATTCGATGTTAGCACTGGAGGCCTTGATTTCATATCATCTAGCGGATACCCACAAATCGAATTCGGCTATGATGATGGCTCAGACGCTGTCGATGATTCCGATGAAGAAGACGATGTATCGACGAGTGGTAATAACCACAATGGCAACGGTGGATCAAGATATGATAATAGGCTGTTCTCAAAAAGAAGTAGATCCGGCTCGCGCTACCACCGCTCCTATAAGACGATTCTTTATATCTCTATGGAGTACTGTGAGAAACGTACACTTAGGGATCTCATCAAACGAGGATTACATAAAGAGGTTGATGAAATATGGCGTGTTTTTCGGCAAATCCTTGAAGGCCTCGTCCATATCCATGGTCTCAATATTGTTCACCGAGATCTCAAACCTGAGAATATCTTCATCGACAGCACCTCCAATGTGAAAATCGGCGACTTTGGACTTGCGACAAGCGGACAGTACTCTCTTACAAAGGCGTCCTCATCTACAACAATGAATGCAGATATGACGAAGAGTATCGGGACCGCCTTTTACGTTGCGCCCGAGGTCTCATCCAATGTCGGTAGTGGCTCGTACACAAGCAAAGTAGATATGTATTCGCTAGGTATCATCTTCTTCGAGATGTGTTACCGGCCACTAATTCCAGGGATGGAGAGAGCTCAGGTTAGTGAGGGCTTGCGACTGAAGCAGCCTAAACTACCGAAAGACTTCGACTTGACCGGAAAGGCTGTGCAGGCTGATATTATATATTCTCTTCTCAGCCATAACCCAAAAGAACGACCTTCTAGCTCCGAGCTTTTGCAGGGCGGCAAACTTCCCGTGCAGATGGAGAGTGAGACTATCCGCCGGGCTCTGGCAGGCCTATCCGACTCAGCATCGCCTTATTATCAGAAGATGATGAGCGCCTTGTTTTCAATGCCAAATCCACAAGCCAAAGACTTCGCTTGGGATATGGGCACCTCGAATCACAGTGCCAACGACCTCTTACTTCAGGGTCTGGTTAAGCAGAAGCTGACTGCCATATTCCGGCATCACGGAGCTGTTGAGACACCGCGAAATTTATTGTTCCCACGCTCTCGTCATTACGGATCGAATGCTGTTCAGCTACTTGATCCTCACGGGACCGTATTGCAATTGCCCTACGACCTTACTCTATCCCATGCTCGGAACGTCGCAAAACACGACCCGTTGGTACAGCGGTCCTTTGCTTTCGGTCCCGTTTTCCGAGATAGAGAGTCTGGGGGCCAACCACAAACCTTCGGCGAAGTTGATTTCGACATTGTTTCGTCTGACAGTCTGGATTTGGCATTGAAAGAGGCTGAGGTAATCAAGGTTCTAGATGAGATCGTAACGAGCTTCCCATCTCTAAATTCGACCCATATGTGTTTCCATGTTAACCACTCGGATCTCTTGGGTCTTATATTCGACTACTGTAGGATAGAGCCGGGTATCCGGGATGCTGTTGCAGATACACTCAGCAAACTCAATGTGCAATCTTGGAGCTGGCAGAAAATCAGAAACGAGCTACGATCACCTATTATTGGGGTCTCGGTAACCAGTGTCGATGACTTGCAGAACTTTGACTTTCGAGGTACTTCTCCAATTTTCCGGGTATATTTACGAGCAACTAACACTAGTCAGATACACCTAACAAAGCATTTCAAAAGCTGAAAACTATCTTCGAGGGAACCGATACGTTCGAGAAGGCATCTCCAGTTATAGCTCATCTTCGAGACGTGATCGACTACACTAAACGCTTCCAGGTACACAGCAAGATCTATGTGAGCCCTCTTGCGAGTCTCAGGGATAGATTCTGTAAAGGAGGGGTAGTGTTTTCTTGTCTCTATGATAGGAAATTTAAAGACGTCTTCGCAGCTGGTGGACGCTATGATTCTTTGATTCGAGAACACCGACACCGAGCGGGGAGCCAGGCTGAGGAACGACATGCCGTTGGATTTAATTTGGCGTGGGAAAAGTTGGCTAGGTTGCCCAAGGCAGGGCCCAAAGGTTTTTTGAAAAAGCCCGACGAGGAACTACACGGTGTCTGGAACACGAAGAGGGTAAGTAAACACCTTGTGAAACGGGTGGTCTATTGTCCCTAATCCATCGTATAGTGTGATGTGCTGGTCGCTAGTCATGATCCAACCATTCTCCGCACTACAGGTGTCGACATCGTTCAAAATCTCTGGGCAAACGATATTAGTGCAGAATTGGCACAAGATTCAAGGTCCTCGGAGGAGCTGTTTGGCAAATATAGGGACGACCACCATGCGTGGGTTGTGATAATAAAACAGGATTCCGTCGTCAAGGTCAAGAGCATGGGGCGAAAAGAAGTCGCGGATACCGATATCCCGTCAACTCAACTTTTGGGTTGGCTAAAGGGCGAAATCCGTGAAAGAGACCACAGGGAAGGGACATATCTACGAGCCAAAATTAACCGCAACACTAATCAACCCGATGCCTCCAGCGAGATTGACAATAAGCAGGACGTCCGCGTACTTGTAGCTGGCACCAAGAGCAAGAAGTCGAACAGACGAAACATTGTTGACCAGGCGCAAGCTCATGCTGCAACTTTGGTTCAATCATTCTTAGACGGTCCGATTGCTGCTATCGAAACCACTGATCATGTTATGGAACTTATCCGGGTGACGAAATTGTCGGATCCAGAGAGCTGGAGGAAAGTCGTGCATGCTGTTCCAATGGCCGAGAGGAGATATATGGGCGAAGTTCATGACTTGATGAATAGCCTGGCGCAGCACAATAAGGACACCACCCGGAACTCGTTTGTGTACAATTTCAGGACTGGCATGTGTATATATTACGATCTTGGGGCATAAAGCGAAGAGACGACATTGCTTGGAGTTTTGACTTGGTGTTTAGTGAGTGTGGAGTTAGTTAGGCACTTCTAATGGGGAATATTTTAGTATTAAGGGAAAATACCACAATGTTCACTTGCAAAGGTAGCCTTTGAGCTCGTTATTAGGTTTGCGATACTATTTCCATATTGCTATTGTACAGGCCATTCACCCACCCCCTTAGGAATTTTTTCGGTAACTAGGAATAAGTAATTTGCAATAACCCCGATGCCCTGAAAATCGAAACCAGTTAATGTAAAGGTTATTAGGACCTCTTTGGTTGCCTCTATAATAAGGTAACTAGGTAAGATAGGTATATGTCCACCAAAAAGCATTATTTGGTGTGGGGTCACATGGCGGGGCAACCGCCGATAACGCAATGTGACACAAAATTAAGTAGTGACATAGATATTGGCAGAAACAACACGACGAAACCCGATCTATGCTTCAGGAACGCCGAGACGGGAGCGTGCTGCAGCCTTGCGAGATTCATTGAAATGGCTTAATTGTATATTCATATTTTTGCCCATCTGCTTACCTACCTCTCTCTTGATACCCCAATCCGCAGCCATGGCCAACACGCATCCAGATCAAGACCAGGAGCTTAGCACCCCTCGCACCCCTATTGTCTCTTTCCTTGGCCCTGTTTCTTCTTATACTCATCAGGTATATACACTTTGTGATTTTCAGCGTCCCCCATGGTCCATTGGACTGACAGATTACGATCTTGCTCAGGCAGCACTTGCGTGCTTCGAATCCGACCAATACAACTACACGGCTGCTAAGACGATCACAGGTAATACCTTGCACGAAGAGATGCCATGGCACTAGATTCTAACGCCGTCATTCCATAGATGTATTCACAGCTGTGCAATCTGGGGAAGCAGCCTTGGGAGTTGTGCCATTCGAGAATTCGACCAACGGCACGGTGATCTTCACACTCGAGCTCCTAGCAGATCGACATAACCTATTCCCAGATATCACAATTTGCGGCGAAGCCTACCTTGACGTCAGTCACTACTTGCTCGGCCACAAGCCTTCACGGAATGCTGCCACGGACTCTCCAGATGCGTCGGGCGCTTGCACACCAACAATTTCCATCCCGGCTCCCGTCCAGCCACGAACGAAACCTTTACGGAGCCTAAAACATATCGAGCGCCTCTATACCCACCCGCAAGCATGGGGACAGTGCGAGATATTTCTGGGGGCATACTTGAAGGGCATTGAGCGGATAGACGTCAGTTCCACAAGCCGGGCAGCAGAGCTAGCGAAAGAAGATACCACCGGAACAAGCGCTGCAATTGCAAGCAGTCTAGCAGCTAAGGTCCATGACCTAGATATCCTTGCAAAAGGTATCGAGGACCGCGAAGATAACACTACCAGATTCTTCATCCTGAAGAAGGGCATCGATGAGGAGGCAGTCGAGGAAAAGGTATTTGTTGAGAAGCCACCCACCACGACAATCAAGACGAAGTCCCTCATCTCTTTCACAATTGACCATCGATCTCCTGGCGCCCTTGCCCAAGTCCTCGACTGCTTCAGGGGCTATGCTCTGAACTTGACCAGCATAAATAGTCGACCTTCCAAAGTGATACCATTCCAATATATCTTCTTCGTCGAATTTGAGGGGAGCAAACTGGACGATCCATCCGGTAGAGTGAAAGGAGCTTTGGCCTGCGTGGCAAAACTAGTGCAAAGCTGGAGATGGCTGGGTAGCTGGGAGAATAGGCTTGAGAGAAAGGATAGGCCGACAAAATAGACCGGCAGACTTGGGTTTGGGATTTGATATAAAGGAGCTCCAAGAGAGCAAGGAGGAAATGGTGGATAAGATCTCCGGTGATCGGACTGGCAGAGGATGGCTTATCGATAAGGAAATCAGGAAATTCAACAGCCGAGGCCGCTCATTAGCTCAGAGCAGCCGAGTACAGTAAACAGTAGCATCCCAGTCAATGACCTCCATAAAGCCTTTATGCGACTTACCTTTGCCTTTACCTTCAGCATATCATGTGAGTCCAAGTCCAAATCGGATATATAATACCTTTCGTGGCATGGAATCTTGGGTTCGTATTGCATTATAAACCGTCTCTTGTTTTACCATTGCCATGAAGATCCTTACAGTAAGCCAATCCCTCCGTCAGGGGCTTCGCTTTATCAGTCCAATTTCAACCTCACAGCTCCCCATTCGAAGATCCTCAACACAAGCCGGTCTGGTTGAGTCGGTCACGTCCCGTCCTGCAAATTATGTCTATGACTATCTATCGCCCACAAACTCTCATCTTCTCAATATAAGCCTGGCGGATTTCTTGCCGGAAAAATGTTACCCCTCCGGATTCAAGACATCGGACCTCACCCTTCCAGCTGCAAAGCCGGACGGGGGCCCTAGTGCAGCACCAACTTTACCTCAGGGACACCATCTGGTATACTTCCCACCCCAGATTCGCAGCTGCGATCTCCTTCCAGATGGTACGGATCCGCTACAGTCCCCGGGCCCTCCATATGTCCGGCGAATGTGGGCTGGTGGTTCGCTGGTATTCCAAAGAGGAGGCGACCGCCAAATCAAGCTTAATGCCACGAGGGCGGTCTGCAAAGAAAAGATCACCGATGTTGTGATCAAGGGGCAAGATGAAAATGAGAAGGTGTTTGTGACTATTGAGAGGCGTGTCGGCCTTCTGTCTGAGTCGGGATCGACTGCTAAATCATCTGGTGATCTCCCGACAATTACTTTTACGTTGGAGAAGAGGAATCTCGTTTTCATGAAGGAGAAGACTTCTGCGGCTGCGAAAAAGGATGCTGCCCGTCCTGATAAGATAGTGAAACGTATGCGAGATCTTTCTCCCCTCCATGCTTCTCAACATATATACATCTAGAGGCTAACATTATATCTAGCCATCCATACGCCAGATGTCCGGATCCCCATCACCCCCAGTGCATCTCTCTTATTCCGCTTCTCTGCCCTCACCTTCAACGCCCATGGCATCCATCTCGATCCCGAGTACTGCCGTACGATAGAGGGACATCGAAATCTACTCGTCCATGGCCCACTCTCGCTCGTTCTCATGCTGTCAGTACTCCGGTCGCAGCTTAAGAGCGATGAGATGATCTTGAAGTTAGATTATAGAAATCTGGCGCCATTATATGCAACTGAAACTCTGAACGTTTGTGCGAGAAGAGACCCGGAAAAGAAAGATCAGTTTGATCTTTGGGTTGAGGGAAGCGGAGGCGGATTTGCTGTTAAAGCTACTGCTCTCATTGGAAAGGCGGGGACCAATGAGGGTTTTGAAGGGTAAGTCGAAACCTTTTTAAAGAGTTGTTGACCTATGCTAATCAATGGTTCTAGCTCGGAAGCTTTGGACAAGTTCTAGGAAGGAGGAACTTTGGGTATTGGCATAATGCCAATGACCCAGTGGCAAGCATATCGTTGCATTTTAGGCGTCTTTAATGTGGAATAGATATTTGTACAACGGGCATTATGTATATAACAAATTTACGTTTTGTCGCCTATCACCGCAAGTCCTCTTTTCGTAGAATTATGATGCATCCCAGCTGAAATTTCCGTGTCGATGTCGAGTATGCCAATTTCTCATTCCTCCCACTTCCCCCAATCAAAGGCTTCGTTACAGGACCTACTTTGTCGCTCGACCCAAACAAAAGCTTTAGGTATCAATTGCTTGATCTCAAAGTCAACTCGTCTTGATAAATACTTTATGCCCCGGGTCCTTCAATCCTCTTTCCCCTTTGTGCCTTAGGTGTAGTCATTAGCCACCCTTATGTCGCAACATGTATTGATGTGGGACGAATCAGTGGTTGAGCACCTATTTAGTCCGTAGGCCGCTGGAATAAGAACCCTGCCATTTAGCGTACCTTGGTATGTGGCGTGGCTGCGGCAGGCCCTGAGTTATGAGTTGCAGTTGGTGAGAATTTATGGTGTGGCTGCGGTAGGCTCTGCTATATCAGCCTAGTTAATAAGAAAAAGCAAACCAAGAATTGGAAGCCAGAGCGAATAAGAAAGGAGGGGCTGGAAATTGGAGGCCTAATCGAGCGAAGCACAGGGGAACGCGACCTAGGGGTCACGGTTCGCTGTCAAGAGCCTTGAGGAAGGAAGGAAGCTTCAGCCGCCTGAACAGGATCTTTGGTGCCTAACTTGACCTTTGGCTTTGGCATTGGCTTGTAGCCTTGTAGCTAGTGTCCCTTATTTGGTTGCCCTAGGGAACCAAATAGTTGAAGATGCTGGGCCGTCTTCCTGTGAGCTGTGCCACGAAGACGCATTGGCTACGGCAGATAGAGCCTCAGCACCGCAAGGCTGAGCGGCCAAAATACAATTGATCTGCATGGTGCCAAGGAGGATGGGCATGAATGTAAGGGTTTCTATTGCTTTAAGATCGGAAGTACTTCCGTCGCTTTTTAACGTTCTCTTATTTCCTTTTCTCTTCTTCCACTCCGTGCTATTGAGCGGTGATCTAGGGGCGCCCTCAAGAGTCACAACTGTTCAACCCGGTTGAAGCATGCCCCGACAAAACCCTCGGCGGTCGAAACCACCGAGAGTCAGGGTCGAGTATGACCTGGTGGAGGAGCATGAACTAGAAGAGCCTCAATTATTGCAAAGTCAGCGTGTGTAGCCCGCGCCGTTATGGAAGAACAGGGAGCTAATCTCCCTCGGAGGGAATAATAATAATGCGCTTGAATGCAGATTCCCCAAGTTTCATCGAGAGTTTAGCGGGAGCCCCAGAGGCAGATATCTCATCGAAATCGCCACATGGCTTGGTCTTTTGTCCTTTCTCGCCTTTATTGGCGTCGCAATTGGCTTCACGGCCAAGTTCCTGGTCGAAGGAAGCAAGGCTGACTTCAGCCCGGCCAGCCTCGACTTCGCGCTCTACAAAAACAGCCGCTTTGAAGAATGCCAGGCCAAGACGCCGCCTAAAGCCGCCACCTGTCAGGACGTACAGGCAAATCTCCTAAGCTTACGCCGGGGCAATTGGCATGAGTTCACAGACCATGGAATCAGTGTCGTGATCAGTCCATATGTTGTCAGCGAGAATCGGACGTCTAAGCCTGGCGGCGACCCAGTTACCTACGACTGGTGCCAAGCAGTGAGTTGCCTCAGGGATAGCTTCAAGATAGTGCCCTCGACGCCGCGCAACTCGGCCTTTGCGGTCACGCCGCTCACCGTCTGGTGTGCCGTGGCCATTACGCTCGCCGCTGTGCTGTGGGACTTTAGGCAACGCAACGGGGCCAAGTTGCTTCAGCTTCGCAAAAAGAACAAGGTCGAAACGGCCTGCAAGGCGCTTCGGGAGGTAGCGTGGTACGACTGGATTCTCCACGGCTACAGTTTGTGCTCGTTTGTCTGGTGGTGGGCATCGTTTGCGCGCTTCGCCGCCAGCCCGGCATACACGGCGGCGCCCAGCTCCATCGGCTGGATTGTGCCATGGAAGTACGCCATTCTCGTGCAGTACCACCCCTATTCGTGTGCCTTCACCAACAGCCGCCGGCCCAGGACGCTGTCGTGGGTGTTCAACACGTTGGCTTTTGTGCAGTGGGTTGCTACTGCGTACGTTCTGCACGTTAACTTCCCCGCCATCTCGCAGTCGTATCTGCCCTTTCAATCCTACGATTGTGCCCCGTCCTTTCTGGCCGAGGCGCCGGGGAACTCGCCATGCTCGACAGAGCAGCTCTGTTCCAATCCCTGGCTCCTTACCCACCCGGGCTTCATGTATCGCGACGAGTGGCTGAGCGCTGACTTCTTTGTCTTGGTGTTCTTCGCTATCTTCACGTTGGCGGCCGTCTTCCCACCCCTCGCCGCCGGCTGTGGGCTGCTATGCGAAGTCGTTGGTGGAAGGCGGTTGTCCTGGGCGCTGATTAAGGAGGTCTGGAAGGAGGCCAAGCTGAAGCCAACGGTGACGCTCCCGATCGCAGCCTGGGCCGGCGGCATTGTCTTCGGGGCTGGGTTTACGGCCAACGTGGTACGCCGGAGTGGTCACGGTCAGGAGGCGCCCTTGACATTGTATCCAGCCTGCAACGCGGTGCATGTTGCCTTGAGCCCATGGAGGTTCTATCTGGACGTAGATAGTTATCAGAAGGCATTGCGAATCGCCAAGATGTGGTTCAATTCGTGAAATCCGTGCTGTGATCCGGAGTCAGCATTAGATAGTAGATATATATATGTAATACTCTGCTAATATTAGATATGAGCATTCTTAAGAGGACGAACCCATGAGAACGAACTTTATGAATGAGGAATACGCTCTGCTCTGTTCTGCGAAAGGCTCTCCCCTGCCCGTTTATCTCTTGGGAACGAGCACGGCGAACAGTAACTGTAAGTAGTACCTTATTCCTACTTATTTTCTATCTTTGGTCGTTCGACTTGATCTTGTTTTCTGCTCTATTCTTTTCTCTTTCCCACTGCCTTACTTCTTCTTTTCCAGGACGATTGGCTGGCCCCTTCTCGTGGCGTCCTGGGTCGGTAGCAGCAGCATAGTCAATTATTTCTCTTATTATCTACGAGGAGGATTCCTACTGTAACTAGAGGCGTGCTGCCCGCTGTGATGTAAGCGCTGGAGGGTACTATGCGCGTACAGTGAAGTGACCTTCACGAGATACATATGCCTCGCCGAGAATGTACTGTACTTGTCAGGGGTTATGGGGCTCCGGAAATGGTGGGTCTGAGGTACTTTCTGTGGAATAATCTCGCACTTGGCAAACTAAAACAAAGGGATCTCCAACCAACACAATAACTACATCTCTAGACCAGAAGGAGTAGATGCAAGCAGTAGTCCGTGCCATACATACCACATTACTAATAAAAATAGCTCAGCTCATGACATAAAAGAGTAAAAATCTATACGAAGTAGGCCTTCGGCCCTCCGGTTGAAAGCGTAACCCTTGAGACACATCTCCAGGGGCGGATTGGATATCCCCTGATGACAACCAATCAATCTCTCAATACACAGGTGGCGAGCATCAGGCCGTGCGGAGGCAACGTCATCGCTACTTAGCACTCACGGCCCGGGATCAACCCTACTTTGTCTACGGAGTAGAGACACTATTACTCTGTAAAAGCCCACTTTGTCGGCCGCCCTTGGTCCACAACATAGAGGTATATAATAACTCTTACTTACTTAAAAGTTAAAGCTACTCCTATTTCTTTGATTTTAGTGTACGCTGCGAAGAGTAGGATGATATATATCTTTTAAGTAAAAGGAAAGGCATTATAATAAACAATAGTAGTTGGTAGTCTAGCTTGGCTGTCTCACGACTCTTAATGTCTCCTGGTCCTGGTAGTTTAGCACTGGGCTGATAATTCACCCCTGGAAACGGGCAGGGCCGTCGGACTACATAGGTAACTGTATGCGGCAGATTTGTTTTTCTGCTCTCTGCATTTCTTGCCATTTTAACTCTTTCCCCTTCTACTGCGTAGTATTATGGTATAGCTCAAGTGCATGATGCGCCGATTAGATATATCTTTCGTTGAGATTTTTTGATTGAATATCGGCAAAATCGTATATCAGTGGTTTCAGCTGCGCCGACACCACTCTTTTCTGCCCGCGCATTCTTAGCGTGCTACCTAACGCACCTATAGATTAACGGAAGCGTAAGCCTAATATGAGCCCTGTTTATACTCGGTTGAAAGCGGATTAGCTGCCAATAATTGAAGAAACTACATATTCTACGCTCCGTACAGTACTTGCTGGTGGCTGATCTGATACTGCGATCCGTCTGATCGGTACCCGTACACCATACAAATACAAATCCCCTCCGTGTACGCAATACGAGCAACAAGCCCCCCCCTGGCACTTCAGCTGGCCAACGGAGTAAGCCGAGGTTGACCCGACTTTCAATCCAGCCTTCCCCCACATCAACACCACACCGACACCCACAGCGTCAATGACAGCACAGCGGATGGCGAGAAGAAGTCAAGGACGAGACTTGGGAAAAAGGCATCGATGTTCAGCGTCGGACCTTCAGTGAGCCTGGACGCTGGGCGTGATGGATCAATGAGCCCCGTCCAGAGCGGAGTGCTGGATTCCCCTCGAATACGACCTCGAGGGCTTCACAAAGTCAGACCGACCTCCCTTTTTGGATCTCTGGGGAAGAGATCCATGGCAGATGTGGACGAAGATGCAGTGCACAAATTGGCTTCCTCTACGCCTGGATCGCCTCGCGAGGGCCGATACACCCCAGATCTCGGGACCTCACCTTACAAGGCCATCCTGTACCATGGCGAAGTCCAGACCGCCAGCGGCATGTTCAGGAAGAAGAAGGAATACTTGGTATTGACGGAGACACATTTAATACGTTTCAAAAGCCAGTCGCGAGCCTCTGACGTGTTCCCGTCCATTCCTCCTACCTTCGGGCGTACGGGCTCTCGACACCCGTCCAGCGCGTCGGTCGGATCTCTGCAGGATGCTCAATCAAACCATTCCCACGCATCTACCGAGGGAGACAATCGAATTCCTCTGTCGCAGATCGTTACTACATACAGGGTGGAAGATGGGCGTCCCTTTTTCACAACCGAAGTGGTATATCTGGATGAGGATTATCATGGAGTTGGCTGCATCCAGCTAATGCTCTATGATCCAACGGAAGCCGATCTTTGGCTTTCCTCGATTAGAGGGGCCGCGCACAAAGCTAGATTGCTTCAAGGGGAGCCGTATCCTGAAAGAGTCGTTCGCTACCTGGCTCAGATTCTCGAAGGGCTACATGATTACGATCCAGACCACTTTCAAATCTTCCGCGTTGCTCGACGGCCGCCGGCGCCAAAACCAGGGCGGTCGTCATCGTTTGATGACCTGCATAAATTAGGCGGCGTGGTCTTCTATATGGTCATCGGCATCAATTGTCTCCATCTGATTCCTGTTCCGGATTTTACTAGTTCAACTGGGCGTCTTCTTCCCCCAAATGTGAAGAGGCAGATGTATGGAATTGTAACGCTCTATCAGATGAATATGCAGGATGGGGATGATAGGTTCGAGCTAACTTTCCGGTAAGCTTCCCTAGTGCATGGAGCCCCAGTAATGGTTGTTGTTTGATTTGATGTGGCTATTCTAACATGGTCCCTTCTCCTATTTCACAGAATGCCTCTCCAACCTATCCAGGTGCTTGATTTCGCTTCGTTTGCAAGTTCCGATATTGTGGTTGGTATCAACAAGAACTGGCAATATCTAAGGCCGCTTTGGCTTGATCGAAGCTTTTTACTCCCTGCCCTAAAGGATCAATCACGATTTGAGGACGTTGCAGTTCCTTCAGGACAAGACGAATATGGCGCCTTCGATCGGACCCTTGTGGCTCATTGTGTGGCATATAATGTAAGTAGCGGCCCAGATATTGAGATTTCCTAACTAAACGGAATTTCAGTGCAATCCCGCCAATATCATGTATGGGATTGATTGGGAAGTGGAGGATTCCCCAGAGTTCCAGCTATATGCTCCAGCCATGAGCCCGAAATACTCGGTTTACGAGCTGCTGGCAATCATGCGGTCCCTACGATACAACAATTCGTTCCATTCAATCTCGTTCAAGAATATTGACTTGCAAAGCATGCATAGTATTACCGATGACTATGGCACAGATCATGTAGCATATACTACTCGTCATAATAGTAAGCTACACACCCCGTACCTTATCAGTGGCTAATCCATCATTAGTTCCGGCGATTGGTCGTCCTAACATCATCCCGCAAACCCAATCTATACTGTACCGAGAAATCCAAGCTCTTGCCTTAAAATCGTCGAGCGTACGAAGAATGGACCTTAGTAATACTTTACCTACACGGAGACCGAACGATATGTTTGACGTTGAAGGCCAAGAAGTTAACAAAGATCCTGGATGCGAGATCGTTGCTGCGCTCCTGTCACTATGTGCTGCTCAGTTAACCCGAGTTAGTTGGATCGTACTAAATGGGATTAAACTTGGTGAAACAGATTTGGATGAGATGAGTATGTTAGCCATATTCCCATATTTGACAGCTCGCGCTAACACTTAATCAGTTCCTGCTCTCAAACAAAGGCGCTCCGGTATTAGGGCAATTGAGTGCTCACGCTGCGGCCTTAGCGACCGAGGCATCCTACAACTTTTAGGCCATCTAGAGAAGCAGAATGCCACCTTGGAGTGCATCAACATCTCCGACAATTCAGGCCGGATTGATCTTGACCGGTTTTCCTCATCCATGGGCCGGTTTTCGCGGATTCGGAAGCTAGATCTGTCAAGGATCACTAGGACGTCCGGAAATCAGCCTTTGTTTGCACCGGAGGTCTTATTGTCGTGGAAGCTTGAGGAACTTATAATGAGCGGGATCCCAGTAAGTATTACCGCCGGTAAAGCCCTTCTCATTTACTGACTAGATTTAGGCCAATGAAATGACAGTCGACTCAATCGCAACATATCTGGCTAGTGACAGATCCGACAGCCTTCGCGTTCTCCAAATGGATCAATGTGGTTTGACTGGCAACCATGTTGCTTTCTTAATGAGAGCCATGGCGGGCACTCCAGGCGAAGCTCGCGAACTGCAATTACATGTTAGTGCCAATAAGCTCGAGAAGGGCATGCGCGAAATTGTCAAAGCGATTAAGGAGAATCACACACCTGCTCACCTGGTCCTCCGGATGATCGAGTTTGAAAAGGAGGATCATTTTCGGCGATTGTTAGAAGCTCTACGAACTAACACGACGATGCGATCCTTGGATATATCAAAAGCCTCGCTTCCGTACGACGCAAATCCAGAGACTTGCGACGCCCTGAGGCTGTTGTTTGCTGAGAATACCACTTTGGAGGACCTTGACATCTCTGGTGAACGGGCCCATTTGGAAGTAGCCCGCTTCGGAATCGGCCTGAATCACGCCCTCACAGGGCTCAAGCAGAACAAAACTCTAAAAGTACTACGGATTGAGTATCAGGATCTCGGTTTGGAAGGTGCAAATACGCTTTCCTCGGTCCTGGAAGAGAATACGGGGTTGACCCACATTCATTGCGAGCACAACGACATCAACCTTCAAGGCTTTACCATCTTAGTGAACGCCCTCGCCAAGAACTACGCAGTCTTGGAATTTCCGTTCATGCACAACGAACAAGATGCATCTATGAAGCGCCTTGGTAACAGCTTAAGGGATACTCGTCGTACTGCCACTACCAAGGTGAAGCAGGAGCGTAACGTTGCATCTTCAGTACGCCGCACACTATCAAAATTAGGTGTATCGAAAGCCCAGACACAAGATATAACACCTCAGGATCTCGATGCCGTTATGAAGGTACTAGCCGATCGTTGGGATACTGAAATGCAGAGGATGTCCAAATTCCTAGCGCGGAATAGGAACATAGCTGCTGGTATTGATGAGGATGATCCCGATGTCAACGAGGAAACTATGAGACCGACAACGGCTTTGAGCGACAATGGGATTTTGCAGGCGGTGCTGAAAACCACGACACCGAAAGCGGACCTTCCAAATCCCGTTGATGATCATGTCAACAAGGGCATGCTCAACTTGAGTATTAGTAGCAACCCCACGCCTGGAGGGGCTGAGGGCAAGGGGACGATTGGTGCATCTCAGGTGGATGGTGGTGAATCAGCGCCTTACGCTGAAGATGGTAATCTAGCGGACTTCCCTGCAATTGCATACGGGAGACTAATGGAATTAGATTCCGGGGCAGAAATTTTCAAGATGGGACTTTGAATCTTTCGATTCGAGCCGAGCATTGTTGTTTCATAGGTAAGACACGGAGTCTAGAGCGACCTACCAAACATGAGCTACGACGATTTACCACTTGGTTTTCTCGTTCGATGGGTGGTGTTTCGCATGGCATTGCATGTGGGAATGGAAGACGGCGGTTCTCACCCTTTCCCTCGTGGATACTGCATTTCATTATATGCATGGATGGCGTCTGAAGATGGATATTGCTATTTTAAAGGATGGAGTGCGAGGACATGAGCAAGTGTGATGTGATATGGGGTGCCGGTGGATTTTTATTGAGCGTGGCATGAGTAGATGAAGGGATGATATGGATTGATTGATCGCTTCAACTTTGATACTTTGGTCTGATGGATGACTGGACGGGTATTACCGTATACATAATGAATAAAGATATTGTACTTTACTGTATTGTATTTTGCTGCCGCTATCTCTAGTTTCGCAATCGTCTTAACCACGAGCACCAGGCGCTAGAAAACATACCCACAAAAGTCCTTTGTTATATCCTATCGCCCTTTAATCCTCCTTCAACACTCCCAAAAACGGATCATGCACCACGCCCTCCACCTCATCCTCCCTAACAAACCTCCTCAAAACCCTCTCCACATACTCCTTCGGCATACCCATCTTCACCGCATCCGCAATCCCCCGATTCATCCTCGTCACATACTCCTCCCGACAAACCCCCTCCCCGAGCCGGACCTCATCGACATACACTAGCGCCTGCACGGTAGTTTGACCGGTCGACGACGGCGAGCTAAGCATTTGAATAGGCAGCATATGTTTAGTATATGAAAAAGGAACGCCCTCCGCAATATCAAGACGTGCTTCATCCTTGTGAGTCAGGGCGTATAGCATGCCTATTACATATTCTTCCGCCCCCTCATCGTTACCTTTCGCCGCGTCTTCAAGCACTTGATTTTCCTCTCCATCTTCACCCCTCGTGGTAGTACTCGTAGTCCCCGAAGAGGAAGAAGCACTGCTTGACGTCGGGCATTTAACGACATTCGCGTAGCCCCGCTCGCCGATTATCCAGCGATATCCAGGGAGTTTGCCTAGGCCGTAGTATGGTGATGATGGGCACCGTTGGGACATTTGGGTTAGAGATAGGTTGGAGCCGTAGGCGAAGTAGAGGGTTGCGGGTTTGGTTGTGATTGTCATCTTTAAAGGTGGGGGTGAGTGATGGTTATGTTGGAGGGGTAAGCGGTTGGTGGGTGGTTTATTGTGGTTGTAGCAAGTCGAGGTTGAGGTTGAGGAGCAGCTATCTGATCGAGTCACTGTGAGTGTGGTCGGTTGAGTGCTTCGCTTGGGAAAGATGCGTGGAGGTTGGCTTTGCTTTTGTTTTCTTTTTTGTTGCTAGTTTAGGAAGGGATAGCTGGAGCTGGTTGGTATTACTGGGAAGGGGCTCCCCAGTGAGTATCTGTAAGGATGTCAGCAGGGATTTGGGGAGGGCGGTTATTGTCACTGTAGGTAGTAAGCAAGCCTTAACGTTGAGCTGCAACATGGGAAGGAGGGAGGAATTCCACGGGGTCGAGTTGGTTTACGAAAGCAATGATAAATATATCCCTAAGGAGGTTGAGATAATTCAAAATGCAAGTACCTACAAAGTCTCCTGTAAATCTATCAAATCACATTCATTAAATCATATCATAAAAATGTAAAACAATCTTAAGATCAAGTTTCATATACTCATTTGACACTATTGTACAAGATGATATATGTTATCTCCGCCTTATAATACCAGAAAGATCTACATTCTGGATCACCCTCATTCTCAATCATAAATCCGGCGTGAACCATTCAAGCATCGAACCCCTTTCCATGCGTCTATCTCCCTCCCCCTAAAAACCAAATGGGAAATCCCAAAAAATATCGGGGAGCGTAATTTTCGTGACAACGTTAGAAGAAGTAAAATTGGTTTTGTACAAGTAAATTGCAGAAAGTAGAAAGTAAAATCCTCCATGCTATGCAATGACCAGTCCTTGCAATGCAGTTTGAAAGAAAAATCGGAATGCTAGTGGAGTATTTTCAGTCATAGCTTGACTGTATGAGGGAGATATATTTAGGTGATGGCATTGAGGAAGGGACTGAACAGCAGCTCTTCAGCGCTGGGTCTCTTGACATGCTCCACCACGAAAGCCTGCGCCAGGAAAGTCTTTGCATCCTCGCTAGCGTGGTCCGGGATGGTCGGGCTGATCTTTGCTCCACCGATTTTGAAGATCGCCTGAAGCTGCGAGCAATCGGGGAAAGGATGAGTTCCCGTCATCATCTCAACGACGAGGCATCCGAGCGACCAAATGTCAGCTTTCCTGGTATAAGAGGTTTGCTTCACCACTTCCGGCGCCATCCAGAAGACCGAACCTTGAAGGGACGGTCGATTCTTGTTGTTTCCAGCTCCAGTCAAGATGTTCGAAGCTTCCATTTTCTTAGAGATACCAAAATCGGAGATTTTGATGCCACCCTTGTTGTCAACCAGGATATTGGCACCCTTGATATCTCGGTGAATAATATCTCGGCCATGGAGGTATGCAAGGCCAGTGACAATCTGTCGGACGAAGTTGCGAATAAGGGGTTCCCGAAGGGCTCCATATGAGTTGAGCATCGTTTGGACGGAACCACCAGGAACATACTCGAGGAAAATATTGAGATGCTCGGCGGAAGAGCTCGCTCCAAGGTATTGCACGATGTTAGGATGTTGGAGATCCCGCAAGAGACTGATCTCACGCTTGAGAGCGTCGATCATACTCTTCTTCCTAGCAGCAGTAGCACTATTTGCTCCAGGTGATGGGGTTTCGACTTGCTTGACAGCTAAAAGCTCTCCGGTAACCGCGTGAAGAGCTAGATAGACACTACCGAATGAACCTTGACCGATAAGCGCTCCTTTCATCCACTTGCTATCATCCCACGAGTCTCCTGCCAAGAAGCTCTGCAGCTCCTCATCAGCATCCTCTCCATCATCATCTAGGGCTTCCTTAATATCTCTCAATGAGCCACTAGCCTCGGTGCTAGCCTCATCGAAGTAGCTTTGTGTATTGCCGTCTGGATCGGTAACATTCACGTTTGTTGTGTCCGATCCGCTGTCGAACGAGACATAAGATTTTCGGTTTGGCTCAATCGGCGACTCCTCTTGGACACGCTCAAGCAATGAAGATGCCGTGGAGTCTCTATAGCGGTTGCTTCCACCTCGCGAGAGGTCATTCGGCTTTACTTTCGCAAGATGGCTACCATTTCCATTTAACCAGGTGTCGGCAATTGTTGGCATGGGCGGGGCATCAGCTATGCTTGAGGCAAAGCTGAAGTTGCTAGCAACACTCAGACGACTATTTACTTTGCTTAGGCGGGTCGATCTGCGTAAGGAAAGCCGAGCAGTTCGATCAATCTCTTCGCGGGGGTGATCTGGGAAGTACGTCGTCAAATCCGAGGTGATCAATTCACTTGGGGGTCTCTGGCCGAAGAACTGTCGAAGTACAGCCTTCTTAGTCTTATACCTGGTAGTATCCCGTGGTTGTTGCTCCAGAGGTGGTCCTTCAAGATCTTTGGCGGCAATGGAGAAGTTGCGCGCTCGCTCGCCAGCGGACACGGCTGAATTGGTGGATTGAAATGATGCAGGTGATAGAGGGTGCTGTAAACTGTCGCTCCAGCTTTCGCCAAGGACCTTCGCCAACTTGAGCTGGCTTCGTTTGTTGTCCGCGCTTTCAAGAGCCCGGGTATGGTTGGTAGTAACCTCCTCCATTGCAATGGCGGCGGCACGTTGGAGCTCGGCATCACCTGGCTCCCCTTGATGGATCTTTCGCAAGATGAGACGGCTTCTCTCCGGTTTGGATTCTCTGATAACACGCCATAGTTCAGTCTCCGACAAACGTCGACATTGGCTGGGATCTGCCTCTAGCCCGGTAAGAACCCAGAAGCAGTAATTTCGGTCGTGGTCTTCACGATAACCAAACTTCCTCAATGTTAACCTCATAACCTCGTCCGTCGAGGTACAATCCGCCACCCTGACGACTTTTGTTAATCCTCCCGATGAGATGACTCTTATCATGCCTTGATCCTGTGGCAACTGGGCCATCAAAGAGCCGTCGATGCTGCCGGTCCCTCGCGCGTGAGTGTTAATTAATCGGGCTGTCTGTGGTTGGGAATCCGAGGGGGTACCAGGATGTCGACCACTAATTGTTGCGGCACTCGATGGCACACTGGAATTATTGAAGTAGCCTTGTGCATTCTCTCGTCTAGCCACTTCAGCAGGGCTCATTACACCGTATCGTTGTCGTACGGCTCTGATTTCGGCGGTTTGCAGAGGCGAATTCGGCCTTGATGAGGGCTTGGGGGCATTCTCTAGGATGGTAGCTGAAGGATTGAAGCCGTCAAACTGTCTAGAATATCTCTTATTGGCAGGAGGTGTCGGCATCGCCCGACCAGAATTGGGAGGACGGGGTGAACCGGATGATGAGGGTGTGTATGCGTCCAGGCCAGCAAAGGAATCCTATTTAGGTCAGCATACTAATCCGGCCACGACTAATGAACGGCTGGCTTCTCACTCTATTCCTCTTCTTCTGGTTGGCATAGGCTTTCGTTCTCAGCTTCTTGATACCAAGGAACAAACGAACGCGATCTCCAATCTTCTCGATGCCCATTTCTTGAAGCACAGCCTTGTCCATCTCCAAAAGATTCTCGCCATTTATATTGTTCTTCATGAACAGCTTCTCGTAGTCGCCGCAGTTGACGCTGCGCAACCATGCACCAACACGGGCTTCGTCCCAGTTCTTGGCAGATTCGGGGCCTTCCATGCTGTCGGAGAATTCAGACTCGGTCGGGCTCGCAAAGGATTGATTCGAGGTCATCATGGCTGGAGCCCTTCGAGTTGATTGTATGGTGGAAGATTGTCCGGATGACGAGGAGATGTTGGAGTTGCTCGAGATCAGGGGAGCCGGGAAGGCGGTTTTTGAAGCTAACATGGCCATTATGAGGGAGGTTAGCTAGGCATGGGGCATGTGATGGGAGGATGAAGAGTTGTCTATTCGATTTTCGATTAAGAGGGGTCCGTCGGATTAAGGGTGATGGATAGAACCGGCGCGGAGAGAGCACGAGTTTGAAGTCAGACGCGAATCGCAAATGACTTCAAACGTGTCAGATTCAACTCTCAACAATGGTTTCCTTTGGGATTCGTATGTGTTTGTGTGGTGCACCGAGGCTTTCTCTCTCTATCTCCACTCTCTCCACCTCAGAATTCGCAACGACCCGATGTAGTGTTTCGGAAAACGTTGTCCGGTGGATAGATGGCTGATAGAATACGGGGTTCAAAGAACTGTTGGGGGCAGAGACCACAGGCTGGTAGTGGAGGGTAATGATACGTGTAACCTGTACGACGTAGCTTGCATACGAACAAAGAATCAACCAGTGACCCTGGGCGGAAGCTGGTGATCCCCGTCAATCACGGCACACAATGAGAAAGGCGGATAGACGGAGCGAAGAAGAGCAAAGAGCGGAGCGGACAGGCGTTGAGATAAAGAAAAGCGACGAGGGGCGGAGAGAAGAGCAAGGAGGCGTATGGTGTCCGTCTGCGTGGGCTGAGCGCGGCTCTTTGTTTGGTTGTAGAGAGTGTACTTCGTAGTGGTGAAACTTCGTACTTGGTACTCAAGTCACGGTGGTGGTGAGGCTTTGTCGACGGGGTTGCTGGGTTGCCGGGGAGGATGTTTGGAGTAAGGATACTGGGAGTCGACGGGGGATTAGGGGGTGAATCCGTAGGCAGCCTTGGGGGGGGGGGGGTTGGCTATTATTAAAGGAGGACGAGGATGCTGTTTGTTGTGCGTGTGCTGGTGGAGGATGTGGTGGAATCGGTGGATTCTGTGGATGGAAGAAAGACAGCGACAGCGACAACAGACTGGCGGCCAAAGACCAAAGACCGACGGGATCCTGAAACGAGGCGAGCCGAACAGGGGCGGCGGGTAGCCGAGTAATTGCGGTACGCTACCGCGGGCATTACGGGACTTTTACCACCTTATTTTGCGGTGCCTCTGCCTTAGTTTACCCTAATTTACCACTTACAGGTACCGCCCCTGACCCGCCCACGCTGCTTTACACCCGTATACTTCCCACGGTAATTCGCGATTATTACTATTTATTCGTCCAGGCTCCGGGCCACGCATGACGCGACCAACAGATCACAATCAATGCGAAGGCCCTATACATGAAGAGATATATTCTTATTCTATATTGTTATTCTTAATCCTAATCTTATTCTTAGCAAGAGCCAGAATATCCCAAATCTCAGGTGGGCAGCGTAGGTTTTACCTTGCCTGGCCTGCCTCGATCTTGGCGCGTTGACCTCTTGATAGCTACTCGTACCGGAACTTGGCGTTGCCAGTGGACCACCCTCTCTGGGCTTGCTGGCCCACTGCATGGGTTCTGCAACAGAACTTAATAATTCCCTCATCCTGTGGATATCCTCCCCAGAGGCAAAAGATTCAACTCAAGCCGACGGGCCGCTGCTGCTGCTGCTGCTGCTGTCTCGCTCGTGAAGATGGAGTGAGACCAGAGGCTGAAGAGCGACGTGTCCCACCAGTCTGCAACCGGTGAAGCTCGGCGATAGGCTATGATAGGCTTGGACGGGGGGGGCAATGGCAGGACTAAGGACAGCCCAGGAGGGCATCACTGTTCTGTTCTGGAAGAGTCGGCGATCAATCACTGGGCGGTGGGCTCGAAGTGTGGGATTGGGGATCGCAACCGGGAGCAAGACGACGATCATCGAAAATACGTACTCTTGGAGTGCTTGGAGCCTCAATCATAGCCAACCTGATGATGACATACATTAAAAGATACACCTCTGGACGCACGGTATAAACAGTAAAAGACGGTCAAAACCCTCGTGTCTCGATGGTGGCGCGTGTTTGTTCCGAACCCACTCGCCAATAATAACCACCCATCTGCTGGCTGCAGGCCCGGACCATGGACAACGCGAAACTCGAAACATCTGCGCCAGCTCCTGGAACTCGAAATGTTTGAAGCTACTCCGCACTCTGCTAATAATAAAATTCAACACCATCACAAGAACAACTCCAAAAATGGCGCCATACAACGCCCGCGTCATCATAATTCTGCCCCGCATTCTGAATAGAGCGGCACTTGCACGTTCGCATTCGAGATACTGTACTCCGTCCTACCAACCTAGGTACCTAGGTAGTCGGTACAGCCGTCGTGGAACCAGATCGGGGGTGCAGAAGTACTGTATGGCACACAACTGGGGGTGTTATCTGGTCTTCCCTTCGCTCAACTGATCCATCTCGAGCGCCTGTGCCACCATGCACTTGTCACGCCGTCACGGTGAGGTCATGAACATGGCGAAACCCATCCGAACTTCAGAGGCTCGTGCTATGCAGGTGGCTCCCATGGAGCCCTCATTTCCCATCTGCAATAATAAGTAAGACCAGCAGCATAATATGGAAGATGAGCTCCTTGGCTCCTAGACTCCTAGACTTGCGGTGAACAACGGATCGGTAACCCTATCTGTCCAGCGCTTGGGCTTAGTCTTCCTCCATCGAAACCGTCCGAAATCTAACGCCGCGGGCTGAGGTCTATTCTCTCGAGGGCTCAGGTAATCAAGGTTGTATGACTGTATTACCGTCTCGTCGCAATTCCAACCCGACGACATTATCAAACATCAAGCGTGGTCTTCAACATGCAGCCGATCCCAAATTGACCCAAGTATTTGGATTATGCACAGTAAAATGTTTCCAGAATCTAATTGCAGGCACAGCCTGTGAGTGGCGCGGTCTTCTCATGAAACGAAACAAACTCACATCTGGGAATATTCCAGGCGCCCCGAGTCAGCCTTGGGATGCGATGCAAGTAGAAGGAGTACGATCCAGGCGAACCACCATAGCCGCACGCGTTTGGAGTCTGGGTTTGAGGCTGAAGGTTTGCGTTCCCCCTTTTTCTAAAAAGGATTCACATAATACCACTCACTGGCTGTACCCCTTATCATGTGCCTTGCTCCCATAGCGCCGGGACTTGTAGAGTATCTAAAATTATCTTTAGAAACATTCCAACTCAATGCCAACAATATAGGAACCAAAATATTGGTGTATTGAATGTTACAGAAGCGATATATCCCTTCATGCTATTACTACCCACTAAATCGCCAATTCTTCCATTCCTTAGAGCAGCCATCCACGACGAGGTTGGCATATGCATGAAATATAGGGCTGGGTGGAGATTGGCTGAATGAGATATCGTGTGTGACAGAAATAGAAATAATCCCCCGGTATCACATCTAATCAATTATGAACGTAACCCTTGAGGATTAATAACATTTGTGCAGGTCGAAATACCCCGTTCATTTTATCCAGATTTGATCAGTCGCATCCAGAACTTGTCACGTGCGACCAAACCAGCCCTGCATCTCTGGCTCCTGTCACCCGCCCTACAAGCTTCAACGCCAGCCTTGGCCGCGATTCACCACAGCCTCGAGCTCCAACAAGTAAAGCACCATGTGGTAGCTTCACTTACCACGCGGATGGCTCTCGACCCGTCAAGCGGCTATGTAGCCGCTCAGAATCTGCAGGATCTTAATGAGAACTCCTTGCCCATTTTCAACGTCTCGCCAGTCCAGCTACAGTTCTCAATAGCGTCCGATTTCGTGGCCGCCCAGGTCGCAAACAATGTCCTCGTCCTAGCTCTTGCAAATGGCAGGATTCTCCGGATAGACTTAGATAATCCTGCAGATATAGATGGTATGAGCTGCTTTAGAGATATTGGTGTTGCTGTCAGGCGCTGAAATATATCATAGATATCGACCTACCCAAGAGGGTCTCGGAAGTGGGCGTCATTCGGCGCATGTTCCTCGATCCTACCGCCTCCCATCTGATCATTTGTACCGCTCTTGGAGAAAACTACTATCTTCATACACAATCACGCCAGCCCCGGCCGCTCTCTAGACTACGAGGAGTTTCGATTGAATCAATAGCATGGAATCCTTCACTCCCAACGGCTTCCACGAGGGAGATCCTTATAGGGGCATCTGATGGAAACATATATGAAGGATACATTGAGACGTCGACCGAGTTCTATAGGAAGGAAGATAAATATCTGAAGACTTTGCAAAAGCTTCCTGATGGGCCGATCACCGGGTTATGGATTGACCTTATTCCAGGAAAGCCGGAAGTGCGAAGGGTTATGATTGCTACGCAAAGCAGGCTTCTTCACCTGGCGGGAAAGATCGGCAAAGTTTCACATGAAGGGGGAGCTTCCATATTTACGCGGCTGTTCGAAACAGAGCAGCCAACGGTTCATGAAATATCTAGGGTTTCAACGGTGGCAGCATCATCCCTGGTGGTATCTCCTGATCCTCCTGATTCCAACAGCTACGAAAGTTTGGACCCAGATCGGATCTTTGCCTGGTTATCATCTCAGGGGGTCTATTATGGCCGTTTGCTTACCTCGCCCGCATCCCCTGATCTAGGTAATAAATTGTTTGCGGAAGCAAAACTGTTGCCTATATCCCAGCTACCGACCTCACAGAACTCCAATGGCCGGAAGCCGGCCGTGCAAGATTCTGTCGATTCAATTGCACTCACACAATGGCACATCCTCCACCTAATTGGAGGGCGTGTTATCGCCGTCAACCGGCTGGATGATAGAGTTATATTTGACCAGGTCGTCCTAGAGCCTGGCCAGAAAGCCCTTGGGTTATTTGCGGACCAACAGAAGAATACCTTTTGGTTGTTTACTGCTCAAGAAATTTATGAAATCGATGTGACAGATGAAGACCGGGACGTTTGGAAGGTAATGCTGACTACCGAACACTTTGATGCAGCCTTGAAGTACGCTCGGGGCCGAGCACAAAAAGATGCCGTTGCGACCGCATCCGGTGACTATCTCGTCAGCAAAGGTTCATATCTCGAAGCGGCAGGTGTCTATGGAAAGAGCAGCAAGCCATTCGAGCAAGTAGCTTTAATCTTTGTGGATAATGATCAACAGGATGCTTTAAGGAAGTACCTCTTGACGAAAATCACCGCCTACAAGAAGTCCCAAATTATGCAACGCATCATGATTGCGAGTTGGCTGGTGGAGATATTCATGTCCAAGCTCAACTCTCTCGATGATACGATTGTCACAAAGGCAGAACTGGCGGAGAACCTCAACCCCGCACAAACTAAAGACCAACTGAATACCATCCGCACGGAGTTTCATGATTTTGTAAAGAAGCACAGGGCAGATCTTGATCAGAAGACGACCTATGATATTATCAGCAGCCATGGACGGGAAGAAGAGCTTCTCTTCTTCGCCAGCGCTGTTAATGACTACAACTACGTCTTGGCTTATTGGATGCAAAGGGAGCGGTGGAAGGAGGTATTGGATGTCCTCAAGAAGCAGACAGATCCTGAGATATTCTATCGCTATAGTAGCGGGCTCATTACACATGTTGCAACAGACCTGGTCGATATTCTCACTCGTCATTCAGACCTCAAGCCGCGGAACCTCATCCCAGCTTTACTCGCCTATGACCGAAATTTTCGAGGCCCCCTTTTGCAAAACCAAGCCGTCCGATATCTCCTTCATGTCATCAACCACCTAGATTCTACTGACGCTGCTGTCCACAATACCTTGATCTCGATCTACGCATCCCATCCTTCCAAAGATGAATCGGCTCTCCTTGCTTATCTTGAATCTCAAGGCGACGAACCAAGTTTCGACGCCGACTTCGCCCTCCGCCTCTGCATCCAGCATTCCCGTGTGCAGTCATGTGTACATATCTACAGTACCATGGGCCAATATCTCCAAGCTGTTGAATTAGCTCTAGCACATTCCGAAATCGACCTCGCATCCATCATCGCCGACCGGCCTGTCGCCAATCCAACCCTAAGAAAGAAACTCTGGCTAGCTGTTGCCAAAAAGGTAATATCCCAATCCAACGGCATCAAAACAGCCATCGAATTCATGAAACGCTGCGATCTCCTCAAGATCGAAGATTTAATCCCCTTCTTCCCCGATTTCGTCGTCATCGACGACTTCAAGGAGGAGATCTGCACAGCACTCGAGGACTACAGCCGCAACATCGACGGCTTGAAGAAGGAAATGGACGAATCGTCACAAACCGCTACCAATATCAAAATCGACATCGCGGCGCTCGATCACCGCTATGCCATAGTCGAGCCGGGCGAGAAATGCTATGTTTGCAGTCTCCCGCTGCTGAGCAGACAGTTCTTTGTGTTCCCCTGCCAGCACGCTTTCCACAGCGACTGTCTAGGACGGAAGGTGTTGGAGCAAGCAGGCGTTGGAAAGGGGAAGAGGATTAGAGATGTGCAGATGCTGGTTACCAAGGGGATGGTAACGGGTGCAAAGCGGGATGCGCTTATTGCCGAGCTAGATGCTTTGGTTGCTTCTGCATGGTACGCTCGTTTTATTATCCCCTTCCTCGGCATGCCCTTACAAAAAACATCCATGATACAAGCGGAAACAAAACTAACTTTTCGGTGCGTAATAATAGTATTCTGTGCAGCGATTTCGCCATTAAACGCATTGATGAGCCGTTCGTGCTACCGAGCGATGATAGGAATGAATGGGCGTTGTGAGTGAGTGAGTGAGTGGAATTTGTATTAATATGCAAATATTGCATTGCAAATCATATATCGATGGGATATAATAAATACACATCTTTTTAGTTTTCCAATGCTCAGACAAATGATGATATCAACATCGGCACGCAATACGCTTCAAACATAACAGTACCCAACTTTTTCCGTTGCTATTATTACAATGTCTTACTTTATGCAGTAGGTTCTATAGCAGAGTTCTAGCGCCTATAACGTCGACTGGGCCACCGGCCAGATAACTACGATCGTTTGAATGAATGGATGGGCTAGGCGCTTTGTTGCCGTTCTTTTGTTGTAGTTGAAATCCGACCGGCCGGGCAAGCCTATGGAATGCATTTAAAGGGTACTGGCGTCATGGGTCACCCAAGGCTCATAGTTCTGTCGCTGGTCGATATCTGTTCACCTCTTGAGTTTGAGATAACTTAGCGCGCGGTTGCAGCGTATTCCCGCCTATTTAATATCCATGCCGGAACAGCTCTCCCCCTCCTGTCTCCATATATTACTCGCTTCCCTGTCCACAGTACCCTCAACTCCTACATATGACTTTCCCCGGACACCATTTATTTCAATTCAGCAAGAACAACCAGCTCCCCAATTTTTTAATCCAACTCTACCCTACCCAAATATTGGAACCATTTCTCGCACGATAACCAACCTCTCTTAGGTTTGCCGTCCGTGGATATACTGGCAAGGACAATACATGTACCATTGGCAAACTCCTGGAAATGACCACAAACGAGAGCAGGAATACACACTCTAACACCGACACCCAAACATGGCTTGCATTTCTAGGAGAGATGATGGTTAGCGATCACGATTTACTTGATTACGATCTCGCTAGCATTATGAAAGTATTCCTTCTCCCAAAATCCAACATTGCAGCAGACACAGCACGTCGTATAGATGAATACTACTAGGGGAAATACCTGGCTTCGGATCCCCTGATGAAGTTCCAAGAAGACAAAGGAATGGCAGCGTTCCTATCCCACCTCTACGAATTAATCTTCAATCTGTCCCGGCATATCTATTACGACGATCCTATGTAGGATGTACTTGTACAGCTTATTCTTGAGCTTCGCAAACTCCCACCAAAGAAATTCAAAATCTGGAATGTGCGTTGTCTATCCCCATCCTCATGTCAATCACTCACACTAATGTGTTTCTTAGGCCGAGTCCCTGGTCTACACAGAAGATGATGTTTTCTCAGTTGTGATGGAGGATAGTTGGAATGGGCCAAGGGGTACAATGATTCCTCCTCATACTCAAGTGAATTTGGAAAGCTAACGAGTGCCGAACAGGACGTGAGAATGTTGAGGATATGAATGAATGGATGAACATCTCGGCTTTTTCGCTCGCTGTATCAAAACTGGTATCAGGGACCGCTACGATAATCGTAGCAGGTATCCAAGCTGGAATCTCCCCGACGGGCTGGAGAATAACCTCAAACCCGGATTCGAACGGGATGGCTTGGTCATGGTTGCTGCAAATTATATCTTGCTAGCTGGAAATATCTTTTACGAGGATTGGGTGAAGAATGAAAAGGGACTGGCGGAGTGGCGGCGCTGGACTAGAAAGTTTAAAGAACTGTCAAGACACTATGGGAGGGATGGAGAGTCGAAGTTGGCTGAGGTAACCATGAAGGCGCATGATAAGATGGTTTCCATTGATTCTTCTGCGGGCAAAAAAGCGGGCGTGCCGGAGTAGTATACAAGGGTATTATTCGCCTTGAAATTTATAGGTACTCCCGGTAGGGGCTACGGGCCCCTGGGGGGCCAGAAATCCACTTAGGATTTGTTTCTCTTCGATCATATGACCACTAGCTGCTTAATTGGTACTAACCCAATCCCCATAATATAAATTCTCTTTCCTTAAATGGCCTGAGGCTTCTCCTGATTAGACACAGAGACTCCGAATCTGATAACGAGTAGGAATGGGATGTTGGTTGATTGTACAACATTGCAGATATACTTTAGATCTTCCAGTATATGCTACCAACAAGCTGCGATCGGGCTCGTTGCATTTCGATTTGGCAGAAAGCATCGTTTGTAACCGCTATAGATGCTTAGGATGGATCGAAAAGAAGTGTGAAGGCACAGTCGCTTGCAAAACCGGCTTCCCCTTTTCTACAGGTTCAAACGTTCTATTGCGCCTCGCTGTGCAGGGATCCCTCGCAATTTACTTGCTCAGTTTTGGCGGAGTTACTGTAGAGCACGACATCATTGCGGCAAGGGCCAGTAGCGCGCAAATCCTCTTCTATTTCATGTTGCGAAATCTGGTATATTAGCTGAGCGGACATATAATCGTAGGATTGACTAGACAACGGATTAGAGATAAAACCACCAGACGTAAGAGTCTAATATATAACCCAACGATCCCGCTGTCTGCCAGGCCTCCATATTACTGGTTATTAGGCACTGCTGAATAGTGCTTGTGCCTAGACCTACCTGCTTTTCCAACACTTCAACGCCGAGTTACACAATGACAAACTTCTTCTTAGAGAATGATTCATCTTCCAGTGCTTGACCGTCCATCATACCATGAACATAGCACTCCCCAATAAACTCATAGCCAATATTAGAATTCTCCCTTAGCACATAGAGTACTTGCCCTCCGAATAGGACACAGACATTGTCATTTAAATTGCATGCTGCAGGCCCCAGTCCAATGAATCCGCGACTTGTTCGGAATAATCTTCGCCCAAAAGTCATTGCCTTCACATCTACGAGCATCCAGCTCTGCCTCTGACGCTCTAGAGTAGTCATCTTTCCTTTATCCATATCAAGAAGTTCCCAGTCGACGGCACAACCGCGTGATAGTTCACCATCCCTATCATAATTCTGCCTCCCGACATCTGCGAGTAGAGTGTGGTTATATGCTTCCATGAGGGTTCCTCCAGTAGCGTACTTCGAGTCTGGTGCTGTCGGCATCCATGATTGCTCGCATGTCAAGCCCCCAATTGATAGGTTCCATTCGCAAACTCCCCATACCTCGGTAATGTAGTCAAGTATAGATCCTTGTAGGAGTAACTGAGCAGATTCAATAGTGTTGCATTCGCCAGAGAGGGATCCACTTGCATTATAGACCCTTTCGGTCACAAAACTATCCATATCTAGAAACTTCTCCAATGGGTAAAACGAAATTTGAACTCTCCAATCCGGAACCCAGGATGGCAACGTGTTGTCAACCTCATAGTCAAAAACAGATCCCGGACACGATCTCACCACATGGCCGAGAAAATCCAAAGAGTGGGTGCGTGATGATGATATTGAAAAGCGTACAACGTCACAGTAAACCTCTGCGCACGTTTTGGTGTAATCTGGAACAATGTCGTCTTCGACGGTGTCCATCGCCATGCCGAGAGATGCATATACCTTGTCCCGAGGATCCTCGCACTCATATGGCCGTATAGTTCGAAGGACTTGTAATAGTCGAACCATTTCGCCGGTTTCTCTGTCTCTCCGGAATGAATCAAGCCGAATCGCCATTCCGTCTTCGAGGTTCAAGACCATTCCCTCTTCTTGATAATGGCTGACATGATAAGTAATCTGTAGCGCTGCTCGCAGGCATTCCCAATTTATCATGCGAGTCCCACAGAACAGTACTGTTCTGGCAGGACTTGCCACAGTTCCCTCCGGAACTATCCACACTCTTTTCCACCAGCGTCGACGGCATATCATTCGGAACGCCTCTTGTACCCGATGCGCATCTGATCCGTGGGGACCGAAGAAAAACGGATCTTCGGCAGCGATGCTTGTAACTGCTAGTTCATCGGAGCCACCATGCTGCAGCTTCAGTTCATCCAGTCTTGATTTCCATTCCTTAATCTTATCGAACACCAAGTCGCTGCCATCCTGAGCCGGCCCTAGCCAGATTAAGACTAACTCCGCCGACCGATATATCGTACTCATCAGTCGCACCTGTCTGCCTCGCTCGTGCACATCTGCCTGATTGATGCAGATCGAGTCGGCCCAGAATGATAACCTTGCTTCTCTTACGAAGACGAAAATCCCGTCGATCGCCTCAGCTAAGTTTTTAGTGATCGGGAGATCACGACCATCGACTTTGAGTTTTCTTTCCAGGTATTTAGATCCCCAGGTGTATGAAAGGGCGACGTATGGTGGGGCTTTCTCAACTTCAACGGTAAACATCTGACATACTGGGGTTGTGCCTGGCAGAAACTTGATCAGCCTGATCACTCGCCTGCTGCCGAGAGATTGATAGGTAAAGCATTCACTATTTATATGTGTATTTGATTCTGCCATCTCTCTGGAGTTTGTGTATTGAGTCGCACAATATTTTAGGCCGTTGACGATGTATACTGGCCGCTACCTATAGACGGAGTAGAAAGAGTATCAAAAGGAGGTGGACGGAGTACCTATCGGTACTAGTAGATCACAGCGGGATGCTTGTCCTTGGCACGGACCCATGCGGGCATCGATGTGGCTGGCGACTTGGACCGGCCCGCTGAGGCGCAGCCCAATCCCTACTTCGTACAGAGTAGTACAGTATCTGAGTGGGGAAGCTAGGTTCGAGGCCTGAGGCTCGGAAATTAGAAAACAGTAAATAGGTCTGCAAGGTGGTGGGTAGTGGGTATAGTAGGTAGGTTTTGGTGGATTATTTCAATTCGGATTGCACTTTTATATACTAAGTCTTAGGGTGTGGAGTGGCAATTAACCGAAAATTGGGCTGATTTCTTATAACATTGAAAGTAATGTAGCCAAATCATAAATCCATTTTTCCCAACCCAACGCTTCCCACCCAAACGACCGTCTATAAAGAAACCCCTCCCAACTAATTCCGACGTTCGGCAACGATTCATGAATGATTGAAAACGAGAAGTTCAAACAATCCCGAGCAATATGCCCCCGCAATCCACCTGCACGAAATCATCATTCGACTCCACCCCAAAATATCATTCAAACTCATATTCAAATGTGAAACTCCCAATCGCACCGAAACGTTTCCCGAACACAATCTTCTGGGATACGATGGAGGAAGACAAATTCATGTTCTGAATTGTGATATGCCTTATGTGGAATCCTCTTACCCAGATCCTTCATCAACTTCCGCACTTGGCGATACTCAACACGACCGGGACCCGTCAATTCCGGTACAACTATCCTGTGAACCACAACATTCGACTTGCCAGTAGATACTCGACGCCTGGCTTCGACCATAGCGCACTCCTCGTCACTGTAGACCGAGATAAATTCGGTCCTGCGTCTGTACCCCCAGACTAGATGCGGTGGAAACGCCTGGCGCATCTGTCTTCTGTTGCTGCGTCGAGAAAGATCAAGTGTCATGGTGGGTCTTACTGGTACCGCGCCTGCACGTATTCCCTTGCCTTCCTTGTAGCGTGCCATGGATTCGTCGTCCTCGACACGCCAAAATACCTTCGGGGCCATTTGTTCAATTATCAAAAGCGCAATACAACAAAGGCACGAAAGGAATCGAGAAGGAGTTGAGGATGTCGAGAAAATGATAGACAAAGGTCTGGGGAAAATCAAGTGAAGGAACTTCAGTAGGGAGAAAGAAAGGAGGGCCGGGGGAACAAGGTAATTTCAACATCTTTTATGGTTATGTTTACAGCAAAGTCGGGCGCAACAACTCGCCTCTCCTACATGTTCTCATGACCGAATTTGTTTCCCGCTACTCTTCCAACGAGAAATCGAAGGGTCCACGTGTGCAGTCTTCATAGGACGAGGGTGCTTCGGTGTGGAAGCCGTAGAGTGAGGATTCAGAAGGAGGTGTGTTGCCCTTGGGATCAACTGGCTTATTCTATTATTGCGCTTGCCGCGGAAAGTGTTGATGATCAGTTGTGCTTCCATATCTATTTGGCACCAATAACTGCTTAACGACGCGACGCGACGCGACGCGACTCGTACGCGTTGAGGCCTAAGGCACCCAATGGACTGATTCAAATCGCGGCGTCAGGCTGCCACGTCCGCCAGGTACGGATGCCCCAGCGCCTCTCTCGCCGTCGGTCTCTTCGTATGACCAAGAACTAATAAGTACTCGATAAACTCGATCAGATCCTGCGGCACACCTTCAATCTTCTCTAGCTCCTGCCGCACCGTCCCTACCGTAATGAATTGCTTCATCTCCCCCGTCTCCAGGTCCTCGTATTCCTCTTTCTCCAGCGCCCTCGCCAGCGAGAACTCATCGAGGAAAGCCTCATTCACAGGAGGTGATATCGGCCCTACGAGGCGAATGATTTTGGCTATGCACCATGCCTCGGTGTTATCATCTATGATCTTGTCGCCAGCGCCAAAGACGAGCCTTTGGGCAAGCCAATATGTCAACTTAATAGTTGTTAGATTCCATAATCCATCAGTGAGGTTTGGCTGGTACGGAGAAGATTACCGTAGCACCGAGGGACCAGACGTCGGAGCTATGCCAACACCCGAGGCCACGCCAGACTTCGGGGGCACGGGTCGGTAGGCTCTGGATTCGTGTATCATCGTAGCCTTCTCTGAGCACTATTTTATTTTTTAGTCTTAGTTGTTAGGTAGATAAATGCTCTCTTACTATTTCCCAAATCGCCCACTTTGACAACAGGGCAAGCACTGTCAACGTTTGATAGCAAAATATTATTCGGATTAATATCTATAAAGTTAGTAAGGATACCTCATCTTCGTCTATGCAGGTAAGGTTTGGGGGGATGATACCTGAATGGAAAGCACGATAAGTTTCTTTCAGAAAGGCAAGTGTTTCCAGTACTGATCTTGCGATCACACGTGGGAGCTTAGGCTTGGAGCAATACCGAGAGTATGGCACTGTGCGAAGATTCTGATCCATCCATTTGAAGACCATGCACTGTGACTCCAATGGTTTCTGGGAGTCAATGTCAAAGCCAATAACATCACGGAGCGCTCTTATGGTTTTGCATCCAGCCATATGTGGGAGTTCGTAACTGTTTCGCTCACGGTTGAAGACATAATTCATGGACTCATCTGTCTCTGTCTTGACCACGGCACTATAAACAAGTCAACTGGCCATCGAAAAAACATCGTGGGTTTTCATGATAAACGGACAATTGTTGGGCGCCTGTAGGTACTTTCTCGGAAGTACCGCCAAGGACTGCGGCTTTAAACACCGTGTTTGTTTTCAGCGCCTCAATGATTTCGTATAGACCATTCTTCCCTTTCAGAATCTGACCAACGCTGATCGGTAGCTTCGACATGGCAAGAGGGACGAACAGCTACAGAATTGTCGATATACGAGAGAAACAAGAAGCAAGAATCGCGTGCAATGAGGTAAGGCATAACTGGATAATGGCCGTTGGTGCCTGAAAAAAACGGTTGGCTCCAAATGCTACCTATAAAGCGCCATTCATACTCGAGTAGCTACCGAGACAGGACGTGGGAAATGCATAAGCTACAAATTCCATGCTCGTTGCGTGCATGTCATATAAATTCTCCAGGCATCTTAAATGAATGTCCGACCTAATGTGCCGATAAGCGACCATGCAATGCTTGTGATACCAGGTAAGTACCTAGGTAGGTAGAGATATTACATTACCGCACCAACAACGGAAGACGGCAGAGGCTCCTTGCTATAACTGGATTTGAACAGGAGTTTTAAATTCTAATGGACTTCTTGCAGGAGACTGGGTAGATTAGGAAGCTGCGTTGGTTTCAGATGGAAATGGCCCTTTTCAGCCTGTCATAAGGTGCTATCGGTAACCTCCTATAAACATAGTTAAACCCATTTCTTATTTGCAATACAATTTAATTCGAAGCCCATTTGACTCTTTAACTTTTGATCTCAAGATAAATCCGCGTATTCGCACCAAAACATAATCTTAAGAACATGTAATATCTTCTATCTCCACTTGCACTGGTGTTATCATTTTCGACTAACCAACAGAGTAGTGTGGTCAAGATGTGTGAGGTTTGGGTCACCACCAGCAAATATAAGAACTGTACTGCAACTCCGAAGCATGTGATTATGTCACATGTTCCAAAGTCCTGCCCAGATATGGGAAAGGTTGGGCATCCTGCGCCGAAAGATGTTCATATGGGGTCATCAACCGTCACAGGCGGGATTTGTCCAAAGTGTTGAAGTGTTGCATCTGTAAGCTTGAAAGCCAACTCGTTAAAATGAATGTGGTTTAACTAGAAAACAGCCGAGAGGGATCTATTACTTATAGTTGATATTGTTTGGAGGGGTTTGCACGTGATATTTGATGACGTAGAATTTCTACCTGTGCATTTTATTGAGATTAGCTGCATTCTCAACAAAATAATTATAAAGTCTACTAATTCTTCTAATTCTTTTAATTCTTCTAATTCTTCTAATTCTTCGCTCCCCTATAAAATATCACTTCACGAACTCGTAATGGCTTCAGATTCATGTCACGTCATAGAGGTCGATTTATACTATCCAGAGAATGTGAAAGACGTACTAGGGATGGGTAGTAGCTGCTTTATAGGCCTTGTTAACGATACCACGGTCATGAAGTACCCCCACCATCCAAATGACAATGCAAAACTTGCGGCTCTGGCTATTGAAGCTCAAATATTAGAGGCGATCGGAGATCACGATCGAATTATTCGCTTGAAGGGACGGACTAGCGCAGGCCTCTTGTTAGAATATGCATGTCACGGATCTCTTGGTCGATACCTTAGCTCACACAATCCAACAATCGAACAGCGGATTGCATGGGCTACCCAGGCCGCAGAAGCGGTCTCATTAATACATGAAAAAGGCGTTATCCATTGCGATATTAGTGTTAACAACCTCCTCCTGGATGCGGAACTAAACATCAAACTGTGCGACTTCCAAGGACGCCTTCTTAGATCGGATAGGAGTGTTAAGCTAGTTGGCCTCTCGTCTGAGAATGTGAAGGCGTCTATGCCTCGAGTCGATCCTAATCACGCAGATGAGAAAACAGACATTTTTGCCTTCGGGACAGCTTTCTATCAAATTATAGAAGGTTGCGAGCCTTTTCCCGAATTAGATTCTTTTACCCAAGAAGAGGAAATCGAGCAGAGATTTGTATCGGGTCAATTTCCCACGGTGCGGTATACCCTAATAACAGCTGTTATTCACAAGTGTTGGAGGGGGGAATACAACTCTACACACGAAGTCGTTGGCGACCTTGAGAAGTTGAGCGTCGTAAGTCAAGAGAAAGCAGTTGGTATAGAAGGATAGCAAAGCTGATAACCTCCAAGTTCAATCCCTATGATACCCGTCTATCACGTCAATGAAGCTATGGGACTTGTGAGTACCATGGGCAGGCACGTGGCTGTACGGCTCTTGTTGGACTAGGGGAACCAAAGAATACTAATAGAGGGGCCGGCGCTATACCAGGTGGGCTTCCTCGGTGGCAAGTTGTTCCCCGGCACACTATCGCTTTTGTCGAGGCCATTGGTTTATCCTGTAAAGATCCTCTAATGAGATCGTCACATCCCGTACGACAATGTTTCTACCTCCCGTTACCGTGGCGCTTAATGGACATGTTTAAACCCAATTCTGCGTCTGATATGAGCGCATAGCCAGCAATGACCTTGACGAACCGCTCTGGCTCTATGGATATCGAACTTCGCAGAGAGCTGTACGGACTAGATCTGTCAAAAACCGAAAGCGGCATCAGACTTCCGCAGATTGTAAAGCCAGGCACGAATCGCCGACCAGGTTGACTTCCAAACACTTCCCGTGCATAGCCCGCTAATTATAATAGTGTTTGGTTTGCCGCTTAACCTCTAATACGACGTTCCACCGCCAGAAAACTCCACCGGTTTTCATGGGTTTAAATCACTGCAAAGATCAATTACGCACCCCCTTGATGATGGCTGACAATACGACCATTCCAGAAACCTCCGAAGGTTAAACTATCTCCTAGCCCTTCAAAACGATCTTGTATATTGACAGCTCTAGGTACCACCTTACCTTCCATCCTCAAGTGCAAAGTCGTCCGTTATGGGGACCAGGTGATCAAGTCAGGGCCCTGACATACGGCCGTCGGAGGCAAAACCCATGCAGTTCATTGCGGCGAATACTAGTATTCCTGTTCCCCGAGTCTATGACGAAGGTACGGAGCCCACACCTAGTTTCACTATGGACTATATGGAAGGGGAGAGATTGGATAAAGTTTGCAATGGGCTTCCTGAAGAGGAGAAGCTAGATCTTGTAGGTTAGCTTTAGTTCATACTTTCTGAATGCAAGACCTCAAAGGAGAGTACATCGGATCACTCGATCGCGGAACAGCAATTTATGGGCGGAGATTCAACTTGGAGGGCGGTCCATTCGATATGGAAGTGGAGTTCATCCACTTCCTCTTGTCAGACACACTTCGGGTTGCTCCACAGATACTTCGCGATATTGCATCTTGTTCCTTGCGGACGGATCATAAGGCTGTCTTTACTCTCGGCGATTTTGCACTCCGGAATATCAATGCCAAAGACGGACAAGTCATGGGGCTTCTCGGTTGGGAAAATTCGGGATGGTACCCAGAGTACTGGGAATATGTAAGGACTCTTAACGGATCAGACCATCGTCTTAGCTGGTATAACTACGCAGGGCAGATATTTCCAAATTGCTATGAGGCTGAGTATATCAACGATCGTTTCCTTGGATCACTTCTTCGCCACTAAGAATCTACAGATGCAAATATAAAATTTCACTTGTTGCTGTCTTGTTCCGGTCCTATATAATGATATACAATAAACGCGTAACTTTGATGGTTGAAGTCGTGAATCTTCTCTCGCTTCGCGGAACGGGTGATCCCCACCCCTTAGCCAACCCCCTGACGTTAATCCAATTAGAAGTACGCAAGTAACACTATAAGAAACTGGACGGAACAAAGTATTAGGTAGTAGTGATTTTGATGTAGGATAACAGGTTATTCGTGCCCCAATCGACTTTGTATTTTTCTTTTCATTGAGCTATTAAAAGGATTTAAATCCATGCAGAATGAGTCTGAATGATTGATTCGAAGTGGAACATTCTCGAGTATCACTTGAATCGTTATTATCACCGCTGTTTAACTGCGCGGCCTCTAGCTCTAGAACGACCGGCCCATCTATATATCGTGGAATCGCAGTATTACTTTTCGAGCTTCGTAGAGTAACGCACCTAGATCGGCCCTATACTCCGGCGAGGGACAGCACCATGGTTATCCTCCCTTGAGCATCTCCCATTCATCTTAAGTAATTCTCCTTTCTCTTCTACTATCTAAAGGATGGTTGTTGCGACCTACTCATGGCTTATTTAGTGCTCTTATCTCCTCTCTCGACAATTATTTAGGTCCCGCTTCTCGTTGGCAGCTTTGTTCTTCATGGACTTCTTCCATCCAGCTTGCGACATTCAACCAAACCGCTCTCTAGCCAACTTCATAGACCTTGTCTCCATATCGTGTCTCGGTTGAGGTGTATTGCGATCTTGAGTCCGCCTAGGTGTCTTGGACCTCTTTGTTATCCTTGACTCAATGACAGCTGCACCGCGCGTTCTGGCGATTCTGATAACGGGTTTTACAGGCTGCGATGCTGCAGTGTCGGGCGTAGACTGTTGCTTTATGTGCATGCGTAATAGTCCATTGCGCTCGTTTGCAGGAGGTGGGTTTATCTCTTCCGGGTCTTGATTCGATGATGTAGGTGTCGGTAGAGCCGACGGCGATGGCGATGGCGACGGGGTATAAACTTCTGCCAACTGGTGTTGGACTAACGTTTGGTAGGCCTCGCGCATATGTTCCGGCGTCGCTCGTCTTGCGTCCTCCTTAGTCATTCCAAATCTGGCGTATTTCGCAAGGCGGCCTCTCTCCTTATCCTCATGACCTTCCCAGGCCTCCCTCAGACGAAACTCAAATTCGATCCCGAAGCCAGGCATGGCAGTGCAATATGCATCATCCGGGGGATTTGTTTGAGGTCGAGGACAAGGAATGGGGGACTTGCGCTCGACCGACAATTGAGACTTTTGAGGCCAAGGCATCATTAGCGGCCATCGGTGCACAATACGTTAGATTCATGGCGTGGTTGTGCGTGATGTACTGTTTAGTGCTGTTGGGTGTGGTGGAATGTGAAGCGATTCGCACTGCAGCAACCGAGCCAACAGCAACTGCATCAACGTCCAACTCATCCTTTCTCTACTCCCTTCTCCATAATTGCTCCCCTTTTTCTTTTGTATACTTAAAGATGAGCATCCGCTCTATCTCTCCGGAGCTAAGCAACGCTCCACTTTAATATTTGCAAAATTGGTTCCTGCAAACGTCGAAGCCCAACTCTTCAGCAGCCTTGTAGAGGCAGTTTTGTTTCACAGCAGCTTCACGAAAAGAAAAACTTCCAATTATCCCATGTTGACTAAATCCAAGTCTCCGAAACCTCGGAGCGGCTATGTTTACTTCTGGTGACGAATGTCATTTTTTTAATCAGCTATGTAAGCTTTGTATTTTAGGACTGAGTGTTGAAACAGGCGGGAAAAAACAGTGGTCGGGAAATATGGGTAGTTGAGGCCCTTTAGGGCGTTTTATAATTACTAAAGGATACAAACAAAGATTGATTTATTTACCCCAAAACACCAAGTAGAATGTTGCCGCTTTTGGCCCAGCCTTTCGAATATACAATCAATCATCCTCGCCCTCCAGTTGAAGAAAAGGATCCTCAAGCAGGTCCTTGGCTGTCCTTCTCTTTTCCGGCTGCCATTGGAGCATTTTGCTCACGAAGTCTAGGAACTGCTGGTTTTCCACTCCTTGAAAAAGAGTGACGGTCTCAGCAATTCTAAGGTCTCGCGGGATCAAGTCCTTACGGATAAATTCTCCTGGTGGGCGAACGGTTGTCAATACATAAAACTCTCCGACAGGGCAGGTACATCTAAAACTTACCATTATCATCGAAAAATGGGCCTCCAAAGTACTGGAATGCGTTCCTGCACAACTGTCCTTTGGGGTTCTGAACTTCGGGCGCGAAGGTCAACTTGCGGAAACTTCTCTCCCGCTTAAGGAGAGCCATTAGAGGTGGTCCCAATAGTGCAGTCATCTGCGCAAGATGGGCATGCGCATTGTAGTGTCCTTCCTCGTCCTTAAGGTCGGTAAATAGATCTTTACCTTCCATCATATTCCATATCTATACTTGTCAGAGCCATGGTACGGAAATAGCACACACACAACGACAAAGAGGGAGGGAATATACCAACACACCCATATTCCATATATCCGCACTGTATGACCATCCAGTTCCTAGAATGACTTCCGGCGCGCGGTAGCGGTGGGGTTGGACGGGATGAATACGGGCGGGCCCATCACCAGACTGTGCGAGGTCCAAGTCGGCAATCTCTGGAAGGATAAAGTAGTCTCGAAGTGGCCCGAATTCACTCTGTGACAGATAAGTGATGTGGCCATCGTCCATAACATGTCGAGGCAAGGAAATTTGTCTCTGCTGCTGGACGAAATCTTCCAAAACTGACTCGCTTTCCAAATCAACCAGGACATTGTCATCTTTAAGGTCTAATATGTCCCGTTAGCTAGTCAGATTCTGTTTATTTTGAGGGGCGGGGGCGGGGGCGGGGGTAGTAGAGTGGTGCTTGTTCGTAAGGACATCAGACTTTCCAGTGTGAATGAGATGACATTCGGAATGGAGATAGTTGAGGCCCTGCAAGAGGAGAACCACATAAAGCTTAAGGAGTTGGCGGGGCAATCGCCTGTTCTTAAACCGGCGCTGGAAGTCATACAAGGTTTCCCTCATTGGACGATAAACCAAACAGATATGAATCCCATGGGATCCATTGATTTGAAAGTTGTCGATCGGAGTCCTGATGTAGCCGGCGCCAGGATGAGATGGGTTGGTCGAGGCAATGCGCTGGGAGAGCGTTAACTCGTGCTCAGCAGCAGCGATGCTGCCATATGTGCAGGCTCCTATCTTGACGGCGACATAACGAGGAGATTCGACCTCGTTGAATCTACTAATGCTTAGCCCAGCTGAGAAAAAAGGGTGACGAGGTCCACCAGAGGCGTACCGCCACAGATCTTCTGCCAGCCAGAGAGTAGAACCAAACCCCCATCCTAGCTTGGTGATTGCCTGGTATCTGTTATTAAGGACGTGGCCCGAGTGCGTCGAGTAATAGTCATTTGGGCTGTAGTTGGGGATTGTTTCTTCGTCGATAGCTTCGTGGATCATTGGGGTGGGTTCGGAGCTAGGAGTGGACATTGCTCTCGCGAGAGATGGCCGCAGACCCCTAAACCGACGGGGAAAATATGATGAAGGTTGTAACATTAATTGGAAGCCGCGGAAGCACGAGCCCTTTTGTGCTGCCATGACGACCTAGATGGGAATGTGAAGCAAACGCATCGAAAAATAAAGATAGAGCACGCGGTTGTGTTTTGTTACCATCTACAGGGGTGCCTCAGCTCAGTATATTCAAGTCCCGCCTCAGGCCCACGTAGTGAGAAAGCACTATCTTCTAAATCCATAGCAACGATTTATGGACAATATAATGTTACCAAGCTGAGTTTTACGTCTCCTACAACATCATAAGTGCCTTTCAATACCATACCCCTTCCACAACAAAACAACCAAGTCAACAAACCACTGCTATCTTTGATACTACCTATACTCAGTTCGATTGTTGCGAATCAAAAGGAACCGACTTACCTTTCTCCAGTTTCTATACCGGAAGTGTTCCACCGTCCATTCAGAGATCAAAATATTACTTTCCGTCCCCCGAAGGATAATTTGTATACCTCGACAAAAGATATTGGGTCTACAGTTGGACAACGGGGGCGATGTGTAATAAGTTCAGCGGCATTTCCTTTTGTCCCAAAATTGTTTAATGCCGATTCTGTCGCATTGTGGACTACGCTGGGAAATGATATATTTCTAATTCCAAAGATGGAGAAGTTGCCACAAGCAGAAGCAGAGTTGATTTTCAATAGTAGGAAAACTAGATAAAGAATATTAGAGGGTTAGAGCCACGGCATACTGTTTCAACTAATATTAACATATAAAGTTGAATTAGATGGACAAGCTAATGCCGCGATACCAAATTTGAGCCATCTTAAACTTATAAATCCTCTCTGGAAGACTTTATATTAGTCGCTTTCGGAGAATTACGCTCTCTTGTTACTCCCAGAAGACTTCTGCCATTTATAGGCTTACTTAAGCCAATAAATATCTTCTCTGTGTTCTACAAGCATGGAATCAAATTTCAAAGGCCCTCACCGCCCTGGCCGCTCGAAACGCAACGGAACTGTGCTGCGATGCAAAGCAAGTATGTATCGGCAAGGAGCCTTACTTCTTTGAGCCGCTCGACACGCAGCCAAAATCCACTCACTCCTATGTTAGGCAAGAATGGAACCAGCGCTCTAGCCGCTTTCAGTCGGTCGAGATGCAACGAAAGCCCACTCACTTCTATATTAAGCAAGCAGGTAATCAGTTTTCTCACCGCCCAACGCTCGAAACGCAACGAAAGTCCGCTCGCTGTTTCCAGAAAAACCAGAATCAGACATCACCCGACTGGTCGAAACGCAACGAAAATGAACAGCTAAGTCAGGCAAGGCAAGAATCAAAGGGTTATACCCATTTAGGTCGGTCGAGATGCAACGAAAACCCACTTAACTTTTATATTAAGCCAGTAAGTAACCAATCGACGCTCGACATGCAACGAAAACCTGCTCTCTGATTCTGGAAACAACAGAATCAGATATCACCTGACCGGTCGAAATGCAACGAAACGTATTGCTACGTTAAACCGGGAAGGAAGGAAGCGGGGCAAAAAGCTCTGACCGCTCCGCTCGAGACGCAACGAAACTGCCTCCTACGTCCAGATTAGGTAACATCATGTGACAGTGGAAATACAACAAAACTCCTATATACCTGCTTAGTAAAGGATGAAGATTAAGCAAGGGAATCACGTAAGACGCTAGAATCGTAACGGAACTCTCATATCTAATACTTTCCAACGTGATAAAGATTAAGTAAAGGCCCACGTGATGGTACAAACGCAACGGAATTGTAACGAACATGTGCTGTAATCGTGTCACAAAGATATAGAAAACGCGGAGGTATGCAACTTGAATGGAATCGCTCTTTGTGTGGCATGAGGGGCCCCTATTTGACCTAGTCAAAAGGGGCGCGAAGTACGTAGTAGCTACTTAGCTAATACTACTATTAGGTAGGAATCGATCACAGAGTAGGAATAAATTCTTAGTAGAAAATATACCCAAGCACAAAAAGAAAATCCCAAGGACTCTCTCGGTCGAAAATTTGATTTGATCCTTTTGATTTTAATCTTCCGTTACCTTCTGAGATATTCCTTGATATGTACCATATGTAGGTATATTCTGCCGCCACTTCAACGCCATATACAAATGTGTGAGCTCCGTAAACCTGGAAGGTCTCCAGTACCTTGCCCCAAGCCAGCCATCCATCCACCCACCGAGGTATATATATATATATCTCCAGCCGCCAACAAAAGTAAAACGCCATGTATATGCCAATATCCCTATGCGTGCGCTTCGTAACCCCATCTACTTGGGTAAATGCAAAACCGCCCTATACTCCAAAATGCAAAATATAAATACATCTGCCGGCCGTGAATGATCATATCACATCGCTGCGTAAACCATCCCGGCGCCTACGGCTGCCATGGCTCCAAGATTCATTGGGGTCCCTGTTCGTTCGGCTCCCCCCTTCGATGTCGCTGCAGCGCCAACGCCTAATGTGACGGTGCCGGCCATCTGACCACGCTGTACGCCCGCTGAAGCGGATACCGGGTTTGCGACCAGTGTGGCGGAGGGAACAGCAGCACTACCCTTCGCAATCTCGAGTACATTAGACTTCGTGGCGTTGAAGTTGGTCTGCGCGATCGAAATCTCGTTGTTGGCGAGGTCATACACGATGTAGGCAGAGCGCATGAATGTATCTCCCATCACGGCTGTGCTAGATCCCGCCGGAGCGATGCCGAAAACGCAAGCTTTGGTTCCATCGGAGAAGGTGAGTGGCCTTCCATTGTTAGAGGTAACCGTGATGACTAGCTCGTCCATGGGAACTGCGATGGTGGGGCCGGAGAACGAGAAATTCAGTTTAGTAGTGTTCCCAGCAAGGCTGCAGGGGACGTAGGCCACGCCGTCGGAGGAATCATACTGGGCGCCAACCTTCTCATATATAGCTGCTGTGATCGGATCTGGGAGGTAGGATAGAGAGGTTCCCGAATCCAGGAGTACGGCTTGAGCTTGATTCGCTGCGATCACGGTTGAACCGAACGAGATTGCAGTCATGGTGACCAGGAATTCGGCAAACTCGCCTTGCTCTGCCTGGACGGGCAAGGTTGCAAGCTCGCCCATAAATTGTTCCGTATCCACGCCACCGAAAAGGATGCTGCCGGTGCTCGCATCGAGATCATTCAGCCAGAGACTATAGGCGTTGGACTGGATGAGTCCTTCGGCAACCAGCTGTGCGGGCAGATTGTTGTAGGGCGACTTTTTAGATCTTCCCACCTGGACTTCATTGATCGCGTAGCCAATACCCAAGATACCCGACGTCGCCGAACTCACATATCCAATGCCGAATTGTAATCTCTTCAAAGTTGAGGAGCCGATGGTGAAAGTATCTGACACATAATCCCCAGTTGCGCCTGATCCATCAACATATGATATATTGAAGTCGCTAGCGACATATGAATATGTTGACGACGAGTTCGCGTCGTATGAACCCGCTAGCTGGCAAGGTTTTGATCTCGCCGTACATAGCCTCGACTTAGGCGTGTTCACCCAGAGATCGCTACTTCCGGTATCAAGATGTAACCGCACAGTCTGTGGTGGGGTTCCTAACGTCGCATTCGCAAAGTATAATGTTTCCTTGGGGTTAATTAGCAAACTGAGAGTCAACCAATAATTTCTGCCTACACTTACCTGGTTGTCTAACGTTACTTGGGCAACTCCTCTCCTCCGTAGCCGATCTCTCTGGACCGGGTCTGCGACAGGTATTCTTTCAACAGGGAATCCGACAACTCGTGGTGGGCCATCCGTCCTCTTTTGCAGCATAAGCCCTTCGGTGCACGTCGATAATAGGCCCAGGGCCGTAGTGACTGTCGGTAAACCCTTCATAATCATTCAATATGTGTTCCCTGCCGCGTGGCTTGCTGAAGCTCAATATGCAAGTGTTGCGCCTGGACTGAGCCTAGTGGAACTGATGGTGGAGTGGTGTTTCTTCCTTCCTCTCTATAGCACACAGAAAATAACCACAAAGCTTTAAGATGTAGATTATGGGGAGGGAAGTCTTTCTGTGTCCACGACGAAATTGTGGGGGTGGAAGTCTCCGATGATATCGAATGGCGGGGCTTCCTTAGCTGCTAATGCTCCACTCGGGGGAAGGCTGAAGGGCGAATAATAATATTGGAGATGCGACGGGGGCCAGATCAAAAGATGTACAGAAGTTCAAAACATATGGTTGTAATGCAAAACGAGACAAAAGAGTAGAAGAAGCGGAGAGTGCCCGGCACTGCGATGAGTCTGTTGCTCTGTACGTACTCTGGGCATAGTCTACACATGCCCCCGAAGGCATTGCAACGGGGGAGACAGCCTTTTGTATGTCTTGGCTTCAACCGGGGCCCTGGACGGAATCGCAGCGATAATACTCGATACTTTCGTAATTGCGGTCGACACCATGACGCGGCCTTGTCACCACCCAATGACACGGATGCAATCGCAGTCCATCACCGTCCCCGTCCCCGTCACCAACAATAATAAGCGGAGAGGCGTCGTACGGGGTACGCGTGTGCCATGGGCAGTCTCGGGCTTTGCGCTTTGTTCCAGAGAGCGTCTGCGGCTGCTATTTGCGTTCGCGGTAGAGAGTGCCGGGAGTGTGAAATTGCGAGTTTTGAGAGGATCTGGAGCTGGGCGGGCCTGGGCGGGCGGACTGGGCTGAGTTGGATTGCGGCTTGTGCAGCAGAGCTCGAAACACCAGGGGACGCTTCTGATACACTTCGCGAACGGGCAACGTCTCGAGTCTCGAGTCTCGACACCACGGACATCTCGACATTGCTGGTGTGGCAGTCCCTTCGTGCTGCCGTGATTGGGCGCAGCCTCTCGATCTCGACCAACTCGCCGTGCGGTGGCGGCTAAGGGCCAGATTGACGAGTCTTGGTCTTGGTCTTGGTCCTGGTCGTCGTCGTCGTCGTCTTCATCTTGGTGCCATTACTCGTTGCCACTCGGAGCCAACGCTTGGATGTCTGCCCCGTGGCGATCATGTGAGATGGCTCAGCCTCGCTCCTCGGATCGTTTGGATAAATAATACCCGTGTTATCCATCCATTGTTCCGCTCCGTTTGCTTGCAACGACGGCTGTGTGCTTTCGGCCGTTATCCGATAGTGACGAACAGCCACGCAAGTCTCAAGCTTTGGCGAGCTAGGTACAGGTACAGGTACAGCGCAGCCATCAACGTAGAGCCGCTCGGCAGGATCAAACAGTTCGTCACTCTCGCTCCTCTTGCTGACAAGTTGTCATGCGAAGTTTCGAAGCTTGGATGAAGTGATCCCAAAGTGATGGCTTACGGAGTGTAGAATACCAGGGCAAGACTCGGAATCCTATAAAGGGTGCTGGGAGGAAGGAATGCTCGCCTGTTGGTACGTGGACGAAGTACAGTACATAGTACCAGCAATGAAGCATGTCGGTTCGTGTCTGAACACGGGCAATGAAGCCCACAATTCGATTTCCGCATAATTTTAAAAGGCATGGGGCGCGACCTCCAAGAAATCGAAGAGACGAGTTTGCCCACAATATAACACCCTGGCTTTCTACTGCAAGTTCCAACCTCCAAGTTATTATAATACTAATCAAGTCCTAAGGTCACTGGTGGGCATGATCATGTGACTCGTCCCCCTTTGCCCGCCACATACCTTTCTAATTGGTGGTTTCACAGCTAGATACTCAGCTCGGTACATAAGTTAAGAAACTGCACCAATGGTGTACGCACTCGAGAGTGCTCCGAGCTGATTATTAGTGTTTTAACACGGCTGGCAAGTTCGTAACGCGTTCCCAAGAGTGTCTAATGGCAGCCTAAACCAGCACGCCCAGGCAATGCCCACGAATCCCTTCTGTGGAGGAAGGCAGCTGAGAAAAGTAGGCTGTCGAAATGGAGCCACAGGCGTAGATTCGTGTCTATGTGCGACAGTGTCGCTGCCTGAAAACGAAGGGACTGTACAAATGCCACTAATGGCCCAATGTAAGCCGGACGAATGCTCTGCATACTTCGTGAGGGCGTGGAATCTAGTACGAAGTACGCTACTGTCAACCTTGTAAACCACCACATACGAAGCTTACCTTGACTGCATCTCTTGAACTTCAATTGTTGTCTATTGCATTGCCATCTTTGCGTTGTCTATTGCTCTCGTTTCTATACTTTCTAGTGTAGGGCCAACCTTGCTCCGTACGGCCAGCAAGACTCCGTTTGCTATCATCAAGATGGATTGGGTCGATCATGAAAGATGGCAAGTTACTCTCCGCTAGGCAACCCTTGAAGCTCCTCCATAGCTCTTGCTAACTATCATATCGCTCACAGCCCTGTCTACGCTGTATGTCCCGCTCTCCTCTCATAGCTTTCCAAGGCCTTCTCCAAATGGCATTACCTCTGATAATGGTTCGCAGTCTTTCTTTGGGGCCATGGGCTGTAGCATGGCGGTGGTCCTCTCCGTGTTTGGCGCCGCCTACGGGATCGCGAAGTCAGGCATTGGAGTCTCAGTAGTCAGTGTGTTGCGACCTGACATGATAGTCCAAAGTTCGTGGCTCTTCCCCCTATCTCTCCTCTATATCCCCTTGCTGGCCGCTCTAATGACATCTACAGACATGATGCCGCCCATCCTCGCGGGTATCCTCTCCATCTACGGTCTTGTCGTCGCGGTTATAATAAACTCCGGCCTCAAGGAGAAAATTGCTCTTCATACAAGCTTCATGCACCTAGCAGCAGGGCTATCATGCGGATTGTGCTGTCTGGCAGCAGGATTCTGTATAGGGATCGTGGGTGATGCCGGCGTGAGAGGTACTGCGCAGCAGCCGCGTCTCTTCGTCGGGATGATGTTGATGTTGATCTTTGCTGAGGTGCTGGGTGAGTTCATGGCGTTTGCTGCTTCTGCCAGAAATAAGCCACTATGATGACCGAATGCTAAATTGCTGTTAGGTCTTTATGGGGTTATTATTGCAATGATGATGGTCTCGCAGGCAACTGTGAATGTGTCGAATTGCGGATAGGGCAGTATTGTTTTAGGGGTGAAGTTCCCCTTTAGGATGAACGCCTTGGGATATTCTTGGGGATATTCTACACAATCCACTCTCCAAGGGGTTTGTCCTCCAACTGGTTTTACCACAACCCCTACTCTAATCCACTATAGCTTTCCGCCATACCATCCAACTCAAAAACCATAGCGAATTGAATGAGGTGTAGATTATCTTGCATACCTTATAATTGACACCTAAGCAATCCCGATTACCTCTGATGAATCTCGCAATTTTTGTTCGCACTACCCAAGTCGTTGGAGCCAGCCAAAATATCATTTGCATTTATTTACTTTTTAATTCTCAAAGGAGTCGACGAGGTAATAACATTCTGCGAACATTTATCCATAAACGCAGCATTGTAATCTTATCCGTGCTCATATCTCCTCCCCCTATGCTGCCACACCATCGCTCGCTTACCGATAAACCCCCGGTAAGAAACCCACAAAAGAAAAATATATCAGTTAATCCTTTTGCAGAGAAGTAACTGCCTCAAGCTATATATTAATAAATAAATAAAATTAAGGTAAAATAATATGCCCCCTTGTTACTCTCTTAGTTTTATTTTTCAATCTACAGCCAAAAGAATTCCAAAAAAAAAATTAAACAGCTGAAGATCGCTGGGGATTGAGCCCAACGCGGGGGTCGAACCCGCAGCCTTGAGATAACAATTTCGGGGTCTGCTAGAAACCCTTCTATATAAGAGTCTCACGCTCTACCGATTGAGCTAGCCGGGCAGTACCGAAGTGCTTTTTTGATTGTACGAAAAATGCATATTTGTATTTATTAAGAGGGTGCGCTCCCGGCCGGATTTGTGGGGTGAGCTTCCGCCTTTGGGGCTAGGGGGGAAGGAAAAATTTTCCAACTGCGTCACCCATGAGAGTAACAACCTGAGGATGGTAAAAAGAGGCTGGATTATTGGAGGTAGGGGATATATGAGGTCTCTGATCAATGTTTTTTCCTTTCCACGAGGAATACAAGAGGTTTTATTTTGAGAGCCAGTGCATCCTTTTCATTCTCGACGATTTTCTCCCTTGCAGTAATTGATGCAACCTCAAATATCTATCCATCAACTTCCCCAGTGGGACCACGATACCTATGTAAACGTTGATTCTCTATCCCAATCCCCACTTATACCATAGTGCAAGCCATAATTTCCTTTTGGTTTTCGATATCTCAGTTGAGTTGCATGTTCTCCTTGGTTTGGGGGTGGCTGTTAGTGATGTTATCGGGTTTAGAGCTAATTGTATCTTTGGTTTAACCGTTCAGGTTAATTACTTCCACTACTGTGAGATAATTCATCAGTAACGCATTTTACAAAGCCACAAACATGAGCGGCAGCGGTCCGGCAGCCAAAACTTGTAATAGGTCAACATAGCATCCTCACTCCTTAGAGGTTCTTTGTATTTTTCTAAATCGTGCTTTCTAGAGATAGCTTGAAAGGTGGTGATGGCCTGGCAGTCCGGGCTTCTATACCGACCGCGCAGTGAACGAGACTAGTACTGTCGTCGAGGGCGAATTTAAGCAGAATTCGAGAATCAGAATCGAGTATTTCGTAATGCGCGACCCGATTTGCAGCATGAGCTTCCGCACCCGGGCCGGTTCCTAGTCCATGCAACAATGACAGAACTCATTATATTCTCTGGTCTTACTGTGCCCAAGCTGGGTAATCATAGACGTTCTGCGCCTCCTTTTCCTGGCCCTAGTTCGCTGAGAGGAACTCAACCCTTCAATATCAGGATATGTCGAAGAATAACTTGACAGCAGATTGTTGGTTAACAATAGGTTTCATATTGACAGCACTTGGGAACTTGACAGCAATAAATGTAAATAGTCTATAGGCAAAAGATAACAACCTCGTCTTGGCAGATATTTTCTTTTAGGGCAAGCCTCTGTCTAATAGCCTGTCTGTCTGCCGAATCTCTGGTAGTGGGGTGCAAGAGGTGGACTGGTGACTGGGTGGGTTTATTACACCTGCCTATGAAGCCTTTCTGTGTCTGTACTCCCTATTAGCTTTAGTTTACCTAACTCCGTAGTAAGTCCAATCAAATAATTATAATAAATCTTACGGGTAAGAATTGGATAGAGCCCTTTTAATCTGAAACCAATGACGGAATAGAAGTACTTACTCGTACAGTACCATTATTATTTAGTAGGATAGCGGGGCTCGGATTTCGGATAAGATAAGGAAGCATCGCTACATATCACTCCGCACTTGAGAATCCGTCGTCATATATATAATGGCCCCACGAAGTATGACCTGAACAAACAGCCCATCTTATATTCTCTACGATTTAACAAGACCGCCTCCCCTCCTCCTCCTCCTCACCACCTCCTCGTTCCACTCTTCTCAGCTTCCCAATGGCTGACCATCAGCCCGCCCCGTCCGTCAAGGTAGAAAACCTCTCCTACAGTTTCCCAGATCGCACCACCGGTCTCAAATCCGTCTCCCTCTCCCTCCCTTCTCGCTCTCGAACCCTCCTTATAGGCGCCAATGGCGCAGGAAAGACAACACTCCTCCGTCTCCTATCCGGCAAACGACTCGCGCCGTCTGGCACAATCTCAATCGGCGGCCTAGACCCATTCAAAGATGGCCTCGAAGGCGTGACATATCTCGGTCTCGAATGGGTCCTCAACCCCATCGTGCGAACCGACATTGGCGTCCGCGAGCTACTCGCCAGTGTAGGCGGCAATCACTATCCAGACCGCAAGGATGAGCTCGTCGAAGTCCTAGACATCGACCTAGATTGGCGCATGCACGCCGTATCGGATGGAGAGCGGCGGCGCGTGCAGCTTGCCATGGGGCTTATACGCCCGTGGAGCATATTGCTGCTAGATGAGATCACGGTCGATTTGGATTTGCTGAGCCGGAGCAATTTCCTGGCGTTTTTGAAGAAAGAGACGCTGGAGAGGGAGTGTACCATTGTGTATGCGACGCATATCTTGGATAATTTGGCGGAGTGGCCGACTCATTTGGTGCATATGAGTATGGGAAGGGTGAAACAATGGGGAAAGGTTGAGGAGATGGAGGCGCAAGCTTTGCAGGGGAAGGAAGCAAGTGGGAATAGTCGACTGGGCATGTTGGTGCTTGGGTGGCTGAAGGAGGATTTGAAGGAGAGAGGCCCTAGGGACAATAGTGACGGCAGCGAGGGCAAAGCTTACTTCAATCCCGGTATTGGGGGCTATGGGCTTCAGAAGGTAGGGTTTTGAGTTGGCCGGTGGATGATTGCTATGGGGAAATGGTGGGGTGATATGATTCGGATGGCTGGCGTAGGAGGTTATTTCATGAGCGCTTCAACGCCTCGGTCGGGCGTACATTGGGCGGCGTACAACATTTAACATATTCTAGGCTGGTTTCATTTTCTCTTATACAAGGGAGACGGCGGTTTGGATATACCCGCCAGGAGCTTCAACGACTTGGTGTTGATAGATTGGCCGGCGCAGCATTTAACATACTCTTTGGGTTGCTTTCTAAGATACAGGAGACCGCGGGTTGTAAGAACATATCCACAGGCTCAACGCCTCGGTCTAATAGGCATTATCCGGCGCAGGATTCAACATATCCCAATATGTTTCTAAGATTGGGAAGGGAGTAGTTTATAAGAAAAGACCCGCAATGAGCTGTCTTCGCTCGCGATTGCGAGTTCCATGTCCAATTCCCCATCCTCGTTCTGTGATGCTACAGGTTTCCAAGCCAGCTGTGTAATAGCTTTCGATGGATTTGAGTATGTGCTGAGAAAAGGTAAGTGAGTCAACTTTGAAAATCAGGGAAAGGAAGTCTTGCCTGGGGTATTTCACTGCGAGCATTTGCGTGGCGAAGCCCTTTTTGATGTCCACGGAGTGTACCGCAAGGAAGCCGGTCTCTAACCCTACTGCAAGGTACGCAACACCATCTCCTAACATCTTGCCCAGGAAATCAATAGCTGTAACCGGGTGGGTCTCAGATATCGTGGAGCGGCAAGTAAATCCTGTAGTTGCTCCTTCATCCTTTGCCCAAACCCGAACCTTTTTGTCCCTTCCAGCCGTAGCAAATACGTCTGAAGAGTCCGGTGCCCATGCAGAATCCAGTATCATCCTACTGTGCCCTTTCGGATCGGACTCCGATAGTGTGTAAGTTAGCTTGTTATCAGAGTCGCGTCTGAATACGGCCCACTGCCTGTCACGACCAACACTCAGGAGATATTGATCATCAGCAGAGAATCTCAGCTTTGTTACAGTCAGGGAATGCGCTGTTAGCGGCGGCTTAACCTCAAGCCAGCCTTTCGTCTCAAACAGCCGGATGACAGCATGGTCGATAGAGCTGGCTTTGCAAGCAGTAGCAATAACAGAGCCATCGTGACTTGCTGCTAGCGTAGATATTTCGTAGCCATGTCCGTAGAGCTTCTCAATCTCCGGCCAGAGGGTGTGCCGAGAGAGATGCTCCTCAGAGGGCGGTTGCTCGAGATCTAAAGTCGATTTGTGTACGATAGAAGCCGGATCAACAGCATCGCGTCCTTGGCCGTTCCCGTTCAAAACCTCTTCGCCGTCTTCAACCGCGTCGATGGCTTTGTTCGATAAACCCAAGACTGGCATGTTTGCAGCATCTGGCATCTCCTCAATACCAGATCCCTTGATGCCACAGAGTTTGCTCAGAAGATTTGCGACCGCTTTGGGCTCGCTAAATACTCGAAGTAGCTTTTCATCTGCACCGGATACAAATTGGGATTCTCCTAGAGAATCAATGCAATTGAGATCGTAGCCATGAATTTGAGGTCTTGCCATCTCATGCCAAGATTCCTTGCTTCCCCGTTTCCACTTTGCATGTAATCTTGTCGTTTGATCCGAGCTGGTCGAAAGCAGATAGTCGCCTCCTTTCGACCATGCAATGCCAGTGATCGACTGTGTATGGCCACTAATTCCAATGCCTTGTAGCCATCGTTCTTGCTGGGCGTCATAATTCCACAGTCTCCAGCTGCCTGTCCGTCCGAGGCTGATGACCGTCTTTCCAGATGGCGCCCAAAGACCCGTCCAAAATCCGCCAGTGCTCCCGGTAGCGGTCGTTGACCCCTTTTCCGCGCTGATCTCGCCCAGTCGTGTGGTAGTCACCCATACTCCAGTTGCAGGATCGGGCACCCATATCGCGAGAGAATTATCGGCCGATGCCGAAAGCAGCTGTATGCCACTGGGACCAGATCTCCATCTAGCACTGTAAATCCAATCGTCATGGCCAAGCAGCAACGCTTCAAAAGTCGCCGAGAAATCGAGACCCTGAGCCTTGAACCGATGGGCTTTATTTGAGAGCGACTTTCCGGGCAGGAAAGCCCCGAACGAGGGATCAGCCGAGGGTGCAGCTGCTGGCAGTTCTTTGCCCTGGTGGATTCGCCACAGTCGGATGTATTTGTCTTGGCTAGCTGAGGACAAGAGTAGGTCGCTATCAGGGTCGTTGCTCTCGGTGGTAAATTCCAAGGATCTTATCCATCCCTCATGTCCTGCAAGCGTCGCTTGAAGTCTGAAATCGGTGCTAACTGCAGGATCTCGCACATATATTTGAATAATGTCTTTGGTTCCAGCTACCGCGAGCACATAGGAATTAGGCGCGCCGGCAAGGGGGCTCAAAGCCAGCGCCAGCGGGAAGAATCGTGGAGTCACCACTATAGTTTGCTGTAGGAATGCCTCGTACTTTTCGTCCAGTGACCATATCTTTACGGTCCCATCCGCGGCTCCAGACGCGAATATTGTGGAGTCAGAGGCCACCGTGATGCAGTTTATAGAGCTCTGGTGGTTGTCGCTATCCTGGTGATGGAGTTGTTGGATGTTGGTGTAATGCCCGGATCTTTCATCCTTCTTCCAAATAATCAAATTCTTGTCAACAGAGCCACTGAGCAAAACGTGCGGAGCTCTGGGCACGAATTTGACAGCATTCACAACGTCTTGATGACCGCAGAGGATCTGGAATACGCCTTGCGAATCCGGGTCCTATGATTGTTAGTCGTGTTCAAACCAAAAAAAATTGTTATAAGTAGCCGACACAAGAGACTTTTGCCATCTGCATCAAAGGTCTCGTGACGTTGTGGGACTGGAAGCAGCTTACTTGTGGTCTCCACAGAGCTATATTTCTATCGGCACCAAAAGCCACATCACCAGTGATATCCCAATCCGCTGCAGAAGGGTGCCTATTGCCACCCGCAGCCAGGTAGTCGGCGTTGATTTGAAGCATTGTCATGTCATCAGGCGGAGGAGCGGGGCCTGCACAACCGGGGTACCTTAAAACGACGTCCTGTCTTTCTTTATCATTCAAAGGAGGTTCTTGGGGATTATTTAATTATTCAAGATACTACTCGGATGGTTGAGATCCGCCAAGGGCTCTATTGGAGGTGGTGTTGATATGATGTTGTTGGTGTCGAGGTTTTCGCTAACCCTATTCGATTTTCACGATGTCAGGCACGAGTAGCAAATACCTTAGCACAGGCATGCTCTATAGGCATTCTTCATGCTCCCAAAGATCCCCTCTCATAAATATTTCTCTTCATCTCTTAATTACCTTTACTTTGCTTTAATTCAACTTTAAATATCTTTTACCGAGAATCACTAAATAACAGAACATCCACATTTCTGCATCAGCCCAGAATCACCAAATCCTTGGTGCCAGCATCGTACAGTAAGCGAATGCTTGGAGCGCAAACTTTTCTGACATTCCAGCACATTACCACGTCGCTTCCCCGTCCCCGTCGCAAAATAATTCTTACACCGCCATCTCGACATTGCAACGTCCATCATCACCCCGACTAGGGTAATCCTCGAGATGGCTTCAGAAGACACCATTTCGATCCTCGTGGAGTTCACGTGAGCAAAGACCCCCAAGTTCTTCCTTCGTTACAAGAGAAGTCACTGACAGTGCTCTAGGGGTGGACTCGAAATGCTATTCGCGGACGAACGCAAGCATAAATTGTCAGTCCCAGCTAAAGATAACAAGGGAAACCCCGTTACTGTCGGTTGGCTCGTCGATTATCTCTGCGAAAATGTGATGAAGGACTCGAGGAAAGAGCTGTTTGTATTGGACGATCACGTGTAAGTAGCTATTTTCTTGTCTCAATATATTCAGCGCTCTGGAGCGGCCGTTGTTTTCAAATCAAGCCTCTGAATCCCCTCCCTATCCGTGTATTCGTCACCGCTACATCAGCATCAGCTGGCCATGGATGGCAGTCCATCCTAATATACCCGTCGAGCTACAATTTCCTATCTATTTGGTCGAGCCGCATACTTGTCCCACGGCTTACACCGTCCTCTTGCATTGCAGCCGCCCGGGCATCCTAGTCCTCATCAATGACGCCGACTGGGAACTGGAAGGAGAAGCCTCTTACGCCCTGCAGCCAAACGATAACATCCTGTTCGTTTCAACATTGCACGGTGGCTGAGGCTCTGTGTGGGTTGGGGGGGGGGAGGATCAATACGACATGTTCAATAAACCACCCGGCTTGGGACGAGAACAGTTCCGTTAATATTCCCGTCATGCCTATCCCTTCGATCCGGCAAAATCGACGGGTCTCGGGATTCTAGCCGCCTCTGACTCTGTCTCGGACGACGATGCGTGGGGACAATGCCCCGTACCATGGCGGTTCTGATTATCTTCAAGGGATATCGCTGTGGCTCAACCCTACGGTTGAATGGATCCATTATATCTATATGGCGACGACATCCAATCCACTGGCTCCAAGTCACAATGTGCGTATTACAAGGAATAGCCTTGCAGGATCTCCAACATGGATGTACCCCGAAGCCCTCTCTACTCTATCATCCACAAACCTGTCTCTCATGTCTCTCGCTTCGTCGTTCCGAAAGGAAAGACATCGCCGACGTTGAAAATGCAGCAGTGCCACAATGCCCATAGGCCATCCTCTGGCCAACCCTTGCGCAGACAACGCACACAATGCGCACAATGCACGTACTATAAACTTTTACCTGGGAAGACTCGCGCCATGTGGCCCTATAAATCGATATGTGATTATAAACACGACAAGCAAACCGCACAGCATCAGGGACTCTCCATGAAGCGTTTGCGCATCGCAGGGAATTGCACGGAATCTGCCTCCGCAGCTATCAACGGCACCTTTTCCCGAGTCCGGGACAAACAAGAACAAGCTGCAAGCACCGGGGGACCGCGGGGGGTTGAGATTGCCTTCTTGGAGTCTCTCAAATACTCCGCAGCAAATCACTAGTTCTAACCATCGTCGTCCAATCTTAGCGGTGAAAGCGCAAGCCTCGCGTGCGGCCACGCCGATCCTCAAGATCTCCTCCACTTCTTCACACTTTTGCAGGGCTGACAGGAAAATCACCCCTTCGCCCCCCGTCGCCCACTGTGAATGGGTGGGGGCTAGTTGGTTGGCCTCGGGGGTGGTTCCGCTATCCCTTCTGTCCCGGCTGTCTAGGCCTCTGGGTGTTTTACTGTACAAATGGCAAAAACGTGAAGCAAGAGAGACTCAAGGAGTGAAGATCGAATGCTCTAACCAGAGCACCGGAATCGGGCACTTTGGCCGTTGGGTCCCCATGGACGCGCGCGTGGGAGATAACCCCCAGGGATGCCTAAGGCGCCTTAAGCGCTCGCCTACTCCGAACTCACCGGAACCACGCCGTCAGGGCCGTTGCGTGATCTTTTCACAGCACAGAAACAGCGCTGCACGGTGCAGATATCGCCCATCTTTCGCCCGGCCCGCCCCGACACAACTACGTACATGTACGGGGGATAAGGAGGGGCAACGGGGCGCCGTTGAATTATCGATAGGTGCGGAATTCTTGCGTGATGCTTCGTGCATCCAGACAGCTGCTGCCTAGGTGCGTAAGATTGCGCATGGGCGGGTTTGGCTGATCATGGGAGACGAACTTGGACTCTTGGAGAGATTCGACGAACTGAGGCTGACGCCGTGCAACGTCTGCTAAGGAAGGTCAGTTACACGGCCCGTGAGAAAGGCTAAAGCCAAATGGAAATGTTCTATTGAAAATCGCGGGATCCTGAGACCTCTCCGCAATAGCACCGGAATGTCAGCGAGCTTCGTTCGTATCGACGGGATGGTGTGTCAGATAGGTAATGGTATGCACATAAATATAATTCTTATAGCTATGTATACCTAGGTATATACTGGATAAACCTGTAAACCGACCGCCTGGAAATCCCGTGTGTTTGTGTGTTTCCAAGCAAAAAAACAAAAGACAAAAAATCAATCTACCTCCCAGATGACATCTTCGCAGACGAATTGTGTTGAAAAGTCTTTGGACAAAATCCCGCCCTCCTTTTTTCCGGTATAATCCTGTGCGATGCAATAACATAACGAGAGGAAGCAGGTAGGACCAAAACCAAAACAGACACGAGACCAATGTCTCTCCAAACCGCGCAATGATAAAATGCCTCGACGTGATCCAGCCCATCCGGGGAAACCTTTCCCTTTGCTATATCCCATTCGCTATCCCAGAACCTCCCATTTGTAATCCACACCATGATAATAAATACAGTTGCCTCACATTAAGTCGCACGCGCACACTTCTTCGTAGATCATTCTCTCGTCGACTCATAAAACTCCAAGGCCATAGTTGCGCCGCACCAATACCGTGTCATCCCAGGCGTCAGTAGATCCGGTCTCCAAAAGCCAGCTCGCCGCCTCGCCCCGCATCCCCGAAATTATCGGAGGGGGCGTCATCATAGCAGCTGCCCACGGAACTTGGGCCGCTTCTGTGGTGGTTGGCTGGCATGCTCTCGTCGTTGATGTCGAACATCTCATAGCTTCCTCGGCTGGGTATGTTGGATGGCATGCCAATAAGGCCACCCATGTTGGATCTTCCGGCTCCGGATCTGCTGTATCCAATGTGGCCGTCGACCCCAAGGTTTCTCAATCCGGAGGTTGCAGGCGTCGATGTAGAGCCTACTTTGCGGTCTTTTCCTCGGCCTTTGATGCCTTTATTGCTGTTCTTGTACAAGTTGGCAAAGTACTCCCAAAGTTCCTTGTCACCTGCATGAACAATGTCGCCGTCTTTGATTGAAGCGAACTTGGCCGTGAGTGATCTGATCGTGTTGATGTGATACTTATTTTGATGACACTATGACAAAATATTGGTAAGCTACGTGCTTTATGTGGCATATTTTGGGTAGTCAGGTGGATAGGGGTGGGCATCCGCCTGCAGTTGCAACGGGATGTGGAAAAAGCAAAAAACAGAATACGCGAGAGTAAGGGGGGATCAACAACGCCAAAGATGACGAACCTTGAGATTACCGAGCTGCGTAAAAGATTTTCCGCAAGCATCAAGCTGGCAATGGTAGGGCTTTGCTTGCCCGTGCGTTATCTTGTGGGCGCGGACATTGCCTCGTTGGGCGAATCTCTTCCCGCAGGTATCGCACTGGAAGGGCTTTTCACCGGTGTGCCTCCGTTCGTGGGTCTGTATGGAATCCAATTAGTTCTATGTAATACTGTGGAATAGAGGTATCTCCTCACCTTTAGGTTCCCAAGCTGCGAAAAGCCTTGTCCACAGCCAGGTCGTTTGCAGGCCTGGGAGATGGGTTAGTTGAAAAGTGCATCAGAACGGTAGAATAGAAACTTACGTATGGCTTTTCACCGGTATGCGCTCGCTCATGAATGTCAAGGTGTGTCTTTTGCTGGAAAACCTTCGTGCAGTTTCCAATAGTGCATTGGTACCGTTTCTTGCCTCTCGTACTGGTAGTACCGTCCTGATAATCCCCACCAGTGAGCTTGGGAGTCCCCACTAATCCAGATTCACTCCCGCTGCTCTGAGAGCTATGGCTCGAATAGGGAGGGGTATAGGCACCCACCACAGTTCTGTTCTGTTCGGTAGATGGTGGCTGGAATGTTGAGCTCTCCGATTTGGCTTGGATTGCCTTCATCAGAGTGTCAACCTCCGTACCAAAGTCGGCTACTGCTCCAACATTGACTGGAGTCCGGGAGGTAACGGTTGGTGCATTGCTGGGAGCAAAGGACGAGGTCACGGTTGGCAGCCCGTCCCAGCTGTGTTCCGTCTTCCAGTTCGATTCCGTCTTAATCATAGGGCTCGAGATATGATGCTCCTCGGCGTAGCCTTGGCGAGGATTCGAAAGATGAGATAGTCCACGTTCAACACCATTATCCACTTCTATCATCCGCCGTACCGGTCGTCGTTGAATATAATTCGTGGCAGCAAATTCTGGAATCATCGGGGTGGAGTGTCCTCCAGTATAGGGTCCAAATCCGAATGGGTTTGGTTGCTGTAGCTGCTGATGTGATGCAAGTAGGTTTCCCGACGGTGCCCCGCTGTACGAAACAGGAGCATACTGCGGAGCCACAAGAGCTCGAGTCAAGGCTGCGGAAGAGGCTGCTCGTGAATTGTAGGATTGTATGATGCCCGAGGTATCCATTGCGTAGAAACCCTCGATATGCTGCTGAGGAATCTGGTCTGGCCAACGTCCCCAGGCTTGGTCTGGTGTTGGCGCCGTGACTGCCAGGATGCCGGTTTGTCTTGCTCAAAGGCAAGACACAAATACGATCGCAGACGAGACTGACTTAGAATAGGTTGAGAGCGGAAGTGCAGGCGTGCACAGTAGATATCCGTTTGTCAAGATCAAGTAATCGATCACAAGCAGAATGCAAGATTGGTTCGTTAGGTTGACGATACCTTAATGTGTCGTAGGTGGTATATGTTTTGGTATTGCAGAGAGAGAGAGAGTTGTAGTCGTAGAGAGATCCCGAAAAGGAGACGGTGTGAGCCAATGTGGTTCGACTAAACAGTATGGAGGGGTTGCCAGACGTTCGGGTTCTCACTCCGAGATCTCGCAAGATGGATACCAGATGTATTCATATACTGAGCACGCACCATACCCCCCACTCAGCTGGAAGCAATAATGGCCACCATCCCACGCCTCCCGCTTTTGAAACTGGGCCAATAGCTAACCACCATCAAGGGCATGGGCGGTGAAACAGACAAGGCTGCGAACGTATGGTATTATATTCGTTATGACACTGTGAAGTGAAGAAACTGCATCACACAACAGTGAGAACGAAGGCTGTTGAGATCAACAAGACGAAGCTAAACAGTTGAGTGCCAGTTCTTGCCAAACCTTACAAGGGGGGGGGTGCAAGGGTCTGTCACGGTGGCATCAATTTGAGAGACAAGTGTAGATGAGAAAGTCCAATCCAGAAGAAGCACAACGCCTCCCGGTGGGCATCACCAGGAAGGGCTCGTTCAAGCTTGTCCGTACGTCAATCGAGACCTGGAGAGCGGATGAGCGTCGAGCACAGATCGAGTCTGGTCCCCGACTCCACAGCACCTAACTCGTAGAGTGGGGCGGCGGCGCGGCTTCATACGGGCGGGGCCGCAGACGACGAGCTGCGAGAATCATAGCCCATCAGGTGGGTATGGAGGGTAAGGGGGAAGGAGGGAGCTGGGGGGCCTGGGG